GTGGACGGCTCGCTTGGGTGGACGGCTCGCTTGTGGAATACGTTATATAGAATATAAAGTCTATTTTTATAGTAGTTAACTAATTATTAAATTTAGACCCCTATTTTAGACCTTACCCTTTATTACTAGCTAACTACTATAAGGATAGACTCTATATTCTATATACTAAGTATTTATATATATAAGAATAATACATTAGATTTGTATAACTTTTTATTAGGTGGTTGTAGAGTTATTTAAGGTTAGATTATTGAATTTCTAGTGGTGCACGGACTGGGCAGCTCGCCCGCATGGGCAGCTCACCCGCAGGGTACGTTAAGTTAACTAACTAAACAAACAGCTCTTGGCGTGCACGAATCTGATCACAGGATAGAAGTAGCCCTGTTTGCAGTTTTGAAGGTTCGTTGAAGTGATTCGGAGAATGATAAAAGTGGTAGGCTTCTGCAACAAGTTTCTTAAATTTCTAAATAGAGAAGCTGTTGTTCATATTCACGTAACGGATATCATAACGCAAGTCTCGGCGTCTATCGACCGCCGCTATTCTTCGTATCCCAAGATGCAACAACGCCGCCTAATGCTTTGAGCGAAACCCCAAACGCCTAGAACATCAGTCCCATCAACCCTGCATCAATATCCAAAAGACTCAGTATGCAAATATATCCCCTGTGCCCCCGTACCCTTGTGCACCGCCCGCTCATCGCTCAAGGCCACCACGCTCTGTTTGACATCAGCTACAAGGCCTTGTGGCCCACAAACGACTACCGCGCTCTCGCCCAGCGCCTGCTCTAGCGTCTTCCAAATCACGCTGTGGCACTGCGGCCGGCCGCTGATGACGACAATGTCGGGGTGAAGCATTTGCTTTGCTGACCCCTTAGTGCTTGACGATACCGCTGATAGCGCGCGATCCATGGTGGCAGGGGATGAGGAGCAACAGCAGCAGGTCGCGGGACCGATTGCATCTTCGCTTTCGACGGTGTCCCTGCAGCAGCATTCGCCGTCTGGCCCGCAGGACGTCTGTGGTGTGGTTTTCCTGAGCGACGAGTCTTCAGAGCCGACTTCTCGAGCATCATACGTCTCTTCGTACTTTTTGCCGGACTTCTCGTCTGGGTCACCATCCACCATCTCTACAGCACCTCGGAAGTTTGTTTTAGCTGGGGCTCTGACAGATGAAAGGAGAGATTTGTGCTCTTCCGTGAATGAGTTGTCGCAAGTGACGTAGATAGTCATGTCTACATCCAGCCCCTTGACTTGGGACTTGAGGTTCTCGATGTCTTCGAAGACGCCCGAGAGCTGGTCGGCAAACCAGCCAAGCTGGCCCCGAGACTTGACAACCCACACGAAGCGGATGTGTCGTGTTACAGCACCCTTTGGTTTACTGAATATCGACGACTTCTGATTGGTCGATGTTGCGACTTCTTTCCACCCCTGGACAATATCCCGAAGCAACGGGACGGTGAAAGTTGCTCCGGTGCTACCGGCTAGTAGCACCACGCTGTCGAATTGTCGAAGTGGTCGAAGGCAACCATATGGCCCTTCGATAGCAACACTCCTTAATTTGGGCTTGGAATTTGGAGACGCACTTGGCAGCCCGCTCAGCTTCTCCGCGTGCTTGAAGAATCGTCTGGTTCCGCCTTTCTCCGCCTTTACGAGGAATTCCATCTTGCCGTCCTCTGGGATCGAGGCAACGGTAAAGGGATGGCTTTGAAGTGGAACGATTGAGTGGCAGGACAGGAAAACGTGCTGGCCAGGTGACCAGCTAATCGGTGGGTTGTTGATAGTGATCCTCGTGGTATCGTGTGCAAGCGGCGTAAATTCCGCTTTGCACGCCCAAAGTCCAGACATCTGCCCAGCTTGCCGTTGCTTGGGGTGAAAGAGGGACACGTTTGTGTATATTACATATAAACCCCGTGTCACACGGTCGAAAGCGAAGACTCCAATGGGGATCCAAATGTAGACGTGGACCTCTGCAGGCGTGTGTTTGTACACAAAGTAGAGGAACACAGCGAACGACGCTAGATGCTGAATTACAAACACCTCATAGTACAACCCGCGGATCGGCGTCATGGAGCTGATGACCATCCAGAGCAGGACAGCCCAAGCAATCACTCCCTCCTTCACCAAGGGGGCTGATCTGATCTGAGGGATGATGTAATCGTACGGCGCCCAATCTGCAAAGAAGTAGCCCATGTGGATCGTGGTGGTGAGAAGAAGACATCGGGCAGTCCAGCGGTGCAGCCAGTTCAGTCTCTCATGGCTAATTCCAGAGAGGAATCCGATAATGTTGTTTTTCCCGGCTAGCAAGAAAATCAACGGGAGCTGGGCCATGTTCACAAATCCGATCCGGTAGCCAATATCTTCGTACTTCCATCGGTCTCTAACATCGAGTCCGTAAAATGACAGAACAACAAGAAGCACGACATTGCCGACTACCAAGCTGGTCCGGCCAACCGTTGGTAGCTTAAAAGCGCGTCCTTTAAAGGGAATTCGTACTGAGGCATTCGACGCCTCTCGCGTTATCGCAGTGATGGTCGCATACGTTCTGGAGAGAAGCGTTTTTGGCTTTGCGGGTCTTGCGTCGCCATTGCTGGCAGCTGAAAGCCTGCGATTGTCAATTAGAACTCTTTGACTTCCCAGAGCGGTTTGAATTACCTCTGACGGTATATGATAGAGTTAGACAGGTTGACAAGAGTTGCGATGCCGATCGCGGTTCCCACAACAGCCCAATAGAAGGATGGGAAGTCGAGCAGTTTTGGCAGCCCTCCCATGGACATGCTGCCCATTGTCATGTCCATGTCCATTCCGCCGCCATCGTCCTGTCTTCTGACGAAGCGCCCCGCCCTGTTCATCCTGGACATTTTTGAGGGTGGAGATCGGAGAAATTAAGAATATGGCCACAAGTTCTTGGGAGTATCGAGTCCTTGATCAGCTCAAGTGCGAAGGAAGAGGGAGAAGACGTCTCGCCGGCTGTGCCCGTCCATGGATCATCCAGCAGCGATAGTATGGATGTCAGTGTCACGGCGCGAAACGGAGGTGTGCAAGAACGAGGGGCAAGTTGATGTGAGTGTCAAAAAGCGTGCCCACCAGGCATGTACATGAATGTGCCGCGAATCCGCGCACCCGGGAAAGCTTAGATGGGCACGCCTGTGCTAATTCGGGCTGCCGGTTCGACGAGTGCATCGGAGACTTGTCATGATCGGGCGGGATGCAGTTAAGGCATGGCGGACTTTCGCTGTTTGCGGTGGCGTTCGGAGAACCCGCCAATCAGACGCCAAAGAACTTGCTCAATACCTCTCATCATGTGACCTGTACCTACCCGATGAACGGCAACCCGACCGCTGCAAGCTCGACAAACTCCATAGAATAAGCTTATCGGGCGGCAGAAAACACCAGCGTGCCGCCGAGCAAGGGCGAGTGGCTTGCCGCTTCCCGCATTCCAAATCTGCCGTGACACTGTGCGCTTCACTCTCCAACTACACCCGTAGCATCATTGCTCTCAATTCTGCTCTCCACAAAGACAAGACCTATTCTTCGCACGCGGAACCATACCGCTTCACACTAACGCCGCGCGTCTGACTCCACGCCCGGTACTCAAAACCCACCGCTTGCGCTGCCTCATCGCTTCTCAGAGAGACTCGAGAGTACAAGTTCGACGACCACCAAAAGCACACCCCTACACCACGACATAACCAACCACCACTACCGCAAACATGGACATGTCTGGGATGATGCCGGCGAGCGAGATGGTCATGACCTTTTTCACCTCTTCGTTGACGCCTCTCTACTCTGAGCAATGGGCACCCAAATCGACCGGAGCTTATGCCGGCACTTGCATCTTCCTCATTCTGTTCGCGGCCCTGTACCGAGGCAGCTTCAAGCTGCTGCACTTCCTGGAGCACAAATGGCTCGAGTCCGCCATGAAGCGCCGATACGTCGTAGTCGCGGACAAGACGCCCATCGCAGAGCGCATCAGTTCGGATGCCGACTCGAAGACAGCAGTCATATCGGCAAACGGCGTGGAAGAACATGTTGTGATTGTGCAGAGTCCGATCCAGCACGTCCAACCATGGCGATTCAGTGTCGACCTCCCGCGAGCATTGCTATACACTTGCATAGCTGGAGTAGGCTATCTTCTGTAAGTCTTGATGTGTCCTCATATGCATTATATCGCTGATAGTACACAGTATGCTGGCTGTCATGACGTTCAACGTGGGCTATTTCCTTTCAGTGCTCGGGGGTGTCTTTCTCGGAGAGCTGGCATTTGGCCGCTACGGAGCACCAGGGAACTGATGATGAACATCATTAGCTGTATAGACAGGTGTTTGGGGATGATATTTTTGATTGCATCGGGCTCGGCGTTTGGGGTCCATCCGTGGAGGGTAACGATGTTATGGCTGGAATCGGACGAGTATCACTTTCTCGTGATAGATAGAGAGTAGGAGGTAGAGCGGCACACCACCCTATGAACACACGTTGCCTCATATCACGCTTCCACGGCGATTAGTGTGCCTGTTGTGCTGGGTCGAATAAGCGTCGTGAAGAAGCTTGGAATGGCAGTCGCATGGCCGCACGACGGCCCTTGTGGCGGGGTAATTGGTGGGGCAGTTGACTTCGGCCCGCCAAGTTACCACTGTCACTGACATGTTTCTCCACGCCACGGACCCAGACTGCACTGAAACTGCTGGAGGATTTATGCAAGTGGTAGACGTAGCTATGCAGTCCTTTTTGTTACCGTGAATGTGCTCTGTTGTAGCAGCGCGATGAAGTGCTGTGCACGGTTCCATTTTGGGATGTCGAGAAATTCTGCGTTGCCGATCGTCGGGTGGCAGGGGTGAATGCAAGACTCGAGCTAGGCCCCCTAGGCGGCCCGGGCTTCAAATGTGCTCAGTCCGTGGAAACTTGCTCACCCGCATCGTCGAGACAGACCACATCCTTTGATAGCCGCTTACCCAGACCCGTAGCAGCTCCGGTCTTCCTAGTGTCGCAGAGTCGCCATGGCGTCCATTGTCAGCTTATTTTGGCGCCAATCCCAGCCACCGGACTCACCAGGTCCTACCGTGCATTCATTCATAAGGTGCTCTGGTTACCTGCAGGAACGTAGCTCTTCTCTTGGCCATTCTTGCAATTCCCTCCTCTAAACCGCTCAAACATCTTTCCTCCTTCATTTCTTCCAAATCTTGAACTGTTCTTCGTAGCAACACTAACAAGTCAATTCACATCCCAATTGCACCATGTTGTCCAACCTCGCTCTCCTCGCTCTTCTCCCCATCACCTCCGCCCATTTCCTCCTCAATTGGCCTCCTGCCCGCGGCTTCGACGATAACAAGGCCGTCAACTTCCCCTGCGGTGGCTTCGACACTGTTAGCAAGACCCGAACCTCATGGCCCGCCGTCGGCGCCCCCATCCAGCTGGACATGCACCACACGCAGACCGACGTGATGGTGCTGCTCTCACTCGGCAGCGACCCGGGCGTCAACTACAACATCATCCTGCGCCCCACCTTCGAGGAAGAGGGCCTCGGCAACTTCTGCATAGGCCAAGTAAGCCTACCCGAGGGCGTCAATTTCACCGAGGGCCAGGACGCGACTATCCAGGTCGTGTCGAACGGCGACCCAGATGGCGGACTCTACCAGGTAAAATTCCCTTTCTCCCAACTCCGAGAGATGGCTTTTTTAGTCCCCTTCTGCGAGACTGTCAAAGAGCTCGTGCTGACCTTGCTATGCAGTGTGCCGATATCACTCTTACCAAGACTGCTCTCTCCACTACCGATTACAACAACAACTGCAAGAACAACACTGGAGTCAAAGTCCAGAGTGTCTCAGGATCTCCCCTTGCGAACACGACTAACCCGGAGGCTACTGGTGCTGCTTCTTCCAAATCTGCCTCCGGTTCTGCCACTGGTTCTGCCACTGGTTCTGCCACTGCGGCGTCTGCGACCTCGACCGGCATGGCGCCACATCAGACGATGGCCGCGTGGGCCTTAGGCGGAATGGCAGTTGTCGGAGCTTTGGCTGGCCTATAAGCACGAATAAATAGTGAAGAGGAGTCAAAAAGGACGGGTTTCTGGATAATACCATGGATAATGAGTGACCTAGGAAGGGAACACTGGTGTATAAAATCTCTCACGAATTAAAGATAGGCTCGTAGTCATTCAAATATCATAATCATCTCGCCTCACTGGCCTGTGGCTACACAAGATCATGAATTGGTATCTTTATTCATTGCCGCTAGCACAGATCGATGCTTCCATCATAGGGCGCCCTATGGCCATTTCACTAGTCTCACCCCATTTCATGAACTCGTGAAATCCCAGTCTGTTGCATCTACTGGTTTAGCTCCTCGGCTCTCTTCTTCAACGCCTCCTTGCTCTCCGGCTTTCCAATGTTCTCAGCGATGACGGGTCCCTATGATGAAACCAGTTAGTATCTATGCTATTGGCAACGATTAAGTTAGATTGACAAGGTTCAAGCTCCACTTACCGGGTTCGCCTTGTGGGCATTGGCATGCACGCCTCCTGGGTTCACTCCAGTATCCACGTTGTGGTTCTTGTGGGTCGATGCCGTAGAGTCGGATGAATCCTTGGCGACTTGGTCGGTGATGCCTATATAAAGGTTTAGTCCATTATTTCGATTCACGTATGTAAAGTCAAAGGAAAGTCAACGTACTGCCAGTGGCGTTCTCCTCAGCGGCGTGGACAGGCATGATTGGTTTGTTGGGAGTGTTGGGAGCAGATTCTGGTTCTGCGATCTTGTTTGGATGTGTAGCGATGAGAGAGGAGAATACTGTTTTCTGGCTGTAGTAGTCGTCGATGAGTTCGCAGATGGGTTTGGAAGGAGTGCTGCTTTGGAAGGCCATTAGATATATATGACGCCGGTGACGTCGTTCTGGGCACGCGTAAGGCCATGGCGGGGCATTTTCCAGCGGGGCAGGGATGAGTGAAAGGCATTTTGGACAAGGAGCTTGTGATTACTACAGCAATACCGTGAAGAGCCCCTCGGTAACCGATTTCGAATGTTGCTTAACCCGAGAATGCAGGTGGTCTTGCTCGTCCTTTCGAAAACACGCTAATTGACTAGACGACCCCAGCAAGTTATACCAAAAGATTTCCAAAGCTTCAATCAACCATCCAAGTTCGAAATACCGCCACCACGAATCTCATAACAAAAGCATCTCAGCATTCAATGGCTGCCGCATCCCCTTCTCTCTCGTTCCCACGCGACATCTTCGCTGCCCTCTCTCCGTCGCCATTCCTCCTCGCCCACCTTTCGCACGACTCCCCCTCTACCAACCCCTCGCGCCCCAATGGCCGCGCCCCCTTCGAATTCCGCAAGCCCACCATAAACACCGGCAGCTTAAGCCATTGCTCTGGCAGCGCTGTGGTACGACTAGGCGATACGGCCGTGGTATGCGGCGTACGAGGAGAAATTCTGCTGGCGTCCAACATCCCGAATCCACCAACACTCCCAACGAACCTCGACTACGATGGCGACGATGATGCGGAAAACGACGCAGCAGAGCTATCAAACCTATCCCTCCTAGTTCCCAACATCGAACTCGCAACCGGTGCCTCTCCCGCCCACCTCCCGGGCTCACCACCGTCTACACTCGCGCAATCCCTCACCTCCCGCATCCGCGCGTTACTGTACTCCACGCAACTCCTCCGTGCGCGGGATCTGAGGATAATATATTCACCTCCACCGTCCGAGTCTTCCGGAGATGACGAATCAGCGAAGGAAGTCAAGGCGTACTGGGCACTCTATATCGACATTATGTTCATAAGCCTAGACGGCAACGCCTTCGACGTGGCCTGGGCCGCTGTGGTCGCCGCGCTACGAGATACACTGCTTCCTTCCGCATGGTGGGATGAGGACGTACAAAACATACTTTGTTCGCCATCTGTATCTAACGCGCGCTCTCTGAAGCTGAGAGGTTTACCCATGGCGGCGACGTTTGCGGTGTTTAAACCTACGGAGCTGCTAAGCGAAGGGGAGCAAGATGAAGAGAACGCCGAGGAGAAGGCGTGGGTGCTTAGTGATCCTGATGCGTTTGAAGAAGGGCTTTGCAAGGAGGTGGTGACGGTGGTTGTAGATGGTTCTGGGGGGAAGAGGAGGGTGCGGAGGATTGAGAAGAAAGGGGGTGGGGTTGTGGGGAGGGAGGTCATGAAGGGATTGGTAAGAAGGGCAGATGAGAGGTGGAGGGAGTGGAGTCAGATGGATGGGCTTAAGGCGTAGTCTGGTCTTATGAGGCGCACTCGGACCTGGAATGAGGGCGGCCGCATTACCGTTCCTGTTTGGAGCGTTGTACCCAGTAGACAAGTCAAATACAGAGGGCTTATGAAAATGTCTCTCGATGGTCTATTACGTGTTAGATTTGTGGCATCTTAGAACAGTACGTGGCATTACGTCGTCAAGGCACCACAGACAGAACCTTATGATAGCAAATATCGGCCTGATTTCAGATTACTGGTCATACATTCAGGGGTGACTGCGGCGCGTAGACTCCGCGTGGACACAGTGCCGTCTATCTCGAAGTTCTACTGGCTAGGCAACGTATTCACAAGAGTCGCGATATACACTCTCACACTCTCTGTAGGCTTGTGTACACTTGCCCAGCACTGCTTAAAGTCCTCCAGTGTATCAATAAAAATTGGAATGCTATAGTTTTGGCAAGCCCGATAACACTTCGGGCCACCTCAGACGGTGTTAGACCGCTACTCCATATTTAGGGAGGCTGACAGACTTGGCATATAACTTATATGTTCTAATTTTACAGAGGTAAAAACGCTGGCAGTGTAGTTGATACTGTGACATTCTCTTGCTGTAACTCTGTGTACACTTGAATGTCTGTGTACACTGGTTTACAGCCGTCTGAGCTGCCTCAACACCTTAAAGACGTGAATGATACAGTTTGGACGTCCCTTAAGACTTACGGGGCCACCTCAAACGGTCTCGTGCGGAGTTGTGAATGCAGACCTGACTTTAGAATGCGACTATGCCATGGAAACGGGCGCGTTCGACAACTGTGTAGAGTGGTCTGCCGCCGCCTGACTAGCCTCGACACCTTTTCGAGAAGTTGAATGAGACTGTTTGTACGGTCTGTAAGACTGGTCAGGGCACCTCAGAGGCCTGCATGAACGATGAAAGTTCGATCATGCGCAAGGAAAAGTGCAGAAATTTCGTGGGAGCGCACCTGCACAAACGTAGCCAATAGAAGCTAGGAGGGCGCCACCAAGTCGCGGGGTGCGATAGCGGCGTACTGGAGTACCTAGGTAGGTGGTGTTCGGTACGAAAAACCGAGCTCACAGTCATTCACCACCTCTCCACTCTGTCCTCTCCTCTCCTCTCTACGCCCAATTGCCTCATATCCGCCATATCATTCCTCACCGGCTGTCACAATGCAGGGCGTTGTGCGCTCTGGCGCTCGCCTGATTGCCCGGTCCTCGCATCGAGTCACCGCCATTGCTCCTCGAAGCTTGCCCCGTATACTGGCCTCCACAGCTTCCAGAGCATACTCCTCTCCCTCAGAGTCTCGAGACGCTGCTACCACTCGATCGGCCTTTTTGAACCTGCTAGGCAGCGTAAGCACCAAACGCGAAATCGAACAATACCTCGCCCAATTCAAATCGGTTTCGTCCCAACAATTCGCTGTCGTCAAGGTTGGCGGAGCTATTCTCACCGACCATGTTGAGATATTCTGCCGAGCCCTGCGCAATCTCTACCTCATGGGATTATACCCCATCATCGTCCACGGAGCTGGCCCTCAATTGAACAAAATACTCCAAGATGCAGGCGTCGAGCCCCAATTCGAGCAGGGTATTAGAGTGACGGACGTTAAGACATTGGGAATTGCAAGGAAGCTATTCTTGGAGGCCAATATGGACCTGGTGATGCGATTGAGGCAAGACTGGGGTGTTCCAGCTCGACCTGTCACTTCTGGCGTCTTGACCGCGGATTATCTGGACAAAGACACATGGCAGTACGTTGGAAAGATCACGAATGTCAACACCAGGCCTATCACGGATGCGATTAAAGCCGGCGAAATCCCTATTCTTTGCTCCATGGCAGAAACCGAGACCGGCCAGATCTTGAACGTCAATGCCGACGTTGTAGCAGGAGACTTGGCCCGCGCACTGGAGCCTCTCAAGATCGTTTACCTCTCTGAGAAGGGCGGCATCTTCCACGGAGAGACTGGGGAGCTCATTTCTGCCATCAACCTCGACGAGGAGTACGAGCAGCTCATGTCACAGTCCTGGGTCAAATATGGAACAAGGCTAAAGATCAAGGAAGTTAAAGAGCTATTGGATGCCCTTCCCAAGGCATCCAGCGTGGCCATCATTCACCCTGAGGTGCTAGAAAAGGAACTCTTCAGCCACACGGGTGCCGGCACCCTGATCCGACGAGGCCATCGTGTGCAGACCGCAACGAAGTATGAAGACTTCAAGGATATTGACATGCTCAAAGAGGCCCTTCTCAGAGGACGCGAAAGTCTAGACTCTCCCGCCGTAGTTGACCGCTATATTGAAGGCCTCAAGACCCGTCCGTTCGAAGCATTCTATGACGAGAAGATGAGCGGCATAGGCATAGTCTTTCCCGAACAAGGAGATCAGTCAATGGCGGAGCTTTCTACCTTCACATGCAACAGGAATGCATGGCAACAAAACATCTCAGACAACATTTTCCAGCATTTGAAGGAGAAGTACCCTCGGATGTATTGGACCGTGGACGGACAGGACGAGAACCTGGGTTGGTTCAAGGATAAGGCAGATGGGACATTCCGTCACGACGGGGACATGTTCTGCTTTTGGGGCCCCGCAGACCCCACCGAAGTGGTCGCCTTGATGAACAAATTCAGGGCAAATGGTCGCAACATGTTCAGCAATCAGAATCTGGAGGCGCAAATCAGGCGCCCTGCTGAGTACGCCGCGAGCTTGAAGAAGCCGCAAGCACAGCAGGTGCGAGCATACTCAACGAACTCTCGCGTTATGGGAGCACGCTCAAGGCCAGCGGTTCGGACCTCACGAGCCAGCCCCTCCTCTGCCCGACCTTTCTCGTCGACGTCTTTCCAAAGCGTAGAAACCACCAACCCCAACCCTCCATACGGTATCAAGTTCAAGAGCAAGGATTGGCCATCTAAGGTCGCTCTTATTGGTGCCAGAGGATACACCGGCCAGGCCCTTATCGATCTATTAAACAAGCACCCCAATATGGACCTTCGGCACGTTTCTTCTCGCGAGCTTGCGGGAAAGAAGCTTGAAGGTTACACTAAGCGCGACATTACCTACGAAAACCTCTCGCCGGAGGACGTGAAGCGCATGGCGGAGAAGGGCGAGGTTGACTGCTGGGTCATGGCTCTTCCAAACGGTGTATGCAAACCTTTTGTCGATGCTATCAACGAGGCTGGCAGGTCAGATAACGTTATCATCGATCTGAGCGCCGACTACCGATTCGATTCGTCCTGGACTTACGGTCTTCCTGAGCTCGTCGACCGTCGAAAGATCGCGGATGCCACTCGAATCGCCAACCCGGGCTGCTACGCTACTGCTGCCCAATTGGGCATTGCACCGTTGACCGAATTTATTGGCGGTCAGCCTACGGTCTTTGGTGTGTCTGGTTACTCAGGTGCTGGTACAAAGCCAAGCCCGAAGAACGATGTCAACAACCTCGAGAACAATCTTATCCCGTACAGTTTAACAGACCACATTCACGAAAAGGAGATCTCGAGCCAGCTTGGCATTGATGTGGCTTTCATTCCCCATGTCGCTGTATGGTTCCAAGGCATTCACGTAAGTTTTTAAAAGTGCCCTTGTGTGCCTCGATATGAAACTAATGACAATCGTAGCACACTATCTCCATACCACTCAACCGCACGATGACATCACGTGATATCCGAAATCTGTACCAGGACCGTTATGCTGGCGAAAAACTCGTGAAAGTTGTTGGCGAGTCGCCTCTCGTCAAGAACATCTCGGGTAAACACGGCGTGGAGATTGGTGGCTTTGCGGTGCATTCTTCGGGAAAGAGAGTGGTCGTAAATGCTACAATTGACAACTTACTCAAGGGAGCCGCCACGCAGTGCCTGCAGAACATGAACCTTGCGCTAGGCTATGGCGAGTATGATGGTATCCCCTACTAGTGGCATCTAGTGACAAGATGTGGACGGGAAACAATGGTAAATAGGAGAAGAGCTGCCTTAAAGACAAGTTGGAGTGTCTCGTGTTAATTGAAGGGTTATAGATGCATATTCTTGTAAATTCTTCATGGGCAATTCACCAGGCGTGAGGGGTTTGGAGGGATTTGGTATCAATTAAAAGTTTTCCCCTTTTCGACCATGGAGTCACTTCTTCACGAGCCGCTAGCCCCATCAAATCACATCCAAGTCCAGATCGAGCAGTGAGAGCACGTCTACCAAGCTCCGTTCAACAACGTCTAAGGTGGCCCGGAGAGGTACTAACCTTGTCGAAATCATTGTTTTGCAGTGCTTAATAACGTACCAGAGGACCTCAGACGGTGCTAGGCGACCGTTCACAAGCCTGATGTGAGCGTGTTTCTAGAGGACATGAATGCTGGAATATGGACTGTCACATTTGAGTCAATGGAGCCTGTCTACTGGGGCAGCACATAACGATACGAAGCACGCCCAAAGTATCCAAGAATTTTCGACCACGATGTCAAGGCCAGGACGCTGTGAATCAAGCAATCATTATGTTCACTACGACCAGCCCGGAATATCCGCCTGCTTCAGAATCAGCTGTAGAGTGTATTGATCCTGGGGCAGTGCTTATACATGCGAAGCACGCCTGACCTATTAAACTCTAACTCATCATCGATGTCAAAGCCATGCCCTTGTGAATCAGACCTCAGTGTCTCACCCTACAATCCTGCAGTCGCACATAATGATATGTAAGAGCCTGATTCACAGCGTATAGGGTCTCTAGTGAGAAATAAGATCTGAATCAGATGCCAGTCAAAGTTTTGATTTCGAGGTGGCAACGGCTACTGGGTGTCTGACTTTACAGCAGCTGTTTTTATGGATTTATTCCCCTTGCAGCCTCTCATTCACCCGCGGTGGGGTGTCATCCACATTGAACCCACCTTGTCCTCGGCCCGAGCAGCGCAGATTGAGGCCTGCTTATTCACCAACTTATGGTTTGTGTAAATATGGCGAATGATTGAGGGGATTGTAGGTGAACAATGCAATATTAGTGAGAAGTAAAAGGGCTATGTTCAACTCACAGAATACCTCCTAAAACGCCGCGGTTCTCCATTTGGCTGGCGTATTGGCGGCCCATAACGCATCTTCGCGGTTACTGATAGATGAGCCGCTGTGATGGGGTGGTTTGGTATAATATGGCGCATACTTTTAATGATATTTATGCAATATTGAAATTCTGTGAAGGTTTAGAGAGGAAAACAGACGTTAGTGGTTTTCAATTTGATAGCTTGCCGATTTCCCAATTCCAAAAGACCCCAAACATCGTGTTCATTCCTTGAGGCAACTTCTTGTCCTGAAAATTTCCGCCCGACTGGTCTTTTACGTCATTCTGTTCATTCTTCAAACCGCGTTCGTTCATCGGGCCGGGTGACTAAATTCCAATCTTTTCCATATTTGTCTACTATGTTCTTCAATCCAAGTTCAAATTTGGAAAGTCGCGCGTTGTCCTTAACGTCGTCGCGCGATTACCGCCAGCTCCTCTCGCAATCGGATCACACGCATTGCCTATCTCGTCGGGGTCGAACTCCCCTTCTACTCGATAAAAGATAGCCCAATTGTGCGTGAAGTACTGGCCGCACTGGAAGCAAGACATTGATTCCCTCCGCGCATTGCGCATTCCATCTGTAGGCGCTCCGAGTGACTCGGCCGTCGCCCAGTTCACGACCAGTTTCCCAATCGCCTTACCGGCCGCCTTGGCACGTTGATGCAACATTGGCCGCTGTGGGCCGGACTCAACGATTTGTGCGCCTTGAGGTTTGCCACAATGCTCGCAAAAAGTCACGAGAGATGAGCGAGGCTCTGTTAGAGATTCGATCTCTCGCATTGTTGACAATGGAGTGGCTTGAAGCATTTTGTCCTACAGGCAACAGCGGCAAGCCGCATGATCGCACGTCTTGCAGCATGCAAAACTCTCGAAGCCGTTGGCGGTCTCCAGGAGGGAATTGTTGGTGGTGAAATTGCACTGGCAACAATACCAAGCACGTTCGTGGTGTTTATGAGGGGCTTGACGAACGTACTTTGGGGGTGGTTCCTCGACCCTGGTGTAACTGGGTAGTGGAGTTGGCGGTAGAGATGATGGCTGGATGGTGTGTACCGCTGGTGGTGGTGATGGCAGTGATGGTCGCGACCGAGCCTTAAGCGCTGCGAATTCGTGAGCACTTGGAAAAGTTGCCGCATTCTGAGAGTATGCCATGCTTGTCTCGTCTAGCGTTGATGGTGATGGTGTTAGCGGACCGGCTTCCAGTGCGGCGAATTCGTATGCACTTGGATACGCCGGGGTATCGTGGAAGTATCTCATGGTGCTATCCAAGTTGGGTGCAATTGAGTCTGGTCTGGGTTCTCTTGACAGTGTGGTGGTTCACAAAAATTGATTTTGGAGAAAGATGAGAGAGGAAAGATCCTTCCAACAGAAAAGGAATATAAATATACCAAAAAGCGAAGAGTGAGACACCTTAATTCACTAGGCTGTGGGAATAATTTGTATACAATGAAGAATGAAAGGGGATATAGGCACACAATACTCAAGATGTAAGGAATAGTCGAGAGGAGTGAGATATTTCTGCCTATCCTAGATCCACTGGATGATATGAAGGGAGCATACAGCGAATCTGAATGGGAATATAGGTGAACAATGCTCTTCGCATAGGTAGAGGAAGAAAAGAGTGGGACAGATCACCCTTCTGGCTTTTGGATAGCCCCTGAATTGTAACAATAGACGGCATCGCAAGATATGAAAGCGAGCAATGTGCTAGGTGGTAATAGAATATGTGTATACAATACGTGCTGAACCTGTGAGACGAGGGTAGACTGGTATGATCTCAGGCGTCTCGCTTAAAAGTAGGTATAGAACTGTGCCAAACTGCTAAGCAGGTTGTAGCATCCCCCTTGACGGCGTAATCGACCAGCAATGTGTACGCACACCTTGAACCATTGTACGTATATTCGCCGCTCAAGAATGCTCCGGCTGTATAATTTGGCCGCGTAGTCATACTCTCCGAAATTTGAGTCCTTGAGTTGCGTATCGAATCCCAATTAGCTTCAGATTCGAGGGTGTCGGTCTCTGGGCTCCGCTTAGTTCTTGTTGCGAAAGGTCGCCCAAAATTCACTGAACCGCTCTCTACAACAAGTGCACTTCATGTCAGCCTTCGTCTCATCCTCTTTCTTCCCCAATCTCGCCCATAAGTGTGCCGATGCACGAACGAAGATATTAGGCTTCCGGCTGGCTATCTCGACCGTATCAGCCCAGTGGCAAGTCCCACAAAGCCAACAGAAAGCAGTGAAAGGTACTCTCTTACATATAACCGTTGAGATCCAGACTCGTTTAATTTGGTCGTGGATCTCTTGGGGAACGGCCTGAAACGACTTTTCGACATGGCATTGACGGCAAACGGAGTGTCGGCATTGCTTGCAGTTCGCCGGATGAAACACACTGGCGGGAGTAGCATGGCCTACGCGGAGCAGGTTGGCTATCGAGGGTCCGCAGACACAGCACTGCCATGGGATTGTATCAGAATCTGCAGGCCGCGACTCGTACTGATAGTAGTCCGGCGGCGGGCCGTCGGGAAAGTTCTGGTCTTGCGAGGGTAGCGTGATGTTAGGTCTATTAGAGGACGACGAGAGGTTTGTTCTAGGCATTGCCGAACTAGGATAGTCTTCTGAGGACATGGTTGGTGGTGGTGGCGAGGGTAAATTTAGAACCGAGGACGAGGCCGCATGATGTTCTAAATAGGAGCGCACCCGCTTTCATTGTGTGACGACAATGTTCGAGGTGAGGCTGAAGTGAATGGGTAGCCAACAACGAAGCTGACCGTGGAGGAGATGACATAAGCTGCAAGCGTTTGATTGGGTGTTAGATGCTTTGATTCAATGTCAATTCAGTTAGACAAGTGTTGAACAAATAGGTTGAGAAGGTGGGCGTAGATTAGTTTACGTACTTTGTACTTAGTCAAGTCTTGCGCTTGAGAGGTTTTTGCCAGTATTTAACCTTGTCGAAAAGAGCTCCAATGGTATGCACTGAACGGTCGGCCGCAGTCACATAGTGGAGTCTTCGGGTGCCTATTGAAGTAGAACGCTATCCTCCGCCGAATCCTTCGCGGGATGTTGAGGGCTAAGATAGGAATACACTTTCGTTCCGCCCAGTCAAGAGCGGCGCATTGGAAGGCTGGAGGCTGGATAACTCCGCTACCAAAAGACAGTCCACAGTTAGGGCAGATAACTAGGTAGGGACTAGCGAACAGGTCGCGGGAAATACTGATGATAGTGAGCGCAACGGCTGTCGGCAGTGGCTGGAAGGCGGAGCTGAAAATACACATCGGACAAGCGGAATGAGAGCATTTTATGCACACTGCAAGCCCATATGCTTCGTAGGGAGTTTTGAAGAAAGGATTCTTGGTCGAACATGGGCGACAGCATTTCCAATACCCGTCGCGCCAGGCTTCCCAGGACATTCGAGTAGCTTCGGAAGCGCAGAGGACGCGAGGTTGCTTTGCCTCCTCGTATGAAGGAGGCGGCATGTTTGATGACCTTAGCTCGCTAATATCTTCAAGAATCGCAGCGGGCATGCTCGGCTTGGGTCCTTGCCTCGTGCCAGATTTCAGACGGTTTAACATGACGGCAGAGAAGTTCGAAGCGAAGTCCGATAGTGGAATGGCCAGAAGAAGCTGTTGAGGAGCTGTGACCTCCAGAAGTCCGATAAATAGTGCCGCCGGGATGGTACCAGGACCGGATTTTATCTCCGCGACTGGAAGCTGAGAAAAGAGCTCTGTACATGAACAACATAGTAATGAAGAATGTGGGATAACACAAGGCGTCGTATTGTGTACTCGTTATGTTATGCCTGAGTTGAGACGAGAAGATGCCGGCCTCTCCGAAAGTCAGATCGAAGCGATTGACTTCCGTTCGTGTGGATAGACCAGCGGAACGCGACCATGACTTGCATACTGTAATTGACGGGGACCTCTATCTTAGAAATATACTGCCTAGCCAACGTCAAAGAGTATGAAGGTGAAGTGCGGCATAGGACTCGCTCCAAAGTCCTATCAAGCCGCAACGAATCGTCGTCAAAGGAACTTTGACCTACTCGTCTAGGGTAATGCGGACTCCTGTCGGCCATCGCTTCTGTTTTCGGGCGCGATGATTGAGTTTGTACTAAGATCTGCTTTATGGCTGCGAAATGTGAGGCCTTGCCAAAGTTTCCTGATCGTCAACTTACTGCGCGCTCGGAATCCTTTTCGCGACATCGAAGAGTGTTCTACATCTTGGGGCTCAACAACGGATGGCGGATCGGGGGGCACCATCCGGTCTTGAGACTTCAATGGGAGCAACGTGGCGCCGGATGGTGTCTGGCGGACGAAAGCCGGGATCTGAAACGTATCTATAGGGAGCCTCAAAGCCTCCCTGTCGGACTCAGGTCGGCTAAGCGTGGCACCGATGGGTGTATGAATGAACGTCCTCGGAAGCACATATGCAGCGACCAACTCGTCATCTGCCGAAAAGTATTCTTGTGGCATGGTTCAATTTTGAGATACTGTCGACTTTATGCTCGTTGATGAATGTTATGAGGCGATCTTGATGAGTATTGAAAAAAGAGTAGTTAGAGAGTATGGCAGAATAAAATTGCGATACGCCAGCTTATTTGATAGCAGAAGAGGGCGTCGATGTAAATCAGTCTTGAAACAGTTTTCATTGACAACAAATTATGAAACATGTACTGAGGACATGAATAACGTACGACAAGACAGTGCTCAAAGAAGCCAGATGCATGGTTGGAACAAAGACGTGCCTCAAAGAAAACGACCAGATACTTGCACAATGTGATTGGGTGAAATCAGGCGCAGTCCTATACCCATGCTCCCTGTTCGCCATTGTTCATGGATTTCGTCCATCTCGAACCTTGCAGCGATCAGCTTTGTGTGTTCTTTTCTTCATCCTGGCATACATCCTGATGTTTCAATGTGTTGCAAACCATGGCACATTCAGTAGTCACACAAATGGAAGGCATCTTGGAGTCTGATTGCTTTCCCCCGGGTCACACTTGGATGCATCAAAGCATACGATGAGGCAGCATTTCGCATAAGCATTGGTCAGCGCTCATCCTTGAAAGTCTTATCTTGGATTTGCCATTTTCACAGAGAATGAGCAGGACTTCAACAGAGACAAGACTGGACAGATAATTCGTAGGCTACTTGCAAAAGATTTGACGCAACAGACGCGAGGGAGGCGAGAAAGGGAGGATTTTGGGGTAGTCGATGAGCGGATGTCGGAGTACGCAGAAAGATGGCAGAGCATTGTTTTCTTCCTCTCACTTCGAGACGACTTCCGATTGAAAAGAGGTTCTTTGATCATGTTCTCGATGCAAAGTGTTGATGGAGTCGAAGTGATGTTAAGGAGAGGTCCACTAGTTCTCAGCACAGTCCATCCCCCACATTAGCACCAACGTGAAAGATTCAGCGGTGAGGGATCCCTGCCACCTAGCTCTCCCCTCCACGTCTTCCAAAATACACCCCACGCTGGCCTTTCTGCCCTTCTTTACCTCCCGAGTCTTGTCAACTGGTTGAAAGTGCAAGACAAGATCAATTGGACATCTAACCCTTATAGTACTTATTTTCTCCGACTTTATACTTACACGCCACCATGCAGACCGCCGCCGTGATCCCCCCTCTCAACGAGCGCCCGATCAAGAACACAATCGTCCTCTTCGATGTAGATGAGACGCTCACAAAATCCCGGCAGGTATGACCTCTACCTCTTCAAACCCCCCACCCTTCTATGAATCAAACCATAGCTAACCCAAACCGCCCACTGCCAGGGAGTCAAGCCCGAAATGCTCACCCTCCTCTCCGCGCTCCGCCAAAAAGTCGCCATCGGCTACGTCGGCGGCTCCGACCTAGCCAAGCAACAAGAGCAACTCGGCACCTCCGAAATCCCCGTAACCTCCCTCTTCGACTTCTGCTTCCCTGAGAACGGACTTACTGCTTTCCGACTCGGCGTGCCCCTCGCATCCCAATCCTTCATCGGCTGGCTCGGTGAAGAGAAATACAAGAAGCTCGTCAACTTCCTGCTGCGGTACATCAGCGAGATCGACCTACCGTTCAAGCGCGGGACCTTCGTCGAGTTCCGGAACGGCATGGTCAACGTGAGCCCCGTGGGCAGGAACGCCACGAATGCGGAGCGGGACGCGTTCAACGCGTTTGACACGGAGCATAAAGTGCGCGAGAAGTTCGTAGCTACACTCCAGAAAGAATTCGTGGAATTGGGGTTGACGTGAGTATAACCTTCTTTCCCCTTTTTATGCCCCTCCTGTATACCCCGCCCCCCTTTTCTCCCACCGCACGAATACTAAATCATGATTTGATATAGCTATTCCATCGGTGGCCAAATCTCCTTCGACGTCTTCCCTACCGGCTGGGACAAGCGCTACTGCCTGCAGCACGTCGAGGCCGAGAAAGCGCGCCCAGACGGCGTCGACTACACTACCATCCACTTCTTCGGCGACAAGACGTCGCCCGGCGGCAACGATTACGAGATCTACTCGGATTCGCGCACGATCGGGCACAGCGTCAAGGACCCAGACGACACGCTGGCGCAGGTGAAGGCGGAGTTCTTCTCGTGAGAGTGGGGTGAGCGCGAGGTTTTGTAGATGGATGGGGCGTGGAAGAGGTGAAGGGTTTGGGGGGTTTAGATGGGACGGCATGCACGGCTTGCGAGCATTTAGACTACCCATCTACTGCGGTCAGAGAAAACCAAGTTGCACGAGTTCAACGCCACTCTCCTCTCGATCCTCCTCACCTCCCAACCCCCCAACCCACCTCGACACCCCCGTCATCCCTATCTAACCCAGCTAGCCTCCTCCACCTCCCGTACGCCGTGTCCGTGGCCGTGGCTGTCTAAGTTCCCTCCGTAGGACAATACCTAACCGTTCTTGTAACCCGCTGCCGTGACCGTTTCTTCCGTCTAGCCAACGTCGGACCACAACGCCACACGTGCGTCTCGATCTCGTCGCCGTTGAAAGCGCGACGTTCAACGGTTGCTAGACCCCGCTAGATGCAGGAAGAGCGGTGAAAGATCGGTGTGGCGCGAAGAAGAGCAAGATTTCCGAGCTGACAGCACCTTTGGGAGCTCCGGAAGGGTATAATCCGCTTTAGCCAAGAGGGCTTTGGATTGACAAAGCACCCAAGGTACAAGGGTGAGCGGTAAGATTTAAAGGGGTAGATAGATGATATTTCAAATGAACAGGAAAAATCACTTCGCATAATATACAGGGTAGTGTATCAAATCGCAATCGCCACGCCACGCCATCCATCGAGCCATTAAGGAAGTATAGAACACAACAAATAACAGGAAAACAAAGGGGAGGGGGAGGATATAGTGCTTACTTTTTCCACCCTCACCCTCTCGCTTCTTATCTCAAAGGGGATAACCCTCAAAAACACTGTAGAGAAGACATCGATATCGCATAAAACCTACCTACCGGAAAAGCTTCAGATCCCCAATTGACCCCTATACGAAGATCAGCAAACACCAAACCCCTTCCCTTTCCTCCATCCATCGCTCCTAGGTGCTAATTTTGTATTGGTCGGCAAAAGAGTCTATCGTGTACTGGACCCGCCTTTTAGCTCAAAAATATGTGGTGTGTCGTGCCCCATCTAAACGCGTTCCAACGCCGTACGCTGATCCGATTCCGCCCGTTGTCGACTCGTAGCCCTTGTCGTTCCTTTCACTTCCATTCGTGTCATAACAGTAATAAGGAGTCGACGAAAATCTTCCAATCCAATCCAATCCCAGCCCAACCCAATCATGATAATACAGGTTTTCGTTACTTCTCGGGGGTGGGACTCCAAACCTGGATTAGGCGTTTGTTTTCCATTTGTTGCTTAGATAATATCTTGTTGATGCTTGCTCGGAGTCGAGCTCGATCTTGATTAATGAGCTCCCGTCGGTTGCGTCTGGCTTTGAGCCTGCGCACCCGCTTGCGCAAGCTGTGCGCGTAAGGTTGTAACTTCGTTCTCTAGCCGTGCAATCTGCGCCTGCTGCTCCTCTGATTGGCTTTCGAAACGTCTCTCGATCGCGCGGATGTGCGTCCATATGTCCCCACCTCCCATATGGTCGCGCATGCTGTTACCGCTGTTGGTGGTGTGGCTGGACATGCTGCCTGGATTTGACGGGGGTTGAGCTCCAGGACCGGGGACTTGCTGGTGTTGAAGCAAACTGGGGCCCGCCTTGCCGGCCGCTTGTGGGCCTTTGTTGGGCAAATTCATCCGCATGTCCGAGGAGAGACCGGGAAGAGAGGGAAGTTGGGGTGCATTAGAGTTGCCGTGGGGTGGTGGTGGGAGACCCATAGGCGAAGAGCCTCGTCCAGCGCCGCGGGAGAAGTTCTGTTGATGAATCTGCTGGGACATGCTCGGAGAGCGGGCGCCGGGGTGAGAACCAGCTTCAGATATGCCCAAGCGGTGATGGCTATCTGTCTGGCCAGGCGAGATGGGCTTGGGGCTTTCCGTCATCCCTGCAAACGTCCCGGATTGGTTGGTGTACGCATGTAACGACGAGATACTAGAGGGTGCATTTTTGGGACTAAGATTCGTCGACTGGTCTCGCGACGAGCCGGACACGCCCGGGTTTGCATATATCGGCCTGGCATTGTTGTTGCCCATGTTTGGTACTCGATTCGGGACAGGCGGATAGGTGCTTGGGTGCTGGTGATACCGTCCCTGCATCGAGTTTCCGGTATTCTGCCTCTTGCGCGCTGGCTCACTGACCCTCCGCCTTCCTGCATCGTCGTCCTCGTCCATATTTTCCTCATCTCCGTGGTCTCCGGGATACAAGATGCCGTCCATACTCTCCTCACCCTTCCCGTCCATATCGTCGTCCATTCCAAAGCTGGATCTTCGCCCCGCACATCCACCTTGGCCTTTGTTGTGCCTCGCTAAGGCATCTCCGCGCGCGAACCGGCGTCCGCATTTCGGGCAGGTGTGCGGTCGTTCGCCGGTATGGAGCTTAGTGTGGCGTTTCAGATCATGTAACCGACGGAACCTGGCTTGGCATGTGGGGCATTCGTATGGCTTCTCCTGGCTGTGCGTGAGCAAGTGGCTTTTGAGGTTGTGATGTCGCGTAAAGTCAGTCGCGCAATAAGGACATTTATGGCGCTTCGTGGAGGATGGCGATTTTGGACTGTTTTGGGGATAGCCAGGAAGACTCATGCCTCGCTGTGGCGCGCGCGGATCATGTTCTGCTGGGGGAGGGCCAGGGTACGTGAACGCCCGACTTCCCGTGGGAGTGTCGCCCGGTCCCTTGTAAGGCGTGTTCGACGAAGTCGAATTCATCGCACCATCCACGGGTATGCTCCCCAACAATAATGGCCCCGAAGTTGCCTCCGTCGCGGTCGCAGTTGGGGCAGTGGTGCTGTCTGCAGAGCCAAAGCTTGACAAGCTTACCGGACTTGTTTGCATGTTGTCATGCGTCACCTGTTCTGGTATGACGATGCTCTTCATCGCCTTGGCCAAAGGCTCGCTGATCTGTGTTGGCGCAGGCGGCGCGTCCTTTGGTCGGCTCACGGGCGACAGATCGGCGCCGACCAGAGTCTTGAGTGCGGTCATTGCGGGATTCGGACTCGTCTGTCGAGACAGTTCTCGTGCCTGTTGTTCCCGGTGGCGACGCTCGTCTGCCATGGCAGCAGCCCCAGTCAGAGGCTGAGGAGACAGTCGCGGCGACAGTCCCGGCAGGGGGGATTTGGTGAGACGCGTGGCTAGATTTTGGGAGGTCGCTTCGCGCATGTCAGAAAGTGAAGCAGTAGGTGAAATCAGTCAAAGCTCACCAATTGGTTGCGCGACAGAGGATATAGAAGTAGGCGTAGACGGGGCGTTTGCGGCAGCAAAGTGACCTGTATGTGTGGGGGTGATGGCGCGAGTTGAGGCGGCCATGGGCAAGTGGATCAAGAGAGGTAGTTGCGAAAGGGTGGTGATCTACCGGGTACCTAGTCTTCAGGTCAGCCATGGCCCTCAGCTCAGCCCAATGCGCAACAATCGCGGTCTCTGGGAGCATCGAGAGGCTCCGCAAACATGATTGGCCCTGCACGGGCAGGAGCGCATGCGTTTACGCACCTGATTGGGAGGCAAGCCTGACAGCAAGTGTGCTCGACGCAGTAGCAGAATGACCCTCCGATGTCAAGCAGTCTCGACGGCCATGGAGGTGCAGCGAGCGGGAGACGTCACACGACGCGGGTCGGCGAGCAGAGGCGGGCGTGGTGGTGAAGTGAGGCGAAGCTCGTCGAGACGGTGCAAGGCCAGCAGCTGTTGCAGATGCCGCAGGACCACGTCAATCTCGGGCAGCTGCCACGGGAGCGGCAGCAGGAGTCGCAGGGCAGCGTGGTGAGGCCGCGGAGTCGGGGTGCGGTTCGAGAGGGCGCTGTCGCCTCGACGGTCGATGCTCGATGCGACGGGAGGCGGCGGGCAGCGGCAGCAGGCTGGGCGGACGCAGGCTGGGCGGACGCAGGTACGGGCGTGCTCGGCGGTCGTCGTCCTGTCGCGGCGCTGGACGCTGGGTTGGTGTCGCGATGGGTGCTGGGGTAGGATGGTGGTAGAATGCGTTGAGTGTCGGAGGGCGATGACGCTTCACCACCTAGGCAGGCTGTGGCGGGTGCTAGATTCGTCGGGTGGCTGGCGCACAGCACGGCTCGTCGGGAAGGGGGCCACGGCGATGGCGCACGGCGCGGGCAGGATCTGAGCTGGACGAGGGCAGCGCGTGCCGCGGACAGCTGGGCAAGTGATTGCTCGAGCCACAGCTGTGGTGTGGTTCGTCGTGGAGGGAGAGAGGGCAGTTTGTCGATGGGCTGAGAGATGCGAGGGGTGGCAACGACCTCTACACAGCCTTCCACCCTCGCTCCCAAGGCGCGCTATGCATCCTGGCCGGCCCTGTTGGGTTAGCACGCTCTCCACGCCTGGGCAGTATCCACGGCGCCACACGCAGCGTTGCTCCCAGAGGCCCACGGTGCGCGAAGACGTTCCCAAAGCCTTGGCCGTCGCGCAGTAGTCGCAGGCCAGCGCGCATCGTGCATCATTCACTGCTCCAACTGCCGCGATGGGCCCAGCAATCCAAGATCCTCGCTCCACGCCAGCCAAGGCCGCTCGACGGCGTCAGGCGTGTGGCGGAGCTGTCCTCATTGAGCAGCACGCGGACCAAAGAGGTATGAGCCCGTCCACTCGCCCCATGAAGCCGCTGCGGAGGACGTGGCCACGGGAGAGGAGTGGATGGCCTGTACCGAAGACTCAACCCCAGCCGCTCGAGCCTACTCGTAACGACTGCAACATCTCGAGCCCACCCTTCAGCCTGATGTCGAACAAGCCGGCCAATCGCGACGCGCGTGCAGATGTCGATGCTGTGGCTCGGTCCAACCTCAGCCGTCGCCACGAATTCTGCTCCACCACGATGCTCTCGCAGAGCTCCCCCTTAAAGAACGGTCGAGGGCGAGTTCAGCCTCGCATCGCAGCCGTGCAATCGACGATGCCTCCCGCCGCCCATCGGTTGGACAGGCCGTCTCTTGCCCGCAATCCGGGGTGTGAGTAAGACAAGCCACACGCCACCAAGCAAGGTGCAGTGTCGCAACTGGCCTTGCCGAGCGAGCGACGACCTGCCGTCTGCCATCTGCCCTGGGCCTCGAAGCCACCTGAGCCCGCTTGGATCGTCAGGCACAATCACCACCACGTCTATTGTTCCCGTCCGGCCCTTCCGGCGTTTCGACATGCCTCCTCCAGCTGTCCTGTCGACATCCCGACATGTTTAAGCTGACAGGCGGCTGAGTGGCGCAGGGCCGTCACATGGTAGGTTGGGCCAAGAGACATTCACTCTTCTAGGTAATTCCAACGCCCGAACCCCTCCTCCCTTCCCGCCCTTACCTGCACGCCAATCCTAATGTACAGATGCATGTCATATCGACGCAACCTCCAGCTTTTAGCCACATGGAGGCTTGAATGCGAACAAGCTAATTATAGCCACCTGCAGGGACCGTTTCAAAACATCAAGCTTTTGCCGTTGCTAAACTGCCAAGGATCTAGGATCTGGACACATATCGTGTACGAACTGATATCACCGAAGAGGCTGGAGAGGAAACATCTGCCGTTTTAGAGCTCACATCGCGAGGAAGGGCTGGATGTGGCTTCACACTATGCCGTGGGTCGTGGCTTTGCTATCTATTGTTTTCTCCGAGGTCGGAGATTGCTTTATCCAGATTCGAGATCCAAGACATTGGCTCCTTCACTGAAATTCACGAGTAAGAAGGTGAGGCTGTCGTTGGCCAAACTAGTCATCTGGGCGTCGAGACCTCACACAATTGAAGGGTAACCCTTGAAGCTCAAAAGTGGGAATTCCACACTATCGAATATACGCACAACACGGCTGCCAGCTTGCTTATTAAAAGGGCCTATCCTCTATGCTTGCCCAAACGCATATTGCATTGCACTGTCCATGAGACCAGTCGAACAAATGAAAAGGAAAAGACAAAGGAAAACCGCACTGAAGCAAACAAAGCAAAGCAAGCACGCAGAAAAATGGCAACATGTATTCCATGCTCGCAGCCCTCAGCGCCAATAATCCCAGTAAACTAATATAAGGCCTCTGGGAGAGGGAAGAGTATTGGCGGCGACGCGGGGAATGTCTATCGAAGAAACGGGATGCCCGGGTGGCGGAGGTGAGATGGGATGGTGCCGCCTGCGGTCGAGGAATCGCGTCGGAGGGTGTGCTCCGTGCGGGAGGAAGCTGGTATAGCGTGCGAGGGGTCCTCAAGTCCTCAGAGTCGCGTGGGTTTCGGATGAAACCCTCACATGAAGTCGTCACTGCTGGAAGTGTTAGTCGTGTGTGTATCTAGAGACCATGGGGAAGGAGATCCTTACTCTCCAAAATCATCATAGGCGTTCGTGTCGACTCTATACGACGTGTCTCGTGATGCAACCAGGCTGGTCTTCGTCTTTGCCGCCTTGGACTTCTTGCCACCCTTCTCGGCCAACTTCTCCTCCTTCATCTTCTCATTTGATAGCGTGGTGAGGCCGCTGGCGATCTTCTTGATCTGGTCGCTGGGTAGCTCCTTGGCAATCTGCTTCGTGAATTCCTGAAGGAAAAGTGTATAGTGCGCCTTCTTTGAGTTGGCCGTGAGTAGTGGGACAAGTGTTTCGCGGAGCTTGAGGAACTGGTCCTTGGTGTTGGGATTGAAAAGGGCGATGGAGGAAAGATCGAGGGCTTTCGTGGGATCGGCGGTATCCTGGATCGTGACGGGTTTCACAGCGCGATTCTTGGATATAGCGATTTCGCCGAAGAGATCCTGGGCGTGGGCGAGATCCGCATCCTGCTCCGTCTTGCGAAGCCGGGCGCGCTTCTCAGCTTCGTCCTCCTCCTCCTCGCTGGAGTCATCTTCCATTTGTCGCCTCCTCATCGTCTCTTGACGCTTCTCTTCGATACGCTGTGACTTTGACTTATGATTGGCCTTTGCTTCGGCCTCAGCCTTTGCCTTGGCCTCGTCGACCTTCTTCTGCTTCTCGCGCTCGACTTCGGAGTCCTCGGCGGCGTCCCATGATTCTAAGACCTGCAACGTGTCAGTAACGAGTCGACCGGATGCGATCGCGTCGGCAACAATGATAAAGGAATAATGAGAGTGTGGCAGGATGATGCGAAAGCGAAAACGCGACAGTTGGGATCGGGTCTCACGTACGTCGCTGTCATCTTCCTCCTCGTCTTCGAACTTGCCACGACGCGCCAGGGGCACGGTGGGCGGGGAGGATGGAGGCGTGCTATCTTCCTCTTCATCATCTACAGAGCCAAAGCCGTCAGTAATGGTCCGTCAAACGCGACGGAGGCCGGCTGCCAACTGCGCACAAATGTGGCTCAGGGGAATGGATGGCATGACGTACCCCACTTAGACGGAGCCATGATGATGGTTCGGAGGGGCGGGCTGATCGCACTGGCTGCTGGTGGTTCTGCGGTGTCGTGTAGGGCTTTGAGGCTTTGTGTCGCGGGAGGTTGTTCGTCGTGTAGTGAAGAGGAAGGTTTCGGGGTTGGTGTGTGTGGGAAGAAGGGTGAAATTAGGGAGCAGAGCGCGTTAGAACAATGGCAGCCCGCCCGGATTACATCGCTTGCGGGCGGCGGACGCCCTCACGAGAACCATGAAATGCTGCCCAATCAGCCCGTCATTCCAGAAGCGCACTAACGGAGCCCACCACTGGGCAAGAGAATTCACCTGCGCATGTGAAACCCTATTCGGCCTGCTCTATCCCCATGTCGACTTGCAATTCTCGTCGTCTTCCGTTCTCGCCCTTCGCCCGCTCCACGGCTTCTCACTGAACTAAGTCCTCAACGCCTTCTCCTCAACACCGGATACTACAGAGGTACAGGTGTCTCTCGACGAATAGACATGACGTCCTCCGCTCGACCACAGCAAATGAGCGATTAACGCCTCTTGCAAAAAGCACTTCAGAGTCATCGGCCCCACGTGTCACTCCACGTCAGAAAGTTTCATGGTTCAGGCATCAAACCTAGATTCGATACACAATCCAGGCGGCAATATTCAAAATTCACTGGTAGATATCCAAGTAACGCGGCCCAAGGCTAAGTATTTGAAGTGGGGCTCCGGGTCTTGGCAATTCACCGAAAGACGGCTGGACCCAGCCATCTATGAATAGCTCCCACATTTTTGAGCTGTCCACTATATGTGGCCATATTCAGTCACTGTTCTTCCTCTCTTATACCCTTGACCACACATCTTCGTCTTTTTCAGCTGCTACTCCATCCAATTGATCTCATTATTACCACCCACTCGCCCAGCCAGATGTCTAATTTCACTCTTTGTGCGTACACAGAAAGACTACAACGGGTGGACGCAGCCCATACACCATATACCCTGTCCGTCTACAGAAAAATAGTTTCACGTGGTTCGAAATGTGAAAACTTGTAACAAAACGCCCTATTTTCCCCTCGGGGGCGCCTCAGTAAGCTGTCCTCATCCTCTTGACGGCGTCGTGATTTTGGTCCTGTAGTAAAGCGACTACGCTGAGTGCACGTAGCGTCCACGCCGCGTCTAATAAAATATATATCACGCGGTTCGAAATGTGACTTATAGCAACTGGACGACGGAAACTCTACACTGAAGCACCTCAGGAGTTTTTCCGATGCCTATTGGCACTGACCAGATTTGGGACTTGTGGCTGAATGACTTCACCGGTAACCTTAAAATTAGAGTAGAGATCATACTCGTCGGACCGATCTCATTTGCAGCATTACTATGTCGCCTCAAGTAGTTTCGAAGGTATTCAGAGCATTTCCTTTGCAGACCCGGATACCAAGGAATATGGTAAGACATCCCCTCAATAAAGCTATACTAGCGGATTGTTTCATATTCGCAATGAAAGAGGCCTTCTTCCAACTAAAATGAAGACCTTTATGCCAGCTGCTTTGTGTTTGTGATCTTGCGTCTTCAACATGTATTGTCACTGCTTATAAAATACCACGCTGATCCGGAGTTGTTGGGCACTATCCCGATTCGTGGATTCATCTGATACTCTGGAGCAACAAGCCCAACACTTCATCGCTCTACCTGTGCATCTATCCCAAATACCATCCCATCGAGACCTACCGATTCCAGTATCCCAATGGCCGAATTCTACCAAGGCAAGAGAGGCGGTTTCGGCGATATATTCGAGCTACGTACCTCCAACAAGAGTTACAACACAACGGCAATAATGCTGATCGTACAGCTCGTCGGCGTCCTCTTGGTCCATCCGCTCATCTTGATACACATGTTCTCTACGTGGGCGGAGTTGCATGGGAAGGAGACTAAAAATGCTTAATCTCGCGAGACGATCGTTTTGACTCGGTCTGGATTTCATTTCTGGTCGGCTGAATTGGGTGAGATTGGCGATGGCTGAGCAGAATTCGGAAGACGAGGAGACAGGACGATCAGGTCTAGGAGGAGGCGAATGAAAGACTGATAATCATGCTCAAAACATGAACGCTCTAAGATTGCAGTCGTTACTGGTCATTACTCTACATAGTGCTCGCATCAGTACCATTAAGCAACATCGTCTTTATCGTCTCCTGCATCTCCGTCGTGACACCCACCCCTAGCAGGTATTTCTCCACCGATCCGTATTTCTCTGTGATGTGATTGAGTACTTCTGGCACCAACTCCGGCGGACACGAAGCAAAATGCTCCGTCAGCCCAATCGACTCAATCTCCTTCATTCTCTCTTCCTTTTCAGAGAGTAAATTCGGCTCCGACACCAGATAGTCCTTCTCAATCGCCTCCCTTGGAACACCAAGCAGAATCAGCACCAGCATTACCGTCAACCCAGTCCTATCTTTCCCCTGTGTGCAATGCAACATGACGGGCCAATTGCCAGATTCCGCGAGCACAGCAAACACCTGGTAGACTTCCTTAGTACAAACATCCAGCGAGTCCTTGGCGAGTCCAACAAGGCCTGCCGCCCGCATGTGAGGGCTGAGGATCTTGATGGCATCAAGCCGGTAGCCTCTAGCCATGAGCCACACGAGCCGCCCAAACTCGCTCCAGGTGAGCTTGTTGATGAGCATCTTGGAGAAGGCGTTGCCGTTGAAATTGATCTCGTGGTACGTCACTCCGGGGATTTTCAAGGGCTCTGCGACTTGGTTGTTGGTTTGGGGGACTGCGGCAGAGCTCTTGATTCTGGCGTCTCGTTTTTCAGCTTGTTGGATGTGCTCAGTCCTGTTAGGCAGTCAGAATTTTGTAGATGAGGTAAAAGGTTAAGATGTCTACTTGGTGCGAAGGTCGATAACGTCTCTGATGCCATAGTCGTTGACGAGTCGCTTGCGGTCCTCAGGGGAGGCTTCGTCTGGGTTCCATTAATAGAGTTCTTTTAGTGGTACATTTAGTACTGACCTGGACGAGCTCCACGGTACAGCAGCCCAGTTTTCAGATAGCTATCACAGAGTCAGTCCTGGAAATTGAATCATGGGTAAGTTTGCTGACGTAGTGCCTATGGTGGTATTTACTACCTCTGCGACATCCCGGAAATTGAGAATTGTAGCGAATGGGTTTGCTTTGTTCTCCATGATGTTCCAGATACTGTCATGAGGAAGTGTTGATTCTAGACCAAATTGGTATTTTACTGGGGTCAGTAGGTGGTTATGAGGGTGCCCGTGATGACGGAGGTCCGGGGGAGGATAGCGCCCTGCCAACTTGGTGGGCCATAGCGACGGTTCCTTGCGTCGATCCCATGGCTCCGGCTTCACATTATATGGAGCAGGTAAGCTGTGAACTGCAGTTCCTGTCCCTGACAACATCTCCCGCAGCGCATCAGCGGGAGTGGATGGGCCGGTGTTCGCGAAAAACGTGGTGTGAGAGCCAAAAGGGCAGCCGGTGATGGACTAATTCTTGCTATGCGATCATCCCAGCCGCCATCCATCGAAGCGCCACAGCGCTTCAAGCTAGGACTACGTCATTGTCAATAGTCTAGGCCACCCCAAACTATCCCATAACTACACCACCATGTTCGCCCGGATTGAACTGCGCAGAGTCGGTCCTCAATTCCCTACACTTCATCTCCTCACTCCTCCATAACCACGTCGACCGCCTCCGAAGTCTGACACCTATCTCGAGTCGTCCGACCTACGAGCGCACCATGGCGACACAAACACAGACATCCAATGATGCATCCAAAGCGCCCCTGCCAGGGGGTCACCATTCACACTCTCAAGCGAATGGCGCAGGACCAGACATGAAATGCCCGGATCCCTCGGCTCACACCACAAAGGGCACAGCCTTGCAGAACCAGGCTTCCAACGCTGCCCTCTACGTGACCAACCCCGGGCGCGGATCTAATCAACGAGACTTCACCAAGGGCTCTCCCTTGGATTCTAACGGCAAGCTCTCTTCTGCAAGTACGTATCGCCGCTCTAGGCTCTGTGTATAAAATAACAGACGACTGACTTGTAGTGTCGCAGGTGCTGCCACCAGCCTCAAGCACGCTCGACCGCAAGACCTGCCCAGCTTCCCCATCGTCGGAATAGATACACTAGCCTCCGCAGGCGCTGCTGCCACCCTTGCGAACGCGAACACGAAATCGCCAGAGTGGTGGAAGCCGGACAGCTCCGACGCTGCAGGCAAGGCCGCGTTCCTCGCAAAAGACTACAAGATGGCACCTCTATGGCAGCCCGAAGCAAGCGCAGCTGGATCGAAGGCAGCGTTGCTAGCAGCGAACAGAGGCGGGAAGGTCGATCTTTGGATGCCAGAGGCAAGCGCCGACGGCAATTCTGCTGCCAACATTGCAATGCGAACCAAGGGACTGAGCCCAGAGCTTGATCGTGGATACACCAAGGATGGAAGCAAGAGAGCTCTGATGGCTGCCAATGGAGCGACATCAGAATCGGCTCGTAGAAAGCGAGCTGGCTCTACGCCTGCTCCCCTCCCTTCATACCCAGATTCTGCCAATTCTGCGAGGAATGCGCTTAGTGCTGCTACCTTCGCAAATCGACCTCCGACAAAGGCTGCTCCCCAAGGAGACAAAATGGCATCCCCGGCCATGGAAGCGGCTCGAATACAGCACAATAAGTCAATTCCGAGGGCAATGTATACCGAGCATCCTCCTGTCAAGATAGAAACCGACGAGATAAATCACCAGAACGCGCTCCGCGCTTCGGCGATTTCAATGGCGAAGCAGATGTACAATATCCAACAAACGCACATCGATGAAGCCAGAGCCAGTAGAGCTGCTTCGCAAGGACAATCAGCAGCTGCTTTTGCACACGGCCAAACCCCCGCCACGACGGATGGGGACGTCAAAGAACAAGCGATGCAGTTCATCCACGTGCAAGAAGCTGCACAAAGACTTGCTGCAGAACGCCTCGCCAGGATCCCAGTTGACAACGAGGCTGCGTATCGCAACTACTACGGTTACGAAAATAAGCAACGCTCGAGACTCTCCGTCCGTGGGAGGAGGCGGGCTGCTAGCGATCCAGAGGAGGCTGACTCGGACGATGAATTCCGGGCTCGTCGAATCCGCGCCCAGACTTCCCAGTTCAGCAACACGCTTGCTCAAGTTGACGCGAAGAAACGTACTCAGGATCGACAGAATCTGATGGCGGCTGCAGAAAGAAAGGTCAAGGCTCAGATGCTTGGTATGGACGACAAAGTCTTCAACGAGACGGGGAAGATGTCACCGGCCATGATGGAGGAATGGGAAAACAAAGCGCGTGCAAAAGCAGCAGCTGACAGCGAGGCCCGCATGGTGAATCACGGCAAGGTGCATGTAGGCGGTGGAAAGTTCATGGACCAATCAGATATTGATGCTGTTGCTGCCGCGAGGATACAGCCTACCTTGGACGAGATCAACGATGCTACCGAGAAGCAGAGGGCGAGGGATGAAGAGATCAGGCTCGACAACGAAGAGAAGAAGCGCGAGACTCGCACTGAGAAGGAAAGAGCTGCAGCGTTGAAGGCTGAAGAGAAACGCGTCAAAGGTAAGTCGTTGCGTGTTACTGGTAGAAGTCCCGACTAACGATTACAGGCGAAGAGAAAGCCGCGGCACGCTCTGAAAAGGAAGCCGAAAAGGCCAAACGCGCCGAAGAGAAGCGGATTCAAAAGGAGGAGAAACGCAAATCTAAGGACGCTCCGAAGACCACCGAGCTCGAACCTCCCACCACTGCCGCCTCAGCTACAGTCGTTGGGACCGAGGAGAACGATGACGACCTCTACGAGCCCCCAACACCGGTAGTGGCTCCCCCCACCGTTCCAGAGACATTAGACTCTGCTCAGCCTAAACCAGTTGCGTCGGAGGAGCCAACATCCCCAACATCCCCTACATCCCCTACATCACCTACGTCACCTACGTCACCCACGTCCCCTACATCTCCAACTAAATCGGATTCTAAGGGCCTCAAGGGCATCTTCAGCAAGTTCAAGAGCCGCCGCTCTAAACACGAGCCTGGAAAACTTTCGTTTTCAGGCGGCTCTGCCCTAACAGGGGCAAGGGCTAAAGAGCAGGAGACTCCAGCTTCGACCACCCATCACGAGGGAGCCGCCACGCCTACCCGCGCCCGATCCCCGAGCATATCCTCGCTGTCTGACGATGACGAGGAAGCCAACACTAGAGGTCGCCAGAGGCCAGCACGCAACACCAGCGGGATCAGTGGCGTGAGTGGCGTGAGTCGAGAGGAGGAGTTTGAGGAGGCGCGCGACACATTCGACGCCGGTCTTGTCCCGCCGCCGACTTTCGAGAGTGAAGCAGGCGCTGCGGCCAGGAAAGGGGGGAGCCCGAATCGGGATAGCAAGTTTCAGGAAATCTTGTGAGAGATTGGAGAATTGCGCTTCGTCTCCTTTGTTGTGCTGAGACGCACGGTATGATACCTTTTGTTTCTTTGGGCCTAAGAGCTGCAATGGTTGAGCAGTCAGGAATTGAGGTGTTTGCGTTGCTTTGCGTTAGCTTGAAATTGTCTCATGAGCACACGGCATTTGGCAGTACCGTAGTAACACGATAGTTCTCCGGACTAAACCACGATTACTTAAGCGTATTCATGACCTATGCAACACCCCTCTCCCAAGGTCTGAGATGATATATATGTAAATGTCGTGGATTGCATGCCAGAGTATGTAACGCAGATGAGAAATTCTCCCAGATTCCTGTCATCAATAACGTCGCTAGCGAGCTAGGAAGGAATGTAGGAAGGCCAAAATTGCAGATGAGATGTCAGAATTCATTGATTGGTGAATGGTGGTGAGATGGAAGAGAGGGTGAATGACGGGGCTGGACGTGATGCCAAGACGTACCACTTTACGCGTGGGCCCACTTTTATGGGGCAGGCGCATTTTAGCGTCCCGTCGACGCGCCTTCCTTTCCATCTTCAAACCTCGACCCGCGTAGCTCCTTCCCACTCCACCACCACCCACCCCTTCCCCATCGCAATTGCTCCTCTCATCCACGATGCCTTCCACCGTGCTCGGAAAGAGAACTCGGAGCTCCACAGACTCGCCAGGTAGGCACGATCCGCCCCTTCTCTCTTGTCAACACATTGACTCGGCGCTTGTAGATGCTGCTTCCAGAGTCACAACGCGGGCCAAACGCCAGGCTCAGTTCGTGATCTTGGACGATGGCGAGAACGAAAACCCTTTCATCACGCCGAGGAACAAGAGGGTTGTCCGCCATGGCGATGCTATGGAATTGGACGAGCTGGCGGAGGATGTCCTGCCGTCTGGAAAGCGCGTCCGAAAGGCCGGATCCACGCCCGCGAAGCATGGAGCCCCAGAAAGCCGGGTCGCTCTGTCTCCTGCCAAAATCAACGCACACTTCAAGGCTTCTAAGCCCGTTGTTCGACAAGATTCAAAATCCGTTCAAGCCACACCTCAGACTCCTCGGCATCGCGACGCGCTCTCGAAGAAGGTTCCCGTCACCCCTCGACATCGGGTCCTCGTTGGTGGAAAGCCATTGACTCCTCGCACTCCCCGGACGCCGATCACTCCTCGTCATAGTGTCCCTACGGTCTACAATGTTGCTCGCCAGCTTTTCGCTCGAGGATCCGCACCCCCAGCACTCTTCGGCCGGGAGACCGAGCGCAAGGAGCTGGAGAAATTCGTGTCTACGCGAACCAAGGGCCACAAGTCTGGCTGCATCTACGTTTCCGGGCCCCCAGGAACTGGAAAAAGCGCGTTCGTGGGCGATGTGTGCCGCGGATTGCAGTCTGAGAGCTCTGCGAAAACTGCATACATCAACTGCATGAGCGTGAAGAATGCCAGCGATCTCTACCGAACCTTGCTTGAGCAGTTCGCCGACATTAGTACTACCACCGAGGGCAATGAAGTGGACGCGCTCCATGAGATCTTCACGAAGCGTGATCGCTCATACGTTGTTACGCTTGACGAGGTTGACCACCTTTTGGATCTGGACCTTGAGCTTCTTTATCGTCTATTTGAATGGTCTCTCCAACGCTCTTCCAGCCTCGTTCTCGTGGGGATTGCCAATGCTCTGGACTTCACAGATCGCTTCCTCCCTCGCCTCAAAGCCCGTGGTCTCAAGCCTCAACTTCTGCCATTTTTGCCGTATACAGCTGCTCAGATTGCGTCTGTAATTATATCGAAGCTCAGATCAGCCATACCCACTGATTCTACCGCTAACTCTACGGATTTTGTGCCTTTCATCCATCCTATGGCAATTCGATACCTCTCCAACAAGGTCGCGACGCAATCAGGCGATTTACGCAAGGCTTTCGACATCTGCAAACGAGCTATTGATCTCGTCGAGGCAGATACTCGGGACCAACACACCAAGTTAGCCATCGAAATCACCCCTTCCCCCACGCCATCTCCTTCCAAGACACCACTTGTCGAGAACATCAACCTCTCCTCTCCTCCGGCCGCTACGTTCACCCTCAAGACATCTCGTCTGGATAGCGTTGCAATCTCATTGTCTCAAATCACGATCGAAAATGCTCCTCAAGCCACCATCAACCACATGACGCGTATCACTTCTGCTGTGTTCAGCAACGGCGCCACCCAGAGGCTCCAGAACCTCAACCTCCAACAAAAAGCCGTCCTTTGCGCACTAGCGGCGCTTGAGAAGAAGAAGCGAAACGCGTTCTCAGAGAGCGTTCTTGCAACCCCTTCGAAGACTCACAGCACGGCTCCAACCATCAAAGCAATCTTCGAGGCCTATACCAGCTTGTGTAAGCGAGAGGACATTCTTCATCCTCTCACAAATACCGAGTTCCGTGACATTGTCGGCAACTTGGAGACACTTTCGCTGATCTCGTCCGTTGAGGGGAAGACAGGGTCGTTGGTCGTTAGTGCTGGTACTCCAAGTAAGAGGGGAAGGCCAAAGGGGGGTTTCGGTACCACCGTTGTAGAAGAGAGGAGGGTTGCGAGTACCGTCGCTAACAAAGAGCTGGAGGCTGCACTCGTCGGCCCAGGCAGCCGTATCCTGAGAGGCATTCTCGATGGGGAGGAGTCTCTTTAGCGGTTCGTTTGTCTTATTGCATTGTTTATGTAAATCGTTTGGCATAGCGTTTGTTCTTGGGCACTTCGGAGTTGGATGCTTTCACTGTTGCATAGCGTGGCGTTTTAGATGTTGAGGCCTGGTGCCATTAGACATAGCATGAGGCAGTGGGATAGAGTCACTGTAACAACCAGTAGACTACTCTAGTTTAATGAGAATCCATTATCGTATACTATCGTTGATCTGCTATGCACAGTGATATCATCTCCGCCTCCAAAACGCATATTAACCCGCGCTGACTACTATATGTCTTTAGCTCTCTGCGTTTCCCTCTACCTTCCCCTTGGGTTTCCTCAACATGATCCAATAAGCAGAGGGCTCCCCACCCTCCACCACATCCGAGAGCTCAATCTGATCCACGTGCTCGAACCCCATACTCTCATAGAGCTTCCGCCCAGCAGGCGTGCTCTCAAGATAGGCATAGATGCCTTCCTTATCCGCCTCATCGCATCCCCACTTGAGGAGCCCCTTCCCGATCCCCTGCCGCTGATAATCCGGATCCGTAGCTAAATGCCCAAGATCTGCCTACAATTAGCTCTACCCACACCCTTCCAAATCAACGCAAAGGAACCAAATTTGCAAAAGAACACTCACACCACACCGCCTCCATCTCGCCCGTCCACTTCTTCTTCATCGCCTCCATCGCCTCCATAATTCGCTTCAACACCACTGCATCCGCGCACGCTGGCAGCTTCTCCTCCTCTTCCTCCTTTTTCTTCTTCTCCGCCTCCTCCGCCTCCGTTTCTTTGGTTAGCCGCGTCCACCCGGAGCTTCCCGCGATCCGCCCGCCCGCGCCCTCGTCGACGCACGTCCACCAGCGGCCCGCGGGGTTGGCGAGGCGCTTGATGTAGCGGGCTTCGCGGTATTCGCGCTCTTCGTTGGGACGGGCGGGGTCGCGCCGCGAGGGGGGGAAGGCAATGCGCGCCATGCGGTCGTTGACGAAGGCGCGCTCGCCCATGGTGAGTTGCTCGGGGATGTCGGCGAGGGTGGTGGGGCGGTGGGTGAAGGGGGCCATGTTTTGAGGTGGTTTTTCTTAGCGATATGGGTTGGATGGGTTGAGTGGGAAAGACTTTCTTGGGGATTTGTGGGGGGATTTTTATAGTTGAATGGGAAACAGTAATGGGTGAATCAGAAGAAGAATAGGAAGGAGATGGATGAAGTTCGCGGATGCTTTCGTCACTGCTTTCGTATGACGGTCAGGCAATGCTTCGATTTCTGCTCGACGATCGTGAAAAGAGACTGAATAGGAAAAGAAGCGAAAAGAAAGCCTACGCGTCCCCAAGTGATGCCTGAATATTTAAAGAGAAAAGGGCTGTGATTACATCGGAGTCGGAATGGGTAGCGCCCTTCCCGTCCGTAAGTCACGGGGTCAGGCTCCGACATCCATATTGTGCGTTACGCCATAGCCAATTAGTTCTAGCTATGGAGGGCTGACCTTAAGCGATCAGGCTTCTGCGTTTTGCTTGTTGTGAGTGGTGGATCTGGGAGTGTCGACGTTAACCTGCCTCTTTGGATAGGCTTTGTCATCACTCACGATCTAGGGCTAGGTACCGAACCACAACTTCGCAGTGAGGAACAAAGACGCACATTACATGCCTTGAAGCACACAAAGACTACGTGCCTACGACACGGGGCCTTCAACAAAGCTCCCTGACAAAAGCCAGTCTTCGATAAACCATAGACGGGAGACTGCAAAGCTCATAAGAATATAATAGGCAGCCAATTCCATCGCAACCTTAGCAGACGCACTCATAATCTCACCTCCCACCAACACTAACCAACATCCATCCATCTCAATATGGCCACTACGTCGACTCTACCGCCGAACTCGGCTCTGGCCAGCAACATCAAGCGTACAGCCGGCCCTCCCCTTCTCATCATCTACTCGCACGGTCGCACGCCGCCCCTCAACCCACCCCCAGACCTCAAATTCGACCTCCGCACCATCCCCAATCCACCCAAGAGCGCGCGCGACACCCATGACGGCCGCTCAAAACGAATGCGTGCGCATCTTCTCGCAGACGCACGGTTCACTCGGAAGCTAGAGGAGGTGAAGGGTGAGATCGAAGTTGCGATGCAGGGGAAGAGTGAAGCCATTTCAGGCGAGCCGAGAGCGGGTCACGAGGCAAATGGCCACGACGGCGACTTGACCATCGCAGGGTCGTCAGACGAAGAGCTCGAGAGTCCAGTCCTGCGTGTAGGCTGCAACTGCGCGCTCGGCCACCACCGCAGCGTCGCTTTTGTTGAGGAGCTCGCACGCCTCGAGTGGCCCGGTGATTGGCGCGTTCAGATTGTGCACCGCGATGTCGATAAGAAGCGGGCGAGTGGTGCGAGGGCGCAGCAGAAGGGTCAGTGGAGGGTTGCGAAGCAGGAAAGTAGGCTCGGAGGTGGTCATGACGAGGGGTGGTAATATTTTGGGTGAATTCTCTAGTGAATGGTAAGGTTTATGTCGCATTTTGTACCCACCGAAATTTCTTGGTATAGCAATACTTGGTTAATCAGTTCTTTCAACCTAGATGCAACGCGGTTCCATGGGAGGTTTAAAGAGGAATAACGCTATGAGAATATCTGCTGTGGGTTTAGATAGCCAATAGGCCCTGTCACCTTGAGCCTATCTACAAGGCCTAAAAGAAGCTAGGAGAACGGCGACTCGATGACGAAAAGCACTCGTGAGATGCCTGGACAGGCCAGAGCGGCGTTTGAAGGCTCCATCTACTGGAAAATTAAAACCCCGCGTGAGCGATTACCAAATTGGGAACTGTTAGGAACTCTGGGAGGTACCCTGGAACCTGAAATTAGCGAATGACGGTATGCTTCCACGTAGCTTCGTCTTGAAGACTCCCTTAGACACCTTGTTAAATACAAGGCTGGTCCTCTATCTTCGTTTTGGCTTCAGATAGGTATAATTGTTTTGTATTCTCTCTAAAAGATAGATTCCCTTCGCAGTTACGCACTTTATCATGTACCAGCTTACTAACTATACCTATTGGTATCTTAATCCTATGTCAACCTATCTAACTCCACGCTAGTAGTTACACACACACTCTCTCTCTCTCTCTCTTATATACACATACTCTCTCTTATATATATATACACTTTGTCTCTCACATACATACTTTCTCTCTTACATACACACACACTCTCTCTCACATGCACACTTTCTCTCTGACATACACACACATCATGTTCATTCGTTCTCGTCATAGGTAATAGAGGACTCTTGTGGTGTATCGAGATTGAAGAATGACGACCGCAGCCTCATACAATAGGGAGCCCTATTGACTACGTAACCCTTAGTTGGGATCGCTATAATGTTGCTACTGGCAGCCAACCTGAATGATGTTCATGCATGAATCGTTTCATTTTCGCCTATACCCCTTTTCATCATTCACTGTAGACGCAATACAGGCTCAGTGAAAATCAAGGAGGCTCTTTCACTTTCCTTCCTCGCATATAGATCTTCCCAAGCAGGGGATAATCTCCTTTCTCCTCATTTCCAAAACCCCAACCCGCACAGCACCACTTCTTTCAATCAAGGCCTGGTCGGATTTAACGACTTGAACCCCACACAACTCAATTCTGTTCCCCTCAAGCTTGGCCCATATCACAATGGACAACGCCCGAGGAAGCTCCATGCCTCCTTACACGCCTATATCAAGTCAGACTCCACCACTCCCTCCTTCTTCCCCGGAGATTGAGAATCCCCTAGAACTCAATCCGTTCAGTGACGGGTACCACGCCTTCGACAACCAAGTCCCGCCCCTGACGCCTACACCGGAACCAGAGCAAGACGAAGAGCAGTTCCCATCTCTTGACGAGTTTTGGGCTATGATAGAGCAACCCCGCCGCGAAAATACGCCTCTTCCCAAATACTCGCCATTGGAGATCAAGCCTCCCTCATATGACTGCCCTGCAGACGAGCACGTGCATCAAGGCGTGTGGTACTGCCACAAGTGCCACTTCGCTGTGGCAAACAACATGCGAGAGATCTTCGGCCGGGGCCTCTATTCTTTGGCGAACTGCATACGCTGTAGTCATACTGCGTGTGGCTAATGCATGTTCGATAGCACCCTGCAGCTCATCTCCTGGCCTGAGGCTAAGAAGTTAAGATCTTTAGACTTCAGTAGATGGACAGATAAAGGAGGCGGTAGATCTGCGATGGAATTAGGGTACTTGGCCGTTTGCCCCGACTGCGGGTTCCTGTGGGGTGCTAGTGTGCCGGATGAGACGCCAGGACTTCGCCAGTGGGCGAGGAACGTTGTGAAGAAAGGAATTGTGAAAGTGCTCAATGGGGTATTCGAGAAGCCTAATAAAGGCTATGAAATTGGTCCAGGCCTGATGGGCTGCGCCTGCGGCGGAACATTCGCGAACGATTGGACTTACTTCCGGATTGTTGGGGAAGGCCGCTTCGATCCGATTGCGACATCGATGCGGGTGTTGGAGAGGTTGGAGAATGAAATGCCGGAAGGGGAGCGGGTTGCTTTGTATTAAGGGCTGAATAGGCGTTCAAGGTTTGGAGTGCCCTCTCTGAAAGAGCTATTTGATTCTAGCAACGCTGTTAGACTGGGAATCGGTAGGCCTACCGGGTCAATGTTCACGGCGTTTGGGAGCGCAAGGAGTTAGTTGGGAGTAGCTGACAAAAATATTTCTTTACATCGTTGTGAGTCGGCATATGGCTCGGGTCTTTCAGTTGTTCTAGATATTCTTTAGTAAGCGACGCAGGCGTTACCAATTACGTTCCTTTGTTTTGGGCTCAGATATAGACTTGCTCCTTCCGCAACTCCCTCCAATGCCCATGTTCCTCTGGACTTTCGTATCTCAACATGCGCGCCATCATATCAATTTTTTTCCACGCGCTTCACGGCGATGAGCGCCACCTCCCAGCCCCCTCAACCGGCATTCTCACCATTGTGTACCCATATTCCCTCTCTGCATTAATTATATTATATATACCCTATGTTGACTGCATAGACACCACTTTCACTTTATGTTTAATTCATTCACTGTGTGCTACATTCACAAGAACCAGTGAATCGGGATGTTCTATTCCTCGCGTTTTCTTATACTTAAATCTCCTCAAGCTCGGGACCGTTTTTCTCTTCCCCTCTCCCTCCAAACCAACTCCCGTACCCCACCAATTTGTTCGCATCATACTTGGCTTGATACGACTTGAAGCCCACTCAATACCCGCAAGACATACATAACCCAACTCTCTTCGGTCTCTTGTACAACGCCATGGACAAAGCCCAAGGACAGCATTCATCCGCATCCGAGTTCAAGGAAGTGGAGATTCCATCATCTACACCAGAGGTAAGATATGACCTCGACTATGATGCGTCTGACGATGAACATTATGTCAATTATGACACAGCCCTTCCACCAACGCCTCCTCCGGGGGCAGAGCAATACCACTACGACTACCCCTTCCGGCACGGATGTGAAGGAGGATAGGCCCCTAATCCGACGTTCGCGTTTTAAGGAGGCGGGGGTCGCGGGTGTAATAAAGGTCTACAACTGGGTAATCGCGAGGCCATTCTTGAAGGCGAAGTTCCCTACGACGTTGATGAGTTGTAGGTGCGGTGAGCTGTTTACTGATGACTGGGTGTGCTTCCATAACCCAGAACGTCCATTTGATCCAGTTGGCACGTCCCTCCGGGTTCTGGAAACGGAGGAGGAGGAAATGCTGGAGGGGGAGCGGGTTGCGCTGCTTTAGATGGCTAGCGAGCGTCTAAACTTGAATACCAACGAGAGTTGTTAGAGGAGCGGAGGCTTTGTAATGGATAATGAAAGAGTCGCGTAGTATGATAAACATGGCGTTTGGGCTGCAATTCTGTACATTTTGGAAAATGAAAAAGATACAGATTGAACAGAAAGACCGGCGAGGCTAGAAAATTGAGACCGACGAAAGCCTATTAGACCGGATAAACGTGGTGTTTGCGAGGTGTTCTGGAACGCGGGAGTTACACTACAGGAAAACTCTTGAAGGAGAGTACTAGGCAGCTTAGTCGAACGTAGTAGTGATTCGCGTCATATTTAATACCCTCTGAGGTTGTATAAGTGTGTCACCTCGTGCAACAAAGCTTTGACTTATTAATTATGTCAATTTTGTGCTTTTGCGTGTGACGAATCGAGAAATGTTCGTGAGTGAATAGCTATAAATATCGCACTCTATCCATCGATAATTTACCGAAGGGTATCCCGTCAACACCTGGTTCCATGGGACCGTAGGAGAAAGATGAATAAACGAATGAGGGTTGTAGCGGTATCTTCCGAACAGTATAATATATACGTTGCTAAGGCTCGAGTTTAAAAGGAGCGCACGGTTATACATTAATAAGACTGTCATGGCCATTACCTGTAACAATCCTGTAGGGAAGAAATCTGACGAATGATTGGACGAAGAGTGAAAACATGGCGAAGGAGGGTTAAGTTGAAAAGTCGCAGGTCGATTTCCTTCGTGCAAGTCAGAAGTCGCCGGCCGACACATAAGGCGCCTCGCCCCGTTTCCGTTCGTCTATGCAAACATTGCCCCCGACTGGAACCGTCGAACCATAGCCTCATCGGTGTTGGATCTAGGCTGCACAAGCGGCTGCCGAAAGCGACGAATAACGCGTTCGACATCCTGAGGCTGAAGTCCACAATGCCCTTCCTCTTTAGCCTGGGAACACAGCCGCGTAACCATCTCTTCTTGTAAAGTATCAACGATAGCCTTCAGGTCTCTTCCCGCGTTATCATCAAACAACATGGCGAGCAACCAGAGCAGGAGATCGTTCCAGTTTCGGACGTTGTCGTCGGGTTGCTGCGAGTCATAATATACCGGCGTGCGATTTGCTGATCTGAAGGTCGTGGGCCACATTGAGAGGGGTAGGACGTCGGTGAGCTTTTTGCCGCCCAGAGCTTTCCAAATGCATTGAATATACTGCGTGCGGCGGACCTTTCTTGGCTGGGTAAGTTGGTCCCAAAGTAGGTTCATGGGCTCCTCTGGTATGCTTTCCATGAAAGGGCTCTGACGGCTCTGACGGCTCTGGATCGGGCGGCTGGGGTCGGAGGTCACATGCCATGGCTGTAGCGGCGGTTCACGCGCGTGCATGTGCTCGAGCAGGTGTGGCAATGGAAGTGACGGTGTCACCGCAATGGGCAAGGGGCTCGAAAGGAGCGGGTGTGAATGTGGGGTTGCGTTGCTCTGGTTGTATATGATATCCTTGATCGATGGCAATTCTTTTGCCACAAAAGCTGGGTAGATGGGGAATGTTTGGCGTTGACCTGGTGGAGGTGTTAACCCTGATGCCCGAAAGGATACATCAGATATGCTTACTGGATTCATCAAGTTGTTTTGGTACCTGAGCCGCGCTCATCCAATAAGCATCCCAGTCTGGGAAGGTCACGACGTAACCTACGTGAGACATTTTTTCGTTATATAGTCGGGCGAAAGACGTGTATAGATCACCAATAAGTTGTCTCAAACTGACCTCGAATGTCTGAGAGACGGCCAACAGGGTGAAACAGAGAGAGAGCCTGAGAGAACGCGGAGGGGAACCGACCAGTCCTTACATAGTACTGCGAAAACGCGAGTTCCCGTGAGCGGCAAGTTGAGGTTACACTCAACATGTATCTGGCCAATTAAGCTGCAAGCTCAAGTTTCGGAGTCATGGATGGACATGGATGAACCTGATTTTCTAGCCAAAAAACAAAATACTATGGTGTACGTACCGGACGCGCGAAGTTTGTTTGCTTGGTTGCTCGACTCACGTTGAACGGAGCTTCTCCCGAATTACGCATAGACTACCCCCCCCCACAATCCCTCGTGTGACGAACTCTTTTCAATGGAAGCAGGGACAGGGCCAGCGGGTGCGGGACTCGGGACGGGGCTGGCCGTTCCGAGTAAGATCTCATTGGTGAGAGAGCCTGTCGTTATGATGTGTCTCCTTGGTTGATACCTGCCCATGTATACCGAAGTGATACGTGCGACGAAGGCGGCACAGAAGGCGCACTTAGATTGCATCGGAGTCGCGTTTGGATCATATTGGAGTCGCAGTTGGATCACGTTGGAGTCGCGTTTGGATCGTATTGGAGTCGCGTTTGGATTCCTGAAAGGTCGTCTTAGAGTTGCCGAAGAAGCTGAGATGAGCCCAATCTGTATCGAGCCTCCGTATAATTCACTCTTGGCGCATGGTCGAGCTGTTGACAGGTAGATTGTCGTCTAAATTGCGTAAATGATTTCCAGAACGTCAGATGTGTGCGTGTGTAAGGCCGCCACCGTTAGTCTCTCCCAGACCCGTGTCAGAATCTCTCTTACTGCCAGAGAATCTTGATCTTGTTCACGATCCCTCCGGTGAGCTCCCTCTCTGGCTCTTCCTCTGCAAGAGCCTGCTCCATGCCCGTTTGTAAGTCGACCTCCTCTGGATGATGCGCCCATGGATCGTTTCGCGCATAGATCCTATGACCAAAATAGATACACAGGAAAATTGGAATACCGATGTAAGCAGTCAAGAAGCTGCTCGCGTTCCAGTTTTGAGGCCAGAAAACATTGAAACCGTTGATGAGAGTGAGGAAGACGAAGCCCACGATCGCGCACCAGGAGCCCCACGGCTGCAGGAAGGAATGGTAGGGCAGGTCCGTTATGTTCTGCGCTTTGCATGCCTTGCGGAAGCGGAGATAAACAATGCCACAGCAGATCCACGAAATGAATCCGGATGTATTTGTTAAGTTGACGAACCAGTTGAAGACCACCGACCCAGAGGAGGCTACATTGAGGTAGGCTAGGGCGCAGAAGAGAGAGGACGCAGCTACGGCGCGATAAGGGACTCCCTTCTTGGTACATGCTTTAAAGAAGGATGGCGCATTGCCGGAAAGGGCAAGAGAGTACAGGGACCGAGACGAGAGGTAGAGGAACGAATTTCCAGACGACCAAGCGGATAGGATAATGCCGCCATTGATTATACTGTCCAGGATGGGAATACCGGCATTCTTGATGCCTACGACAAAGGCGGAGGATCCGGCCCCGGCACCACCGTTGGTGAGAGCTGGGTCGTCGCTGGGACAGATCACGGAAATCGAAAGAACGCACCCGATGTAGAAGAAGATGAGACGATAGAAGTATCGACGGGCTGCAATGGGCAGATTACGTCTCGGCGATTTCATCTCGCCTCCAGTTACCACGAGTAATTCCGGAGCAAAGGTGAAAGGAAATGCAGACAGAACAAGTGTCGATAGCAGGGCGAGGAACCGACCTTTGTCCCCTCCCGCTAAATAAGTGTTCGCTGCACCAGGATGTTTCCAGTACCTAAAGCCGAGTCGATCGTGGTTTGGACCACCTCCCCAGAAAAGGATGAATGACAACAGAATTAGCCCCTAGAATACACCAAGTTAGAAACCTTCGTTCGAGTGTAATGGGAAGTCAGATGGAGGAAAGTCTCCTTTGTTGACATGACGGGTTTGGCTGTAAACTGACCATCATCATAACGACCTTCGTGGAGGCAAACCAAAACTCGGTTTCTCCGTAAAAGCTAACGGGCAGGGCATTCAAGCCGACAATAACGACTATCATGATGGTGATCCAAACTGCGATGTTTACATCGGCATGCCAATAATCGATGACCAGTCCGGCGGCGGTGATTTCGTACGGTACCAAAATGCCGAGGGAGTAAAAGTACAGCCAGCCCATAGCAAAACCCAAGGAGCGAGAGACATAGCGGTATCCGAAGAGGTTCATTGAGGACCCAGGAGTAGGCAGGTAGGCAGCGACTTCGGTGATGGCAGTCACCACACAGAATACGAGGAAGCTCATCAGGAGATAAGAACCAAGAATGAAGGCTGGACCACCTCGGTTGAGAGTTTGACCTGATCCAACGAATAGACCAGTCCCAATTGTGCCGCCAAGGGCGATCATCTGGGCATGTCTAAGAGGGATTGTCAGCAGTCGATTGCAATTGGAAGGGGATAGAGTGTCTTCCTCAGCCTACCTGGACTTCAATCCACGCTGGGTGCTCTCGAATCTCTCGTCAAAGATCTCGCCAGCAAGAATCTCGGGGTTGACGACCGAGCTCTTCCTCCGAGTAGGATCAGAGGTCCCAACATCAAAGTCGGGACTCTTCTGGGGCATCTCGTCAACGAGTTCAGGCTTCCCCATGGTGGGCAGTAGATTGAGAAAGAAGGATAGAATTGAGGTGGTCAGGAAAGATCACCATCGACTTGACAGGGCCAGAAGCTGGGTGGACGCGGTAGCTTATGTAGTGTACCGTAGCACGTGCCCAACCGCTCGTGAAGGGTGAAAGATTCACGGCTAGCATCAGGATGAGGCAGCCCATGATGGACTCTGACCACCGGGCGGATGCAACCAGGCCCACGCAAAGGCATACAGTTGAGATAAGGGCACAGATACATTTTGCTGGGGAGCTGGGTTAGCGGGCGATAAAGCCAGGATCGAATGCCCAGATGGACAATGATGTGCAAACGGCGTCCGACCAGCCCTGCACTCTTGGAGGAGAAGCATGCATATTGATACGGCCCGCTTGGCTGGGGTAAGAGCTAAGGCGCTCGCGGCCTGGTCGAATCCGCCACGGAGTGGGATGAGGGGACTGAGGCATGCTGAAGGATCGAGGCTGCATATGCGCATTGCGCGCAGCCTTCTCCCCATCTTTGAATGTCAGCATGGCGATATGGACATGTCCGCTCCGCAGACTGGACTCCATTGCACCGAAGACTGGATATCGACCGCGTGGTGGTGCCATAATGCGCTGGAGTCCTTGTCCCACGTCAACGGCTGCTGGGCTGATGGCTTGGGCGGTGGTGGTTGTTGCAGGTGGTGTGCAAGGTTGATGGCGATCTCTCCGCTCGGCAATCCCGATGACGAGGGCGTCCTTATCAGCACTAAGCTTCTTAGTGGCATTAGTTACTGTATTTTACGAGCGTATAGAGGCATCAATTCCTATTATCAGAGCCTCTTGACTGGACACATCTATCATGGTCTGACCTGAGCGCTGTAGGTATCTCACGCCGCTCAAAGTGCTTTCCGAGTGCATGCAGGCGATGAATTGGTGCCGAGCCATCGCCCGCAACACCGCAGCCGCATCTCGAAACGTGCTCATCTCTTGGTTTGCGCCATTTAGCAAAACACGCACCTGAACCCAAAAGCGATGCACGGTTTCGAACTGTCGCACCGCATCAAAGTGCAGACAATAGAACAGAGTTTCAGCAGCAGTGCGTGGAGAAAATAAGAACTGCGGAAGAACCCACAATGCTAATCGCGCGCCCGGACTAATGCCAATGACGAGCATGTTTCTAGAAGCTCGGGAGAAGACATGGGGGTGCATCCGCTCGAGCCACAAAACATGAGCATGACTGCAGGGGACGGGCCTGGGGAATGGGGAGAGGGTTGGTCTCACGACCTGGTGGACCCTATGCCTATGCACAAGACATGTCGCGTGTTTGTTGAGTCCTTCTTCGACCTTTACAAAATGCCACTTGTTCCGGGATATGATGCAGGGGTGACCATCGGCTACAGCGTGCTGCGCGCCTTTGAGCGTGCTACTGTATCTCGCAGTCCGGTTTGACTCGAGGATGGTGGGCTCCATCGTGCGAGGCTCATGGCCACCAAAGTGGGAGCGTGGGGTTGGCCAGGTGCCATGTACCTGAGGGCCCCGTCTGTGGAACGATAAATACCTCAATGGATGCCAGGGTTCCGTTGGTGCATGGGTACTGGTGAGTGCTAGCGACGATGTGCTCAGATCTCGGGTTTGAGAGTGCTACAAAAGGCTGAAAGGGTGAAAACATTCCGCTGCCTTGGTTTGAGCCTTCAACAGAACTATATTAACCTCCATGCACCTAGATCGTTTGGTCGGAATCTAAGTGGCTAGAAAGCCTAAAGCTTCGAATGACTGTTCGGTCTGGAACCTTAGCAAGATATCTTCAGAGGTCACGTGGACGCAAAGAACGACACTGTTTCCCAGCACCTTTTCATTTCAGGAGATTCAGCAGCAACCATAGTGAACCTAACACATGCCTGAAAAGCGGCTGAGTTATGAGCGCGGGAGGCCTGAAGAAATGGTGCGGCTCTAGAAAGGAAATGGACAGTGCTGCGCCACATCTCGTCAGATTTGCTGCCTGAGGCACCCGGTGCCCTCAATATACTTGGAAGTGAGCTAAGCCGAGGCAGATTTTTTAGGATGAAGCGGGGTGCTTTAGAACTCAATTGAACATGCTGAGTCTACTTCCTAGAGGCGATAGGCTTGTGAAGATTGAAAAGGTATTGCAGAAGCTGCCTGGGGATCGAGAGGCAGTGAATTAAGAACAGATAGGAAATGTTGGTACCAATGAGATATAGAGTACCAAGAGTGGGAAGGTCCCGCGTAGACAGCATGATGTTGAGAGAGCCAAGATAGAGATAATAGTCATGAATTCGTGAGCCATTCATGAGCCATTCATGAGAAGATAGATGCAAAGCAAGTATACCCACCTAATGACCATTGCAAAATCGAAGCACTTCAGACCACCCATCATCGTTTCATACTGCAAATATCGCTCAGAAAGCCACCAACTCCTGTCCAATGCACCATGCCACTTGCAAACCTTCTGAAGGTCATAACCTTCAGCCTCGAGTCTATCCGCCCATTCAGCCTCGAGTCTATCCGCCTATTCGGTCTTGATTCCCAGCCTCTCCTTGACCACGGGCAGAAACTCCTCATATGTCTCCAGCAACGAGAATCCATATGCCTTTGCCATCACTTGCACATTCCCCTTGCGCCAGAAAGCCTTCGGGCAGCACACGACTAACTTGCCGCTGGTCGCAAACAGCCCAAGCTCCAGCAGGCTGATAGGACTGACTGTGTTCTCGTCCAGGTACATCGCAATCACGGTCGCCTTGTTCATCGCCTCCAGCTCCCACTCCACTTGCCCGCGGAACGTAGGGTCGCTGATGTCTGAGACGGTGTTTGGGTCCCAGTTGCCGCACCGCGGGTTGAGCACCGTCACGGCTGCATGCTTCAGGTGGTCGGTCATGTTGTTCTGCCACTGGATCGCCTTGCCCATCTCGATGCTGCCGGCGAGGAATACGGATGGCTGCTCCTTCACCGATAGGGTGTTTTGTGCGATGATAGTCTGGAAGTCGGCGTGGGGTTTGCTGTTGGAGGGCGCCTGGGGAAGCGTGATCTCCACCTTCTCCCGCAGCCATGGCGGAGGAAGGTTTTGGATGTTTCTGCTGTCTGTCGCGGACATGGTGGTGTTTGCAGATTCGATAGTAGAGGTAGTGGAAGCAGTAGAGAGGTGACGAAAGATCTGGAGATTGCGGACGTGGGCGCTTGATGGATCGTTTCTCACTGGAGGAGCCACGTTTGCTGGTACTTGTGTGTTTGTGGGTCTGGATTGTTATGAAGATTAGAACAAAGGCAAAGATCGAGGCTCGCGCGAGTATTTATGTACCTGGAGCCGTCGATGGTGGGGCAGCTGCAGGTCCCTGCGGCGTTGATCGCGTGGGGCGCGGTGGTGAAAGAAAGCTGACAGCTAACACCAGTGTGTGAAATGTACGAGAGTCAATCGAGCTAGGCAAAGGCGATAGTCACTGCCCTCGCGAGGATAGCAGTCTTTATAGCAGAACATTCACGGCCATCGCCTATGAAGCTGTGCCTTTCTTGCAGCAGGCGCTGCCTCACCAGGCGCTTCACGCGGTGGCTTGCCTTCATGGCGCAGCAGACTGACCGCTCATCGAGCTCTCCTGCCGACCATCACACAGACAGGGAGAAAGCTAGTTGCCTGAAATTAGGTCCTGTCGTCTAGCGCCGTAAACGATTTCTAGTAAGGCCAGGTTGAAAGAAGGCAGCTTTGGATGTCTTCTGTCCCGCATGCGCCCTTTTTCACCACCTTGTAATCGAAACTGGTGGGTTGAGCCACATGCCATAGATCGAGCACGAGTCACTAGTATGGCGCATGCGCGAGCATTGCCCATAGTTCAAGAGTCACGGTGCTGGATCTAAGTACTTCTCAGGTACCAATTCTGTCATACCAATTGATTTAATGACGCTCATGGCAGTGTGCAAGGCTGATTCCTAGGAAGTGACTTGAGCTATGGATTCACCTCGTTTAACTTCACGGGAGGCAGCAGACATTCTTGAAGCGATAAATTCTTCTGTTCATCCTTCTGTTGCCTATGAAAAGCCTTCTCTATCTACCGGCATACTGACTACGCAGTCCCTTACGTTGAGTTGAAGAGTTGATGCGTTGTATATCACGTTGATCGACGTTAATCACAAGATGGTGACTGATAACCATTCACTGAGGCCCTCCTGACTACTCTTGAAGACAGCTGGTCATCAGATACTTGACCCTCATGATCATGAAACCTGCACGAAATAACAACGACAACGAAGCCCTCAAAAGGCTCGGCTTCGTTTAAGCAATTGATGATGAACATTTGGCTCTTCGGGAAGAAGAGGTTTGACAATGTGATGAATGATTATGAGACAACATGGAACTATCATCAATACTCAACTTTACAAAATCGGAACAACGCACAACGAAATGGTATAAAGCGAAAAAGGCCCTCAAAAACACCGTGCTTCCGTATCCAGGCAATCATGCACAACATCTCGCATCAGCCACTCCGCCAAAAGATGCCATCGTCAAACGAGGCTACTCCTGCTCGCCACAGCGCCCGCACTTGACGACCCAACAGACCCACCGCTCGGTGTCCAACTCCCCGGCCGATTCTTCTGTTCATCCTCCCGAATCCTCTCATACAACTCCTTCAACGCCACTACCTCTGAATACCTCACCTCCCTCTTCCCCGTCTCCAACTCCCTCTCCACCCACTCAATCCGCTCCCTCACCCTCCTCAGCCCATCGGAGTACTCTAGCAGCCTCGTCGGCAAACCCTGTCCCCTCACCAACGCCAGTATCCCCGTGGCGACGCCATTGAACGCGCCCAGAACGGCAAGCGACACGTGGTGGTCTGAAGGGGTCGCGGCGAGGAGGATGAGCAGCGCCGAGATGATGAGCTGGCCGATGATGCCGCCGTAGACGAGGAGGTCGTAGGCGTGCGCTTTGCGGCTGCTGCGGTGTTCTTCGTAGATGATGTTTTCGTAGATGCCGATGTTGTTTTCAGGGTCTTGCGCTACGCGCGCGATGCTGGGCCACCAGCGTGGGAGGCGGTGGGCGGGGGCGGGGACGGGCTCGGTGGGGAGGCCGATTAGCTTGCGGAAGTCGTCGAGGGAGACGGGGGTGTTGAGGTAGTCTTCTGACATTTTTCTGGTGGGTTGGAGGGCAATTGGGAGGGTTGAGGGCTGTTTAGGTGGCATGAGACTGGAGCTCCTGACTATTGTCACTTCAGCCACGCTCTTGCCAAGAAGGATAGGCCTGCGTCGATCATGGTTGCTCTTCTTCCTTTTTCGTCGGTGCTTTCTTTTTTCACTTTCTGATGTTGATATTGACATGGATGAGTGCATGTCTAAAGCATGATAGTTGATAGCTATTAAAGTCATTTGATCAAAGAAACACCGACCATCGTTACATTCGTAATACAAGGTCCTCGAATCATCAGAGGGGGGCGAGCTCTTCCACCTTACATAACATCTTCACTGAAGTCGTCAACTCTTCCATCTAGATGATACATCTTCACTTGGCCGTACTTATTCACAGTGAATCTCTCGCCCATCCTCATAGACATAGCCTTGTTATGCCCCGCCGTCTCGATGTTGAAACCACCCTCTTTCGCCCACAACTCTTCCATCTTGAGTCTGTCTTTGCTCTTTGGCTTGCCCTCTTTGATGCGGAGTTTCTCAAAGTAGATGTAGCAAGCATAGAATGCTGTAGACGTGTTGCCTCTGTCATAACCCTTCTTGCTGCGGAACGACGACAGCTGCGTACCACTGAAGGAAATGTGGGTTGCATCAGTGACGGCGCGGCAAAAGGCAGCGTTGGAGAGACCCGTTTGGCGGAGGTAGGCATCGATCTTGCGACGGACCATGTCACAGGTTTCGTAGACGGGGACTCTTCCATCGGAGTTGCGGTCTAGTTTGACCAGAGCGAGGTCCGGAAGATCATCTTCTTTCTTCTTCGGAGGAGGACTGGATGCATCGGATATCTTTCGTTTCTTGGAGGCATGGCCTTCTCCAGTGCGAGCAGCCTCTGGACTCCCGGAATGGGGTTCACGTAGGATGTCGTTGTTGACTTCGCCCTCGTGATCTGATAGGGCGACGTCACCTCCGGGAGGTTTTTTCAACCCTAATTCATAGGCTTCCTCCGTATGCTTCATTTGAGAGCGTGTGTTAGCCGGCACAAGCGCCCATAGAATATCGAAGATCGCGGTACGAACCCCAGACTGTTTGTTATGCGGGATGTTGGACGTGATCCACTCGCGGACAGTCTGGCGGACGTGCTTGTTGTCGACGTCTTCGACGGTTTTCACCTCGGAAAACGGGGTGTCGTGGGGAGGAGACGCCATGGACGGACGAGTCATCTGTGATATGACGATATCGTGCTCGAGACTGGCGAGCTGTTCGTTAGAGAGGTCTGCAGCCTTCTGGAGAGCATCGAGGGTTTGGCGGTTGATATGTCGCTGGGAGTTGTTAGTGGAAGTCAATGGCTTTCGCTGAGCGAAAGTCGACATACCTCGTCTTCTCTCGCAGCCCTAAAAGCTTCATCTCTCAATACACCCCCGACAGATCCTGTGCGCACAGCAGTCTGCAGCTCCACGTCTCGCGCCAGTGTGGCATGTTTATCAATATTGAGAAGCGCATTTTTAGCTGAAGCCATGATCTCATCTACGCTTGCAGATGGCTTCTCCAAGGCGTCATCATGAGATCGCTTTGCCCCAGCAGCGGCGTTCTGGGTGTTTGCTGAGACATCCGCGAGCGGCTCTCGGCGTCCTTCCTCAGAACCAAGCTTCGCAAGACCAGAAGCCACGGTTCCGGAGACGATTGCTGGGTCACCGGAGATTGACGGAGTAATGGGTACACTATTCTCTTGAGCCATTATAGGAGGTGCAATCCCTGTAGGGTGCGTCTTATTTGAAGTAGATTGATAATGATGGTCGGTACACATGTTAACGGACATCATTGAGTTGAGAAAGATGCGCGAATGTGACGAAGGGAACGCCCTTTAATACTCCATAGACCGCGGTGACGTTATGGAGTGACGTGTTGTTTACCTATCTGGAAGATTCCTTCAGGGGGATCGTCGATGAGGTGTGACAGTGACATCATGGCGTTTTCACCAGAATGGCACGCTCTCACGTGATTGACGCGTGAGGGATTCCTGTGTAAACAGACGCCAGCTCCTCGCGGTTTGCATTGACTTTTGGCACGTTTTTGACGTGAACCTGAGATTAGGCTATTTCGAGATGTACATAGCATGGTATGCTGAGACGGGCTATGGATTTAGGGTTGAAGTTGATGTGAAGATGAGTATGGGGAGCCGGCACGAGAGGCACGAAAAAAGTAGCGCACTCATCAAGTACTCTGCCCGTGTATACCACTGCAGGAAGTGCTTCAACAAGTTTCCACATAGCCCAAGGCAAAGAGCATCTATCTTCTTTAAATTTCTGAAAATATATTGAAGCAACCCAAGCAGTGGTAGACAGGTGTACACCCACCGCGGCTTGTTCTAGAATTAGTTGTGCCACCTTTTCCATGCCCCGCGTGGCCGGTTCGTGTAATGTAGATTCGATTTTGGCATGGTTTTGCCGAAGAGGCCATGAGAACAACAAGAATGTTAATGCCGAGAGAAGCATAAACGGAAGTCAGTCAGTGCGACATGTACTCTAATTCGGCGTATGATTGGCGTGGGTCCTAGATTAACCTACTGGAGATAAGTCAATCTCGAAGTGGTACTTCTCGATCAACATCCCTTGATTCAAATAGACGGATTGAGGTCGCAGTTACCATATATTTGATTCCATGCTTGATGAAGACGCTATCAAATAAACTTCGACCGAGAGTCCTCGCTATTAGCACCTCTGCAGGAGTTAATCCATGCTACCAAAGATATCCAGCCATTGATAATGCCAATGCCGCGCTTGTGATTTACCAGGAAAAAGGCCAGAACCGAAAGTGTTCAGCAACTCCTGAATATCCTCCGGAAAGTCGAGTTGTATGCAAAAAGTGCAGCCCTATTATCGTGAAATCGTACATGAAGGTTGTGAGACGAGGAGCGAGTGAGGATCACTTAATGTGTACCTCAATGGCATCCATATCCTCGATATCAGAGCCCTTGATCATATCCTGTGGTTCTAAGTGATCGCCATCGAAGAAGAGAGTGATTTGCCTAGTATCGGGCATCTTATTGTGGCGGCGAAATGCATTTGCGATGTCCTTGAATGTGGTTTCCTGCATGCAGATGATCGTCAGTAAGTCTCGTGAGGTTCTGTAGCAGAGGAACGTACGGGTTTCACAGCCAGTTTGAAATCCTCAATTCCCTTAGCCTTTAGAATCAGCCTACACTTGGGCTGCTCTTTGACAACTTCTTCCTCTTCCTCTACCACTTCTTCTGCCGGCTCGGACTCATGTATTCCTAGCTCTGCCCGTCTCTTCATTTCCACAAGAATCTCCTCGGTGACTGCTACCAAGTGCACCCTGTCTTCCATCTCATCATCAAAGTCATCGTGATCATGCTTCGGCTTTAGGTTCCCGTGAGCATCAACTTCTAGCCCAATGCTACTCTTACACGTAGCAACATCGAAAAGGCGGCGCTTCCGGTAGGTGAGGAAAATCATGCTAGGTGTGATGCCTGGAGGAAAAATTTGCTTGGCACACCAGGCCGTGCGAACATCTCCAAGCGGTTGCAATAGCTTTCGGGTAGCTATCAAGGGTGTGGTGCCTTCTATTGGGGACGATATGAAGAGTTTGACTACGGGATTCGGTATTGGCGCAGAGCTAACGATGGGGGGTGGATTGCGAGAGGACTCCGCTTGTGGATCACGCTCTCGCATTTGAAGGGCTATCGGTTCGGGTTCAAGGATTGGCTCCATATCGTCGTCATCTTCAAGTATTATCGGCGTGGGTTGTCTGTGCAAGACTGGCTGTCTCGAGGAATCGTCGGAGTCGTCTGTGTCGTCGCCAAGATCGATTATGTGGCTGGCGAAAATGTCATCGCGCGGTACCGAGGGTCTGAGTGCTTCCTCATAGCGGGCGGAGAGCGAGGTGGAATCTATATTCGAGCGAGTGGCTCTGCGGGGACTGGTGAGTTGAGGAGTCCTGCTTGAGCTTCACGATTCGACTTATCAGCTACACCAAATCCGCAGGCACAGGACAAGACGACGTTACGCACCCTTCCCTAGGACTCCTATGAGCAGGGCTTTCACTTCCCTCTCCCTCTCCACTGGCCCTCCGCCGTTTTGCATGCCTCTCGCTCTCCTCGCTCTTTCGCTTCTTGCGTCTTTCTTCCTTCTCTTTCTGTCTAGCCTTCTCTTCGTCTTTCTTCTTTTGCTCCTCAACTATCTCCGCAAATACTCTGCTCGAGTGCCTGAACGATTCCGATCCCGTCTGTGGCGTCTCCGACTTGGTCTCCTCCGCCGTTGCCCAGGCTGGCCTCTTGAAGAACGACCGTTTTGCGGGTTTTGGGGTTTGGACAGAGAGCGGAGGGGTTGCTGCATTCGCCATGGCTGTGTCTCTACTGTTGCGCGCGAAGACGCTGAGGCTGCGGTAGTGGAGTGCCCAATACCTTGGTTGGTAGTTGGTGATGTGCGGGCAGGGTTCGCGAAAGATCGCCAGAGTGAAGTGAACCGCGTTGTGTGGCCTGTGCGTCCAGCCCCGATATCAAAGTTCATCAACCTCATATAAAGTCAATCGTCCAATCACCTCACTTGTCGCACCACCACTCTCTCGATTACTCCTAAGTCAAGTATTTGAGGAGTGCAATCCACACGGCTCCTCGGTCAGCAAATATGGAAAACGGCGCAGAAGACACGAAAGACCCGTCTGGCTTCCTGACCAACATCATCGGCAAGAATGTCCTCGTTAAGCTCAACTCTGGGGTCATCTATAAAGGTTGGTCATCTTGTAAATATGAGGCCATTCCAGTGTGTCTTTTCTAGTCCCTGTTTCCTAGTCCTCATTACATAGGTCTCAGTCATATTCCTGCTCCTCCCCGCATTCCTACCCCACAGACATTCAAGTCTCTATCCGTCCCACAACAAGCTCTGAACCTTCGCTCATCTTCTCAACACTAGGTCGACTACAATCCGTGGATGGTTACATGAACATCGCGCTGGACGAATGCAACGAGTGGTCTGAGGGTCAACAAGTCCGCAAGTATGGCGAAGCCTTTGTGCGGGGAAACAACGGTATGGCCCTCTTATATCCATCATTAAATTCTAGAATATCTCCTTTCTTTGCGCTAGCTACTAATGATAGTAGTGCAATACATCTCCGCCGACACATGAGCTAGGATGCAGCAGAGGGGTGAAAACGGAGCGGCGTGTTGGGCAATGGCGTCTGTATAGAGGGCAGGTTAGGTTACGATTTCAGATGAGAACCGTTTATGACATCTCATGCGAGTCCAAATCGTCCTATCGAAGTACCCCTGACACTGGTGCCCAAGTCGCAAGACCTAGCTCAGACTCGTCTCAATTATTTGATCTCAATTTCTGCAAAGGGGCTGGACTGTTATTGTTCACTAAAGGTATCATCCGAAAACCTCATCACGCACCACAAATCCTACATCACGATGTGGTAAACTACAAAAGATCTCACAGATTCTGTGCTGTCAAAGTCTGAATTATGATCTCGTAATTGCAAACACGAGTGTTATACATATTGTGATCCGCCCATTCTGCTTCCTTCTAGTGTGCCAATTACGTGTGTAGTGCACTAGGATAGCATGACAGGCGCGGTCGGTAGGGAATCTCGCAGTTGCGTGAGCCGTCTTCTATGCGCATTTGCTCGCGCTACGATAGATATCGTAGTCGTCCCGGCGGACGATATCCGTACTGTGACGGGCGTCAGGGCAAAGAATCCCCAGCTACATCAGCGACCAATTATGGTCATCCGTTTGAGCGCCTTGGAAAGGTTCGGTCCATATTGAAACCGGATCCGCTTCTTTCCAACGTGGGCAACTGTTCAGAACTGATCAACAACACAGCCAAGCCACATCGCCTATGCCTTCTCTGCTGGCTTCTTTTCCGTCAATGCCCTTAGCTCATCCTCGAGTTTCGATATTTCTTCTAAGGGCGAGGGTCAGCCGGGTGTCCCTTGAAGTTATCCCAACTCTGCCGACATTAAACACGCACCATTCTTCTCGTCCTTGATATCCAAGCTCTCCAGCTTCATCCAGCCCCAGTATATCAATTGATACGTGAACAGCGCGCCGAGAAAGGTTTTTAGGATCGGTGAGCCGAAGGTGGAATAGAAAGCGCGCTATCATTCAGACAACAATTAGCTAGACGTATCAATATATAATATCCGTTCACAATATGAGAGCTCAGATGAGATAAAATGACGAAGTTGATGACGTGAAATTTCAAGGACATCAGTTCTGGACAACATACATGCGCATTCCTCTCCGTCTGACTCTTCCCCTCCGGTTTATTCGGGGGCTGATAGTCCACGTATCCCCTCTTTCCGCCTACTCCCCCTCCCCTCCGCAGCCCCATAAGCTGCGGCGCAACCCCCATCCGCATTGCCCTCGCGCCGGCGACGACGACCCGGGAATGCAACATCGCCAGCGCACTCAGGCAACAGGAATTGTCCTCCTAACAGCTGGCAATAGAAGTCGATGGCAAGCAGCAGAGCTCGCTAAAGGATGGGCGTCGGGAAATCGCAACGTGGTCTTTGGGTGGTCTCTAAGGTGGGTGGAGCTAGGAGCGGACATAAATAAAGTTGGAGAGGTGTCGTTTCCAAAGTTGCGCATCACCGAGCCAGAACAAGACCACCATCCACAGAACCACCTCAACCTTGGAATACTGTGCCACATTTGGACATTCAACACTACCTGGCTCCTCCATCGGCCTTAGAGACCTCTGCGCAAGCTATATCTAGGGCGTCGACGAAGCCTCTCGATCCTCCGCAATGGTATGCCCCCCCACCTCCGCTCCGACGCCGCCACCGTTCCCAGACACAGGATCTGATACTTGAATAGGCCCAAACACCCCAGCAGCGCGCGGCGAACGCCAAATTCGCAAAGTCTGAGGCGGCGAAACGTGGCAAGCCCCAGAGCGCCATTAAGCAGAAGCAGGACTTCAAGAGCCCGATTAGCAAGGGGTGGATAAGTAAGCTACAGCCTCCAAGTTCACACATCCTACACTCTACCAAAAGAGAAGAGCAGGCTACTGGCAGTAGCACTGTATGGATAGAATACTACGAGAAGGAGAGGCTGGTATCTTTGCGCTTTCAGAATAAGGAGGCGGAATAATTGAGACGACGTTGCGCAAATCTCCCGACCTGGCTTTTGTTTGGTGCCTTGTAATTCGTAGACCGTGAAATCGAGCTATCGGAAGGATAGATTGCTAATGCGAACCTGTCTTTAGTTGTGCTGCTCTTCGTCCTTGGCGGCGGTGCTATCTTCGAGCTCGCTCGTCTATTCATAGATTTTTAAGCTCTGCGCCTCCTCTATATCCCCATTACATCAGACATTGGATTACATTTAAAAGAGGATACATTTGCGGTTGGCAGAACTAGTGGATGGGCGGGCTGGTTGTGGCTCGGTCATCATCAATCTTCACTATGCGGTTGATTCAAGAGCTTGATTGGGTCTCCTCGAACGGGTAGAATGGTCTAAAAGGTGGATTCTTCAAATTCCCTATCAGGAAGCGGACGTGCATTGTTGTGCTCGGGAATGGCGCTTGGGTCACGGATTCTCTGGGTAGAGATGCGGTTTTGAATTCCTACATTCGCGAAGCATATACCAATCTTAAGTCTTGCCCAACTCGGAAAGTACAAAATGAGATTCTCTGCAATATTGTGCATGAAGAGATCTTCATAGGGAAAAGTTATCTGAACGGTACGTGATACGAAAGTTTTCGTGTCATGTTTGCATATATGCCATCCCAATGCACTTAAACCGCCCCTGTCATCCACACCAACGCCTCCGCATGCATCCAAAGGACCGCTAAACGATGTCTCAACTCCCGGTCTCCGCGGCAGGCTCTTCAAGAAGCACTTGCCTCTTCTTCTTTCGCTTTTTTAGCTTGAGGACACCGTCTGCGCCGTCCCCTGGCACGTCGCCGACTGCGTGTTCTTCGAGCTTTGCTTTCTTCTTCTTTTTCTTCTTCACAGCTAGCCCCTCTTCATGGTCACCCTCGGGTATGCTACCCGCCTCACCCTCTGCTGTCTCCTCTGGCGCCTCCATAACCGCCTTCCTGGCTTTTTTCTTCTTCCTCTTCACTAGCGTCCCGTCTGGAGGCGCATCCCGTGCCTGGATCCTCTCCGCCGCCCTCTGCATCTCCAGCCTCAACCTCTCCACCTCTTTTAACGCCTTCGCCATCTCCGCCTCCTCTTGTTCCCTCCTCTCGATATCTAGCTTACTTGTTCCAGTCCCATCATCTTCCAAGCTTAGCGAGCCTAGACCCGAGCTATCAACCTCAAGTAGACTCTTCTTGCCCTTCGCTTGGGCAGAACGCACAAGGTCGGGGCGAGAGCCATCACGAGAGGAGGTGGCTTCATCTGGGCCAAGGGTCTCATCGACGATGATTTCAACGTTGCGGCGGGGCTTGCGTTTGGGTTGGCGAGCCGCCTCATCCCGTTCCCGACCGCGCTCTTGCTTTTCGAGGTCGAGATCCATAATCGGGATCGAATCAATGTCGAGCTCTTCGCCATTGCTGTTTTTGAGGATGTTGTGGAGTGGAGTGGAGACACCTGAGTCGCGGTCGCGGTCAGGGTCGATGTAGAACGGGTCGTCTTTGTAACGTTCGCGCCGTTCAGCTTTTCGGCGGGCGAGAATATCGGGGTCCAGGTATTCGTCCTCGGTGGCGTTTTGATAGGATGAAGGTTGTTCGGATTTCGTGGCGTCAAGGCGGTCGGCGGCAGAGACAGAGATAGGGGGTTCGGGATGGGTGCCGATGCGCTCATTGTAGGCTTTGTATACGTCGTCCTCGTCGGCATCAGAGACTGTTTCTAACTCTGCTTGCTGAAGGATTTGTTGAAGATTCGCGTTGATGGGGGTATCGAGGTCTAGGTCATCCGGAAATGGAACCTTCCGTTGTGCTCCAGGAGCAACAGGATTAATTTCAAGCCCTGTGAAAAGTGCTGGTATCGCTTGGGTGAGAAGTAGTGGTGGATCTACAAAATCTCCAGCGTCATTTCCGGTTTCCGTGCCGGAGGCAGCTTCGGAGGCAAGCCGCATGAGCTCCAGATACTCGACTGCCCGCTCTTGGACTTCGAGACTGGGATGCATAGCCAGCGGCTCAAGAAAGTGAACAATCCTCGCCATTAGTAGCGTCAAAAGGGTTCTCCGCTGTGGTGTCCAAGATATTTGGTCGCTCCCAGCGATGCTTGCGAAAACCTTCGGAATAGCTTGGAGATAAACCGCAAGCGTTCTAGAAGGGAGGTGTGAGGCCGACGTATGAAGTAGCGAAGTCATGACACCGTCTGGTCTCGTGAGCAAGTCTGCATACTCTCCTACCATCCAACCTGCAAACTCCAGTACTCCTTGGCCGCCATTCCCGGTAGCAGGGAACATCTGGTCTCGTTTTTCAACAAGCACAAGCGATTGCGCTGCTTCTAACGCTTCTGGCCGTATGATCCTGACTCTTACCGCCACATTCCGAAGCTCTTGGCCGATCTCATACGAGATGTCCCCGTGGTTGCCAGATGTTGAGAAATCGGCGTCCTCAGTGCCGTCCAGATTAGCGCTGGTCTTGGTCGCGGGACAGACTCTGACAAGTTGGACCAAGACATCGATATACCAGTCGAAGTCGCTGACGTTGGTGTATGTGTCCCTCGAGCACATCTCTATGATTTTCTGTATGACACTAATTCGATAATCCGCAGGCAATGGCGGTGCTTGATTTGATTTCTTCTCAACTCGGAGTGACTCTTCCGCATCCGAATCGTCAGAGTCTGCTATTGGGACGACGCCCGTCTCACGTGTTCTGTCGTTTACTGGAACCTCTGTCGCAGAGGCTATTGGTGAGTTTCGTAGCTGTCGCATAAGCCGCCCAACGATTGCTGTGAGATTGTCGCTATTGACCATTCCCACGACGAGATTGAGAGCACCTGTTCGGATGGAAATATCGGGGTCGTCGATGCATTCCAGAATTACATCCTGGTGTACCGCGACAATGTGTGGATGGGACCGTACGATCTTGTCGAACGCAAGTAATGCAACGTATTTTACTGATGACACATGAGACTCTCAACCATTCGATTCTCAGTATAAGATGCTTACAATTTGCGTCGCCTTCTATCACCATCATCCCGCGTAATTTGCTCACGCACAGATGAGCAACGTCTTCCCCTTCCGCTGTTCCTTCGACAGCTTCAAGTATCCCACCTTGTATTATGCCATTTATACACTCGTACAAGAGGCTCATAGCCGCTGTCTCTTTTATGATCTTGGTCAGTGGAGGGAGGAGTTTCTTTATGAGCCGAGGTTCCAGGGGAGTCAAAGTTGCGAACTAAAGATGAGTGAGTGAGTGATGAAAACAAGAGTGTGGTGTATATCCCTACGAGTTTGATAATCTTGATCGCCATCCAATTATTGCCTCCTTCCACAAGCAAATCGAAAAGCCTGGGAGCCAGAGGCAGAAAGTCTTGCGGTCTCCGCCATCCTAGCTCACAGACTACGTTCACTATGGCCGCAGTGACGCTGGGATCTTCGTTGTCGTCCAGTAACCGCTCCTTGATCTTCGGCCAGGCAGGCCGTAAAGTTTCTGGGTAGACTAGTGCCAGTCGATAGAGCGTCACGATGGTTTTCTTCCGTATTGATGCTTGAGAGTGTGTTAGGCGTGGAATAAGGTCCGACAAGACCGAGTTCGCCATTGAAGGGTTGATGACATGCGGAATAGCGATTAGAGGCAATGATATGACCGTGGGTGTTGACGATGAAATGTCCTATGTCAATATCAGCGACCGTCCCTGATCTCTCCCTCAGCCTCGTGTACCTTCTTCAACTGATTCTCCGCAAGCATTAACACCTCAGTGTCCCTCCGAAAGCTCTGAACCGCGGCCAAATACCCAGTCCGCTTGTGTCGGTACTTCTGAGACGACATGACCTCCAGAACGTTGAACGAGGCCCAGGACATGTCATGTCCGAACATTTCGAGGTAGGTGAGCTTCATGAGAGCGGTGGATTTGAGATCTGAATGTTATCAGCATCATAACCAAATTTGCATACCAGGCCAGCTCGCATACCCATATCATTACTCCGGATCTCTTTCCTGCATTCCTTAATGCTCTCCTGTATATATTCCCGCTCGTTGCCCTTGTGGTTCCGCAGGCCTCGAATGAGGTCGTACAGCGATTTCTCAAACCTATAGAGCTTATTAGTTACATGCTACACATTTGCGAAAAATCGAACTATATCCTACATGGCAGCGGTATTCGTAGAGCTCCTCCGGTATCAACAAGCTGAGACACGATTCGTGGAGGGGTAGGTCGGTCGTAGCGGGGATAGCCAAAAGGCATGTTCACCGACTCTGGGAGGTCATAGACGCAAAGTGAGGTGAATAGGACATGAGTTCCCGTCTAGCCTTCTGATTGTGAGATCCGTAGAGCTCTAGTGCGTCTACCAGCGTTGTTCCAATGAACGATGTCGTCGTCAGATCACGGGCCCACGGCCGTCTTTGCTCCGAGAGCTCTCTAAAATCAAACACCATGCCAAGCATCTCGACAAGCAACGTTGCATAGCTCCACGTACTTCCAATTCGCCCATACCGACCCTTCATAATACCGATACCTCCATTTCATCAACAAACACTATGTCCGCAACTCTCCTAGACCCCCCGCCGCACCTCTCCCCGCCGACCGCGCTCCGTCTCTCCCAACAAGCTCCTCTCGTTCTCGCGTCCTCCCCCGCCAGCTCGCTACCCTGGCCCATCTCGCTCCTCACGTCCTCTGAGACACCAGAAACTTGGTCGGTCCACGAGAATCTGCTCCTCGCATGCCTACGAACTGGCGACGACAGGTCCGCACGGCAGGTGCTGGACCGCATGGTCGCGCGATTCGGGGACGAGAACGGGCGCGTAATGGCCCTGCGGGGAATGTATGAGGAGGCAGTCGCAAAGGACAAGGGTGCATTGGAAAAGGTGTTGAAAGAGTACGAGACTACCATCCAAGCGGACCCGACGAATATGCCCATCCGCAAACGCCACATCGCCCTCCTCCGCTCTCTCGGCCGCCCCACAGATGCCATCGCAGCACTGACCTACCTCGTCGACTCATCCCCGACCGATGCTGAAGCCTGGGCCGAACTCGCAGACCTCTACGCCTCCCAAAACCTTCTCTCCCAAGCAATATACTCTCTCGAGGAAGTACTCCTAATAACGCCGAACGCATGGAACATTCACGCGCGCATAGGGGAGCTACTGTATCTCTCTGCTATCTCAAACGGAGAGGGAGGAGGGTCATACAAGGGATTTGCGGAAGCAATGCGCCGATTTTGCAGGAGCGTGGAGCTGAACGACGGGTACTTGAGGGGGTTCTATGGATTGAAACTTGTAAGTTCACCTGGTTTGGAATGGCATATTTGGTATGTAAAGTATTCTAATCGCAAAGCAGGCCACCAGCCGCCTCCTTAGTCTCCAAGCACCCAAGCGCAATGACGTATCCGCCGAAGACCTTCCACTACCCCCGGTAACCACCATTGAGAAGCTGAACGAGCTCGCGACGTCTAAGCTAGCAGAGATAGTGCGGCGGGGATCGGCGAAGGAAGCGGGTTGGGGTGGATATGAAGAGGCGGAACTCATTGCGGCGCGCGAGCTCTTAGATCGAGATGGTGCGAAGGTAGTGCGGTGAGTATGCAATGAAGGAGTCTGAGGTAAGCTTCACGGTATTGTACATGCGGAGTTCTCTTGCATATCACTGGGTCTGACTTAAAGGGTCTTGGCCTTTACATCACGATAGATTAATGCCCATTAGGCTGGGGTGCCTCAAATGGCTAAACACTGCCCCAGCCGCGTTGTAGATCTTGTTCAATCTGTGGTGGGCGTTGATTCCGTTAAGCTGATTTCGTGGTGAAAGATTAGGTGCTGTTTCACAGGGTCTATACCTTTACATCGACAATCCAACAATGTTCAATAGGCGGGGAGTGTCTCGCAAGGCTAAACACTACCCCAGCCGCGTTATTAGTCTTGCTCAATCTGGAGTGGGAAGGGATCTAACAGGCCTGATCGTGTCGTGAAACGAATGGTCCAATTTACAGCGTTAAGTCTTTGACAATGATGAAAATTTGAAGCTCAATAGGCCTGGCGTGCTTCGCATCGGTATACAATGTTTCAGCAGCTACACACCGTACAGCTGATTCTGAAGTCCGTGCAAATTCTAGGGGCTAATGGCTTGTGAAGAATAAGTACCTAATTCACAGCGTTCCAACTTCAACATCACCGAGCTATTAAGTCTGCACCCTCAGGACTTGCTTCGCACGGGCTACAACTACAGCAGCCGCGGCGTATCTTGCTGCTAGTTTCGGCTAAGAGGGTGTTTCGTAGACTGGATAGGGTGTGTATGTAAGGGGTCTGATTTGCCGTGCTCCGGCTTTGACATCGTTGGCTTATCGAGTCTGCAACCCCTAAACGTGCTTCGCATGTGCGAACGCTATACCAGCCACTAGGTCCTATACTGCTACTCTGAAGCGGGACAAGATCCTAGACTGTTGAAGGCGTTGTAAAGTTAGGCGTCTGATTTACAGCCCTCCGGCTGTAACATCCTTGATTCGTTGATTCCGCACCCCCATGACGTGCTTCGCGTATGTGAACACTGCCCCAGCTGCAATTCATCTCGCTGCTTAATTCGAAGCAGGAGGAAATCTCAAGGTGTAGACGACGTATCAAAGTTGGGGTTGCGAATCACGGTGTTCGAACTTTGACATCCTTAATTCATTGATCTTGCAACCCCAAGACATGCTTCACCCTATGTAATACCACCCTAGGAATGCTATTCTCAATCGTCTGAATCGCAATCGCGGGAAATAACATCGAAGTCTATTCATTTCTAAATCGCCAAGGAGGCCTCCGAAGGTATAGTTACATCCTCAAAACCAGCGGCCAGAAATACGCTTCGCCGAACGTGACATCCTCCTCAACTCTTCTCGCCCAACGAGGGTACTCCCGACAGCGTCAGCCGCCAGACAAAGCTTTAGTCTCAAAAAGCAGGTTTAGATATCAGTCACATTCACATTGATTTAGTTAAAAAGCATGCTGGAGAGGCTTCAGGCAGATGAGCGGCGGAGAAGACGGTCTTCATTACGGCCCAAATCAGGGCTCCGAGCACAACACAAACAAAAAACAAACAAAAACAAGTCTAAAAAATCAACTCCCGGACACCACCCCGCAAATCAAAACAAAGACTTTTTGAAAACAGCAGACAGCGCGAATTGGGCGGCGAAAAAGCCGGGTCGAAAAGGCGGCGACGGGCCCCAGGACGAACTACAGAAGGGGTATTAGCATTGGAAAAAAGGTTGCAATTGGGAGGGTGAAAGACTTACACAACGGACAGACACCGCAAATCGGGCGCACACACACATGCTCCGGACACCACAGCCAGACGCCGCCGGCAGCCACTCCGGACTCTGTGAGCGGATGGAAATTAGCAAGAGCCCAAGTTGCAATTTGGACTGGTTGGAAATGGAAGAAGAACTTACTCTTCACCCCTCACTGGAACCCCCACAGCGGCACAACAACTCCCCAGGGCAGCATGAGGAGCCACGCCGCGCGCCAATCTTCCGAATGTTGTATCGCCCAGGCGGCCTCCTCCCAGGGCAGACCGAGCTCCCACGCCGTGCCTTTTGCTCACATTAGTACCAGAAGCAACTAGTAAGAGGCCCATAATGGGAGAAGAAGTAACATACAGTGCAGGCAGCGCATCACTGCCACCGACCCCCGAAACTCGTACTCTCCCGCCGCATTGCGGCAATAGTGGTCCATTCGGACCACACAACGGTGCCCTTCGTGGCCGCAGGGGGCCCAGTCGATGTGCCACTGTTGGAGGTGGCCTCCGCGCCGTCTCTCCTCCAGCACGGCCTCAATGCGGGCGGTGCGTGCTACCTGGCGGCGGAGGGTGCGGGGCGACGGGGCGCGGGCACGAGGGCGGAAGCCGGCCACGATCTCGGCGATTCTGTCGGCAGAAGGGGTAGGCATGGTGGTGGTTTTGGGGCTTTTGTTGGAAGAAGCGCTGGAAGTGGTGGTTGTTTTGGGGGGGTTGCGAGAAAGAGGACCGAAAGCGGACAGAGATTGTTGGAAGAAGCGGAAGATTGCGCGGAAGAGGGTGTCTGTGGTGGTGTATGGGCTTTGGCTGCTGAGGGACGAAGGGCGGGGGACAATGGGGCTTTATAGAAGATTTTGCAGCAGTTCCCCCAACGATTGCGTGACCCACTCCTGAAACTGTTGGTATCATTGCGATCAAGAGCGGCCCCTGAGTGGCCATGATCCCCAGGTGGCGCCGAAACATGGGGAGGAACGGGGGTGCTAGCCCAATAGGGGGTATCCTGCTCATCATATCGCCCCACCAGTTCGCAGTCTGCAGGTACGCGGACAGGCAGAGACAGTCAGTGACGTTCAGTCGGGTCCGGGGTGGCTCGATAGGGTGACCATGTCCGCAGGGAGCGAGTGTCTAGCCCTTCAATTGAGGGTCCGATCAGCTTATCTACGTCGAGACGAGCATAGTTGGGATCGTCAGGTACGTGGCCCTGATTCACAGGCCACGCCCTCAGCTGCTGGTGTTGAGCCCATTCACTCGTCGAGGAGGCGAATCTGCCAGCCACCGCGCCGGCAGCGCGACGGCAGCGCGACGGCAGCGCGACGGCCTTCCTCTCCAGATCTACGTCTGCCTTTCGCGATCACCCACCTCCGCAATCTATACCCCGCCCATCTCACCGACAGCAGTATGCAGCTCTTCAAAGCGGCCAAAGCTTTTGACGGTGCTGAGACGCTGGTGGAGGAGGGCAGAATGCTGCGGGGTGTCACGCTTGTTGAGAAGGCTCGCCGGGTTCCGTGCCTGGCGCCGGGGTTTGCGGAGAAGGGCTGCAGTTCGCTGAAGCTCGAAACGTTCGACGTTGAAGCTACATCCCCATCGACTCAAGCCGGCATCCCTGCTGTCGTTGAGAGGCTTCGGGGGCAGCTCGATGCCTGGAAGAAGGACCCAAATCAGAAGGCTACGGAGGTTAGCTTAGGCCTCAAGCAATATTGATTCAACGACAAGCACTGACCTTCACTAGGCTATACCCAAGATCCAGAAGAAGCTGCCCACTGCTCAGGAGCCTGCCCAGGACGTCGGCCACGTCGAACCCACTGAAGACAATGCGCAGCATCCAGTCTCTCCATTCACACCCCCTACCCACAAGCATATCCAGAAGGACACCGACAGCTTCGAAGCTGCAGGAGGCCAAGCAGAGCGTGAAAGCAAGGACATTGATCAGAAGAGGAACTTCGCCCAGAACAAGGACAAATGCTGTAAGATCGCGCGATACCAGACAGAGCGTGATGGCAAAGACACAGCTCGGAATAATAGAGCCTCAGCGAAGGGCATCATTCGCCTTGAAGCCGCGAAAGACCGAGCAGACTATAACGGCGAAGGCACTGCTCAGAACAAGGCTACCAAGAAGCACATCAGCCATCTTGAAGTCGCAGAGAATCACGTAGAGCATGGCGGCAGACTTACCGCTCAGGAAAAGAAGAAGGCTGCTCAAGAGGACGAGCAGCTCGATGTCGCAGAAGATCAAGCAGAGCATGGCGCAAAAGCCCCAACTCCTACCTTGAGTACACCACTTACTCCTTCAAATCCTCATCCTGCTCCCGACTCAAGACGCCATGGTATCTCCTCAGGCCCCTCCGCCACTACCTCAAAGCCTGCCCAGAGGAACCAAACCGACAACGGTGGCCATGGAGAGCAGAAGCTCAGCCTCTTGAGTCTCGGACTCCGAGCAAGTGGAGAAGCTCTCATGAAGAACGCACCACACAGGCCACGAGAGCCACCAGCGGTATCTCGAGGAGCCCAGCCACACGTAGCGCCAAGTCTTTCCCCTGAGAGCTGGGTGCTCGAACCAGCTCGTCCCCCTGTCATTGCGAGATCCAAGCTCAAGATGCCTCACATCGAGTACGAGTACGACGAGGATGGTATGGTAATGGGCTCGGAGCTCGTAGACAAAGTCATCGAGGTGTACATGCGCGTGAAGCCAGATTGGGGCATCGACGACACGCCCCCACCGCTGTCGTGGAAGCAAATGGTCTCCAAGATCTTGACACCTACTCGTAAGTCAACCTACACAACCGTGCCAGACGTGCTTTGATACTGACTCTCGGTAGGAGTTTGGGATGCTGAGACAGCGCAGCGCCAGAGTATGTGGAAGCTCCAGTGGCAGACCCAGATCGTGATGATGGATCAATCGCACCGTAACGTCCTTGCTTTTGAAGCTCGTAAGGAGATATATCAGGCCAATGTGCGGGAAGAAGAAGAGCTCTGCCAGTACAAGGCGGAGCACGAAGCCAGACTCCGGTACATCATGTTCGTCGAGGCTCCGAAGTTCTGGGAGCAGCTTGGGGTTTGAGGGCACCGGCTGTATCTCACCCCTATACCACGTCAGCACCATTCGGCTGTACACGATGTCCTTCGGCAACCGAAAACTGAGCGTATGCGGTGACGCTTCGGCTAGGGTACCAATTGCCATCTTGCGGCTTTATTGGAGTCACTATGACTGGACTTACAAGGGAATTGAGTTGCATCCCTACAACCTGGGTCACCACTGTCCACTTCTCCTATACACTGAATTCCCCTTTACCGCTACCCACTTCTTACACATACCACTCTACATGCCCACTCATCACAAACACACTACCGAGCTCTTACACTCTTTCCCCTTTCGAACAACATAGACACCCAAATGGTTGCTTGAGATGTAAACCCAACGGACTGTTGAAGCTCTGTTGAATGATGAGTGAACGCCCAGAGGCCATGTTAAACCTACATTTGCGGTTCTAGCAAGCATATCGAGAGTCAAGGAGATTACCTGATTTACTGGATTATGGGCGTTCTACGTCGGTTTTAGGCGTTCATGTTTCGTCAATGCAAGCAATGAAGCTCCTTCGGAGGAATCGCCTGCCTTTACATTGCAGGAAATCACATTGTCTTTGAGTTTGGGTGTTGGTTTCGGAGTTAAATTGTCAATGGCGGTCAATAGAGCTCCTTGGAGAGAAAGCCGACTTTTACTTAGATACTTTCCCTTTCCCCTTTTTTCAAGCGGTTGGACGTAATGGGTGGCAGGGGCAGAGACGCTGAGGATGTTCACTAGTTAATAAGATAGTTGTTTGTTGTCGATATTAAGTCGTTGGGGTTTTGCTGAGCTCTGAATGACCTCCTTGGGACGGATGGCAAAGTCCTACCCCTTTGAAGTGAATGTACATAATTGGCTAGATAGCTCTTGAATACAAACCCATGTTTTGCTCTTACTCCGGTATTTTGCTCGTCCAAGCCATGTAAGTGACCCCGTGGATGGGGATCTCCCCTTTCTCGTTGGCCTCGACATCTTCCCCGTTGACGATCTCGGTAAAGGTCCGCTTCGTTTTCTGCACAACACCATCGTCAGCACAACTTCGAGCAACGCATTGAACAACAACAACGCATGACGAAGACGATGCGGCGGCGTCATGGGCTGGCGATATTCTAGATTCACTGACAGTCCAGGTCCGTTCCGGAATGCGTGCAGCTTTGTCCTCGGCGGGTACCAAGAGCGAGATGTTCAACACCCAAGCAAGCGCGTCAACGAACAACGCATCGAGCAGTGACTTCGGCGACATCCTCATGACGTGCACCACATCTCCGATGGCTCTCGAGAAGAGGCATGGCCAGCATGGCGTGAGAATGACTCCCACAGCGTGGCTGGCTGCGCTGGCACCGGCCGAAGACTCTCCGCCGAGCGCTCTTGACAACACAACACCAGCGACTCGAGTGTGCGGGAGCATCATGGCTGCTAGTACCTCTTCAAGTTCAGCACTCTTGGGAGATGCTTGGACAGACCAAATACCTCTTTGCCTCAGCGTTGCTGTGGTCGACAAGGCACGTCCTGCCCCCAAGAGCTTCTCAGCCAGCTCATCCTACATCGGACCCCGCAAGCTACTACAACGTGCATTGCCGTACCTGCAGGGCCGCCTGATAGATCAAATTGAACTAACCAAGCTCAATTAACCAGCAGCAGATAGGTCTCCTCCTAGTATTGGCAAAGCGGCGTTTAGACAAGATGCGGTCGGCGGCGGTCTTCATCTTCCTCTTCCTCTTTCCCAACACAACAACACATCACACCAACCTCGTCACACGGCCCCTAGGCATGTAGAACTCGTCTGCAGAGCAGCACTCTCCATGAACGAAGGTAGGCCAATGAACACAACGACTGGGACGAGCCGTAGCCGGCGCGCTCTGTACCTACACTCGACGCACCCTCTAGGATAACTTAGCTCCTGCCACACGCCACGGCCCAGCTACAACTCGCCCGCTTCTATATTGGCTCTGACGATCGTCAGGGAAATAGATTAGGAGATGAAATGACGCCCCAAGAGAGCGGCCAAAGCTCTAGTCTTCATGGCAAGGAGACTGAAGCTGATTCTGCTCAGTTGGAATAACAACAGAAGTTGGCGCCAACCCGGGGACGTAGATTGCGAAACAATTGGTATAGGCGGAGTTGCTTGGATAGATAGAGTGATTGTGCACTCATCTTGCGAAGATATTGAGGTCCTGGCATCAGCACCTCCATTTCATCTCGTAACCTTCAAGACGCAACGTATTTTTTCTTCTCTTCAGGTCTTTTCTTTTACAAGCTCGTCGATGTCCAGGGTAATCTATCTCTTTCTGCTCTTCGTTCTTTCAGTCTCCTTTCAAAGCTCTCTGAAATCTTTTCATCTCATCCTACTGCGGGTATTGCCCTATTCCAAGGATGGTCCCGGTCCATGGACGAATTTGCCCCTTTGGTGGGCTGCCAACCAGCAGTTTACTCGGGTATCTCCATTTCAGAACATTATGATGGCCACGGCAGATTAGTCCAGGTTTCCCAGGGTCTGATCAGTCCACGGAGAAAACTTATCCATGGAAAACCGAAGAACTCATCACGAGGAAAGAAAATGTTAAATACTGACCTCGAGCTCTTCTCCTTCGAGAACAGCGATATGGCTCAGAGTGCTGTAGCGACTCCACAGCGATTCCTTAGACAGCCAAGTCGTGAACTTGACCTCGTCCTCGCCCAGGGGCAAGGAAAATAGGGGGTTTGCCGACGTCAAGATCGTCAAAGGTGTTGACTTGACTTGATTGTCGAACACCTGCTTCCACTTTTCATGCCGGAATCGAGGCTCATTGTCGTCGAATGTCCACGTCAGGTCGTGCAGTTTGCTTTCCCAGGTCGTAGTCATGGCTGCGGACTTGGTTTGGTTATCTGAATAGGGGTAAACATTATCAGACGTGCCGTAGGAATCGACATAGTAAAGTCAGCGGTGGTTGAGGCTGGCAAACTCAGGGGTCGCGTCATGATCCCCACGAAAACACGAGGCTACTGTTCGGCTTTACTGACAGTCTTCAATGTTCCATATCATCCCAAGCACTCCACCCGGTTTCAAGACTCGATGGATTTCGCGCAAGGATTCCTGGTTGGCGAACCAATGAAAGGCCTGCAGGTATATTCGTGTCAGCAATGACGCTGCCCCGGAGATCCCAATATTGAAGCCGCAGGTACGCAAGATCTATGCCGGACGATCTGTAGCTGCATGGGTTTTCAAGAAAGATGGAACATGTTGGGCTAAACCGAACACAAAGCGCGGAGAAGATTACGAGAGAAGTTGGGAAGGGATGACGCGGCCGGAGAGCAATGAAACGAGGGGTTGCAGTGCAGAGTTAAAGTATCGGAGGAAGAACGACTGGATATTGAAGAGGCACGATGGAGCGGCGTAATCTTGCTGCAGTGCGAGGTATGCTGCATGCCGAAGGGAGGGGTTTGCGTCTACCCAGGAACGGGATCGGGATCGCACGGCTGGCCAGGCCACCTGCCGGAAAGAAAATGTCCAAAGCAGACAGCTAAGAAAGAAAGAGGATGGAAGCAAATGGATATGTACATACCTGGGCGGCAAACACAGCATCGATTGTCCCGTCCGCTGCGGGTATGGCGGTCGCGGACCCGTCACGGCTGTCGACGCGGCGGAGGTTCTTCCTCTCCAATTCGCTCCGCATACCTGCATGAGGCTCAACGGCCAGGATTTCGAACCCCTCTTCGCGGGCAGCGAGCAGCTCCGTGAATTTGCCAGTCCCAGAGGCCAGGTCCACAATGCGAGCATCGCGGACGCCGCCCACTCCTGCCGCAGCCAGGAGCTTAGTCACGGCCTTGGCTGGATAGGAGGGCCGATACTGGTCGTACAGGCGGCCTTTCGCGAAGCCTGTGAGGGCGCGTTCGGACAGCTTCGTCGTCGCCATGGTGGTATGCTGTCCTGCGTGCGATGTGCGTCGTCTGCCGTCTGGGGATGCGGAGGGGTACGACGACGACGACGACGTCGGCTGCGGGCTGCGGGCTGCGGGCTGCCGTGGATGAGGAACAACACCAAATGGATCGCATCATGACGGCCCAGCGTGGCGTCTGCGTGTGGCGGCAGCGGAGGGGCCAAAGCCAGCGATGCGCCCCTGTCCCACACTTCTTTTGGGCGCCCCTGTCTGCAATTCTCGAGCTGCCAGCCAATCGAGAGCCCACCGTGGAGTCCCAGCTCGACGCCGACGGACGCCAGGGCGGCGGCGTCCTGGCATGGTGCATATGTAGACACAGACGGTGGTGCGGGAGCTCGAGCTCCCCGTGCGGCTTCTCGAGGCATGTGTTTTGAGGAGACAGCGTGTCCAGCGCTCCCCGCGAATGCTGCGCTGGAAAACGCAGTCATCGCTCTCAGCAAGCTAATGCTGCTCCCAGCCGGCGGTGCAAGACATTGGAGGCTGGAGACGGCTGTGAGGCCCGGACGCTGACTGCTGCAGAAGCCTCGACCCGTGCCTGCTCCTGGTCGAATGCAGCCGCATCCGTGGTGGCAGGCTCAACCATCGATCGCCTCCTAACCCTAAGCATTTCGGTGCAGCCGTTATACTGCGTGCTCCTGCAAAAAGCCCCGTCCTGGGCAGACACACCACCTATAGCCATTCTCACAGTACATTGTTGTAATACCCTTTTTCTACCAAGCCTGCGATCTACCAGGCGGCGTCATTGCTCGCCGACCCGCTCCAAACCTAAACACCGTCGTCCCGGCCGAGACCCTTCGTCGACGTCGCCCATTGCACCAGCTCTGCCCTTCTGTCTCTCCGAGCAGGTTTCCCTCGTTCCTCTCCAAGACCGTGTCGGCTTTCTTCGACTTTGGTGAGTGTAGCTTGTTTCTCCTGACCGCGCCGAGAGCTTTGGCCGCCCGTCGTCCGACAAAAAAACTCCACAACAACACCTCGCCCTCGACGACCTCCACCCCCCTACAACCGCCACACCACCGACATCTCCAGCCGCTGCTCTTCAGGCGCTGCTTCCTGCAGCACTGTCCAACCTCTCTCAGCGTGCCCGCTAGCGATCTGCGGTTCAGCGAGATCTCTTTCGAGACCTCAGCGATCCGTCATCCAGCCAGCGCGCGACAACAACTTCGCGTCACAGCTGCCCCTGCTTTCAATCGACCCTCAGATCTCTGGATTCTTCTTCAATTGCTCTCGGACACACCGTCAAAATACGACGCTAACACAATTCCGCGCTGCCGCAGAGACTTCACGACTCCGCTAAATCCTCTCCTTCAATCCTGACGTCTTACGAGATCACGACCAAAAGCTCCCTTCATTCGCTTGCTCGCATATGTGCCGACCTGGACCCAAATCAATCTCCTCATGATCCTTTCCCTTTGGTTGTCATGAGCATTGGATAATTCCTTACTGGGCATTTCCTCTTGTCAGCGGTGCATAAGTTAGCGTGGGAAAAGCGTTGCATTCAATTACACCACACCACATCATGCCGGTCACTAGTTTCCTGCGTCGGAAGTCCACCGGAAACGAGTTGGAGGCAAGCACCGACGCCGGTGCCTCGTCTCATGGAACGTTCCGCACATTAGATCGAGCAGAGGTTGAGGCTCAAGCTGCAGCTAGAGCAGCAGAGCAAGAGAAGGCACAACAGAAAAAGGGACTCTTCAGCAGATTCAGCGGTGGCGGCAATAAGCCTCCCGGCTCCGCGAATCGTCGACAGCATTCCTTCGAGGATGAATCTCCCGGTGGACAGAGGTACGCCAGACAATGTCCCTTTCTATGTCTTTCTACTAAAACTGACGCAGGGGTAGCAACGGAAGTAGTGCCGCCAACTCCGCGCTTTCGCGCGTGTACGACACCTCTTCACAGTCAGCTCGGCATAGCTCCAGCTCAACACTTCCCTCCGCAGACGACGACAACATGTTCGCCAACACTCACCCACATACATCGCCCAATCATTCTGCACTACGGTCATCACATACTTGGGGAGGCCAAGGCGGTCCTCAAGTTCCTCCGAAGTCCAGCAACATAGAGCGCCCAACCGCTCAGTTCCGCGAGAGATCTCAGACGCAGTCGAGCTATGCTAGTACAGCTATTGCTCCGCGTGTTGAGGCCAGTCTGCCACCCTCGGCCAGCAGCTTTTCGAGCGAGTTTGATAACATGTTTGAATCGTTAGAGTCGCAGCCGAAATCTGTAAGTGTAGACGTCATTCCATCCCAACCCTGGCGCGATGGATAATTACGGAAGCTAATGTGTGAATAGAGCAATGCCAGATCTGCCGCACACGAGTCGACTCTTACTACGCCCGGCCGATCCCTGCTCGCTGGCAGACAACGATTTCAGCAGGAGCCTGTGAATGTGGAGAGATCTCTCCACGTCGACCCTGCTCCAACGTCTTGGGATAGTAGGGACTCTGCCGAGCGACTCATCCTTTCTCCCACCGATTCGGAGATGTCCCCGCCTCCTGTACCTCCGCACGCACATTTAAGGACGCCATCGCCATCTCAGCAGGCCGCTGCGGCTAGCGAGCCAGACACCACCGAGACTCTCTACGGGGGAATGTCTAACCGCGGAGGTGCCAAATACAACGCGGTAGGCTCAACAAACCATTTCTCAAAAGGAAAGGGTAAAGCCCCAATGCCCGCAGCCTCAGCCACTGCCCGCGAACCGCTGCGTGAACCACTTTCAACGTCCGCAGCTACCCGACAGCCGCTCTCCACGTCGCTCACTCCGCGCCAAGCCATCTCCACATCCGCTTCTTCCTCGAACACACTGCAGACGCCTTCTTCATCTCGGTCCGCCTCGAACAACGCAACACCGCGTGCACAGGGCCATTCGCTTGTCGACGGTGCCCGAATGGAGTCTGTTCCTCTGAACTCTTCACCTGCCGTCGGCACCGATGATGAAGACACGCCCTTGTTTGACGCAGCAACCATATCCTCCGTCAACGCAGCCCGACGATTTGCGGAAAGCGAGCCTCCTAGGCGCGTCATGCGAGCTGAAGACTTTCGGAGGGAGCAGAAGCTCGCGAATTCCAGGCCCCCCCCTCAAGACGACAGCAGTGAGGAGGAGAACGAGTACGAAGATGAAGATGAGGAAGAACGCCATCAGGCCCAACGAGAACTGCGCCGTAGACAAGAAGCACAGCTTGCGGCAAGTCGTGAGGTTATGAGACGCACTGTTGGCAACGATAGCGCGCGCCCAGCGAGCCAGGCTGGCACAATTCCTTCTTCGGGTTTCCCTGCACACATGTCCCTCCATGACGACTGGGACGAGAACGCCGATATGCCTCTCGGAATCCTCAAAGCTCATGGATTTCCTTCACAAGGTCGCCCGCCGACCCAACCAGCAAACTACACACCTTCATACACCGGCATCGCAGAGCGCCCAGCTTCTGCTGGTGCCTTGGGCAACGGACAAGCTCGATCTAGCGTACCAGTCTTTGCTCGAAACCTGCCTTTAGACCCTTTCCGCGTCGAAATTCCCACAGACCGTCAGTCATTCCACCTTGGCGGGGGCAATCCTCTACCAGGCCCGCGTTCGTCAACAGGTCCGCCTTCTGCTTACGGGGGAAGCACCAACATGAGCTACATGGATGTGATCCAGGCCGAGGAGCGAGCCAAGGCCATTCGGCGAGGAAGCCCTGGACATAAGCACTTTGGGTATGGCGACACTCTCCACCAACAGATGCCCCGTACGCAGACCATGTCGTCAATGATGCAGCCACCGTGGGGATCTCAGCAGCAGCAATTCCAGCAACAGCAATTCCAGCCACAACAATTCCAGCCACAACAGCCGTTCCCTATGATGCCTCAGATGCCAATGGGAGGGCAGCCCGGCGGCGGCGCAGAGTTCCAAATGGCGTTCATGATGGCACAGCAGATGCTGATGCAACAGCAACAGCAGGCTGCTTTGGTAGGCCAAATGGGACAAATGAACCTAGGAGGCCAGCCACAGCCCGCAAATCCGTACGCATTCCAGACGAATGGATTCTTGGCTCCAAATCGCGCTCAAAACCCGAACCAACTGCGCCCGCAGTCGGTTGCTTCTAACGTCTCCGCGGCGCGCCCGTACGGGCCAAACCGCACAACCTCTACCCCTAATCCGCAGCCTCGAGCCCCGCAAACAGGTAACGTATCACTTGACAGCGGATTCACATCCCCTTTCCTTGGCTTTTCTTCACAAAACGGCGGTGGCTATGCCCCGTCTATCGCTCCATCTGAACGTTCTAACATAGGCTTAGCTTCACGGTACCGACCCGTCGTGGCATCGCCGCCACCGGACGCTACGTCGATTGGGTCGTCTTTGACGGCCCAGGCGACCGCTGGCGCTCCGGGGGCGGCGGGGGCAGTGAACCGGGCGCCGTCGCCCCTCGCGGGTGGCGAGGCAGAGGACGCGGCGTGGAAGAGCCTGGGGGAGAGGCGGAAGAAGTGGGGGAAGAAGGGGAAGAAGGGGGAGGGGTTGGGGGAACTGTGGGCCGGGGAAAGGGAGGCTTAGGGGGTGGCTGGGGGGCCAGAGAGGCCGTGGGGGCCTACTTTGGTGATTAATGGGAACGAAAATGTGGGCCTACGGGCCTTTAATACGGCGGAAGCGGCCAAGGCGGCCAAAACTTCTTGTAATAATAGACTTTCTCTTTCTTGATCATGTTGCTCCTCATGCGTGACTCCACCTGCCAGTTTTACCTCCCCAGAGGCCCCTTTACCGCCTAATCTTAAACCCTTAAACTCTCCTATCTTGGGGTGAAAAGTGCCTAATTAATAGCCTATAACGTATCCTCTTTCGCTCCTTCTTTGGACCTTTTCGTCTCTAGACCTTCACGTTAGGGCCCCCTTTCCGCCCCTTGTGTTCCTAATTATAGCCCCTTTTCCGCCTAATAAAGCACCCGTAACGTCGACACTTTCGCTCTTTCTCTAGGCCTACTCGTAGTTACCTTTGCATTTCGCTTCCGTTAAAAGTCCCCACAGTTCCACCCTAAATGCCGCCGTTTCCTATATCCTCTAAATCGTCCTACCTCTTCCTTACGCCTACGAGCGCAGTAACACGCCTGTAGACCCTCACACCCTTTCGCTCTTGAAAAAAAAAATAGGATGTAAAAGTTTTGCACCCTTGAAACCAGAACCTTATCTAAGACTGTGCAACGGGAAGAGTAATTTTCTACTCCTCCTAAATCATTCAACTTCTTCCTCCTCTGTGCGCGGTCACGAACACCTTTATAGACCCTCACGCCTAACCAACTCTATAAAAAACAAGAATGTAAACACTTGCAAACTCGAGATTGGACCCTCGTCTATTAACATCCCGTGGAACCAGGAAAACTCCTACGCCTCCTATATTACACCTCTTGTTCTCTAATACTACGAGGGCAGTAGCGCCTCTGTGGCCCTTCACGCCTATCTGCCCGTAAACTTCTCGGATGTCAAAGTTTAGACACTCGAAACCAGACCACCAGCGTGGTGCTCCGCAGCCCTTCAATTCACATCAAGTCACCCTTCAAGTTTGAGGTATCGGTAGAAATATGGGAGGCACTCTTGCCTATCGATTAATGAATACGCAGGATGTAAAGGTCTCCACATTCGAAATCAGACCGCGCAAATGACATATCCCAGTACGCCCCCAGAACGCTTCAACGCACTAACCCAACCCGAAATCCAAACGGTATTAGCAACAGATACTCAGTGCCCATTCCTCCTCTTGGCCTCCTCAAGCGCTGCCTTAAGCCTAGCAGCCTTTACCGCCTCTTCGTTGGACGGCGGCGCAGCCCCCGGTGTGCCACCTTGTGTGCCAGCTCCTGCCAACCTGTCTTTGATAAGGGCCTCTCCCTCCCGAAGATCCTCTTCCAGCACACCTAGCCTGCGTACCAGCTCACCCTTCAGCCGCTCCTCGCCCTCCTTGAATTCTTGCTCCAGCCCAGCCACCCTGGGCTTCTCCTTCTCAGCCCCCAAATTCTCTGCCTTCGCCGCCGCAATCTCGGCCTCAATAACCGCCCCGTTAAGCACAAGCTCAACCTCATTAAACGTCGTCATCAGATCCTTCGAACTCTGCTCCAACGCCTTAAGCACCTGATCCGCAAGCCTCACAACCGCGACGCCATTCTCCGCCTGCACCTCATTGGGCGAGATCTTACCAAGCACCGCCACAATCTCATCCCTGACGCCCTGATTCGCGCCCACAGACCTCACAACCGCCTCCTCAATCTCCCTGACCAAATCCGCAACCCTATCTGCACGCTCGCTCTTCGCCCTTAGCACAGCCTGCCTCTCCGCATTCTCAAAATGCCGCTCCACACTCTTCATCTTCGCGATATTCCCCGCCGCATACAGCGGCGTGATCTCCGTCTTCTTATATCGCCTATCCCGCTCCGCGACCAACTGCGTAATCCGTTCATGCCGCAGCTCCACCGCCTCATAGAACTTCCGCAGTACCTCAATCACCATCAGCGTCGGCGGCGGCGGAGAAGCCGCCGCCACGTCCCTCGTTTCCAGCGCCTCGATGCCCGCGACGCTCGTCTCGAGCAGCTTCTCGCACTCCCCGAGCCCGCCCATGAGCCCGCGCACGCCCTCCTGCAGCTGCTCGTACCCCTTGTCGAACACGCCCTCGACGAAGCGCGCGTACTCCTCGCGGTCCTCCTTGGCTTTCCGCCGCGCTTCCTCGGCCTTGAAGTCGTCCTCCAGCGAGCCGATGTCCGCGTACGAGATCTCGTTGTCGTTGAAGAGCTGGTCGGTGCGGGCCTCGCTTTCCTCCTGGCGCGCGCGACGCTCGCGGTCGAGGGTGCCGCGGAGTTTTGTGGCGGCGGACTCGTAGGTGGTGGTTAGGGAGGTGAGGAAGGTGAAGTCGGCTGGGTGGGAGGAGAGGAGGTTTTGGAGGTTGGTGATGGCAGGATGGGAAGAGGGCGGGGAGAGGGATTTGGGGAGGAGGGAGGAGAGGGTTGCGAGGCCGGATGAAGAGGTGGGTACTGGCGCCGGAGTTGGGCCTGGGGTAGATGCGGTGGTGGAAGGAGCCCCTGATAGATTCAGTGGGGCGGGGACGTCGATGGCGTGGTCGGAGAAGGATTCGTCATGGGAGGATGAGGTTATGGGCCTAGAAGATGGTTTAGAACTTGGCTCTGGCTGCTGTGGCTCATTGAAGAAGATCTCGTCTCCTTTGTTGCGTGAAACTTGCAGTGGAGCTACGCCGAAGGACATGGATTGACGGTGATCGGTGTAGGAAAGCGATTGACGGTGAATACTGTGATCCTGAATCGCCGCAGTTGCAGACGAGACAATGTTCTCTCCTGGCGAATACGGCTTATATTGCGGCTGTGGTTGCTGTTGGAGTAGAGGCAGCTGCTGTGGTGGTTCCATAGGCTGCTCGGGAGTTTGCATCGCCTTACTGAACTCGTCCCCGGTGGAGCTCGTGGGGGTCAACATCGTGGTTGACTGGTTTGAGGGCTCGCTCCCACCACCAGCCATACTGAAGGGCAGGTAGCCTCGATTACCAGGACTGTCTGTTCGCCTAGGTGCGCTATCCATCTTGGTCTTAATTGGAGACGGTGGACCCTGCTGGAACTCCCTGATAGGGGCCCTCTCCTCGGGTCTAGACGGCATGCCGAAAGATTGCTCGGTAGAGACGTTGGATGGGTTGGATTGTAGTGTAGGTTTTCGCCTCAAGATTGGTCGTCCACCGGGGCTATACTCTTCGGGAGCAGGCTCCATGGAGAACGACTCTGACGGAATTGGAATAGTCATCTTCCGCTCTAGTGGTTTAGGTACTAGGCCGGATTCTGACTGAAGAGGCGCCAAGGGTGTAGGGGGAGCACGATAGTACTCAATGCCCCGAATTTGAGATTCCGCAGCGAGGAACTCCGTGAGCACCTTTTTCTTGTCCTCTATATCCATTGCGGCAGCCTCGTGGCGAAGCATTGCAATGTATCTCTCCAGAGACCCAGCATACCAAGGATCGATGTCCGAGATGAGGTCGCGTGCGGTAGGTGGTTGGATTTGCTTGGGATGCTCGTCGTGGCTTTTCTCTTGAACAAGTCGGCTGTTCTCTTGGGCGAGCCTATCCCTCTCTTCGGCAACTTGTGCAAGCCGGCTGTTTTCCTGAGCGAGTCTATCTCTCTCCGCGGTGACTTGAGCAAGTTGGATATTGTCCTGGGCTAGTTTGTTCCTCTCTTCAGTGATTTGGGAAAGTTTGACACTATCCTGAGAGAGTCTGTCCCTCTCCGCGGTAACTTGTGCGAGCTTGTCCTGGAGCTCCGTATGCTGACTGTCTGGTCCTCTGGATGACGATGCTGTTTGAGCAGAACCCCATCCACCATCATCCATAACAAAACTGCCCTCGGGCTCTTTTGTGCCTTGAGATCTCGCAGGCGGAGCCTGGCCCCAACCCCCGTCATCCATGACAATGACAGCGGCTGGAGGTGAAGCGGGTCTCTTTACAGACGGCTCATTAGGTGCTGCCCAGCCTCCATCATCCATGACAATGACTTGCGCAGGAGCAGTCTCAATATGTTGACGGAATGGTTGTTCCTGCACCGCTGGCCATTGATGTGACGACCTCGCAGTGTCCGGCGATTTCTGTGCGGGTGCCTCATGCATATTCGGGCCATGTGGCAAGGGAATATCGGGAGCTTTAGGTGGCGGCGTGGGATCATAGTGCTCGCGACTACCTGAAACGTTATGCTGGAAGCCTGATGAAGGACGGTTAACATTCAGCGGAGCGGGCGCCGGCGGAGTCGGCCATTCATCCACACTGACAGCAGAGCCAGTGGCCGCTAACGGAGGGGATGGAGCGGTGGGAAGCTCCACGCTATCCACATGATGCAGCTCCTCCTTACCCTTCGCACCGAATATCTCCTCATCATCAATCTCATCGTCTGCAGATCCAAAGTGCTCCCAGTCAGATGGCCCTCCCATGCCTAATGCAGAAGCCGCAACAGTGGGTGCAGGTGGCGATGGCCATCTCTGTACTGGCGTGCCCGTCTTGCTGCTGTGCGACGCCGGCTTCTTGCTCATAATCGAGCTGATCGAGTCCGTCCGGCCCAGAGCGCCACCACCCTGCCCCGACCCGAACACGCTGTTTCGCTTCTGGTGTATCGGCGAAACAGGATCGTTGTGGGAGACAGGAGGGCTCTGCTCAGTATGGGCGTTGAAAAGGTGCTGCGTAGCCTGTGCCTGTAATTGACCATGAACAGGCTTCGGGGCTTGGATGGATTGGTCTTGCCCACCTTGCTGCTGTCCTTGAGTTTGCCAGTCCTGCTGGGGGGCTGGTTGAGAGACATTGCCGTATGGTGCCGGAATTGGCGGTTGCTGAGGTACGTTCTGGGCCCCATACCCCTGGCCTACGCCCTGCTGTTGTGCGTTCCAAGCGTTTGCTGCTTGTGGTGGAAATTGTTGCCCAGGCTGTTGAATCGCACTTTGTTGAAACTGCTGGGGTTGCTGAGGGTTATGTTGGAGCTGGCCTTGTTGCGTGGGATGCCCGTATTGTTGGCCTTGAGGCGGCGACTGCACTTGCTGACCGAACTGTTGCTGCTGAGGCGGCGACTGAATCTGCTGGCCGAGTTGTTGTGGTGGTTGTTGGAATTGATTTTGAACAGGCTGATTGAAGCCTTGTTGACCTTGTTGAGTCGGCATTGGCTGCTGAGGTTGAAATTGCTGCCCTGGTTGTTGCATAGGCTGTTGGAATCCCACGCCACCTTGAATGCCCTGTGGAACTCCTGGCTGAAACTGAGGTTGCGGGTTCGGCTTCGTATATTTGAATTTCTTACCGCCCCCCTGCCCTGGGAGATGCTGCGCTTGACTCCAAGCTGGAATATCCGGAGGCGGTGGTACGTAAACGCCGGGTAGAGGGTTCGTATTGGCAGGCATATACGATTGAACACCTTGCCCAGTGAGAGATGGGGGGATGTAAGTGGGATGCTGCTCGTCTGGGCTCAGTACTGTCTGAGGCGGGTTTTGAGAGACCGCAGACTGGGGAGTAGAATAAGTCCCTGATGGGGTTGAGCCGTATATTGAGGTTGGTCTGTTCGCAGAGGGTGGGAAATATGACCCTCCAGGGGTAGCAGAAGGCGGAGGAGGGGCGGCTGTATTGTAGGAATGTGGTGGAGCAGGCTGGCTTGGTACTCCACCATGCTGTGGTTGCTGGCCGGGATATCCACCCTGTTGACCTTGCTGATTGAACTGCGTAGGCTGGGCTTGTGCTTGGAAGTTCTGAGCAGGTGGTTGCATGTTGTATGCCGGCTGCTGGTTCCAGTTCTGAGTGTTCTGTTGTTGCTGCGGTGGCTGCTGTTGCATGCCTCCCTGAAATTGGCCAGGTTTCGGTGGCGGTGGAGGGGGGTTGCCCTGCGGCTGATTTTGAGGCTGCAGTGGATAGCTTGTTAGCTATCTACTCTACTCTCATCATTATGGGGTTGCTTACTGGAATCACGCCCTGAGCAGACTGCGTATAACCCCCTGGCATTGTTCCATACGTCCCTGGATTATAGCCTCCAGTTGGCTGTTGCTGTTGCTGGTGCGGAGCTTGCTGCGGTGCTTGCGGGTTCTGACCCCACGCCTGTCGGGCAGGAGGTTGATTCCATTGCTGCTGCATTGGGGGCGGGCTTTGCGTGGGAGGAGCCCACTGACTCTGATTCACAGCAGGGGATGTCGAGGACTGGAAGCCTTGAGGCGCTACATAGCTTGTTAGCAGGTGGTCTGCCAGTTACGCCCAGGAGAGCTGATGCCTTACCTCCGTATGCTGGTGGGGGAGCTGGCTGTCCTGCAAATGATGTTGTGCTTCCTGGCCGTTGGTAACCTCCTTGCTGGCCAGGATTTCCATACGGCTGCATTATGATTAGGTGTCTACACAGCAAAGGGCGGCTAAGGCCTCCCAGTAAGTCTGCGCGCCGTCCTGGTCGCGATCGCTGACGCTGTGGTACAGCAGGGGTATGAATAGGAGTAGTACAGCAGAGAGACTTCCAAGAATTCAACAAAGGCGTATCATGGAGAGCAGAACACGCGAGAATACGCAAAAAGACAGCAGCGAGGCAGCGGACAACGCAACAGGAGAGGAGTCGCGCGAGGAGGGCTGAAGAGTGCCAAGCTCATGCACGGATTCGAGACCGGACTGCAAGGCGAGCAGCCGTCGTTTATCACGCCCCTAAAAATACCTAGTGGATCCTGGCGCGCCCCGAGCGTCAATGTTAGTGCCCTCATGCTGTCTGTCAGTTCACCAAAAACCGGTCGATAGAGTATTCAAGTAGACAGTATATTGATTGCTGCTCAAGACTGCATCTATTCTGTGTGAATTTTCTTTCACTGCCAGTAGGACTTTAAGTTGCTTCCAGGACTCTGGCCAAGACGGCATGTTCACAGCTCCTCGCATGCTTCACAAACGCTGACCTAGCAATTTCCTCCCATGCTCAGACTTATGAACTCCCATTTTGTCCAGATTTTTGAACCATTCTTGTAGCCCTTCAAACAGAGCCAGACAAAGATAGTAGTCACAAGCAGTCACCTCTCTGCCTTCGTACTTATGTCAAGGCATTTTCTTCTATTTCATATGCCGTGAGTCCGGGAGTATAGTGTACATATATGCTTCAGGCCTGGAATTCCGAGGAGTACAGTGAATGGCCCATTTCTGTCTGTCGGGGCTGGGGGAGTCAGGAGTAAGCTCGAGGCAGTTAGTCTATAGAAAACTTGACTTTGGGGGTTGATTGCTCGTTGGCAACCGACAAGTGGATGGTTCCTACATCCCCGATGTTCTTTGCCGCGTCACACTTTAGACAGCCCACCAACATAAATCGACTGGATTGAGGTGTTCTGCGTGTTGTTGTGGTCGCCCTAGCATCCCTAGCGTCGGCCCTGAGCCATCGCTTCACCAACCGCCTCAACAAGCATGCCTTCCAACCGAACTACACCTACTGGTGCATCACCAAGCGCGGTGAGATTCGTTCGCAAGCGCTCGATAGTGCGAGGAGGCAACGCAATCCGCAAGTGGTTGTTCTCCTCGTTATCCAGATGTCTGATCCAATCTGCCGCAGTAGATGGTGGTGGGTTTGCCCCGTATCTGATCGGCAATCGCCCTCTGGAAGCGAATCTCGGAGGCGGTTCTACCAAAACCTTGCGGCATTTGGGGCAGGTGATCGACCTCTTCTCGATCTTGCAAGTGTTGCACCAGTTGTTCAGGCAATCTTCTCCAAAGACATGCTTGCAGGGCAGCTCAACTGCAACCTCCTCGTCCTCGCATGCAGTGACCGACTTCTGGGAGTACTCTTTGACACAGATCTCGCACTCTGTGTCAGCACCTTCTGGGAGATCACTCAGGACCATCCTCTTCAGTCCTGATTTGAAGCTACTGATCTGTGCCTCGGATATAGTAGGAGGGTCTGCGGCGGCCCTCTGGCGTGCAGCCAAGATTCCCCGTCGTTCGCGCAGTGCGTCGAGACCTCCGATGTCGCGATCTCGCATTGCATCGAGTCGTCCGATGTCACGTCGCATTCTTTCAAGCTCTTCGCGTCGTGAAGATATCCCGCGCCTAAGGATGCCGTCGAAGTCCAGGCTATCCTCTGAAGAGTCTGAGGAGAATAATTCTAGTCCTGATAACTGGTCTTGTCGCTGTGATTGCGGCGTTGGTACTCCCCCCATGCTGACATGGCGCTGTCGTGGGGAAGTTGCGTCGAGGTCTTCGCTGTCTCTTCGCAATCTGGTCATTTCTCGCCGTCGTTGCATTGCAAGCTCACGCGAATCGGCACGCGAGTTAGGTTCCTCCGAGGTAGCTGGTGGAAGAGAAGGTCGGCTGTGCCTCGTGAGATTGCTGTATCGGTGTGACGAAAATCTCGATCTCGCCTCATCGCTGACATTGTGCCGTCGGTCGTCAGGAGTTCCCGTGTTGGATCTCTGGCTATTTGAACGAGCTCGCTCTCTCAGGTTCCAATTTTGAGCATTCTGTGAGCCGGCTGAGTTACCACGGTCATATCCATCTCTGCTGGCTGGTGGTCGAGATAAGTCGTGCTCCGGTGTCATGAACGGAGACGGCGCAAAGTGAGGAAGAGCATACTGGGGGTGCGGAAGACCGAAAGGGTAGAAACCGTCATTGTGCGGTGCCTGGGGATAGTTGGGCGGCAGGAACATGGAGGGCCGATAACTATCAGGATACGGGAAATTCGGAGGAGGGAAAGGAGGCTGATGTCCGCTCATGGCCAAGAAGTCCAGCGGAGTGGGGTGAGCTGGAGGCGCGTATGCTGTCGGTCTACCGAACCTCTGCGGCTGAGACGAGTTGCTACGCCCGGAATACTGAGGCTGAAGCAGCTGGTGCTGTTCGGGCGTCATCCAGACTGGCATCTCGTGACCTGGAGCAGCTCCGGCGGAGGTAGATGGAGCAGTCGTGCTGGGACGCGGAGCACGGCCAGGCGCCTGATCGTGAGTCGGGAGGCCCGACATATTCGCTGTCTGGAGAGCAAGGCTGCCCGTTGGTGACGGCTGCAAAGGAGCTGTTCCGGGTGGTGGGGAGGTCTGCGAGGGAACGTGGACTGAGGTTGGAGCGAGGGGTAGGACTCGTGTCGTGAGGTTAGTAACGAGCGTGGCCACCGTCGGAGGCGGCAACCAGAGCGAGCGGGCGGCTTCACCGGAAAGGCGCTGGCCAAATGAATGTCGGTTTGTTGATGAACGGGGCGAGTGCTGTCGCTCCCCGCAACCTCTGGGACTGTCTCAACGAGGCCCGGGCCGCACTCGCCTGCTTTCCCTTCGGCGGTGACGGAGTCCGTGGTGCCTGCGGGCGGTCGAGCACAGTGTTCTGGCAGCCAGCAGCAGCGGAGGAGTAGATATGAGACTGGGGGCAGACAATGGGGTTAAGTAGGGAGGCTCGAGGAAGAGGGGCGTAAGGCTGAGCGAGCGACATCACACATAGTCACACGCGCATGAATGGGAACGCACGACTCACTGTGCCGACACTGCAGAGGCCTCCAATCTGCGCCAGCAGAGCTGCAGCACCGTCAGGCCCCGTTGTCCAGGCGGTGCTGACCTCCGATAGAGCTATGCGTCTGTTCTGGCCGCTTGGTTTCGCCCGTCTCAGGCGAAGGGATGCAGGCTGGCCATTCACCATCAAGACTATGGCACCAAGTCGCCGTGCCGCGTGCCTCAGGGCGCACAATCGGGCTGCAGACTCACCTTCGAGGCCAGGCAGGCAATGCTCCACGACTGCGGCCGTCGACAGCGTCTGGCGGCGAGGGAGCAATTTATATCTGCGAGGGAGGCCATGCTCAGTGCATTGCTCGCAGCTAGAGAGCTGGTGTAGTCCGCTACCGCCCGCCACCGCCCGCCTACGAGTGCATTTCCGTGGTCCAAGACGCTGAAGACGCGCAATTATAACGTGTTCGAGCCCTGGCCAGAGGGATCTACCGTGAAGCAGATTCTTAGCCTATCTAATTGCGCATACCCGCCCGCAGCATTGGCCTCGACGCTCGAAAGCCTCACGCCTCCTGCCGCGCTTGGCAGCCGCAGCCGCATTGCTGCTTAGAGCCTTGCCGCTCCGGGACTCTCCGCGCGCCCGAGTGTTTTTTTTGCTGCATCCCGAGAGGGTTCGGGAGCGGCTTCATCGCAGCAGTGCATACAATCAAGACTGCGCTCGCGGACGTCGCCTGCCCGCGTCACAATCCTTCTATTTGCAAAGTTCCCTCTGCATTGGCTTAATCGAGACAGAAATGCTTCGGTCCGCTGCAACAAAGCTCCGGCCTGCCGAGGGGCTCCTCCGCCCAGCTATCCCACTTCCACATGCCAGATCTAGCTGCACACCTATGCTATTAATCCGCTCGCAACGACCCTTGACGGCAACTTGCAGACCGACTTCAATATCATCAGCCGCTGTCCTCCGCTGTTCCGCAAATCCCTCCATCTTCTGTGCTACCTCGCGAACCTTCGTAACCAGCTCCAGAATGGCCTCGTCCACAAGAGCCGAATCGGACGCCTTTGGGGTGGTCCAGGTGCCCTCCGACAAGTACTGGGGCGCGCAAACGGAGCGGTCGCTGGAGAACTTCAAGATCAACCAGCCCCAGGACCGCATGCCTCCACCGATTGTTCGGGCCTTTGGAATCCTCAAGGGCGCGGCCGCGACGGTGAATATGAAGTTCGGACTGGGTAGGCATGGAAACACCGTCAGGAGATGCTAGGCTAATTGAAGGTATATCCAAGACCCCACCATAGGCAAGGCAATCCAACAAGCTGCTGAGGAGGTCGCTTCTCTCAAGCTTGTCGACCACTTCCCGCTCGTCGTCTGGCAGACCGGCTCCGGCACGCAATCGAACATGAACGCCAACGAAGTCATTTCGAACCGCGCCATTGAGATACTAGGTGGCCAGATGGGTTCCAAGAAACCTGTACATCCAAACGACCACGTCAACATGTCTGCATCTTCCAACGATACCTTCCCTACCGTTATGCACATTGCAGCCGTTCTTGAACTCGAGGAGCAGCTTATTCCCGCTCTCAAGAGCCTGCGCGATGCACTCCACAAGAAGAGCCAGCAATTCGAACATATTATTAAGATCGGACGCACACATCTGCAAGACGCGACGCCGTTGACTTTGGGCCAGGAGTTTTCTGGATATGTCACACAGTTGGAATATGGCGTTGAGAGAGTCCAGACGGCGCTCCCACGTCTAAAGATGCTTGCGCAAGGAGGTACCGCTGTTGGCACTGGTCTCAACACCTTCAAGGGATTCGATGAGGCGATTGCAACCGAAGTCAGCAAAATGACGGGACATGACTTTGTGACGGCACCAAACAAGTTCGAGGCGCTAGCTGCTCACGACGCTATTGTGGAAGCGTCCGGACAGCTGAATACCCTCGCTGTGTCCCTGTTTAAGATCGCTCAAGACATTCGATTCCTCGGGTCTGGGCCTCGATGTGGTCTTGGAGAGCTGAAACTGCCAGAGAATGAACCCGGCTCATCCATCATGCCCGGAAAGGTCAACCCAACCCAGTGCGAGTCCATGACTATGCTATGTACGCAAGTGTTTGGCAATCACGCAGCCGTTACGTTTGCTGGATCCCAAGGAAATTTCGAGCTCAACGTCTTCAAGCCAGTGATGATCAGGAATCTGCTGCACAGCGCAAGACTTTTAGCAGACGGTATGCAGAGCTTTGAGAAGAACCTAGTCGCGGACATGGAGGCCGACGAGAAAAGGATCGGAGCTCTGCTACATGAGAGGTAACTACTCCCGTCGTCTCCTCAAATAACCCTTTTCTAACGAACCCCCAGTCTCATGCTAGTCACTTGCCTCAACCCCATCATCGGCTACGATATGGCTTCGAAGGTTGCCAAGAATGCCCACAAGAAGGGCACGACGCTGAAAGAAAGCGCGATGGAGCTAAAGGCGCTTAGCTCGGAGGACTTCGATAAGTACGTGCGGCCAGAGTTAATGATTGCACCGAAAGAGAAGAAGTGAATGGGAAACATGTGATGTCAAGTAGATTTGTGCCTGTAATAAGTAGATGCATTGTAGTGTAGTCACACAAGAACATATTTCACCTAATCAACGTGTCAAGCTGCATCGAATGTGAGGATTGAGGTCAGATAGGGGATGATTTGGGACCAGTGTATCAGTCACGTGCCTTGGACGCTTAGCGTGCTAGCGTGTTCTACGCGTCTCCATGCCTTGCGGAAATCGCATTGGACCCCCTCACCTAAACCCTCCTGAACTGCACCTCAACCTCATCACCAACGCCAGCAGTGCACCATGCCCGGCCTCACCACGTCGCGGCGTCGTACTCGCGACCCTGACGAGTCCGAGGATGAAAATGTGTCCGACAGCGCCGCCAGCTCGTCCTCGATGCGTTCGGGCGGAAGTAAACGTGCACGGCTTGATGATGACGCGCTCTCAGAGGTACGTTGAGTTCACAAGAGGCAGAAGAGCTGTCACGGTATTATTCAGTTCTTTCCAAGAGCTAACCCCGCATAGGAATCTGAAAGCCCTGTTCTCCCAGACAGCTATCGTAACCAGCCCCAAGCCAACGGCAACGGAGACTACACCCTTGATCCTCACCAGCCCGGCTCCATCGTGCGAATCACCCTCACAAATTTTGTCACTTACACGGCTGCGGAATTCCTCCCTGGACCTAGTCTGAACATGATAATTGGGCCAAATGGAACGGGCAAGAGTACTCTCGTTTGTGCGATCTGCTTGGGGCTGGGATGGTCCGCATCGGTATGTACAAGAGCAACTGGTCATGAGCTCGGTGATGTTAATTCGATTTAGAATCTTGGAAGGGCAAAGGACATAGTCGAATATATCAAACACGGTGCTCGCGAAGCTGAGATTGAGATTGAATTAGCAGGTGGCCGTCAAACCAAGGGCAAGAATCCTGTTATTCGCACAGTGATCAAGAGAGAGGGTCAAAAGAAAGGAAACTTCTTTCTCAACGGACGAGCATGCACGCAAAAGCAAGTCGTCGAACTTGCGAGGTCCTTTTCAATCCAGATCGACAACCTCTGCCAATTTCTTCCGCAAGATCGCGTCGTCGAATTTGCCCAAATGACTCCAGTGGAAAAGCTGAGGGCGACACAGCAAGCTGTTGCTTCGGATGAGGTTGTCAAGATGCATGGGAAGCTTATAGAGTTCCGACAGACCCAGAAAAGGGGTCAGGTTGACCAAAAAACCAGACAGGATACTCTAAACGGTCTCTTGGCCCGACAGAACGCGCAGAGAGCGGATGTGGAGCGCTTGAAAGAGCGACAGTCTCTTCTTACACAGGAAAACGCATTGAAGTCCATGAGACCATTCATTGAGTACCGCCAGGCAAAAGCTGAAGCCGAAGAGGCGAAGCAGGCCAAGAAAGAGGCCAAGGCGAATCTCATCCGGCTTCAACGGGAGGCTGGGCCATCCATGAGGGCTACCAACGCGAAGCAGGCCTATCGAGACCAGATCAAGGACGTACTCGCCAGCCGAAAGAGTGCAGTTCGGGCGACAGAATTATCCGCCGATGGATACACACAGAAGCTGCAGGCCAAAGAGGAAAAGATCAAAGAAATCGAAGCCAAGATCGAAGCGGAGAAGAGAAGTGATGACGGAAATAAGAAAAAAATTGTCACTCACGAAAGGAACATCACTCGCCTCAAAGGACTATTGGAAGAAGAGCCCGCACCATTTGATGCTCTTGAGTTCAATAAGAAGATACGAGATAAGGAACGCCTGCAGAAGGACTTAGAGGACGCGATCAGAGCAGGAAGAGAGGAGCAAGGAGAAATCCGCCAGCGAGTCACGGAGCTAGGGCCTAGGAAAAAGCAACTCGAGAAAGAGCTTGAAGAACTCAAATCGCAAAGTGGACAGCAAACCAACAAACTAAGAACTTTATCGCCAGACACAGCCAAAGCGTGGACTTGGGTTCAAGAGAACGGCAATCACTTTGAAGGCGAGATATATGGGCCTCCTATCGTCACATGCAGTATCAAAGACCCCCGATACGCAGATGCCATCGAATCTATGATTTCGAAAGGCGAATTCTGCTCATTCACTTGCTCAAGCAAGAAAGATATGGCGACTTTACAAAACGAATTACTTGGCAGGATGAATCTACACGATATAAACATTCGGATGGCAACTCGTGGAATTGGTCAATGGGAACATCCTATCCCCAACGACGACCTGGCCGGCTATGGCCTTGAGGCTTGGCTCATTAACTTGGTTGAGGGCCCTGAGCCTGTACTGTCCATGCTCTGCGAAAATGCCAACCTTCATAGGACTGCTGTCACGCGTCAGCGCGACACTAACGAGCAGTTCGAGAAAATCCGCAATAGCCCCATCCAAACATGGGTAGCAGGCCAGAAGTCGTTTCGGATTCTGCATAGGAAGGATTATGGATCCGACGCCGTGTCGATTATGGTTCGGCCAATCCACAAAGCAACTTACTGGACAGACCAACCCATTGATGCAGGGGCCGAGAGGGACATCAAAGCTAAAATTGGCGAGATTGAAATCCAGGCGGAGACAGAAAGGAATAGTTTTGAAGAGTTGAGACAGAGGTTGCTGCCTAAGAACGATGAGAGAAAGAAACTCATGCAGGAAACGGTATGTGCGGAACGTATTTTGCAGTTCGACATACTAAACATACGTAGGAAGCACTCCGAAAGGAGAAAGACGAACGACAGAAACTCCTAAGCAATTTCAGGCTTGTTCCTGATCAGCTAGGTTAGTCTCACGCTGCTCGTGCGTTCTTGGGTATTTGCTAACCAGCCATAAACGCAGCTGACGCCGAGGCTGAGAAGAGCCGCATCGAAACAGAGAGAGCGGAACTCAGGCAACGCATCGCAACACTCAGAGCCGAGATACAAGATCTGCAACTCGAGAAGGGCCAGCTTGTGCTTGACTACGCTGTAAGTCTTGCATCGTTAGTGTATATGGATATGGCACTTACCGGATACAGAATGCAATCGAGAATCTGCGCATCGCTTGCGTTGCCCTGATGGATGCTGAGATTCTCTATATCGAAGCATCTTCTGAATTCGAGGCGGTTGCCGCGGAAAACAAGCACGTCCTCCAGATGATAGAAGAAACCCGCCAGGCTGAAGCAGACATCACCGCGAAGGCTAAAGATCTTATTGAGAAAGCGAAGAAATTGGCCCGGAAATGTGAACAAGTCCACCACAATCGTACTGTAGAGGAGGCGGAGTTTCATGAAACACACTCCGCGATCGAAACAATGGAGGAGCTCAACTCGGAGATTGAATCCGTGATGACTAGGCTGGAACTTATGACGGATGGAAATCCTCGCGCCCTGGCTGAGTACGAAAAGCGTGCTCAGGAAATCGAGATAACGGAAGCGAAACTCAGTGATCTGAATGCAGAGCTTGAACAGATACAGAATGAAATAACCGAAATCAGGGCGGAATGGGAACCGCAGGTTGACGCTCTCGTCGAGCGAATCAGCGATGGCTTCTCAAGGAACTTTAAGAAGATTGGATGTGCTGGTCAGGTTCAAATTGACAAGCACGAGGACTTCGATCAGTGGGCCATCGAAATCCTAGTCAGATTTCGGTATGTGAACTTCCACTCCAAGTCTCGAACTCCACTAACGAAAACAGCGAGAATGAGGAGCTGGCCATTCTAGATTCCCATCGCCAGTCTGGTGGAGAACGTGCCGTTTCGACGATCTTCTACCTTATGGCCCTGCAAGACATGGCCCGATCGCCTTTCCGCGTCGTCGACGAGATCAACCAAGGTATGGACCCTCGCAACGAACGCATGGTCCATGAGCGCATGGTAGACATTGCGTGCCAGGAGCGCACGAGCCAATATTTCCTCATCACACCAAAGCTTCTCAACGGTCTTAAGTTCCACCCCAAGATGAAAGTCCACTGCATTGCCAGTGGCGAGTACATGCCTGAAGATTACAACGATCTAGACTTCCCGAGCTTGCTAGAAATCGCGATGAGGGTCAAGGGGCGGGCTTGATGTAACGCATGGCTGGGTGATCCTCATGGGTATTCTCAATCTTGTGTTTTGATGGGCTTGGAGGATTCCGCTTTACATATTCGGTTGGTCTAAAGGTGGATATGCTACAGTACAGGAAGGCGCGAGTGTCTCGGTGTCGACTATGCCGTACTACAGAGCATGTTTGTTAACTTTCGGCGAGGGCGTAAAGGTAGGGACACGGCAGAATCGAGATACATACTAGGTCCTCAGCTGATCGAACATCAGCTAACATGTTCACCACTTCCTCCATGAATGCGATGCTGATGTGATACAGCCAATTGGTGCTTTGCCTCAATAGACTCCCCTCAAAGCCACCTACAGCATGTGTAGTATATTGTCCCGATCGAGCCATGCACCGTACGAGTCGGACGAGCCCCGGTTCAGGTATGAGCGGGGCAAATTCACTGAAAATCTCGTCTAAGCTAACAGAGGCAAGCCAATCATCGTACCCACATTGCACTATGACCAAAGGCACTCGGCACCGCCGGCAGGCTCGCAGGTAGCTCCGGCCGGGAGGATCGTGCTCCGCGTGCTGCCCCCCTGGGTCGGTAGGCTTACCGTCGTTACGGCTAAGCAAGCTTCTATTGGTGATACAACCTCACGTCCCACAAACCGCTCTGTACCACGTAAAGAACGGGTTTCGTGGAACCGTCAGGTCTGAAATTATTTCTACGGTGGCAGGAGAGTGACCATGGCACGGCATCGGCATGCTCTTGAAGGGGAAGAGTTGTACCTCCTATTCCGCGTCGAGGGGTTATAAAGAGCGATCGCGCTGATTCATTTCCCTTTCATCTATTGTATTCGTGTTGTCAAAACTTCTCTAACAACGTTGTGGGCTTCATTGATTTTTTTCCATCTCGAATCCCAAGGCCCGAGTTAGATCGAATCTTCACACGATGCAACTCCTCTACCCACTCCTCTCCTCCCTCCTCATCCTGCCTACACTTGGTAACCCCATCAACCCCCGCTCCACTCCCAACACTGCATCCAAGTCCGAAATCTGGCATATCTCAGCTTTCACGGCCCACTTCATGGGCGACGACTCTGGCCTCCCCGGCGGCGAATGGCCCCCGGGCGTCAACTTTAATACAACCCTTTCCTTCACGCTCGCTTTCCCAGACAACACGACCTCTTCCTGCGCCGCGACGTTCCAGGAGCCCGGCACGCCGACGGCGTACACGGTGTGCGAGAGGCGAGTGGATGGGAGTGTAGTTAAGTTCAAGGTCAAGAAAACGGAGGGGGCTGAGTCGAAGTGGGCGATGTATAACTTCAATTTGAGCGTTGTGAGGGAGAGGGAAGTGAGGTGAGTGTGGATGTTGGAATATGAGGGATGTTGCTAACTGGGTTGGATAGGGCAACGATGAAGGGGAGTAGGCATATCTCCTCGAATAGTGAGTGGACGGATCAGGATAGCTATCTTACGTGTATAGCGTATGCGCCGGAGACGGGGGTGTGGTGTCAGCAGGGGGGTGAGATGGGGATATCGGGGCCTATTCCGATTACTGCGGGTTGAGGTCGTATCGGCGCATGACGATTAAGGTGGGGGATTAGTTTGAGGGCGGTGGTGTGAAGCAAGCTGAAGGATGTGGTAGTATCGTCGGAAGTAGATGTAGATTTACGTGCCCATACTAGATCTTCGTTCCAAAAGTATGATTACGAGACTGAAGAGCCTCGAGGTCTCTACGACTCACCTACCTTTCAGCTAGTGTCTAGGGGAGTTCTCCCTATCTACTGACTGCTTCGTATCATTTCCTTCGTCAGCTATATCTGGGCTCGATTTGAGGAGACTCCTCTGTCTCCAAACACCACTCTCCTCCTTCAGTCTTCCACGTCTCATCCACCCTTCCTCTTCCATCTAACTTCTTCTCTCGTCCACTCACTTCTTCCACTGCCCACGACTCACCTGAGTCACCTTCTCCACCGCTAATCTCCTCTCGCTGCTTTGAGGCTGTCAGACGGGTCTTGGTGCACTTTCAGGACTCTTCACCTCATCCAAATCTATCATTTTGACCGACCTAATACCCTGCTGGGCCACCTCAAGCGGCGGCAGGCGAAGTTGTGCAGATTACATTACTCATCTCCTCGGCCAGTCATTTCTATCACCTCACCGCTCTCAAGCATAAAGCACCCTAGTGACACCCATCATAATTCTAGCCATGGAAGACCCGGATATCCTGCCGGAGGATCCCCCACAACCGCACCTGTCAGTACACATGGACGACAACTTAGGTACCCTGCCGGAGGACCCCCTACAGTGTCAACCGTCGGCACACATGGGTAATCCAGATGCCCTGCCGGAGGACCCCCCACAGTCGCAGCCGTTGGTACCCACAAGCCATTCGTCATGGCCGGCGCCAGTGCTCAGGCAGCACTCTGAGCCGCCTCACGTGCCACACTCTTCTCCAGCGTTACGTCCCGTCTTACTGCGATCTGAGGCACCGCGAGGTCGCTTCCGTCCAGCCAAACGCCCCAGCATCTACAGTGATTATCATCTTCCCTGGCAAACCGATCCAATTCACCGCATGGATACCACGATGCCAGACGACAAGAACAGCGGGAATGCCGAAATTGAAGAAGTGAAGCAAGAGGATTTTGAGGGCGGTTACCCTTCTGAGACCCCCCAGACGGTACCAAGCGACAGTACACAGTTTGATCAAGAAAAGCCGAAAGATGAAAATGTCTCCGCTAACATCTCGGCACCTCAGGTGATGCCGACTGTTGATGCCGGCGCATCCGGGTCTGCGGAGTCCAGGAGGCCCTCAAGCATGGGTTTGGCACAAGGAGTTATCGGTGAGGACGTGAGAGAGAGTTTACGTCTAAGGTACGGTACATCCGGTTTTGCCTCGATGACCCCTCGGGGACGCTCCGGACAGTGGCGTCCCAGTGCTGAAACAGGGTCGAATTCCTCCAAAGGCTTCCTTGGCACTCAATTGTTCGAGGCATCTCCGAATACTTCGTCCCAGAAACCACTTCCATTCGTGGAGGAGTCGGACGATGATTCCGTCCAAAATGGAATCAGGAGGGTGCATGATGCCAGGCAACACCACCGCCATGCAAGCCAGCGCAGATCAGAGGAAGAAAATGCCTTGAAAAGTCGAATCTCGAAGTATGCCCAATCGTCAAATGATACTGAGGAGGAACAAATGCCCTGGACCAATTTTCAGTCTTCAGAATATCAACACGACGACCAGCCTAGCGATGTGGACGGCGAGACGATGGACGAGACACCGGATGAGCCAAGTGGATTGGATCGCTGTAAGTGCATGATTCCTCCTAAAAGTATCACGGAACTAACACCGTAATCAGATCTAGACGACGACATGCGCATACCCGAACCCAGAATGCTGACCCTCCAGAGGCAAGCCAGCTACAACAGAAAGCGGTCGGCATCCCCTCATGATCGTGCCCAATCCTACATAAGGAAGCCTCGACCGACTTTGGATCTGACCACTGAAGATGTTGTCAAAGGCCTTATCAAGGGCAACATAGATCGACAACGTCTCTTACAGGCAGCTAAGGACAGTACGAACGTGCATAAAGCCTTAGAAGACACTGAACGCAAGTTGGAGGGTGCCAACGCCCGCTTGCATGATTACAAGCAGGCTCTGAAAGAGAAGGACTCTAAATCAGACGTGAGACGGTTGGAAGGAGATGTACGGGAGAAAAACCGCGAGATTGAGAGAAGGAAGAAAGAATTGCAAAAGATGACGGATAAACTGGCGGACGAGATCAACAAAAGGGATGGAAAGATAGAGAAGCTGAAGGTCGCCAGGCAAGAATCGCTTGACGAATCCAAGAAGTTGGAGAAGGACGTCAAGAAACTTGAATCTGAAATCAAAGCGCAGCAAAAGGCCTTTGACCGAGCCTCCAAGGACATCGAAGGACTCCAGACGGTAGTCTCAGAGCTGCAAAAAGTCGCCGGCAAGAAGGATACTTATCTTCACCTGGTAGCGTAGCGCCTCGTTCGGGTCTTCGAAATGCTAAAAAGTGGTGGAATGGCCCCTGATGACATGGCTTGGGAGCTCAATCGTTTGAAAAACTTCATGGGAAATAAATGGACTTCGAATCTGAAGCACGGGATGCAAACATCCGAAAAGCTTCTCGCAACATTTGCGACCGACAAGAATGGTGTCAAAATGGAGGTTCCAGACGTACAGGTCCCCTCCGCGGTTATTCCCAAGCCAAAAGCGAGGCAATAGGCGTGCAATTTGAACTCTCCATCAGCCGGAATGCTCTAATGGGGCGGTAAAAGCACTCTTATTCTCTCATGTTTCTTTCCCCTTCAAATCAGCTTTATATCCGAAATCCTCTGCGAGGGTCTTTGCGGCCTCGACTCCCCCTGCGACCCCAACAGAACCTGAAAAGTTGTGGAATTCTTTCTCTGGTATTCAGTCACCACCAAAAAGCATCAATATACCTATTCTTACTGCGCTTAGCTCTAAATCAGTAATGTGAACTAAAACGTGCTTATCCGTTCACCACCGTCTGACTGCCCCCGACACCCTCAGATAAATCCGACCAGGATGTCAAATTCTAGAGATCACAAATCAGGCCGGCTCTCACTCAGTGACAGGACAATGATATGTATATACTAGCGCACCACCGCCTGACTGCCCCCGACACCCTTAAAAAAAATTGACCAAGATGTCAAATTCTGGAGCCCATGAATCAGGCTCTGCTTCAGTGACAAGACACTCACATTTGTATACCAGGGCAGCACTATCTGACGGCCCCTAACACCCTTAAAATTCAACACCGCGACGTAAAATCCTGGAGACCATGAATCAGGCCGGCTCTGATCCCGGGACAAGACACTAATATGTGTACACCAGCGCAACACCGTCTCACTGACCTCAACAATCCCAAAAACCCTGAGCACGATGCCAAATTCTCTTGAGCGCGAATCAAGCTAGTCTCTGACGAATCTGCCACCAATTCTCAGCCCCCACACGTCCCAATCATACCTCCCCGACCTTACCATGTGCACACCGGCGCACCACCGCCTAACTGCTCTCAACACCTCCAAAAATTCTTAGCTCTGATGTCAAATTCCCAACAGCGAGAATCAAGCCGTACTTTCATTGACCTTCTCCTCGCCCAGTCCCTGCCTCAAAAAAGTAATCCTCCCCGGCGCATCCATCCCCAACCCGCACTTCTCCCTAAAATCCCCTAGCTCTACTCCCCTCGCTGCAATTCGCGCCTGGAAATCAGCAAGCGGGCAGCTGCTTCCGACCCCGTGGCTGCACCCCGGCAGCGGCACGATGCCGTCGTTAACATTAATCCTTACGAAGATTTCGGGTGTGGTGGGGGCGCTGGCGGTGCGGCAGGCGAGCCGCTCGAAGATGGTGCGTCCGCCCATCGGGGAGACTTGGGATTTCTTCCAGGAGCGATCGTGGGTGATGTGGGTGGTTGGGAGGTGGGCGGGGTCGGGGAGGAGGTCGAGGGCGGCGAGCATAGGGGCGATGTCGCCATCGTGCACGCTGGGAGGGGGTGTTAGTGGTGTTCTATAGACTTGGCTGTCGCTGTTTGAGGTGGCTTGATGCGTTTTCAGAGATAAGGATAGGGCTGGTTTGACGAGTCTGATAACTTTCTGGGCCACCTCAGACGGCGGCGTCGTCGGCTACTCAAAGTTTGTTTTTAACACTTTCTGATCAAATCTCGAAAATGGGTCGAAGCAACTCATGCAGTGGCAAAAAATTAGCACACGTGGGACTTACAAATTGAAGAAGAACGGTCCAGCGCTCGATCCCTCGAGCAGCAGATTCATAGTTGCATTCAACCACAACCACCCCATCACCGGTCCCCAAGGCGTCCCCGGGCCACCGCGATAGTAGTGCACTATATCACGAGCATACTCGAAGCTTATGAACTCGTCTCGTGTGAAGACGTCGCACCACGGACTGCTCCCTCGCGCAGTGATCTCGAACCCGCACATCTCTTGCATAGCGTAGATTTCGTCGTCCGCGAGATACTTGATTGCAGGATTCTGCTTCAGCAACCGCTCACGGATGGGCCCGACGTAGGTAGAGCGGTATTTGGCCATCATCTTTGCGCCTTGGTCGTGGCCTAGCTCTTTGTCGTCGTTGAAGGCTTTGCACGTATCACCAGGAGTTAAAGTGTCGGCGCCTAGGTCGTCCGTTTCGGGTATGACGCGTATGGAGGATGTCGTGTTCCAATTAAGGCCAAAGAATCCAGCGCTGAAATATTGTGCGGTGTCAATTACGCGAGGGCAACCACTTGCCCATAGGGTTGTCTTGCTATCGTGCGAAAGACGTTGAGGTAGAAGGTGATGATATCGAGTTCGAAGTCGCACGCCGGTTGTGAAGGCACCGAGAGAGCCTGAGTAAGGGCCAGTCGTTGTCAACTGCTCGAATTCAGATTCGGGATCTATGAACTAGATTAGATTTTCGTAGCTAGAGGAATAAGACGAGGACTCCTGGTTTGAAGAAGCGTTGGGTTGTACTCAGGAGAAGGTTGTGTGCTGCCCCAAGTGAAAAACGAATTCATGGGGGAGGGAATTGCGCAATGGCGAAAGCAGTGAAGACGGGCTGGGTATTCAGCTAGTCACTGTCCTCACATACCCTTCGAGAAGAAGACCCAATCATTGAGGAAAGCTAAATCATCCACATAGGTGATATTCAATTCCGTCAGCTTCTTCACGAGACGAAGCATTCCTTCAGAGAGTAAGCTAAATTTACAAAAACGTATATCTACCAAAGCTGGTACGAAGGAAAAGAAAACCCACGATTGCCAGCTTTGGTTGTTGGAAAACGCTCTGCGTGTCTTGACATCTTTGCGCAAACCAATCAGTACTCTCGCAATAAGCACGATATTCCTTCTCCTCGACCTACCATATGGACTTGCTCGACGACGCATCCTTTGGGAGGGCCTACACCGCCTTCGACCACCCCTTCCGTCTTCTCAATCCATGGACCATTACCTCCGAGATGATATAGTATGTTCCAGTCCCCAGCTGCCGTCCCAGCTCCTTGTCCCTTGCCAGCAACGCCCATATTTGTATGGAGGTGTCCGTGGGAATGCCACCAGCTCTTCCAGCTCGACACATGCGGAGTTCGGGGGGAGGGCGATTCGAGAGCAGGAATATCATCTGTTCCATTGGGTGAAAGGCCGAGCCATTGTTGGGCAGCAAAGATAATACAGAGGGCTAGGACAGAGTGCCAGAAGGACGGGAAGTTTAAGGTTATTGCCATTCTGCCCTGGGCTTCAGACGGGGATGACGGGCAGCTACCTTATTAATAGTCGCATGACAGTCGTGAGCGCAAATTCGACATGTAATGAAGCCGTCGAGAAGCTTTACAGCGCGTGCTGTTGTCGAGATGAACGTCGTCGTAAATTAGAAGCGGTCAGCTTCGATGCCAAGCGCGCGGGCCTTCCTCAAATCCAACCTCATCTCCTTCTACATATCACCATCATCATCCTCTATAAGCCTGTTTCTCAGTCTCCAGATCATCCGTAGAGGTCGTCTATTACAAAGATACCGAGTAACAATTCCCGCCATTCGCTAGCTCCTCTTTCCCTCCTCGTCATATGGCGCCCCTTGTCGTCTTACTATCATGATGTCTTCATATATAAGTTTACGCGCATGAGAAGAGCAATGCCCACATCTTCCATGCTTACCCTTCCTATCGTTCAATCTTGTTTGTTTCAATATTCGGCCCTCGTAGATCGCTTTTCAGGATCTCACAAGGGCCCGGTGACGCTTGCGCAAGCGTACCTAAGGCTCCTAGCAGACCAGGTATACGAGGATACATACTCAAGAAGACCAGTAAACAGACGGACAGTGACATCAAAACCAGTCCGTAAAAGTCTAAGCTACATTTGTCACCCCGAGCCAAATATTACGAGATCTATCTTACACATGACGACGCGATAGGTCTGCGAATTAAAGTATTCCGATGCTGGGTTTTGTATTACATGCAAACCATAATTTTCCCTGCCTCATACGCCATTATAGTTACTGAAAAGGACTCAAGTTTGCGCTTTCTCTCGTTCTCCTCTTCACGTCTCCTGCCATACATATATTTATCAATTAGAAGCGTAGCTCTGAAGAGCAATAGCTAAACCAAGAATACCCATTGCACCACCGAGGCCAGCTGCGAACGGGGAGGAAGTCGCAGCAGCCACACCCTGTGACTTTGTGGATTTGGGAGCGTTTGCTGGGGTAGCAGTTCCTGTGGCAGCAGTTCCTGTCGTATCTCCAGTCTCAATTGGAATTAGCGGAGCAGTCTCGGATCCGGTGTAGTCATTGCCACCGGTAGCCAATGCGCCTTTGATGCTGACTATGTAGCTTTTGACTGGTTCGGGAAGACCCCAGTACCATGCAGGTGTGTGTCCAGCTGAAAACTCAGACGCGATTGAGGCTCGGCCAGCTGGATTGACAAGTTGAAGCAGAACCTAAGCTGGGACACCGGTCATGATTGCCATCATCAGAGAGGATGCCGGAGGGTCGACATTTCCGATACGAGTCGGAACGTAGTTGGGGAGTGACACCGTCTTCGTGACCTTTGGCAACATGAAGCAACGTGAGTATTTAGTATTCAGATTTCCGCTGCCTTCCGCCGACTTGGGTCACTTACTATAACGCTGACATCGAAGCTTCATCCAAACTTCTCCTTTCAACCCCAGGATGCAATGCCAGGGCACACGAGGAGAGTAAGAGTACAGCAGGTCCGGAACACTTCATGGTGGAAAAAAATGAGTGATGAATTGGACCACATATTCTTAGATGAGGTTATTGACGATGGCCAGGGAAAATTTGAGTCGCAACCGGCGAGGATCACCAGGTATTTCAGCGGTCAAGTCCACCCGAACACGGATGGCCGCCATTTAGACTCGGCTCGCCGTGTGAATTTCAGAGCATATGAAAGTCGATCTCGTTCAACCAGCAGGGGATCCACGAGCAGGGAGTCAATGTGAGGAGTCAATCACCCGGCAAATCACCACATCGTAGCCCAAGACGAAGCGGAAGCGGAACCTAGTAAGACCGTGCGGGTCACATTTTAGAGAATGGGCACATGCTAAGTCCTTGTGCTCGTGATTCGAGGTTTTGCATGGTCGAGAGACACCCGCTCATGGTCGTTTTATTATAGTCCACATGCGAAAAGTCACGATAGACAACGGGCCGACAGGCGGGCCAGGATGCTCTTGGCGAGTCACGCTGACAGAAACGCAGGGCCAAGGAAGCCTCCAACACTCATTCTACGCATACCCAACTTGGCACCCCGCACGGAATCCCATGCAGGGGAACACCAGGCCCGCTTCATGCATCACGGTTCATCTCCATGCAGGCTCTTAGTGAATGCCCCATGACCCTCATCTTGCGATGTTACTTCCCCGCACTACTTCTCCTCCACATTCCAGGATTGTTTAGTATTTCTGGCGCTCGGATTTGTCTAGGAAACGGCGCTTCAATTAAGCTTATATTCACATGTAGCCGTTTATGCGATGATGAGCATGGTTTCCTCGGCAGTGTGCTTTTTGGAAATGTTTGCCCCCTCGGTAGCTCTACACGTGCTATAAAATCCCCATGCAGAGGATTTTCTGCGCACCAGGTATGAAGAATAAGTAGCGATTGGCCCACCTCATCCAGCATTCAGCACTCGGTCTCTTAGCTCAAACAATCCAAGTTCCAACGCGAAGCGCAGCTCCAGCACTCTCAGCCAACCCTCAATCGCTTCTTTCCAACATGTATTTCCTCAAGTACTTCACGGTGGTGCTCCTGTCTGCGCTTGCGATTGCGACCCCGTCACCGGTGCAGAAGGGAGCTGAACTGCCTCAACGAGTCGAGGAGCGCGCACCGTTGAACACCGACATCACCTCTCTCCTCACCAATATCATTCCGGATGTCCAGGCCCTGACCTGGTCTGCTCCAGCCTGAGGTTATCAACGGCATCAAGACGGCCGTGCTCGGCCTGTCGACGGTCTTTAGCGGCGACACCCCCCAGCAAACCAAGATCCTCGTCAATTCGGCCAGCGGTCCCCTACACTCGACCTCGACTCACGACGGACTCTATCAACGGCATCAAGACTCTTCTGTCCAACGCGGAGGCACTATTGACGGAGAAGTTCGTCTACCAACAGGACTCATCAACGATGTTGCACCAGTAAGTTGTTCCTGCGTCAACAGAAGCTAATGGCATCCACAGCTCATATCGGCCGTCGCGCAAGTGACCACCACGCTCATCTCAGCTGTATTGGGAGGTTGATAATCAAACGCCGACGAGCACGGAGTGGACGCGAGACGGTCCCCACAGAGCATGGGCTCTGATGTGTCTATGTTAATGCTGATGATTGGTCGGGGTCGGGGAGGGGTAATGACACGGGTTGCGGAGACGGGCGTTGTCTGGGGTTTCCTCGCGACTGGCACTGGTCGTTGTTGGAGCTGCTATCAATACGATACATATGGGGGGATGATGTTGATCGTATTACCTTTTCTATGCATATCTAAAACCATCAAGTAAGACACTCCTTCCGCGAACACGAATAAAAAAGCATCGCATACACTCACGAACGAGCAGCTTGTACCTCCGACATACTGGGAGGGGTGACTTGACCCTCCCCTCTGACATGGATAGCTGAAAATATCACGTCTTTTGCATGAGTTGGGAAGAGATGGGGTCAGCAGTGGTGATGTCCTGACTCGCGCGAGGAATGGCGCTAGGAACAACTTGAACCTTGGAATTGCGCACGCGAGACGGGAGATAATCAGGGCATGCTTGTAAATTGGGGTACATTAAAACCTACGTATAGTGATATAAGGGTTTAGTGATATTTTCTATACAGTGATACAAGTCGCCGGATTGTACAATTTGCCTCCTATATCACTAGCACCCTGCTTAGTATAGTATCATTAAGCCCCTCTCATACAATATCATACTAACTGTGCTCGGTTTTGTATGGGAGAGTGGTCCGTGGCCCCTCTGGCGCCCCTTTTTGGGGCTGTTTTGGGACAGACTGGCTTATAAATCACCAACACGTGACCTTGGTAACAGTGATACCCCCCTGACCGACCCCTATCACTATACGTAGGTTTTACTGTACATGGGGGAGATCGCATGCTGAGGTCAAGGTAAGATTAAGCCCCTTGTCCACGCCTAGCTTAAAACAGCGGTAGCGCTCACCATGATCCGGGAACGAGGCATTTGCAGCCGAGTAGCTCGCCTAGCATGTTCTCCCCTTCCCCTTGTCTCTTCCTCCGCTCGCCAGGCACTGCACCCGACAAGTACATTGTCCACCCCGCTTCAGCCTGAAAGGCTTCACATGCCGCCCATCTCTATTCAGACGGACCCCCGAGCGGACTCAGCATGAACGCCTCCTGGGGCTACCAACACCCATCTACGGCCACGGCATTTCAGTCCCCGAAGGATGGACGAAGCCAAAAGTCCACTCCTCAGCGATGCTGCAATATGACGGTGCCAATGACCACGGCATAGCACAGGGGGCACGTATTGAGGCAACTGCATGTCAGTTGACAGACTGTTTCATTGACAAGGTACCTAGTCCTGTTCTAACACAAGAGACGCGAACATTGAATGCAGGAACCGATGGCTTTCTCCGATCTTGCACCCACTCAACAATTGACTACCGTAACTATCTTCCCATCAAGCATCGATACCTTAATCCGGTCATCCCTATCCATGCACAGTTGAGAGAAACAGAATCAAAGGTGGATGTCTTTGCGTTTTATTGATTTCTTTCTCTGTTTCTTCCTCTGCTTTACGTGTTTTCGTTTCCTACATCCGTACATCGTATAGATGCAAATAAGCAAAAAGGGCAACCACTCCTCGGACAAGAGAGAGCTCGAATCGCAAAAGAAAGTATGACAAGGTATCGATATTAGGCTACTGGGGATTCGCAGCAACCGTCAGCACGGCCACAGCCGATGCACCGCTCGCTTACACCATATCAGGACCGATGATGTGGTCCATGCCCTTTATACGCTTCCGCATGTCCTTCATGTAGTAGTTGCGCGGAAAGTGCCGTATAAACCTAGGCATGATGGGGTACCCCGTTTTGATCATCACCATATACACCTTGTACAGGGCGCGGCGACTCGTGCTAGTCTTGAGGCCGTAGGCGTCACGCAGATTCGGCGGCAGCCACTCCGCTGTGAAGAGACGCACCAGTGGCAAATTTGCCCGGACCCAGAGCAGGCCTCTGTTATTGAAGAGCAGGTCATTGGCGACATTCTTAGCATGCGCCGAGATGGTGAAGCTGGTCAGTGACCGGTCCCAGTACTCCCAGAAGTCTTTTTGCGTCTTGGAGCACATCTCTGGCGGCACGCGCAATGAGGAGGCGAGCATGGCGTACTGGTTGTACACGGCCTTGGAGGTGGCGTAGTTGAGCTTGCCGTAGGTCTTTTCGTAGATGTCTACGCCGGCTGCGTAGAGGGTCGCAGCGACCCACAGCTGGAGCTCGACGTCATGAGCTGTGTAGCCGTCACCCTTCACAGGATCGTGTGCCCGGTGCACCATGTTGATGATAGTTTTCTTCTCCTCTGGGGTACCGAAGGCCATGCAATAAACGAAGGTCATCGTAGTCCGCAGACGGTCGATAGGCCGGTATACAAAGTTACTGTGCTCGTTCACACCAGCACCGACGCCTGGGTTGGCGATCTGAAGAAGGATAGCGACACCGCCACCGGCCAGCAGGATGGCTTCACTAACGATATTCCGCATCTCCTTTGGGTCGAAGTCGGGTTTGAGGAAGTCACGGTGGAAGTTGTCGTGGTTGATACCATAGATGGCGGGTCCGTGCTCGGGCTTCTCTGTCGTCGATGTGATGGCCTCGGTACTGTCCGTCCCAATGCTTTTGGTGTTGAGGTTGACTGGGCATGACTTCTCGTTTACTTCGAGAGAATGGGGGTTTAGCGTATTCGGGGCGCCGGTGGGGGCGAATGCACAGGCCATGGTGGTTGCCGAAAGAGTAAACTCTGCAAAACGGGAACTCTCCAAAGCGGGAACCAGATCTAAAAAGAATGGTGTTGATTGGGGCACGAGGTTTGTCTTTCTTTGGTCTCGTCAAGCTTCAACGAGTACTGAAAACATCAAGATGATTAGAAAGGGCTAAGGTAAGGAAGGAAGTGGGATGCAAAGAGGAACATACCTCTTGTACATATCCGTATATAAAGATCTAAAGCAGCGGATTCCACATGGACTGGCTTTCAGGAGCTGCTCTTGAGCATCTGTACCGAACAGCCGCCCCTCCACTACTCGCACCACCGCCCCAAATTCTCCCCATATTTACAGCAGCGGGCATGACTTCCGCCCGCTCTTCATTCCTCCTTTCGCTAACTAGCCCTTCCCCATGAAAAACACTAAAAGCAGAAGTATCCAAGCACGTGTAGTCCGCCGATGCGCTCGGACTATTTTCTCCCCAGGCGGAGGGCAGTGGAGTACGCCACCCCGTCGCCCCGTGACCTGGGCACATATCCTGGGCGCTATGATAGGGCTGGTGATAATGCAACAAGGCCCCTGGTCGTCTATCAGATGCGATCTCTCCCGGGTCGTGAGTCAGCCGAGGTGATCTCATGCAGCACCCTTTCTTTCTCGTCACGGCGGGCGTGCGAACTCATGCGTGTTGAATCACTGAACTCGGTAGCATTGTGAATGCAAGTATTGATGGCGCACCAGCGCAAGAACGACGTCTGGCGGGGCAGCGTACATTGTGGAGAGTGGGCGGGAGGGGAGAGGAACTAGGGGAGGGGAGGGGCCAAGGAAAACCAATGAAGGATTGAAGGTCTGTATATCAGACCACAGACTGGTAAGATTCGGCGCCTAAAAGCTTGAATGTTTCAAGGCTGGTTTCGATGAAACGCGACGCAAGAGATTAGAATCACTGTCAGATTTTGATTACAACTCTGGGATCAAGGTTCACGGCGTTTCACTTGCGCTGCATCTCTGCACTCATTATCTTCGAGAATCCTCTACTCCGACACTAACATTTCAAAATGGGCAAACTTGAGTGGGTTGGCGCGTTTCCTCGCGAACTTAGACCCAGCGATGGCAACGCGAGCTGGGAGAATGGCAAGAGCAAGAAGGAGTGGGTGGGTGGGTTTCGCAACCGTTCTAGTGACGAGAGATCGAGTTCGGGAAGCGTGCAAAAAATCGAGAATGTTCAGACAGTTCAAGAGATGCCACAACGAAAGCCAAGGAGAATAAGGAGGCACTACAAGAAATATTGGATTTGCTACTTCGTCCTGGGAGTGATAGCGTTGGCGATTGGGCTGCCAATCTTGTAAGTTTGACTCTGAAGACTCTTTCCTTATTTTGAGATGATTCAGTGAGCGTAGCTAAAACATAGCAGATTCCTCGTCATATTCCCCGCTATCGCCCAACGGCTGGTGGACGATGCGGACCTGCCTATTCATGCTGCGATGATCATGGACCCCAGCGACAACACGTTGACATACTCTATGACGGCATCTCTCAAGGTCCCTAAGCCGTTTACTGTCCGCATTGAGCCCACCGTCTTGGAGCTATATCGACCCGAGACGAAGCAGCACCGAATTCCTTACATCAAGGTGGAACTGCCAGCATTGAAACTCCACGGCAATGCTACTGTCAAGGTTGAGGGGCAGCAAGCAACCATTTTGGACAAGGACCAATTCACACAGTTCCTAGCGTATGCGGTCTATAATGATGACTTCGAGATGGCGGCGTATGGGAAGACTACGGCGTACCTCGGAAAGCTCAAAGCGCATATTACGTTGGATAAGACCATCAAATTGAAGGGTGAGTCCGTTTGTGCTGCCCTTGCTTCGAGTGTAGCTAATAATACGAAACAGGTCTAAACATGCTGAACGGCTTCTCGATTGATAATGCCCAAGTAGTGCTTCCTCCGAAGAAGGATGGGACTAATCTGGTTGCTAACTTGACTCTGCCGAACGCATCACTTGTCACATTTGAGCTGGTAAGTCGCTGTCTAATTTTCAATTGGTAAGTGTGTATTGACAAGAATTAGGGAAATGTGACTTTGAACCTCAAAGTCGGCGACTTAATTCTAGGCAATGCCACTATCATGAATACTATGCTCAAGCCAGGAAATAACAGCGTCTACGCGCGTGGTATTATCGATATCAAAACCGGTCTGCAAAATGTCGAACCCATTATCAATGCCGAAGCGCAGGCACTGAGACGTGGCAACATCGCAGTCTCCGCGTCAGGAAATTCGACCATATATAATGGCACCCATATCGACTACCTTGAGAAGGTACTGAACAATCTTACGATTACCACGGAGATGCCTATTACAGATATCCTGGTTGATTCTTTGGGAGGTTTGTTGGGTGACTTCTCAGGCGGGCTTAGCAGTCTTCTAAGTGGCTTGAATACGACAAATCCTTTGAATCTATTAGGAGGATAGTAAAGCCAGCGCGTTGTTAGTTCTTTATTTTTTTCCCTTTACATATGGGACGGTCGTTAGTAAACAACGAGACTACTATATACGTGTATATCCTGTAGTCTTTATGAGTTAGAAGATTACAAATATAACACTCTAGAATCTGGATACTCAGAACAATCTCTTACGTGAACATTCCCGACATTGGCAACCATCGAAAATGCATCTTCAATCACTACCATGGCCTCATATCCTCATGTCCACCATATCTCTAGCTTCTTTGAGCCCCGCACCATCCTCCACGGGGAACCCGCCCCCTTCGTCAGACCCTTTCCGGACCCCGCTACAATCCCTACAATGCCGCTGACACGAGCATCTATCACATGATTCAGCGTCCTCGGTACATGAAGCGCGCATGCGCTCCGCCAATATCTGGAGAACCTCGCATCCATGAGCCCTTCAAGTCGCGCATTATCTTCTCCGCAATCTCTATTGCCATCTGCCACCCACCCGACGAACCGCGTTATCCGCAAAAAACAAGGCTATCCTAGCCCTAGCCCCCCAATCTGCTTGATAGCTCTGATACGAGAGGGGAAAGAGAAGGGAATAGAAGTCCTGAATTTACGAGAAGGGAAGGGTACAAGCGCCGTAAGAGAGTCGTGGCAATGCCGAGGCTGCCCATTCCATCGCGCTGTGCTGCTGAACTGAGAGGGCTGGTGAAGCGGTGGAAAGGTCTAGTGACGCTTTAGTGGGAGCGTGTAGGAATTCAAGTATTGGAGTTGATCTGACTAGTGCGTGCATCCCAGAAGTAAGAAGTCCTTAAGAGGTATACATCCGAGGAAATAAGCATATACTTTCGTCGCCGTACCTTCGCTCTCTTACAATCATCCTTCATCATCGCCAGACTATGGATAGCATTAGCACCAAGAACGTCGCGGCGACCTTTAAGGTTGCCCCACCAGAAAAAGATCTCGCCACCAATGATGCCTTGAGCGAGACATTTTCCGCCGACGATGTCGCCAAGCACAGCAGGCCCGACGATCTGTGGATTATTGTTGGCGACGAGGTATTCGACGTGACCAAGTATCAAGAGGAGCATCCGGGCGGGAAGAAGAGTGAGTGACAACTATTCCTAGTATAATCCGGTGGAAGTTAAGCTGATAAAGAGTAGTTCTAGCAAAAGCCGCTGGGAAGGACGCAACGGAGCAGTTTCGAAAGCACCATCGCGACGCCATCCTTATCTAGTTTAGGGAAAATCTGAAAATAGGCGTGCTTGATATTCGGGAAGACAAGCCGGTTAAGAAGAAAAAGAAGAAGTCCATGGCTTCCCGTTTCAGCATTTCATTTATTATATAGAGAAGGTAGTTGGATTCCGTTGCCCATCGATGAGTTGCTTCGTGATTAGAGAGCATGTCTTTCGCTCCATGTTTTGTAGCATGAATGCGGGTCTGTTGACGAGCGCCTTTTAATGTCTAGATATTTGCTTCCTGTTGTTACATTAACTCTCAGCAATGTCTTGATCAGCTTTCCGTCATAGCTTATGTATTTCGAGTGCTTTGAAGCCGTTAGCGAGGCCTTCTGTAATGACGATAGAGATTTTGAGAGACAAACTATCATTAGCTTGTTCATCAGAATTACTGGTTCTGATTTCCTTTGTCTAGCCTGTTCGATATCTAGTGAGAGATTCAAGCTCATTTGAATGGAGAACAGAGAGGGCCGGCCGATGAAGAAAAGTCGGGCCGACGGTGTTGAGTCTTGTTAGCCGTCCACAGACAGCGATGTGAAGATCATGTCAAAATTGTACACGCCAATAAAGAAATCCAAAAATTTCCGATTCTTACCTGCTTCATATATACTATACGTGATGAATGTTCCTACTAGGATTCCAAAGTTCAAGGGAAGTCTACTTCACAATCTAGATTCCAATGACTGTGTTCGAGATACTATTAAGCCTGAACGATCTTGATTCTTCGACATCCGTCGAGATAGATCTTCCAAACTGGTAGAGAAGCAACATCTTCTTAACCAGTGACCATGCGTGTAAAATCTCGCCTTATAGTATTGAATACATGATCATCGAAAGTTCATGTCGAATATCTTTCCAATTGGAGCAAAGTAGTGTTCAGAGATTACGGATGAGGGAAGGAAGGTGGATGGAAGGTGGATAACTACCTCATCCGCAAGAAACCTATCACCTGCGTTACTACATTTCCAAAATTTGCGATCAAGTCTAGTAGCTGTTCTAAACTCAATGTTCATCTAAAAATTGCTCCGGGAAATCCCTAGCGGTGAAGAGAGTCCTTTGCGCCCCACTGCTCCCACATCGCCTAGCGTATGAATGTTAGCAACCTTGGAAACCCAATCTCTCTCCCATGGCAACCAAGTAAGGATGACCAAACGACCAAGCACTTGCCCGAACCTAAAGGTAATGCCTTTTTATTATGCACTTCGACACGCACTTTCTTAGGTCTCTCTTTCTTGGTCTCTTTTTCTTCATCCTCAGCACCTGCTATCAACTTGCGCAAGACGAGCGAATAACTCCCCGAGATGGCGCAAGTAGCATCATTCCAGAGCCAAACCACCCCTCTCGAGCCAATCGCCTACGTCATTTCGATGCGGGTTTCGCTATAAACACCACATGGTTTCTTCGGGAGCTTCTCCTAGCATCTCCGACGACCAGTCAATGCGTATGCTCCTCCACGAGCCCGCCAAAATCGACGTTGACACTTTCAGCTACCTCGACGCTTCACCACCCTACTCATACGAAGAAGAGGACCGCAGTGAGAATCTAGAATCTCCCAACTCTCAACAAGGCATCGATTCCTCCACGCCTGAAGCCAGAGAACTCAAGCACTTCCTTTACCTATGCCTTCAATTCACCTACACCCCCTATAAAAACAAGAACAACATTGTCTTCGACAACGTCCAAACTTTCCAAGTATGGCTACGACTACATGAGATACAGTCAACGCTAGCATCACTTCTGCTTCCCGCTCGGATCTTCAAGCTCTGCTCTATACTTTGAAGGACTCAAACCTCAATCAATGCAGAAAAAGAAGCTAACGTCAACGCTCTTACGCGCGCCATCGTTGAGCCGTGTCGCCAGCTCCACATCTCGCCTCGTGTTGGGCTCCTCATGCTGCGGTTGTTTCCATACGATCTGAACCAAAGCTTCCCAGCCGGCCTGGACTGGTTCTGGGCTGCATGTCCTCACGCTGTGGCAGCTAAAATCAGGCACGACATGTACTACCTCGTTGATATTGTCGCTCCAGATGCAAACACGGCCAGAAATCTGAGAAGGAAAATCCAAAAGAAAGCGAACCAATCCTTCCGGACCTTGAATTCTCTGTCGAATTTCCGTTTGAGCAAGTGTGGAAAAGAGAAGGCAAGGAGGACTGAAATAGGACAGCCTGCTAGCGATACTGATGCATGGTTCAGGCACAAGACAAGGCCGTACTTGCTGGAAATGTCTAAAAGGGATCCAGGTCTTAGCAATAATAAGTGATGGAAGGGTTGCATAGAGCACGATGAGACTCATTACAGGCTCGAGACTAAGAGAAATGGAATCCCGCTAATGCGAGTTGTTGTCGTCGCTGCATACAACCATTCTGTCCCGGGACCCCATGTTGCGGTTTGATCGAAGGCCTAATGGTGGATAATCGTAGCCAACGCAGTTACCCGTTGAGCAAACGGAGCAGTATTTAGACTCAGTAGAAGCCTGGTGGTGATGCTGTTCCATGTAGCTGATTAATCAACTCACTGTTCCTATTGTTCGAGCAAATCGCGCTTCACTTAGTCTGTTGTATCGCTTTGGTATTGGCAATGGACACTTTCTAAATTCAGCAGGTAGACGATGATAATGGATGAGACCGATGCCAAGAGATAGCACACACAGACAACAGTGCCTAGGTGGGACCACGTGAGCTCCAATTGAGTGGATGGAATTAGTAGGTAGGTAGTATCCAAGTGAATGGTGGAGGCGGTGATGGTGAATGCTGTCAGACATTTGCAACACGCGCTTGACCGTGAACAGATAGCGGCGTCGATCACCCGCTGGAATCAGGGGCTCCGCGCCCAAATGTGATTGGATGATAGCCAGCCCAATTCACGACCTCAACTTTTCCGCCAGGGTCCTGTGCCACCATCCTCACTCTTCATTTCTTGGATCCTTAACAGCATCCAGCGTCTTGAATCCCCAGGCTACCCCAGGCTACTCCATGCTGGTGTAGATGTACTGCAATCCTCTGCGTTGATCAGCAACCATGGCTGAAGCTTACGAGCTCCATCGTGGGAAGTACGCGAAGCTCGATGCTCCAGAGTCCGACTCGGGATCCCCCCTCCGCCGCTCCCTTGACGACGCATATCGCACCTCATCCGATGAGGAAGACCTTGACGAGTTCGACCCCCTCAACTACGATGCCGGCACCCTGAAACGGAAGAAGACGCGGACGCGTCGCCCGCGAGGAGAGTCGCTAAGGGGCCAAGAGACTATACCCTCAGAGAAGGCGGGAGCACGAAGGAGATGGTACTGCGTGAGCCGCATGTGCGTCGGCCTTACCCTGCTGTTCGTTGCTGCCGTCGTGCTCCTGCTGAGCGTGGGCGGGATTTGGGCGTGGAAATCGGTCCCGGAAAATGGGCAGAGTCCGCCGTGGTACCCGTCACCGAAGGGTGGCACGGATGAGAAATGGAGGGACAGCTACAAAAAGGCAGCAGATCTGGTGCGGCAGATGACACTCGTGGAGAAAGTCAATGTCACAACCGGCGTCGGATGGGAGATGGAGATGTGCGTAGGCAATACTGGAGAGGTCACCAGACTCGGATTCCCCAGTCTGTGTCTTCAGGATGGCCCGATTGGCATACGGTTTGCAGACAACATCACGGCATTCCCAGGGGGTGTTACGATCGGAGCTACGTGGAATAAGGACCTAATATACAAGCGCGGACGGGCACAGGCCTTGGAGGCGAGGTTGAAAGGCATCAATGTCCTTCTAGGCCCCACAATGGGGCCATTGGGTCGATCGCCCGCTGGTGGTAGGAATTGGGAGGGTTTCGGAGCGGATCCCGTACTACAGGGCATTGCAGCGGCCCAGACGATTAAGGGTATCCAGGACGAGGGCATTGTTGCGACTGCAAAGCATTTCATCGGCAATGAACAAGAACATTTCCGACAGAGCTGGGAGTGGGGTACTCCGAACGCCATCTCCAGCAACATCGATGACCGGACTCTTCACGAACTGTACGCATGGCCTTTTGCGGAAAGCATCAAAGCGGGTGTTGGCAGTGTCATGTGCTCTTATAACCAAGTGAACAACTCGTACGCTTGTGGTAACAGCAAACTCATGAATGGTATCTTGAAAGATGAGCTGGGGTTCCAAGGCTTCGTACAATCGGATTGGCTGGCTCAGAGGAGTGGAGTGGCAAGCGCATTGGCAGGACTGGATATGTCGATGCCTGGTGACGGCCTTCGATGGGCCGATGGAAAGGCACTTTGGGGCCATCAACTTACGAAAGCCGTCCTGAACAGTTCTGTACCTATGGACCGCCTCGACGATATGGTAACTCGAATTGTCGCCGCTTGGTATCAAGTCGGGCAAGACGATAAGAGGAAATGGCCAATGCCTCCAGAGGGTGGTCCAAATTTCTCTTCCTGGACTGGCGAAAAAATTGGGTTGTTGCATCCTGGAAGTGACGACAAGACCACCGGTGTCGTTAATAAGTTTATTAACGCACAGGGTGAAGGCGAGGACTCACACGGCAAGCTCGCGCGTAGAGTTGCGGCAGAAGGGACTGTGCTGGTAAAGAACGACGGCGATATCCTGCCACTGAGTCGGAAAGGTTGGAAGGACGCCAAAGAGGGTCAGATGAAATACCGAGTTGGTATCTTCGGCGAGGATGCAAGGTTGAATGAAAACGGACCAAACAACTGTCCAGATCGTGGCTGTAACGTCGGAACGCTTGCTCAAGGATGGGGTTCCGGGTCTGTCGATTACCCGTACCTCATTAGTCCGCTCCAAGCCATCTACGAAGCCTTCGAGGGGGTTGCACACGTTACAGACTGGGCTGCTAACAAAATACCCGAGGAGAAAGAAGACCTGCTTCATGACCAGGACCTATGCATCGTATTCGCAAATTCGGATTCTGGCGAAGGCTATATGCAAGATGGTGGGATTCGAGGCGATCGGAATGATCTCAAACTCCAAAAGAATGGGAATCTCCTAATCAAGAAGGTTGCCGAAAGCTGCGGGAACGGTAATGGCAGTACGGTGGTCGTTATCCATGCTGTTGGACCAGTAAATGTGGAATTCTTCGCCGACCTGCCTGGCGTCAAAGCAATTCTGTTAGCTCATCTTCCTGGTCAAGAGAGCGGTAACGCCCTTGTCGACGTCCTCTTCGGCGACGTCAATCCGAGCGGTCGATTGCCGTATACTATCGCTAAGAAAGATGAAGATTATGGCCCAGGCTCCAAGATCCTATACTATCCAAACCAGATCGTCCCGCAACAGAACTTCTCGGAAGGCCTGTACATTGACTATCGTTATTTCGACAAGAACGACATTGAACCACGATATGAGTTCGGTTTCGGGCTAAGCTATACGAGCTTCCATCTATCTTCGTTGCTCATCAGTCCAAAGTCTTTCAAAAAGACACTACTGCCTGCTCCTCGTCCAAATGGTATCGAGCCTCCAAAGTTCGACACCAAGATTCCAAACCCGAGCACCGCCCTTGCACCAGAAGGGTTCAAGAAACTGTCCAAATACATATACCCATATATCTCCTCCGTCAAAGACATTAAAACTGGGAAATACCCCTACCCACCCACCTACAACACTCCGCTGGAGCTGTCTCCCGCAGGAGGCGCTGAGGGCGGAAATCCCGATCTCTACACCGTCGTCGCGGAAGTCTCTGCCAGCCTCACCAACACAGGTAAAGTGGATGGCGACGCTGTTGTACAGTTGTACATTTCCTATCCGGACAACTATGTCGACGAAGAGACGGGCGAGCCGGTGGACTTCCCCGTGAAGGTGCTGAGAGGGTTCGAGAAATTGCATGTGGAAGGCGGTGATAAACGTGCGGAGGTCAAGTTTGCACTGACGCGGAAGGACGTTAGCTACTGGTGTACAAGGAGGGGTAATTGGGTCATGCCGACCAAAGGATCGTTCAAGATCAGCGTAGGGTTCTCGAGCCGAGACCTGCCTCTCGTGGGAACGTTCTAGATGATGGCGGCGGCGTTAGGAGTTAGGCTTGGATGGAATACCGATTGCTAATTATATATTGTACGGTCACTGATAGTATAGGATATAGAAGTCACGTATTTGGGCAATTCAAGCATTTCATATCTCTCAATTATCATCTGAAAGAGGCGGAAATATGGGTTTCTTCCAGTCGGTGTACCTCTTCTTGAAGTTTACACTGGTGAACCCGTAACGGTGATGAGCCGACGAATTGGGTGCAGCTCAATTTGTCTGGTTCATCTGGGCTACAGGACGAGGAGAGACAAGCTCGAGGCTATTATCCGTGCCAACATCCATCCACCTGAACTTGGTTATATCTTCCACTTTCACATCCTCCAGCACGAAAAGTTGAACCTAAGCCTCAAACCTAGGCACAAGCGGCCTCTCAGGGCCCTTGGGGCCACAGACCTGGAAGAGGTCGACGTCGAAGAGTTTGTGGTACAGCTTTTTGCGCTTAGCATCGAACTGGCCCTAGTAACTTGTTAGCCTGGATGATACAAGCCTCGCTAAACCGCATCATGGATTTAGGACGTACCTTCCCCGTAGTGAGCTTAGTGAAGTCCCTCGTAAAAGACTCAGCCTCATCCCACGACCGAACCCGCGTCCCGTCCTTCGCAATCCATTCATCTAGGCGATACCCGTGCTTCCCCCAAGCCTGCTAGACCACGAAGCCTTCGGGGCCAAACCCGGCAACGAATGTGTGGGCGAAGGAGAACCAAGACTCGGACTTCCCGCGCGCAGCTAGCTCGAATATATGGACGTCAGTGAGCGATACGGCTACGATGGTTGTCTTTCCTTCTTTCAACACGGCTTCTTTGGCTTTCACATACGCGCCGCGAAAGGACTCGGAGGGTGTCGTGCGGATCTGGCTGAGGGTCGGCATTCCTCCTCGGGTCCGGGAGCGGAACTTCAGCGCGGCTTGCGCCTTGTGCTGCAGAGCTGCGAGGCAGAGTAGGATTGACGTTGCGAGCTTGCAAGACTTCCAGAGGATGGGTTCGAACTGTGACTTCAGGCTTCGGTAGTCTTTGATGTCGGCGTGAACGTCTAGAGCTCCGTTGTCGATGGCTGACGAGATTCGGTGCCAGATGAACAAGGGGATAGAGAGGTCTTTGCTGAGAAGCGCTCCTACCTGCGCTTTGAGAGCCGATATTGGGGTCATGGTGGTTTTCGGAGATTGCATTGCCGCAATAGTTTCCTTCAGCTTCGTTACTTCGTCCGTACTGGAACCTGGGGTCAACGTTGGTGCTTTTCCGTCCACCTCGAGGCCAAGGGAGCTGCTCATATTGAGAGACGCCATCAGAGCGCCTAGTGAATCAGATGTTCGTGCAGAAGCTGCCTCGGATCTCGTTCGTGGCTCGATATGCTTGAGTCCAGGGGGAATGGAGTAGTCTCCACTCGTCATACGCATTAAGTTGACTGCGAAGGGGAGTGTGTCAACCCACTGCGCTTGAGCCTCCGGTGAGAGTGTGGTCCGCAATTGCTCTGGCATAGGCCGGCGCGGTAAATCAGAGCGACCGTCCATGATGACAAAACTTGACTCTTACTTGTGCGGTTGAGCAGAAGGTGCCGAAACGAAGTTTGATGAACAACTCGACATTAATGCGAGAAGCGCAAGGTTTTGTCGAAAGGTAATACAGCCTGTAGGCGCATCCAGTTGCCTAGCAGGGAAGCCAAGCTTCAAAATTACCGTATGAGGTGGCAGTCCCGACGTCTATTATGGAGGTATAGAAATGTCCTGGCCAATCAGTCTTCAAACCGGTCCATCATTAGCCCAGAAAAGGAGCTTCACCAGGATCGACTCAGTTCCCGTGCTAAGCCACTGGATGCGCCTACAGGCTGTTTCTCATATTCAATGGCCGTCTTTCTTGCTATTCTCTCACCGTATCCTTCATTTCACCATCTTCGATGTTAGCGTACCAGGGAAATACAGCACAAGGCTTCCAGCACTGAGAAAGCTAGTTCTCACCAATAATAGTCTTATAATGCCTGTGTGTTACACGGAAATCCACCTGCAGACTATATTTTGGGCCTTCATTCTCTTACTGCCTCGTTGACTTTTCCTGCTTCAAGCTGGCTACGAGAATGTAGATGTGATACAACGTAAAGGAGCGTTTGCTCTAGTGCATTTGGACTTTGACCTGAATGCAGCATTCCGCAGGTAGCTCCCCGGGCTCCCGTAATATGTTGTAACGAGTACTCTGATTTGACAGTACCACAGCCATTTGCTTGGCCAAGGTTGCGTAGCGGCCTCGTCAACATTGAGCGGCAGTACCCTTGTAAGATTGAAAACAAATCAAGACAATATGTGGGGCCAAAAGCTGCTGTATTGATGATGATCAGGAAGCTAGCTATTGAGCGGCAGGAGGAAGAATAACTAGTTATACACCAGCTGCTGAGTAAGCCTGCTAAACAGAGCAGGCCCGACAATCTACAAGGTGATGGCCTTCCATGGGGTTCAAATTTCTCAAAGCGTGTTGACGCATCTAGAACGAGCATGGTACCCGAGTTATTCAGAGAATCACATGGGCAATGTTTGATTCAAGTTCGACGATGCCAAGTCAACCTCTCATATCAATTACTATCTCACGTCTCGCGATCCTATGCTAGTTCCAACGCCACATTATTCTCTTGCTCTAACACAAGCTATCATACACATAATACAGTCTGTAGTCCTTTCAAACCATCTTCCAAGGTTATCTCTCGAAGTCTTACCAATGAATCACGTAAACGCGTTAGCCATGCCCTCCCTAGTTTCATCGTGCCGATCCCAGCTAGAACACCCAACTCCATGCCCTGGGAATCATGCCCAGCGCTTTCAAACCCTGTCCTAAACGCCAAAAGAAATAGTGCAACTAGGCCCAAGCCTCATAGCAACACAACGGCCCACCCGGCAGCTCCCATCAACACCGCCTCTACCATCGCCTCGAACCCGGCCGCCCTTCCAGCAGGCGCCTGGCTAGGTTTCGACGAAATTCCAATCCCGCTCGCGATGAAATTGCCTGGATCTCGGAGGTTTGAGGTGCTTGTGCCACTCTCGCTACTACTCTTGCTTGAGCTCGTTCTTATGCTGCCGGACGACCCCGAACGTGTACTAGATAGTTTCGAGTCCGCGGTAGTAGTCGCGCTCACACTCGCGGGAACAACGGTACTGGTATGGCCATTTATCACCAAGAGGCTCGCACCTGCTGGTAGACTGTATGTCGTTCCAGATACCGTGACAGCCGGACCGCCTGGGATGAGCGTCGTTCCAGGACCTAAGACGTACTGCGTTGTGCCATCCACCACTGTGGCGGAAACGACTTGACCGTTGAGCGTCAGCAACGGTGCTGCGGTAATGATGGCGTTGTCCAGGGTGGATGTAACGCCGTTGATCACCACGACAGCAGGCGTGGCGCCTGCGGGGAGGCTGAAGGTGGTTCCGGAAACTGTGAGTACCCCTCCTGGTGTCAGTGTCTGACCCGGCGCAAGAACGAACTGGGTCGTGCCGTCCACTACGGTTGCAGAAATGGTGTGCCCATCGACAACGAGGATTGGTGGCGCAGTGATTAGCGGGCTCCCGTTCAGGGTTTGGGTGACACCATTGACGACTGCTACAGTGCCCGAAGGTCCCAGGCTGAAAGTAGTGCCGTCTATCGTTAAAACTGGGCCACCGGGCTTGAGCGTCTGGGTTCCTATCACGAATTCTCCGCTTGGATTTGCCGTGATAACAGTGCCACCAATCGTGAGTGTTGGATGAGGGGCGTTGAGTGTTTGCGTAACGCCATTAACGACGGCTACCGTACCAGATGGACCAAGGCTGAAAGTGGTGCCGTCTACTGTTAGAATTGGACCACCTGGCTGAAGAGTTTGTGTGCCTAGTACGAATTGTCCACTAGGATTTGCTGTGATGACTGTGCCGCCCACGGTAAGTACTGGCGGAGGGGTTGGGTTTGCAGGATTGACCGCGATAGTGCTACCTCCAACCACCACACTAGAGCCTCCGGGAGGAACAGAGATGACCACGCCATTCAGAGTTGTGGCTTGGCCTGGGGTGAGAGTTTGGCCGCCGACAATCACTCCTCCACCAGATACCGGGGCAGGTGCAACAGGAACGACGGTATTCCCAACTGCTACGGATTGAGGAGGGTTATTGACGGGAGGAGTGATGACTGGACGATTCACCCCTTCAGTATGACCAGGCGGTCGATTTTCTTGAGTTTTTGGAGGTAGGTTGTTGAAGATGGACGGGTTGTTGTGTATCAGCGATGCAATTATCTCTCCAACGCCCGGGGTGCTTGCTGGCTTGGGATTGCCCGGTCCAGCTGATATGTGATTCTCGACTGACACGACAGGTCCAGGAGGGTTCGGGGTTCCCGAAGGTTTTAGCACCGGAGAGTTTATCGCAGGGCCAGTCTCCTCCATTGGTTTAGATCTGATATCAGAAGCACTTATATGAATGACCGAGGGTGCTGTAGCGAATGAAGGTGTCACAAGAGTCTTTGTGGACGTTGGAGAAGGCTCTCCTATGGTAAGAAAGGCTTCCGACTTAGTTGACTCAGGAGGTGGGGGTGGGGGAAGAGGCGTTGTGATAGGGCCTCCCTTAACCGTAGTCTCCAGAGTACATGTAGCTATATCGGAGCCGTTGAAGGCGCTCATGATCGCAGGAACCTGCGCAAGATAGGCGATAAGGGGTTGTGGTAGAATAACGGGCACGTCTTCATGAGAGACGTCTGTGATTGGATAAATGAAAGGCTGGCCCTGCTCTGGCGGGAAGAGATTCAAGGGTTGGACGTCTTGTGTACATGTATCCTCAGGTTTCTCCTCTTTCTTGTGCCTTTTCCAAGATATTAATTCGGTCTCCGTTGGTTCTGGCGGAGCTGTTATTGGTCCTACATCAAGTCCTCCCATGATGTCGTAATATGCTATGTAAGTGCTCGGGGCCGTCCTGATCCAGTTAGCGGCTTCGGTGTAGAAGGACTTGTAATACTCACAAGGCCACATCGGGAGCTTTATCCCAAGTCCATGTCAGTGTGAGATGAACATCAGTCTGATTTGCAGGCAGGCTTGGAGTTGCTCCGGGGTCGAAGTTGGTGAGCAAAATCGTAGTTACTAAGTCGTCGGTTCCTGTGCTCTCAACCGTCGTAATCGTCCCAGCCAGATAGGATTCGACGCTGAGGGGGGCATCCGGATAGGTGAGAGTCCAAAGATAATCGGCCTGGAGCACACACCCAGTGCAGACCGGGCTGTCGGAAGAAGTGCTGGATGCGGTGGATGAATTCGTTGAGCTCTCCGTCCGGGAGGCTGAACTGGATATTGTCGAGAAACTGGATGTTGTCAAGGAGCTGGATACCGTCGAGGAGCTGGATACCGTCGAGGAGCTGGATGATGTCGTTGAAAGCTTAGAAATGGAGGAAATTGATGTGTTTAGTTCGGTTGAACTTGCGGAACCTGATGATGCCGTCGGAATTGAAAGACTAGACGAGCCTGTGGAAACGGATACGCTAGACTCCAACACACTGGCTATCGAAGCCGATGGTAAGGTAGATGGGAAGCTAGATGATACAGAGCTGTGTGAAGATGTCGAAACTGCGCTACTTGTAGAGTTGGATATCGAGATTGCTAAACTACGTCAGTCACCTCTCAAATGTTTTACATGATTCTTAACAAAGGATCTACCTACATCTTCGCAAAAGCTGAGGCTCAGCTCCCACAAAAAAGGCCCGTTGTGCCGCAAAGGCACACAAAACAAAGAATTTGAGCATCATGAAGGCGTGTCCGCTGAATATCAGTACATTTGAACGCGCCAAACGAGCTCGCGGTCCGAGATTGACGTTTGTGCAGCTAGAATAGCCAGAAACACAGAGACGTACAGAACGATCGGCAGGGAGGGATATAGGAGACGCCCATATTTGAACGTTGCAGCCGCCTTACACGCAGGCGTCAGGGCAGATGCAGGACGACAGGCGGCCGGGTCCATGAATAGCTGAACCCTGCGCAAATCGACCGTGGCCAGCAAGCCTGCCAAGTAGTCGCAAATTGTACGCCGTGGCTTGCGAACAGAAGGGGATGCCGGCCAGCCAAGCGGTTGCATTCGTGGCCATGCCGGTCGGCTGAGAGCGAGAGGGAGAGGTGTTTCATGGGGGCTGGTGCTCAGCCAGCAGCGTGGCTAGGGACGGAATGGTCCGAGAACCAACGGCATTGGAGTGTGTGTGGCAAACATGTTCCAGTCTCTCGATCTTGTCATGTGAGTCTGGAGGCACTGGTATTCTAACTATGTTGGGTGAGTGGTGATGGATGCTATTCTACCCAGTTAAACGCGACGAGCGCACAAAAGCCGTAGCAGGCAAGAAAGACGCAGCATTTCAGCTACCAGGAAGAATAGTGCGGCCAAACGTGCTGCCGACACAGGTCTTCAATCCGACACAGGGGTGCTCTGGTTACATTCTCGCCCCAATGCAGACGGCGTGGACTGGACACAAGAAGCTGCTTGCGGCCCCATTACCATCACTTGAGGTTGCGGCGGCCATGGCATCTGAATACGAGCAGCAGCATGAGGCCTTCGCGCCCGGAGAAAAGAGTTGGAAGCGGTGGGCAGAAGCTTGCGGAGAGATGGTGGTGGTGGTGGCGGAGTAGCGAGGATGAGGCGTCGTTGGCCAGACCGCTTCAACGTCAACACATGCCTGCATCCGCCCTCAGCCCTCATCTTCGCCCGCTTCAGCTGGAGCACAATGTCGGCTGTCTGACCAGCCACCCGCGTCTGCCCTCGAATCACAGCCGGAAGCACCATGGCTGTCATTTCTCGGCATGCCGAGGGCCTCCAGTCATGCTCCGATGCTTTCGGGGACGCCCTCCAGCCCTCAGCTCTTGTCTTGGCCATGCAGAGTAACAATGCTGCATAACTGACCCAGAAGCCTTGCTCTCGGACCCGTTCTGTGTTTCTCGGCAGCAGATCTTGTTCGCCCGTCAATTCTCGTGTTCCTTCACGCTTCCATCCGTCTTCTTTTGATTCTCAGCCATCCTTCGTGATCTACAAGCCCCTTGTTACTCTTCCATTACACAATCTTCATGCCCTTTTTATTCGTCTTTGCGGTATACCCGTTGCTCTGTCCGAAGGACCTTCGACCATGTCCTTGATGATAGCCCCGCGAGACACCGTCCCCGCGCCCTACGTCGTTCCCCCCTCTCAGTCCTTCGATGGCAACGACGGGCCCTGGTCCACCTTTTTCATCTCTGTCGGGACACCTGGACAAGACTTGCGCGTGCAAGTCTCTACTCAAAGCGGCGAGACGTGGGTCGTGGTGCCAGAAGGCTGCTATCCAACAGATGGCCCTGACTGTGCCTCCCTCCGCGGCGCGCAACCCTTCCAAAGCACAGAGAGCCCTGGATTCCAATCAAACGCGTCAAGCACGTGGGACACAATTGGTGTATACACCCTCACAACAGAAGAGAAGCTTAATTACACCGGCAATGGAATATACGGCTACGACAAGGTAGCGCTGGGACCCGCGTCTGACAGCACAACGGTGGCATTAGACCACCAAATCGTCGGTGGAGTCGCGGAGCTAGATTTCTGGATGGGGCATATTGGACTAGGGATACAACCAAGCTCGTTCTCAAGTTTGAGCAAACCCGTAGACTCATTTCTGGTCCAGCTGTGGAATCAGACCAAGATCCCGAGCCTCTCGTACGCTTATACTGCTGGTGCGAAGTATCGTAAGTTTGCGGAAACACCTGATAGAGGTACTCGTGGAGGGCTCTGACAGCGAAAAGGTCTGAAATCCGTCTTTGGAAGCTTGATACTCGGCGGGTACGACGAAACTCGATTTACTCCAAGCAATTTCTCCCTTTCTTTCAGCTCCGACGCAACCAAACTCTTGACCGTCGGGGTCCAATCCATCATCGGACTAGACACTTTACAAGGAACGCAATCCTTCACCACCTCCGGCCACCTCTCCCTGATGGACTCTACCGTGCCGCACCTCTGGCTCCCCCGCGACATTTGTGATGGCATCGAGCAAGCATTCGGCCTAACCTACGACCCAACCACAGACCTCTACCTCGTCAATGAGACTATGCACACTCAACTCCACCATCTCAACCCCACACTGACCTTCAAACTTGGCGACACAATATACGACACGGGCGCCAACGCCACCAACATTGTTCTCCCCTACGCCGCTCTCGACCTACAAGCTTCCTATCCCTTTTATAAGAACGCAACGAACTATTTCCCCATCCGCCGAGCCGCAAATGATTCCCAATACGTCCTCGGCCGCACCCTCCTCCAAGAAGCATATCTAATCGTCGACTACGAGCGCCAAAACTTCACTATCGCGCCCGCGAGCTTTCCTGATCCCCTTCCGGCCCCTCACGTGATGGCCATCACCCCCCCTTCAAACACTACATCGCCTGCATCGAACCCCTCCGCATCTTCCAAACCTCTTCTTAGCACTGGCGCCATCGCCGGCATCGCAGCCGGCGGCGGCGCCCTCCTCATCCTCCTCGCCCTAGCCCTCCTCTTCTTCCTCCGCCGCCGCCGCCACGCCCGCGTCGAGCTCGCAAACACCCAAATCACAGCCTCCGACAAACCTCAGAATGCCCTCTTCGATGACTCCGGCGGCGCGACCGAGCTATCAGGCGTGCAAGTGATGGAACTCGGCGCGCCTGCCAACGAAGAGGTGCTAGGGATGGGCGGGCTGGTGCGCGGACGGAAGAGTGGCTACGGCGCGTACTGGGATAGCGAGGGGCGATTGAGGAGTCCCGGGTCACCTGGAGCGGCTGATAGGCTGCTCGTAGAATTGGAGCAGCCGGCGGTGAGTCCGGGGCATTATAGGCCGCAGGGGCCGGTGCATGAGGTGGAAGGGGATTCGTATTCTTTTGTGCCGAGTCGGAGGGGGAGTCGGGATAGGAGTGAGGCGAGGAGTATAAGAGGAGAGAGAAGTAGTAAATAGGGTGGGGCGCTGAGGTGTCTTTGCTGTACGTTATATCATGATGCATCTGGCGGAGTTCAGGGTTTGGAGGTTTGTTGGTCTTGAATGGGTTGGCGCTGTACTGGATATTAGCGACCAGAACATAGGGCTCTCGATAGCGAATAGTAATTTGTATTATAAGAGTGGGGAAAGATAGCCCTCTTCTCATCTTCATCGGATTGTAATTCTTCTCCGAGACACCCCAGCAAACCATCCGCCTCCAGGTTCGTCGCGACGACCCTTGCCCTGAACCAGTCCCACTCGAATGAATGTCTCCTTACCCTCCGTGGAAAGCGATTCGGCATCGTATTGGGGTGTGTATCTCTCATAATGCGAAATCTCCGTCTTGGACCAGTTGCCTGACAGCTCATCATAAGCCCTGGCGACTTCGCTAAAGGACGAACGCTCAGGGACAGAGAGCTTAGAGATCCTCTTCAATGGAGCTTGAGAAGGGTAGATGGGTAGAAGGGCTAGTGCGACCCAAGAGAGCCCCTCTTCTTTACTGAAAGAGTAGAGATACGCGCAGCACAGCTGGTCCCCCGCAGAAAGTCCGGAATCGGGCCCTAGATCGGCTATCAAAGTGGGATGGTATGTACTTCCACGCTTTCCAAGGCGGTACTGATCGCCACTAAAGCTCTCAATCTCCGCATACACGACAGAGGCACTAACAGTGAGTTCTCCGGAACGCACTTTCCCCATCGGGTCGGGACCATCTAGCTCACGGGTAAGCTTTAGAATCTCTACATTGACGTTTTCCGGATAGGTTGCGCGAAACGTGTCGGCAGACCATTTGACCGGCAAGGGAGTCGAGATCCACGACCATGAAGGCTTAAGCTGATCGAGTTTTGGGTTCTCTGCTTTGCCTTTCCCTTTTCTGATTCCGAGTGAGGACATGTTCTTGATCAAGCTCTGAACTCTCGACTGCGGAGCATCATGATGGAATAACTTGGCAGCAGAAAGGTCAGACTGCCAACTTAGATGACAAAGGAGATTCTTGGACCAGATGCCTGCATAGTAGCCTCCAAGATCGAATGAAATAAAACGAGACGCTATGCCAGAAAGTGCCGGTAGCCTGTCGTCACGGTAAGTTAGTTGCCGCTTTGAGTACTCGCTAACCATTGTTTGCCAGGTCGATGTAGGCTCGTCCCAGCCATATTCGTAGAACATGGTTGCCCTAGGGTCCAGTGTTGCTCTATTGAATAGCGAGCCTTGCAATACGCCCACCTTCCATGACTGATCAGCGGTGACGCTCATGCACTCACACCAATACTGGCATCTACACTCCCACAATAACTCTTTGGCGAGAAAGTGAAGCGTTCTCGTTGATAAGAGACGCTCTTGGAAAGCCCAGCCGCGGGAGAGAAGTGGATTGTCTTGCGTACTCGTACTGGTAGTTTCGGGAACAATGTCTTCGTGCTTCAAGCGTGTTCTGACGTGTACAGTGAATGATTGTCCACTTGGAGAGACCCATAGCACAGACTTGACGGCCTTCTCGATGACATGTAACCGAGGCTTCAAGAACCCCTCTGTGACCGCAGATGAATTGGTCGCTGAGATAGTCAGGATCGCGCCCTGGTACACGCTGGCCATGTTTGCTGCTTCTTTGACCCAGTCGTTGTAGTCGTCCTGTACGATGCATAGAGCATCTATCCACAAATAATGCATTCCAAGACATCGCGTTACAAGGATCGCATCCTGGAAAGTCTTCGGGAGCTTCTCGAATTGAATACCTGCAATCCTATCTTTGATGTTACGTCGAGCGGTAACGAAGCTGTTTTTCTTCCCCCAGCAATAGCTCAGAGCAATGTAAGGTTCTGATAATGCGTCACGCTTATCGAAGACAACCAAGCGGGGGTTTTGAGAGCCGTCGCTGGGTCCAACATCGAGCATTCGCCGAGCGCCCATCTCATGAGCACCACTTCGGAAAAAATTCAAGGTCGGCGGAGAGAGTTGATCGGTGACTGCTGTCGCTTTGAAGGGTTGGCACATAGGGTGTTCCTTTTGGCACCGCAGAAGCCATGCTAGAGCAAAACGGGCAGCTCCATCGGCTTCCAAATTGCTAGTGATATGCTGGGCGAAGCCTATATAAGGCCCGGGAGACTCATTCCCTAATAGTGTCAGTCAGTCAAATGAAATGTCAGGTACGAAATCTACGGTACCTGGAGAAACGAATAACTCGATATCGAAACTATCGCCTTCCACTCGCAACGGAAGGCCGACCTCGAAAATGAGATGGAAGGCTTCATCAGTTGGCGGCCCGAATTCGCGCAAGCCTCTATAAATCAACTCACATCCACTGCATCCAGATTCTGCTGATTTGAGTAGTTCAGGCACGCGACGTATACAAGTATCCCGAGAAGCCCGTGGGGATATACCCAGGTCGTAGCAGGTACTGCAGCAAATGAATCTTTCAGCTGCCGCCATCCTTTATTCCATATAATCGAAGAAGTTGAAAAGATTCTATCGTTCTTGAAGTCAGGCTGAAGCTGAAATGCAAGTAGGACAGACGACGCTCTAGCGTTGAATTGAGGAGAGTCCGTGCACATCTTATATCGTTGACACTACCGTGACTTTCATAGCGGAGACACTACGTGTGTTGCATTAATTAGTGATGCTTGTAAAATACTATACAGTCTCATGGAATTCAAAGTTGTAACCACATAGTCCCATTCAAATCTAATGAGCTATATATTATGTCCGCGACATTGACATAGGTCACATGACCATCTTACCACTCCCCATCCACGGCCCTCAACCTCAATCGCATCCCATTCTTCGGCTTCAGCGTAATCGTCCCAGCAGGCTTCACAACCTCGTTTGGATTTGCCATTTCCATTTCATATTTTCCCACAAACACCGCAACCAACGCCCTCAGCTCAGCCCTAGCAAACCGCTCCCCAATACAGCTTCGCGGGCCCTGTATGAAGGTCGAAAACGCATAGTTGCTGTTTGCGCCTCCACTTCCGTTGATACCGGGTGGAGAAATGCTGTAGTCGATCCAGCGCTCGGGTCGGAAGACCTCGGAATCGGGTCCCCAAAGCGTAGGCGAGCGGTTGATAGCCCACGGCGCGATGATGGATTGAATGCCGGCAGGAATAGGAACGCCGGAGATGGTCGTCGGCCGGATTGAGATGCGGGAAGAGACGGGGATGGTGGGGAAGAGGCGAAGAGTTTCGGTGCAAACGCCATTGAGATAAGGAAGGCTTTCGAGGAGGGCGGAGATGTCTTCGCCTGAGACTGCAGAGGCAGATGGGGAGGGGAGATTGGAGAACACTTCCTCACGAAGGGTGTTTTGGATGTCAGGATGGGTGGCGAGGAGATGTGTTATCCATGTGAAGGCTGAGGATGTGGTTTCGTGCCTTGAAAAGTTTGTTGTTAGAGTAGCACGCAGTTGGGTAGTAGAAAGTGCGACTTACCCTGCCGCAAGAAATGTTAGAAGCTGATCGACGAGAGAGTCATCAGAGAAGTCATTCGACTCGATCAAGACAGACAAAATATCTTTCTGATCCTCACTCTGTGTCTTCATGCGCTGCTTCTTTTCCTGAACGAACTGACGGCATATAGCCTTCAGGTTATTCGATGTTATTCGTACTCGCTCATTGATCTTCCAGGGTAATGCTCGGAGTATGCGTTGAGGAAACAGCAGATTGCAGACGAAGTAAATTCCCTTTTCTGCCGTCGGCTCTAGAATCTCTTCGTAATTCTTGATCAATTCATCATCGGAGTTTTTCAAGGCTTGAATATCTCGACCTAGTCCTGCCAGGCCAATTATGTCCATGGTGGCTTTGTTTGCCCAATGATTGATCTCTACAACGCTCGATGGAACTCCACCCTTCTCACTTGCTGGTGCCTCGGGGTTCTCGTATATTTCAGCTGCAATGGCTTGCGTGAGCTCGAAAGACTTTTGCCAGAAGATGGGATAAAGTTCCTTGATGTGACGAAAGCTGAAGGCGGGCATAATATGCTTTCTTTGGAACTTGTGCTCTTCCCCTTCAGTCATGAGCAATCCATCGCCAAGGAACTGCCTCAGGAATTCACGGACCCAAGGCGGCTTCTCAAAATCATAGCTATTGTGAACGAGTACATCCGCTAGAGCCCGTGGGTCAGTCAAGACCAGGCGGTCCGCATTGAAGAATCCACGGAAGTGAATGAGGCCGTCGTTCTGAACTTCCTTCATGAATCTTAACAAGTGCCCACCGGGAGGGCGCGAGAACATCGTGAAGCCATGCCCGATAAGGGGGTATTCGCCCTGTGATGTTCAGTCAGCTCAATTCGTAACTAGCCTTGTCTTCGTAGCATTTACCTTAGATATACCTTTCGGTCCTGGAAGGTGGCGAAGAGGATTGACGAAGAAAGGGTATATAAAGACACGCCAGACCGCGAAGACACCAAAGTTCAAGAGCGCGAATATGAGGAAGAGACTTTTGAGGGTAGCTTCGGGAAGGGCATGAGGGAATACGAAAAGCAAGAGTATCGACTCAGCTGCAGAGACAAGCGATAAAAATAGTGGGAGTGGAATGGGCGAGGCCGTCATCTTGGAGTTCATGAAGTTATGTATGTATGTACTCGGTATATGACTGCGGTTGCAAGTCCAAAGTCCCCAGGCGGGGCACTCTGTGCATTATACGATCATTCCTTCTGGGTTCTCAGGCTGTGGTGTTAAGGCAACCATTAGCATTAGGGAAGGATTCGTGTTCACAGTATATCGCTCGACTGGCACATGCTTTCAGCTAGGTCATGGGCGCAAGACTCCTAGTTCTGCCTCGGCATCGTATCGAAGCTCTGAAGCTTATTGGACAAGGCGCTTAAGGTGGGTTAGAGCCTTGGTCATGTCCTAGTTTGCTTCGCAAGCACCGCAAGATTAGGAAACCTTCCCCACTCAAAGAGCTTGATACAACGACATCCCGGAGAAGGCATCCACCATCGAAAGCACCGAGGGCATGTGTATCTTCACGGATAACCGGTAGACAGAATGCTGATGACTGAGGCGATTCGTGCTGAATTCGTCCCTTCGCATGCGCAACGCGGCCATTGACGCGTGATCAATTCCCAGAGTATCATGACCAGTTAGGCATCGCAGTGGTGTGAGTGATGAACGGAATCGAAGATGGGCATACAGAGATGATAATGATAGAAGGCCAGCAGGCGGCCTGGCGGGCGTCACACTTCTAGCTTCAGTCAGAACCATTGGGTCACCAACGGACCGTCGATGTCGAAGGGAACAGGCAAGCGACATACTTCACCCATTTTCGATAACAAGCGGCTATGTAAGGCTTTCCGGAGTCTTCTATGAGGCTGCGACGCAACTGTGACAGTGCTTTGATCAGGCTGAGACGTGCCTGATCGACGACAAGGAGGACCTCCACTCCAACGATTTCCCCACTACGCTCTGCGCTCTTAGCACCCAGTCCGGCACTCTCATACTCAGAGTTCCTTTGCAACAATCATATCATGCCTTAGGCGATCACCAGGGGACTTAATTATCAATTACAGAACATCTATGCATCGGCTCATTACTTCTCACGGGTAAATGCAATATATCATCAATGCGTAGGACTCCGCGCGCGACAAGTACAGTCCACTTCTCATTAGCCAATCTTCAAACACGTCGAACCAATGTAAGATCATCGTACTTTACGGCGTTGTATGCCTAAGCAAGTTTCGCCCCAGACCAGCCATCACCCCATCTCTCCGTCCAGCACAGTACCGAGATGCTAGTAGACCAAATTGCCAGGACCTGTAGCCGCCCGCTCCAACATCGGATCTACTTCTCGTCAACATGTCGTGCCAGTTGGAAATGAGGTCCGAGATTCCAGGGCGCTGTGGCGACCCCATCCCACGTCTCCAATCCTTTCTAGGCATACCGTCGCGGAGTAAATTGGGTCGTTCTGATTGCCTTAAACTACCTCATGCGAGCTAAGAAATGGTATAAAGACAACCCCCTCCACTTCTCAGTAGGGCTTCTGTCGCACTACTCAGCTTATATCTCTTCGTTCTCTTCAATTTCCTTTAGACATTCTTTCCTTCTCCGAGTCTGGTAACTCGCTCGATAATACACTCCTTCTTTTCACTCTTTGACTTGTAATCCTTCCAAGCGTCTTCCACACTCGTTCCCAAAGCAGAACCATCTTTCAAACAAAATGAAGACTACATCTATCTTCAGCACGCTCCTCCTGAGCACCCTCGCCCTCGCGGTGCCTCTGAACACTCGTGATTGCCAAGCTCAAAACCTCCAGACATTTACCGGCGCCCTTGGTGGCATCGCGGCTACTCCTGTCGAGAACTCTGGGAACGCAGATCGCCCATTCAGTGTCAAAGGGGACACCTTTGTCAATCTTTCGGCTGCGCTTCAGAGGAGCTGCGACCAGCAATTCAATGCATGTGCAAATGCTGCGAATGCAGGCACAGGGAATTTCTCGGTCGCAGATTGTAGCGCGCAGCAGAGTAGGTCTACCGTCATTTCGGTGCTCGCTGTGAAGATGGATCGGCTGACATGACGGATAGCTGCGTGCGGCGCCGCCAACTAGCTGCTATTCTTGACTCGCAGAATCGGAATGCCTGCAGGAAATTCATGTGCTTTACCAGAGAGCAGAATGAATGCTGGAGGCTGGTCACCATGAACGTCGGAGCCTATCAGACTATCTAGATACGAATGGCGCCTTGGTATGGGAAAATACTTCCAATGAAATTTATGACCTCATAATCTCGTCCTCCTGCAGCCCAGAGTTTGGCGAATCTCATTTAAACGTGTGGTGATGACAAACTTCCAGGTATTGAATGTATAGCGGTACGTGAACCGTGTGAATTGAGCCACCTGAGCGTGTCCTCAGTCCAGCCAAATATGTTTCGATCCTTTGGACATGCAGCAGGCCATAACTTGGTAGCTTTCAACAAATCTCTCAAGCCATCTCTTGATCCATAGCTTCTTTTCATGGGACCCTACCATCAATACGACTTTGAGTGGAAACGCAAGATAGTAAGGGGCAAGCAATCCAGTCCCCGACACATATTCGACAGATTTGCAGACGCAATCGATGAATGACTCCAAATCAGCAGAGTAGTCTTTTTCGTAGTGACCTGCCCGGAGCGCCTCCAGGATAACGACGTTTGTTGCATAATAGCAATTGTAAATCGATGCGACCACGTGATTAGCGAACCGGTAGACCGTTGGGAACAAGTCATCTGCTGTATTACTTGGAACATCCTCTGGAGGCGGCATCAGCATTTCGAATCTTTTGGACCAGACGCATACTTGTTGGCGAAGCTTGAGTACCCGGTCGATCACGCTCCGTCTCTGTGTCGCGTTGACAGCGCTCGTTTCTCCTTCTCGTCTTAAAGCTTCCGCGTCTCTCATAATCCCGGGGGTTGCTGCGTGTATATGCGAAAACTCTTCAATAAGTAGAATGGCCGGGTGTTTGCTTTGAGAAGAATCCTTTGTTGCATTAGGGTGCCATTTCTCCGCTTCGAGGAAGCACGCTTTGCCAGTAAACAGCGCTTCGTTGATCTAGGACCTCGTCAGAAAGACCTTCGAATAGTACGACTCCAATTACATGTCGGTACAGTACTGGGCTATAGGTCTGGGGACACAGATTCATCACTGCTCGGCTCCAATCTTGCTCACTTGACACCACTGTGAAGGTTCCCCTGGCTAGCAGATAGTCGTTCAGGCAAAGGCAGCCTAATCTCTACTGCATCGACCTTGACATCGGATGCCGAGTTTTAAATGCTTCCTGAGGCACCCCAAGCAGTGGCGAACCGTTGTAAACAGATTTATGGCCGGTCTTTGTAGAAGCTTGGAAATTTGGAAGAGTCGAGATATCACAATCTGACTTACAAGAAGTCCTCTCACTTCCATGTACATGTTGAAATCGAACTCGGTCTCGCATCTCCTTGGACCTCGAAGCTTAATCAAGCGTCCGATGCCGTCTGCATGCCTCAGCCACGAACTTGATTCGGTAGGTGCAAATAGCTTTTATGAAGGATTAACCGAGAGTTAAATGTATGGATACAATTACGTTCGACGCTCACCTCGTAGAGGCACAACAAGGTGGTTGCTGCCAGTGTTGTAGATAGTGTTGCTTGGGTCGGGTTATTGAGAGCCTTCTGTAGAGCTGCCAGTGCCTCCCCATAGCGAGAGTAGCTGTAAGCCACCAATGTATCATTACAACTGGACTTCCCACATATATGTGTGGAGAAACTTTGAATGGCCCGATCCAAAGCGGGATTGCTCCCAACAAACTCATCGACATTCTTAAGCCAATACGGAGGCACGTTCATCATGGTTTTGTTAAGGCGTGATATTTCTCCAATGAACATACACAAGATCTGTCTTGTGTCGAGGACCGGCGAGTAGATGGAAATAGGCGAGAGTTTCTCGATTTTCTTGCGGACCAAATCCAAAGGGTTCGCAGGCCGCTCCGGTGTGTTGAATTTAGTGACTGTTTCGATCGTAGAAGGTGAGAGTTTTGGAGGGTTATGTTTCTTGTTCCGGGCACGATGATTTTTGCCTGCAACGAACCTGAAAACTCTCCTGTACCCGGAGCATTCTATTCCAAATCTTTCGCACTTTAGACATGATGGACGCGCCTCATCGCACTTTCACGCCATTCGTTTTAGTACATGAATAATCGGCTTAGTGCATAAATACATACCTTCACCTTCCGCTTGATACAATTACTGCAGCCACGGCTGCTAGGTACGCCAACCATCGAGACGCAATGCTCAGAGTAACACAGGTAGTGCGGGTAATATCGGACGACATGTTGAGATCTTGACTCAGTTGTGGTACGTGGAGTCTTGGAAGGATGAAGAGGTGGGGGCTGACATGCGCCGGATTCAGGGATTTATCCACCAGCCTGCAAGTAAAACCCTACAAATCTCCATAGCCATAGCACTTGACGATGCAAAGATTGAGGATCTAAAAGCACTAGACATACAGACTATGAGGTACTAGTTTGGCTCGGGCGGCAGTCGGAATTCATCGCATGATCAGGGGATGTTCCGAGCCAGAGTTCCAGTTCCATCTAATATTCATCAGGGGCCGTCAACCATTCCTCGTATGCCAGCTAGAAGGCTTTTACATGTTTACCAGAGCCATATGTAGCCATTGCACCAGTTTCTTGCAGCAATTGAGCTCCCGAGAGGTTATGCGCTCTACTTGTATTCTCGAGTAGAATTTCCCTCGAGTGGAATTCCGCCAGAGCTGGACTCATGACCTTCAGCTACCTATGCGAATACGAACAAAGACTCACACACAACTTCTATATATACTCAGCTAGCGGGACCCATTAACAATATTCAGAAACATCATCAACCTCAATTTGCTCTCGCAGCCATCCAAACCAACTATAGAGCTAGTATCCACCTCTTCAACAGAGCAATCCACCACTACCAACCTCCAACGACCTCGGGACGTCACACCAACCAAAATGCTCTTCTACCCTGTCAACCTCCCCCTCCCCTCCCTCGTAACCGCTACTCTCGAAGTAACCCTCGGCCTCACCGTCCTCATTACCGCCCGCTCACCCTTCTCCTTCCTCACATCCCGCCCAATCCTCGTCTCCTACCCCACCACCGCACGCATCGCAGACGCCAATCGCTTCCTCGGCATGCTCGCACTTGGGCTGGGCATGAGCTACTTCGCCGGCTCCTACATGCCACTTGAACAGAATCAAGTCGTGCACGCGAGCGTGCCGATACGACTGGGGCTGGCCGGAATCATGTTTGGGGTGTGTGCGGTGAAGGGAAGGAAGGGCATGAGTGAGGAGGGGTTTTGGGAATTAATAGCGCTGGGTGTGTTTGATGTGGTCGGCTCGGTAGTGGTGGCGTTGAGTCTTGGCCCTGGTGGCGTTTGGGATGGGAAGGTTAGAGGGTGGGAGAGTCTATAATGGTGTGAGGAGTGGAGGTATTTCAAGCGTTGGAAAGGATGGCGGTCTGGCTTGGATACAATCATTATCTGTGTCCGATTAGGGGCGTCGAGAATGACACGCTGAGGATTATATGTATACTTTGTCACAAACTCCACTCCTCTGCGAGGATCTCCGTATCAGTAATACTATCATGATACCTTTGTACTCTCCTTTGGTACTCCACTTTGTCCATGAGGCAATGCAGAACATAGTGAACATTATTTACTTCGTCAAAGAGCTAATAGAGCCCTGGAATTCAGGGCAAATTTATCTATTGTCTAGATAGAGTGGTGCATATCTCGATGTCTCTATGAGCGTCATATGGAGAATACGGGGCTGTCGTCGGAGGCCATTGGGCAAAGCATGGAAAAGTCGCCCATCCATCGTCGAATTCATCTCTTCAAGTCCGCAAAGTTCAGCTTCCTTGCCACTTTATCCGCTCTTCCGTCCCCCTCCTCGATCTCGCCGCCCCTCCGCTTTAGATCCTCCGCCATCTTCTCTACCCCACCAGCCGCTTGAGGCAAGAGCTCTTTCGGAGTCGGCTTCGGGTTATTTGTCCAATATGGATGGTCAAGCACCTGCCTCGCCGTCGCCCTCTTCCTCGGATCCAGTACGAACATGCTCTTCAAATACTCTATCCCATCATCTCCCAGCATCCCAAAATGTTGCTTCCAATATATCATCGGTTTCGGTCGCTTGATGTTGTCTTTTGCCGGAGGGATGTAGTGATCCAATCGGCTCACCCCGGGCCAGACGTCTTCGGTACAGGACCCGAACACATCGGTGATCGCATCGATCTGCTCAATATCCGTGTTGGAAACGAGAAAGAAGTGACGAAGTACGAGTTCTGCAATTACGCACCCCATACTCCACACATCCACCGCGCCTCCATAGTACCTCGCGCCATACAAGAGCTCTGGCGGTCGGTAAAAGCGAGTAATGACATTATATGTCATAGGCCTATACGGATCTGAAAATGTCCTCGCGAGACCGAAATCGGCTAATTTGACCTCGCCGTCTGCTGCGATTAACAAATTGTTACCCTTGATATCCCGGTGCAGAATGGAGTTCTCGTGACAGAACCACACAGCTTTCGCGAGCATGTTCGCCCACGCTTTGACGTCCGCGGGGCCATATGAGACACTCTTGTTCTGCATGAGGCCCTCGATATCGCCACGAGGGAGATGCTCGAGCACTATGTTGAGATTCTGATCCCGGGTGGAAAAGACGGCGTAGAGTTTTATGATATTGGGATGTGAGAGCTCTTGAAGAGCTCGTACTTCGCGGAAGGCGTCCGGGGCCAGGCCATCAAGGTAATCTTTGTTGACTTTAAGCTTTTTGATAGCTACCAGGGAGGTCGGGTCGTGGCGGAGGTGGCCTGAGTAGACAATGGCGTATGTACCTTCACCAAGGCGGGAGCCTGTTGTAATGTAAACTTGTTGTTACAAGAACGGGGACCCTAGAAAGGAGGAATGATGTACCTGTCACATAATTACGTCTAACTTGCTCATTCAGCTGTTCGGAGAGGTCTTGAGGGCCCTCGCTACTTGGTGTCGAGGCATTGGAGGGAGAACTAGTGGAGGCATTCAGGATAGTGAGGGCCTTTGCCTTTGCTGGAAGGGCTTTGGCGGCAGCAGGTACAGGTTTCGGACTGTCTATTGGGGAGAGCGCCATGGTGATGGATTGGAACTGTGGTTTGCGCAAGGAAGTTGAGCTCTGAAGTGTCTATCGAATCAAGGCCGGTTCAAGAAGGCGGAAGTGAAGCGCCCAAGACGGCAGCTCGTCAGCATCATTCTTCAGACACAATAGCGAGTGTGTGGATACATGGGCAACCCGAGAGCTGCGAAAGGCCCTAGATTTGAAAAAGAAAAGCGTGGTTGGGTTCTTTGACGCGTTACGGCAAGGGATGTCGTCTTTTAGTTCAAGATGTCTTGGCATCTCCAAAAAGTTCGTCCTCACGCCTGGTTACTCTTCACAGCTCCAAGCCATCCCACACCACGACACACCGCAACGCCATCAATCACAGGCCATTACAGCCCAGAGAACTGATACTCTAGGTATATCCTACCCTCAGCTACCTCCACACACCTCAATGCCAACAACTCCGTCCTAGGCCGCAACCATGATCCTCCGGCCAACCCCTCGATTCGTCGCGAACACTACCTATACATACACGTCTCTACGGAAACTCCACCATCGTATCCCGCTTCGCCCTATTCCCGCTCCAACGCCTTTCGTCCCAGATGCGCCAACATTTCTTTCCCTGATCGGCCGCAAGCTCGCCGTACACGCCGGCAAGATCCCGTCGTGGGAGGCCCTCTTCACACTATCATCCTCACAACTACGCGAACTCGGCGTCGAACCCGCTCGTAGTCGCCGTTACCTTCTGCAATGGCGCGAGAAGTTCCGTAATGGCGAGTACGGCATTGGCGGGGATGCGAAATACGTATCCGACGGCGCGGCAGAGCTACGGCTCGTTGAAGCACCTATCGAATCCAAATCCAGAATAGTCAAGGTTGCGACGGCCACGCATACTCCGGGGACGCTGAAGATGGTGGTCAACGTGCCCGCAGGAACGACAGACCCTTTGAAGGCTGGAGTCCCACTGAAACGGCTAGAAGGCATACGTGTAGTCGGAGCGAAGACAATACAGGGGCCGCACTTGGAAATCATGAAGGGCACTCAAGGGTTGGGTGCAAAGTTAAGAGCAAAGGAGGGGATTTGGGAGGTTAAGAGGGGACGGAAAATCGATGGAGGTGAAAGACGACAAGCGGAAGTTAGGTTCAAGAGGAGAAGCGAGGAGAACAAGGCGAAGAAAAGGTAGAGCAGTAGACTTTACTGCCGAGTGTATTCTATTGTGTATGAAATGCGCATGGTAAAGTCCAAGGTTTGGCATTCGGAGTCGAACCAGAAAGAAAACTGTGGCATAGAAGCTCGCATTTGCTTCTGTATATTTGTACAAAAATCAAAGTTGACATCCCACAACCCTCTCATACTCCTCTTTCGATTTCCATTTCTGCTGCACTATCCTTCTTCGTCACTTTCAGCGGTCTAGTTCCCACAGCCTCCAATAAGTTTGGTGACGATCAGTCACATAATAGTCAATGGCGCAAGAGCAATGCTTTCTTCCGAATCACAGTGTGGAATATTCTATACTTGCCAGATACTATTCACTTTAAGTAGTAGACTACAAGGATTGGTTGCCTCATCTTCCAAGGGCCCAAACACTAGTAGCGTCCTTCTACTCTCCTCCCTAACTCAAACTACTCAGGCTGTCGGTACATCGTCCGCATGTGCTCGATCATATTTATCTGTTTCGATTCAATCACGGTCCCATCCTTGAGAATAAACTTCGATTCGGAATCAGCCTGGTACTGGTTGACCACCATGGTCCCGTGTTTCCGGATCCAGGTATAATACCCCCGAGCATATCCGTACACCGTCGACTCAAGCCTCCCTTTCTCAGTCTCCATCCATACCTTCCACCGGTACGGGATCTGCAGCTTGCTCTTTGGGTCCAGCCAGTACAGCGTCTCCTCGATACCACCATTAGCTCCTTGCACAGGGAAAGACTCGCCCTTGATGTTGATCACCCCAGTGAAGTTCTTCTCGCCAACATCTCCCTTGAAGCAATACCACGAGAAGTCCTCGCTCCAGCCATGCATCCAATTTAGTCCACGGCCACCCATGTAATGTGTCCTGTCTGGAACTATACCACTCTGGATGATTCGCTCGTGGACGCCGTATCCCTTGAACTTATACGCCTTCCCCTTGACAGTGAGAGTGCCTTCGGCTTTGCCGTGCATAACGTACCCGGCAACACCTCCCTCCTTTTTCAGACCCTCAAAAGGGCCTAGATGGAAAAAGCCCTTCGAAGACTCGGTGTATTTGATATCTGCATGCACTCCAGCGTGCTCGCCCTCAACGCGCCAGTTCGGTGGTGTGCATATATACTTCCGGTCTGGAATCAATCAGCATCACATACAAGCCAAAGTCGCGCAAGAAAATCACGAGAAATTACCGGTGTGCGTCCATGTGGTTTCCGGCCCACCCTCCGCGATTTTGATCGTACCCGGCTTTGCGTAGTCCTCGATGTTCTGGCCTTTGTTGACGTAGGGCGAGTCGTGCATGGTCAGCTTCTCCTCATCGGAGTACTTCGTGGCAATAAAGAGCGATTGGCTGACATCGCCGTCAACGATAATCTCAGCCCCTCGCTGCTGGTACATGAAAGACCAGAGATGGACATCATGGCCTTCGTCGGTTCGACCACGAATCACGAAGCCTGGCTCACTTATTATTATTCGGCATTCTCAACTGATTTACGGGGAGTTCATACCCATGTCATTGAAGAACTCCGAATACGCCTCATCGGTCTGATGCGTGCCCTCATGCTCCAGCTTCACCGGCAAGGTAACCGACTGGTAAATCCCGGGGTCCTCGCCTGAAACCATGATGCTGTATCTATTATTCTACTGTATAGTTGCGTTATATGTTATGAGATAACGAGAAGCAGAGAATGCGTATGCAAATGGATCAGGTCCAGTGAACACATCTGCGCTGGTTGGTATTTCTTCCTATATACGCCCCGCAACACTTCGGCATTCACGCAATTAATGAGTGGTACCGGAAATCTCGCCTACGGAAACACGTATTTGGTCTAGCAGACGCTGCAATAGTGGGGTTTTTTTCTCCACAGATTCCCCGCATTCCGGAACAATGGTCGCTTAACCCCAGTCTTACTGTACGTATATGTTGTCATACGTGCAAGCTCAGCTATATCGCTTTATTGATTTGGTTAACTTTAAAGTAGCAAAGAGGAGAACGTCTGCGAAATATTTGGAGATTAAGGGGCGGCATTCGGCAATGTCTTTCCACGATCGAATCACGAATTTGCCGAGCTTTGACGAGCTACCTCAGATTGATGATTTGCCGAAGGGATGTACGTGGGGGCTGTGGGATAAAGATGGCAAGAAAGACGAATTGGGGACGTTGAATCTTTTGACGCCTGAAGTGGTCAAGGAAGCTTTTAAAGAGCTGTCTGAAGGCATTAGTGTTTGTTTAACGTGAGGAATTGCCCATTTCACCCAACCTTTGTCAATTATATATCTCTGGAAGCGATGCTAATAAAGCTAATAACCCAGCTGGTCCCTAGACAAACCCAACGCGCCCAACTTCCACCGCAAGCCCCTCGACCACAAACTCATCGACCACAGCACCTTCAGCCCCTACTCCGGCTTCGACGACGAGGTCCACCTCAACACGCAATGTAGCTCGCAATGGGACGGGCTGCGGCACCACAGCCAAGGCCAAACAAAGCTCTTCTATAACAACGTCAAGAAAGACGAATTCGGTACCTCGAACGTGCTAGGAATCGACCGTACCTCCCCCTCTCCTTCTCCCCCCCAATATCTCCCAACGCAATGAACTCAACCTTCCCTCCCCCCTTCTTTCTCCTCCCATACCCATAAAAACCATTGCCACACAACCTAACCCACCCCAGGCTGGTCCACGCGCGGCGGCATCGTCGGCCGCGGCGTCCTCATCGACTACGTCGCCTACGCCGCGCGCCACAACATCGCCTACTCGGCCGTCGAGTGCCACTCCATCACGCACACGGCGCTCGAGGCCGCTGCGCGCGAGCAGGGCGTCGCGTTCAAGCAGGGCGACATCCTGCTCGTGCGCAGCGGCTTCACGAAGTGGTACAACGAGACGCCCGACGCGAAGGAGCGCGACCGCGTCACGAGCTCGCAGTTTACGTTCGCGGGCGTGACGCCGATGCCCGAGAGCGTGCGGTGGATGTGGGAGCGGCATTTTGCCGCCGTGGCGGGGGATGCGCTGGCGTTTGAGAGCTTGCCGTATCAGGATAATGGGCTGTGTGAGTTTTGATGTGTTTCGTTCTTTCGTCTCTGTGAAATCTTTCGCCGTTTGTTTTCTAGTTATGGGCATGTTGGGAGACACTGGCTGACGTTCAGATAGTGTTTCACGATTTCTTCCTCTCGCTGTGGGGCACGCCGATCGGCGAGGCGTGGGATTTGGAGAAGCTGGCGGAGACGTGCGAGAGGTTGGGGCGGTGGTCGTTTTTGTTGACGAGTGCGCCTTTGAATGTGCCGGGTGGTGTGGCGAGCCCGCCGAATGCGATTGCAATATTTTGAAGGTTGGTAAAGAGGTTGGTTGGTTGTTGGAATGTAAATGTTACTGTAGTAGTTGATTAGTTCTCGGAGTGATCACAACGTAGACTGAAAAGGAGCTTTTGTTGAAGCAACTCGAGAAGGGCTTTAAGGAGAGCAAACAGCTTGAGCATCAGGGCCGATTTTCGAGCTGTGAAGTTAACTTTTTACAAGAGTCCTGATTCCTGAGTATCTTCACTGCCGTTTTGTCTACGGTCTGATTTCTACGTCGAAATCTATACCAATTGGCATCCATCCAAATAGTAGCCTCCAGTCAAACACGAAACTTAACCAGAAGAGGTAGTGGAGAAGCTATTCCGTGTACTCGGTTGTCGACAACTTTCATGGATTTCAATCTACACTCGCGACTACCCTGGCGTAATCTTCCCCGTCTTCACAACCCTCTCCAATAGCCCCTTAACATCATGCTTCACCGCCAGATGACTTATTGTCTTCACCTGCCTCTCAAACGCACTCCTCGCATGCCCATAGCCCCCATTCGTCGACGACGTCATCGCCGAGTCAAACCGCTCCAGCGCGAGTAAACAATAATCCAACCATGCCTCCTCCCTATCTACTGTCACCCCATTCGCCTCCAGCGTATCGGTATACACATCAAACAACTCCCGCTCATGCCCCTCACACGCCTCAATATCCAGACTACTCATCAAGAAATAACTTAAATCACGGTACCCGTACCCGCGGAACAAGCACTGCCAATCGTAGTACCCCGCGCTGCCGTCCGGGTACTCCAGCACATTCCCCAAATGTGAGTCCCCGTGAATGATGGTGGGCGGTTTGCGGTCCCAGTACTCGTACACGGACACGCAGTCGCGGTCCCACATCCTAATCAGCTCCTTGACGTACTCGGGCAAGTCCTTCCCTAGCTCGCTCTCGAGGAACATGCGCCGGTTATTCGTGAAGAATTTGCGCAGCCACAGCTCGCCGAAGCGGCGGCAGCGCGGCCGCACCCACACCATGTCGGCGTCGAAGCGGGGCGAGTTCCAGTACGTGGCGTGGATGCGGGCTTGCGCGATCGCGACGGCGCGCGCGTACGCGGGCGTGATGGTGTCGCCCATCCAGTGGACCTTGACGTTGCGGGCCTCGAGGTCTTCGAGGATGATGATGAAGCGGCCGCCCGGGTACGCTTTCGCGTAGTAGCACTTCGGGATGAGGCCGTGGGGCTCTAGTTCCACCGAGAGCTCGTTGTACACGTGCGCTTCGAGCTCCGCCATGTGCAGTAGACTCAGCATCTCGCGGAGATGCGCGTTCTCGGGCGTGGCTTTGAAGAAGATCTTGGTGGGGAGGTTGGCGGCTTTGCCGGCGCCGTTCCATTCGAGCGTCCATTTGTGCCGCGAGGTCATGCCCTCGTGGCCGCCGGTGTTGTTGGCGGTCAGGACTTTGGAGTTGGGGACTTGGGAGCCGAGCACGGTGGTCAGCCATTCGGGCGTTACTTGGTCGATGGTGTAGACGGCGTCGAGGACGAGGGAGGGGGCGGTGGCGAGTAGGAGGTCAGAAGCTTCGAGGGCGGCGAGGGCGTGCGTATGCACTGTTGGGGTATCGACGAGGGCCATTTCCGTGAGGAGAAGGATGAAAGGAGGTGTGTTATTTTGAGAGAGGATGATTTAGATATCGAGAAGTACGAATCGCGAAATAGAATTGAAATGGTATATTCAAGAACGAAGCTATGAAATTGATCCTTACATTTCCATGAAGCCGTGAAGCCGTTATGAGGTTCTCTTGGCTGAAGCATTTCCTTAATTCCGTCGCGTTCTCATCGCGACCCCACAATCGTCAATATTTAATACGACTAGCTTTAGTCGAAAGAGGTCACAGGTAGTACCCCACATCCAAATATGCCGGCATTGACCGGCAGGCTGGTACCTGAGGCAATCTTCAGATTCGGAGGTAAGGTGTGCAGCTGGAAGAAGCCGAAAGCATCTTCTCAACGAATCTGGTCGCAGATAGTCGATCCGACCGGGTGGATTTCTCGGTATGCCGAAATCTTATCTGGTCCGAAGCCATGGAAGGTGTTTTGCACTCTTCATATGCAGCTGAAGCTTCCAAGATAGTTGTATGCCGATATAGTAGTGATAAAGCCTGGATGCCGGTACCCAGGAATTTGGTCTTCCGCACATGAGGAGCAGCGAGTGTAGCTCCATCTGAGTTACAAGGTTAGGCTAGCGTACAGGAATGCGGAAGACACTACGCCGTAGGGAGCAATCGAAGCGACAGAAGATGCCGAAGGCTGGTGGCAGTTCAGTCACGTGATACCATATACTCGAGGTTGATTTAAGGTCCGGAGAGTCTCTCGGCGTTTCTTCTTAGCATGCTCCTTTTGGTGATAGATATATTGACATGTTAGTCACTAAGATGCGGAGTAAGTGAGGTCGAGAGCGGTAGGTCGTCGCACGTACAGTAGATTCAGCAAAGCCTAGTGAGTGCAATTTGGCCCTTTGTCTTGTTGTCTAGGGATAACAGTATTATTGGCGGCGAACGGCAACCGCTTGTGAAAACGCAGTATACAAAGCAGGGGATATCAACGCTTCCTCGAGCAGGATACGGTGACTGTTTTGCCCAAAAACGAGCACAAGAAGTGACATTCCCTCTGCTCGTTCTCGAGCTTCGTCCACGAATTGCCTCTTCAGCTCCCACCCTCCTTTCACCTTGCTCCATATAGGCCCTCCCAGCTTCAATATATCGGCCTCCCTCCCTCCTACTCCAACTTGGGTATCTCTTTAGGTCTCACGGGCAGCCTTGCGTGCTTGGAGCTTCTTCTGAACAAACAAGCCAGTGAGAAGGATCGCGAGGGTTCCAATGATGCAGAACACGAGGATAACACCGGGTTCTCTAGCAGCCCAGTTCTTCTTGCGCTTCATGAGGTGGACGACTTCGGCTTGGCCGCGGGCGACGAGAGACATGTCGAGAGCTGCCATTGTTGCTGGGGTGATTTTCTGCAAATGTCAGTTAGTACAGCTTATGGGCTTTGTGCGATGCTCGTGGGTGTTCAGTGCGTGGAAGCACGAAAGGCGTAGTCAAACGGGAATTGCGGGGTTACAGCTACCGAAACTAAGGTCCAACGGACTCGACGAGGCGGAAATACGCATACCTTCAGACTTTGATGTAGACTCGGAGGGATAGAGCAGCAAAAATCGTCAAGATGAAGCTGTGCGAGTAGCCTTTGAGACAACAGAGCAGTTAGCGCATCATTACACGGCGAGATGTCGCGACAAAGACAGAGGAAGCTCCAGAGAGGTGAGGCAACGTGGTTGCCGCCGATTTGAGTGACTATAGGAAAGTTGCGCGACCCGGGCTGGTACTTAACAGCGTTGGTTTTGGTTGCGGCGTGATTGGACTGAGGCCTTTGTTGTCGGCGTTCTGTCTGGGCGCCGGAAGCGTCGCATGGGCGGAAGAGTCGGCGATGCCTTGGAGGCCAATGCTGTAGAGGTGAGGAAACATAGACTTACAATGGGCGCGAAGCTCTCTCGAAGACGGCCGGCGTAGGTGTGGAGTGGAGAGTGCAGAGTGATGGGGACGGGAGCTTAGAGGCCGAGTTAGCTGGGAGGAGCCGGGCCTTGGGTGGAGAACGCAGAGCTGTTCACAGGCTAGCTTGCTCTGGCCCTAGCGCGCCGGGCGATCGAATGGCACCAAATTGCGGGCAGCTCCACCGCGAGCTCGCCCACCATCGGTCTTCCTTTTGGAGACGGGGAGAGCTGTGCGATGGGCCCTGCTTCCCTCTCCATTTCAGCACTCTTCTCAAGACTCGACTGTGTTTCCGAACAGCTTCCAACGCCCTCACAAAGGGACGGCCCGGCAGCGCTCGCGCGGGCTCTGCATGGGTGGCTTGCCCTCAACGCCAGGTCATGCTTTGAAGCTTATCTGCTGCAGCGAGCCGCGGCTGGCCTGGGAAGCTCGAAGCGATCCCAATGGCCTCAATTTTGCGGGCTGAGCTGGAGCAGACTCACAGCTTCAAGTCTACACTGCTCGCTTGATTCCACCAAGCTTCCTTCGACTTGGTGCAGCTTCGCGCGATCATGTTCTTCAGCCGACATGGATAAATCGAATGCACGAGCTTTGCTAATCATCGCCAAGAAACGGCGGAGAGGCATGCAGCTCCTGTGACCACCACTGCAGTCTTGCATCATCACCAATCATCCCATCATCATCATCATCATCATCAACATCAACGTTATTCGTCCGCGAAACAACCACAGAGACTCAGGGCCAAGCAGCGAGCTGAGCAGCGAGCAGATGTGTCTAGGTTTCGCCACGTTCGTAGGAAGCATGGCCGGCTCTTGGAGGCTCAAAAAACAATCGCCCCACCGCCGTGGAATCTCACGCACTTTGGCTTGGTATGGCAGCGCCTAGAAAAGGATACCCTAGAGCGTATGTATTGGTGCTGCCCGTTTCTATTGATCCGGAGCGCCCGGGTAGGTTCTCGCAGCTTGCTTCACAGCGTTCAATGCTAGTCTTCTAAACGAAAAAGAGCAGTGCAATGATTGTTGTGAAGTTTCAGAAGAACGAGGAAGTATGAGAGTGATGATCCAGACGAGTAATCTGGTGCTTAGGAAAGTTTGTGAGATATATGAACAGACGACGCCGCCTTTTGATTCCTCTCCTCTTATTCTTACTCTACTTCCAGTTCCACCAGTCGAGTGTTTGCGTTGATTCAGCCTTCCAAGTAGGAAACTTATTCTTGACTGGCCCAATTGAGCCGAATTCTGGAAAAGACTGGCCATTTCCGGATCTAGAGAGCCCCACAGAGGTAGGAAGAGATGGCGCGTTCGATACATGCCCAGATGGTGACTACTCGTCTGTTGGCGACATCATCAGGCGCTTTTTTGTAGAGTCATGGGCACTCGGATAGTACAAGGAGTCTGTTAGGGCGCGTTCGTAAGTTCGAGATGTTGAGCTCATAGTTTTCTGGGGATGTGCTGGAACCTCCAAAGCGGAGGCACAACCGTGTCTTGCGTTACGCAAGGTGCAGGTTCCAAAGCAAATAATTAGGTCTAGAATATGCGAGTGCATCGAGGCAGACCGTAAGAATCAAGAGAATGAGTGCAGCGACTGAGGTTGTTCGCCGTGTGGCCGTCAGATCGCGTGGGAGTTGCCCTCCAGCGTAAACACCAGGTAGGCAGGAGCGCAGCGTGCCGTCACCGCAACAGCTGCACCTCAACTCCAACTCCAAAAACTCCAAAAACTCCAACAACTCCAACAACTCCACTCTCACTCCCTCTCTTCCCGCCTCTGCAGCGACTGCTCGCCACTTCCACGTAGTGTCATCCGCTGAAGCTCCCCGTACAAGCTGTCGACCGTCTCCGTCACCATGGCAGACCCGGTCTGTCCGCCCTCTCCCCGATCCTCCTCTCCTCCCTTCCGTCGTCGGAACTCTTCAGCGCCGGCTCCATCGTGGAGGAAAATCCAACTCCACCTCATCAACAACGACAACGAAGTCAACAACCTCCTCGGCCGCGCAAACTCCGATCTGTCGGCCTACAAAGTTAGGTCAGCTTTAGCCGTCTACACTGACGTCTTGGACAAGCTGTCTCCCGGACATCCATGCGCACTCCTCAATCGCTCGCTCTGCTATCTTCTGCTGGACTATCCGAACCTCGCCGCTATCGACGCCTATCGCGCCATCCTCGCTGCGAACTGGGCGAAGAGCGAAGAGAATAAGCCCCCCCAAACCAAACAGATATTGAACTTCGGACGATTCACCCAATATGCCAAGAAGACTACATCAAAACATGACTGGGCGGTTCAGCCAGGATGCTACGTGGGCCTGGGACTATTCGAGTGGTTGACTACCGACCTTGCTAGCATTGCAGTCGAGCCCCAAGAACGACAGAAGGCTCAAGGGCCAGTCTCGGCCGCGAAAATTCTCAAGATAAGCTCTCAAAATGCCGCCAACGATTTGATATTGAAGGGCTTCTATCGTTTGGCACTGGCGTTGTGGAAGTGTGGGGGTGGTGCTCTAAAGAGCGCTCTGGACGTATTGAGCGACGCTCAAGATCTTCCTTTCCGCGCACCTCAGGACGTGGAACAATACCAGAAGTTGGAGAACACCATCTTGCTTGAGATCGAGGCCGTGTTGAAGGATGAGGTGGAGGTGAAGCTTTTCAAAATTAAGCGCAACATCATCAGGACCGATGCTAAAACTCTTCGGGAATACGACGAGCTCGGGTTCCAGGGACTCGCTAAGACTAGGTTCACAAATATCAAGAGGGAGCTGTACCCGTGGGATACCTACAGCTTGACCAACCACAACCAAGAGGCCCTTGCAGCGATAGATAATATGGTCAAACAACACTTCGGCGATGCTTTTGGGGCTGCAGCTACGCTTAACGATGACGGAAACCTTCCAAAAGCATTTCTCTATGCCCGAGAGGACCTGTCTGGTTCGAAGCCTATGTTCAGCGAGATGAGCAGCTTCAACGTTTTGTCAAACGGGTGGGACCGGCACGGGATTACATGCGATCTATGCGCAAGCCACCTCCAGGTATCTGGAGATCTCGCGCTTCGAGCGAATAGAATTGCCAGAGATTTACATGACGCGAAATCCCCTCATTCCAAATCTGGCAGAGACAGGTCAGATCGTAGCCCAGCGCCCTCAGAAGATTCTGAACGAACTCGATCTTTTGGACCATCAACGCCAAAATCTGAGTCTTGGGGGTCTTTGACAACACAAGATAGCACGGATAAGGACAAACCCATTACCAAGGAAGCTAAAGTTGGTCATACTATAGTGGACTCCCCACAAAATGAAGACGCTGTACAGGGCGCTATTGAAGGCTCGCCGAACCTTCAGCACCCTCAACATCCTCAACTTCCTCTAGAAGGATTTCAGCTCTGTACAGAATGCCGCAATATAGCTATGTGTAGCCCAGAGTGTCATAAGTTGGCTTGCGATATCTATCATAAAAACTGCTGTGAAACCGGGTTGGAGCAGTATATCCGATCACGCGCCAACGTCTCAGGTACTTGGCCAGGCGTCCCTAAGCCAGAACACCAGGTGCTTCTAAATCTGCTCGTCCTACGGATTCTTGCACACACCATGGATTCGGAATCACACCCTCTTTCAGAGCCTTGGATGAGAGGTCTTGACGGTGGTCTCGAAGCTCCAAAGGACGTCGGACGTGACTGGAAGGAGGAGGATCCTCATATCAAAGCCGATTGGAAAGAGCATGTCAATGTCGACCTCGACGATATCTATCCTGAGCGGGCGTCGTGGAAGAAAATTGCCCGCAACGCTGAGAAGATGCCAAAGCACACCCGAAGCTTGCTCCCATGGTCCTTTGACAACAACGTCCGGATACCTTTGCACTGCCTGTTCACCATGGGCGGCACGGAGCTTGCCCTAGATACCGCTCGCTTTGACGGTTGGGTGCTTGAAACGATGCGTGCCAAGATTGCGACTAATATGCGGATTACGCGGTTTCCTCGGCTTGACAAAGCGTTCGGCAATGACGGGAAAGTGGTCGCGGAGTCTGTCGTCAAACAAGAAATGATCCCAAACGTATACGCGGAACGCGGCATGCACAGTTCTACGGCCAAGATAGATGAAGAGGAAATAGTTATGTGGATGGCAAGCCTCCATCCTATCGCCTCTCTTGTGCGTGTCGCAGGGGAGAACGAGACTCCGAATGTCCAGCTGATGGAGCGCGGTGGAAAGCTTCTTTGCAGAACTTCGACACACTCCATAACCCCTAGACAAGAAAACGTCAAGGGAAAAGGGCGCGCAGACGGTAAGGCTGTCGACTACGACTCTGGCGATTCCGACATCTTACTGAGCGACTCATTAATGGAACTAGACTTTGACTCCAGTCCTCTGGCGGTCATCAAGGCGGGCGAGCCGCTGCTAAGGGCTGCGGAAGTGGCGCCGTTGGTACTTGATACTGATATTGAGTCTGAGGAGTGGGAGCTGTTCCTGAAAGAGGAGAGCAATGCGTCTAGCGCTGCCGGGACGCAGGCCGAGTCGTCGATCTTGTTTGCTGGGGATACGATGCTCGATGCTGATGAGACAGAGTGGGGAGATGACTTTGCGATAGACGATGAAGACTTCGAGGCTATAATGATGAAGCTGAAGGCGGACGGAGTCGAGGACGAGGAGTTTGAGGATGACGATTTCATGGACATCGACGGCTCGTGATTATTCAATAAGCGGGCTGGCTGAATATTGCTCCGGATTGGGGTTTGGCGGAGTGGAGCGGCTGCTGGAACGGCGAACATTTTCCATTTGTTTGGAGAATGTGGCGGACTAGCGGCTTTGGGCTCGACGGTTTTGCACGTCGAGTGATTAATAGGTCATCTTTTCTCTGTGCGTTCTTGTACAGTACATTATATCCACCGACTGGCCTCGGGCTCGTCTAGCGCAGACCAAAGTGACTGGCTTAATGGCAGGATTCAAAGTCTGCTTTGAATGCAAAAATACCTCTGCTTTGACACTGCATGAAGTCCCCCAGCACTGTTTCAAATATCAAGGACAATGGAAAAACTGTCGCTCTGCAAATCGGGAAACACACCAAACCCCATACCAACAATGTCCCCTTCCAACATCTACAGGCCAATCCTCAACGTCACCCACATCGCCTCCCCCCAAAGCCATCCGCAACGCCTACCACAAGCCAGCTCTCAAATACCACCCCGACAAGATCAAAAGACCGCGCCCATCTCGCCGCGGGCGTAGAAACAATCAGGACCATTTCCTATGCCTACGATTCGAATAGTTGCGGCCTTCCGGTCCTAAGTAGAGGGTTGACTGGAAGTGCTCAATTTGGCGGGTGCTCTAAAACAGGCAATTATTTTCTTCTTTATTAGGCTCCTAATTCCTCTTTTGACTAGTCCCATGGCCCTAGCCCCTCTGTCACTAAAGTCAATGGCTTCAGTTGCGGAGATGTTAAGTTAGCATCCGAATTAATACACCAGGAGAAGATCAAGACAGCCTCTGCGGAGTCAACTGGTAGCTGGTGAATAGAACAGGCTTTGACACATTTACATACACAGATGAATAATTCAGCTCCCAAGCCACTGAGGGAAAAAAAAAATCCTCGCCGTCAATGCCAATCAACATCGCTCGCAACTACGCTTCGCTCCAACTATTCCCGGTACTAGCTTCTATGTAAAAGCCATGCTCTTCTTGATCTCCGCAATCGCGAGACCTGGGTTCAGTCCCTTCGGACACGTCCGCGAGCAGTTCATGATGGTGTGGCAACGGTAGAGGCTCATGCTGTTGTTGAGCGCGTCTTTGCGCTCGGCGGTGCGCTCGTCGCGGGAGTCGGCGATCCAGCGGTAGGATTGCAGCAGCACGGCGGGGCCGAGGTATTCTTCTTGGTTCCACCAGTATGACGGGCACGAGGTGCTGCAGCAGGCGCAGAGGATGCATTCGTAGAGGCCGTCGAGCTTCTTGCGGTCGGCTTTCGATTGGCGGTTCTCACGGCCCTGGGCGTGGGGTTAGTCTCGTGCTGTGGGTGGCTCGAGTCAAATTGGTGTGGTGGCTTACATCTGGGGGTGGGGTGTCGCGCTGGAGGTATGGCTTGATGGATCGGTATTGCTTGTAGAAATTTGTAAGATCGGGGACAAGGTCCTTGACAACGTAGGTATGCGGCAGAGGGTAGATGCGGGATTCCTTAGTAGTATCAGTGGGAATGCGGCCTAGAAACATAGCATCAGTATATATCTCCAAGGCGGCATTCAAGGTCCCGTACAAAGGCATGCGAGAGTATTCACGCCGTCAATGTTCATCGCGCAGCTCCCGCAGATGCCCTCGCGACAACTCCGGCGGAACGTCAGGGTCGGGTCGGTCTCGTTCTTTATCCTGATCAGGGCATCTAGCATCATGGGCCCGGTCTTGTTCAGATCCAGGGTGTAGCTCTGCATCCGAGGCTTCGAGGTAGGCTCATCTGGGTTCCACCTGTAGACGTGGAAGGTCTTGATCTTGGCATCCTTCTCGGTTGCGGGCTCCTTCACGGTAGAGGTCTTTGACTCCGGAATTGTCGACCTGCTGGGGCTCGCAGGCTCGACGGAGGCGAATGATCGGGTCCAGACAGCGGGCACGGCTGCGGGGCGAGTGTTAGTATACCGGCGGTTTGGGGTCAATTGAAGAGGAAAACATACTGGTCCGCCGTGTCGCCAGCCTAGCTAGAGCACGAGTGGAAGCCATTGTGTATGGGGGAGTGGAGATTGGAGAGTGGCAGCGGCAAGCGTCGTGGTGGTGAGGCGTGCAAATGGATGATGGGTTCAAGTCCAAAGGCGAGATTCCTCGGCAACCCGTCGGCGAATCATGTGCCGTCTTATTCTATCAAACTAGTGCTAAGACCCTGCCCGTTCCGGCACCCCGTCCTCTCCATCTTCACGACGCCACTCGCTCTTCAAGACTCAGTTCTCTGTGCGACAGTACCCTTTTGACGTCAGCCTTATGATTCTATTATTCTTCAATAGTAAACGATAGGTTATTGCTTCCATAATCGAGAAACCCCCTTTCCGAGATCTCCCGATATTGATTTCTCGGGGGCTTCAAACGTCTTAAGCAATATGGTGAATGCATTACATCGTCTCCGGACTAGGAACATCCACTTCATATTTGACTGGGATGGCACCATCACAACACAAGATACCATTGGTTTTATGGGCAAGATTGCCGAGACCAAGTCTACGTCGGAGAGCACGTGGGCTGACTTAGAAGAGCACTACCTGGCCACTCACCGCAACCACGACGAGAGCTATGAGCCTAAGAAAGCCGAAAGAAGCACTATTGCAGAAGAGCGAGAATGGCTTCGTAGCCTGCGGTCGGTTGAAGAATCAAGCACCCGCAAAGCTGAGGAAGTTGGACTCTTCAAAGGAGTTACAGCTGCCGACGTTCGAAACATAGCGTATCAAGTTATTACTGAAAGCGAAGTTGCAATCAGAAATGGTTGGGGGGAACTACTCGCAGAGATCGATATTCGCCAGAAGAGTCAAACCCCGCCGAATCTGGACATGGTTTCCATTGTCAGCGCCAACTGGAGCCAGCTTTTCATCATGGAATGTCTGAAGACCTCAAAGTGCCCTATGCATTTGTCCATACCAGAAGAGCCAGGAGAGTTGCGAGGAAATCAAGCACACACTATCAGAATCTACGGGAACGAAATCCAAGGCCTCCATTCGAAGGCAGGTTCGTCCGGCCTACTATGCCATTCAAACGGCAGAGACTTCAGAACCAGCGATGATAAATCTAAATGGATTCAGGAATGCAATGAAGCCAAAGCCGGTGATGCGGAGAAGCCCTTCGTCATCTATTTTGGAGATAGCATGGGAGACTTTGATGCTCTATTGACAGCAGACCTTGGAGTTTGCATCAGGAATGAACCTCCAAGCAGATCACAGCAACAACTACTTGAAACTTTCGAGAGACTAGACATACATGTTCCACACATATTTGACAAGGGCATTATCGCAGCGGAAAGCATAGTCTGGGCATTCAATTTCGAAGAAGTGGCGGAGGCTATCAAGAAGTCATAATTCCGGTTTCGGTTAACTGATCACGTGTCGGCATTCATCCGGGCCAACTTACTGATTCTTTACTTTAGAGGTGCTCTAGCATCTGATTAGGACCAGCTCTTTTCAAAGGCGAGTCTCTCTCAAGCGATACCATCCGAGTACAGTTCCGCAAGGCATTCCGCCTTTTCAACCCGTTCTCTTGCAGCATGACGAGGAGCTTCATTTGAAATGTATTCTACAGACAGAAAATTGGACAAGTACGCCCTATGTAGCTTGGTAATCCGTATTGCATATCGGAGATCGCCTCAACTCAATCAGCCTAGCACTTTTTCCTGGATGCGGATCCCCAAATGCACGAAGTGCCTGGAAAGTTGTTCTCACCAACATACTGAATCTCTAATGACAATATGCTAAGGCCCAACTGATCAAGCTATTTGTGTCTAGGTCTGTTTGGAAAATGAGTCGCTTGTTGCCTCTCTGCCTGATGCATTTCCAGTCTTCACTTTCCTCTTTAGTTTGCTTACGCTGTTATTTTTGATTACCTTCGTCCGGTCGCTCATAATCTGCGACCTGCTTAGTAGATTCCTTGGAATATCCAGATGGTTAGTTGGTAATGAGGCTACTGACGTAACAACACAACTCAATGGCAACAAAGGAATAGTCGGTTTTCTATTCCTTCAGGCCCCTCTCAATCGTCAAATATGCCCATAATGACTCTACTAACACTCGACGACATCGAACAATCATGGGCTAGCTGGTCCGAGGTCTGATCTGCACCTAGCGCTAGTCTCCGCACTTCGCATCCTTCTCACCCCTCTCAACACGGCCGCGCACTTATTAAATTGGTCATCCGGCACTGTTTGCCGTGCTGATGCCAGTTTCAGACATGGCATTCTCGCACTGTCTTTATGCGACACGGTATATATCTGTGCACGCCCGCCCGACGGTTCTGCCATCGAGCTGCACCCTGACCTTGAAGTCGCAGCCAATAACCGAGCATAGGCATTCCCAAACCTGTAACATTACCGAGGACCGCAGCGTTTAATTCTCTTCAAGATTCAAATCTCGCTTTTGCACGACCTTTAAAATGTCCTCAGCTCTTGACCTCAACGAAAAAGCACTGGAAGCAGATATCGAAAAAGACCTAGAATCCGATCCTAGGAACACAGCTCTTTCAAATCATGAGAAAACGTTCGAGGCAGGCGTACTAGGTCCAGAGACCCCACCGGTACAAGAAGAAGAAAACAACGACACCCAGCCTGACCCTAATGCCCTCCCACGGCCACCTGACGGAGGCTTACATGCGTGGATGAAGGTATTCGGAGGCTTCCTCGTATATATCAACATTTGGGGATTTACAATCAGTTATGGCGCCTTCCAAACGTACTATCAACACAAGCTATTATCCGACTCTACCGCTTCTGCTATCAGCTGGATAGGCACTGTGCAAGCCTGGCTTCTTATCATGGTTGGCGTGCTCTCCGGCCCATTGTTCGACTTGGGATATTTCAGGTCTATGCTCTACGCTGGCAATTTTCTAATTGTTCTTGGCATCATGATGCTCAGCTTAGCCACCAAATATTGGCAAGTCTTTCTCGCCCAAGGGATCTGCATGGGACTAGGCGCAGGGTTGTTGTATATACCCAGTCTCGCACTCGTCGGGATATGGTTCGAAAAGAGGAGGGCGCTAGCGTTGGGAATCGTGATGTCAGGGACTGCTGTTGGTAAGTATTCATCTTCCTGCCATTTCCTGTAGTGCCTCAATATAGTCGCTGCTTCACCAAAATTCTCCCACCTCAGTCCCACTCAAAGTGCATTTTGACTAACTATCTTAGGCGGCGTCTGCTATATCATCGCTTTTGACCGGCTCGTACCCACTATTGGCTTCCCATGGACAATGCGCGTTCTCGGCTTTATCGCTCTTGCGCTCGCCATCATGGCCATTCCCTGTCTTCTCAGCGGCTCTTCCATGCTCGCCCGGCCCCGGAAAGCACGCAGTCTTTTTGATAAAACTGCGTTTGCTGACTCCCTATTCATCCTCTTCACTTGCTCTACCTTTACTACATTCCTTGGCTACATAGTCCCCTATTTTTACATCGCTGCATATGCGCAGGACACGCTGCAGACATCGGAATCAACGGCTTTGTACATCCTCGTGGCATGTCTCGCTGGGTCGTTTTTCGGGCGATTGCTATGGGGCTATGTAGCTCAAAAGAGCGGAAACATGGTGGCTTGGCTGGGATGTGCAATTGTGAGCGGGATCGTGGGGTTCAGTTGGATAGGTATTGATCATGAGAGTAACTTCATTGCCTTTAGTGTCATGTGGGGTAAGTTAGATATTCAGGCAATGAATGTTGAAGATATCGGCATGCTAATCTGATACTACAGGCTTCTTCTCCGCCAGCCTCGTCACCCTTCCAGGTTCCGCTTTCCCCAACATTTGCCCTGATCTCTCCCGACTGGGTACTCGGCTCGGCATGTCGTGGGGTATCTCGTCTATTGCGTCCCTCATTGGGGCACCTATTGCTGGAGCGCTGCTCAAGACGCATACGGCTGCGGATGGGACAACGAAGACGAATTTCCTGGGCGTGCAGATCTGGACTGGGGCGTGCTTGCTTGCGGGGTCGGTGTGCCTGGCCGTGCTGTGGCTCGCCACTGTAAGGAAGCAAAAGACGGGGTGGTTTATTTGAGAGGATGGTATGAGACAAGTTCAAAAAAAGAGTGAAATATTCGGAACATGCCTGCCCGATTTAAGATAGAACACGCTCTATCTGTGTCGACGTCATTTCAACCCTCGAAGAAGTAAAAAGCGAGACGGACTGGTTGGATATTATAAATTCAATTAGAGGAAGAAAAAGAAATGATGCATATGTTCGACAAAGAAGAGCTGGAAGATCAAGGAGATATGCGCAGGGGTAGGAATTGAGGAAATAGGAAAGAGAAGGAGACTCTTTTGCTTGAAGCATAGCGGGACCCGACGCGTAATCTGCATCTATGAAAATTCTTTCATACGGTTGAAGCTGTAGCTTGTTGTAACAATTCACTCTACATCGTGACTGGAATCTCCCTGTGGATATCCTACTACATTCTTTCTCTACGTCGGTTATAAGGTTGGCACATACGGGTACTATTGATGGCTAGATATAGTGCACGATTAATCGATACTAAATGGACGCTACTTCTATGAGAAATATGATTGCACGGTTCGATGTGTAAATCTTTGCAACATTAACACCCAGTGCGTGACTAAAGATGGCTTCATTTATCCACCACAACGTGCTTACGCCATGTCCAACGTTTGTATAGTGACAGGTCGTAAGTCTGTGCACGCGTTCGCCACTGCTTGTGGAGCCCCTATGGACTTTCAAAGGCCTAGGCGCGGTGTCAAGTTACAAGCGGTGCAAATTAGACTGCATCTTAACTACTAATGACCTAGTATATTCCCAAAGTGTTTTCACAACCCTCATCGTAATAATCATACTGACCCTTTATTACATCCACCCAGAGTCTAAGAAACAGGCAGTCACATAGTTGAATTCGTAACTCTTTCCAACAATTTCACCCAATTCGTGGCCTTGCAGTCTTAATAGCCTCAAGAAACTAAGCAACACCTCATGGACTCCATAACTCGGCGCCTGACAAAACTAAGAACACTCCTCCGCGACGCCATCACATCGCCCTCCCAGCACAACTACCAACCCCTCCATCCTACCCTCATTTCGCCGCGCTACCTCCATCCCCTTTCGTCCAACTATGTTTCAGTCAGCTCACCACTCTTTATCATCGTATCTCTGATCCTAAGACACTCACTTATTCCACATCTTCCCAATGATCCCAGGCTGTCCGACCTTCTGCTCCCCGAAACTAGCGCGCCGCGCCGCAGTCTCTGGGTTCCGATTGTGTGCAGCCAGGTTCGCAAAGAGTGGCTTGGTTACTGAAGACTGAGTGTATTGTCACTATTACAAAGTCATTGCATGCTGTGAAAGGAGCTTACCCTCCGTCGCTCACTCGTGCTCTCAGGCGCCTTATTCGAACCCGCTTGGTCGTTTGAGGCCATGTTCATATGCCTTCGAGTTGAGTGACGGTTTCTTTCGGGGCTTCGATTGAATTCGCAGTAGTGAGAGGAGTATATGGGTGTTCGGTAGCTATCAGACAAAGAGCTGGGCCCTCGGTGTCTTTATATCACACCACTGCCCTACCACTCAGAGCTTAGATCTCTGTAGCTACCCCGCACACGTCACCAGTTAAGCTCCTCGATCAGCAAGGGCTTGATGACGCTGGCGAATAGGGACACATCGTCGACTGCCCGATGGCGACTGGCGCGGAATGGACGGGGTTGCGGGGTAGCTTTTGTAAGCGGGCTGCGTCCACCTGAACATGCGCGGGAGTCAAAAGGGGAAGAAGTCTATGAGCTATAGGTTTGTCACCTTCATGGGCAAACGTTAGAGGGGCAAGATGAGACATCTTATATGAGTCTAGATTCGACCAATGCGATTCGATCACATGACTATCCACATCACATTAACTACCCCTTTTCAGGTCCACCATCTCTCCTTCACTTTCTTCATCAATCCTTGTGAGTACACACCTACTCCCAGGAAGCATCTGTCACCCGCGAAGTGCTGTGCTACTTGCCTTCGTTCGCAATAAGTTATCTTTAGCTTGCTCTTACGCCTTCTTCGCAAGACGCGCTTTGGACGTATTCAACGCGCCGGACAATGCAAATTGGGTGTCGATGCCTTCAACTCGGTGTGTAGAGTTGATATTCTTGACGAGAGTAATTTGAAAGCAGGTAGCAGAGCCCTGGCGAGATATGATGGTTGAGTAGGCGAGAAAGAACTCCCAAATCTGCATAAAAGATTAGTATCATGGTTCGAAAAGGAATTGAGGACGTTGGCTTACCCTGAACCACCTAATGCCATACTTCGCAACAACCTTGTCCTTGTTCGCTATCCAGTTCCTATACCAGCGCCACAGTGTAGCGGAGTAGTGTACGCCAACAGTGTCAACTTGCTTGACCTCGAAACCCGCGCCTTCAAGTTTGTCGATAACAAAGCCCAGTGGAGTCGATGCATCGGCACCAGGGAAGATGTGTTTGTTCATAAATAGACCCCAGATGAGATCCTCGTACTGCCAGCTTTTCCTTAAGCCAGCGATCTGCAGGAAGAAGACACCATCGTCGTCAAGCATGTTGTAGACCTGTGAGAAGAAGCCGCCCAAGTGTCGCACACCAACGTGCTCGGCCATTTCGAGGCAGGTGATCTTGTTATACTTCCCTTCTGGGATAGTGATGTCGCGGTAGTCCATGCAAAGGATGCAGCTCTGATCTTCAGCAATGCCAGAGCGGCGGAGACCGCTGTTCCCCCAGGCAGTCTGGTTGCGACCCAATGTGATACCTGTGACGTGCGCACCGTAGTTGACAGAGGCAAACTTGGCCAAAGTGCCCCAGCCGCAGCCAATGTCGAGCATGCGTTCGCCGGGCTTGACCGCGATCTTCTCGCATACAATGGCGAGCTTGTTGTCCTGGAGCTGTTCCAGAGATTCCTCCTTGTGGATGTCAGAGATTATGCCAGATGTGTATATCATGCGTGGGCCTAGGAACCAGCCATAGAAGTCGTCACCGCGGTCGTAGTGGTCGCGGACTTGTTCCTCGTCTGATACGGGGTCAGTGTATAACCAAGGTTTGATTGAGAATAAAAGGAAGAACGAAGGTGTTTACATACCTTGGCTGCGAGTGTGCATAATGACTTCTGGCATCATACCAGTCAAGAAATACTTAATGAGGCTGATGGTGAAGCGGAAATTTGCCCAGTCGTGGCGCTGCTCCAGAATCTCCAGACAATCGCCATTGAAGTCCACTTGACTATCAAAGTACATCTCATGGAAGGTCTCCATGGGAATTGTCCGCTTGCCATGGTATTTCTCCTTGTGCTCTTCCTTGTGGAAAGTGAGGTAGTGCTCGATGGGCTTTCCGGGAAACGAGGCCTTGTCAGTTTTGCGGGGCGACAACGCGGACATGGTCATCCAGAAGGCCGCGAGGAGAGGCAGGTCGACGATTATGCCGATGAATACAGCCGTCTTCCATCCTCCACCGATTTTCCAGGACAGGTATAGTGGGACACCACCCAGGATGGAGAAGAGCAGAAGATTGGAGAATTGTTCGCCTCCAGGGCCGTCCGCGGGGAGGGGTGCATTCTTGATGGCTGGGTACTGCAGCAAAATGAGTATCAGCATGTGTTATCTGTGTGGTGTGGCTCAATGGCTCGAAAGGACAGTGTTCATACCGAAGTGGTCCTCACACCGCAATCCTGTGCTGGGGGAGCTGGGGATGGAGCGGGGGGAGTCTCAATCCACGCAAAGGACTCTTCAGACGAGGCCTGGCTTTTTTCCGACATGGCGTAGGATGTTGGAGAAGCTTAGGAGAGGAGGTGGAGCTGAGAGGTTTCGAGGCGGTGGGCGTATCAATTATCGGGGTCCTGGCCCAAGCGCAACGGCTGCTGGGATCGTCTGTGTGCGCGGCGTGGCTTCAACGGCGGCGCTACCTCCAGAGCACTCAACTGCAATAGACATTGCAAGGTGGTCGGATGAGGCAGTAGTTACAGAAGGTTGGAGTCGGAACATATATCTCAGAAGGCTGTCAGATTGTTTACTATTTGACGTATCTATTTTGATTGGCGCCCGAGACCAGCATGCAGGAGCGTGTAAACCGACTACGCGTAGTGCGGACAAGCTGTAGCACCTGAAATCCCCCCGAGCGTCTTACTAGAACCATGTAGGCATGACCCTTCTACATGCGCTGAATTGGTAGCCCGGCTTTACCTTTGTTTGGCACTATCTGAAGTGTTCCCACACGCTTTGAGAGACAGGACGCCATGTAAAGCTTGCCACACGTGATGCGGCTTTAATCAGAGTTGGTTAGTTATTCGATATTGAAAGTCTGCTGGACTGCCTACCATGGACAAGGCGCCTCCAAGATGTATCTCGATAGACTTTCAGCTATATATCTCGAAATTTTCGATCTTGCTTTTGAAGCAAAATGAAGCTTTGAGACCTCTTTATTTTTGGGAAGTCTGAAACCCTGGTCCTCGACACGAGAACCAAACTTTGTGGTTGACCTGACTCTGATAGGCGTGAGGCCGCGGATAGGAGACCTGCGGTGACGAGTGTCAATAAGCCGTCACGTGCGGCAGGGACCAGCGCCAAGATCGAGCCAGGTGTTTCTTATACATTTCGGGAGCCTCTAGGACTCCTTTCTCACAACCCATCACCACAACACACCTCTCTTTCCTCTTCCATTCTCTCCAGCGCATGGGCGTTTGTCTCTACGGGGTCTTATTCTGCTTCTGCTCTTTCACCTGCCCTAATTCTCTGCCGCCGGGCGCCCATTGACGAGGTCGAGCTGGCCTGCCTGCAACCCCCGTTCATCAACACAATCACCTCGACCAGCTGCCAACATGGCCCCTCTACCCATAGCCTTCCAGGAATTGCTCTCGGTAAGCTAATCGGCGCGCCTCACTTGTTGCGCGCTCTGCTAACATCTGTGACCTTATAGTTAACTGCGGTCGATATCCTCGTACGTGTCTTCCTCCGCTGACCCCCGAAGCGCAAACGGGCCCATTACTGACGCAACAAGCAGCCTGCTTCGATAGGATTCAACTCATGCGTAAGTCACAAGTTGCTCAAACAAACACGCTTTGAAGCTTACGTCTGCCTAGACACTCGAGTCTGATAGCTACATCTGCGTACGACAACAGGCCGAAAACACCGCGTCCCCCGAAGTCATCATCATCGACCTTAAGAATGGGAACAACATCATTCGGAGGCCGATCAAGGCCGACAGTGCCATCATGCACTGGAACAGGCAAATCATTGCGCTCAAGGCACAACAGCGCACACTCCAGATCTTCAACTTGGAGGCGAAGGCCAAACTGAAGTCCACCACAATGAACGAGGACGTGGTGTTCTGGAAGTGGTTCAGCGAGACCAGCCTGGGTTTGGTGACAGATAACTCGGTCTACCATTGGGACATCTTCGACCCAGCCCAGGCCGCGCCTCAGAAGATGTTTGATCGGACACCCAATCTGATGGTATGCGCAAACATGCTCGCAATAGGAGAATTCTAGCTAACTCATCAACTCTAGGGCAACCAAATCATCAATTACCGGGTCAGCGACGACGGAAACTGGTCAGTAGTTGTCGGCATTGCCCAGAACCAAGGCCGCGTGGTCGGAAACATGCAGCTATACTCGAGGGAGCGGGGCATTCCACAAGCCATCGAAGGACATGCCGCTGCATTTGGCTCCATTCGATTGGAAGGTGCTCCTGCCGATACGAAGTTGTTCACATTCGCTGTCCGCTCCGCGACGGGAGCTAAGCTACATATTGTTGAGGTTGACCACGCGCCGTCAAACCCTCCATTCCCCAAGAAGGCTGTCGATGTCTACTTCCCAACCGAGGCTACGAATGACTTCCCCGTCGCAATGCAGGTATCGAAGAAGTACAGCGTGATTTACCTGGTCACAAAGTACGGATTCATTCACCTATACGATCTCGAAACCGGCACCTGCATATTCATGAACAGAATCTCAAGCGAAACCATATTCATCACCTCTTCGGACTCGGAAGGAGCCGGCATTATTGGAGTGAATAGGAAGGGACAAGTTTTGTCTGTCAAGGTTAACGAGGACACAGTCGTTCCATACCTACTGCAAAACCCGGCGAACGGAGAGCTTGCATATAAGCTCGCATCGCGCGCAGGTCTCCCCGGCGCTGACAACCTTTACGAGCAACGATTCCAGGGTCTCATCAACTCTGGCCAGTACATTGAAGCCGCGCGAGTTGCAGCAAATTCTCCACGGGGTTTCCTCCGGACGCCCCAGACCATTGAGCGATTCAAGGCAGCTCCTCCACAAGCCAACCAGCTTTCTGTCATCTTGCAATACTTTGGCATGCTCCTGGATAAGGGAGCATTGAATAAGTATGAGACTCTGGAGCTTGTGCGACCTGTATTGCAGCAAGGACGCAAGCACCTCCTCGAGAAGTGGCTGAAAGAGGATAAGCTCGAGTGCACCGAAGAGCTCGGAGATATCGTTCGTCCTCACGATTTGACTCTTGCATTAATGATCTACCGGAAAGGGTTGGTTCACCAAAAGGTGGTGGCAGCACTTGCGGAGCTTGGTCTCTTCGACAAAATCTTGCCTTACAGCTCAGAGCACGACTACCATCCGGACTACACTGTTCTGCTTCAGCACATTGTTCGCATCAATGTCGAGAAGGGAGCCGAATTCGCTTCAGCTTTGGCGAAACACCCTTCAGGACCACAGGTTGATATAGACCGCGTTGTCGACATTTTCCAGTCTCAAGGAGCGATTCAGCAAGCCACCGCGTTCTTGCTGGATGTGCTTTCAGGAAACAAGCCCGAACAAGGTCATCTGCAAACAAAGCTTCTTGAGATGAACTTGCTCAATGCCCCTCAAGTCGCTGATGCTATCTTGGGTAATGAGATGTTCTCTTACTACGACAAGCCACGCATTGCCCAGCTTTGCGAGAACGCAGGCCTACTAACGAGGGCGCTGGAGCATAATGATGACCCCGCTGCCATTAAGCGCATCATTGTCCAGACTGACAAGCTTCCCGAGGAGTGGTTGATTACCTACTTCGGCCAACTTACAGTTGAGCTGTCCCTGGATTGCTTGAACGAAATGTTGAAGGTCAACATTCGCCAAAACCTACAGCCAGTCGTGAGGATCGCGCAAAAGTACTCGGATCTTCTGGGCCCGACCCGTATCATCGATCTACTCGAGAAGTACAGGACTGCTGAAGGTCTTTACTACTACCTAGGTGCAATTGTCAACCTGAGCGAGGACAAGGATGTCCACTTCAAGTACATTGAGGCAGCAACACGGATCGGCCAACTCAACGAGGTCGAACGCATCTGTCGAGAGTCAAGTAAGTCGCACTTTCCTTTTTTTTTCTAATCAACCCTACCCTTTGACTATGGACTGGACCTTCCTCTGGATAGGAACGAGTGGCTCGTTCCAATCGAGCTCCTAAAAACCCTTTCTAGACCGCCTTAGATCTTCTTTTAGTCTCAACAACATGCACTAGACATCTGCTAACATACTCAACCAGCCCATTTCGACCCAGAACGCGTAAAAAACTTCCTCAAGGAAGCTCAGCTCACCGAGCAGCTACCACTCATCATCGTTTGCGACCGGTTCAACTTCATCCACGACCTGGTGCTCTATCTCTACAAGAACCAGCAGTTCAAGTCAATTGAAGTCTACGTTCAGCGCGTAAACCCTTCCAGGACTCCTGCTGTTATCGGTGGTTTGCTCGATGTGGATTGCGATGAGAGCATCATCAAAGGCTTGCTTCAGTCCGTTAACGCTGCATCGGTACCAATTGACGAGCTCGTTTCTGAGGTCGAGTCGCGTAATCGTCTCAAGCTACTATTGCCCTTCCTCGAGGCGACTCTTGCCAGCGGCAACCAACAACAAGCCGTTTACAACGCATTGGCTAAGATCTACATCGACAGCAACAATAACCCGGAAAAATTCCTCAAGGAGAACGACCAGTACGATTCCTTGATCGTCGGTAAATACTGCGAGAAGCGTGATCCGAACCTTGCGTATATCGCCTACCGCAAGGGGCAGAATGATTTGGAATTGATCAGCATCACCAACGAGAATGCTATGTTCAAAGCTCAGGCTCGTTACCTCCTCGAGCGTGCTGATGAGGAAATCTGGCTCTTTGTGCTGAACGACAACAACATGTACAGGAGATCATTGGTTGATCAGGTCATCTCAACTGCCGTTCCAGAATCCCAGGACCCGGACAAGGTTTCCATCGCGGTCAAGGCTTTCATCAACTCCGATATGCCTGCTGAGCTGATCGAATTGCTTGAGAAGATCATCCTGGAGCCTTCCACCTTCAGTGACAATCCTACCCTGCAAAATCTTCTCATGTTGACTGCTGCCAAGTCTGACCGAGGTCGAATGATGGGATACATCCAGAACCTGAACAACTACACTCCGGACGAAATCGCCGCGCAATGTATCGAGCTTGGGATGTACGAAGAAGCATTCGAGATCTACAAGAAGAACGACGATCACACCAACGCTTCAAGCGTTCTCATCGATCACATTGTCAGCATCGACAGGGCACAGGATTATGCAGACCGCGTTGACCTTCCCGAGGTTTGGAGCAAGGTAGCCAAGGCTCAACTCGATGGACTACGTGTCACTGATTCGATTGATTCCTACATTCGTGCTGGGGATGCCTCGAACTTCCTCGAAGTCATCGAAATCGGCACACATGCTGGAAAGGATGAAGACCTGATCAAGTTCTTGAAGATGGCGAGGAAAACTCAACGCGAGGTGCCAATTGATACCGCGTTGGCTTTCTGTTACGCTCGAACCAATCAACTTCCCGAGCTGGAGGATTTCCTGCGTGCAACCAACGTCGCTGATGTCGAAGCATCCGGAGACAAGGCGTATGAAGAGGGTTACCATGAGGCGGCCAAGATCTTCTACACCAGCATCTCAAACTGGGCTAAGCTCGCGACGACTCTCGTTCATCTTGAGGACTACCAAGCGTCAGTCGAGTGCGCTCGCAAGGCTAACAGCACAAAGGTCTGGAAGCAGGTTAACGAAGCTTGCGTTGCCAAGAAAGAATTCCGTCTCGCCCAGATTTGCGGTCTCAATCTCATTGTTCACGCTGAAGAGCTTGCCGACCTCGTCCGTCAATATGAGCGCAATGGCTACTTTGATGAGCTCATAAGCCTTCTCGAGGCTGGTCTAGGTCTTGAGCGCGCCCATATGGGCATGTTCACCGAGCTTGGGATTGCGCTCTCGAAGTATCACCCCGACCGAGTCATGGAGCATCTGCGTCTGTTCTGGTCTCGTATCAACATTCCCAAGATGATCCGCGCGTGCGAGGAAGCTCATCTGTGGCCTGAACTGGTCTTCCTTTACGCTCACTACGATGAATGGGATAACGCGGCACTTGCGATGATGGAACGCGCGTCAGATGCTTGGGAGCACCACTCTTTCAAGGATACAATCGTCAAGGTTACGAACCTTGAGATCTACTACCGCGCGTTGACACATTATCTCGAGCAACAACCATCGTTGCTAACCGACCTCTTGCAAGCTCTTACACCTAGGATCGACGTGAACCGCGTTGTGCGAATGTTCAAGAACTCGGATAACATCCCACTGATCAAGCCATTCTTGCTCAACGTCCAGCCCCAGAACAAGCGCGAGGTCAACAATGCAATCAATGATTTGTTGATCGAGACTCTCGACTACAAGACTCTCCGCGATTCGGTTGAGAACTACGACAACTACGATCCGGTGGAACTGGCACAGCGCCTTCAGGGCCATGACTTGGTTTTCTTCCGCCAGATTGCAGCAAACATCTACCGCAAGAACAAGCGGTGGGACAAGTCAATTGCGCTATCGAAGCAAGACAAGCTCTTCAAGGACGCCATCGAGACCGCGGCACTGTCTGGCAAGCCAGACGTTGTTGAAGAACTACTCCGATACGTAAGTCAATTCAACTTCATGAAACAGGACCTGCTGCTGACATCATATCTAGTTCGTGGACATTGGTAGCCGGGAGTGCTACGTTGGCATGCTATATGCTTGTTATGACCTTATTCGCCCTGAGGTCGTTCTCGAAGTCTCATGGCGCAACGGTCTCAATGACTTCACGATGGTAAGCCTTCACCGCTATAGCTATCACAGAGCTCTACTAACAGCCAATAGCCATACATGATCAACTTCCTGAGCCGACAGGCGGCCACAATCGAGACGCTGAAGAAGGACAACGAGGAGCGCAAGGCCCGGGAGGCGTCGCAACAGAAGGATGAAGAGAGCACTCCCATCCTGGGCTCTCGATTGATGCTCACCCAAGGCCCAGTGGGTGCGCCATCCCCAGGCCCGTACGGCCAGGCCAATGGAATTGCTCCCCAGCCAACTGGATACCGGGCTTTCTGAACATGATACCGCAATAGACCGGCAGGACGGGGCGGGACGTGGCTCGGGGTCTTATTAGGAGGGCTCCGGACGAATGAAAAGCGTGTTAATTAGGCTCACATAACTTCACATCACGGCCCGGGATGGAGTGGGATGGACGGACGGGTTTCTGAGATTTGACGAGGGCAATGGATGGGTTAGGTGGTTGCATTTGTGCACTAGGCTTCACCCACTGTATTTTAGGCTGATCATTTGCTGATTTTGAATTGTTTTTCCACAGCTCATCTTTCTTGCCATGGCCCCATGGCGGTGAAGCAGTGCCCACAGGCAAGACATGCCGAGCAATAGACCGCGTGAAAGCGCAGCCCAGGCGGAGATCAGGCGTGGCAGACATCAAGCTAGTGCTCAGGTCCCAACCCGCATATAGCGTGCATCGCTGCCGACGGCACAATGGGCCTGATTTGCTCTGTAAATGACGCTGGCTGGTCCGTTCGCCGGCTACAGAGCTTCAAGTGCCAGAAGTCGTCCGGGCAATACCGACACAGTGCCCCGACCTGTTCCGCTGATCCGTCGTGCTGCCGAGCTTGTGTCGGGATGCCCCAGATTCACGCGGAAAAGAGCGTCCTGGGGAAGTGTGTGAGGCGTGCCCCCCACGGTAGCGACCGTGTTGCACCAAGCGTGGAGGGGAGACGGGCACGGAGACGACGCAGCTGGTCACACCGGCGACATGAAAATTGAGATGCAGCCGTGGGGAGTAGGACAAGGCCAATAGCATGGACGGGGCGCGAGGCAGCTTTATCGAGCGTTTTGCTGGGGGTCCAAGGGTCGATGCGGGAGGGGTAGAAGAGGGAGCTCTGGCCAGCTCCTGCCGCCGCCTTGAGCTTATTCCTTTTGCTCTGTCTGGGCCACGGTGCTCATCAAAACCCTCAAGCGTCATCTCCCCCCCATAAAATCCCCCGGCCCCAACCCTCCCTCCCCGCCGTCACCACCACCGTCGCAGCCTCGAAACACCACCGCTGTTCAATATGGCTGGTCTCGCGATCGACCACGCGGCCGCGGCGCAGGCTGTTATCGACGACGAGCACGATACCCAGCACGATGAGCATCACATCCACCGGCACTCGGTCCACCACCGGCTGCGGGCAAGCAGCTCTATCATGCAATTGAAGAAGATTTTGGGCACGCCTCTGCTCTCTTGCACCTCGCCCAGCTCCATGGCTAACATTCAGCAGTGGCCAACCGCGGCGAGATCCCAATTCGCATCTTCCGTACCGCCCACGAGCTGTCCCTCCACACCGTGGCCGTCTACAGCCATGAGGACCGCCTCAGCATGCACCGACAGAAGGCTGACGAGGCCTACGAGATTGGACACCGGGGACAGTACACGCCCGTTGGGGCCTACCTCGCGGGCGATGAGATTATCAAAATCGCCCTTGCCCACCAGGTCAACATGATCCATCCCGGCTACGGCTTTCTCTCCGAGAACGCTGAATTCGCGCGCAATGTGGAGAAGGCAGGCCTCATTGTAAGTCTCACAGCATTTCCTCGTGTCGCGTCGCCAGCCTGCAATTTCTCGCAGTGGTTTTTGTTGAGGGCGGGGCGGAGTCCGAGGGGCATACACCGCCCCCGGGCCATTTGACGCAGCTCGGCCTGTCTCAGCGGGGCCTTGGCGAGATCGTCCGTGCGGGACACGGCATTCCTATTGTTACTTTTGCGACGCGTAGACTTGTACTCACCGATCCCAGTTCGTAGGACCATCGCCCGACACGATCGATGCCCTTGGCGACAAGGTGTCTGCGCGCAGGCTCGCTATCAAGTGCGATGTCCCGGTTGTCCCCGGCACCCCCGGGCCGGTCGAGAGGTTCGAGGAGGTCAAGGAGTTCACTGACCAGTATGGCTTCCCGATCATCATCAAGGCTGCCTTCGGCGGCGGTGGGCGAGGCATGCGCGTGGTCCGTGAGCAGGGGACGCTGAAGGAGTCGTTTGAGCGCGCTACGTCAGAGGCCAAATCGGCATTCGGCAATGGCACCGTTTTCGTGGAGCGCTTCTTGGATAAGCCGAAGCATATCGAGGTCCAGCTGCTGGGCGACAACCTCGGCAATGTCGTGCATCTGTACGAGCGCGACTGCAGTGTGCAACGGCGTCACCAGAAGGTCGTCGAGCTTGCTCCCGCCAAGGATCTTCCCCAGGAGACCCGCGAGGCTATCCTCAACGACGCCGTCAGGCTCGCTAAGTCGGTCAACTACCGCAACGCAGGCACCGCTGAGTTCCTCGTCGACCAGCAGAACCGCTACTACTTCATCGAGATCAACCCCAGAATGTAAGTCTCCCCGCTCCTCTACAGACGCGCCAAGCTGCTATGCTCCCAACGTATCACTGCCAAGGTATTGTGTGTGCTGATCTATAAGACAGCCAAGTCGAACACACCATCACCGAGGAGATTACCGGCATTGATCTCGTCGCCGCCCAGATCCAGATCGCCGCTGGTGCGTCGCTCGAGCAGCTTGGCTTGACCCAGGACTCCATCTCCACCCGCGGCTTTGCCATCCAGTGCCGTATCACCACCGAGGACCCGGCCAATGGCTTCGCCCCGGATACGGGCAAGATCGAAGTCTACCGTTCCGCTGGCGGCAACGGTGTCAGGTATGAACGCACTGTCTGGTAGAGATGTTGCGTGGATAAAAAGAAGCTAATATGTGTCTTAAAGGCTGGACGGCGGCAACGGCTTCGCTGGTGCCATTATTACCCCACATTACGACTCTATGTTGGTCAAGTGCAGTTGCCATGGATCCACATATGAGATCGTACGACGAAAGATGCTTCGCGCCCTTGTCGAATTCCGTATTCGTGGCGTCAAGACCAATATCCCCTTTTTGATCAAGCTTCTCACAAACCCCACCTTCATTGAGGGAACTTGCTGGACTACCTTCATCGACGATACGTAAGTTGCCAAGCTGCGTTGTGTTCACAACAAGATCACCGCTAACTCCTACTAGCCCTGCGCTGTTTGACCTGGTTGGCAGCCAGAACCGCGCCCAGAAACTCCTTGCTTACCTTGGTGACCTTGCCGTCAATGGTAGTCAAATCAAGGGCCAGATTGGCGAGCCCAAGTTCAAGGGTGACATCATCATGCCAGTCCTCCACGACTCCAGTGGTAACAAGGTCGACACCTCCCAGCCCTGCCAAAAGGGATGGAGGAACATCATCGTCAAGGAAGGCCCCGAGGCGTTTGCCAAGGCGGTTCGAGCAAATAAGGGGACATTGATCATGGACACCACTTGGCGGGACGCCCACCAGTCCCTCTTGGCAACCCGCGTCCGGACTGTCGACATGCTGAACATTGCCACAGAGACTAGCCACGCCTATAGCAATGCTTGGGCACTCGAGTGCTGGGGTGGAGCCACTTTCGACGTTGCTATGCGATTCCTTTATGAGGATCCGTGGGACAGGCTCAGGAAGATGAGGAAGCTAGTACCCAACATTCCTTTCCAGATGCTTCTCAGAGGCGCCAATGGTGTTGCATATTCATCGTAAGTGTCACGTGCTTTCGCGACTATCACATGCTAACGATTACAGGCTCCCCGACAACGCGATCTTCCACTTCGTTGAGCAGGCCAAGAAACACGGCGTCGACATCTTCCGCGTATTCGATGCGCTCAATGATGTTGACCAACTGGAGGTCGGTGTCAAGGCCGTCCTCAAGGCCGGTGGTGTTGCGGAAGCGACCGTCTGTTACAGGTTCGATAGATGACCTCTCTCTACTCCTTGAGCCCATCGCTAACCGGGTTTTAGTGGTGATATGCTGAACCCTAAGAAGAAGTACAATCTTGAATACTACATGAACGTGGTCGACAAGATTGTAGCCATGGGTGCACACGTTCTGGGCATCAAGGACATGGCCGGTGTTCTGAAGCCTAGGGCTGCTACCCTGCTTATTGGAGCTATCCGAAAGAAATATCCGGATCTTCCAATCCACGTCCATACCCATGACTCTGCCGGTACTGGTGTCGCCTCCATGGTCGCCTGCGCTTATGCTGGCGCCGATGCCGTTGACACTGCTATCGATAGCATGTCCGGCATGACTTCCCAGCCAAGCGTTGGTGCCCTCTTGGCTTCCCTCGAGGGTACTGATCATGACCCCGGTCTCGATGGACACATGGTCAGGCATCTGGACAACTACTGGGCACAGCTCCGCCTGCTGTACTCTCCCTTCGAAGCCGGCCTTACAGGCCCCGACCCCGAAGTCTATGAGCATGAAATCCCTGGTGGCCAACTCACCAACCTCATCTTCCAGGCCTCGCAACAAGGCCTTGGCGAGCAATGGGCCCAAACCAAGAAGGCCTATGAGCAAGCCAACGATCTCCTTGGCGATATTGTCAAGGTTACTCCCACATCCAAGGTCGTCGGTGACCTGGCTCAATTCATGGTCTCTAACAACCTCTCCTACGACGACGTGCTCGCAAAGGCTGAGCAGCTCGACTTCCCGTCCTCCGTCCTCGAGTTCTTCGAGGGCCTCATGGGCCAACCCTACGGCGGCTTCCCCGAACCCCTCCGCTCGCAGGCCCTCCGTGACCGCCGCAAGATGGACAAGCGGCCAGGTGCTTACCTCGAGGCTGTTGATCTTGTGAAGGTCAAGGCCGACCTCAAGTCCAAGTGGGGCGATGCCACCGAGTGTGACGTCGCGTCGTACGTCATGTATCCCAAAGTCTTCGAGGACTACAAGAAGTTCACGAGCAAATACGGCGACCTCTCTGTCCTGCCGACACGCTACTTCCTCGCCCGTCCCGAGGTCGGAGAGGAGTTCCACGTTGAGCTGGAGAAGGGTAAGGTGCTTATCCTCAAGCTTCTTGCTATCGGCCCGTTGAGCGAGCAGACTGGGTTGAGGGAGGTGTTCTACGAGATGAACGGTGAGGGCCGAACAGTCACGGTCGAGGATCAGCACGCGGCGGTTGAGAATGTCAGCAGGCCGAAGGCGGATCCCACCGATAGCAGCCAGGTCGGCTCGCCGATGGCAGGTGTGGTTGTTGAAGTGCGCGTGCATGACGGCTCGGACGTCATGAAGGGAGATCCGATTGCTGTGCTCAGTGCTATGAAGATGGTAAGCTCTCTCACAAACAATCTAATGTTCTGGCAAAGGCTAATCCGCATTGCAGGAAATGGTCATCTCAGCACCGCACTCGGGCAAGGTCAGCCACCTAGGCGTGCGCGAGGGCGACTCGGTCGGCGCGCAAGACTTGGTGTGCAAGCTTGTCAAGTAAAATGATTAGCTATTCTTAGCAGGGGACAAAATTTTAGCCGCGTTTTGCAAGCGGTTGTTGGATTGAGATTTATGTTGGTACGATACTGTTGATTGGTAGTCGGGTCAAATCGATTACGCCGCCGGGTCTAGTTACGTAGCTAGTTCTATAACGATATGAAGATCCTTATACATACAGTACAGTGCCTTATCAAAGATATCCGTACAACTTTCCTACCACTGTTTGGGGGGGGGGCTCTAACGTACTAATAGAAACGGGGGCAACGAATACATTTCTCATCTGCGTACACTACTGACGCTGTGTGTAGTAGCCTCGCGAGTTTACTAGTTGTCTAAAATGCCGAAATGCTCTCCCACTCGGCATACTGAAAATACTACGAGGCACTAGGCTCCGGGTTTCATTGAAACATGACAGGCGGTGTTGGCAAGGCGTAAGGAAAGCATTTGTCCTAGTTACTGTACACGCGTTTGGACTCCACTAGCGGAGTGGGAAACTCGTATTTGACACCCGCCCGATTCAAACCCTCAATGTCGAGGTTCTGATCTCGAGTCCTTTCTTCCTCAATAGCATGCGCTAACTAACCGAGTCGACATCGGCGCGGACTGGGCTCCCGGCTATATAGCTTGACCGCAGCCGTTGAATTTTTAACCCCCGGATCCCTGGGCGCTGGGTTTGACTGTGACGTGCGCAGGAGCGACTCGACGTCGCGTGGACTGGCTCTTGGATGGATAGCTTGTTCTACTGTAATCGATTCTGTTTCTGTGGTCTAATTCGGGTTGAATGTGGAATCTAAGGGCTTGGTTTCCACGCTTGCGAACCTTACGTCCTGTGGACCGTGACATTGGCATGGCTTGGGGTATCTCGAGGTCATCGGAGTACTGTCAAAACGGACCTCATCTGCGCTCGAATTCGGGCGGCTAGATGTAGATTCCATACATCTGAAAAGCGAGGTCTGGAATGGGACATCTTAGGAAGATTTTCTGGCATAGTGCGGGAGGCCTTGGGAAACTATCAACGCATGGGAAAACGGTACTGGAATACGATCTGATTTGAAGCCGAAACTTACTTATCTTTTCTCACTGCTTCCATGACTCGAGGGACCTCAGAACGAGTTTCATCAAAGGAAATTCGTATTACTTTATCGTCCCATTCACGCACAAAGAACACCGGACCTATCTCTGATTCACAGACCAGCTCCCAACACTCCGTCTCACCGCCCCAAGCCCTCCCGTTCCATACTCTGCTCTACCGCCTCACGACCATGCCGTACCAGAATCACATCCAAAATCACACTTCCCTTTGTTATAAAAGAAATGTGCACACCGTTTTAGTCCGCAAGCCCACTGAACTCAGGAACGCAAGTAGATCTGATAACGGGCGCCGCCGCCACCGCGCGACGCCCCACAACAGGGAGACTTCCCCGAGGGGTTCCTCACATCCGCTGGGGGTTGGCTGGTAAACGAGCGTTGATCTTGCGCGTGTGCCTGAGGCACGGAGTTGAGCGTCGGCCAACATGGGGGAAAGTTGGAGACGTTTTTGGTTGTGTAGACTCGCGCTAGTTAGGGGGATAAGGAGATTGGGGAGACGGGATAAATATAGGTGGGGGGTTTGCGGAAGGTGATATCTTGACGAATGGGTTGGGCTGGCTGAGGAGGCGTGGTAAGCTTAGCAGAAATTGAAGGGGATATGTATGAATATAAGATTCGTATTGAAGCGCTTGCGATGCTGAAAAATCCCTAGATGACGCCTGCTATGCTGGTGAGTAGAGTACAAGATATTTACAACATCTAGATGCGTATGCATATTTTTACATGCCAAAGAAAAGGAAACCGTAAGCGGGATCGAGTTCTACTGCTCTGGCGATTGTTTCGTGATCTCCTTGATCTTGTCGGCCATTCCTAGATCACGGATGTCCCACCCGGCTTCCTTGGTGGCCCAGTCTCTACGTTCACCTAAGATGGCGAGGTTGCTGCGCGAAGCACCTTGTACGAGGTACTTGTCCGCTACAGCTTTGATTTGCTCGGCGGTGACGTCGAGGAGAAGCTCTCTCCGCCGTTGGAGCATGTCGTCGTCGATTCCGGAGAGGAAGAGTCGCATGCCCTCCTGGCTGACGCTCTGCGGCGCGTCATAACCCTGGAAGACGCTCAGCTTGGCCTCTTCCAGGTCTTGGGCTGTCCAATTGCGATCGCGGGCCCAGGCGCCGGCCTCGGTCATGATCTTGATGGTGTTTTGGGGGTTCGGATCACGATAGCTGTAGTAGCCGAATACGCCGCCGAGAGACCGACTGTAAGCTCCGCCTCCGTATGCACCGCCCTTCTCACGAATCTCGTGATGTAGGTGCTTGTGAGTCAGGAGCTGGGCTAGGATTTCCAGTGGAGCTCCGGCGTCATTGGTATAAGGAACTGTTGGAATGGCGAGGCCAGCATAGTAGACCTGATATGGTAGGGGGAAGAACGATTTAGAGTTTCGAGGGTACTGTAGTCGTTCGGAAGTCGAGGTGATATTTGCAGATTCGGTTGGCAGCCCAGTCAGAAATCGCTGCAAGGCTTCTTGGTTGGACGATGAGCTCTCGTTACCGCAGTTGAGAGCCACTCGAAATGTCGTGCTATTCGAGATGGCGATGGACTGTATGGCCTTCAGCTTCTGGATAACGTCATCCAGAGACTCGGAAACAGGACGCGATGCCAGACCAGTGGTAAGTTTGATCTGTGACAAACCACCAGTCTGTTCGTTCAGGCGTCCAATTGGAGTCAATCCAGCCTCTGCAAACGTGCGAGCAAAAGAATGACCCGTTTCTGCAATGGAATTGACAGCGCCACTTGAGGAACTCTGGAGCAGTTCCCGGATTTGCTTTTCTGCCTCAGGTCCGTCGAAATTTGTCTCGAAGATGACTGTCCGAAGTAAGTCATACATTGCGGGCACGTTTCGATCTAACGCATAGCCAGTGAAAGAGAGCCCTTCCTGGTATGACTCTACAGAATCCGGAGAAGGCGAGGAATGATATCCAACGGATATGCCGCCAGTCTTGAGCTTGATCAGCTCTTCGAGCTGTTCCATAGTCTTGTCTTCGGTGCCAAGTCGCATAATCGCGCTGCTAAACAAAGGGATCATTTCTCGTAACTCATCAGGGAGATTCTCAAGTTGCTGGATAGCACGGAAATAGGTCAGTCCGTTAGTATGAGCTTCCCGCCATTGAACCTTCACATCGCCCAGGGAGCTGTGTCGGACTTCTTTCCTTTCTTTTTGACGAGGTATGTCTTTGACATGTACACTTGGGAGGCAGCTAAGATCTGCATTTCTTGCATTTTCCTGGACCTCTAGAAGCTCGAGCTCGCGCTTTTCCAGGTATTGTTCGGCCTCTTCTTTGCTCGAGAATTTCTCGGTGGTCTCAGAGATTTTGTCCGCGAGTCTTTGGCTCTCTTCAGCGACTAATTCTTCGCTGTATGTTTCCGATGGCTCCATGGTGAAGGTGAGCGTTTTGTCGTTTAGTAGATATTTATCGAGTAGACTCTCGAGATAACCTCCCTTGGCATATCTATTTTGGAAGGCGGAGACAGTTTCTTGCCAAGCTAAGGCATCCATCGGATCGACACCATTGAACCAGCCCGGCTGTAGTCTCTGCATGACACCCATACCAAAGTGCGCCGTCTTGTGCTTCAAAGAAAGCTCAAGCTGATGTAGGATACCGTCAACCTTGATTTTGTCAAATCCGTTTGTCCTGGCTTCCAAAAATGTTTTGGCGACAGCCTCTTTGACTTTTGGAACATCTTCCATCTTGACTCCGTTTAATCCAACAGAGAACACGCCAACTTTTCCAGCACTATCATACCCAGTGTTTGGGCTAAAATCTGCACCAAGTCCTGATTCGATGAGGTTACGATAGAATGGGGATCCGTAGCCATCGAGTAAAAGGTTACCCAAGAGACCCAGAGAGAAGTTTTCGAGAACATCGGTAGTATCTCCCATAAGCCATGTGGTGGACGTCTTGTACTGCATGTCTGGCGGCATGAGGAGATCTGTGGGCCCCTTGACTGTGACATACTTCGGACCATCATCTAGACTTATTGGTGCTTTGATGTCGCTATCCACTTGAATTTGGCTAAATTGACCCAATCTAGCATCGATTTCTTTAAGATGGTCGGCTAATGGGAGGTCGCCATATGTGAAAACCTTTGCGTTGCTCGGATGGTAGTGGTCGGCGTGGAACTTCCGCAATTGCTCCCATGTGAGATCGGTAATCTTTTGAGGGTCCCCGCCCGAATTGTTGATATCGGGAAAGAGGTGGTCCTGGAATCGGACGTAAAACAGGTAGCTAGCATCCGACATTTGGCCCTTCATTTCATTGTAGACAACGCCCTTGAAGACGAGTTTCTTCGCTTCTCCCCCTTCTCCTGAAGCGACTGCCAAAGGGTTCTCGGGGCCTATTCGCCACCCTTCCTGCGTGAAGTCGTTCGAGTTGAGCAACGGGTGAAGAGTCGCATCGAGATACACCGACATCAGGTTCCTAAAATCTTGCGCATTTGTGGTGGCGAAAGGATAGGAAGTATGATCGGCAGAAGTAAAGGCGTTCATAAAATTCGATAGTGACCGAGGAAGCATCTTGAAGAAGGGATCGCGAACGGGGTACCTAGATTTTTATTAACGTGTTTTCACGGAGATACGAATAGTGTACCGACTTCTCGCTTCCACAGAGGGTAGTATGTTCCAAGATGTGCGGAACCCCCGTGTCATCTGGTGGATTGGTTTTGAAGCCGATGGAGAAGACATTGTTGGAGTCGTCGCGGGCGATGTGGAGGTAGTCGGCACCGGTTTTGTCGTGCTGGAGCTGGAAAGCCGTGAGCTCCAGCTCAGGGACCTGTTTGACGCGCTTGAGAGTGAAGCCGTGAAGTTGCTCTCCGATCTTTGGCTGGCTGGAGACATCGCTCACTGCGGCGAATCCTCGACGAAACGGGCGGCCTGTCGAGAGTCTCGAAGACGGCGCAGCGACGTGCGACGCCCATAGAGATGACCGAGAGCACCGAAGCATGGCAGACTCGTAGATGTGAAGTAGCAACAGCGTGGAGAAAAAGAATTCCTGGAGCATGACGCGATGTAATAGACCGAGGACCTCGAAATCGTCTAGTGGCGCACGCACGGGGCCTGTTAAATGGACCACACTTGGCATGCACCAGCACATTCACAACTTTGCAGCACAAGCCTTTTGACCAGGCCTTGAAGCTTACCGACTGTTTAAAATGCTAGCCCTTTGTCTTGTTCAAATGTGTACAAGCATCTTCACACACGTTAGATAGTGAGAGGCGTGTACACATTCCTTGAAACAAATCAGAAAGCCATCCATGGTGTAGTGCCTGCCTTAGTGCCTACCTAGGTCGTTGCATAATGCAGCTTCAGGCTTGCCAAGCACGGTCATTTTACAGGCCCCCATCGTGAGTGTATTGAATTGACTTCAGCCTGGAATCAGGACGACGGGAAAAGGAATAGCAATTAGACCATAATATGAGGACTCTGGTTAATGTGCTACTGCTCTGAACATCGCGTCGCATTGTTACTCCTGAGGGTGGCCTCGTCGTCAAGTGAAGCATCCCATCACCCCTTGGTTGCTGGAGCGAACTGAAGTCTCTTGCCGAGACCACCACTCGTCCCCTCCTGCCCTACCACGGCCGATTACCCTCGCTGCGCATGCAACTCTAGCGCAATAGTGCCCAGCATACTCTCCCGCTCCTCACACGTTAACGCTTTCATTCTTACTGCAATACCACGCCCCAGCGCGCGCTCGACGACTCAGCTCCACCCTTCAACCCGACGACTCCGAGAAGCCCGAACATCCTCAGACCGCCACTCTTCCGCCAAAGCTCCTGATCCGCCCGGCCTGTTGCTCAATCCTATGTGATTATCGATACGTTGCCACCGAAGGCTGTTGGGTGTTGAATCTGGGCGGATTGCAGACGTCGTTTGGGTCTGCAGACTGAAGTCGTAGATCTGGGTCTAAGCATATGGCGACCGTCGCCCATCAACACCAAGCAACATCTGCACACGCTCGCTCAAGCCCCGGTCATGTTATGGAGAGCAGCCGCAACTCGTCCATCTCCCGCGAACCGTCCGCGTCGTCAGCTCCCATGGCCTCCCATCAGCACGCCACTCCTGCGGGAGCCCCTCCGAAGAAAGGGAAGGGCAAGAAAAGCACGGACCCGTTAGAGCAGCAGAAGCAGATCCAGGCGAAGATCGCGCAGCTGGAATCGGATGCTGCTGGTGACAAGGAGCAAGACGCTGAAATTGGTGGGTGCTATTCCCTTGGTTGGCCCTATTTCTTCTACCCTGAAGTTCCTGGGTGCCTCTGGTAGCGAGTCTCGTGCCGTGGCTGAAGAACTGGACTCCGTGACAGTCCCATGATTCTCAGATTTGCGGTCAGGGATGGTTTAAGCTTATAGACACGGATGGCTAATTTGTTACGGTCTGAATTAGAACGCGAAGTCAAAAAGGCGAATCGAGACCTATCCCATCTCCTTTCAACCATGGAAACGCCAATGTCGCGCCTCGAAGTTGTTCAGAAGAAATACACAGAGTTGCTTCAGGACATGAAACGGACGGAGCGCGATCATATCAAGGCCAAAAAGCGCGGAGACCAGTTGCAGAAGGAGAAAGATGCTGGGAGGACGGAGCTAAATAGGGTCACGACAATGAAGGACAAGCTCGAGAAGCTGTCTCGCGACGTAACCAAGGACAACAAGAAGCTGAAAGTTAGTGGGAAACGGCCCTTGCGTGGATTTGACGTGGCCATACGCTTATTGAACCCAGGATGAATATCACAAGCTCGAGACGAACGAATCCAAGGCTCGCGCAGAGCTGCATGCCAGGCTGGAGGCTATGGTGGCCAATGTTGACGATGTCATCAATTCACAGGGGCAACCCGAAGCCCAGGATCTAAATATGGAGCTTGACGATTTGTACGCCCTTTCGACGCTGGATCTGCAGGACTCTACTAAATGCTCCCCAGATTTCGCCAGAAGTTCAAATCATTCATTGACCAATACGAATTACGGGAGCTTCAGTTCCACTCTCTTCTGCGAACGAAGGAACTTGAAATCCAATATCAGATGGCACGGCTGGATCAGCAGCGCAAAGCTCAAGAAGTGGAATCTTCCAAATCCCACCAATTGACAAGACAGGTATCCACTTTCTCCCAAACAGAGTCCGAATTGCGTACTCAGCTAAACATCTACGTTGAAAAGTTCAAGCAGGTAAGGTATTCGCTATTTAGCCCAGCTTTCTTCCTCGTTTTTCGACATATAGAGGTTAATGCTGACCAGATGCAGGTCGAAGAAACCCTCAACAATTCCAACGATTTATTTCTGACGTTCCGAAAGGAAATGGAGGAGATGTCCAAGAAGACGAAACGCCTAGAGAAGGAAAACCACAACTTGACAAGGAAACAGGAAGCAACTAGCCGAAATATACTTGAGATGGCCGAGGAGCGAACCCGAACCCAGAAAGAGATGGCTAGGAAAGACAAGGAGATGGAGCTTCTGCGCAAGAAGAACGAGAATCTAGAGAAGCTCTGTCGCGGGATGCAAGCTCAAGGTCGTGGACAGGTCAACGTGAATGATCTAGACACATATGACGAGGAAGCGACGGAGAGCGAATACGCGTATGAGGATGATGACGATGAAGAAGTCAGTGGAGAGGAAGGTGATGAGACGGAGGAAGATGTCATCGATCCCCCAGAACGCCGACCATTTGGTCCGGTGCCACCCCCTCCACCCCCGCCACAGAATCTTGTCAATGGGGTGAAGGTCAACGGTCACAGGCAGACCAACGGACAGGTCAATGGCATCAAGCGTTGAGAGGTGGTATGCGAGTGCGGTCTGCTAGCTTCAGTGAAGTTGTTCGTAAGCATTGACTTTCGGGGGTCCTGCCCGCCTTTAGTTTTAAACCGACTTGATATCTACTCCGCATTTGTGTTTGACTAGGTGTATCGCTTGCTCAACAATGCTCCAAATCTCGCGTGGTTTGGCTGCTCACAGACGGAGCAGTTGCAGTGACTCCATGAAGTGTAGACCATGCAGCTATTTCTTGGGTAATTGCATGGTGAAAAGGTGATGACGGTGGGATCCAGGCCTTCGAACACTCTGGCCTGGCAATTTTCGGCACGAGGAGCCGTTTGGTGTTGAGTCGATGAACGCTACTTGCCCCAGCTTACCTCGGCGCCCCCGCAAATGGACCACACTGCACGTTGCTGCGGACCGCGACCCACCAGCTTCACATTTACCCTCGAATTACCATGCCTCGGTGTTTGCCGGTCTTTTATATGTGCTTCTACAATTCCAACATACCCCATTCAATCGCAACAGAGCCTCCATAGTTCCACAAGCATCCATTGACCAACCACACCTCTCCACCCTCCAACCCTCCACAATGGCGACTCCCTCGCTCGAAACGCCGCTCTCGAAGCTCCTGGGGATCAAATACCCCATCATCCTCGCCGGCATGGCTCGAACCTCCGGCGGCCCTCTCGCAGCGGCCGTGTCCAACGCAGGCGGCTTGGGTGTCATCGGAGGCCTAGGATACACACCAGATCAGCTCCAGACCATCATAGATGAGCTGAAAGCAAACCTGACGGATAAATCTCTCCCTTTTGGCGTCGATCTCGCGCTCCCGCAGGTCGGAGGCAACGCGCGCAAGACCAACCATGACTACACCCACGGCCACCTGGACGAGCTCATCGAGGTCACGATCAAGAACGGCGCAAAGCTGTTCGTCAGCGCTGTTGGTGTCCCTCCCGCACGAACAATCAAGAGACTACATGAGGCGGGCATTCTGATTATGAACATGGTTGGCGCGCCGAAGCATGCGGTTAAGGCGCTGAATGCAGGCGTGGACATTGTATGTGCACAGGGCGGCGAAGGAGGAGGGCATACGGGCGATATCGCGAACAGCATACTCATCCCCTCGGTAGTGGATGTGGCGAGGCGGTACAAGAGCCCGCTGACGGGCGAGCCAGCAATGGTGGTCGCGGCGGGAGGAATCTACAATGGGCGCAGTCTGGCGAGTAGTCTGATGCAGGGTGCGCAGGGCGTGTGGGTGGGCACGCGGTTCGTTGCCTCCACGGAGGCAGGCTGCTCGGAGTTGCACAAGAAGGACGTTGTCAGCGCGTCGTTCACGGACACGCTGAGGACGCTGGTGGTGACTGGACGGCCGCTGCGGGTGAGGATGAATGACTATATTCGAGATTGGGAGAGCAGGCCGGACGAGATCAAGAATTTGACGGAGCAGGGTATTGTGCCCATGACGAAGGATATGGACGACGGGAAGGATACGGATAAGCCCTTCCTGATGGGCCAAGTTGCGGCTGTCATAGAAAAGATCCAACCGGCCAAGGAGATTGTGGACGAGATGGTCGCGGAGGCTGTGGCGATGCTGAAGCTGGGCCAGACGTATATCAGTGTTCCGAGCAAGTTATAGGGGGCTGACGGAGTGTGTGAGTAAAATGTATAAGCAAATAAGTAGACATTACTTCCTTTGAGGTCCGATCTGCTTCCTGAGGTCCACATATAATCAAAGGCACCTAGGCAGTGCAGTCTTCGGAGCTGTTGGGCAGGTGGAGTACGGACGTGTATTCGTGCTCTGAAACGTGAGTCTTGAGCCACGAGAGAGACCCCCAACATTGAAATCGAGAAGGAGGTGTATCTCCAAGTTCGTTGAATTGTCGGTACGTCCGTAGCATATTCTGAAATAGTAAACATAGCGTGCCAAACGTCTTATTTATGGATACCCGTTAAGGCGGATGCCGGGCTGAGCACTAACGGGGCCCGCGGGAGACGGCATGGCCAATCAGCCGCGCAAAGCGTGCCGTGTCAATGGGCGAGGTCCAAGAAGAGCGAACCTCCAGCGAAACACCATCCAAAGATCGCGACCACTGCCATTCTTCCTCTCCCCGCGCCCCTCTCCCGCTCTGTATTCTTCCTCCGCCCTCGCCCTCCCGTCTCGAGTCTGTTCCGCCCACGGCCGCCAATACACATGATCCTCCGAGCAGCCTCGTCCACCTCGACCCATGCAGGCCTCGCTGAAGAACCATCAAGAAGCCCAGCGGAAAAAGCTTGCCAATTCCTACAAGCAACTTCTCGAGTAATATTCCACCCTCTCCCTCGCGTCTGAATTTCACTGACCTAGCCGCAGTGAGTTCTCTTCGAAGGACCTCACCAGTGTTGGTAACTACACCCTGGGGCGCCTCATAGGCAAGGGATCGTTTGGCAAAGTCTACCTGGCATCTCACAAGCTCACCAATGGCTCAAAGGTGCGCAAGATACCAGACAACAACAAGGGAGCTCTGAGCTAATCTGCGCGCAGGTCGTGCTCAAGTCGGCGAACAAGGACGATGCGAACCTGGCGAGAGAGATACACCACCACCGGCAATTCCTCCACCCACACATTGCTAGGCTATACGAAGTCATTGTAACCGAGTCGTTGGTATGGCTAGTCCTGGAATACTGCCCAGGTACGTTTTATCCCCCAGCCCTCTCCTTCCTTTTGGTAGGAATAAGTTCTGACGCGGTACCAAATTTTAGGGGACGAGCTGTACAACTACCTTCTCGACAAGGGCGCAATTGAGCCGGCGAAAGTCCAGAGAATCTTCACGCAACTCGTCGGCGCAGTGTCATACGTCCACAACAAATCATGCGTGCACCGAGATCTGAAGCTGGAAAATATCCTTCTGGACAAGCACGAAAATGTCAAGCTGGTGGATTTCGGTTTCACACGGGAATACGAGGGCAAGTCGAGTTACCTCCAAACGTGGTGCGGCACAGTGTGCTACAGCGCGCCAGAGATGCTGAAGGGGGAGAAATATGCCGGCGAAAAAGTGGATGTATGGAGCTTAGGGATTATCCTATATGCGCTGCTCGCTGGAGAATTGCCATTTGACGACGATGACGAAACTATCACGAAGATGAGAATTCTGAAGGAGGAACCAAACTACCCAGAGCACTTCCCTCCACAGGCAAAAGAACTGATCGGACAATTACTGTCGAAACGACCCATTTTACGGCCTTCGTTAGCTGACATTCTGCAACACCCCTGGCTTGCGGACCACGCCCCTCAACAGCAAGCAATTTTGAAGTTACAACAACCGGCACAGTTCACCACCGACCTGGAGAAGGAAACACTGCAACGAATGCGAAGTGCCGGCGTTGATATTGATATGGTCATAGAAAACGTCCTTGCCCAGCGATGCGATGTCCTGGCTGGGTGGTGGGCGCTATTGATAGAGAAGGAGGAGAGGAAAGCCAAAAGAAGAGAACGTAAGCGCAAGGAACGCGAGGCGGAGGCAAAGAGTTTAAGACGGCTGAGTGCAGCCAGTAGCCGACTAGAAAGACTTGCTCCTACTATCAGAGAGACTGATGAAGAAGGCCAGCATACTCCCTTGATCGGCGATCCTCCAAAGAGTCGCGGTCGGAACATGAAAAGGAAGAGCGTCACCGGTGAGTAGACTTAGACATAATATCATCTATTGCTAGTGCTAATATGTTCATAGGTGGCATATCAGACTTGCCACGCCTGCCCGAGACGCAATCGACTCCAGACTCAGAGCAACCACCTCCTCCCGTCGAGAAAGATTCCCGGTCCTCAGACTCCTCAAGAAATCGGCCTCCTTTACCTCCAAAGGAGGTAAGGAGATCTAGAAGTAGCATGCTCCAGGTGGTTTCAAATAATCCTGACCTACTCAATCCGAATGGCTTCGTTCCAAAACGCCGTCGGAAGTACCAACAACCGTTCATAAACCAGCTGGCTGCTTTCCGAAATTGGCTCAAAGAGACGTCCAAACGGGCAAAGTCGCCAGGCTCAAAACCAAGCAGTAACAACTCTCCAAAACTATCACAAGGCAAGAAATCCCCGGATACCCGACGCCTCTCAAGCGCTGGCGCTCTCTCCAACCGACCCTCCGGCAACAACAGCCGCCCTGACCTCCAGACTCGCGCCTCTTTTCCCCAACGCCCTCGAATCTCCACAAACGGCAGCACCGTATCTACAAAACGGCCTTCACTATCTCCCTCCCCCTTAACACCACGCTCTTCCTACCGCCGTAGCTCTGTCGGCCTCCGTGGCCGCAAATCCACCTCGTCATCTGTATCATCGGTTCGGTCTATCCACCACCACCACTCGCATTCCAAAGCTTCATCTACCTCATCCGCTTCCCTCGCCTCCCCCTCCGTCTCCACAACCTCCAAACCCACAAAATCCCCCCACGCCTCGGTCAAAGTCCTCCCCGCCACCCCAACCACATCCTCCTTCCCCTCAAACGTCCGCATCGTACGCGCCCCGGTCAGCGAAGGCGGCGCTGCATTCGGCGGCGGTGGTCTCGTTAGTCCGGGCCTCGTCTTCGCGAAGAGGAAACGCTCCCCTTTCAAAGGGCCGATGCTACATGTGAGCCAGCACGGCAGCCCGAGCACGTCACGGCAGCGGAGCGAGAACAACTCTCGGAGCGCGAGCGTGCAGGGGCGACGGAGCGGGGAGATCATCGAAGAGGAGGACGAAGATGAAGTAGAGGAGGTGGAGGAGTTTTCGAATATCATGCGGGCAGGGGAGTTTGTGGAGGAGACGTCGGTCGCGGAGAAATGATTCGCAGCTAGGTTGATGATGAGGCTTAGGGAGATGTCTTTGGGTTTCACGTCTTCACTTCATGTTGGGGTTTTCAGGATGAATGGGTTGCCGACTTTCTCCTTTTTTTCATTTTTTCATTTGTTGATGCTGATTCTGACGACTGCCGCTTTGAGGCGGTGCGGTGTTCAGCGGGAGCGTCTTCTTTCAGTTCTTCTTCTTCTTCTTTCTTCTATTACTTCGACTTTTTTTTACTTTCTACTTTCAAGCTTTCTCCCTCTCTCTCTCTCTCCCTTCTTTCTCTCCCGCTTCATGGGTTCTCTAATGCATAATGTAGGGGAGGAAGAGGAGGTCGTTCCCACTATTTCCAGATGCGTTTCCTATGTCCTTTGGGTAGCGTTGTTGCAAAAATTGCATCAGGCCAAGAAGGCTGGGGCCGGGGCTGAGACTAGGCTGGGACTGGGCTGGGTACAGAGGGTGCAGGTTTTGTGTGTCAGAGTCTATGTGTAGATGTTGAATATCGGTTGGATGGGGGATGGGAGGGGTGTTGCGTAGATACCACGTCAATGAGACCGCGTTTTTTTTGGGTTTGAATGATTTTGCTAGTTGCGTGAGGGGGTGCGTGTTCATGCGAATGGTGATTAGGCCTGTTTTTGGAAAATGCAGCGGGTGGGTTCGTGAGACGTTACGGTTGCTAGGGAGTGATGCGGAGATGAAGTGAGAGCGTGCTTATGCAAGGATGCGGCTTTTGGGGTTCATGGGTCGCGAGAAATGGAAATCACGGGAAGAGGACGAACAATATCAGCGGTTGGTGAAGAGCATGCTAAAGCAAGGACCGCGTCTAGAGGGGAGGCTGGAGGTACAGCATATCCAACAAGCTCGCACCGCATAACCGCTGCCCCATCTCGTGGGCATCCTGGGTCGCAAAACGTTACCACCATGCTCCCGCCATGCTCTCACGTGGATACCTTAAACGGCTCCGCAACCGCATGGCCGGTAACCGCACCTCTCATCATCAGCATCGCACAACCCCAGCACCAATCTTCCAAGCCCTGTCTCGTGCCCCTTCTAGAAGACCTGCAGTGCCTAGAAACCTCCCTATCTGGAGCTAGTTCAGGTACGGAGATCAGACCGTTCGCAAATTAGTGTCAACGGCAATCAACATGCGCGTCGCTGGGCGCTCGTCTACGGCTATTTCTGCAAGTAATTAGTCCCAATGGCAATCACATGCGCGTCGCCGCTCGGTCGTCTACGGTTAATTTGGCACGTATGTAGGTACTATGTATGTACCTGCGAACTCCTGTCACAGCGCCGTTTGGGCTCCTGCACGGCAGGCTTCGACAGCCAGCCACGAGGTGGTGGTCCTGCCTGTTTTGTGCTACGGCACGTCAAACAAGCGGGTGGGCCCGTGGGGTAAGTGTTGCTCATGATTGCGGGAGCGGTATTTCGAGCACTACAGGATGGTCTGAGCGGTGCGGTTCGGTGCTCCTGCGGCGCGTGAGGAGTTGAAGGATGGAGCTTGTGGAGGCGTGGGGAGGCGTGGGAAGGCGTGCGCAGGAAGCAAAGAGATGGAGAGAGGATCGGTGGCCAAAAGAGGAGAGACGCATGAGGCAATGGTACGACCACCACTGTTCCAACGCATGAAGCCGGCGTGGGAGGGGTCACACGCGGTGCTCGCTCTGAAGCAGCCCTATTTGGGCGATGTTCTCGACTCTCGAGACAGTTCCTGCAGCTCTCGCGGATCGGATTCCTAGCCCAAGTCCGTTTGCCACGCGTGTCGGGGCCGCTCGTCGACAGGAGGCGCGCGAGGGACCGGCGGACCTGGAATTACAAGTCTTTGTACTGTAGCATTATCAGAGGCTGAGGAGCCGCGTCACGGCGTGCTTGACTGCGCTTGTCGTCGCCGAAGCCACACGGACGGGGTTCGTGACGCTTTTGTAAGGAGACAGTGGGAAGACTGCGGCCTGATGGCAAGGCCCGGCGAGGTTAGCCAGATGTCGCGTGCCACCAAGCCCGAACCGGTTGGCCGCGAGCGATGGCATCGGGCACGGCCGCCCGTCCGATTCTTATCGGTGGCGCAAGAGAGCGTGGACGGATGCAGTATGGTGCGCCAAGGATGGCAGCCCTGGAGCCGGCGCCGGCACAGGGAGGTGGATATCGTTCGAGTGTCGACATGATGCCCGGCCGATGGCACCGTTGTGCCGTTGCAATCACACACGCTGATGACAGCCGTTCCGTGTGCCGTTGTTGCAAGCCGGCTGCTACGAGACCCTTCTCTGCGCCGTCACGCCGTCATGGCCCAGCCGTCTCCCGCGGCTTTGGCTCAGGGCTTCTGCGGGGCAGAGCATGCGCTCGTCTGCTCGAGGCCCCACAGCCGTTAGAGTCCCGGGCTGGCGGTTGTGACACTTTGACCTGCCCGAAGCAGACCTGGGGCAGTTTGTCCACCCTCGCGGCTGTTTTGCCAATCGGCGCTGGCGCCCGGCTGACGACTCTTCACCCGTCGACGTCTCGGAGTGGCGTTCACTTTCGCCTTGCTGCCTCGGCGACCACTGAGCGCGCGGGAACTGCTTTCTTCTGCTGCCGTGCTGAGCATCAGTGTGACGAGCGTCAGGGTTCGATGCTTGGGTCTGCGCCTATCAGGAGCGTTGTGCGGCGTCTCTAGGACCGAGGGGACGTCTTCAGGAGAGGTACACTCTCGAAAAAGGGCGAAGGATTCAATGAAGGCGATAAGAAGGCGGGTGGCAGACGATGGAGTCCTTCTACCTCTCTTCTAGAACTGGAGGCGGCGTGCGCTTGCCTCGTGCCGCCGTCGCCATCGACGCCCTCTCCGCAAGCCAGGCGCCTTCGCGCGGCGGACAAGGTGTTGGAATTGCTGCGCTCTCGCTTCCGTGGTTGGTTGCAGGCGCACCGCTGGTTGGGAGATCACTGCAGGCCCCGGAGCGTGGGATGGTTGCAGCAGTATCGAGGGGCGGACTCGACACCGGCCGCCATGCGTATCAAATGGTTGCCGCCAGACACGGCTCCCTGCTAGTTCGGCATCGCGGCGAGGCCTCTGCTGGTATCGCCCTGGCAGGGCCTGAGGGGCCCAGGTGGAGTGCCTTTGGACCCAGGCGTGCACGCTTCAGCTGCCCTTTTAATAAGTCTGACTGCGCCTCGGCGCGTCTGCTCAACCCCATATACCACTGCGGTACCCAGCCTCGCATCCTGGCCCTCCAACCTCACCTCCTCGCTGCCACCACGGCGGCCGTCTGCCTGATCGCTGCGGCCCGCTGAACAGCATCGTCCTCGTCACCACCGCCATGCCCGCCGGGAGCATGGATACCGAGAAGGGCCTGCGGAAGAACTCAGAAGGCCGGTACTCACCCGACTCCCTGGCGCCCGACTACTATGGAGAGTCCTCGGTGCACCGCGACGGCCTGGGTCGTCGTGTAGTCGACAGCTTCAAGCGCAGCCCGAACTATTTCTTGACGTCCAAGGCCACCGTCGCCGCTGACGGCAAGGTCTACGATGTTGAGAGCGCCGCCCAGAACACGGCGACGTCGCCCCTCTCGCGGTCGTTGAAGGGGCGGCATCTGCAGATGATAGCCATCGGTGGTTCCATCGGTATGGTGTTGGGCTCCTGGTTTTCTGGGGCCGACGAGTGCTAATTGTGGTGTCAGGTACGGGCCTCTTTGTCGGGTCGGGCAGTGCTCTGGCCCACGGTGGGCCGGCCTCGGTGGTCATCGCCTTTTGTCTGATTGGCATCATGTTGTACTGCACAGTCCACGCACTGGGCGAGATGGCCGTCTTGTTCCCCGTCGCGGGTTCATTCTCGGCCTATTCGACTCGCTTCTTGGATCCGGCATGGGGCTTCGCCATGGGATGGAAGTAGGTTCTCCCCCGTCAATGCGTGTCGGAACGTGACTGACCGTGGCAGCTATGCCCTGCAATGGCTGGTTGTGCTCCCCTTGGAAGTTGTTTCTGCGACCCTCACGATTGAATTCTGGAATCACGGCAAAATCAACAATGATGCCTGGGTCGGAATATTCCTTGTATTGATCGTTGCCATCAATCTATTCGGTGTCAAAGGCTACGGTGAGGCCGAATTCATCTTTGCCATCGTCAAAGTCACTGCCGTCATTGGCTTCATCGTCCTCGGCGTGGTCATCAACGTCGGAGGCGGCCCAGATGGCGGCTACATCGGAGGCAAGCTATGGCGCGACCCAGGAGCCTTCAACAACGGCTTCAAGGGGCTCTGCAGCACCTTTGTGACAGCTGCATTCGCCTTTGGTGGCACAGAGTTGGTCGGGCTCGCTGCCGCCGAGACTGCAAACCCCCGCAAATCACTCCCCACGGCCGTCAAACAGGTCTTCTGGAGAATTACCCTCTTCTACGTTGTTTCTCTCATCCTCGTCGGCCTTCTCGTCCCCTATAACGATCCCCGTCTCCTCAATGGCACCAGTACGGCCGACGCTGTTGCCTCTCCGTTCGTTATCGCCATCCAAAACGCCGGCATCCAAGGTCTCCCCTCCGTCTTCAATGCCGTTATCATGGTTGCTGTCCTCTCTGTCGGCAACTCCTCCATTTACGGCTCTTCTCGGACTCTCGCCGCCCTTGCAGAGCAAAATCAAGCTCCCAAAATCTTCGCATACATCGACCGTCAAGGCCGCCCCATCGTCGCCATCATACTCGCCTCCGTCATCGGCCTTCTCGCCTTCCTCGCCGGCACTAGCTGGCAAACGGATGCCTTCAACTGGATGATGGCCATCTCAGGCCTCTCATCTATCTTCACCTGGACGAGCATCTGCGTCGCCCACATCCGATTCCGCAAAGGCTGGGCCGTGCAGGGCCATACGCTCGACGAGCTGGCATTCAAATCCGCTGCTGGTGTCATCGGGTCCTATATTGGCGCTACCTTCAACGTCCTCGTTCTCATAGCGCAATTCTGGACCGCATTTGCGCCGCTCGGCTACGAGTCAAAGACGGCGAAGCAACTCGTAAACAACTTCTTCCAAGCCTATCTCGCCTTCCCTGTCGTCCTGATCATGTACATTGGATACAAAGTCTATTACCGGACACCCTTCATCCGGTCGTACAACATGGACCTACACACCGGTATCCGCGAGCTAAATCTCGCAGAGCTGATTGCCGAAGAGCGGCTAGATCGGGCGAACTGGCCGCGGTGGAGGAAGGTGTATAAGTTCTTCTGTTGAATTAGATCTATCTGCGTTGCTATTTATATTCTCATTTTTTCGATATCATGGAGTAACACTCTAATGCGATCTTGGTGGATCTGATGTCTTATCTACTCAGCGATTTAGCGCATGGGCGGCTGCTGTTGTTGTTGTATTATTAGACCACGAGATATCCCCCCGATGACTTTGATGCCGGTAATGATAGCCTTGGTTCCAGGGTTTTGAAATACTTGTTTCGGTCCCGTGTTGTTTGTGGTGATCGTCTTGCCAGCACGTTCACTCAAGCCGTTTTCGGCCGCGCGTGAAATATGAGGATGTGCCCCTATCCGCTACAGCTATGTTTAGCCGTCTCACCTCCTGGACGCTAGGCGCCGCTATGCTACGTGGAATATCGACTGTGAATCTGGCTAGCTCAAAGAAAGGAAAATTAAACGGAGGTTAGGAGGGGGGCCGCCTCCTGTAGCGCATTAGGTGAAACTATTGCAAGATCTCACGAATTCAACCGTAACATGTTCTACCTCGTAGACGTCCTGTCGATACAGCAACCTAGATGGTACCTCAGCACGTTTTAAGTGTAATTAGTGCAAATAGTCACCGATCAAATTGACCAATTCCGTTTTTAATAGACGCGGTGTAGAAATAGTAGTGCATGCAGCCTGGTCATAACCTCGAACCACTTCACCCATGCGAAGGTCAAAAGTAGTGGAAGTAGCTACAGATCTAACTGCGTGTTACCCTTTTCTCTTTTAACGCGCGGCGTGCACACGAGATCCCCTTGGTGTACTTCTTTTACTTAACCTGCCGTAGTCACGCGTTGGCTGCGAGTAGTGGAAAAAAGAGTTACACACTCAAATAGACGCGAAAGTGGTCGAAGCCACGCCCTAAGTCAGAGTGTTGGAAAGACTCACAGATTTCGCCGTGCATTTGAGACCTGGTAGAGAGGTTTAAGCGCGTCATAGTGGTCAAGCTAGACTGCTCTGACAACGCATTAGGTCTAGAAGGGGGGAGAAGTTACATGTCGAATCGTGAGAGCGCTTTTTCTAGACGCAAGCGGAGTCGCGGTGGGATTAGTGACAGCTGTTCGATCGGAAAGTCTTAAATCAGGGTAAGGTTAGAAATGGAGAGAAAAAAAACAGAGGAGCAAATGGCGATAACTGAGGTCACGTATTAGGGCGAAGAGTTGCAGACGTTTCCACATTTGACCGGGAGATCGGCTTTTCATATATGCGGTGTAGACATGGCTTGGAAGCAGTTGGGTCATTACTGAAAGAAGATTGCCCATGCATTAAGTAGCCAGCTTGGGACGAATAGTGGCAGTCAATGCCCGGGATTATGTACAATTATGTTCGGAACCATATCTACAGAACAAGGGTAGTCTAATGGTATCGATGCAAAGTCTATAGTCACCGAAAGAAGGAGTAAAGAAAAAGGAAATATGCTTGTGCAGTAGAGGTAAGATCTGCCCCTGTAATTAGGTTCAAACCAAGGGACTCGTATGCCCCAAGAGGTTCTCATGAACTCCCAGAAATGCTAGTAAAAGAAAATGAAAGAGGCTGTCAAGTGGTGTCGGCATATGAGTACGTACTGATGCTAGCTTTTCGGAGTGGGTCATCTCAAAGCTTCAACTGGAACCTCGGATTTGTCCGAATACGCTCGCCGTAGATCTTGAAGATAACGGGGACCGGAATCAAGCCAAGGGCAACGAACCCCAGAAGGGAGTTTCCCCAGCCAAGACCAAGCTTGTTGTACATTGATAAGCCTGCTAGGGGAAGTATAGCACCGAAGATGGAACGAATGACTGTGTTAGCGGCCATCGCGGACGCCGCGTGCAGGGTAAAAGCGTCGACGAGGTAGGTTTGGATGGTCAACTGTGCAGGTCGTTAGCTAGGCCCAACACAAACATTAATGAACGTTCATTTGGAGGGACACATACAAAGTTGCTTAGCATCCCTATTCCGACGAAAGATGTGCCAATAAGTGGAACAATCCAGTGGACATGTTTGTCTGTTCCCCAGCCGTAAATGAAGAGCCCGACTGGCAAGCAAATGCCGCCAGGAACGGTCAGCATCATCGGCAGACGATCTTCGGGTTTCAAGGCCTTTCCCTTCGCCTTTTGGTTCTTGAGAACTCGATCACTTAGGACACCCAGAACAGCGAGACCGATGATCATGCCTATGCCCGTGGCAATGTAGGTAAGTCCAACCGTTCCGGAGGAGAAATGGTACTTCTCTTCAAAGACGAAGGTGATGGTCGTGAAGAGGAGGTAGAGTATGCCGTACGCAACAGCCGAGTAAAAGGACATGCAAAACACGATTGGTGAGGTCAGGAGCATCTTGGTGGGCCGCACAATGCTGAGGCGGAACAACTCCTTCGGTGAGATGGGCGACGTGAGCTTGGATCGGAGATTCGGGTTTCCAGTCTCCTTGCGAAGCTTTGCAGCTCTTCGTTCCAGGATTACGGGCGCGTATGACTCCCGCATGAAGACGAATGCTAGAATCGTGACGGTACCGCCCTGTGCGCCAGTGTTAGTATAAGGGGAAATGAAAGAGGACTAGTGGCGAGTTGGATTGGATGAGACATACCAGTATGGCAATCAGGTAGAATACCCATCGCCATCCTTTTGCTTGTACAAGGAACCCGCCAACTACAGGCCCAACCACAGGCCCTATAAGTGGGCCCATGGCCCAGATGGCCATGGCTCCGCCGCGCTTCTCAACTGGCATCAAGTCCGCTATCGTTCCACCTCCAATCGTCAGAGGGGCAGACCCGACTGAGCCTTGAAGGAATCGGAATCCGACAAGCATGTTGAAGTTGCTGGACACCCCACAGGCAATGGTGAAGATGATGAAGAGGATATTGCAGGAATGGTAGATCCACCGTCTCCCGTATAACTCACTCAACGGTGCCACGATTAGTGGTCCAAACGCGAAGCCGAGGAGAAAAACGGACACGACAAAGGCTGCCAGAAGGTCTGATTTCTCGTGGAAGCCAGCCATAACTTCAGGGACGCCGGGTGCGAACATAGAGGATGCGAGAGGGCTGATCAAGTTAGCCGTAGCACTGAGTTAATGACAATACTAGACTATAAGTCTAGGCACACAATTATACTACCGCTTAGGTGGCACTCCTCAAAGCTGGACGCACCTCGCGCCTTTCGGTTTGCAAGCTGAAGTGAGACGGCACCGTCAGGAGAACCCCCGTCGCCAAGCAGTCGATCTTTCAAGAGGCAGCTTAGATTCCACTGTGTGAGACTTGACATGGCGCCTGAAGGTCTGAAAGCTCATGGGGGCGCCTCAAGCAGTCGCAAACGAGTGTGCAAAGACTTATGGTTTGTCAGGAATGAAAATGATATGTACTCACGTTACGAACGTAATTGACGAGAGAATGGCGATGTTTCCCCACTTTAATGAATTCGGCCAGTTCATGGGATTCTCTGGATCATCTGGACCGTCCCAAAATACGACATTCGGGTCTGATTCCTCGGCACCTTCCAGCTTTTCTGTTGTATCCGCCCCGTCGTCTACCTCCCCGCTAGACGTGGTGGGGTGGCTGATTGCACCTTTTTCAAGGTCGCCCTTTTCATGGTCGTGAATTGACGAGCGCTGTCCCGGGGTGTAGACGCCTAGATTGGAAGGTATATCGGCATCGTGGCCTTCTTCGTAGGCAAGTTCGAGCCTTGGGTCATTTAGGTCATGGATATGATACGCTGGATTCGAGTAGGTGCCAGGAGTCGCCATGGTGGACGTCTTACGCGTTCTGTCATTCCTGGATTAGTATATTGCGACGGACAAACCCTTTGTTTATACGGTGAATCCATTGAGGCACGTATAACAGCTTCTTCGCGGTTGAAAAGCGGGTGAAGAGTGAGACAGATGGAGATAGGGCTGCTCACCAATAGTTAGTCCAAGCGCAGTGGGTTCGACAAGCTTTCAGGCGGGCCGACGTGGGTACAGGCAAGTCCCGTCCTCTGGATCAGCAGCTGTTTATCGTTATTAAACACCTCTCTCCCTCGAAGAATCGAAAATCTCAAGAATGGTAGAATCAGGGACCATCGCAAGTGCAGGGAACCAAAGGAGGCTACAAAGGAGCGCATCCATCTCCATCGTCGTCTTTCACAACTCCTCAAATCCTAATAAATTCGGTTAAGGTAGCTCCCGGCTACATTTTATACAGTTTATACAGGCTTTGTGCAGAGCTGGGTGTTCGCCGCTCCGAAAAGTCCATCACGCCACCAATCATAGCGCTCACAGACTCCTTTCAGCCTTTGAGGGCCTCAGCTCGGCCGAAGCGGCGTGGAGAAAAGAACGGACCCCAAAGGTGAGAAGTCCGACGCAAAACAGCAGCAACAAGGGGAACGCGCATTCCGGGGAAGTTGGCGAAGTGAAGAGCCTTGGCTAGCGTTCAAAAGTCGGAGGAGGGGGAGCGGAGAAAGATGAGGGGAGGGACGCCAAACTTATATAGCACGACGGCAATTTACAGGTAAATCAGATGAATCAATGTTGGCTAACCACGAAGACTGCACGGTCTTATAGGCTACAATACCGCCCTCGGCTGAACTGACCGTTCTTTCTCTGACATTTGAGAATCCCAAGGTTGTGGTGATGCTGGCTCCCTGATTGCAGCGGTCTCCAGACACCTGTCTGGCAGACCCCTCCTTGCATTCAGAGTAGCAGTCTGTCTCGGGTCGCCTGGGCGACTATCAGGCTTGCCAACTCTATCGCTTTAGAGTTCGAAACTGTATCAGAGGACATCAAGCAGTACTAGATATGTGCATACAAGTCTGGAGAGTTTGTACGCTAGAATTGGAAGATTTAGATAGAACTGCGCATGTCACTTTATACTCAAGGCCGTCTGCGACACGAACTCTGCTCCCCACCCGCACTGGGTCTGGCGCAATATTACTTACTTGATAACCGAAAGACCATTGCTTTATCGTATCGTACAACGTGTGCCGATTAATTCCAGATACGGTCGAAGCAATTGCACTGCGCGCACCTGAGGCGATAGCTCCCGATCCCCTCTTTACTTTCGAAGAGGTTCCATTTCTAAGAATTGCTGCGTGATTGAATGGTGATGAAGTGATGAAGTGAGCAGGCGGGACTCGGTTAGGAAAAGAGGATGGTAAGCCGGGTTGAAAGTCTCATGCAACCCAAACCTGTTACCTTACGAAGTACAGGCAGAGTAGCAAAATGATGTGCTGCGCTCAGCATCACGCAGATAGTTAGGCCTGTGGGCCCATACTCATTCCGGGCGTCGTCGCTTTACACAGTACAAATCTCAGAGGGATGGCTGGGGAGTCAACCCCCAGCGAACACCTTGAAACACTCGGCGACTCAAAACCCCTGATCTGTATGGATTGTTTTAAATGCAGGCACATGCAAGGTGATAATGAGAGTAACGTTTTGAGATCAGCGAATCAACGATAGAACTGCCTCTTTTGGCGAAGGGTCAGCGTTCGCTTGATTCGAATCGTTGGCCAAGCTGGCAACGCCTATCTTGCCGGTCGCTTAGAAACCCTGTCAATAGTAGGGAGTCTCACCTGTGATTGATGACGAGGTCGAGGTGGTTGGATTCGTGCGTAGATTGTGGCTGAGTGTGGCTGGTTCCATAAAGTTTCTTCACGCCCAGCCACCAATACGCCACCAAAACCCCTGCCTCTCGGCTTTCCCGGTGTTGCCCCTGGCAGCATTTGGCAGCATCCCGCCACCGTATCGCACCCTGTTGGCTGGGAAGTGGAGACCGCCATGACGGAGACGCTCCGCTATCGTCTTGGCTGGTTCTATTAATGCCATGGCAACAGGGAGGAGGTTGGGACCTAGCAACAGCTAGGATGGCTGTACCACCGATATAAACCAGCCGTAGAGCCGCATCTTTACTTTTCTCTCACCATCGTTCCACTGCAAAGTCTCTCGCTCTTCTCTCATATACGCCAGTCGTACTACATATTTCTACCTCACACGAGATCTACTCCACCTCAACCGACCCAGTCAAATCCTTTGCTCTCTCTCGCACAGGCATCATGCAGTTCTCCATCCTCGCCGTCGCCGCTGTGCTCGCCTCTACCGCCTCAGCCGCCTACTACCCAAGGAGCGCCACCGGTTATCCCACTGGAATCTTTCCTACAGCGACTGGAGTCTACCCAACCGGTACTGGAGCAACACCCACTGCCACCCAGCCCGTGTTCACTGGTGCTGCGGACCCCCATGCCCAGGTCGCAGGCTCGGCTTTGGGATTCGTTGTTGCCGCTGGCTTTGCTCTGGTATGTATCCGTCTTGTATGACAAAAGGAAAGATGCTAACCTCATTCGTAGATCATATAATAAAGCACAAGCGCTTCATTTGATTCACACTTGGCGTATTTCGGCGAGCGAGCATTCGAGTATTATTTCGAATCTATCGAGGAGCTTCGACTCCTACAGATCACAGAGATCTGTAGATGACTTTGGGATGGCAAGATGCCAATTCGATACGATTATATTCTGGCGATAATCGAGGGCATAATGACTGGATTGGAAGGAACCCTCGGACGATAGAAAGGACGAGCATTACTGGCTCTACATACTGGACATAGATAGAGAACATAATTACAATAATTACATTACGGCATATGAAGTTTGATGCCTGTGAAAACATTCGCTTTGCAGAAATAGTGAGTGGCCCATTGTTCGAAGGTGTTTCCTGACTTCACTAGCAGAAGTGACTACCCACGTGCATGCCGCGTCTGTGAAAATCAATTCCGCACGGTTGACTGTGTGAGTATTTGTGACCAGCCGGTGCGATTTCTTCATAGAAGTCCTTCAATGGGTTATCCTACGCTGATTACCATCGACCTCATTTCGAGCCTCCAGTGATGCAGTAAAGAATAACTGCAACGCGTCACGCTACGTGGCTACGTCTAACGAACTGGAACTTAAGCAGTTCGATATGGAACTCTTTTCCACCGGACGGCTCCACTTATCCCAAGAAGCCCTCCAGCCAAATATCCTTAGCCTTCTGTTATAGACTTGATTTAGGGTCTTCAGTTTTGTGATAAAAGTAACCACAATGCGGGCACTTCGCGTCTAACAAAATTGGAACTCCAGCGGTTCGATATGTAACTCTTTGTAACCGAGCGACTCCTTTTTTCTTAGGAAGCCCTTCAGTGACTTATCTTAAGCATCCTAACTTAGACCTGATTTCAAGTCTTCGGTTCTATGGTAAGAAACGACTATAGTGAGCCCACGCTGCGTATATGCCGTGTGTAACAAAAATAATTCCACACGGTTAGATCGGGGAGTATTTGTAACTGATCTCAATTGAAGCACCCCTAATGAGCCTTCCTCGTTCTTCAATTGCAAAGGTCCGATTCACGACCTCTGGACAATTGAATTCTGAAATAGACCCTGTGTGATAACGTTTTTGCCGTACACCCTAAATTGAGACTAAGAATTTTGGCTGGGTGGCAGAGGCATCTTGATGCATCGAAATGTTTTGAGGAGCTCTAGCTTCCACACTTTTTCAGTGTGCCACGAGTTGCCTTTCTCGAAAGTGAGCCTTCTCCAGTCAAAGGGCATATGAGGACATCGAATTAGAAGCGAGAGGGCATTGAACCCAATCTTCATCATTACACGGTTCATACTAAAGCGACATTATGCAGAACGTCGTCAACCCACCCAACGCCTATTGTATTTCCGTCCCACCCGCAGCAATCGAGGTCCCAACGCCGACCATCCCAAGCACACCGCCATAAATGCACATTCGTTCATTATACTAGGCCAAACCAGTGCTCAGTCCCCGCCAGCGCTCAGATCAGCGGAAAAGTCTCTGCGAATAGTCAAGTCCTCGAAGTTTTCCTGGTTGGTGATAACGAGCCCCTTTTCGTTCGCCAAATGTAGTAAACAAATGAAGCAGTACGAAGTCGAGATATCCGCCATAGCTTGCTTGGGGTAGACGGATTGGAGTCCATTGATCACATCTGTGAACTTGAGAGTCGCGTCGTCGGGTGTTATGATGGTTTCTGGAGCAGCTTTGGCAGGAGTAAATACTTGATCCGACGTTGTCTGCATTTCATTAGATTGGAGCGTGCTGCAGGTAGCACTTTGGAACTTACGTCTTTGAAGCCAATACCGCGCCATAGCTCCTCCTTCAACCGCCGCACATCGACTTTCTTTGCTACCCGCGCGTACTGGACGTACTCCGGTCGCATTCTCCGGCTCTGTGTGACAAGCTGTGCCCCGAACGCGCCATCCTGCTGAGCACCGAGCACGCCATCCAGGGCGATTGGACCTGCGTCCATGCCTTCCAATGGAGGCGAGAAGTGCTCTCGAGCATCGGCGAAATCGTCGTCGTCGTCGTCGTCCATACCACCTGGCATGTCCAGCGCGTCATCATTGAAGAAGTCAGCGTTGTAGTTCCCTTCAACTCCCTCGTCTCCCGGTGCCATAGGATCGGGATTACTCTCCGCATTCGCCCAATACGCCTCGTCGACTTCTTCGGTTGGCGGTTTAGCCTGTTGTGCGCCGTTTCTAGCTTTTCGAGAGCCCATGCGGGCCTTTGGCTTGAGGAAAAGTCGGAGCAGCTGGCGCGAGTTGAAGTGCTTGTCGTCTGGCAGAAGATTCCTTGTTTTCGATTTCCATTGTGTTTTGGGCATAGAGATCGTCGAGTTGGTGGTTGCTGGGGTGTATAGGGCATCTGCAACGGGCTGTGAGAGAGGCGCTAGGAAATCCAGTTCAAATGGTTCCTTTTCTTTCCGCTTTGTCGGCGTCGTCGTTTTGGCAATATCTTTTATCCTCCTGATCCGCCAATGCTCAGGCCCAGCCCAGTTCTTCTGTAAAGCCTGGTCAAAGTAGTTTAGTATGTTCTCCTGTTCGTCTCCTTTGCCATGCTGAAGCGAGATGCCGTATTGCGCGCTTCCGGTTTCAAAAGCCCCAACCTCACCATTCCCTTCTTCATCCCCGTTGCCCAGACCCATGGTATGCACACGCATCTGAGGTTCTAGCGCAGCTTCTCTTGCCCATGCCTCTCCTCCTTCGCCGAAGCCAGCATCAGCAGGAATATCGAAACCACCTAGTCCACCATCGTCGTCATCATCGAAGCCCATAACGTTATCCTCATCTAGCAGAATTCCAGAACGGTCGCCTTCTGGTTCCGCATTGTCCTTATCTTGTCTCCAATCTTCTGGAGCTCTGAGGAAAGGGAGATCTAGTGAGCCGCTTGGATCGCCAAGGTCGAGGTTTTTGAGGGAGGGACATATGTCTTGCTCATCTAGCCGTGCCAAGTCAGGGAAGTATTTCGAAGCAAGACCAGATATGTCGATGTCGGCGTTCCGCTCTTCCTCAGGTTGGGCTTCCGGTATTTCTGATGTTTCGAGAGCGAGGCTTTCTTCGCGCTCTTCGGCAGACGCGTCCTGGACATCGTCACTGCTGTCAAAGACTATCCGCCCCTTAGAATCAATAGCGAGGTGGTTGAGAAGAAGTCCCTTCGCACCACCCTCGTCGAAATCCGCGGAAGCCTTCTTGAATAGAGGATCTACCGAGAACTCCAATTCCATCTTTTTCAATTGCAACTGGGCGAACCCCGTAGCAAGAGTAGCCTCCGACGACCTCTGTGCCCGCTTCTTCCTCTTTTTTGTGCCGTCTTCGTTCTCCTCTTCGTCGTCATCACCCTCAACCTCCCCATCCTGGTCTGCGTTATCCCCGTGCTTTTTCTTGTTCCCGCTGTCTGCCAGACCACTCAACAGCTTGCCCGTCTCGGTTGCGACGCTGTCTACTCGACTGGTATAGATCTTGACGCAGCCGTCCAATGTGCAACTGGCGCGCTGGAAATTGACGCCGTCCCCCTCTTTGAGTAGCGACATGTCGTGGAAATAATCAATGAGCGCAAAGTTCCAGGAATTCGCTGCATTGATTTTCTAGCACCACTATTAGCCCTCGCGATCTGGTCTGGACCTGACAAGCCTTGGGTATTTACGTTGTCCGTTGCCATCTTCATCCACTCCTCAAAGTTTGCGAGTATTGGCCCGCGCTTCATGGGAGTTACAGCATTTCCGCCAACACGTGGCATCCGGTTTTCATCGTCCAAAGGTGTGTGCGGACTGCCGCCCGCAGCCAGGGAGAGTCTCTTCCGAATCGGGGTCGCGGCGGCTTTGATCGAATTGAGCTGCGCTTCGTGGAGCACCTGCCGCGAGTGCATGCGGTTCGCTTTCTCCTGTCGGTCATCGTTGAGGGGAATTCTGCGAGTTTGTTTAGTGGACAAGATAGCCTGGCTCGGGGGACGAGAAGCTCACTTCATGGGCGACTTGTGTGGCGTGGCGGCCACGGAATATCTGTCGCGTGCTCGCGGCATGGGTACGCGGTGTATGTTCTGTCTGAATGATATGTAGAGGCTCCAGAAGGGTGTGGGTGGTGGCGTGGGAGCTGTCAACACAGCGTAAACAAACTCTCCGCGTATTCGCGCTAGTAGATATATCACGTGACTCTTATGCTGGCAGTCTGCCTCCAAATCACGCCAAGCCTCGCTCTAACTTTGGCCATGGTAACTGACTGCGCGGGACTTCATGGTCTCCATCCTTAATCTAAGCAGAAGCCGTTCTTGTATTTTCTATTATCGTTTTCCTTGCGTGATTGTCTATTAGAGGTCACCTCTCCCCATACAGTACAAGGGTAGTGCCCGGGCCTTCCAAGACTGTTCTTGCTTGCCGCGCTTCGGATGTTTCGTCACGCTATCGGCCTGACGTACTACGCAGTATTTACCTGCTGGCCATGCATCCTCCTCACCCTATGCCCTTTGCGCCCGTTTGATTCTCTGTTCACATTCCTTACTCCATGATGCCACTATGAGGCGCCTCTCCAATTCGGTACCTTCCTTGCGCGGACCAGCTACCACCTCGACGCTCCGGCGCCGGAAGTACTCTGCACGACCGTTTGTGCTCAGTATACTAGCTATTGTAACCCTCACTCTCCTGAGCGTTGCCGCGCATAGATGGGATCGCAATACTGGCCTTCGTGGCCGTAGCACGCTTCAATCGCGACAGCTTGCGCTCCTGTCTCCAGACAACGAAGAAGTAGAGTCCTCCAATGCGCTCCGGTAGAGACCAAAGCTAATTAAGCTTCAATCATAGTGCCGCCTAGTACACGATGCCCCCAATCAATGCGACTTCGTGAGAGCAAACTGCCCCGATGAAGAGGCTGGAGTCATCTCGTACCTTACTCTTTACTACTGCCGCCTTCCGAACTTGAAACCCCTCACATTTATAATCCTTATCCTATGGCTCTCTCTGCTCTTCAGCACAATTGGAATCGCCGCGAGCGATTTCTTCTGTGTCAATCTCAGCACAATCTCATCCCTCCTTGGCATGAGCGAGAGCATGGCCGGCGTCACTTTCCTAGCTTTTGGGAATGGAAGTCCAGACGTCTTCTCCACTTTTGCGGCAATGAGTACAAATAGCGGCAGTCTAGCAGTAGGGGAGCTGATGGGCGCCGCGGGCTTCATAACGGCGGTCGTCGCGGGGTCTATGGCCTTGGTCAGGCCCTTCAAAGTTGCACGGAGAAGCTTCGTTCGCGATGTTGGTTTCTTCATTGTCGCTGCAAGCTTCAGCATGGTTTTTCTCTGGGACGGCAAGCTTTATTTCTGGGAGTGTGCCACGATGGTTGCGTTCTACGTGTTTTATGTGATCACAGTCATGGTGTGGCACTGGTGGCTCGGCAGGAGACGGGCACGCAGGCAACGGACTGCTACGATGAGAAGTCAATATGTTCTCCCTGGAGGAGACGAGGAAGAGGTGTACCAAGCATACCAGGACGACGAAGATGGACCGGCTGGCGACGCCCGCACACCTCAGCGCGGACTCTCGGCGGACGACTTTTCCGCACTGGAGCGTGCTGATGAGGAAGACCTCTTAGATATTGATGACGATGACGGAGAAGAAGTCCGCGAAAGATGGCTTGGGGAATTGAACAGTAATATGCGACTGAGCAGGCCGCGTATAGGCGAGCGTCGTAACACACAACAGCCAATTCGACCAAGCTTGGTGGGCGTATTGGAGTTTCGCGCTGTGCTGTCCTCGCTGAAGAAGTCTAGGAACATCCAATCTATCCCAATACACCTTCGACGATACTCAGACGATCCTACTTTCACTACTGCGCAGCAACAGGACCTCCTATCCACACCCTCGGGCCCAGCCTCACGTCCGCCATACGCAGTAACACACGTGAACTCAGACGAGTCCCCTGGAGTTTCTAGACCGAGTGCAGCGACAAGGAACGCCGGCGTGCATCGTGCTCGAGCTGTCTCTACAAATGACGTTGACACGGCTCTCCTGGATCCCAGTACTCTTCAACGAGGAGCTGTACCGAGTATTGACCTCCTCGGACCGTTGCATGAAGACGATAGAGGTTCAACACATTCAAACGTCGATCGGGCCCCATCACCAAGCTTTTCCATCTCCCCACCGCCATCTAACCATGGATCGCAAGCTACGAGTCCAGCACCCCCACAAGTGATGGTCTCGTCACCAAATTCTTTGGCACCGCCTGCTCCTGGTGCCCCCGGGCCTCCGCCAATACGGCTTAGCGTTCCTAGCGCTTCGTCGCCAGATCCTAATTTACATCCTGGGCCTCGCCCTTACCCTAAGCTTAATATACCAGGAGCGTCACCGCCATCTCCATTTCCCGCGTACTACGACCGTTCGCCTTCAAGTTACACTTCCTCTAGAGCACCTAGCTTACGACTACCACCAGCTAGCCTCTCTCCTGAGTCAATATTCCACCATTATGATTTCGTACATCCAGATCAAGACGAGAAGCCTTTGAAATGGTGGCCCTACAAAGTGCTACCTCCACCGCAGGTCCTCATCTCTACTCTATTCCCGACGCTGTATAATTGGTCCGACAAAAACATATGGGAAAGGTTCTTAGGTGTTATTGCAGCGCCTAGCGTGTTTCTTCTAACAATCACCTTGCCTGTGGTCGAAGCGGAGAGGGACGAGGAAAACACTGCGGGTCCCCCAAACCTTAGTTTACCACACAGCGCGACGTCAACGACTGGAAACGGTGCTAGCTTCAGCCGAAGCACTATCACAATCCTACCGCCCGACAACCCAGAATCAACTGATGCGGCTATACTCAACGGCGAAGGTCATAGTCTTGACTCTACCGGAGGCCGAAAGAGTAGCAAGGGTCAAGCAAAGCAAGGAGATTCTATTGAGTCAACAGAGCAACACAATCTGCACCTCCATCATGCTGAACCAGTGCTTCTCTCTCCTACCAACCCTCGCATACTGCAATCTCCCGAGCAACTGCCAATGAACGACAACACTCCGCCTGAGCCAAAGCAGTGGAACCGTTGGCTGGTTATCTTACAAGCATTCACAGCTCCTTACTTCATTGTGCTGATTGTCTGGGCCAACACATCCCTTGACTCACCTCGGGCTCTTGTGATGCCAACGCTATACTCCCTCATTGTCTCATTGGTTCTGCTTGCTATCATCCTTACTACAACAACACCAACCCGGCCACCACGATGGAGAGTGGTGCTCTGTTTTCTGGGATTCGCGGTAGCTATATCCTGGATCAGCAGTATTGCCAACGAGGTGGTGGGCGTTCTCAAGACACTGGGTGTGGTCCTCAACATGAGCGATGCGATCCTGGGGCTCACCATCTTCGCCGTGGGCAACTCGCTCGGCGATCTCGTGGCGGACATCACAGTGGCGCGACTCGGATTCCCGGTGATGGCGCTCTCAGCGTGTTTCGGGGGCCCGATGCTCAACATTCTTCTGGGCATTGGGATCAGCGGGTGCTACATAACGCTCAAAGGCGGGCAGCACGACCAGAAGAAGCATCCCGGCCACCCGCTGAAGATGAAGCCGTTCCATGTGGACGTCAGCACCACGCTGGTGATTTCTGGAGCGACGCTTCTGGTCACTTTGGTGGGCCTCTTGGTGGCCGTCCCGTTACGGAAGTGGAAGATGGACAAGATGATTGGGTGGGGGCTGGTTATCTTATGGGCGCTCAGCACGCTGGGGAATGTCATGGTAGAGATCTTTGGCTGGGGCTACGACAGCTAAAGAAACAATGCAGTGATTCTTGCTTTTGGGGGACTGCACGGTGAATTGGATATACCCTTCGCAGGCGTTTGTGGTGGCTTTTCATAGCGCGTACACATACATACAGGGGTGGTCCTGGGCTTAGGCCAGCCAGTATATAGGGAATGCCAGCTAATGGCGATGAGCTGTTCCCGCTTCGACGGCTAGAGTGAGGCGGAGAAGGTTCCAGTGCCACACACGTGTATGCTCTGGTCGAGAGACCGTCCCGGGTCGCGCAATTCTATTCGACAGCAAGCTACCACGGCCGCGGATGCACAGCGAGATTGGGCGTCAAAATCGGGCTCTGTCATGGAGCCTCTTGAGGCATCCCACAGCTGCAGCCCGATTGGTGTCTCCACTGCCACGTCGGCAGGGACAGCGCGCGGCCCGAAAAACTGCTGAAAATACTTCGTAGACAACCGATGACTCTACCGACTTTCGAGGGTATTACGAGGGCATAAATATCAATGAGGAGGGCTAGAAAGGCTCGCTCTTTAGATATCAACACATCCTGACTCTGCTATCGTTCCTGGCCTGCATATCGCATCCACACGACCGCTTTTTCTGCACGTCTTGCTGCCAGCCTACCCCAATGTTGCACTCAGGGAAGAAGATTTACTTTCAATTGATTCGCCGCAAGCGTAGGCCCTGAAGTCAGCCCTGGAGCTCTCGGCCCTTGCTTGTTGACTTGCCCGCGCATATTTCGTCGCCCACACAACCTTGGAATCAACAACTCGGCGTCCTACAACACTCCCACAGCACCCTTCGTGCCGTCCTCAAACATCACTCCCACATCCAGCCCCAGCCGGACCGGACTGCCTGTTCCTCTGCAGCCGCATTGCGGGCTTGTTTGACTAGAATATTCGACACGCAGGGTTGTCCCAGTCAGCCGCCCCCATCTCTCACGCCCAATTGCTGCTGGCAGTCGTCATTCAAGCTGCATCCCTCAGACCCGCGTCTCTCGCCGCCCAAGGTCTATTCCCAGGTCCACTCCAAGGTCCACCAGCTGTGTCTGTCACCCCGGACCGCTCTCCAGTAGCAGGTCAGACCTAACGGGCCGCCTCAATCGATAACGATCGCAATTTTGCCCCTCGCCAGCCGCTGCCTCACACCCTCCACACCCTCGGCGCCCTCCATACACGTCGCGCGTGAGACAGCGATCACCCGCCTTGCCGCAACCCAATTGCTCTCGAGACAGCACCCCCCCTATCGGACTACGCCTTTCCCGCTTCTCAAATAGCCCCGAGCCTCTCCCCGCGCCCGAGTGAGCCCTACCTACTCTCTCACAACACGACGCTGTTTCGAACACACAACAGACTACTCACCCTGCAGTCCCGCGCTGCGCCCCTCCACACCAACACTGGCCCGCGCCGCCAGTGCAGCCCTCCCTCGAGTACAGTCGTCTCACTCAAGGTTATCGCACCTCGCCCTCTCTGGTAGAAAGGGTCGAGTGCGATAATTCCTTGCACCACTCAGCCCCATGCCGTTAGTCGTTGCCCTTCCTAACCGTCCGCCTGCTTCTCGCGCTGCTTCTCGTCCTGCCTCACGTCCTGCTTTGAATCCCCGGCGGTCGCTTTCGCGCCGTTCTCCTGTTTCGCGCCGCGCCGCCTCCACTTCCTCTCGTGCCAGCGCGCCCTCCACCACTGTTATTACCTCCACCATGGGCCAAGGCAATACTGACGTCTTGCTATCCTTTAGGAGAAACATCACAGTCAACCACTCGACTGGCTCCGAGCAGAATTCCTATTCCGACGAGGAAGATTCCTCTGGCGTCCAGGTGTCGGCGCATTCTGGTAGCCACGAAGACGAATACACGGACTCAGCCGAGGAGGAAGAGGAAGAAGGGTGGGACTATATAGACGACGAGATCGAACCGTCCGACTCTGCCTCGCGTCCACGAGCACCGCCAAAGCACCGCTCCGTCCCGCAGCCCGCGCCTCGTCCCCCGCCTGCACCCCGTGCCCGATCCCATCGTGCTCCCGCCCGCGACCCACCTGTTCGCCATAGGTCCTCCAGGTCCTCAAGCAGACATCCCCGAGAGAAGGAGCCAAGGCAGCGACGACGGCGGCCCGAGTCCGTCCACTCAGACAGCCTGGACGAGCACGACGACTATCCGGGCTACGCCCGTGGCGGGCACCAGCCTCATCCAAGCCAGCAATGGGGTCACGTTCCGCATCAACCGCCTGCCAGCGGCTATGCGCCCAGTGTGATGTCGGGTGTTCCTCCATACAACCCCTTCACTAATGGAATGGCACCGCCAGGCAACTCGTTGGTTCCGTTCTCTCAGGGGGGCGATCCTTACGGCGGCTACCCCCAGAACCCGTTTGCATCGCCGCCGCCTCTTGGACCTAATGGAAATCCATTCGCTCCAGCTGGCGCTGGCGCACCCGGTGGATACTTTCCTCCTCCAGACGGACAGCGCCCAGGCAGAGGAGCGCACCGGAACTCGATGCCTCCAATGCCTCCTGGAGGTGAGATGATGCCTTTCGGCGCCAATGGCTACTATCCCTACGGTGCTCCGCCTTACGGAATGCCTCCTGGAATGCCTGGAATGCCTGGCATGCCTGGCATGCCCGGCATGATCAACGGAATGCCCAATCCGTACTACTACCAGCAGCCACCCACCCACACGCCCACGCCACCCCCGAAACGATCCACGCCAGGAGCAGAAGCTCCCCCTCCTCCACCACCACCTCCTCCGCCGCCGCCGCCGCCACCACCACCGCCACCGCCACCGCCACCTCCACCACCCGGTCCACCAGAGCCCACCCCAGACGATGTCCGACTTTTGAAACTTGAAAGGATGCTTCTGGGCCAACGCGACGAAGAGGACAAAAAGGCCGAGGACCAGCGATTCAATAAGCTAGAACAGCTTCTCATCGCTCAGCATGAAGCTCGTGTTCAAAAAGAAGCAGATAAAAAGAAGGCTGCCGCGGAAGCTGCCGCGAAAGCTGCAGAGGCCAAAAAGAAAGGGGATGAAGACAAATTGGCGAAATTGGAGAAGCTCATTCTCGCTCAGAAAGATGAACAGTTGAAGAGGGAAGCGGCAGCTGAAGCGGCACGCAATGCCGAGAAGGCGGAGGCCGAATCAAAGGCAGCGAAGGATGCAGCTGACAAGCAAGCTGCTGCGGAAGCTGCAGCGAAGCTCCTGGAAGCAGCGAAAAAGGCTCGTGAAGAAGCCGAAGCCAAAGCCGCGAAGGAAGCGGAGGAAACAAAGGCGGCGCACGAAAAGGCACTTGCTGAGGCGAAAGCTGCTGCAGAGGAGCTTGAGAAGGGTAAGAAAGCGGCGGAAGAGCAGGCAGAAGCGATGAAGCCAAAGCCGGAAGCAGCCAAGCCCCCGATCAAGTTCAAAGACGCTGTTGGCCGTAAATTCAGCTTCCCATGGCATTTGTGCAAAACCTGGAAGGTAAGTCTTAGCCTCCAGCTTCATACCTTACTCGCATCCGTTACTAACTTCAATCTTACAGGGAATGGAGGAATTGATCAAACAAGCCTTTCTCCATGTGGATGTGATCGGCCCGCATGTTCACGATGGCCACTACGATCTTGTAGGCCCTGATGGCGAGATCATCCTTCCCCAAGTCTGGGAGACCATGATCCAACCCGACTGGGCGATTACGATGCATATGTGGCCGATGCCAGAGCCGCCACCACCTCCTCCGCCTCCACCACCTCCCCCAGAGCCTCAACATCACGGGCACCACTTCGATCCTAATATGGTCATGCTTCCACCGCAACGTGTGAAGAAACCATCCAAGGGCGGCAAGGCCGATAAAGCCAGCCGACACCACGGCATGCCCACTGGCATGGGAATGGCCCCTCCACCCCCACCTCCTCCACCTCCCCCGCCACCCCCCATGGGAGGACCCGACGTCGTCATCATCGATGGGCCTGGGCCTCCTCCGCCACCGCCTCCCCCGCCCATGCCGGGTCCAGACATGGTTGTCGTCAACCACCATCCGTCGCGGAAAAAGAAACCAGCGCCTTTACCGCCGTTGCTCAGGTGGACGGCCGGCGGCGCGGGTCGCAGCCAGTCTTTAAAAGGGGTAAAAAAACCTGATGGCTCTAGTTCTACCGCTTCTACACCTTCACCTCCTGCTAATGCGCAGAGTGGGTGCATCGTTATGTGATCGAACTGCCTGTTGACTATCTTGTCTAGGGCTACCCGTATGCGTATCAGTATCAGGAGAATTGGTGGCCGTAGCAGAGACGAATCGGATGCTAGGCGTACGAAAACGAGGAGAAAAAGAGCAGTCGCTGATTGACGGTGTGGGACAAGACAAATTGGAGTCGCTGGGAGGCATCACCGTGCTCGGGCGGTGGTCTCTTTTATGTTTCGGAAACTCTTTCTTCGGATCGTCTCTTTTCCCACACTTTGGTCTGGTTTGGCGGCTGTTCTCCTTTCTTGGTGCCTGGTTTTCTATTCTTCTTTTTGCGACCACTGTTCTATGCGCCTTTGGGTGCCCATAGCACTATTGTTGATGGTTTCGAAGTTCATTTCATAGCGAGCTGAAGCGGATGGATGAGTCGTCAGGGGGCATGGTTTTATCCCGCTTAGCGGGTCTTTCATGCCCCAGGGGAGGGGTTGTGGTTGTTGGATCTCTTTTTTTTTGCAAGCGTACGAAGCGGATGTTTTCATGGTTGTGCTGTTTCATTTGTGCGTTTCGGTTTGTTTAGCGCGCGTGTCTTTACTGACGCAACGATTGAGATGTTGAGATGAAGTTTTGATTTTCGCTATTCTTCACGTCCGTTTTTTCTTTCTTTCTTGAGGCGAGCAATTTTGGATCAGGGATGGATCAGCTGAGCCTGCAGCTAGTCGCGAACGAATTGGTTTCGTTGTTGGGGGTTTCTAGGGAATGGAATCGGGGATTGCTGGGGACGGCGTAGGGATCTTTTTACACCGGGGTCGGTCCTCAAAAGTTTCAGATACCCGGCAGAAGAGGGAGAAAATGCGACGGTGAATGGGGCAGATGATGTTTGTGGATCTTTTGAGTGCTTTTTCTTTTCATGGGATTAGGGTATTAGATATCAAGGCCAGGCGTCTGGATCAACTCTACTGTTGTCTTTTTTATGTGGTGATTGTGGTGTTTCATGGGGGAGAGTGGTGAAGGTGGTGAGTGAGAGGTGTGTTTCCTTGTTGTCGTTTCTCTTTTGGTACGGTAGGGATGGAAAAAGGTAGGAAAGCAAAAGTTACTTCCCAGCTCAACTACGATTGTTTGCTCCCACCAATCTGTCTATTTCGTCGCGCGAATAAGTGTCGTCTTCACTCTCGATAAGCCCTCTGCCTCCTTCACACCGCCCCTCCTTACCTCCCCACCTTAATCCATTGCATTCTGAAGAGCACACAGCTGGTTTTTTTTTCCAGGGTCGGAACGTTCCTAAAAAAGGACATTAGAACGCGTAAGATGGTAGCCTCTCTCAGCTTTTCTAAGCCCAACGTTCCACCGTCGCCCCATGAAACCATGTTTCAACCTCCTTAGCACCATCATCAAGCAAGTCAAATAAGCCCTTGGTCTCTGTCCCTGCGCTAGTGTTATCAAGACCGTTCTCTCACGGCTCGAACGAGGCTCGATCTGATTCGTTCTGTTCCACTACTGCGGCCTCTATTTTTCACAGGCCGTAGCCGCCTTAGCTCCATGAGCTTATACTTCAAATAATCTTCCGTGGAAATAAGGGTCCCCTACAGGGATTAGTAGAGGCGGGATACTGTTGCGGGGCTTCGGCGATGGTATGATTACTGCTATATACTAAAGATTGTAAGATATTAGCCGTACTTTCGTACCTTCCTTTCTCCGAGAGTATATTCACTCAAATCCGTCTGTACCACAATCCAATCCACTCACTCACCTCCCGTCCATTCGTCAAGCCGCTCGTGCTTCCCAAAGTCTTCGCTAGCACCCGCACTAAATCTGTTTCGGGCTGACTTATAAAGGTATATATCCAGTTCAATTCTTCGGCACCTCACCAATTCAAACCATGGGTGGACCAGCCAGACCATATAGTGCGCAAGTGCACACTGCGGTGATCTCGACTTGGGGCCTAGGTTGTGGGGTTCCCCGTCTTGGGTTGAAATCTCGGTCGACCTTTTCTTGAGGGGGGCTTCCTTTTATCCTAGGGTGTTATTGATAAGACATACCCCTTTCATCACGTGGTAGTCCGGGGGTCACTTCCTCTGTCCTCCACAGATTTTCAATTTTTTTGGTTGGACCGATTAGGAAATCCACGAAGTGGAGTTACTTGCGTGTCTTCTAGCACGCGGTGTTGCGTCCTCTGTCCTCGATACTTTTCCGAGCTCTTGGTTGAGCGGAAGAGGAAATCCACACAGCGTGGTTACTTTCGTGCTTCAAAGCACGCGGCGTTGCTTTCTCTATCCTCAGCACTTTTTCCGAAGCTCCATCCAAAATAGGTAATACGCTCGGCGTAGCTTAGAAGTCGCTTCAGCCTCTGAACCGTATGCCGGTTGATAAATCTATGCTCTTCACTTCTTAGAGCTGGTGGCCGGATAGTTAAAGAGATCGTTGCAGAGACGTCGTCACACAGAGCCCGCACATCTTCAAGCCCTTGAAATCCATCATGAACATTGATTCAAGGGTATCATAACTTACGTCCTCATCAACGCATCAAAAAAAAAAAAAAAAGCCGCTCTGCTCAACGCACCCACTCCATGCCAAACCCATCCCTCATAGCAGCAAACCCACCACAACACCCAACCCCCCAACCCACCAGACCCTCTCCCCTGCCCGCAGCCTCCCCGCGCCCCCACAAACACCCCCCTGCGGACACTTCCCCCCCGTCACCGTCTTCACCTGCTTCTGCACATTCTGCTTAAACGCCCCAATCACATTGCCCGGCGGGTAGTACTCGCACACGACGAACCAACCCGGCGCGGCCTTGGCGCCCGTCTTCCCGGAGCAGTCGGTCCGCGAGCAGCCGACCGTCGTGGACGCCTTCCACACCAGCTGCGTGAAATGGCCCGTCTGCTCCGAGAACTGGGCCTTGCCGAAGTCGTAGTGGGCGCGCTCGTTGCCCCAGGCCTCGATCGAGGCGGTGGCGTTGGGGTAGCCGGACGCGAGGTTCTCGCCCGAGGGACCGCCCTGAGGGGGTGCGTGTGTAAGTATCGAAGTATCAAAGTAAGAAGGGATGTTGGGAGAGATGAGGCGATGGCGTGGCTTTGCACGTGATGGCAAAGAGACGAAATTGGGCATTGACATGGTGGAAAAGGCATCTTGAGAATAGGTGATAAAGAGGTAGGGAAAAGAGAGAGAGACTCACCGAATGCTCAAACACACACGCACCGCCCCATTTTGCCGCGAAGGTCGCGAGCGAGTTGTTCCAGGTCAGGGCGCTCGCGTTGTGCTGCGCGCGGTACGTGTTTGTGCTGTTTAGCACCGCTTTCTTGAAATCGTTCGCGTCGCTGTACTCGGTCGAGGTGCTGGGCGAGGCGGAGGCGGTTACGGTGACGACGGAGGGTTTTGCAGGGGTGGCGGCGGCGAGAGCGAGGCTGAGGAGAGAGATGGGGAGGAGGAAGAATGGGGAGCGCATTTTGGGAAGACCAGATTTGTGATATGTAGAGAGGCAGTTGCTTTTGGTCAATTGCGAAAAGGTGAGAATGAGGTTGTACTGGAACGGTTCATGAGGAAGCTGCAAGTTAGTAGAAAATCAGCTTGTGACTTGAACTATCGTATTTGTTTAACAGCGGGCTCTTTTCTGAGCGCCATAGGCCGTGGATGGCACGGTTGGTCAAGGATGGTAGCCTTGTTTCGGGAGTCTTTGTCCTTGCGGAACGGCTCGTCGTGAGTGATTTGACTCGTCGTCAGGGTTGGCGGCTAAATGACGTAGTGCTTGCTGCACTCGGCTTAGCGCCTTTGTTTGGTAGGCTGTCGTACCTCCAGATTGCTTATGATCACGTGATACTAGCGAGGTCCAGCCGTGCCAGTCCGTGGAGGCAAAAATAAGGTGAATAGCAACGAACCATGGGATGTGATGTTCTAGCCACACTCTCTGGACTCGACACTTTCCCCGTTTCCAAATTAGGAGACTCGTCGGGTTCTGTGCACGCTTCCAGCCCACCAAAAGTGTAGCCTTCACTTTTTTTGAAATCCGTTCCAAGCATTTTTGACGGCATTAAGAACGTGTCAGAAGTATAGAAGAATCGGTCACAGATATGAGTCGTAGAAGTTATTCCCATAAAGCAAGCCTCGCGTCAAAGATGAATTCCCAAGATGGCCACTCATGCATGAATCACAGCGAGCTGAAACACATAGGTGATGACGATTAGAATCCCATCACGCCTATTCTACCTCGTCCATTTTCCCAATCAAACGATTACTTTCCTTCCCACCGATTCGTCAAGCCACCAGCCCATCCGCGGGAAGTCCGAGTCCATTCATCCACCAACGGGTATCTAAGATATATCTGATGCATCCCATCCATCCATCCATCGAACAAATCCGAGAATCAAACACCCACAAATCCGTGTATCAACCACCCACATCACCTTTATCCACCAAACAAAAGAGAAAAGGGCGTGCATAACATACAGTACACCTTTCCACTACCGCCCCGTGGTAGTAGTCCGGCAAGATTTCAAACCTGTCAAGAAGATGGATTGTAGACCTTCTTGAGATTTACCTACTAGAGTTTCTTTGAAGCATTTTCAAACCGGCGTTAAACAGTGTCAGCAAAGTAATGCCCGAACACTATACGCATTTATCTCCCCAAATACTATCGCCCCCCTCACTCATAGGCCCCCACCGACTCTAGTAGCCAGATAGACCTCCAACGCCCCTTTTTCCTCTCCAGCCGTTTCGTCTGCGCCCTCGCCCTCAGCGCCGCCCTTTAGCTGGCACGGACACTTGTTAAGCCGCCCACCACTCTTCAGCACAGCCATGAGCGCGGCTTCGAGGAGGCGGTTCTCGCGCTGTAGCGCCTCCATCTGGGCTTCCTGTAGTTGGTCACGGGTCTGCGGTCCGATTGCGGTGCTGGCGCAGGAGGCGCGCGAGGGGGTGTGGCGGTGGTTGCGAAGGTGCCTGTTGGTCGGAATCGCTGTGCCAACATCGGTAGAGGTTGAAGGCAGATTTGCGGGCGCAGAGAAGTGGCGCAATCCTGATCTCTCTTTGACGGCCGGAGCCACGGGTATGCTTTCTGCACTCGATTCTACAGGTTCGTGGGTTGCAATTATGCTGGACTGTGGCGTTTGGTGATCGCGTAGGATAAGCCGTGCCGGCTTTTTGGTGGGCTTGGACTTCGTCACTGGAATCTGCTCGGCGACGAGCATGATCGGGGTGAGGGTGAGGCTCATGCGACTCGAGGTAGGTGTGTACCCAGTGGTGAAACCCGGCGTGGGTGCTGTAGAGACTGTGTCGATTGAGATGTGACGCGAATGGCCATCACCCAGAACTCTGCTGTCGAGTGATGAGCGGACTGTTGAAAGCTCTGATACAGGTCGCTCCGGTTCCTCGACGATCTTGCTTGGGGACGGCTCCGAATGCCTCTCCTGCACGGGAGACATCTGTTGAGTGCTCATAGATTCAGGTGATGTTGGCGACTCAACCCCTCTGCCAACGACTTCGTCGATGTTGCTCTTGATGCGTTGCATATCACGCAACTTGCGAGCCCGGATCCGTTCCTCCCGGCTCTTTCGTGTGGAGTCCTTTGCTCCGAGGCCAAACTCGCTGGGATCACGTTGGCATAATTGGCCGACGCCGGAGTCCTCTCTAGTACGGATGGTGTCATTCACATCATCCTTTGGTGGAGGTTCTGGCTGTTCATCGGCGTCTTTGACTGAAGGTCTGTGCAAGCCTTGACCAGCAAGACGCTCTTTGCCTCGCTCAAGTGATACGCGAGTCTCTTCTGACGGGGGCCGAGGGAACTCGGGTAATTCGACGCTGTCGCTATCACTCTCAGGGCTCTGATCTTCACATGCAGCCTCAGGCATACCCGCGGCGGACTGCCTGGTCGAAGGTGGATTACTGAAGAGGGCAGCTTTCAGGTCTGGGGGTAGTGACTGCAAGTTGCTGGTACTTGATTCTTCAAGGTTAGTAGAAGCCTGATCTGGTTTTGAGCGATTTTGGCTTATTGGCGGGTCGTGCGTGGCGTCCTCATGTGCCACAGTGGTCAATTCACCTTCATGGTGACGTATCTCCAAGTGGTCGTGCTGCTTGATTAATCTCACTGCCTTGCTCATGTCGTGATCACACTTGACATCGTCTTCGCCTTGCTTCTGCAGATTGAAAGATAACCAAGACTCAAGCACATCGGTGTCTGGTGTGTCCGTTCGATCCGAGAAAGCGACTGAATGCTTCTTCTGGCTATCGTTGCTAGAAATCATGTCAACCATGTATCGAGGGCCGAAAGCGAAGATTGAGACTTACTTCGTTGGGATATCAAGATGTGAGGTCATTGACTTGTCATCGGTCACTATCTGGAGATACTTCTTGCCTGGATTGATGTAAGCAAGGGGTATGTGACCAAGTACATTAATTGCCTCATACCGTCACGGGAGACTTTCTGTACCACTCCCTCAGGTGGGACAAAGGACTTGGGGAAGAGCACATCTCTTTCGTCAGGCCTATGATAGTAAGTCACGTGTACATTTATGTCCAGCGGAACTACTCACCCCTCAGTCGATCCGATCTTTGAGGCTAGACTCCTTCTCGTCACTCGCAAGAACCTCAAAGGGCTCTTGTGTTTACTCTTCCTCCGCGCCACCGCGTCCTCTTTAGTTGGATGGGTAGACGCTCCACCTGAATAATTAGGTGGATTCGTATTCTTCAAAAAGAAGGCGAGATCGTAAGTGTTATTGGGCATGGGCAATGAAGCCTGGCGCTGTAGATGAGGAGATAGGATTGGCGGGGCCTTCATGTTCAAATAATTCAGCGAATGTGAAGTGTGCAGACGATCGGTGGCTGAGCTATGACCGCGCTCAGAGTCGGCAGATAGGTCGTTGTCGTAAGGCGAGTACTCCCCAGCGACGGCGCACTCAAAGTCGGCAGAATCGGTCGAGTTCCAGAAACGTGGGCGTGGAGAAGAGACCGAGGTCGAGTGGCCGGTGTCTGTGGTACTCAAGCTTTGGTTGTGATATTTGGATTGGAAGTAGTCTGAGGCGTCCTCGTTGCCTTCTAGAGGACTCGAGGGACGGTCGTAGTCCTCGTTGTCGAGGTCAGGGGGTGTGTTGGAGCTGTATCCGTTGGCGGAGGTTGATCGGAACTGTGAGGGAGCGTCGAAGTCTTCAAAAGGGTCATAGTCAAGGGAAGAAAGTTGAGGCAAGGCATGCGCCTCGTCGGGAAGATCTGGTAGGCTTTTGGTATCCATTTTGAGAGCGCGGGGGGTATGGTTCAAGAATAGCGGGTGGCGGGGCGTGTAGCGAACGGGATGTTGCATGGGCTCCTTTTCTGAACGCCCGCGCGGAAACGGTCTGGTACCAAACTTTTGTTCTCGTAGTGCAGCTGAAGGATCGGGACGGAGGGCGAGAAGCGCGGTTTGAACGTGCTAACTCGGAGCCGGCGTACAGGCTCCTGCCCTGAATATATGAGTGCCGGATCGATTGTGCTGCCTCGTTGTCGTCGAGACGGAGACAGAAGCGGCGCGCGCTGCTTCAGCCCAATGGTCCACAGCTTGCGGCTGGGTAGCGTGAGGGCTCGAGAGTCCGTGGAGGAGCGGCGTGAGACAGGGCCGAGCTGTATGCGGTCGAGGTCAAATGCGGCCCATGTCAGACTGAAGCCCGGCACGCTGGTCGCATCGTCTTGTGATGAGGCGCGCGATGGAACGGCAGACGCACCCACTGGCGGCGCGGTGCAACGTGGGCGTGAGGAAGGCAGTGGGCGTGAGGGAGGCAGTGGCCGTGGTTGAGGATGAGGATGGTAGCACAGTGGACGGCTATTGGCTGGCGGGGCTCGAGTGCTCGTCTAGCGTGCCGGGTCTGTACGGTATGGCTCATGCGGTGGCTAGGAGATGCACGTCGTGGACTCGACACGGGGGAGCAATGGGTGCAGCAAAGGAGGGCAGCTGCAGGTACTGGGCGAGAGAGGGCGGGTGAGGTGTTGAGGATTGGGGAGGCTGCTGGGAGAGACGTGACGACGGGCCAGTCGTGAAGAGAGCTCGCGTGGAGCAAAATTCACCGCACGGGCGTGCAGGTGGCTTGTCTCAACGGCGTGAATCGGCCGCCATCTCACGGCCTCGCCCATCACTTTGCTTTTTTGGTTTCGTCCTCGCCTGGCGTTCAGCACGGCCGGTGTGCCTGTGGACCCCCAGCTTCGTGCGGCCCAGCCGCCGTGCTACTGGGAGCAGTGGAACGGCAGCCAGCCACGATGCGCCCTGTGATCACGCCCCCGGCCCCCAATTCACTGCCGCGAGGCCGTTGCACCGTAGAGCGCGAGGGGCGGCCGTGGGGAGTCCTCGTTGCGGCATCCCGTGCCTGTTGAGACGTCTGGACAACGGCGTGATGGCGACGGCGATAGCATCACCATCCCCACTCTGTCCACCATGATCATCACCACCTGCAGCTGCATCACAGCACCAGGACCGCTAGGGCGCCACACGATGGGGCCTCGAGGGGCATGCCCAGGGCAAAGACAGTCTCACCTCCTCTCCACCGAGCACGCTACCTGCTTCTGCCACTCATTTTGCTGCTCAGCTAGACATGCACAGAAAAGCCACCACCTCACGCACTACGCACCACGCAGCCAGCCGCCGCCACACCCTCCAATTTAAACATGCAGAAGACGCTCGATAGCCCAAGAAACTCATGCCCAGGATCCCCCAAGAATGCAGCCCCAACCCCCGTGGAAATGCTGCTTCAATCGCACGAGAAACTCCACGCTCCCTCTTGTGGCTGCGCTATGTATGTCGAGTCGTGCCCATGTTTGGATAGACACGCCCGAAATGCAGATGTGCAATACCGTGCACCCCCCATGCCCGGACCCCATGCCTATGACCCGCCCGCTGACTCGCACCCCTCCACTCCCGAGCTTGACATCACACACAGCAGCACCAAGGGCCCCTCTGCAGCCGTGAAAGCGTCGAGAGATGCTGTCCACGAACGCTGCGCTGTCCAGGAGCTTGTCCGCACTCAACCCGGCCTCGGCTTCTTCGTGCGGTCGACTTTGATAAAGGGATCAACCTCCCTTTTGCGCTTCGGGGCGGCGATCCGCGGTCGAGGAGGTGGAGCTGGGTTCGGCTGCCCGCCTGTCGCTTGCTGTCGTCTGCTGTCGTCCCCGGCCTTAGTCAGGGCGCTCGGCGCAGGGACAGCAGGGACAGCCTCTTTCTTCGGGCCGTTGCGGGCGCCACCCGAATGCGGCCTTGGTGTGGACCGTCTACTGCCTTTGCTGGACGCGTTGCCGTCCGCCGACGATATGTCTTTCATATCTACGTCGTCGTCGTCGCTGAAGTCTAGCTTCATTGCGACGTCCTTTTTGACCGCCTCCGCTGTCAAACCAAGCACACTGCCTGACGAGGGCTGCCGAGAGACGCTGTGCTCCTGTCCGTACGAGGGATACCCGGCTGCTCGCGTCTCCTGCTTCACCTGTCCCCCATAGCTGGCATTGCGAGAGGGGCCGGTTGATGCGTTCATGGGCGTACTTGGTTGCCCGTATGCGCCCGCATTCACTGCGCTATTTTTGGCTGGGAACGACGATGAGGGCTTTTGCAGCATCGCCGTGAGGTTACCTTGAGTGTATCTATCCCTGGCCCGCGCATCATTCAGCAGCTTGTTCCAGAACTCGCCACGGCTCAGATTCTGTGCATTGCCAAGCACCCAGAGTGACGACTTCGCGCGTGTCAGGCCGACGTTCATACGCCGGATATCTTGCAAGAATCCAACGCTGCCTTTGGGTGAGGCTCTGACGCAGGAGAAGATGATGATCTCGCTTTCTCGACCTTGGTATGCGTCTGTAGTATTGAACTCAATCGTGTCGAAGATGCCTTCTCCGTACTTCCGAGCGAAGCGATTCTTGAGTTCCCGCAATTGGCTCTTGTATGGTGTGATGATACCGATTTTGCCTGCGAAATCGTAGTTTTTGAAGTCCTTGGTCAGCCGATTGAACAGCTGCATAGCAACGTCGATCTCTGCAATATTGAAGATGGAATGGCCAGACGACGCAGATTGATGCTGGCCTTGGACGTCGAAGAATCGATAGGGCGCGAGCAAACTGCTGCTGTGCCACGGGCGCTGTCGGAGGCCGGCCATGTTGTCGCCGTCGAGCAGTCTCCCATCATAGAAGGTCTGGCTCGGGAACAGGCTAATTTCGGGATGCATACGGTATTGAGTGTCGAGTAGATGAACGTCGTCCTGATGATTGCCTTGCATACGAACGAACAAGCTCTGCTCGTACTGAAAACGTTTGGCTTCGGCCGAGAAGACGGTAGGAGGGAGCTGCTTAGGATCCCCGACCAGAATACACTTCGCACAGCCGTATTTGAGGGGGATGAGCGCACTCATCTCAACACACTGAGCTGCTTCATCGACGACAACGGTTTCGAACTCGATGTTGAGATTCTGGAACATGTCATGACCACTACCGCTAAGTGTGGCGCAAATGATGTCAGCACAGTCCAGAATTTGCTGCTGGGCGCGACGTCGATTCAATTCTTTTTCACGGAACTCAAGCTTCTCGTTGTCCTTTGTGTTGTCGATCTGCGTCCCGAGCTGTGTTTTGCGTCGGCGGAGAGCATTGAAGTCGTCCTTGAGCTTTACAGCATCATCTCCCTTGGCCAAGCCAGCATCCAGCTGTTCACGGACTTGACGTAACTGTTCTGATATGGCTTGGTGTTCCTGGAAGAGCTTTTGCGTCTTTTCCCTGTCATTTGTTCCATTGGACGAATTCAGATTGAGTTTCTTGTTGACGAGTGCCTCAAGCGTCACGTCGACAACATTGGCATTGATAGCATCGCTGCGACCCAACCTCACGATGTTGACCTTGCGAGTCTGCCCGCTGAGAGTTTTGATGCCATCCTTGAAACGCATCACCAATTCGTCAACAGCTGCATTACTAGGGGCACAGACCATCAACTTCTTAGGTGCTGTCTCTGGCGCCCTCTGACCATAGCCACCGCTAACCTTCGGAAGGGGAATCGTGGTTCCTTGCTGCCGAAGGCTATCGGTCAGAATTGCTCCAACGATGGCGACGATCGTCTTGGTTTTTCCAGAACCTGGAGGACCTTGGATCAAAGTGAAGGCATCATTGTCGATAGCAGACTTGATAGCTTTTGCTTGTGCCTTGTTGACATTGTAATTCGTGATGAGTGGCTCCAGCGTTTTGTCGCTGTATTTGAGTAGCGGCGAAGGCTTTGCTTTGATGATCTCGTCACAAAGGTCGTAGTATTCCAGGCCCAGCAGAGCACCATACTCACGTTCGAGAGGCGTAATCGATTGCAACTTGGCGCCAAAAACCGTGCCTTTCGGTACCAGAGCATTCTGTAGCGGGTTCCCGGGCATGACGCGATACACAACCTCAAGATGTTCCTTTTTCCTCGTGATTCGGAAGACTCTGGCTAGGCAATGAGGGTCTTTTGCAGATTCGGTCATGTCTTGGTTTCCCGTAGACACTATCGATCTGTGCAATAGAACAATGTCGCCCTCTGAGAGATTGAGGTCCTTGTTATCCATGTGAGTCATGGTACTACTAACTTCTTGGAACATGTCGACGCTCGAACGTGCCACGACTTTGATCTCGTACATCTTGATATTGTTCTCTTCGCGTGTCTTGACAAACCCTTGCCATGCTTCCAGGGTGAGAAGAGGTTCGAACGTTCGTTGATAATCCACGGGAGTGCGGAATGAGTTCGGTACTTCAGAGTACATGTCTGGCCGGGACTTGGGTGGGTAATGTCCGTCATGGTAATAGTCCCAGGCTAGTATGACCTTGTGCAAAGGCGTTAGATCTGGAGCAAGCCGGGCTCGCATATCCTTAATTGACCGAATAACCCTCCTCTTCTTTACTGGTCCTTGTGGCACTGGAACAGTCGTAATATTCGTCTTGGTGGCGGTGTCCCCTGCAGCCTTCTTCTTCTTCTTCTTCTTATCACCGAGCCCAAAGAGCTCAGCATCAAGAGAATCATCACTATCACTCTCATCTGACGACACCATCATACCCTCTCCCTTAGCAGCATGGTCTTTGCCCAACACGCCAATGCCGTCCAGCCCAGATCCCGCTTCGGCGGTGTGATCTGAATAGCCTCTGATATTCTTTTTAGCTTGTGCTACAGCGAGCGCATCCCTCTTCTTCTTTGCCTCTTTTTCGGCTTCTCGTTTGCGCTTGAACTCGGATTGCTCAGCAGCTTTGCTCGCTGCTTTCTTCTCAGCGGCTTTGAGAGTGGCAGCCGTTTTTGAAGCTTGCCGGGCTTTGAAAGCTTCTGCACCGCGAGTGCTATCGGCAATCAGCCTTGCATGCTCCTCGTTGATAGACCGCGGTTTGGATTCTGGCTTGGTGAGACCAGTGGTAAGCCAGCTGCTTAGTTGCGCCTGTTTCTGGACGATCATGGCCTCTTCAGTCTTCTTGGTCGAACGCCCTATGTACGTCTCAAACGCTTGCTCCAGCTCCGCCTTGCTGATATCGCTCAACTTTGCTCTGGTAGACCCGTCGAGCACGCTCTCCACGTAGAGCACAGCTGGATCATCTACTTCGATAGAGACCTTCTTTAGTCGAGTAAGTAGTTTGCTGATGAGAGACACGGAGATTGTGCTAAGCCAGTCGTCACGCAGCCGCAGCCACTTGGCAATTGATTTTACCGTTTTAGCGGGATGCTCCAGTAGCTCCTTTTCTGGGTTAAATCGGTGGCTGTCGTCTTTAGAAGAAGGCTTGGCGGATCTAAGTGCAGAAGCGAATATACTACATTGGCCAAACAATTGGTCGGCAAATTGCATAGTGTCCCGGCAAAACTCCTTCATTTCCTCTTTGTTGTATCCCATGTTACTCCAATCTTCCGTGGTCCTGAAGATAATTGCCACGGCCAACCACATATTCTCCCAGAGCGTCGTGGTTATCCTGGCCTCCGACTCCGATAGTTTGCGGCTACGGAGAATGCCATCTTGATCATTGCAAAGAACCTCGATGATGTCGCGGCATGCTTTCAACATGCTGGATGCTGGAGCAAATACCCTTTTCCGGAAAATACGTCGAAGAGATGTGGCAAAGCTGGTAATGGAATTGGTAAAAAAGGCTAGAAGCAAATGTTTAATGGCATCTCTTCTTTCATCCATGGAGCTTACGATCTTGAGTAGCTCCAGGGTCGCTTCACGTGTGTCAGGCTGTGAGGAGAAGATTGTGGGGATGACGGCCGACGCAGAAACCGGATTTTCGAAGAGGCCGTCCAACTTCTCAGGGTCAAATTCGCTGAGTCGCTCGACAGCAGCAGTAATCGTTTCTGAGGCATCATCGAAGCGATTATTGAAATGTCTCAAGGCTGATGAAAGCACTTGGACTTGTCCTTCTTTTTGCCTCCTGAAAAATTTCTCTAGCCCGACGAGCGATTTTCCCCCGATCAACAGCCGGATGGCCAGGTCCATGTTCTCAACGTCGATAGCTTTGATAATGGCCTTCCATATCGGGGTTGCTTTGCTTGGCCCGGTAGGTGCCGGTTGTTTGTTGATGATAGCCTCTCTTTCATTCTCCAGCGAGATACATTCCAAATTGAATGCATGCTGTATGACTGAAAGACCCAATCTCACCTCACCTGATGGTGCCTTTACGCCTTCTACCTGCTTGATGCCTGATATTATCTTGTCGATGTGAGTCGCTAACATTTCGAAAACATCAGCGACGATAACCTGACCGACGAAAGGGGCACTAGGATTGCAAAGCTTCCTTAAAGTGTAGTCAAGAACCTCAAGCCCGAGTTTGAAGCAAGATGCCCGGCATGCCCAAGAGAACTTTTCGCCCTGAAGACGACCGAAGAATTGATGGGCCAGCGCACGACAGACGGGGGCAATGTTCGATGGTTTTATGGAATCGAGGAGTGGCATTACCCATGAGAAGGATTCTTCGAGCTCTTCAAGCCCACTCATGTCATCACCTGTGAATCCCATCAGGATTTTTCGTAGTGCTGGGCTCCCGAATATCTGTTCCACAACTACGACTTCCGAGATGGCGCCCATTGCATCCCAGAAGTCTGCCGGAGACTTCTGCAACAAGAGCTCAATTGTGTGCTGCAGGTCGTTGAAGTGCGAAGAATCCAGCGATAGATGGTCTAAGCAGAGTGTGTAGAATTTATACTCGAGAGCACGTAGCCCATGCGTAATGAGATCTTTATCCAGCCTCGCTACGATGAATCTCGCGCCCGTCCAGAACGCGGGGACAAGATCTATTTCCAATGCGTTCATCTGCACGCGTCCCATTGCGTCTTGCAGATACCTACTGACCGCCCAGTCAAACTCAGTCCTCGTGAGAACTCTCTTCAGCTTCGTCCAAGAAAACAAGGCCCAATCTTGGCGAACTGTGTTTGCGGTGAATAGAAATCTTGTCATAGCCGGAACATATGTGTTGAGTCTGACACGCCTCTTGGTTTGTACGAGCTCAAAGGGTTTGTCGAAATGTTTCTCTAAGAGTTCGTCGTTTTCCAGCATAGCAGCACAGCTCAGAGTCTCGAAGAAGGCATATATGCCTTTATTAGTCAAGACATCGATGCCGCGTTTATCTGGTTCCGCACGCAACAAACTAGATTTTGCGGTCTCCAGGCCTTGGACTATTCGCTGAATGCTGATCTGATCGAGCTTTTCCAGGAAGCTCTCAACATCGTCGTCTTCGAACCGTTCCGCAAGCCTGAACTTAAGCTCGCCCCGCGATTTGTGGAAGATGCGGACGCAGACATCACAGTTGGTCAACTGGTCCCTCAATCGCTTTTGTATCTCTTCATGATATGGCTCGGCATCTGGGCCATTGAAGGCCAATATTTGAAGTGCATCCAGGACAAGCCACTTCCGCTCTTCGGCTTTCTTGATTTTCGCAGTCCGACGCACCCTCTCCGCCTCATCAAAGTTCTGTTTACTCCCAGCAATGTCCTCCTCGTAGTATACTCCTGCCTCATCGCGGGCATTTCGGGGGCAGAAGAGGTGGAGGTCCGCAGGAAAGCGTTTTATTTGTCTATTGTCAATTAGAATGAGGTAGTGGCGCTGGTTCCGAATCGTGACTTACTCTATCTTGTCAATGATTTCCGCCATGCTTGCAGATCTCGTCGGCCGGAGTAGAGCTGAGGGTCAGGCAAGCGATGCGAGCCTTCCTGTCGTTGCTGCTTCGCAATGAACTACCGGAGTTGAAGGATGTCCGCGGCGCTCATTTTATAGCCAAGTAGGTGAAAGGAGCAGCAGGTGATTATCTAGCTTCGTCCGCTGTAGCTAAGAATCAAACAGTCACCAACTGCGGGTTGTTGGTAAGGCAAAGTAAGTGTGGGCGGTTTCGAGAGCGGAGGTGAGGTAATAGTAGGATAGCGAAAGTAAGTAGTGTGTAGCTCTAAGAGTCAGGTGGAGGATTAAAGGTCGCCGATTTCACTTATAGGCAATGCAGGCGTGTCCGTGAAGTTCACAAGTGAGAAGCGGTAGAGGTGTTGGATTAGGTAGTAGGGTTGTTAAAGAAAGCCGCAGGAGGTGCCAGGTAGTACGCGACTTAATTCTCTTGGCGCGTATTCGTGGTCCACCAAGCTTTTTCTCCACATTGCATCGGACGAAACATTTAGTCATACCATCACATTCATTACGTCTAGTGATGATGGCTAGTATCATCTTTGATACTTGGAAGGGTGTCTTGCTGAAGGTTTTTACGCGCGTTACAATCACACATTCATTTAGAAGAGCGTGCATATTCAGGCATCACCATTTGAGAACAAATCTGATATATCTCAGCCATAATATTCAATAATTCTTGTACATACTCGACAACTACTCAAGCATACGCAAACATGCACTTGCACGCGCTATATGTACACTCTCTCCACCTATCACTTGTACCACCACATAAGCAGCAAAAGGAAAGATAGGGTCCTCTAGTCTAAGCGTTCACAGCGTCAATCGCAAGCTGCAAAGCCCAGCAAATCACAGTCAACCAAAGTAAGAAGCGTATGATTGAACAAGCGCAACTTGGACTTTGTTCATCGGCGCGAACAATCTGAGAGACAGGACATGAGGCGCCCACAACATCTCCGAGAGCGGAGTATGTATTTGCGGCGCAAGCAAAAGGGCAAAAGGTAAAAATGAGAACCCAGAAAATAAAGCAGTAATGCGCATGTCTGAGCACCTACTCCAAATGGAGCTAAAAGCAAATAAACCAAGGGTCCAACTGGACAACGCCGAGTGCCATGTAGTAACATACAGAAAGCTGAAGGACAGCAAAAGGGAAAGATTTTGTGCAATAGCCAACACCAGCAACAAACGTCAGCGGCCGTGAAAGCCCGGGATAGGGAATTTATTATGTACAGCCGTCGTGAGGGGGAATATCGATAAACTCGAAGATTCGGAGTCGTAAAGTAGGTAGATGGATGATTAGGTGGTTAGGTTGGGCGATGCTTATTTTAGATGCTCGGGGTCCTCATCCTTCGAGCTAGTCGGTCTTCTCGAGCTCAGTGCATGCCGTAATCGACTAAGTTGTCCAGTACGCTGACCCGTTTGACTCTGACTAGATTCGATACGCGTTAGCAATGCAGCAGAAGTAAATTCGTTACTTTGCTCAAAGCTTGGCCTGACCCTGTCCATCGAAACGCGTGCCCGGTCGAAGGACGGTCGTGGGCGATCCAATGATATCCTATTGGGAATGGTATCCAAAGAACGCCTGTAAGTGTAATCGGTGCTGTTGCTTCCGTTCTGACTCCTCGGGTTGTGTGTCGTAGAGGTCGGAGCTACGGACGGAGGGTATATGGGTCGCATATCATCCTCAACAACAGGTGCCTCGGGAGTCTTCTTGTTCAACTTGGAAACATCTGATGATGACATGGAAGCGACTTTCTCCGGAGGTGGTGGTATAAAGTCATCGTTCTCCTTGAGGTAATCGAACTTTCCTTGGCGAACTTGTTCGCGAATGATGTCCACGTCATAAGGAAAATAGATCTTCTGGGTAGCCTTGACCACAAAGCGGGGCAGGAGACAAATGACCACAGCCAGAAGAAGCACGGCCCAGAAAGAGAGCGATCCATAGACTTGGGGCGCCGCTTTGTAGAATGCGGCACTTCCGGTACCAGAGGTCCACACTCCAGTCCAAAACCATGTCAGAAGACAACTGATTGCCACGATGAGAAGCATTAGCCAATCCCACCGGTAGGTGTTGAAGAGAATGTAGAAATTGGCGGAAAGGACCGCGATCGTGGCGACGTAGACACCCATTCGCTTTGTGTCATCAATTCCCAATCCGTTTGATGAGTTGAAAGTCGCAGGGGAGAAGAGCAAATACACCATGAAGAACGTGACGATTGACTGGTAAAATCCGTCCGCCATATACATCCTGGCTGTACGTTAGCATCACTAAACCATGATAAGGAACAAGAAGGTCTCACCAGAATTTAGGTTGCGTCCACTCCTTTCGCTCAATACCTCTGCGATATAGCTGGGGTACAGCAAGCGAGACTTTGTCGTCGACGTCCTGGTCTAGAACACCCATCAAGATGACGGGAAGGGAAGTGAAGGCAAGATTGAAGAGAATGATGTAGGTGTAGTCGAAAATGTACGAGCAGTCGTAGTTCTCGTAAATCTGATACCAGAACAGCGAAAACGTCCAAACAAGGTTCTGTATAGCGTTAGCATTCCATAATAGCAGCTGGTAAGAGCAGCGGCCAGAAGCTTCTTACCTTGTAGAAGAAATTGGCAATGGTCTCTGCCAGCCTGCGATAAGACCATCGCCCATGCACAAGACAGAGTCGAGTGAGAAAGCGGAATTGGCCAATGGCATAATCGGAAGACATCACAGCTTGTCTGCCCTCTTCACCAGCAATACCGACACCTACATGTGCTTCTTGAATCATGGCAACATCGTTCGCGCCGTCACCAATTGCGAGTGTAAGACAGTCCAATCCAGTTTTGACCATATGGACGACGGCGGCTTTTTGGCTCGGACTGACTCTGCAACAAAGCACCGAGCGACACTGTTTGCAGAGCAGGAGGAACTTCTGCTTGATAGAATCGTTCAACACGAGTTTCAATGAATCACCATCAATGATGATGGCATGGGTCGGGTCGGGAGGTTCGTGATTGTCTTGTGCAGCTTTGAGTTCTTCGTCAGATCCGGTCATGTTGAAAGTCGCAAGATGTTTGTCTAGCTCGGCTTCCGCAGTCGCCAAACTCTCGTCTTCGATCTTGAAAACAATCAAGTCCATGTCGTTGTCGAGGAGATTGCAAGAAAAGCCAATGTTGATCGCAGTCTCAACCTTGTCACCGGTGAGGACCCAGAGCTTGATTCCGGCTTTACCAAGCAAAGATATGGCATCGGGAACACCGTCTTGCAACCTGTCCTCAATGGCGGTACCACCAAGAAGCATGAGTTCTCGTTCAATCGAATCGGCAACCTCTTCGAGCTTCTCTTCGCGGTTGGCAACAGCCCCGGCAGCAATATCATGTCGTCTATTCCATTCCTGGTATTCTTCCTCGTCGAGTTCTCGTTCAGCAATGCAAAGCGTTCGTAGACCTTCACGTGCAAACATCTCGAGGTGCTCCGCAGTGCTTCGCCTGAGTTCTGGCTGCATGCCACTCTTCAATCTCGAATAGATTATGCTGTCCGCTCCTTTGCAGAATAGCATAAGCTTGCCGTTGGGCATCCTAATGATAGCGCTCATACGTTTCCGCGTCGAGTTGAATTCTAGAGTGTTCAGGACCCTATAGGACGATTCCTTGCCCATTACGTTGAGATTGATGTCTTCTCCACTTCGGCCAAGGACAGTGAACCCAACGTCGCGAGCTGTAGCTACTAGCGCAGCCTCATCGGGAGATTGGGCTTTGAATTCGATCCTAGGAGGGTCGCCCGGGGTTCTTTCGGTGATTACCGTGTGACACAGGGCCAAGGCCAGCATAAATCTCTCGTTCGCTTGTCGTTGCTCTTCACCCGATTCTCCAGTGAGGTCAGCAATATAGTCGGGGGCAACAAAGGTAAGGTCCTCGTCTCGCAGGTAAGGATTGTTGTGCATTTGGCGAATTGACTCAATCATTCGAACGCGATCGCGGGCAATTTGTTCGCGAGCACGGGCGCCCTCTTCTTCAACGTTGATCCCTTGTCGTCGTTGCATGCCAGCTTGAGCCTCCGTGTAGGCCTCTCCGTAGGGAACGCCGTTTACTGTGGCTTTCTTGAACTCCATGACGTTTTGCGTCAAAGTGCCAGTCTTGTCTGAGAAGATGTACTCAATCTGACCCACATCGTCGGAGATGTTCCAAGACTTCGGAGTACACGGGTAGTCAATCTTTTCGTAGTACATGTGGACGTCGCTGTAGATGAAGACGGCTTGTAACGTACGGATGATCTCGAGGGTAATGTAGAGCGAGATAGGAACCAAGTTCTGGAAGAGGATGACACCGGCCCAGAAAGTAATAAAGCCGTCTAGAGGCGGGGAACCACCGTAAGAACCGTACTCAAATAGAGCGTGGCTCGTGTCGTCTTTAGCCCAAAAGACTCCTTGTACGATGCCAGAGATCAAGCACATGAAGAACAAGATGATGAAGTTGTACACAACGTTCCAGTTCAGGTCCTTGGAAATTTTAGCGCGTTTGCTAGGAGTTATGCCTGAATTGATCATGATCTTCGTTTCGTCTCCAGTGAAAACGACGACACCAAGAGCCCATTCGGTGTTTCGCAGGTTGCAACCACGAAGAAGCAAGTTGTTGATTGTTATAGGTTCGGCCATATCCGTGGTAGGTAGATCGGGGTCCCTGGGATCGCGTTGAGCCCATCTTATGACTGCGCTGTAGGAGTAGAGATTGGAATGAGGGCCTTCGCTTTCGATCACAAATGAAGATTTCTCGCAATGACGCGCGTGCCTCACATTTTCAGAGCAATGCAGCGCCTGTCGGACCTTTAGATTAGTTTCGCCGTCTAGATTCTTCGTTTCAACATAGCAAGCCCCGTCAGCTTCCGAGGTGGAGAGGACAACGACGTCGGCTGGGATTTCTTCGTCGTTGTACAGACGAACAAAGTCTCCAACTTGAACATTTTTCCAGTAGTCCTTCTTGAACCTAGCTGTGTCCGGGGTAGTTTTGAAAGGATCTATGATGTTGCCATAGAATTTCCTGGCTGGCGCGGTGGAGTCCCGCTGCGCGGGCTGGCCCTTCGCTCCAGGCCGAATTCCTTCGAAAGTGACAGTCGTCTGGGGATGACCCTCAATGTCCAGCGCATCAGGAGGCGGCCCTTGGCCTGGGACCGGGGAAGGGACTGGAGTCATCTGGATGCCCTCCTGGCTCCCAACAGAAAGGAAGGACTCTCTTCGGGAGATGGCGGAAGCTCTTCTCGTCTCGACTGAGGGCCTCGACTCATCCATGGACCTCTCTTGCCAGCTCTTGCCTTTCTCCCCTTTGCTCTTTCTCTTGTTCATCAGCTTCCAAGTTGAAATGATGAGCCTTGTAGTAGCCTTCTTGAATCGTCGCCACAGCGAAATCTGGTTCTCTGCTGTGTTGACATTATTGAAATCCACCAATCTGTGAACCGGAGCATTATTCAGCTCATTGTCAAGCACGGTTCGTCGCCAATCTTCAACTGCGTCCTTGACTGCGGTTATGGTTATGATCACGATCAGTGGAACCGCGTTCAGTGCTGGATTCGAGGCGCCAAAAATTTGGAAAATCTATAGAGCGATTAGCTACCGAGCCGTACAAAGGAGGGATGTGGCGCATACTCCAAGGATAATGATGAAGAGGAAGTACACGTTGGCAATGTTATGGAACTGGAACCACAGATTCTTGGGTACGAAGCTTATGGCGGTGTACTTTGCAGTCCGTATTTTATTTCGGGAGTAGGAGGCCTTTGGGTGTCCATCTTCGTCCCTCTCCTCCGCCGGGAGCGGAATGTTAAAATATACCCTCCTACTGGTGTCCTGCTCATCGCTTCCGGTTTCTGAGCCACTCTCGGGGGCATCGCTTTCCTTGCCCGTGGTGTTGGTAGTGCCCGAAGACTCGCGCTTCTTTTCAGTCGAGGTTGTTCGGTTGTGGAGACGTTGTATGAGCGACGCCCGTTTCTTGTCCCCTTTCGTGCCCCCTGCTCTATGTGTCGCCCATCGTATCCTTTTCACGGGATTCGAGACCTCGTTCTCGTCCTGGGTCGGGTCGAAGGCCATTGCGTTGGTGAGCCGGTTGGCAGGAGAGGCTGCGAGGCGAGCTCCTCAGATGCCGTGTCGCCGGCGACGGCCGGATAGGCTTCTACGCCGCAGGAGATGCCAATTCGCCTGGAGGGACAGGTGCGGCAACGTCGATGGTCGTTTATCGCTGGTTCCGCGCGCTCTGGGAGGGGTGGCGGAAGGGGGTGCGGTCAATCAGATAGGAAGAAGCGTTGATACAAATGAGCGGCAGTTCCACGAGGACCATGGGCGGCGCGGATGGCGACGGGAGAGATGGTTACGGAGAGAGTATTAGAGGAAAGGCGGTCGCGGCGAGGTCGGCAGGGGAGGTTGTCGGGTGCAGAAGAAGAAAGGTTGCGTCTTCACGATAGGTAGATGCTGACGGAGCACTCGCGGGAGGCCCTTGGATCGCTGGGTTTCGCCCAACGCCTTCGGCCGTCCAATTTCCGCTCAATAAGCAGCCGACCGATCCGGGCACTGCAGCGTGTCGACCACAGAACAATGTAGATGGGCCCGCACATAAGAAGCTCGCTCAGCCGTGCTATGGACGCGCCCGCAGTGGCAGCCGTGTTATTATTATCGGCTGCAGTGCCATCTCATGTCAGATTTGAGGCTGAGTGTGTTGGCTGGCGCGGGCAGGAAACACCGCTGCGAGCGCCGCCGCGATCTGCCTTGCGCCTGTCAGAGATACATAGAACCGCCCGTCTCTCCGCGCTGCGACAGTGCGACGTGCATCCAACGCGGCGTAGAGATGCTAGAGGCGTGGTGCAGGCGTCTTCTCGGGCCCTGATGGTCCCCGAAGCGGCAGGCCGGGATACCTCCCAGCACACCGTCAAACCCCGAGGCAGGGGACGCGTTATATGCAGAAAAGGGCTACGTTTCGTCTTCGAGTCCATGCTCGCGGGAGAGGCGGGCAGGAGTGCGACTCAGGAGCACTCAATGAGTTCGGACGAATTTGTGTCGGTTGCCCCTGATCTGATCTAGGTTCGAACAATCATGAGTTTGAGTTGTACGCGGTTCTAAAGCCTGCACGTGACCCCGGCACGTGAAGACGTGCTTGGACGTGCAACTCAATCCCAGCCGCGCCGCTACACCACCGGCACCACACCTCGCGCTGAGAGCTGCCGCAGGCGCGCCGCCGCATTGCTGCTACCGCAATGTCGAAATCGAATCGCAAGATCAGTGAATTCTTCGGAAAGAGCAGCGTCCTCCCGAAGAGCAGCCTAAAAGATAGAGACCGGACCGGTTCGTCACCTGCTCCCCGCGCCCCAGCTACATATAGCCCTGACTAAACGCTGCATGCTTCAGACTCGCCCGCCACACGAGCCTGGCCTTCCTCGCGTACTCAGAGTCTTCATGGCGATGTTGAGATGCGTGAGGCCTCCGATTCACCCACCCCCGCCACGACGATCAAAAATGCCACATTGACGGACGAGCAATTAGCAAGGAAGCTGCAGAATGACTGGAACAAAGAGACGAAAGCAATCGTGATAGAAGCTCCCAAAGGCGGGGAGGACTGCGCAATGAGCGGGGGGTCGTTCTCGTCCATAAATTCAAGCAGTAGCAAGCGTGTCTTCCGACGCGATCAAGAGGTGGTCGCCAACTCGGACTCCGATACGGATAGTTCAGAGGGTCTAGAGGATATGGATTATCTCCTACAGCAGAATACCAAGAAAGCCCCGGCACCCAGTCCCCAAAAACAACTTCCATCGCAAATCACCACGTTCTTTAACGCAAGTACACGGCCCAAGAAATCAATACTTCCTCCGGCGAAAAAATACAAGTTTTCAATCGATTCGCTCGTGGAAGAAACCAAGAAAAATAAACAACAGGAGCAAAAGTTCGCAGCGGCGAGGGCAAAGCTCGAGGAGACGACTGTTGAGTCTGCTCCCTCTGACACCGTCGAGAAGACCCTTGCTTCAATCGTGGAAGATGACGAGGGAGGGAGCAAGGCAGAACGGCTGCTGCTAGCCATGAGACGGACCAACGCTCTTCATCGAGACCCTACTTGGCACTTTTTCAGAGACGATGTAGAGGCCCAATCTCGAAGGATGTTCCCGAAATCGTGTCTCCCTCACAAAGGATGGGCGTCTGTGTTTAAAGGTTTGAAATCAGCGCAACCGGTTCGAGCCGTCTCTGACCCAAACTTAGAGCCAAACAAAAGAGACCAAGCATTTATGGCAGGCTACGCTCGACACATCTTCCGATACCAAAACTTACCAGAAGAGCTAGCGAACTGGATGATTGACGAATGTAAGGAGCCTTGTATGATGTCTTTGTGTACGTTTCTAATTGATTGTAGTGGTATTCTTTCCAAGAGACGGAGTCAACACGGAATACATAAATACAGTTGAGGTAATGCCGGTCAGCCCTCACTCTATTCCTCGACTAACTAGTATCAGTGCTGTCCTGGCGTCTTGTCAGCCCTTCTTACTCCTGATAAGCTAAGCGACATCTTCCGTCGTCTCGGTGCCAAAGATGTTGGCAAAGACCCAAGTCTCACCTTAACTCCGTCTTTTGATTCTCCCAATCGTATGTGAGGTTAGTAGCGCGAAACGAGCATTGCTAACGTTCTTAGGCCCGAAGCAAATCCTCCCCACTGGTCTAAGATGGATTGTGCAATTACTCCAGCAGGTTGCTTCAGAGTAGGTTCAAATGCACGCATGGAGGATAGTTCACTGACGTGCGTTCCTCAGCCTGACGCCGGAATCACAAGTGCAAGCCTTGAATATCCTTCTACGGCTATCGTTCGACGACAGCATCCTTTTTGATGTTGCGTTACACACCATCATCCAAGATACTATTAAAGTGTTCCTAGAAAGCATATCTGAAGCTGAGCTCGGTCAATGCGTAGGTCCACCAAGCCATTGGTATTGCTGATGACTGACGACTCCTTAGCTCCAGCAAATCATCAACAATCTCATCACAGCAGTCGAAGACCCGGTCCTCCAAGACCAACTCGTCACCGCGCTACCCACCAGCTCACCTCTGACCCACCGTTTCCAACGCCGTCTCGCGCTCGGCTTCTTTCTTCATCCTACCCCCGTTACCGAATCACTCGCTTCCGCTGCGCTTCCTGCTATCATCCATGACCATCTCAGCACATCCCCCGACTTACAGATCACCCGAGACTTTTCTTATACCAGCCTTGGGGCGCGCATGTCCCTCCTTGACAAAGCCATCGGCCCTGGTTTCTCAACTTTGCCTTTTCTCGCAGCACCACCAACGCCCGCTTCATCAAGCACAGAGCCATCCACCAGTAACACAAACGCCAACACGCCTCTACCGCCTTCACCCGAGGAGAAGGCCTTTAATGAAAGCGTCGATCTTCTTGCAGCGCGCATCAAGTTGCTCTCGAATCGTATCACCGATGCGAGTACCTCGGGCATGGATCGCTGCGAGGCGAAGAGCGTATGTCAGCGGTTGCACTACCGGCTTGAGGGTGCCGTTAGGACAAGGGGCCGTAGGATCAAGGGCGTGTTTGGGGATGGGGACGAGGACGAGGGCAAGATGATCTTCAAGCGGTTCTTCCAAAAAGATAAAGCTGGTGTGAATGGGGCGGTATAAGTCAGGCACGCTGTTTTCAGCGTGGAGCTTGAGGCTATGAGGGATTTGACGAAGGATGGGTGTGGCATGGATATCACGCGAATGTCGTGGATTTGTATGTTTGCAGTAGCACGTCTTCTCTATTATGTGAGATGAAAACAAACAACGCTAATTGAAATACCAAAGTAGTGACCCAGCAAATCTGGTCAAACCGCTGCCCGTGCGTGCGATTGATGGAGGTCCGAGAGACCGGTCAGTTAGCACGACCGACCTGTCGGGCCGAGCAAGTCGAGGCGTTTTGTGCGGCACGGCAGTGGTGAAACTGAGGATGTATGTACAGACCATTAATTATCTTAATGGACCTACCATTCTCTTCCATAGCACTGTGTGCTGTATGTACATAGACCCTGAGCCTCTTCCCCGCAAGGACCACCCTAGTAGTACTGTAGTCCGGCCCCGAGCCCTCGCGTGCCCCATCCCCCGGCTCGGCATCCGGGAGGCGAATGCGAAACGTGATCTTACGGTGGCTGATCGCCGGGTGTCGGCAAGGGGTGGGTGAGACGAGACAAGGCGAGACAGGGGAGGTATGGAGGGCGTGTTTTGGGATAGTCAGGCACATTCTCCTGTTTTGCGATGGCGGCGCAGTGTCGGAGGATTTGGCGAGGTTGTGATGGGGACCAGGGGACTGCATGTGAGCAGGGGCGGGCGGTGGAGTTAGGTCGGGGTCGGGGTTATGGGCGGGGGTGGGGTTAGGGATTTTCTATGCGATGTTAGATAGGAGAAAAGCTGCTTTCGCGTGAGAAGGTTTGGGAGAGGAGGGGCTGTGGATGAGTGATTATGGCGTTAGATGAGGGAGATGTTGACAGTGAGGTGCTATTCCATGCAGTCCGGATGTAGTAATTCTTGGCACGATTAAAAGTGTTGAACCCAGAGTAAGTCAGCTGTCTTCAGAGCCTTCAGATTGAGCCGAGATCGATGTCGCAGACGAGGTTCTGATTTTGAGGGTGCTGTCAAGAGGATTGCGGGTTATGCCTGAAATTAGGCTCTCATAGTCCAAAGGCCTAGAATCAAGTGCAATGTTGGAAGATTTTGGAAGCTCAGAAATGCGCCAGGGAAGCTTCGATGGGTTGAACCCAGAGGAAATACAGGAGAAGCGAGAGCTCGATTCTCACGGTTGGTACAAACATTTCGAGATCCAACTGGGCGGGTGAAACCCTTGAAGCACACGTTTATCCTTCTATGAATCTCCAACAAATTGACAGTTCATAAAATCCGTTAAAACGCTAGATCTAACAAAAACCTATTCCTCCTCTTCCTTCACTAGTTACAATACACATGAAACGAAAACACATCTAGATCAGCGCGGCTGATATCACTATAGTCCCTAAAAGCGCTCGAAAAAAGAACGATCGATGAGTACATATGGTACTGCACATAGCCTCTATCCCCTGTCCAACGTCCAGCAACCAATTCCTTCTCTCTATCTCCTATAGCAGCCACCACCTCTTTCTCCCTCGCTCTCTCCTCCAAATTCTCCCTATTCAACCTACAATCCACCCAAACCATTCTTCTCATCGATGTGCTTGTACCGCTCCAACTCCTGGCGATACTTGAGCACCATCGCGACACACAGCACCAGCACAACATCAATACCGACGATTCCAAAGGCGGCAGTGAAGATGAGATCGAGATAGCCGTTTGCGAAGCTGGAGAATTTGCTGATGCAGCCGCCTTTTTGGGCGGCGACCAGCGAGTTGGTGCATGTGCCGTCCTGAATGAAGGGCGGGCTAGTCGAGTTGTTGTAGCCGCAGCAGTTGAACTATGAGGGAAATTAGTACGATGAAATAGATGTTGATCGTGAAATTGAACATGTTTGTGAAGGGTAAGCAACATGTTTTGAGGTTTGATGAGTTCTCCGTCCAGCTGAAACATGACAATGAGAATGAACCACTCATCTAATTTCTGAAATGCGTGTCTCATTTCACGTCAAGACGAAAAATGTGAGAGGTAGGGCATGGGTACAATACACACCTTTTGCTGGAGCAAGCTCTGGGTTAACGGCTGCTCATGCGCCCAGATCCTGTTGAGATTGGCGCGACTGTGCAGTGTCACGAACCAGACGGTAAGACCCAGCACCAGCGTAAAGGTAGCGCAGAAGACAACAAGCCAGCCCTGAGCACGTAGCCAGCCGCGATTTTGCGGTAGAAAGAGGGCGGGGAGGGACAGCATGAAAGTCAGGAAGATGAAGATAGCGTTAACGACGCCGGCTGGGAGATGTAAGTATGATATCTAGATAATAGCGTAGATGGCGGGTCTGCTCATCTTGATTCCGTCGTGTTCTCGGACATACCGGTAAGAGGACACTGCTTGAGCAGTAGATGCTCGGCAACAGTGGTGATGGTTGGCGTGGCACGCATCTGGGTCTCTGACAGGAGCGAGAAGCCAATGAGAAGGCCTCCGCACCCGGCGAAGATGATGTCGGTGCCGACGAAGACCATCATGAGCTTGTTCGGCATCTTGGCGATGCGAGTCTGCTCTATCAGTGTAGTGATAGTTCGAAGTGCGGCTCTGCTTCTTCCGTATAGTGGTTTCTGGTTGCGTAGGTGATGGTTGAGAATTGACAAATACGAAGTCAACCGAATCTACAGCACAAAGAAGAGAATGAAGGTAGCGAATCCTGCACTGCAATTCGGCGTCAAAGAATGAATGAATGGAAGCGTCTATTGCAACAGAGCCGGCCGGCGACTCTCGCAGACGGAATTAGGAGGAGAGAAACTTGGGCACAGAAAGAGGAAAGAGGACAGAGAAACATGGCGGAGGGAGCAGAGCAGAGGGATCTTCGGGGGCTTGGGGTTTTCTTCAGCATGGCGACGGCGTGGCTCTGTCACAGCGATCACGCCGGACGAGGCAGACAGCGTTTCAGGAGCGTCGGGAGCGTCGACATGGCGAATCACGGGCAGAGGGGAGCAGAGGGAGCAGAGGGAGCAGAGGGAGCAGAGGGAGCAAAGGGTGGGCGTCTAGAGGTGGTGTGACATTGTTCTAGATAGTGCCTCAGGGTGTAGTATGGGTATGAGCAAGACGTCTATCGTGGCAGCAGTCGTCGTGTCGTCTCGGCATGCACAGAGGGCAGGGGTCAAAGTGGCAGGGTAGTAGTGGCATGGTAAAGGTATAGTCAAAGCGGCAGGGATCGGCCTTGGAAGGGGCACTGCGAAAGAGGCAGGCACGGACGGGTGGAATGCGCCTTCCGCGTTTAGGCAGGCGGTAGTGCTTAACCCAGGCTGCCAAGAGTCACGTATCACGCTAGCCATAAAAGAGCGCAGCCTTTCCTCTTCCCGCACACACCACTCCCCACCAGCGCTGCGTGCCCTCGTCCGAGGTGAGTGCCCGTCCCATCGCATTCCCCCTTTCCCACGGCAACCCTTTGTTCCCCCGCTGCTCCCTATGTGCGAGGCCTCGGGCTCACAGGGCCGTCTCGCGGGACCATGGCATCAGCGCATTTGGAGCACCCGGCAGCGCATCTGCAGCACCGTCGCCGCGCACTGCACATCTCGCTCGCCCGCACTCGGATCGCGCGCCGGTCGCTGCAGCGCACGGGTGGTCCACTCGCCCTCGCTGCTGGCTGGCTGCTGGCGGTGCGAAGCCTGCTGGTGCTGCGGGCGCGTGGTTGGCTGCTGCGGCGGGCCCGTTTCCTCGCATCCACCGAAATACAGCCTTTGCCCTCGCTGTCGTTTCACTTGCCCGAAGTTCTCGTCGCTTTCCCTCTCTGAGACAGCAACCTCTCACACTTCTCGAGTGCGCGTAGATTCATCCCCGGTCGGTACAAGCTTTGCCCTGAGCCCCGTCGGTCTTGCCACGAACAGAACTTAAGCCCTGCCTTGCCCCAAACGACGCAGGCACGCAACCTTGAGCGGTAAGTTACGCTCCATCCAGCCTCCCGCCGTTCGCCCACTGGCAGGCGCCTCCGCCGTCCGCTGTGCGACCGCGACGTCTGGCTTGTCTGCCACGCAGCTTTCCTTGCATTCCTCGCCGCCACCCAACACAGTCACGGCGTTGCCTGATCAGTCCAGCCTGCTTCTTTTAGGTCCAGCGCTGAGCCCACTACAGCCCACCCCGTGCAGCCGGCCCCAACTCACCACTCAAACGAAGCCGCGGCCAGCGACTCCAAAGCGGCAATCCCCACCCAGATTCTGCGACCACAAAGAGTAAGGTCAAACCAAAGCCAAACACTCGTAACCACGACGCCGGCGAATCGCATCATGGCCAGCGAAATCACCGACCACGACCAGCACCCGTCGCCCTCGCACGACGATGTGGGCAATGGCAACGGCGCCCTCGTCCAAGGCGATGCCAACCGCGGCACCAAGCGGCCACGCCCAGCGGCCGACGACGACGACGATGATGACGACAAGCCCGGCCGCGAAAGGCGGAAGATCGAGATCAAGTTCATCCAGGACAAGTCGCGTCGTCACATTACCTTTTCGAAGCGGAAGGCCGGCATCATGAAGAAGGTGAGTTTGCGCATGCATCGCGGCGCGCGTTCCGGCGCGTCGCATCACCACCACCTCAACACCACTTCGCATTGCTGACACTACGCGCCAGGCCTACGAGCTGTCCGTCCTCACTGGCACGCAGGTGCTGCTGCTCGTCGTGTCCGAAACCGGCCTCGTCTATACCTTCACCACGCCGAAGCTCCAACCCCTCGTTACCAAGGCCGAGGGCAAGAACCTCATCCAGGTACAACATGCTGCGCATCCGTTGCGCTGGATACAGAATGCTAACACTGCTGCAGGCCTGCCTGAACGCGCCCGAGCCTGCCTCCGCCGATGCTAATGGCGTCGACGACAGCGGTCCCGTCGACTCGCCCGAGGACAACCATGCGCAGGTCCCGACCGGCCGCGCCCAGATGCCCGGCGGCAACATGCCTCCGCAATACATGACACCCGAGCAAGCGCTCCACTACCAGAGCTACCTCCAGCAACAGCAGCAGACGGCAAACCAATACCCAATGCCGCCGCAGGGAGGGATGCCGCGACACCCTCAGCAACACTACCAGCCCGATCAGAAATTGAATTAAATGTCTTAATGTTGCGTCTGTCGTAATGTTGTTCTGCTATACGACCGGTAGAATGATCCGAGGTCATCATCATGTCTAACTCGAATATGGATACCCTCTCCTAATGGCGAAAAGTAATATCGGTGCAGCACGGCCCCTTATGTCCAAGTGGTGCGTGATTGAGGGCCACGTGAGGCTTGCTTTCGCGGAAGAAGTGAAGGCGATGGACGGAGAAGAGGGCGGTTGGGGGTATTTGGGCGAGATGGTCTTGTCTGTCGGACGGAGTCAATGGAGACGGATTCTTTTTTGATCTTGTTAACTCTTTCACTCATCAATTGTGTGTTTGATTGATTCGCTTCGGATCAAGCAAGTATGTATTTTGCTCTGTCGCACCTAGCTTTTTTGAAAATTCCCCACCCCGAGCTGTGTTCCGAGCCAAAGTTACTGAAGAATCTTTTACAATGAACAATTATAACATCTAATCTCATGGTTGTCGAAGGATCAAAAGGCTACAATGATGACGGCGTCACATAAGCTGGTTCCTCCCGAATGGCTCGAATAATCGCAATAATGAAGCCTGCATTCCTTACATCTCCTCTCCAAACGAAGCAACCTGTCTCCAGTCATCAGCGCGCTTAACCTCTAACGCCGGTTAGCTCGGTATCTTGCTAGCAGATGCCTTCCCGTGCTACCAATCCAGGGTCATATCCACAACATGCACGGTGTGTATTGTGGCACTACCAACGCTCCACTCGTCTATTCCTCCCTTCTCCTCCTTCAGAACGCGACGTCGTCTAGCTTAATACAGTAAGTGGCAACCCCTCTCGAGGCACCTGCATGCCCTGTACCTGCAGATCGGCTGTCGCACACTGGCCTGTACCTGTGCTTGTATGTACACAGTATGTACAGTACAGACCTTCTGTGTACATGATCGGTTGGAGTTGCGTGCGATGCGGCTTGCAAGGAACAGGGCGGTTCTCAGAGGACACGGTGAGCGGATCGAGCAGACACGGCAGAGGGCTGGCGGCGAGGTTGTGGGACTATGATGCTCACACTGAATTTTTTAAGATTCAGGACCCACATTGATCTGTAGTCCTAAAGGCCTACGTTTACGGCATCCAGCTTTATCAGATCTCAAGATGCTGGATGCTCGATAATGAATAGGTAGTGGATGGATACAGCGTGACCGGACGACGGAAGGACATTGCAGCTGGCCCCCTAGCACGCTAGCACCCGAGGGGCTGGCTCGGCCGGCCCGGAGCTTCTTGTGGGGATAGAGATACCGCTTTGGGGAGGTTCCTATCTGGAGGCGTTTTGCGGTGGAGGGAATACGGCGCGCGGGTGGCTATGGGAGATGGCGCGCAGGACGCTAGGGAGGGTCTCTATCTGAACCCGTTGATATCGCTTCATGGAGAAGGTTGACGTCTAACGACAATGCCAGCAAAGAGTGGGGATTATCGTGTTCAGGGCGTGGATGAGAATGCTGTTCAACGGCCTGCTTGGAAGACTGTTACCTTGAATAAGATCTAAAGGACGAAACATTTCGGAGCAAACGATATGAAATTCTCGGAATTGGATAAGCCCGAAATGCGTCAGGCTTGATAGGCGTTCACTAGAGTCTGGGGATTCGACGCTTCGCACCTTCAGGGACTGGCTCGCGGGAAGATATATGGGCACAGATCTCCGCCAACGGACCGACTTCTTCTCCTACACACAGCAGACAACGAACCGTGGACGCGTCTCCACCTCGGCCATGTCACTCCAGTTATCACGGCGAAGCAAAAAGCAACACCTCATCGGATTCCACTATGCAACCACGGGCTCCAAGCATGTGCCTGTCTGGCTCGGAGAGGCCGCGCGCGATCCAGGGGTGGGCCGCCAGACACGGGGGCTCTAGAAGGCGGGTGGAAGAAGTTTAATCGTCCCAATCACAGGCGCTCCGGGCCACCACCACCACCGGCGCCACGTCGAAGAAGGGAGCGCCCCCAGCCCTCTCCCGCGCGAACACACAGACAGGCTGCCCATCACTATCGCTGCCCTGGCCTGCGTGCAGCGCCCCCCACCCTCTTGTGCAGGCCGTACTCCCTAGGGACAGCCTAGCGCCCTCCCAGCTATCCGCCATGCAAAGTACTTGAAGCATGAGTCTGTCGCGGTTTCGGTAGTTTGCTGCGGCATATCATTGCTGTTTAGTTCATCCTTTCAGAATCGTTTCCTGCTGCTCTCTGCCCTCAGCGTGTCAAATTAAGACTTTATCGGCCTCCTGCGCGGTGACCGACATTTGAATGCTGTCAGCGAGCTTTATCTAGACTCGTTATCTCTGGCCTCAGCGCGCGCCCTCTGAGCTCCCAGCCCATGTTTATGTGGAGATAAATACATCAACTCAGCTCCCCTAGCCTCCTGTTTGGAGCTTTTCGTCCGAGGTCTCCCCACCGCCAACGTCGATTAGGCAAAGAGGTCCAGCTTGTGCTACAAAGTACCTATAAGCAATCGCGACCCTGCGACCTCAAGCGAAGCCTCCCAAGCTTCAACTGACGTCTCCCGACGACACATCCACTTGAACTCCAAGACTTCGATTAGCCTCGAGCACCACGGTCAGTCAAGATGGAGCAAGAAAAGGACATCGCAAAGGCCCCTTCGCTGGACTACGAAACCGGCAAGTCCAGCTTCCTCGACGAAGATGCCATGAAGCTCGCCGAGATGGGCTACACCCAGGATATGAAGCGCAACTTCTCTGTCTGGTCCGTCTTGGGTGTGGGATTCTCTCTCACCAACTCCTGGTTCGGTATCTCCGCAGCCATGATTACTGGTATCAATTCAGGAGGACCGCTTTTGATCATCTACGGCATCATCCTTATTGCGCTCATCTCGACCTGTGTCGGTATCTCGCTGTCTGAGCTGGCGAGTGCCTTGCCGAATGCTGGAGGCCAGTATTTCTGGGCGAACGAGTTGGCTCCGAAGCGATATGCCAATTTCGCGTCCTACCTCACTGGATGGTTTGCGTGGACCGGGTCTATCTTCACCTCTGCGTCTGTGGCTTTGGCTATGGGTAGCGCATTGGTAGGATGCTGGCAGCTTGGCCATCCTGATTTGTGAGTACCTTCTCTTTGTCGATAGGGTTCCTGTAAACTTAAAGAGACGATTCATGGATTATAAGAGGCTATGCCTATGAACCCTTTTAGCTGACTTTTTTCCAGCGTGATCAAGCCATGGCATGTGTTCGTCGCGTATCAAATCACGAACATATTTTGCTTCTTCTTCAACTGCTACGGAAAAACCCTGCCCAAAGTCGCAACCTTCACCCTTTGGATCTCCCTTGTCTCCTTCTTCGTCCTCCTTGTCGCAGTACCTGCCTCAGCACCTACCCACCAGCACGCCAAATTCGTCTTCGCCACCTTCATCAACAACACGGGCTGGAGCCAGAACGGCATTGCCTTTATTGTGGGTCTCGTCAACACTAACTGGGCTTTTGCGTGTCTAGACTGCGCAACGCATATGGCGGAAGAGGTACATAAGCCGGAGCGCATGATCCCCATTGCCATCATGGGCACCGTCGCCATCGGTTTCGTCACCTCCTGGTTCTTCTCCATCTCCATGTTCTTCTCCATTGTTGGCGACTTCTCGGACATCGCTGGAACCTCCACCCTTGTACCCATCTTGGAGCTCTTTTACCGTGCCTTCAGCGAAAACACCGCTGGTGCCATCTTCGCTGAGATCCTAATCATCCTGACTGGATATGGCTGCTTGATTGCGAGCCACACATGGCAGAGCCGGTTGTGCTGGAGCTTTGCGCGTGATAGAGGTCTTCCGGGGCACCAGTGGTTGTCGAAGGTCCACCCAACGCTCGGTGTGCCTGTGGTCGCCCATTTCGTTAGTTGCGCGTGGGTAGCTGCCGTGGGTTGCTTGTATTTGGGATCCTACACTGCCTTCAACTCGTAAGTTTCCCCTCGGTTCAAGAATCTTGGAATCTATAACTAACAATCTCGAAGCATGGTCACAGCCTGCATCGTCCTCCTCTACGTCTCATACGCCATCCCAGTCGTCTGCCTCCTGATCAAGGGCCGCGACAACATCCAGCACGGCCCCTTCTGGCTCGGCCCTATCGGCCTCTTTTCGAACATTGTCCTCCTGGCCTGGACCCTGTTCACGATCATCATGTACAGCTTCCCATATGCCAAGCCCGTGCTTGCTAGCAACATGAACTATGTCAGTGCCGTGTATGGCGTCGTCATCACGCTCATGACTACTGACTGGGTTGTGCGCGGACGTAAGAGCTACAGAGGTCAGGAAAGTCGGCATGCCGAGGTCGAGGATGTTGTCCGAAGGGAGAGCGTGGGATAATAGTCCTTGGTGGATTGGCTTCCTTTTCAAACTGGCTTTGGTAGAGGAAATGGGTGCATAGGCGCTAGAGATACCTTGTGAGATTCGTCCAATTTTAGGCGGAACACTCTGAACGCTTTGAAGGCATATCTTACAGTCGTTATCAAGAGATTCTATAATACCACTCTTAACCTTCTTGTTCTTCAATTAGCTCAGTCGCAACTGTCTCTTCCTCGTTAATTGTCAAGGCACAATCAATACTGTCGGCTAAAACACGTGCTTCTACAAGATGTCTAGGGAAGGGTTCGGGACCAAATCTGCAAGAAGAGCACAGGAAATTGTTTGATACTCAGCAACCAGACTACTCGGACAAAGAAAATGGTTTCCGTGTCTTCTTCTCTCGTAGAATCTTCTGATTCATTTTCAGGTCTACTTCTCTGCCCCTTCTCATTCCCTCCACCAAGCATCAAACACCTCTGCACCCGTCCTTCTTCCAACACCTCCCCTGGACCAGCGCTCGTTTATGTTGCCTCCTCGGTACCGAACACCAACGGCTCACTACTGATGTCCGCCTTCTGCCCATCTTACCCCTGCCAAAAAACCAGGCAGCTTGATTGCGAGATTCTGCTCCCTATCCTGTTCCCCCTCGGCCAATCGATCCACCCACTTATCCAACTCCAGAATGGAGAGTTCGAGGACGCCGTTACGATTGCTTCCCATTTTTTGAGTAGGTTTGCTCAATGAGTGCGGCAAGTGCTCTGCATAGTTGCGCCCTCTTGACAGAGACTTTGTCGGTCGGGCGCACCTCAACACTCAGAGGTAGAAGAGTAGTCATGTCCCGGCTTGGTTTCGCGAAAGCTAGGCCAATTCGAAAGTCTCTTCATCCAAAGTGGTGAAACTCTCTTATAACCTCTTGCGCAAAGATCCGCCCTACGCCTACCCTACGAAACCTCCCCATCGAGGTACGTATACAATTAAGCACAGCGTACGCTGGATGCCGAAATCCTAAAGATCCGAACCCTAGGCCTCCTTTAACATGCGTGGTCGAAACATGTACAGCGTACACTGAAACATCGGTATCGCTCAGATCCCTCGTGTTGTTGCCCGTCTCTTCTGGGATTTCTGGTCGGTATCGCTCAAAGTGGGTCAATCCGGCAAAGGACATCGGGGAACGATTCGGAAGATATACCGTTCCATGATAGTAGATGTAGGTTTCTGATCACATGACGACGCGTTGAATTTCTCGGTTGCGTTGACCATCTTGTAAAGATAAGAAATGAACCACGACGCGGGTAATCTTCGCTCGTGCAACGATTGTACATGATGTTGTGTCGACATCCACGCTCGGCTCTGGACTTTCAAGTAAATCCGACGTATTAGGAAGACTTACTGATAGGAGCTTTGAGCTGAAAAGCTTGTTGTAAAAAGCGCGATCGAACCTTTTACTTTTGAGTCTGCCCGCTGATCTTATATCAGTCCTCGCCCCTGAAAGACTTGTGATAAAGAAATTCAGTTAGGCTAGATGCGTCGTGGTGAACAAACGGTTGCTTGTATCGGTGGTGCTGCTGCTGCTGAACGTGTTATCAGAATGACGAACAGTAACTAGACTAAGATTTCAACGATGCCTGAGTGGTTGAAGGGTAACTGTTTCTAAATCTGGTGCGAAGAATGCATGATTAAATTTGACTAAGAAGATGAGCTGCGTCCAGAGACAGATTTGGGCTGGATGATTAGGACAGGAGTCGTGGGATGCGATAGGGAGGGGATCTGGCAGGGGAATTGATGTGAAGGGAGAGCTTTCGGGATACAGAGAAGCGAGAACAAGACTGGTGCGCATTAGGAGTGGTGTTGTATAGCCTACTCGTCATTGGCCGTTCCTCTAGTGTCAAGGACCCAGAAGATGAGATATGCGTCAAATACCCTATGTTTCCATAAAGTGTGCTTGAGACGTTGACTTTCATCAGTGTCCTTGATCCTATGCATTTCAGCATCTCATCAGGTAGAACATTCTTGTGAGAATCCTCTGTATTGTGAGTCCCGCCGTTTCCGGTACGTCTCATCTAGGAGCCACCACCATAAGCACGTAAAAGTTCAGCCTTTCATGATTCTCATTGTTCGAAAATCCGACCCTAAGATGATTGTTCTGGCAAGAAAATGCACTGAGCTTGTCCATTCCTCGTCGAAATGGTCCCAGAAAGCCCAGAGCCCACAAAGCCACTCATCCCTCGACACTCGACCACTTAACGGGTAGTCGCTTTGACCTTGGGTGCCGAACCCTTCGCTCCTTGCTTGCTCTGAATCCGCTGGGTCTGACCCTTCGCCGCCGCCGACGCCGACTTGGCCTTCTCCTGCTTCTTCTTGCTCTCTGCCGCAGCCTTCTTCTCCTTACCCTCACTGATAGCGGCAGCACGGGCGGCTGAACGAGCCTCGGGACGCATGGAACGGCGCTCCTTGATGACGTCGAGCGAGGCACCAACGATGGCGCGCTGGTGCTTCACGGTGCGGCGAGATCGCTTCTTGGCAACTTCCTGTTGGTGGCATAATATTAGCCCTGAAAATATACGCGACATCCTGATGGTGCGAGGTCTGATATGCGCAATCGCCGTAAGTAGGGGGTTGTGGATTCGCTTCCGTTGTATGAAGGAGATCCTGCAACCCCCCCTCCATCCGTCGGGATCCTATTCCAATTGCCTCCAAAATGTGTATACGAGCGATTCGGCGCCACTAACCTCAGAAATGCCCTTCTTGTGCTGCCTCCGGTAGAGTGTGGTCCAGGCGATCCGACGGGGGTTCTTTCGCTGCAAGAAGAGCGATTCGGTCTTGCCATTTTGGAATCGGAAGATCTTGCTGTCGCCGCGGACGTAGAGTTTGCCCTATCGTCGCGAATTGATACGTCAGCTTTGGCTGCTTCACAGAGCATGCCGTCGTCCACAACGCTCAGTTGGAGGTGGCGGCTTATGAGGTGCGGCATTGGCGCTGGGGAAGGGGTGACAACGCACCTTGCCGGGGTAGATTTTCTGGCCGCTGAAGGAGTCGTCGTAGGTACGCATGTTGGCGGTGGTGATGCGATACCTGGGGGTTAGTGTACTTTGAGGTCGTCGTCGTTGCGGAGTTTTTGGCTTTGTGTGCGGAAGCGAAGTTGCCAAGACCGATGGAAGTGCACGGGCTACATCAGAGAGAATGATCGTCATTTCACTTTTCCTTCCGAGGCGCGAGATCATACCTTGAGATCTCACTAGAGAGCGCTGAGACCGTATTTAGAACATGGGACATCTTCAGTTAAACACAGGGAACTACACGGACTTCATATATCAATCATAAAATCTACCATCTTGATGTTGAGGTTTTGACAACGATAGATAGATTATATGTTATATAGGTCTAGTCTAATTTCGGGGCTTTCAGAAGCTAGATGAAGGGTAGATTGTGAGCGAGTAGCTAGTTTTCTCCTCCCGTTCATAGTCGTAGCCTGCCTTAAGGATTTGATTTTTGATATGGAGGAAATGGTGAAGGCAATAGCTATATAGTGGTCTTCGCACCATAGAGAATTTCCCAGAGGCCAGTGCGAAGCCCCGTTAAGCGGTTTGGATACTCTAGGGAAGATGCCGGCTCCGAGGGTCCATGGTATTGTTAGTATTTGAAACAGTGTCAAAATAGTTCGTCTAGGCTAATGTACTATCACTGTACCTTCGCAGTCAAGTTTTGATCAAATATAGCATTCTATTTCATCCAGAGGATGCTAGAGGGTCTCGAAAGCACTCGCCAACCGATTTAACACTCAGCTGCGAAGGAGATAGTAGGTCAAGCCAACCAATCGAATCGCGAACGCCCGACGCTTCCAAAGCCTTCTTCGAAGGTGCATGTCTAGAAAAGTCGGCTGTACCCACAATCTTGCCGTAAACGCCGTTATGAAGTTCGTAAGGGAGCTAGGCGATTGCTGCCCGATGTGCCGATACCGCGTCTAATTCGCATAAGTCCTAGTCCATTCTCGAGCTGTCTCGATGGCTGCTTTCTCATCTTCCTTCCATTTCTGAGCCACATCGTTTGCGAGAGGGTCGTCGGGGTTAGGGGCGCCCAGGAGCGCTTGGATGGAGAGAAGTATTGTGCGGATCTGGAGGGCCGGGGACCAGTTGTCTACCAAGTGTTAGGGTTTTTTTCCAACAGCAGATATAGAGGACACATACTTTTCAGGACATCTAAGCAGATACGCCCAAGTCTGTCGATGTTTGGGTGGTAGATCTTGGTCAAGAACCGGATCTTTGGGGGCGTCATGGGATAGTCGTCCGGAAGAAACAGCTCTAGCTTGAAGATGCCTCCTAACATTTCAAACACACGTCAGCACTTCCGAGATATCAGTAAATCCCATTCTAGCTCTTGGTCTCACCTTCATATGGAGATTGTGAGGGTCCGTGGATGGTGACGTCGAAATAGCGGAGGTTGTCTTCATGGGGAACTGCGTTGATACCCGGGACTCTGTATACATCTATTGTTAGCACAGGCTAGAGAAGGCTGAAGGGTTTATATCCCCAGGGTGGAGAGTGTTCTTACGGCTCTGCCATCAAACGCTCCGTCTCCTTGATAATCCTCTTAGGAAGGGCCATGGTTTCTCAAGGCGCAGGCGCTGGGCGTTTTGGGAGAACCTCGATAGTACCGACAGTCAGCGAAGTACGCCTATCGCTGTGATGTGGTCTGCTGCGTGTAGAAGATCGCAGCGCAAGGGAAAGGTAGGTGACTGAAGGCGTGGTCGCGCAGGAAGGTCCGCCCGGGTGTCACCGCAATCCAGAGGTGAATTTAAGACGTGGGAAGTCAACGTGCAAGGCTCAAGTATGCAGACCAGAAGCCGAATTATGAGGGATAAGAAGAGGGTCTCAAGGCTGTGTGCTGTTGTCGCGGCCAAAGTTGACAAGCCGAGATTCTCAGTCAGTCAGTCAACCTTGGGAATCATGCCCCTCGTCGCCTGGGCCGCCCCCCCGCAGGAGGGACCCTGAACAGAAAGTGGCAGTCCCAATTCTAACACTTCCTATTCGACGTACTCGCTCTGTCTATGCACCTGCTGAAAACTGCTTGAAGTCCTCTAGTACAATATTCAAAGCTGTAGAGCGATGATTTGGCAAGCCTGATAGCTCTCCGGGCCATCCCAGACGGTGTTGAACTGCCACTTTATCTTCAGCAAGGCTGCCCTCCAGATCTAGGTCGAACACTCTTGCGGTCATCGCCAAGCCTCTGTATATGATCAATTCCAGCAATTCCAGAGCCCTGGGCCTCTTCATAAGAGCTATATGGACTCATAGTCTCTATCGCTGCTTTCTACGCGTTCATTTCCCACTGCTTCAGCTGCATAGAGCGTAGTGTTGATCTCAGCTAGAAAGCCTCATCGGGTGTAGCTCGCGACAACATAGGCGGCACCACCGCAGCTTCTATCGGCAACCCATCGCCGACGTCGAGCTTGAGCGTCGAAGCTCCGCGACCATGGCCTCCACGGCCTCCGTGGGCTCGCAGTCCAACGGAGAGCCATCCTCTCCCTTTGAAAGCCCGACTTTCGAGAAAGACGTCTCCATTCACGTCAGCGAGACCATCGGGGCCGCGTCCATATCCCCAAGTGGGCGGGATGTCGTGTTAGCTTCGTAAGTTGCATGGCGTTTCATTAAGAAGGGACCATCACTAACTCCATATAGGCGCAACGGCCTCAATATAATTGACCTTGACAACCCCTACTCGCCGCCCCTCCACATAGCCAACCGCTCGCAGTGGGACGTCGCGGACGTGCAATGGTCTCCCTTCGCAGATCGAGCGTCCTGGATCGCCAGCACCTCTAACCAGAAAGCGCTGATATACAATCTCGATCTCCTGGGAAAGACACCGCGGGCCCCTATTCAATATACTCTGCATGCTCACACACGCGCCATCACGGACATAAATTTCTCAGCGCACCATCCTGATGAACTGGCAACCTGCGCTGTGGATAGTTTCGTGCACTGTTGGGATCTTCGTCAGCCAGGAACACCTGCTTTGACGTTCAATTCTGTGGTGAAGTTCGCCAAACCTTTTGCAATATTCGCGGATTGGGATGCGGGGGCAACCCAAGTCAAATGGAACCGTCAAGATCCACACATTATTGCATCTTCGCATGATAAACATCTGCGTATCTGGGACCGTAGGAATGGGGCAGTTCCGTTGAAGACTATCACAGCACATTCGACCAAAATCTATGGCATCGACTGGAACCGAACACGATCTACAGGCATTCTTACCTGCTCTTTGGATAAGACAATCAAGTTGTGGGACTACTCGAAGGGAGACAACCTTGATCTAGATGACTCCCATGCGGAGCGCATTTTCAGAACACCTTATCCAGTATGGCGAGCGCGTCATACGCCATTCGGATGGGGCGTGCTTGCTATGCCACAGCGCGGGAACTATGATCTACATCTTTACGATCGTCGTCTTAGCACAGGAATGAAGAGGAATGCTGTAGTGCCACCCACGCATTCGTTTGAAGGCCATTCAGACTGCGTCAAGGAGTTCTTGTGGCGCTCACGTGGCTCAATAGAGGACGGCATCGATAATCGCGATTTCCAACTGGTCTCGTGGGGTACTGATCGGTATCTACATCTCCACAAGATGAATCCGGACATTTTGAAATCGGTTGGATTCGAGAAAGGAAAAGAAGTGTTCAAAAAGCCCTACCTTACTCGCAATGGTGCTGCCTATCTGACATATAGGGACGGGCCGCCTATCAAGCCCGACACCAACGTGCCTCTGGACAAAGAGCCAGAAAAACTTTCGAGTCAAGCAAAAGGTCATTTGACTACACTGTTCCAGACTTCCCAGTCTCAGAAAGACGCACGTGCAGCCCCTTTCAAGTCTATGGACCACCCTACAGCAATGGTACCCGTAGGGATGCGGGGCAAGAATAGCGCCCGAAAAATCGTCAACACAATCAAATGGATGGAAGGAGTCAAAATAGGCAATCGAGACACAGACACCGCGGCGAAATGGGGAATACGAGGCACTATACTTCCTCCACCCCATCAATTTACCTGGGATAGCCCCGAGAGCCTTGGTGATGAAATCACGTACGTTGGTGGTAGATATAGAAAAGTTGCTTTTGAAGAAGTAGATGTAGCCCGCCGCAAAGCTACCGTATCTCTCTATGGTCCCTGGGGAGTAGACCGTAAAGCAGCTTTCATTCGAATCAGCTTGAAGTTCCCCCCGAACTATCCTCGAGAATCTGCACCAGACTTCAATATCGAAAAGACAACGGCTGCAATTGCAGATGAAACAATACTTAAACTTGATTCGGAGATGCATTCAATTGCTGAGCTGTACCTGAATCGAAAGCGTGGCTCTTTAGAAGCTATCGTCGGGTACGCTCTTGGTGAACGTGGCCTCGAAGAAAGCATTGATTTTCTGGAGATCGAAGAAGATTCCAATGTTCGAGGACTCGTTAGGATCGTCGACGAAGATAGCTCGAGTGATGAAGAAGATGACGATTTAACAGACCTCAAGGTCGACTTTGAGGGCGCTGTTGATCTGGAACGCAGTGGTAATGACATCCCCGTCAGCACTAAGGCTAACGTTCCCATTGCAAAGCAGTGTGGAGCAATGTGGTCAGAGGACGGCCGGCTTGTTTGCTTCTTCCCACCTCCGCCGGAGCCCCGACCCTTATTTTCGGTCTCGGGGCTACGTCCAGACCGATTAGGAAAGAGCTGGAGTATATTCGATACGTTTGGCCGACTGAACGCTGGTACATCTGCCCCTGGAACGGCGCCAGGGATAGGAGATGATGACCATGCCTCCTTGCATGACTCCTGGACCTCTTCGTCGTCTACAAGCTCGTCTTCAAGTTCTGATGCAGATAATGCCATACAAGGAAGAAGATTCCAGCCTCCAGCAGCATGGCGAAGAACAACCCTCAAATTTCAGAAATCATCGCAAGTTTCCAGTGCGGGCCAGGGAAACCCCATCAGACCGAAATCCATTGTGTCTATCAAAGAGGTAGAGGAGCATCTTCTGCCTTGTAAAAAGGTACTAGCTAAAGAATACAAAATCTTTGGTGATGGCCCCAAAGTTTGCGCGCACAATGCGGAAGTAGCAAGGAAACATGGTTTCCAGGACCTTGCCGAAGTCTGGGACATTTGCAAACTCATTCTTTGTAACGACGTTCCCCTAGAAATATTACCGCAGCAGTATAGGCGAGAGCAAGTGTTGGTGCTCGCTCGACGATCCCTCGTCAAGATCAGACGCAAGGATAGCGGCATTGACCTCGCCTTTGACGATCCTGAAAAGGTTGCGAACCCCAGACTTACCGGCCGAGTCAAATGGGGTCGTAGTCCAATCGTAACGTTCCTCATACCCGCTTTATTCGACCATTTCGAAGCACTTGCAGATACGCAGATGCTTGCTATGCTCTCATGTATATTCTCTGAGCCAGCAGCGAATGAAGGCGTGACCAGCGCCATGCAGCGCCTTCGTCAGTCTGATCTTCCTATGTCTATGGAAGCACCGGCCTTTTCCCTAGACTACTTCTCGTCCGCCGAAGCAGCTTGGAGTTTATTCAGGCGTCCCCAGTCTATCCCCGGTACACCTAGTTATCCCCCAACGCGATTTTCTACCCCAGTCAACTCCTGGGAGCGACTTGATAAGCGGTTAGATACCTTCGGTTCGGCCGGTTCCTCAAATGGTCCCTGGGGAAGTGACCATGTGCCGTCCGATCCAGCCACTCCGTACTCAACGGGCTACACCCCTCCTACACTATCTAGGACAAGCACGCATCGCTCTACTACAAGTGCAACCCAGAGTTATTCAACGTCGCCAGAGCAGCATCACCAGATCAAGAAGTCTAATTCGAACCTGGCTACGGCGTTTGCCACACTCTCGAGGCCGTTTTCTATCAATGCTTCGTCATCACCTCCGGCAAACCCCAAGCCACGAGGGGAGGGAGACTTGTCTACATCAGCTCCAACGAGTGGAATCACATGGGGCACCAACACATTCTACAGTAGCAGCAACGCGACTAATGCAACAGGCCGCTCTAAGCATGGGAAGCGACCCAGCATCTCTCAGCTTGATGGATCTTACCTTTCTCGCCATTCCGAGGAAGATGAAGACCGAAGCTGGAATGAGGAAGGATCCTCAGAGCCTGCCTTACCTTCACAAGAGATCGATGGCGATACAACCATCAAGGTAACGCTCAAGAATCAAGACCACTTTGATGACGAGGGTTGCGTTAGTGCGCCCCTTCTTGACCGTTCCAAGGAATGGCTTTATCGGCACTACCGGGAGCAATATGCCGAGCAGCTCAGTATTTGGAACCTCATCATGCAACGCGCCGAGGTTCTGAAATTCAACGGCCTAGTATCATACTGGCCAGAGAAGAAGATTGAGAAACCATCAAAGCAAGAACCAACCCCTGAGGTAGGCACCATTCCACAAATTCCAGACCGACAACCTACGATTCAGCGGCCGGGGCTACATTGTGGGGTTTCGAACGACTCTTTTCTCAAGACTATCATCAATTTCAGGCTATCAAAAGCAAGAATCTTTCCCACTATCGAGCATTTCTGGCCAAGTTCTCTTCACCTACATCACTGTTCCTCACCCTGCTTCGTTTTTAGCCAAACGTCACAATCAGTCCTTTTCTTGTCTCCCGATCTCTTTCACAGCTTCCTACTCTCTCCTTCCCGGACATGAAAATGCTAAATTACAACAGGGTCGTGCTCAATCGCAATCCCTCGAACCCCCATCAGCCCCATACGGCGCGCGCCGTCCCTCCCCTACCGATGACATCCAAAATTTCTCGTTCAATCCAGAAGCGCACGAGTTTCTCCCGGGCACAAAGTCACCTCTCCAGCTCTCGCAACCCCAATCACCTCATGGCGAGACCGGCGACTCCTTCCAGGAATCACTCAGCATCGAAGTACCGCCCGCTCCCAATACTAGACCTCCTAACGACACTAAGGGCACGAAGCCACTAGTCATGCCAAGTATGTGCGCCGTGTGCTGGATGCGGCTACAGGGGCTGTTTGTGTTTTGTGGAAGGTGTGGGCATGCGGCGCATACGGCGTGTGTGCCTGATAGCAATAGTGGGGCTTTCGGTGGTAGCACTGGGAACTGCGCGGCCTATTGTGGGTGCGAGTGTGGCGGAGATGAGAAGATTGAGGGGAGGCCAGACGAGTGGTGGAAAGAGGGCGCGAGTAGTGCGCAGAGTCAGGGAGGAGAAACTCAATCGGAGGATTGGAGGATGAATGTTGGATGAGGCTAATGGAGTGGAGGAAGACTTATACCCCGGTTCTTGCGGTGTGCTTGAGGCAAGCAGCAAAAACCAATGTAAGATGTTTCGCGTTGTAAGTTTACTGGTGTACTTCATAATCTAGGCGAGCTTCTAGGAGCTTTGGAGTCCTCTTTGAGGCGGACGTAGCATAGTGTTTGTAGGCTAATCTGCTCGTTCGAACGCCTGCAATCAAGCACTGGCATTTTCAAGGTGTACTGAAGTGCTCTTAGCACGTAAACTCCGTTGCTCCTGTTTCTTCCTTGATGTTAGGTCACTTAGGTGCTGCTCCCGCGAGGAGGTGCTGCAGATCGAACACTAATCAACAAGAGATCGTCGATCAGCAATGGAGAGTGGAGTTATAATGAAATATTGGTGTCTAACGTACCCTGCGGGTGAGCTGCCCATGCGGGCGAGCTGCCCAGTCCGTGCACCACTAGAAATTCAATAATCTAACCTTAAATAACCCTACAACTACCTAATAAAAAGTTATACAAATATAATATATTATTCTTATATATATAAATACTTAGTATATAGAATATAAAGTCTATTTTTATAGTAGTTAACTAATTATTAAATTTAGACCCCTATTTTAGACCTTACCCTTTATTACTAGCTAACTACTATAAGGATAGACTCTATATTCTATATACTAAGTATTTATATATATAAGAATAATACATTAAATTTGTATAACTTTTTATTAGGTGGTTGTAGAGTTATTTAAGGTTAGATTATTGAATTTCTAGTGGTGCACGGACTGGGCAGCTCGCCCGCATGGGCAGCTCACCCGCAGGGTACGTTATGCATCGTCTGGACTTAGTAAGTACAAGATCCGCCTGACAAGGTGTTGAGAATCAAGTCCTCTGAGGAGCGAATTTCTAGGCTTAGATGGGTACTCATCTTCTAGAGGGCGGAGCAGAAGACCGATGCTAGCAAGTCTCGAACACATCGAGTGGCATTGAAACCACCATTCTTGAGACGGTGCCGTTGGTTCACGGCTTACTGATTTGCTTATCAGGGTGAAGGGACTTGGCCTCTCGTCGGATTATCACTAAACCGGTTCAACAGCAGAGCGAAGCACTTCCGTTCAGAACCAGAATCATACAACGTAGTATCCGGCTCATCATCCTACGACTACCACGGTGACCCTCACGCTTTCATTGCTGCGAAGCTGCCGAATGGCCATCACGTGAGTTTAGGCAAAGTCACGACTCCATAGACGCCCAGAAGCCACTGGACTAGTGCGATTCTTAAATACTACTTAAGCCTGTCCTGTCTCGCGACGGTTTGTCTTTTCATGGAGTTCCAGCCTCGTCTATGAGGGCATGATCAAATTCTTGATCTCTTCTGCTTCATGGACGTGGAAGGCTGACGGTGCAGGGTTCATAGAAAACATGAATCCCCACAGCGAATGGTGGAGACCAGTTTGAGAAAGACTAGGGATCGCTGATGATGAATGGTATCATTTCCAGTTGAATATACTCCGCATTCGAGGGGACTGGGTACACAACAGGTCTTCGCAACGGTTTCGAACATGCTCCGTGCAAATCGATTATGAGCGTTAATGTCATCTATAGATGAATGTCATCAATCCACGAACTTCGCACCTCCCACCCTCTGCCCCATCAGCTGAGTTGCTTTCGAATTTGACACCCCGAGACCCCAACCAACCATGGAGTGTTGGAAAGTCTCCTCTCTCCACCAAACCCGTGGAGGAAGTCCACAGGTGCCTTTTTGGTTCCTGCTCTGCTTGCTTCTTGATGTTGTGAATGAGGAGGGCGTCTGCTAGCTTTTGTAGTCGAAAAAGTATTACCGCACAGACCGCCGGAAGAAAGATTCACTAGGTCCAGCGGTGAAGCAATGCAAATAAACGGGGAGATGAGTAAAGGGGCATGTGAGGCACGTGATCAGTGGAGACGTGAGCCGTGACAGGGCGGATCCGGAAGGCCATGTTGAGTGATAGTTCTTGGTTGAAAGCTCTACCCTTGTAGCTTCTGAAAGCATGATTAGATCAAGACTACGTGAATCAATAAGAGTTTCGGATCCTCAATTTTCATTGCCCCGAAGAGCATTGCTCGCTTGTTCATCACGTGATGCTGTCGCATGATATCGGAACAGTGTCGGCCCGAGCTGCGCGGCCTATATCAACGTCCGCACCTCCACCTAAATCCTCGTCATTCGTCTCTAAATACTTGGGCGCTTCTTCGGGTTCGAAACACGAGGATCCAACTGGAGGTGGAGAGGAGTAATCTTGAACCCAAAGCTGCCTTGCGGGGTATAGAATAGACGGGCCTCCCGGGTCCTCGTTACACCAGCACAATGAGAAGTTCCAACGGTTGTTGGACTTGCCGGCTCCGACGCAAGAAATGCGATGAAAAGCACCCTGTATGTGATGTCTGCGCTGCACTCTGTATCACATGCCACAGTTTCCTGGACGCCAGGCCGGAGTGGATGGATGGCGGCGCAAAACAGGAAGAGATGGCTGAGCAGCTCAAACGTGAGGTCAAAGAAAAGGCCCATCGCCGACGTGGGGATCGTGTGGTCCATATTTCTAGCGATTACGTTTCAACTGACGAAGCTTCTACGGTCGATTTGATGGCGCTTCCCCAAAAACCACCCATGGACCTGGCTACTCCTATATGCGATCTCCTAAGGAAAACCCCGGGCATCCACAACGATGGAATGGCGCCGTCACCCGAGGCATCCACTGTATGGCTCTGTCGTGGGGCTGACTGCACGCTTACTGCTAAGGAATCTCGCGAAAACATTGCCTTTGGACGGTCTGACACTGTTCTCCTTACGTTCTACCTGGAACATTTACTTCCCTTTCTGTTCCCGTTCTATCGTCCCTCTCTCCTTCAAGGCGGAAGATCATGGGTCTTCGAGATGATGATAAGTAGCCCCGTAATACGGCAGGCCACCTTATGTCAGAGTTCCTATTTCTTCTCTCTTGCGCGGGGAACGGCCAATCGCGATGCAATCTGGGATGAAGTGCTCACGCAAACCACGAATGCCTTCGGGGTGCTGAGACAAGCACTGCAGGTTATAGATGGCTCAGGCGTCGCAAAACATCTGCACGGCGCCGTGCGAATCATGGCGAGCATCATGCAGATGCAGCGTTTCGAGATCGCCGTCTTAAGCTTTCACAACTGGCATACACACCTCAATGCCGCTCTCGTTCTATTTAGACAACTCCTCGACAGCGCCGTCGAATCAAGAGAGCCTATTTCACGTTTCGACGCTGTCATGAGCCGCTTGGGTCCGTCGTCGTCGTCATGGAGCTGGCCTAGCCAAAGTGACCAGGTTCCGAGCGCTGAACAGGCCGCCTTTCGCTTCTCATCCACCCTTGTCATATTGGATGATATTATTGCCAGTACGGCACTTCAGGAGCAACCTAGACTCTACGAGTACCATCGCAGCCTTCTTGGTGGCATCCAAGGCACTGAGGATCCCCCTATCAATCTCGAGGCTGTTGTCGGGCTCAAGAACTGGACCTTGCTACAAATCGGCGAGATTGCCACGCTTGAAGCATGGAAACAGCGATGTAAGACGGCTGGAAATCTCGATGTCGTGGAGCTAGTCCGCCGCGCCACAGCTATCAAGGAGTCATTAGTAGCTCATCTCATGCGCCTCGAAACCGATCCGCCAAAAGCTCCGAAAGAGAATAACAGCTTTCTGGATATTTTCGCTCCACCCCTCAGCCAGTGCTCTTTAGTCTCCCGTGTCTGGGCTCACGCAGCGCTCATATATCTATCTATCGTTGTGTCCGGATGGCAACCCACCAACGTCGACGTGCGTTATCACGTTAATCGAGTCATCGAGCTGCTGAAGCTTCAAAGATCGCCGGCACTACTTCGCACAATGGTGTGGCCGTTCTGCGTCGCAGGCTGCCTTGCGGAGCGCGGCCAGGAGGCTCACTTTCGTGGGATGGTAGAGGTTCTGCAACCTCCGAGCATCTTCGGCACGGTACACAAGGCGCTTGAGATTATGGAGAACGTATGGCGTAATAGGGACACAGACTTTGCGACCCGCGACATCGCTACGTGCTTTAGGGCCCAGGGTAATCTGGTGTTACTTGTCTAGCTAGCTATCAGGGGGATAGTTCTGCTATGTTGAGGGTACTTGATTCGGTTCTTGCTCATGACATTGATTTGACATCTAACTTTGATAGATTTGTCATGACTACTCCTCATGACTATTCCATTTCCTCACTTGAATTCGACGTAGCCCTTGCCCTTCACGAACGTGGCGTGGCTGGGCACACTCCCCTCATGATCCGCCAACTGTGCAAAGAACTCGGCATGAGCAGCGCCGTCAAGCGCCATCCCCTTGAACTTGCCATCTCCGTGGCGCTCATCGGCATAAAAGAAACTATCGAGCCAGTCGTATTAGAACAGTCCACGCGGAGCTTTTCTTTGGAGTACTCACCGAATCCCGCGGGCCGAGTACAGCGCGTCGGCAAGGCCGATCCAGAACGACGAGGCCGACTTGCCTATGCCTAGATCCAACATCATAGGCATGGGCACGATGCAGACGTTCATGATGTTTCCGGTGTATATGAACGTCTTCTTGGCCTCTTTGGGCAGCGTCTCCCATCCGCTGACAGCCTGCTGCGCCGCAACGTAGGGGCTGATAGTGTTGACATTCAAATCCGACGCGACACTCTCAGCTGAAACCGAGAACACAGAGTCCTTATCAGAGGGGGGCGTGAGTGCTGCTGCGTTGTAGATGACGACACTGGGAGAGGCGTGGAACTCGGTCTTGACGGCATTGAAGAGTGCTGGGATCGAGTCGGGCTTGGTGAAGTCTGCCTTGAGAGAGAGAACCCCTTCGGCGGCCTTGCTGCCAGTCCCCTTCCTAGACACAACAGAGACCTTGTAGCCGGAGCTGGCGAACTTCTCGGCGACAGCGGCTCCGATCCTAGGCCCAGCTCCAAGAATGAGCACCACAGGGGTGGCTGCCATTTTGCTTTGACGTTTGATAGTAAAGATAGGGATTCGACAGGTTTGCGTTGCAAGGAAGCTGAGATGTAGAATAGAAGAATGGAGTTTTATTGGCGTCGAAACGTCTACTATATATACCAAGCAGAATCTACGTTCATTCATTGCACTTTGGTCCAACCCGCCCGACTTCCGAAGCTTTGAAATCACAATTTTGGGTTATACTCCTCCTGAGCTGTAGGTTCGAGGGTCAGACAGGATGATTGGCATGAATTCATATGCAGTACCAGAGTAACCGCGCGGGACTACCTCACTGCTGTCGAATTTAGGATTCTTGAACCCACAACCCGAGCGGGAAAGGTCCGAGGCTGTGGAGTTAGTGATTTGTAACTTACAACATCCTGCAGCAGCGTAGACATTCCCGCGCGCAGTGAGAATAGCTTTCATTCTTCTATTAGCGCGGTGTCCTATCCTGTTCCGAAAGAATTCGGATGTGATTGGTCAAACATGATTGGCTAAAATCTTTCCCGCGCGGGAAAGTCTCAAGACACTATTTCGGCACCTTTCTCAACCCTATCCTTGTGCATTTGACAATAGATTCGTCAGCTCGCTATCTGAATTGTAGTCGTTGATAATGCCCTATCCCCGAGACGCCGATTAATTCCTTCTTTTCCCTTTCCAATCTGTCAGAGAAAAGCTGCACACATAGCGCGCCATGTCCTCGGTACTTTCATCCATCCGTTCAATTATCAGCTCAAGGTACTTCGCAATTCTTCTTGTGAGCTTGTCTGTCCCGCTCATCTACCGCCGGCAAGCTGCAAGCATTGTATCTGATTCCTCACAACTCAACAGTTCCGATCGGACCATGGCGACTTCCACGGCCGCTGATAGCTCTTCCGGACGGATGCCCGTCTATTTCCTGGGCATAGGGGGCCCTAACTTCTTGGAATCTACGAACCACCCTGCCTACGCCAAACTAGCCGCAGTTGGGCGGGAGATTACGACCAAAGTCAAGCTAAAGGCAGTCGTCGTCTTTTCTGCCCACTGGCAAGGAGGCCCGAACACAATCAGAATCAACGTTGCAGAAAAGACGGATCAAATCTACGATTTCTACGGCTTTCCACCACACTTTTACGAATACAATTATCCTTACATAGGAAGTCCCGAGGTCGCCGAAAAGGTTATCGAAAAGCTCGAGGGTGCCGGCATCGAGGTTGAGAGAGTCAAACGAGGCCTTGACCATGGCGTCTGGGCCGGTTTCATGGTTGGTGAGTAATGACAGCGGGAATCATTCTCGGTATCTCGTTGCTAATGCTCCAGCCGGACAGCTTTTGACCCGAAGAAGAACCCATTGAATGTGCCCATCGTGCAGGTTTCGCTGTACGATAATGAGGACTCGGACCAACATTACCGCGTGGGGCAAGCTCTGGAGAGTCTGCGAGACGAAGGCGTTCTGATTATCGGCGCGGGAATGGCTGTTCACAATCTTCATGATTACCGGAAGACGTTGCAGGCGCGGGGGGCCGGCAAGACCATGCCGTTAGTATATCCTGCCAGCAGTCTCGGGTCGAATGTGTTTGTGCTAATGCTGTTTAGTTACGCCTTCAGCTTTGACGAGGCGCTGAAAGAGGCTGCCACCGCAGATCCTGAGGAACGTCGGGCAAAAATGGCAGCTTTGATGAGGCGCAGTGATGCTAGAGAGGCGCATCCGACCTGGGAACATATTCTCCCCATTCATATTGCTGCAGGCGCCGCTAGCTCGGGTCTTGGCGAACAAATCTGGACTTTACCGGAAGGAAGTTTGAGTTGGGCGCAGTATCGCTTTGGTGAACTCGCAGCGGCGTAGCATTGCTCTTGAGCAATCTGAATCAAAAGAAAAGGAACTTTTTTGATTATGACAGAATGTTATACAATCATCTTACGTTACTGATACAGCCTTTGTCTTCCGAAGGCTAAAGGTGCCGCTGGATTTTCCCCTTTTCCTATCTCGAGTGGTAACAGCGAGACGGTAGCAACGGCAGAACCCGAATCTCACCTAGCAATCTACGTCCGAATAAGTTCGAATTGCAACAGAGAGAAGCAGTAGTAGACAAACGACGCCTCGGTAACTAGTATCTCGAGCTTGTGAATCCAGATTGGTACGTTGATGGGGGTGATCTGATAAAGATAATACTGAATCGGGTGTGGATGGACATGGAAATTACTATTATTTGTACAAATACCTATGCTGTTTCGCGGTTTGGATGAACTGAAAATAAATGATCTCAAGTGTCGAGAGAAACTAAGACTGTGAATATCCCAGGAGAATCCAAGGTAAAATATGCTCGTTCATGCATATTCTATAGCTATTGGGTACAGAACGACAGTCCTTGAAGCTACGTTGGAACAACGAAAATTCACCTTGAGACTGAACTCACCTACTGCTCACTACTGACTTCTTCGAGAGAGCATGCATATATGAACTGCTACCGTGCCCATCCTCGACTTCAACCACATAGTCTGAGTGATTGCGCTGGAGCTAAACTAAAGACGGGTCAAACCTACCATTCTCTTCGGAATAATACTGCGCATTAGCTCATGTGCTACCTCCTAAGTGGAGATGTTTTCAACGTCCTGCCGATCGTTACGGCCGCTACGAAAGTCGCTTTTACTAGAACGACCACAATCAACACGCTGAATCGTGATCGAATAATCAGATGAATCCGTGAGGCACAGATTCTAACACTACACTAACCTCCTGATCCTCGTTTGGATCAGCCGAGTGGCTACAATATGCATACGAAGCAATCAGCAGAGCGCCTAGAAACCTCTCCAACGAAGGCACGGCATGACCTCAGGGGTAAACGAATTCTAGCCATCTGGCGCGCGTCAGCGGAGGAAAGAGCGACGAATCGAGCGCACTGTGGCTCACCGGTCCTGATCATAAAAAAATCCTCGGAAATTATTAACTCAGCCTGATCGACGGGAAGCGTCGGGGCAGTCCGGCGCCCAAGGCGCCTCCTGACATAGCCTGATACACAGTCCTCCCAAAGCGTGCCACAGCCAGTCAGCGGGAGGTAGGGGTATTCAAGGCTGCTTGGCATGCCTCCACACTTCTGCACCGCTTCCAGCGGTGGCGGATTTAGCAACACCACACGCGAGGACGACGCCTGATCTGCAGGATCTCGACCAGCCCCAGCGGGCGGCTTATCGGGCGCTCAGCCAAGCGGGCGCGAAGGGACACAGGAGTGACAGGATGCCGCGTTGGGGGTGGCATGGACGCTGCTCCGGGGAGTGATTGGCACGATCGCAGAGGATCGTCACAATAGAGTTTGAGATGCTGGCTGCATCTCGCACGGCGAGCCTTGCGCAGTTGTTGCACCGGCCACCGCTGACCGTCACGATGCGGACGCAGGTACAGTGCCCGCGGCGCTGGCAGGACGCCAAAAGAGAGGCGCCAGAGCTACGCCCAGTAGCCTCTGGCCGCGCCTGCACCTGCACCAGCCTGCTGAGCCAATGTATCGGCTGCCTGGCCGCCTTGTGTGCGGCCTCCCGAAAGGAACCAGCTCGTCGACTCCCAAAATGAAACCCGGCGAAGCAGCGCGGGCATGGCAAGTCCCGCGGCTGAGGTCGAACAGACTGGCACCGTCTTCGAGCGAAAGCACCCAACCACGGAAACGCGCAGCCCCTGGCGGGGGAAAGATGTGCCGGGCTGGATGGGCTCGTGGTCGAGCCAGTTGACGCCTCGACGGCAGCCAAAAAAGCCCAAACGTGCTTGCTGCACGATGGCCCCCCCAGCACAGCAGGGGTTGGCGAGGGGGGAACCCCTTGCCAACTTTGATCAATCGACACTATTGATTTGGGAGCAGCCCGAAAGGGATGCATGTCGCAGCTGCATCACACAGGAGAGCGAGGGCCAGTCTCGAGGTGAGCAGGCACGCGCAGATGCTCGACGTCGCCGTCTGAAGACGTGCAGACCAAGCACCGGGATGCCAAACAAGCTTCTTTCCATGGAGCTGCCAGGCGCTACGATCAGCGCTTGGCGAGGTTTGGCTGCCCCGATGTGGCTCTCGCGTAGGCTTGGGGCGTGAGGGTGTCAGTCGGGCCGGAGCATGAGGATGGATGAGGCTCAAAACGTGGAGAGAAGGGAGGAGGCCGTGCAGCAACGAGCCCGATATGGCGGAACAGGCGTCGCCCACCGCGACCCGAAGGGCTAGCATCCGAAGCGGCATCGTGTACCGCAGCCAAAACACCACGGCGATCCGTGTCGACGTTAAGCGGACGGCTCCTGTTTGATGCTGGCTAGCGTTCGGCCATCCCGGGGCCTAGCCTCGAGCACGCTCTGGCATTGCAATCATACGAGGCAGCCGGAGCGGGGTCGCGTGCTGCACGATAGCGGCCGGCTCTTTCGTGAGGAAGCCGGTGCGAGGGCTCCATGGATAGCCTGCTGCAATACTGCAGGCGTCAGGGGAGTGCAGCGTCCAGCTCCAGGGCCAGCATCAGCAGCCTGGAAATTGGAACAGAAAGCGACGACGGCGAGCAGAGCTGCGGCCGGGAAGCTGGCCGCGAGGACTGGAAACCACGCTCGACCTGCCCCAAGCCGGTGGGAGAGGTGGACCAAGGGACGGAGTGGGCGAGTCACAAAATCATTTGGACTTTCGCTTATAGGCCGCTCCCATTGGCGCACGGTGCCATGGATGCCAGGCGGTCGGCTAGAGGATAGGAAGGGGTCGCTCTCCTGTAATCTGGCACCCGGCGTGAGATTGAAGGGTGCTGGCGGGAGCCGAATTGCAGCAGCTCGAGGAGGTCGACGACGGCGGACGGCGGGCGTCTTATGAAGAGTTGAGGTCGACGACGTCGCCGCGGGTCCCACCAGGAAACGCCCTCCCGGGACGGCAGCGCGGTGGCAGAAGCCTCGCGCCCGTGCTCGTCGGTTGCGGCTGTGGTGTGTTGGAATGGAGCTCCAGGCTCGCGGGATGTGGCATGCAGCTACTTGCATTGGCGCAACCAAGGCGCCTGGATCGCCGCTGATTTCCCACCTTTTCCCAGCGGCCACAGCGCGAGCTGACGCCCAAACCAGGCCGCTGGTAATGCACGCCAAGCCCCAGCCAGCAGCTCGACTCCGCCCATCACCGCTTGAAGACCGCTCGGCGCCTCGTGCGCGATCCCCAGACACTCTGCCCGCTGCCATTCGCGCGCCAGCAGCGGTGCCGGTGCAGGCCCGTCCAATTCGTCGGCGCCCGCTGCCACCCAACACTCGGCGCGCGTATCGAGACGCCCAGAGAGGTTCGGCGCCGTCACAGACAGCGCGGCCACGTGGAGATCGCTGGGGCCGGCGGCGTCTCGGGAAGGACAGGAAGCTGGTCGGCGGAAGACACCCGCCTCGCCTTGCAGCTGCGAAGGAGCGCGCAGCGTCAGCCCGGAGCGCAGACACGTGCCGTGCTGCCGATCGCATATTGCAGAGGGAGACAGGAATAGCAGAGACCTGCGCGACCGGCGGGCTCAGGAAGATCGCGAACAGCGATGACGAGGGCGGACCAGCTCAGTCTCAGCACCCGCTGGAGCAGGGCAGGGAGTCGTGACCCTGCCCAAGCTCCCCCGAGTGGAGAACCGATCTGGGGAGATCGCGCGTGACTATCGGCACCCAAATCCAGGGTAGCGTGCGCAGAGTAGCCGGTGCGTGGGCAGACCCTCGATCCCATCTCTTCCAACGTGCGCGGCGCCGCCCCATCCCATCGCCAGTGCGCGCAAACCGCCGGCTTGTCTGCTCGTGAAGCTTGGAATAAGCTTGTGCATGCCAAGAGCTGCCAGGCCTGTCCCGATTCGCACCGTGGGCTCGTCGGCGACCAAGCTGCGTCGGCCGGGTCAGGTGCTGCGTGTAAGGAATGCTCGTACTCGGCTAGCGCGCGGCATTCCGAGTCGTCTAACTTCGTCTCCTCATGTCAGGCCGAGCACGGGCGAGTATTGGCTGCGCTCTGGCCGCCCCCTGCCATGCCAGCGACGGCGCCATCTGTCAGGTTCACGCGCCCGCTGCTCCTGATGCACTCTCTGCCAACGGCCCTCCGGCAGTCGCTGCGCCTGCAGCCCGCCCGACTCGAAGCGTTTCACGCCCAGCCGGGCCGACGACGGGGGCCGAGTGTCGCCAAACTGCTGCTGCGATGCAGGAGGGCCGCTGAGATGCAGGCTAAGATTCAGGAGCGTTCCGCGATCGCGCGAGCATGGCAGGGCGAGGGCCTTTGTGGTGGCCTTTGTCTCAGGCTATGGGCCTGGCGGCCAGACCGCGATGGTGCAGCGGCGGGCTGGCGCCAGGCCCAAAGCATCGCACACCCTCGCCCGTGGTTCTTGGAAAAACAAAGGCCTCTTGCGAGTCTGCTGGAGAGAGACGCCGCACGCCCGGCAGCTGGAGCCGCACGTTCCCCGTGCCGCACGTGAGGGCGCAGTGCCGGCGTCGAGTCGGGGTGGACTGCTGGCTCTGCTGCGGCGCGGGCCAATGAAGAACCGTCTTGATTTGAGATAGATGCTGGACGTGTGCGAGTGCTGGAGGGCTGCGAGACGATGCCAGTTGCTGCAGGCGGTGCTAGAGGTGAATGCCAGAGGTGAATTCAGCACTAGGGCGTGCTAGTGAATGCTCTTTGACCACCGGGCCGGCGTGCAAGCGATGCCCTGTCGCTGCTCAAGCCGTCCCGCCGCGCCAACGACACCGAGAGCCCAGCCGGCAGGGTCCAGGTCTCGTAGGCATCCCGGAAGTCGTGCATTGTCTTCTGCCCAGAGCATTCACAGGCGTTGCTTCTGCCGTGCTCGTCTGCTTTGCCCTCTTGCGTCAAAGTGTGTGAAAGACGCCGCTCCCCAGCCCTCACCTGAGCCTGCCCAGCGCCCCCTCCGATCTGGATCCCCAAGCTCGGACGAACCCTATCGCCTGGTTGAGGCCCCAGAGCTGGTCAGCCACGCGAACCCCCATCCCGGCCCTTAGAGCCTGGCGTACATATACGTGACGGCCTCCACCCTCCACTACTCAACACCTGCGACAAAGCCTCCTCGCCGCCATCCACTCCTTAGGGCGCCAGGAACCCGACTCGACAAAGGATCGCCCCTCCGCCCTGCAGCCCACCGCCCTGCCCTGCCCGCCGCATCGTCGCCGCATCCCCCGTTAGCAGCGCCCGCTGTGTGACCGCGACGACGAGGACGAACGCCGTAGACGCCGCAGAGGATTGCCAGGACCGTCCAGGAGTGCGGAGCGTGCCGCTGCCGGAGTGACCGCGCATTGGCCAGCGATCAGAGACAGCACTTCCCCCGTATCCCGGAGCGCGGCCCAGCAAGCGTGGTGATCGTCGGTGCTCATCAGCACGGCCATATCAAGACGCTCCTCTTTACCAGAAACCAGACTCCTCGCAGCCTGTGCTACGGCGCGAGTTGCACTGCGTCTGCACGACCAGGACTCCGGGCTCTTCACCATCTTGCGGTGCTCAAGGAGAACATCGTGTCACCCTCGTCCGGTTTCGTCTTGACTGTACGCCCTCCCCCAGGCAGCGTCCGCCACTGTCCACTGATCGCGCGCAAAGACTGAGACTTTCTAGAAGCTTTACGGAGAGGCGTGCATCCAGCGTAGCACGTCCTGCCAACTTCTGCGCAGGTACCGCCCTCGGTCGACACCTTTCCGTTGCCCCATTTCCAGCGTCGGAATAGCCTTCCGGCCTCGGGACGCGAGCAGCCTGCCCTGCGAACGCTACTCTTGAACGTTGGTCTCTAGGAAGAGTCTTTTACAGGTCGTGTCGCTGTTGCCTGTATCTAGTCAGCTTCTCCTTCACAAACCGTCCTCTTCTCACGTCGAGAACTTGGCCCAAAGCCAGCACAGCTGCCCTTCCTGGATTACTCTCAGGCTACACGTGGGCATTACTGGCCTAGTCCAAACCTCACGACTCCTCCTTTTGTAGCCTCCCAGCTGCAGTCGTTGCCGACCCCCCCAGCATCAGAAGCCGGACGGCCATCAGGCCTATCCCCTCACCAAACCGCAAACGTGGCTGCCGCCGTGGCTCATCCCACCCAAATGCATCCTGGGCCCGACCCGTTGGGTGCACCTCCAAGCTTTGCGGCTAGGAGGCCCAACGCGTCGAACCTGGGTACATTCGAGCTGCCGCCGCCGCCTCCGCATATGCAGAACATGAAGCACAATTACTCCTCTTTCAACACCATCAACGCGTCGCAATCATCACAGGCCCCTTCGACGATTGCTGGCGTTGGCAGCTTGCTTACACCCCCGAGCAATCTGTCGGGTGACGGAATCAGCCCCGTTTCTGGAGTAACGACAACCAGCTCCAACTCGACGCAGAGTATGCAGTATACTCCCAACGGGCAGTACATATATTCGCCGCCGACTCAGGCACCTAGTGGGTATGGATATCAGCCGGGCTCGCAACCGCCACAATCATACAATACTCCCTCGAGAGGTATGTTTTCGCCAGTATACTCGACCCAGCAAAGGCATCCTGGCTCACACCAACAACGTGAAGGACTACCACCTCCGCCATACGAAGTCAATCTGCCACCGTTCCCGGCGTCGGGGTCTATGGCGGCGCCTTCGAATCTGCCGACAATGTCTACTCAGCAGCAGCAGCATCACCAAGCGATGAATAACGCTATGATGAACGCACAGACTCCTGTTTCGTCGTCAGCACCGCATCACTCTCCGGTCCACGCGCAGGAGGGCTTCCAGCGACCGCCTCCAACGCCAACTTACTATGGATCTCAGCCGTCGACGACACCGCAACAGCAGTCGTTCCCGTATTCTACAGGGCCTTCGCCAACTCAGCAGAGTCCAATCAGCGCCGGCGGCTCGATGCCTAGAATGTCCCCAGCGAACAGTCAAGGACAGGTCCCCTCGTTGCAATCTGCGCCGTCGCAATCGCCCCATCCATACCAACGTCCGTTTGGTGGCTATCTCCCACCAGGCCCTGTTTTGTCGAATGTAAATAACCCGAACGGCCAGCTCGCGCTAGTGGGTGGAATGCCACATGCCATGATACCTGGTTTCAACAGTGGGCATGCGGCCACCATGCAACACATGTACGGAGGACACCACCCGCAGCAGCCGCAAACTGCGAATGACAGGCCGTTCAAGTGCGATCAGTGCCCGCAAAGCTTCAATCGAAATCATGACTTGAAGCGACACAAGCGCATACATTTAGCTGTAAAGCCATTCCCTTGTGGCCACTGCGACAAGAGCTTTTCGCGAAAGGATGCCCTCAAGGTTCGTGCAACCATGTATTGATGAGAAACGGAATACTGGCTAATTTTTCTGCAGAGGCATATTCTCGTGAAAGGCTGCGGCAAAGTGTCATCTAGCGGCGATGGCGAAAAGAACGAGAGCCTCTCTCCAAACGACAAAGGCTCTTCAGGTGCCGGCGATTCCGCCGATAGTAAACCCGCGATCTCCGGCCACTCATGATTTAAATGTGTACTTGTTAATGCCCAAGTTTCGCTTCTACACCTTGTATAACTACTTTCCTTCTCCTGGAGCACTCGTTAGGGCCGCTTTTCGCTAGGTTTGCAAAATTTCGACGTCCACGTTGCGCGAGATGATCTGTGTTTTACGGTAATGTTTTTGGCTTGCTTGCCGGGACTTTGGGATTCTATGGAGTCGATGGTGCCCTGCTTGCGGTTGTGGCTGTTGCGGATACCTCTTTCATTTGTTTTCTATTCTCTGGCGATCTCTCTGGCGATGCTTTGTTGGCTTCGCGTTTCTTTTGGTCGTTTCTCCGTGCATATCCACGTTGAGTGAACTGGCGGCTAGGTGCCGGGGGCGTGGTGTACTTGGATCGGGTCTTCGATGAATGGATGCATGGCTTCTAAGAGCAAGCTCCACGGCGTAAAATTGTCGGGCTCATGGGTTGAGAGATGGGTAAAAGTGCTACGATTAGGAGGGTATTGCGATATGAATCATGCCCTATCTCTCTATCAGTATTGCTTTCCTGTGATTTAAGTACTGCTGTGACCTGTGCATGAGTGTAGTAAGTGGATGCTTGATGACAGGAAGCATCTCCATCAAGAGAGGAGGAAGTGTTGTCGGGTACGTGCAGGTTTTGCCCGTGACTTGGAAGCTGAACCTTGAACCATGCAGGGCGGAGATTTCCGCGTCGCCAACGTCAACTCCTCCATCCTCGCTACACGGGACGCCTGTCCACCAACATTTACGCATTGTGAACCCAAGAGTGCTCGAAAGGCTAATATACTACTAACATACACCTGGATGCCGTTGTTCTGGTGTCCCGGCGCTTCGGGCTGAGCCTGGGCCGTGGCTCCCTCAGATCACATACCTGGCTGGTAAGGACAACACCACGGGGCTATCAAGATACTGTAGGTAGAAAGAGCAGAGGTGAGGGGAAATAGATGCCGTTAGAGGCTGTGTGAAGTGGCATATATTCTCCTGTGAAGTCTCGTTTTCGTCTAAATGTCCCACGTGCGTGAGACGCGTCGAGACGCGTCTCTTCTCTCAGCAGTTCCCCAAATTTTTGCAGCTTCATCTTGGGATCTTTTCTTGGCATTCCACGTGCCGTCTCGGCAACGCATTCCGCAGCTATAAAACTCTCTTCTTGCAAACAACCTTCCAGACTCAACCTCGCCCGCGCCGTGCCACATTCCGCCTTCGGGCACAGCACTGCGTACACTAACAGGTTCAATCGCTAACATCTATCCTCTTCAGACTCTCTCTTACCTCTGGGTCTTTTATCGTGCCTGCTGCTACTCGCTGTTGGGCGCTTCCCGTCTGCCTCAGTGATCGCGTCTTAACCCACGGCAGCCGCTTCCACCCACTCCGGAATTTCCTCCGCCTCTTCTCATCGACATTAGCCACGTTGTTGCAGGCCTTGCAAGCTTCTGGAGCATTGGTAAAGGAATCCGACTGTTTTGCCTTGCCGTCCTCTCGTTTTGCCATCTCACCACCCCCGAAGCCAGCCCGACGACGCCCGGCCACAACAACAACCTCAACACAAACAACACGACGACGATGCTTGATCGAACTCAGTGATACTTGAACGGGAATTGGACACCAGGTCTTGGATTGGTACTTCCAATTGCATCTTTTACACCCCATCGCAGATATCAGGACGCGCACCGAGTCCTGCAACGTCGGCATTCCATTGGATCTGGAATAGCGGTTACCTCTGCTTTGTTTACCCACTTGTATACACCTAGGTCAGCATGGACCGCTACCGTCAAGAGCGCCCTCCGTCGCGTCGGAGGCCTCTGAATGACACCACACTTCGCTCGAATGGGATTTCCACTCCACCCCGCCTCACAAAGGGCAAAGACAAAGTTCGCAGCAACGCCCTAACCTCCTCGCCTGGCAGCCTTCCCCACAACGAGTCTCTTGTCCCCAATGGAACTCTAGCAGTCCGCCATCATCAAGAGCCTCTCGCAGAGAACAAGCGCGTCTCCGCCGTTTCAACCGAAGAGCATCACAACAAGCGAGACTCCGAGATCTCCAACGCAAGCACGAACGCGTCTGACTACAGCCGCCGTCGCAAGACACACATTGGACCTTGGCAATTAGGGAAAACAATTGGTAAAGGCGGATGCTCTAGGGTCCGGGTCGTGAGACATTCTGTTACTCAACAGTATGGAGCGGCCAAGATCATCTCGAAGGCCACAGCGGAGAAGGTGCGAGCATTGAGCTTGGCCAATCTTATCAAGAGCGCTGAGACGGAGGCATCGCTATGGTCTGGCGGCAAGGTCATCCCGTTCGGCCTCGAGCGAGAAATTGTCATCATGAAGTTGCTGGAACATCGCAACATCGTCAAGCTATATGATGTTTGGGAGAACCACAATGAGTTGTAAGTACCAAGTTCTCTATTCTATCGCACGCACTTGCTAATATGCTGTCAGGTATCTGGTCATGGAGTACGTCCAAGGTGGTGAGCTTTTCCACTATATCGAAGAACAAGGAGGCCTCCAGGAAATCGAAGTAGTCCACCTCTTCCGACAGATCATTGCTGCCTTGCTCTACTGCCATCGGCTTCACATACACCATCGAGATCTGAAGCCTGAAAATATTCTTTTGGATCGAACTACCTTTGAGATAAAGCTAGTCGATTTTGGAATGGCAGCTTTGCAACCTGTAGGCCAGAAACTCAGCACTCCTTGCGGAAGTCCGCACTATGCTGCACCAGAGGTTATTCGATTTAGAGCCTACGACGGAGGCAAGGCAGACGTCTGGAGCTGTGGCGTCATATTGTATGTGATGCTTACCGGCACTCCGCCATTCAACTATTCGGGCGACGATCGCGACCTCAAGGATCTTTTCAGAGCCATTGCACTAGCCGACTACATCATGCCCGACATGATCTCGAAGGAAGCCCAGGATCTGATCGGCAAGATTCTTGTCACTGATCCCGAGCGACGCATCAGCATCAACGACATATGGGCGCACCCTTTCTTGCATAAGTATGACTCGCAGCTCAGTTTCCGGGGCGAGAATTCCAAAAAGGAAACCTGGATCGGACCGACACCTCGAGTCAACGATTGGGAACCTCTTTCGAGGCGTGATATCGATAGAGAAATCTTCCGCAATATGCGGATGCTCTGGCATAGCGAGAAAGAGGAAGTCCTGGTGCAGAAGCTGTTGAACGAGGATAACAACCACGAAAAGTACTTCTACACCGCTCTAGTGAAGCATAGGGACGAGCAGTTGGAACACTACGTACCTAGTCCTGGCGGTGTTGGATATTCCGCGAGTGACTATCATCACAACAAACTTGCTCGAGAGGCCGCCTTGCGCCGCCTACCACCGAAGAACCATCAGCGATCGCAGTCACAATATTCTATCCTGAACGATGAGCATCTGTATTCAAAACACAGCTTCTACGAACCACCACCTTCGGATGCTAGCTACGATCCCTTCAGAGCCTCTCGGGATCCGATTGTCCACAACAAGGCTAACTACGTAAACGTTACCGTCCTGCGAGGATCATCGAATGGAAGCCGTAAGCCTAAGCCTGGTACGGGCATGAGCGAGCGCCAGAGAAGCTCATTGAGAATTCAAACTCTCAGGAACACTCGAGTGCGTAGCTCAGGCCTTTCAAGCGCGGTGTCAAGCAAGGGAGGATCCCCTGCCACTCACCGAGCCAATGCTTCAAAGCGGAGATCCATGTCCCGTGGATCCATGACGAGCTCTCTCTGGCCAAGCAGTCCGCCGGTAATAGTAGCTGCGAGGCCCAGCAGCACGGTCAAGAGAGGTGTAAGCTTCACGCACTTACGACGAACTTCGACGGTCTCAGTGCTCAACGCAGATGTTCAGTACACTCCCGAGCAACGCAAATTCCTGAGTCGTCCACCGGAAGCAAGCACCACTTTATCGGCCTCATCTTCAAGGGCTACGGCTAGGCCAAATCAAGCACCTATAGCTCATACGTCTAGAGCACCTACGAGCCCGAAGATCCCACGTCTCAGGATTCGGAAACCGGAGAGTCCGAGCAAATACATTCAGTCCGAGGCTCGCAAGGTCAGCACCGAGCTTGAGAAGGTCATGGAGGAAGCGTTCAACCGTTCCTCGATCAGCTCCAGCGTCAGAACATCCAACACTGATAGAAACCATGATCCATTCGGGTTTGATACACCGCCGACATCGTTCTCCAACCAGTCAGGTGGGCTTTTCGCTACGCCGAAGGACAACTCTGTGAAGAATCGGCCACTGCCTCCATTGCCCATCGAGACCCCCAACACTTTCCTACAGCGTGAGATCGCGCAGACTCGGGACCGACTTGCAGCTCGATTGGCATCAGAGGATGTTGACGACACCACTGCATCTTTCAGTGAGGTCTTGGAGCATCTTGATCGTCTGCTGCAGCCCCACAACAACGCCAAGCGCACCTCTTCCGCTCCGCCAAAGTCGCCGGAGTATCTTGGGTACCTACCCATTATCTCCGAGAGTCGGGCAGAGGAAGGAGATGAGTACAAGCGTTCAGTGACGGATCCCCTCAAAGGTAGACCTGCGTGGCAGAGCAGAGCCACCACAAACTACACTTCCACTATTCGTGTCGTCAATCCAGATTCGCCGACTGCCGTCGCTCCTCTCAATATCCGCAAGAAGAGTGGCGCTAGCACCAAGTCGTCAGCTCCTTCACACGATGCTAACGGTGAGAAAGCAGTGCGATGGTCCGGCCCAACGCCGATTCCCCGTGCAACCTCGCCTACACCCCCTCGTAAGGTAGCAGGCGATGACAAGGACGCGACCATTCGGTCTCTCACTAAGAAGCGATCTTGGTTCCGGAGAGTTGTCAGCGATAAGGGCGCTCAGGACCACGATCAACAGGAACACGACACTCGTCTCAGAATTCCTGAGGCATGGCAGGGGCTCGATGATCGTATCAAGAATGTCCCAACCGAGCCTATTCCTGTCACCATCGAGCTGCCAATGAAGCACACAAAGAAGCAATCCGACACCAGCAGCGAGTTCCCTATGCGCGACCGTGAGGAGAAGAAGCCTGGCAAGGTCGATGGAAGCGGAGGTCGCCGCGGCTTCCTAGGCTTATTCGGCAAGAAGCACAAGGATGACAGGAACTCAGATGGGTACAAAATGGGCCGTAAGTTCTTCCCCAGACTGTTAACATCAACGATTACATAAACTGACATGCTTCCAGTAGCCGCAGCCGCTGACAGCAACTCACTCTTGGAGTCGAGCGGATACGACCTCGCATCTGACGACGGCAACCACTACCGCCCAGACTACCAGACCAATTGGCTCTCTCGCTTCCTGCACATTAAGCCTGCGAGCAAGACGCTCTGCTTCCACATTGGACGCGGCCGTGCGCGTCAGGAGCTAGTGCGTCTGCTGCGTGATTGGCAGCGTTTCGGCGTACGCGACGTCTTCTTTGACCGGAAGACTAACGTCGTCAATGCGCGCGTTGATAAGTCAAATCACCTCAAGATCAAGCCAGTTTCTCTCGTTATCGAGCTCTTCGTCGTTCTCGAACACGGTCGTCGCGCCCAGCTTTGCATCGCTCGTTTCACGCAGACCCGCGGCGCGGCATCCAGTTTCCGCAAGGTCGTCGACATTGTCGAGGATGTGTTCAAGGCTAAGGGCATTCTCATTGAGGACGAGGAGAAGAAGAATGCAATGTCTGAAGTGCTGGGATGAAAACAGCATCAAACGTTTTAGCATGGTCTTATCTGGGGACGCACAAGTATGGTTACATTACCGACGGTTGTGAAGTTTGGATGTCACTAGGTGCCGCTGGATTGCAGCAAGGAGCCCTTGGGTGGGAACCATCTGGCTCGATACATCATCACGAAAGTACTCCGTAACCTACTTGTTGCGGACTCGATTCTTCTTCTCTCGGTCTTCTCAGCAACCTTCTCATCACGGCATTTCACGAAGCATTAAAACACCACCAAAGGGCGAAAGACCGACTGTTATACGACTTCTTCTAGAATACTACCGGAGTTCATATGTATGCTGCATACACATGAACGACTCTCTTGTCTGAGCGGCTCGACTTCTTCTAGAATACTTCTGGAGTTCAGGTGTATACTGTATACACATGAACGAGTCTCTTGTCTCATCGTCTCGAGTTCCTCTAGAACACTACCGGAGCCTACGTGTATACTGCATACACCTGAAGGACTCTCTTGTTTGAGCGGCTACTGGATGTCTGGATTCTTTTGGGACCCGCCAACCTACACACACTCTTTTCTTTGGTTTCTTCTTTTCTTGTTTCGGTTTTTGGATTTCTGTTAGGTTTGCTCTTCTTGTTCGATTCCGAATAATGAGCCAGGCATTGAAAAGTGAAGATACTGGAGGAAATGGAATTGATTTGTACATTACGAAGAAGGGTGGACGGCCTGCGGAGTAGAGGTATCGTCCCCATTGCATCTGCATTCTGCTGTTTTCTGTACCACCTCCTCAAACCGAGGAGCTTAATTCTGCAGTCCGTAAATACAATAGACTATAATCACAAAAAAAAAAAAAAAATATTCTGCCACTCACTCTCTCTCACTTAACCTCAAGCAGTACATTAACACACCGCCATTAATCGCCGTGGGCAACCCCACCCACCTCCTCACTCCGCGCGACTCCCTGCCTTAAACTCCTACCACGAGACCGCTCAGACTCGTCCCGTCCCACTATCTCCGAAACCCCTGCTACAGCTCCAACGAACCTAACTTCCCTCCCCTAAACCCCCCTGATTCAGCACCCTCCCACATGCCCTCCCTCCCAGATCCCCGTGCGCCCCTCGCACAACGATCCGTCCTCCCACACCACACACCCCCCTGCGCGACCCCAGCATCCCCCGTCATCCACCACCCAAGTTCCCGGGGCCGTTGTGCCACCCACCCGCCCCTCCGTGTCTTGGAGCCATCTCACAGCATGACCGCGCAGAAAGATTCCGCGTGTCTCGGGCTTTGTGGCATGGTGGGCCCGGGGATGTGGGTGGGCGGTTGTACGGGGCCTGGCAGGGGGTGGGGTTAGAGCGGTCACGGGGTCGTGCGACGGGGGTGTTTGGGAGTGAGATGGTGGAGATTGGATGGGCGGGCTGGGAGGGGCGATGTGGAGTTGGTGGAGTGGGAGAGGTGGGATTTTTTTTTTAAATGTGTGCGAGGGATGGAGGGATGGAGGTTTCAGAAGAGACAATCTGTGAGGTTGAGTCAGGGCGTGCGAGGTTGTTTGAGATGGGTGGGAGAGATTTGAGATGATGTGAGAAGGGCTGTGGGAATTTGTTGCTCACGTACTAGAAAAGTCTCGAAACATGGTATGATCGGGAGGAGACGCAAGACTATCGTAAGAGCGAGGATGAAAAGAGGAGCTAGGTGGTCTCGCAATCTAGATGGTACACATTGTACGAGAATTAACCTTCGTCACAACACACGAATTGTCGCCGCTGACCTCAGCCCAGAGGCCTTCTCTTTTTTTAACTAAACTTACGAAGTTAGAAAGTCATCCGAAGCTTAAACTTAGTAGCATGTCACAGCATATCAAGCTCGGAGACTTTTCATGGACGTACGGAACGCTGTAAACGGCTTCGGAGACTTCTGGGACGATCTACATGCAGCTAAGGTTGTGGTCAACGATTTCGGACCAATCTGATTCGTCGAAGAGCTTATGGTAAGCCCACGTCACGCCTCATTCTGCCTAGGGTGTAATGGCATAAATACATTGAGGTTGTAGAGTCACTACCTGATTGATAGCATCTTTCCGAATTCTCATTTTCGACTTCCACCATGGCCTCTCCAAGCGCGCCCAAACCTGCAAGCACAGGATCAGCGGATCCGCCACAAGGAAAAGAGACAGATTCTCCGGGCTCCGCAAGCTACTCTGCAAGCTGCCACTGCGGTGCTATCTGCTTTACCGTTACCCTCACACAACCACTTGCACAGCAGCAACCCATCTCCTGCAACTGCACCATCTGCAGCCGCAACGGGTATTTATTGGTCTACCCGCTACGCAGCAATCTCGTCATAACACAGGGCGCCGATGTCTTAAAGTCATACTCCTTTGGCCGCAAACGGAACTTGCATCAGTTCTGTGAACGGTGTGGGAGTAGTGTGTTTTTTGATCCAAGGATGGCCGAGCATGGCGAGAGCCCAGATTTAATGGGCGTGAATGTGGGTAACGAGTCTACCACTTCTGAAGGAAGTCGAAGCTAATTAGAGTGACTACGTAGGTGAGGATGTTTAAAGATATCAAGCTAGACGAGCTCAAACTCAAGCATTTTGATGGGTTGAACATATGGCCGTTTATAGACTCTTCAGCCTGAATACATGCTGGCCTATGCTCTGAAGAGTCGGAGCATATTGAGACGAAATGTGGGCCTGTATGTATGTTGTCAGCTTTGACACAATGACAGATGGTCAAGATGAATAGCAGATATGTGAATGAGTCATGAAAAAATTAGAGTGTTGTTGCGGTTTTGATCCTCAACGTGACTTTGAACAGCCCTCAGGGTTAAAAATGTATAATCCTTCGCAGTGTCTGGAACATATAAAAAAGAAGTCAACTTACCCTTTCGATCTGATTGATATGTTGAAGTTTCGCATGCCTCTGATTAAAGTAGTGTTGAAGTAGTGGTTCGCGAGACGCGTTCACTTGGCGGTAACGTTCTAAGTTCACTTGTGAACACTAGAGCTCTCCTAACAGCGCTAAGAGTTTGGTTCATTGTAATTTCCTTTACTGGGTTGGAGCTGGATATGGGAAGCGAATGGTCCCCAAACGAAGGATCCTGAAAGCGCTGCGACGTGCTCCTCGACCTTGATCGGATGTCGCATAAGTTTGCGGCTTGTTCCTCTAGCATTGAGCTTGCCTCTAATGGGGTAAGAATCTCTTCATTCACGAACAGCCGAGGCGGGAAAAGAAGCCTTTGCCCTGACGCAGACTTGGCCAGCCATATTTTCAATGGTACCGCTGGCCTCAACGACCGGCTCAATTGTGGAGGATACTGGTTGTCTCTTGGTGAAATCCTTAGACCAAGGAAGCCAGGACTTGCTGGCGTCGGGGTCTGAGTGTGGAGGGAGAGTTTTCCCGTCCGATGGTGAAGATAATAAGGCACGGAGAACGTAGAAGTTGTTTGCCTGAGTGGGACGCGCGTATGTCAAGCTAAGGGAGGACGGAGACGGAACGGAATCTGTAAATAAACCAAATTAGCTCAGCCGTGAAGCATGCAAACTAAGAGCGCGCACCCAATATTGCATCCGGTCCTGCTACTACTCTGGATAGCCCATCTTGAAGCACAGTGGCAATCGCACCACCATGCGCAAGCCCTGGCCAACCGCTCAGCCTGCCTCCGAAGAAGACGACAGCAATAAGCTCCCTAGTCACCGGGTTCCAGAATGCTCGTTGGACACCTAGACCTCCCGACCCTGCCATCGTTTTCTGGGTCAATGTTCTTGTGGGTTCCGGTTTCAGCATTTGCTCATTACTGATAGTCTGGGAGGCGTCCTCAAGCTTCGTACCCGATGGGTCTGAGATAACTAGAAAATCCAGCTCCCTCCATCCGCTTTTCCCTGCTCCCGAATCGTTCAATGCCGTATCAGAATGTAGATGATATCCCTCAGCTCTGAGAGCTTTTACAATATCCAGTGAATCGATGTCTCGACGTAGCACCTCAAGCCTGAAACGGTCTTCTCGCGACTCTGGGTCCGGGAACGGCGGTGGCGCAACGAACGATCGGGCGACGTGACCGGCTACTAGTCCGAAAAAAACGAACGTTGTACCCCATATATATATAAATAGTGATCGGGGTTTCTTTTGGGGAGGGGGTGGAGGAGCTTCGAAGCTTGGTCGCAGGTCGTTCACATTTGTGGGGGCAGAGCCGGAATTGAGGAGCCTTTGGGGTATTCCATTGCGCTTAAGAGGCGAAGGGAGGCGTATATGAGGTAAGAGAGGCGTGGGATGCAATATGGGACGCAGCAGAGGCATGTCTGATAGATGGAGAGAAGTCTGAGACGTCCTCCGAGGTCAAGTCAGAGATGGCGCTAGAACGAACTAGCACGCTAACCAAATTATGATATCCTCCCTCAATCGTTCATCATTTCATGATCTTCTCATCAATTAGATGTTCATTTACGTGTTAGCGAGGTCTGGCACTCCCTCAAGGTTTCCAATAGAATGTCAGCTCAAAATACCACGTTTTCTGATTGAAGAGCTGATAGGTATATCGTTTCGATGAAAGGGGCGTATCGTATGTAATGTACATAATCTTTTTGAATCGTGCAAATAAACTCCTATTCTCAGGAAAACGTCAAATCTACCATGGTCAGTCCTGCGGCCTCAATCTCCTCGCCTTCATGTATTCATAGTCGGGCATAGCAGCTCTGACCAACCGCTCTATCCTCTCGCCCTCTTCTTCTCCGAACTCTACCTTCCACTTCTTCGCCTCTTCATCGATGTCCAGCCCAATTGACGTCTTGCCCGACACAATAGCTGTCGAAGCGTCGAGAGTCGATGTCATTCTCCTCGCCATATCGTCCATCTTATTCAATTCATCTTCACTTGCAGAAGCCCATGCAAACTTCAACCTAGAGGGATCTAATCCAACCATCCTGCTGTATTTACGAACCAGATCCGGATCCTCGATGACATCGTCCGCATCTAGGATAACTGGCCACGTAGCATCATCGTTGGAGCCAGATTCCTCGGGCTGGTGCGTGTACCAGTCGTACAATGCGCGCGACCAGTGCACGCTCATCTCGACTTGATTCACAGCGTGCTGGCTCCTAGCGGCCTCCGCACCCTCGTTATCCACGCTCGTGCGGTAACACGACGGAAACGCTAGAGCTGGGTGTCGAATCAAGAAAGTAGGGAACCAAGTCCTCAGAAACGCATCCGGGAGAATGCTCTCATTGAGAGGCGAATGTTTCGGTGCCAACGAAGTCGTCACCGTCCATGGCAACTCATCCGTACTATTCTCCCCGAAAAGATGCTTCGCCTCCGAAATAGGATCAATAAACCAAGGTAGATGCTCCTTCACGAAAACATGCTGGCCTAGTGCTTCTGCAGCCTCTACATGTCTATGAAGAGCGTCGAATCCTTCTTGATAGTTTTCCGTCAAGCTCGTCCGTTCCTCTTGCGTCCAGTCCTCGGGGCGCCGGCCAGTGATCTTGAGCATATGCATTCTCGAAGCCATAGCTCCGCCAAAAAAATAGCTGTTCTTTTCACCCATGAAGATATCTGCTTGGTCTTCTAGCGCCAGAATCCGAACGAGCAGATTGGACGCCGTACGCGGGTACGTCAGCAGGTAGAACCTGCGAGGTGGGCGTGCACTCATTATCTCAGTTCGCTAGCTCGAAATGAGAGCGTTGGTCCAGTTCGTTGGCGAGAGCTTCTCATTAGATTGAAACTCTCGAGGAACTGTGGGGCGGTCTGAAATACAAGGAACATTCCTGTATTGCGTAAGAATCGGCATGATCCGGTCAGCAAGTATCACGTGACGTCCATGGGTTGAAGTAAAGTATATGCAAAACGTCTCCGTTCAGAGCGCTATGCATGTCTAAAGATTCTGCACGTGCCAGATTCCTCTACGTGTGAGTGCCAAAGAGTAACCGACTACCACAGTGTAGTCTAAGCATCCAACTCGAGCCTGGCAAGCAACGCATCTATTTTCCCCAGCAGGATTTGGTAGTTCATAGCATCCTGGGCAAACTCGTCACCAGCAACTTCACCGTCTAACGTCCGCACTGCGCCGCCCCGCAACTGTGACTCAATATCTGGAAAAAGAAACTCGTCGGTGGTTTGCTTTGGCGGAGAATTGGAGGAGATATCCACGCCTTCATCTTCTGGTAGTGGTTCTGGCAGTTCTGCGGGGTCTTCGTTGATATTCTCTTCCATCATTTCTTCTAGGCCTGAGTCTTCGAAGCGAAGACGGAAGCGATCGGATAGGTAGTAGCGGATACTAAATGCTGATTAGCCTGATCTCGCGTTAAGATAGAAATAGAGAGCTGCATTCGTACTCATCTATCAACTCCACCGTATCCGTCTCTTGTCTCGCTTTGATCCTGTTGGCACTTTCTCTTACTAGCTCTGCAAATTCTTCCTCGTCGATATACCGCTCTAGCCTGTAAGCAATATACCGCGCACCAAACTCCTCTAACCGGTGGACTCGCGTGTCCCATCCTGCTCGCACAACTTCATACACATCCAGCGCATTCTCAGCATCTGTCGCGCCGCGAGGATTTTCGCTTTCGACTGCACTAGTGGACCCGTTTCCAAGGGTCGATATGATCATAGCCGCCCTTTGCTTGAGTTTCTCAATGAACAGCAAGTCAGCCATGAAGAGTACATCAATGGCTACATCCAGTCCGAAGTCTGCACGCTCCGTGTATAAAAAGGTCAGAATGACTTCCAGGACTGCAGGGGTGCAGTCGAGTTTGATGATCTGGAGGTGTTGTGTTTCTTGAGCTTCGCGGAAGGACGAGCTGAACATAGTAAGAAAGTACTCGGATCGGAGAAGCATCGCCCGGTGGACTGGATAGAGTGTTGATTTCTGAGGGCTACGGTGGCGTGAGGGAGAACGCGATTTCGCTAAAGGGCCAATCGGGATGCCATTTAATGGACCAGAGGTTGTGCGAACAAGGGGATCTTGAGGTTGAATTTCGACCTGTGTTTCTTCTTGCGGCTCGTCATCGGCACGTAGCAGCACGTCGGCAAAGATCCCATTGTTTCTGTCCCAGTGCACATCATGCGCCTTTTCTGTGTCAACTACAATCTTGTTCTTCATCACATTATTCTGAAACCACTCATTCAGCTGATCTCGTCCTCGGTTGACTTCGTCTGTTCGCCGTTGACGTGTCAAGCGTCTGTCCCCTGATTCTAATATGCTCTCGAACATGCGTTCGATCTCTAGCTGCCGGCTTATTTTGTCAATGCCAGTGAGTATTATTTGCTCCTCTTCGCCATCGCCTAGGTCCGCGGAGACTTCTGAGAAATACAAATACCGCAACGCGAGATGTAATGATTCTGTAGGTATACTATTTGAAAGCTTCCACGACGTAGTATCCGGCGCTGTTGCAAGTTTCTTCGCGAAGTAGGGCGATCTAGCAGAAAGCACGAATTTGTGCAGCCGAAAGGACTCTGTCGGCGTGACGAGTGTGATATCGGTGGTTTTGGGGTGGTCTCGTGTCAGAAGGGACGTTATATGGGCGGCTAGTGGTTGTAAAGGGTCTGTCGACTTCGCGTAGTCGTATGAGAGGAGGAGGTTACGTATCCGATCGTTCAACGCATTGTATAGGCAACGCTCGCCTTGGAACGTGTCGCGCTCGCATAGTGCGCCAGATTCAAGCAACAATTGGGCAACTTCGAATTGCCCGCAAAGACTAGCCTTGTGCAAGCATAGATTAGCAACGTAAACTTGTTTTGAGGGTTGCAAGAACGAAGAGGCAGTGCTTGGCAAACCCGTTGCAGTATGCCATAAAGTAAGTTGCGTAGATAGACGCCTACCAAAATCAGAGGCGTATAGTCAAACCTATCTCTGGCATTGATATTAACACCTTTCATTATAAGCTCTTGGCAGATTTTCAAGTCGCCCCTCCTGCATGCTTCGCAAAAGATTCGAAAGTCGTCGGAGAGGTCGAGAGGATTGTCTTCCTTCAATCTGCCCGCGGAAATGGCCTGCGACTCGGCGTGGAGCGCCGCCTCGATCTCATGCTTGTTGACCATTTCGCCGAAAAAGGAGCAAGAAAGTGAACGAAGAGACTGAGAGCTGCAACAATGTCGTCAAAGTAGCGGCGGCGGCGGGGCGGAGATAAGATCGCCAGGCGGGATCTGGAATGTCACGTGCATAAATCGATTGGGTCGGTCGCGGTTGCCCTTCGCAACGCCGTCTACAAAACACAGCCCGCGTTTCGCATAACCTAGCTCCAGGAAACCCTACCTCTTCCCTCACCAACTCCATGCTCTAGCAACCCAATTCCTCTACCCACCACCAATTACACTGACCATTCTAGCGCTCAGCATGACCGAGGACGACAAGTACGACGTGTTAGAGAAGATTGGTATGTATAAATACAATCTCCACTGGTTCGCATCAATTGTATGCTAACGTCTCCCAGGCCATGGGTCGTTCGGGGTCATTCGCAAAGTGAGGAGGAAGGCCGATGGCTATGTATGCAAACCCGAACTCGAACCTCCAATTACCTCTTCACCTACTGATACTATATAGATCCTGTGCCGCAAGGAAATAAGCTACACCAAGATGTCTCCGAAGGAACGCGAACAACTTCAAGCAGAACTTTCCATTCTCAAAGAGCTCAGGCACACAAACATCGTCGCATACTACGAGCGCGAACATCTTAAGCAATCCCAGGACCTTCATCTTTACATGGAATATTGCGGGAATGGTGATCTGGGCAAGGTCATTAGGATCCTGAAGGACAAACGACAAATGGCCGAGGAAATGTTCGTCTGGAGTATCTTTTCCCAGATTGTTAGCGCGTTGTTTCGATGCCACTATGGGGAGGACCCACCGGAAGCGGGACACGATGTCATGGGATATGGTTCCATTACCGTTCCCAATTCGGTCAAACCATCGGTCTTACATAGGGACCTTAAGCCAGAGAATAGTAGGCAATCTCTTCTTAAGTGATCCTACATTGCCTTGCTAACTATCTTCAGTCTTCCTTGGGGCCGACAACTTAGTCAAGCTCGGAGACTTCGGTCTGTCGAAAATCATTCTTGCCAACGACTTTGCATCCACATACGTGGGCACTCCGTTCTACATGTCACCGGAGATCTGTCAGAGTGAGAAATATAGTCTGAAGTCCGATATATGGGCCTTGGGTTGTATTGTGTACGAGCTGTGTGCAAAAGAGCCACCCTTCAACGCGCGCACCCACCTCGAGCTTATTCAGAAGATCAGAGGAGGGAAAGTTCCACGATTACCATTGTGCTACTCGGCCGACCTACAGAAGATTGTTGACACCTGTTTGAGAACCAACCCAGACCTTCGCCCCACTACCGTAGATTTCCTCAATCTCCCTATAGTCAGGGTGATGCGTAAGGAGCAAGAGGCAGTACTGCTAAGCCAGAAAATGCGGAGAGATAGAGAGGAAGCAAGACAGTTGAGGAACCAGGCTCAAGAGATGCTTGCGAAGAGAGTCGCAGAGACCGATGCAATAAGGAAAAACGTCAGCGATTCCGTCCGCAGAGAATGGGAAGTGAAGGCGAGACTCGAAATTGACCGACAGGTCGCGGTAGCACTTGAGAAGCTTCGACAGACTTTCGAAGCTGAGGTTACCAGGCGTGTCTCTGAAGAGCTAGCAAAGCAGAGTTCTGGGAAGACCCTTATCGTATCGGACATACCCTTACCGCCTCGGTCCTCTACTCCAACACAATTGACAACAAAACCGCCGCTGTTCGCGCCAGAACAACACCAGTCGGGCGCTTCATTCAGCACATTAGGCGAGGCTTCGGACTTCCCTAGCATGACGGATCTGTCATCACTCTCATTAGACTCGCCAGACGATACCAAGCCCAAAGCGCGTGCAGCACGTGCTCCACTCGCACGAGCCAGGACGAGCATCGCCCCAGTCCCTCCGTCGCCAATGGATATTCAGATGGCGGACCCCAGCCCTATGTCTATTGATTCGCTATCGCTGTCACCTCGTAAGACGGGCAAGACGGGCGTTCGCAAGAATATCTTTGCCGCGGTTACGGCCGGAGAGAGGTGGGAACCGGAAGTACCATCGTCACCCACAGATGAATGGAATGGAAACTTCGATGGGTTGGATGACGACGATCTTCCGGTGCTCCCGTCACCAACACGAGCAAAGAGTGCCGCTGGCAATCATGACAATGAAGACCCTTTCAAGGTCCTCGCCAATGCGCAACGTCCAGTTATCAAGTCGAACCAGCGCCTAGCTAGCGCTCCTAACTTGTTTGCGCCGAATGGGAACGGACCAAAGGTCAGGCCTCAGAGCGCCGTGCCAATCGTGTCGACAAGCCCGGAGAGGAGGAAAGCCAAGGCGGCGACAGTAAATGGAAGCCCGGTCCGTAAGGGCCAAGCATCAAAGCTCAACCTAGCGAAGGACTCGAACTCGAACTCGAACTCGGCTGAGAACGGTGGCCTGAAGTCCAAGAAGGGCAACGAACAGATGCGTATCCAGGCGATGCGGAACAACATACAAGGTCGAACCCTCGTGGAACTTAAACAGGCTAGGGGGATCCAAATCCAAGCCCATGCTGTCAGCGAAGACGAAGGCAAGAAGGCTATCAAGCGGACCTTTGGATCGCCGACCAAGGTCGCGCAATGGGATCCTGATACTTGCGACGAGATGCCGAGTCCTTTCCTCCGGAGGAACAACAAGCCCATGTTGATGCGGTAGTCATGGGATGTCGACGCCTCTCCTCAGGGACTGATGCTTCGGAGTACGGCGTATGACGACGGATGATTGGCTATGATGTTCATGATTTGTAAGGCTTCATCCATGTCCCTTCTTGCTGCGACGATGAACATGTCCGGCAGAAAGTACTGTGCTCCTTCAATTCTTTTCTTTTGTTTTGGATCGATGAGATATTTTATTCTTGGATTTCTCCTCATGCATTGGATGGCGGCATTCTTCGGTGGGACCGAGGGTACGATATGGCGTTTGAGGCATGGCTTGATTATCACGGAGGTGTATTTTACTGGATATGGGAACCTCTCTGCCTCATAGAATCATATGAGATACTTTAATCTATTTGCTTTGATTGATTTTGAAGGTAGTATGCGCTGTGTGGGCGTTACGAGCCATGTAGTTCCATGGTTACTCTTTCACCTCTGCCACACGCGATACATGGCACTGAACACCTCAGTGCTCGGCATATGCTCACACAGTCGAAACCCGCTGCTAGCCACAACCCTGTGAACAACACCATTCAACCACCTCATGGGGGAATCTCCTTCCCTTCCCAATCCCAACACTTCCCCCTCCCCTCCACCCTCACCCCTTTCACAACCTCCACCAGCCTCTCCGCAACCCAATCCCGATCAAACAGCTTCTCTTTCTTCGTGCTCCCCCAAAAATCCCTACTCAGCCCCGTCTTGACCGTCCCAGGATGCAACCCCACCGCCACCGCCTTCTCCCCACTCGCCGTCCTGAGGTGGTTATCAAACGTCCGAACCACCTGATTCAACCCCGCCTTCGACGCGCGGTAGCTGTACCACCCGCCCAGCCGGTTGTCAGTTATGCTGCCCACCCGCGCGGACATGAATGCGGCGGTTGGGATAGCGGGGAGGCCTTTCAGCACGTCTGCATCCGAGTTGTCGATGGGCGTGGATTTGCGCGGGAGGAAGGGGGCGAAGTGCTTTAGCATGAGCATGGGGCCTAGCGTGTTGGTGCGGAAGGTGAGCAGGGCGTCGTCGGCATCTATCTGGGCGGGGGATTTCTCGGGGAAGAGGAGGCCTGGAATTATGAAGGCGAGGTGGAGGTGGTGGGCTGGGGAGGCGGTCGGGGGGAAGTGCGAGGTGCAGTGGGCGGCGGCGGCGGAGATTGTGGATTCATCTGTAAAGGAGTGTTAGTTTCAATTGAACCTGTAGAGTTGAATTGGGCCATGATTGGGGCTTGTGGATGTTATGTCGACGAGGGCTGTTTTGTGAGATGTGCGAGAGACGACGTACCCAACACATCGACCTTCAGGACGGTCAACCGCTCTTCGTCTACGCCATTCAGGCCGGCCACAAGCTCCTCCTTGGTTTTATCTAGGTCCATCCGGGCGGTTGCGACGAGGGGTGCGGTGGTGGTGCGGAGGAGATGCCGCGCAATGGCGAAGCCTATCCCGCGAGAGGCGGGCGAGACGAGAGACCAGGGGCGCATTGTGATCTTCCAGGCACAAGAAGTGCAGGGTGCATGGATAGTAGCATGCTGGGCAGTATTGGTGGTCAGATTGTTGCGCGTCGTAGAGCTGGCAGCTGGCTAGCTTGAGGTCGATGATGCGGGCATTTTAGCGGGAGATCAACACCGGGTCCCAGCCCTTTCGGAAACAATTACTTGACATGGCGTGCACGGAAGTTATCTTATTATGTATTCAGCAGGCAGCATTTCGATTTCAGAACCCAGAACGTTATCAACACTAGTAACATCCTGGCCCTGGATGCTTTGTCCAGAGGTCCCATGATCCTTTCAGAATGTTGGACAGAAAACATCAAGAAAGAAATAAACGTCCGATATCTTCGTCCAGAGTTGAGATTAGATAGGTCCATAAGGAGAAATCCCAAGATTATTTCCAAGCATTAAGGGTATCCATCACTGTGAAAGACAAAAACGAACGGCGATAGCCACTGATCCGAACCCATAAGTCGTACAAATTCCGCATATTGTTTCTAAAAGAAATTGCCTTTTGGAAAAGCGCAGAATATGCCTACCGAAACGGCGGAGATGACGAAGGCGCCGAGAATGGCCTGAAGGAAAATGGTGTCCTGGATCTGCCGTAGAGCTGGCTCTTGAACCCACACTTCACGGTCGAAGACTTTACGGATGAGGTTGCGCTTTTCGTACTTGGCCACCCACGGCTCATTTTCCCAGCTGTTACTGGAGTTGGCGGACGCCAGGCTCTCGATAGAATCGGATTTCATGTCGACACCTTCGGGCTCATCGTCCGAGGCGAAGAGCTCCCATGGTCGGAGATGGCGGTGGTGCATACCGTGGAGAACCTATACAAGTTAGCCATGTGGCTCAGACGGAGTGACAGTGGCCTACTTACAACACACATGCCCTTCCAGGCAGCGATAAGAGTAGAGATGCCGATCATGAAGCCAATGAACGAGAGGACTCGCCAGCCGCGTCCCGCGCTGCTCAGAGTAATGAGAATTGCAGCGACAAGGCCACCGACAATTCCACCAATGCCCAGGCCACGAGCAAAAATGACACGGGGACGGTTGCCGTTACAGATCGTCCACCGGATGAAATTAGGATGTGCCTGGCACCTCAAAGACCATTCAACGGTGGTAATGACTTCACGGAATGCTGATGGGTGGGTAGTGTTCTGAAGAGCATGAAGAAGAGACGCCCTCTCTCTCGACGAAAGATTGAGCTGACGGGAACCACCATCTGCAATGTAGATGGAAATGATCCTGGTTATTTCCTCGCGATACGGCTGAATAGACACTATGAACAATTAAATCGCTGTCAGACGTGAAGGTGTTTATTGATACTTACATGGCTTCCACTTCAGATTAGCATCCTGAAAAGCGCCCTCTGCCCTCTTGGCATGGTCCGTTTTCCCTTCCGAGACTGTGCTCTCATAGGTAGACTCGTCGGATGAAAGTGCCTCTTGTCTGCCCTCGGATGGAGTGCGTGGTGGCGTATAGAATGGATTGACCTTCTCACCCTCGGTAACCTTTGGACCGCCCGCGAAGTCTGTGCCATTGAGTATAGCTACAGCATCCGAGTTCATGTTCTTCGATCTGCCTTGAGTCTGCGCTTCGGCCTCAGATTGCACCTCAGTCCACTCGGGAGCCAATGCCTGCTCCTTCGCGGGTGTTTCATTGAAGCGTTTCACGTAGTCGCGATACCAAAGGAAGAATTGGAGGTTCTCAGCAGACAGCTCGATATACTTGAGATAGTTCATGAAATCGCGGACTGTACAGGGCTATGATATTGTTAGTGCGAGAGTTCTCCGTTTACTTTAGAGACCTGAGTACTTACAGGGCAGACCCCTCCAGCGATGATTCTATCAAACGAAAGGGCGTCAGGAATGCCATGCGACATGCCAGAACTTCCAGACGTTACGGAGCCATCAATCGAACCCCGTTTCTCGTTGCCAGACAACGAGTCGCGGGAAGACGGAACGAACGAAGGTCGACGGTAGGTAATGTTGTACACCATAGCTACGACCTACTCTAGAAGAACGAGTGAAAAATGGCAGAGGAATACGCGGTCTCTGGCACGAAGCGACAACGAAAGGATATTCAAACAATGGCAGGATTAGTGACCAGGCCTTATATTTTTAGAGGATGAGAGGAGAATATATGCTAGAATTGGGGCATTCTAGGAGCGGGAAAGGTACCGGGTGGGTGGGTAGTCAATTTACTCCACGAACGCCACGGAACGACAAGGGCTGCGTCGCGGTAGGCCTAACACGGGCAAAGTGATATTCTGACAGGTTACGCCCAGTGGAGCGAGCGTACAGGAAGGATGATAAGGTTTTGCCGGTCCGTGGACTGATGACGAGGAGCTTTTATATCAGTGCGAGAAACGAGTGCTTTCTTCCCTCCAGAGTTGAAATGCAGCTGAACGTGAGCGGAGGAAGATCACTACCAAGGCTATTGTGCACTCATGCTCTCCTTCCTGGGGCGTGTGGGCCCCGAAGACTAGTGATCATTCCCATCGCGTTCAATCCTAGCAGCATGTGGAGTGCCAGCTCCCGTGGGATCCAGACCCTGCTAATCTCTAGGCTTCCCCGCAGACGTCCTGACAGCTCATAAAATGATGATCGTGTTGCTCTTCTGCATGTCGTCAGGTGGCAGCCCACCTCGTTTTTCGACGTGTAAAGCATGATCTTCCACTGTCCGGCCACGCATTGCATGAACACTGTGCATTCGGACCAGCATACGCGGGCGGGAGATTCGCTCCAAGTGGGTGCTAACAAGGCGACTTGCAGGGTGGCAGCCACGGCAAGACGGTGGACGGCATGCTGGGATTCGTCGAGCAGTAGAGGCCCAAATCTTGGATGGCGAGGTTGAGCTGGGAATGCGTTAGCGCTGCATCGATCGCCAAGCATGCATCTAGAGTCGGGAGCACCAAGTGCTCTTTGGCCACGACGGATTTTGGACTTTAGCAACTGAGCGGAGACACTTCCTAGTTCTTCGACGGCTTCGACGCCGTCCATGGTTCAGACCGACCATCTGTGGAACTGCTATGTAAAGCTGAGCCGCCAACGCGGGACAAAAGTGCCGGCGATGCAACATCAACCGACGTCCAGCTCCGAACTGCCTTCCAGCCGCACATCTTCTCCCGGTCAGTGCAAGCACCCTGCCGGCATGACGTCGATGCAGCCAGCCACAGTGAGCAGGCATCGCAAAGCCAATTGGCATCTCAAGCCACCAGAGCCCAAGGCAACTTCGACGTCTTTACTCCCTGTTTGAACGACTGTGCGGGCGTAAGCGATGGGAGTGACTCTGGGGTATCCATGGCAAATCCCAGCCGCACAGTCGAATGGAAGACCTGCGGCTCGGGTCTCCAGCTGCCCTTTTCCTGAACGACGACACCGACCGCTCACCTCGCTGCCCTCCCAAAGTCCGTCAAAGGACGCGCATACGTCTTTCTCTCCACGTCCGCTCCGATGCATGAGGGTGATAAGGGCGTATTGGTGCCGTTACGGATCAGGACTCACGATTTCTTATCCAATGCGGTTTGCAGCTCTGTCGTAAAGCAGGCGAAAAAGCAAACGACAGCAGGAGCAGGTTTTGCGAAGCTCTCCCGCCATGACCCCTCCTTAATACCTTTACGCGCGCCATCTGTTCGCTTGTGCCATGAGCCAATGACCTGGTGGCTGTCCCGCCTTGCGCTCCACTAACTCAGGGGCACGGCACACCCCAGGGATCAAGCTTGATATGCGGAGATCTCGAATCGGCGGGTGGAAATATCTGACTTGAGACTAAGAACGCCAAACACCGACTACTGGACGTTGGAAACGCTGGGTCGCGATGCCATCAACGCCTTCGGTTGTCTGTGCTTGCCGGATGCCGATTAGGGAAGGCGATAGGCTGATAGAATGTTACGTCAAAAGGGGCTCCAGCTTGCTTGTTCGTGTTTGAAATCTGCCAAATCGACAGCTCACACAAGCCGCAGCTGAAGAAGATTGTAGGCTTCGAGTTACTGGCCAAGCAGCTTGGTCTTCGCAACAGTAACCTCAATTCCAGGTTTCCACCGCGAGAGAGCGGCCAAATACGGCTTGTCTTTCCCTTTACAACTGATCGATACTGTCTCTAAAACCCCAATTCGGCTCCACATGCTGATCTCAAGACAGTGCTTTGGTTGCAGCATTGGACCCATAATTTGATCGTCGACGGCTTCCGACTCATGCAAAGAAGAGAAAATGCCCACGTAGAACACGCGAATTTTGCTGGAGGGAAGAAGCTTACTTCAACAGCACGAATCCTAGAATTGAGTAGCGTTTGCTCTTGAAGAGAGACCAGATTGTCACGTGATGGCTTTTGACCCCGTCTCGGTTAGTCAACCTCGCCGCAACTTCGCCGCAATTATCGACTCAAAGCTACATTATCTGGGACTTCTCGTCACCTGCATTAAGATGGGCTCACATTATCACAAAATATGCCTCGCGACATTGCAAGTGTCTTAACTATCATTCGCCTCACATTTTTAGAGAATGTCCCGCGCGATGGACCTCCTGGACCAGCACAACCTGCATGGAACCATTCAATGTCACTCATTGCGCGGGAAAGATTCTGGCAGTCTATTAGTTGGGGAAGACAGAGTGATGACCTCACCTGCGTTTACATTTTGATTTGTACGTCCACGATATGCTTTGGCAATAGTCTGCTTACTGAAGGTTTTAGCATGGAGGGACGGACTGCTGCCCTGGCACACCATTACGCCCACCGCCCTGAGCAAAATTACGTCTACAGACTTTTCGTATACATTCCTGCCACTCCTTCCCTATCTGGCAACTCCTCCTCGGATACACCATCTAAGGGCACCTAATCATGCATTCTACTCTTGGGGTGTGGTGTCTCTAGACATCATCTATGTTCAGGCATCTGCAGGTAGCGATATGGAAGCCTTTGTTAATAATTTGCAACTTGGGACATGGACCCAGCCTCCGAGGACGTCTCGTCGAACCTCCGCGGGCGACGTTGAATCAATTCTTCGCGACTGGTCTGAGGGACCCCACGGAGCGTCAACCAGAACTTATGTCATTATGATAAAATGGAGTAATCGCGAGATCGCCAATCGATTCAAGGATCTCACAAAGCCATCTTATGTATTTGGATCCTGTATCCCCGATGATACTTGGGGGAAAGAGTTTCTTGCCTTATTCAGAGAGCTGCATGAACGTGATGCATCGACGGAACACGTGAGTGTAGACTTTTGGAAATGGCCATATAGCCCACCTATGTATACGCAGAAGCACATAGAATGTCCCAATCCTTCTTTATCTCGTAGGCTACGTCGTTTGTTAAGAATGTCACCGCCTCGTTAATCGAACCCCCGATATCATCTGGAACAATATTTTACGCAATGTAAGTACAACTAAGACTGGAACTCGGGTTGCAGCAACCTAGGATCAGCAACTCATACGGTTCACCTGCGTGCACACCACCCCCCTAGGTATCCCTTACTCTCCCTTTCTCTTCCTTACGGAGTTGTGGTGCTTCCTTGCTGCCAAGGGAACGACCAAGGGAGCGCCCTAAGGGATAGTTCATCTCGTTCCTCTATATAGTCCGCCTTTACGGCATCTACAATACAACAGAGTTCACATCAATTTCAACCTGAGTCCTCGGGCAGGCTTCGTTAGGTCTGGGCGTATTATCAACGCTTTCCCTAGGACTGCTTTCATCACCATAGTCCACTTTGTCAATGCCCTCACTGGCACAGCTTACAAAAAGTGAGCAATCGGCATCCGCTGGGTAACCAATGCCAACGTTATTCCCAGGTCCAACCGGAGGAGACTTGACAACCACTGTTAGCGGTGTATTGGCTGAAGTGTACTCTTTTTCCACAATACCGGCCTACGAAACATTGACTGCAGCTATCACTGTTGCTACTGACTTGGCTACAACAGACTCGGGCGGGCACTCGCACTTATCCCGATGTAGGCTCACCCCGGTATCCTAGATTAGAGTATATTGCTAACGGCCTATCAGAATAATAGGTCCTGGAGGTAAGACCGCTGCCTAGAGTAGCTTTGGCCGAACTTTAGGCTGACTGGGATAGGTGTCGTTATATATCATGTTCCTGGGTTTCCAATCGGGCCTCTAAGCCTACCAAAAGTTCCAAGTTGCCCTCTAATGCTGAAGATATTTGGTCTATGCCCGAAAAGCCCCAGTGACCCAGGGAATCCCGGGGATCCCGGGGATCCCGGGGATCCGGAAGACCCAAATAAAACACCAACGGGCAAACCTGACAAATCGGCAAAGCAGACATCAGAACCAGAAACTAGTACGTCTTCCTCAAGTTGTACGGGTATAAGCGAGTTTCCTCAGTGCACGGCATTCTGTACCCCGATTACCGCAGCACCAGATAGCACAACGATCTCGTGCACTACCACAGCTTGGCAGCTGGCGTAGGAAGGGCAAAGAATCAGTGAAGGAAGCATGAGTTGTATTGGGGTTGTAACGAGGGACTATATAGAGTAACGAGACTCCCTTGACAGCAAGGGACAGCAAGGGAGCAACACAACTTCGTAAGGGAGATAGTGCAACTCCGTAAGGAGGAGAAAGGGAGAGAAAACAAGGGAGAATAGAGACGTGTTACTAGCTGCCACGGCCTGCAAGACCATCATTGGATGCACGGGCACAGCTACAACAATCACCACCGTATCATCGGAACACGCGCCTGCCTGCTCCCTGCCTATCCAAGTACAGCCCTATGACTCCAATCCCGCAGGTGATGCAGAAGGAGATATGTCTGCAGTATGGTACTATCTCGAGACACTGTTCCAGATTATAGTCCCTTTTTGCGAGCCATACTCGGCCACCTCCAATACCACGGCAACTACGTTCAGTACCATAACAACGTCCTCTAGCATCGTAACAACATCCAGCACTGCGGCATCTCCCGTATCTTCGACTGGTCCCCAGTTCAACATAACATTCCACTAGAAGATCATTGGCGACGATAGCAGCATCAAGTGAGCACACACCAAAACTCCAACAGACGTTTTACTAATCAAGTCCTACTCCCTCAGTTGGACGCTCCGCGACGCCGCCGGTACAGAACTCAGTAATGACAATGGCACTCCTATCGCAGCCACGCCCGGCCCACGCTGGGACGTCGACTTTTTTGTCTACGGGGAAAAAGGCAATATCAACACGACTGGCCTAAACCTGGTGTATATGGTCGATGGCGTTAATGACACCTACAGATGCCGCCCTCAATGGACTACTGGGACCGACAGCGAAACTGACCCGGGTCCGAACAACACTGCTATTTGTGGAAGGAGTCAGGCTGATTTTGGCCGTCAGACTCCGACAGTGGTGGGTTGGAACCATACCGAAGGCGGCTATGTGAGGGATATTTCGGGTTGGTTTGAGGGATTTGCGTAGGAGCGTGAGATGGGTGGCTTTTTGTTCAGTCACGAGGGTAGATCTAATCATCCTGTTTCAAAGTTTCAGCAACAATGTGACCTGGGTATAAAAACAATCAAGTTTAATTGATGGCGGATTTGATATAGCCACCGCTGTTCTCAATTTCGTTCCACCCCAAAGCGACTTACTCATCGTCCGACTCCAATGCAGAAGCGCTAAACCATCCACTTGGCACTTGCTGTATCTAGCAATCACTCATTCCGTTTGCGACTCACGCCTCCGCAGATACACAGTCGTCCCTCCAAAGTGCTCGCTGCCCGGGAAGGCGAAGCTCGTACACCCCTCAATCATAGCCTGTACTCGCTTCGAGCAAGGGTCTGTCGTGTACGGCGAGACAGGCACCTTTGACCCACCAAAATCGATAAATTCGCGCTTCTCGAAGTCCGTTTCATCAGCATGGATCGTGTCGCAGATGAGTGCAGCAGGCCACTGGACGTCGGCGACGATCTGGCGTACGGGGATGTCTGGGCTGAGAGACATGACGAGCGTGCTTGGCGTGATTGCGAGGAAGCCTTGAGGGTCTTCGACGACGTTGATGTCTAGGGCGGTTAGGATGCGCTTGTCGATGTCTGTGTAGCCTGGGTCTTGGACCCATACCGGGACAGCTTCGCCGGCGTCGCCTTTGGGGAGAATCTCGCGGAGGGTTTGGATGCACGCGTGCTGGGCGTGCGAGGCATTATCGTTGTGGCGTTGGAGGTTGCCCAGAGCGAAGCAGACGATGCGGTTGACAGGGGCGGTATCACAGAGTGCTGCAGCCAGCTTTCTTTTGAGAACTGTGCAGGCGTCGCTTTCGAGCCATTGTAAGCTTGCCGCTTGGTGTGCAGCGTGTACCTCCTCGAAGCTGCTAGTGCCCTGGAAGAAGCTGCAGGAGGCTACGCTGATGGGAACCTTCGGGGGCCAGTCTATTTTGGCTTCGGGGTCTACGGTGTTGCCGTCGCCGTTATACCAGGGAGGAGTGTCGTCAGCGAGGGCCTGATAGCTTTTGTATGAAATGGATGGAGTGTAGCTGAGACACATGTGGTTAGCACAGCTCGAAGAATGCATTTAATATGCCTAAACGCGTTCGAGATCCAGTAAATTATTGTAGGATTTGAAAGGCATCGAAGCGCTTCAAACAACCATAGACAGCTGCATACACTTGAAAGAAAAGAGGTTGACTCACGGTCCGTATCCCTCTCTTTCATGATGATTGGGCTTCCAGTGCTGCTCGACTTTGTACTCATGCGGTTTCCCGTTGATGTCGTTGATGACGAGCTTGCCTCCTTCTCCAGATGTCCACACACGATCAACATATTCTAGAAGAGCCCGAGAGAAGATTGGTGAGCCACTCTCTAACCTTTCCAGATTCGCCTTGGCAGAGCTTAACGACCTTAAAGGGATGCTCTCTCCCATTATGGGTAGATCTGTGAGTAGCTGTTCCAAGGCCCGAAAGGGCGAAGTTTAATGGCGCTTTATTGTTCTCGCCCACTTGGGTTTATCGTGTGAGGTTCGGAAGAGGCTTAGGGTGTATCCCTTGTCGAGCCTGTAAATTGACGCAGTCCGTTCACAACGTAAGGGTAAAGTGGCTTCACCGGTGAAAAAATCGAAAGTTGAAAGGGCGAATCGAATGTCTACCTAAGCAGGACGGTAGAAGTTTGAGTGCTGAAGGATGGAGAAGGCACCCCAGATTCACCATGCGACATATATTGAAAGTGAAAGTGGAAGTGAAAGGAAAAGAGTAGATTCCTGCCGGCTGAAATCAGGGCAGACATAAAGCTAGAAAGCCTGGGGAAAAGAAAGGTCACAGAGAATGTGAGTTGCCCATCGTATGCGCCACGTTGCCGCAGATGGCGATACTTAAGGATGATCCCGGAAAAGCGCGCTGGATAAGCGGCGCCCAACTACCACGGCGCCTACTTAGGGCTTCTCACAGGTACCCTTCTCTAAAGAGCCACGGAGTTAGGACGAGAGGGCTAAAGCAGGACAAGTCTAGGGAGAGCATGTCAACAGGCCTTTTGTGTGATGGGATGGGCGCGAAGGAGTGAATTCCTCCGGGATCTCTGACTCGCCCGCGCTTGGGTGACAACGATCAGAACTTTAAATGGCACCATTTGAGGGGCCACATCGAGCTTGCAGATTTCTCGATAGAGTTCGTGTACATTCTATACGGGATTTCAGTATTGTACTGAAGCACCCCAAACAGTGGTAGACCAGACACATTTTGTGGAGGCCAGGAGGCACAAGACAAGCTCTCTGAAAAAGCGGGTCCGTGCAAACACACCAAACTCAGGAACAACCTGTCGTGCTACCGAAATAAACCTCACCTCTATCCGCCGTCCTATATGCGCCTGGTGGCCATGGATCAATTGCAAGGCCTAGAGCTGTATGTCGCCGGCATAGTCAGTATCTCTGCGCTGCTTCTCGTATTATATTTCGTTCGCACCGATCTAGAAGTGCCCGTTCCTTACCAGGTCTCTCCCCCGGAGGAGTGTAGTCCGCAATGGAAGGGAGAAATCCTTGAGAACCCCTCCTTGAAGGTACCTTACCTTACCTATAAATCTACCTGTGATACTGATTACCCTAGGTTCCCAACTCGTCTGCAATTCAGTGCTACTGCCCTGCTACGGGCGCCTCCTTAGGACAGGTTATACCCTCCACACCTACCGACATCGACGGCGCCATTGCGCAAGCCAGAGAGGCCCATATCGAATGGGCCAAGACTACATTCTCGCAGCGGAGGAGGGTCCTCAAGACTATGCTCAAGTGCGTTGCTCAGAGGTGCCGTTCCGTGGCCAACACGGGGAATAATGTCTAGACGTGTGATATAGGTTCGTACTAGAGAATCAAAACACCATTGCACATGTCGCTTGCCTGGATTCCGGAAAGACTAGGATCGATGCCAGCTTTGGCGAAATTCTCATCACCGCGGAAAAGCTGAAATGGACTATTGATCATGGGGAGAACGCGTTGAAGCCTGAACGACGGCCGACCAACTTCTTGATGAAGTACAAGGTCAATGAAGTCACGTGGGAGCCATTAGGCGTTGTGGCAGCTTGCGTCAGCTGGAAGTAAGCTCGAATACCATCAATATACCCTCTGAAGTAATCTAACTATCTCCTAGCTATCCGGTATGGTCTCACCATTTCTCTTCCCACCCAAAATCAGAAAACACGGACCTCACTAATAGCTTAACCACAGTTCCACAACCTAATCGGCCCCATAATCTCCTCCATCTTCGCCGGCAATGGCATCATCGTGAAAGGCTCCGAAGCCACCGCCTGGTCCAGCACCTACTTCACCTCAATCGCCAAGGCCGCCCTCCACGCCTGCGGCCACTCCCCCGCCCTCATCCAATCCATCTCCTGCTGGCCCTCCGTCGCCGACCACCTAACCTCCCACCCCGGCATCGCCCACCTCACCTTCATCGGCTCGCGCCCCGTTGCCCACGCCGTCTGCGCCTCCGCCGCGAGAAGCCTAACCCCCCTCTGCGTCGAGCTCGGCGGCAAAGACGCCGCCATCATCCTCGACGACGTCCCAGACTCCGACTTCCGCCGCGTCGCCAGCATCCTCCTGCGCGGCGCCTTCCAGTCCGCGGGCCAGAACTGCATCGGCATCGAGCGCGTCGTCGCGCTCCCCCGCGTCTACGCCAAGCTCGTCGACCACCTCACGCCCCTAATCCGCGCGCTCCGCCCCGGCTCCGCCCTCGATGCTGGCCTCGACACCCTCGTCGACGTCGGCGCCTCGATCTCCGAGGCGGGTTTCGGCCGGCTAGAGGAACTGATCCAAGACGCGGTGGCGAGCGGCGCGAGGCTGCTCGCTGGCGGGTCGCGGTATACGCACCCGGAGTATCCGCGCGGGCACTACTTTACGCCTACGCTGCTAGTCGACGTGACGCCCTCGATGCGGATCGCGCGGACGGAGCTGTTCGCGCCGGTGTTCCTGCTCATGCGCGCGAATTCAGTGACGGATGCGATTGCGATTGCGAACGGGACCGAGTACGGGCTCGGAGCTTCTGTGTTCGGGAAGAGCACGAGCGATCTGGATCGCGTGGCGCGCGAGGTGCAGGCGGGCATGGTGAGTGTGAACGATTTTGGCGTCTACTACGCGGTGCAGCTGCCGTTTGGCGGGGTGAAGGGGAGCGGGTATGGGCGGTTTGCGGGGGAAGAGGGGTTGCGGAGTGTGTGTAGCACGAAGGCGATATGTCGGGATCGGTGGCCCGCTTTGGTGAAGACGGCGATCCCGCCGCCGTTGGAGCTCCCTTTTAAGGGAGCAGAACAGAGGGCGTGGGAGATGGCGAGTGGAGTTGTGAAGCTGGGGTATGGAGATCTGAGGATGAAAGTCAGGGGGTTGAGGGGCATTCTTGGGATATGAGGATGCGATGGTAGTGGTGGATCGTATGATGCGTTGGACGGTTGCATGAGGCATGGCTGCGTTGGGAGGTCGTTGCAGATGGAGAATTAGATATCTATATTACACATAACCATGAACTCCAGAATCGCCATGGAGCAAGCAAGCAATTGCAGTGCAGTGCATCTCGTGAATAAAGCAAAGAGTCTAGCCTGGACTGCTTCTAAGTCATGTGACTAGGAAAAGACTCGGTCTAGTGAAGGTAACCGTTTCGTATCGGATCCGTCCGTTTGTTCGTTCGTTCGCAGCCATGACGCCAAACCGGTTCAAATTAGTATCTCGTTGAGACCTCGTCCGAAGACAGTGAAAGCCGCAGTCGGAAAGTGACTGATGAGCGACGATCGCGGCTTAGTGGGCGTTGTTCGGAGGAGGCTCGGTCGGAGCGCCTTCAGGGGTGATGTAGCATCGGGTCATGCCTCCGTCGACGACGAAGTCGGTGCCGTTGACGAAGCTGCTCTCGTCGCTGGCAAGAAAGAGAACGGCCTGGGCTTGCTCAATGGCTTCGCCGAAGCGGCCGGTTGGGAAGTGAACTGTGCGGCGCGCGCGCTTGGCTTCGTCGTCGCCGAGCCAGTCTTGGAGGAGGGGAGTGCTGGGAGGGTCAGATTCAATGTCGTAGGGATGGAAGCTAAGGGGACACTCACTTCAGTGGTGCTGGGCAGAGCGCATTGAAGCGAAAGCCTTCACGGGCATGGCAGATAGCCAACTCTCGGGTCAAAGCCAACACAGCTCCTTTGCTAGCTGTGTATGCTAGCTGCGGAGTAGCACTACCGACGAGCGCAACAACAGATGCAGTGTTGATGATGCTGCCCTTCTTCTTGTTGAACTTTCGCAAGCTGAGAATGGCGTGCTTGCTGCCGTACCACACGCCCTTGACGTTGATGGCCTGGGTGAGGTCCCAGATCCCGTCGGGCGTGTCGATGGCATCCGCGTCGTCGGCATGCATAATTCCGGCGTTGTTGTACATAACGTCGACGCCACCCCAGGAGTCCACGCGGGCTACCATGGCTTCGACCTGGGCCTCCTTGGACACGTCACAGATGATGGTGTCGATCTTCTCGGCCTGTGGAACAAGCTCACGCAGCCGGGCAGAGGATCTGTCGAGTGCGGACTGGGAAATGTCCGCCATGAGGACGCGGGCGCCTTCGCGGGCGAAGAGAATGCATGTCTCCAGGCCGATACCGCTGTTATGTGGTTAGTCATATGAATTTATAGAAGCTGAGAGAACCAAAAAGTTATGCGACATAAAGTAAAGCTCCCTCCACACTCTCTAGAGAGATAGACATAGACAAAGACGTGTAACATGCTGGAGGAATCAACGACCAAAACTGAACCACAAATCGTTGATTTTGCGAGAAGTGACGTTGGCTCAGAAAAGCAAAACGGGTCAGATAGAGCGAAACTTGGAGAAAACGGCCCAAAAATTTCAGGTGATGCTATCCAAAACGTTCCCAGCCAAATGATAGTAGTGAAATGCCTACCCAGCTGCTCCGGTGACGATGCAGTTTTTGCCGCCAAGCCGGCCACGAGCGAAGACTTCACTGCCCATGTCGAATATTGACAGTAGCAGAAGGTGGAAGACGTGTAAAGTGGACTCGTTGCTCTGCAAATGAACTCGAATCAGACGATATGCACAGAAGAGACGAAAAGACGCAAAGTTTTGTGGTTCCAGCGAAATGAAATTATGACACACGCCGAAGAGACAGTCATATGACGAGGCCGCCACCCACGACCACTGCAGCACGGCAACGCGAAGTTTGAAGCAGTGAACAAAGAGTACTTACGGAGCTGTTATCGCGAGGAGACAATGAAAGATTGGTGAAGGAGAAGCAGCAGAGGAGAGGGCAGCGTCAAAGAAAAGAGAAGTGATGCTACGGGCAGAGTCGGTGAAAGGGCCCGATTTCGGCCACTGGAGTGCGCGATTGATTGCTGTTAGATAAGAGCCACAATTTTGCCATGGTGACTGGCCCACCCTGCGATGGCACAGGCAGTTCCTTCCGGTGGCTTCCCACCGCACTCCAATGGCCGCCTGCAGTGCCTGACGAGATGTGTGCTGCTTGGTGGACTTCTGAGCCCGCTGAGGGGCGCGACCCGTGGGGCATGCTGTCATGCATCGTGATCGCTGGGCGAAGAAGATGCGACGTGCTCTATCACGGACCCCCGTCGTGAGCCAGCAGAAGGACACTGCTCAGAGCGGGATATGGGCGCAAGGGAGGACGTCGCCGTTTATGTAGCACAGTAACGCGCCGAGCCATAGCTCCGATGGAGAGGGCAAACAACGGGATAGACTCCGCGCTGCTGCCCACCCCACGCCCTTATCCCGCCCCCGGCCCTTATCCCGCCCCCATTCGCTGAAGCTCTCCAGCGTGCATCGCCAGCTCCACCCCGCCAGCTGCGTGCCGTCGGTGGCTTCCATGCCCAGAAGCCTGCCTTATCCCGCCCCTTGAGCTCTAGTTGCCCTTAATCCGACCTCGTGTGATCTTCTTCGCCCTCCTCCAGCACCCTTCACCACCTCAATTCCTTCGTAGAACTATCGCCCAGACCCCCACCATGGCCGACGAAACCCCCGACGTCGCCATTGAGACCCTCCCCGAGCTTCTAAAGGATGACACCGCTGTCAAGGTGGCCGGCGTCGACGTCGATGGCATACTGCGCGGGAAGCTAATGGCGAAGAAGAAGTTCCTGTCCATTGTCAAGGACGGCTTCGGATTCTGCTCCGTCGTCTTCGGCTGGGACATGCACGACCAGACCTACTTCAAGGAGCTTGGGATCAGCAACAAGGAGAATGGATACAGAGACATCATCGCCGTGCCAGACCTCACCTCGTTCCGCAGGATACCGTGGGAGAACAACGTCCCCTTCTTCCTCGTCAGCTTCTTCGACCCCGATACCCACACATCGCTGAGTGCGTGTCCGCGTTCTATCTTGAAGCGCACCGTGGACAAGTTGGCTGATAAGGGCCTGGGTGCTATGGCTGGAGGTGAGCTGCAGTGTACGGGCGGAGCTCCTGCGTCAAATCGCTCGGAGTCTTGTGCTGGCTGATTGCGATTGCGTTTCGAGGAGCTAATCGTGCCTCCTCTACTCAGCTGAATACGAATTCTTCCAATTCAGGGCCCCTGAGAACCCTGGGGCCACCGAGCGAAATTCCTCCTCTACCGCTACCTTCCTCCGAGATAATCCTGTCAATTCGCTCCCATCGCTCACCGAGGGCATGTTTGGATACAGCATAACGAGGCCTGTGCATAACCAAGACTACTTCTATAGCATATTTGATACCTGCAAGAAGTTTAGGTGTGGCATTGAAGGATGGCATACGGAGAGCGGGCCGGGTGTGTTTGAGGCCGTAAGTCATGCATTGGTAGTTGGATGGTCGAGAACTGACCCAAGACTAGGCCCTCGAATTTGGTGAAATTACACAAATGGCCGATAAGGCGTCGCTCTTCAAGTGAGTACAACATAACTTCAACAGTGCTGAAATTGCTGACCGCATCTAGGTTGGTGGTCAAGTCAATAGGTAGCAAACATGGCATAACACCATGCTTCATGGCAAAACCTCGCGCCGGACTCCCAGGGAACTCAGGTCACATGCACGTCTCCATCGTAGATAAGGAGGGCAAGAACCTCTTCTTCCGCGAGAAAGAAGATACTGAAAACAAGTGGCAAGACCTCCGATATCTATCGGATATGGGACGGCACTTCCTCGCAGGACTCATTGATGGCTTGGCTGATATCATGCCAATTCTTGCACCAAATATCAACTCCTACAAGCGGCTGGTGGAGAACTTCTGGGCGCCAGTGACAGTCTCATGGGGTTTGGAACATCGTGCTGCCTCTATTAGGCTTATCAGCCCGCCTACGTCTAGCCCGAAAGCAACTAGGTTTGAGGTCAGAGTCCCTGGAGCCGATACTAACCCGCACTTTGTACTCGCTGCCATTCTCGCGCTTGGCTGGAGAGGCATCGAGAAGAAGTTGGAGATCTCTGTGCCCCCTCTCGGGAAAGGAGAGGAGGTTGGAGGTGTCCAGGACAGGGGTGTACGATTGGCGAAGTCGCTGAAAGAAGCCACAGAAACCTTCATGAGGCCGGAGAGTGTAGCACGAGAAGTGTTTGGGGATGAGTTTGTGGATCATTATGGAGGGACGAGGGAGCACGAGATCAGGCTTTTCGATGAAGCTGTCACGGATTGGTAAGTTTGATGACCCCCTTCTTACACGTGTTGAGCACTAATGTGTTATAGGGAGGTCCGTCGCTACATCGAAGTGGTTTAAAGGCAGGAATTTCCTAAGTTCTTGGGAACACGGAAGGTTGATGTTTGGATGCTTGAAATGACTGTGATCTAACTGTACGATCGACCCAAAGAAAGATAGACGCAAATGAGGCTACGATAGGAATATGTATTATTATATCCTAGAGCGATTCGATTTAACATGTGTTGAGCCCCATTTTTCTCAGATTTCCGCCGAGCGATCGTAGAGAATCTTCAGTTACCTTTGTGCCTTCCTACGGAAAACCTCCAGCAAGTTTTGGGGACCGATCACTATCAACATGCAGTGAGTGGATCTTATTGTTTGAAGATGTATGACGTAATCTTGACGCGCCCCGCCATTCTCGTGACTTTACCGGCCGTAGTGGGGCGAGATGCTAAGTCCGAACAGTCCATCACGTCAAGACCATGAATTGCTTCTCCAAGCACCTCACTCGAAGACTCCCATTTCCAATCTCTACGAGATCAATCTATCTCAATTCCAGAAAACCATATCTCTATTCACGGAGAGTAGCGACCATGTCCACAGAATCTACCCAATCCAAAGCTTGTCAGTACACCGCGAGATGGTATCATGAGCTCGAAGATAAATACTAATCAATTCAACCCCAGGCTGCTCCCTACCCGCCATCGTGTCCAAGGGATACGAGCCGAAGGGCAAATACATCACCGTCGATGGCATGAAAACATGTACATCCCCCAGTCCCCCAATCCAACGTCATATCACCCAATACAGCCCTGAAAGCAATACACAACGCCTTCAATCCACTCCTCTTACAGCTCTACCCTTTTATCCCACCTTTCTACTACATAAAACTGATTTCTTGCCCGTAGATGCCACTGGCCCGTCCACGGCCAAACGCGCCATCCTCATCATCTACGACATCTTTGGCTTCTTTCCACAGACCCTACAGGGCGCCGACATCCTCGCCCACAGCGACAACGAGCACCCCTACCAAGTATTCATCCCCGACTTCTTCGATGGCGAGCCCGCCGACATCAGCTGGTATCCTCCGGACAATGAGGAGAAAGGAAAGCTGCTAGGTGACTTCTTCAGCACCAAAGCCGCGCCACCGAAGACGCTGCCTAGAGTCCAGAAAGTAGTGGAGGAGCTGAGCGGGAAGGGGATTCAGAGTTGGGGCATTTTGGGGTTTTGCTGGGGTGGGAAGGTGAGTTGGGTTTGTAGGAGAATGGGGAAAGGATCGGGCTAATGGGTGATACAGATCGTGAATCTCTCCTCGTTGGAGAGTACGCCGTTCAAGGCTGCGGTGGCGGCGCATCCGGCTATGGTTGCGGCGGATGACGCGCCTGGGATTACGATTCCGTATGCTATGCTGCCTAGTGGGGACGAGAGCAAGGAGGACGTTGAGAAGTGGGAGAAGGGGCTCAAGGTGCCCCATCTAGTCGAGTGGTTCCCGGATCAAATCCACGGATTCATGGCGGCTCGGTGAGTGGATGTCTCATAGCCACTTGATGTCCATCTGCTAACGTTTGTGGATCTATAGCTCCAACCTTGAGGATCCAAAGGTTAAGTCGCAATACGAACGTGGTTACCAGACTACGCTGGACTTCTTCCACAAGTACGTGTGAGTGTAGGTATGGCTTGCCGGTTTAAAGATGAGAGTCAAAGGGTGGTGGAATGCATGACTCTAGGCTAAAGCTATCATGTTAGATCCAGGTGATCGCCCGGTAGGTCTTCTAGTAGCTAGGGCTGTTTTAGTGCAATAACGAAGCGGATTTTGTTGACTGCGGGACCATTATCAATAGTGGCATTTTGTGAATGCGATCTCGCGGGATCTTGATCCTTCGAGGCTGAGTGCGGGACCGTTTGGGAAGGTAAGCGGATAATATATTCAAGGTAAGCGAATGCCGTCTCTACCAGCCTATAAATGAAAGTGCTCAGTATCACAAAACTCTGTTTTAGTAAACTATAGTAAAGAGGCCCGCAATTTTGTTTTAGAATTGACGTTATTTTGGGACGTGCCACTCCAGGTTTTCCCGTCGAGGAATTCATCAAAATATGAAGCACGCTAGTCAATGTTGAATTGATCTGGAATCAGTTTTGCATGGTCGTACCCACCCACCGCCGGGAGGTGAGGTACGTGGCCCGGCTCCTACCTCAGAGCGTTCCAAGGTTCTCTTCGTTTGACCACGTGCAACGCGACCGACCTTATTCCCACTGTCACCAGCTTCGACCTCACCTCCACTGTTCGCCATTCGGCACCCACGCTCGTTCAACGCTCCATAATGTTTCGCTTTTTCTCGCCAAAGAACATCTTCCTATCACTTTCTATTCTGCTTCTCTATGGGGCTGTACTCGGCCTTGATTTGGATGTCCATGATCCAGGTAAGGACGAACTTCCGACACTGCGGAAAGCAAAGTTTATTCACTCACCCTTCGCAGGAAGCATCAAACAGGCAGCGAAAACAGTAGCCGACGAGTTGCTTACGAGGTGGTACCATGGCACGGAGCGTGGACAGATAGTTGGTATCTTACCTAACCCATACTACTGGTGGGAAGCGGGTGGGATGTGGGGAACGGTGCGTACAGCTTCGCCAAAGCCTTACAGCATGCCGAGAGCCTGTGTTGATAAGGGCAATAGCTTATCGAGTATGCGTACTACACTGGAGATACTGACTACAACGAACTCATCGCCGACGCAATGCTTGCGCAGGTTGGGCCGAATTTGGACTACATGCCGCCAAATCAGACTAAGTCAGAGGTAGGGCGTCGCACCAGCTTGAGGCTCTAAAGGCACTCTCAACTCACTCATCTAGGGCAACGATGATCAAGCGTTCTGGGCGTTTGCAGCCTTGACAGCGGCTGAGCTGAAATTCCCCGATCCGCCGGAACCGCAACCGCAATGGCTAGCATTGGCTCAAGCAGTTTTCAATGAGCAGACAAGCAACCGATGGGATACGGACAACTGCGGCGGGGGGCTGCGCTGGCAGATCTACAACTTCAACCAGGGATGGACGTACAAGAATCTGATATCGAACGGGGGTCTGTTCCTGATGTCTGCCCGCCTGGCGCGCTTCACGAAGAACCAGAACTACGTTGATTGGGCTAACAAGGTGTACGATTGGCTTGGAACCACGGGGATATATGTTGATTATCATGCCTATGACGGATCCGATATCAGCAAACAGTGCAAGGACGCGGATCATCATGAGTGGTCCTATAATAATGGCGTGATGCTGGCTGGGTCTGCATATGTGAGTAGTCTGCCAATGTTGGGGTTTGCCATTCCATGAACTAACTTGCATCAGATGTATAACCATGTACGCCGTAACCGTCATACCAAGCCCTCTTCCCTCATATCTCCCATCACCTACTAACAACGATCCAGACAGGCGATCCCATCTGGCACGACCGCGTCCACGGTCTTCTCAATGTCACCCTCGCCCATTTCTTCCCCACGGATCCTAAATTCGGCAACGGTACAATCATGTCAGAATATGACTGCGAGGTCATGAACATCATAGACCCGAAGAACCTACCCTGCAACAACGACCAGCGTTCCTTCAAAGCCTACTCCACCCGTTGGCTCGCTGTGACGACTCAGCTCGTGCCCGACACGCGCGACCTCATTCTGCCTAAGCTCCGCACGACCGCCCAAGCCGCCGCGGCGCAGTGCTCGGGTGAGCCGACGGGCTCAACATGTAGCCAATATTGGTTTGCTCCTAAATTCGATGCCACAAACGGTCCTGGGGAACAGATGAGTGCGCTGAGCGTCATCAGCGGGCTGCTAATCGAGTTGGACTCGACGCCACCACCAGTGAGCACGGATGATGGCGGGACAAGCAAGGGGAATCCGGATGCTGGAGAGGGGAACTCAGACGAGAAGAAGATTAATGCCAATACGGGCCCGATTACGACTTCGGACAAGGCAGGTGCGTGGTTCTTGACTATGTTTTTCGCGCTGGCGTTCTCGTGCTTAGGGTTGTGGCTTTGCAACGACAGGACAGATACGGATGGATGGTCGACGCTTTGAAGCTGGCGATGGTGCTTTTGGATTCCTAGGCGCCGGCGATGGTAACGGCTGAGGGAGCAAGCGGGTTATGCTAATAGGTCTTAGGGCGCAGTCTGGGGGAAAAGGACTAAATAATTACACTTTTGTCGTCTTTACAACCTTTGTATGTTGAAGGTATAAAGGGGGGGCGGCGATCACAAACAGACGTATCAGAGATCAAGTGGAAAACCAAGTTTTGCCTCTTTCATGGGACATAGCCCCTATTTTTCTCGATGCCTACGTACATAGTACATCCCCTTTGCACGTCACGTGCATAGTGACGACGGTCCGTCTTAACACACATAAGAATACGGACTAACCCTATCTTGTTGGGCAACAAAGCCGGTTCATTTGCTGTACGCTGTGAAAGGTAGTGAGAAAAGGAGCAGGGTCGCACCCTAATTTTGGAAGTGATGTCAATCCAATAGCGTGTGTACCACCTACACACCCAAGGATCTACACATGCGCAATCGTCTTGTGAATAGTTAGGTACGATGTCGGCCTATTTCGCAACACAAACACATCTTGCAAGTGGACCAAGCTATTTCTAGAGTTCTCTTACCTGGCACCTGGGCTGGACGTTGGGCATTCCACGGGACGAATCGTGGGACCAAGGGACCATGAAGGAATGTGGTGGCTGGCACGCGATCTGCAAGCTGCATGCAGAAGCGCCTCTCCCGGGATCACGAGCTGTGGAGGCGGCTAGACGAGCGATGATGCATGGTTAGCTGGGTGCTGGGCTCTCGGCTCGCCCTCGAAGTGGCTCTTGTTTGAGGCCATGAACCGTGGATGTGAAGCGTCGGAGCGCTGGCCGGAAGGCGGAGAAAATAGACGTTGCTGATGAAACGCGCGTCTGGGGAGAGCAATTGGCTAGCGGCGATCTGACTCAATGCAGCCGAAACTGCAGCCCGCTTCCGGCGCGTTTGTGCGACGTAGGAGGTGGTGCTCGTGGGCTGCGTTTCGACACGCAGGGCGGCTCGAGGAGGGTCGCACGGCCGAGCTTTGCGGGACGCGTAATGTCAGACTGCGAGCGTCTGTGAATCCCCCCGGTTCTTGCGGATTGGTAGACGGTGGAAGGAGTGCCATGGCCAGTCCAGTGGTGTGGTGGAGGGGGACTATTCACGGCCAGCGCTTCACCGACTCCAGTGCGATGGGCCGCAAGGTGTTTGATCTGGGCCGGTGGGTTTCTGGATGGGGGCACATGCTCGATGACGCTGGGCTAGTCCCTTGGCTTCCTGCCAAGGCTATCACCATTTCCCGTGCAGCCCTGAAGCATCAGGAGGAAACAGTCGCTGTCAGCAGCTCCAGCGCGCGACAACGCACCCGAAGGAGCTGCTGTGCGGAGTAAGCTGGTGGTCCGTTAAATAAACATACGAGCCGTGTCTTGAGCCCCGGCCGCCACGCAATCTGAATTGATCTCTTGCGCCGCGTGGCCAATCGCGCCGTCGCTCGAGCTGTTCTCTTGGTGCTGGCTCGGACGGGACGGGGCTAGCGCGTCGCTGAGCAGGGAAGTTGCGAGCTGTCCGTGGCTTCCGCCGGACAATCCCAGAGAACAATCGGGTGCAACCACCACGCTCGCTGCTGCTGCCATTCACCCTCCAACTCCATCACCTCAGCCCTGACGCTCTCCCGCAATCCCTCGATCGCTGGCCATGTTGGAATCGACCGCTGCATCTCGTCCCTAGGAGCTCCGAGAGCTGCGACCGCCCAGGACCCGTCCCCTTCGTCCTCCGCGACTACGAATCATCGATATCGTCACCACGACCCTCGCTCAATTGACACCACCAGCCCCTCACTTGCCTCTACAGAACTTCACGAGAGTATCTCGCCTTTCGCTGAGCCAGTGCTGTGCCCAGCCATTTCGTTGGCCGTCTTGGCACATAAATTCGGAGGCTGGAAGACCGCTCTCACCATACCGCGAACAGACGCCGCACCCCTCCCGGCCACCCCGGCCCCTACACATAAATCTCCCCGCCCGACGCCCTGGTTGGGGGTCACAACATAGTCCTAATGGCATTTTCGGTATCCTCGCGGGCGGCGTTCTTGCTTCTGGTCGCGCTTCTTTCTTTGTTCCAGATTTCTCTTGCTTCGGACGACCAATATGTCCAGGCCGTGGATGCCAGTGGCAACACCATATACCTCAAGGACAATCGCAAGCCCTCACTCTACACCGGCAACTTTGGAGATTGCTTGGGCAGCAGCAATATCAATGTCACCCGCTTCGATGCTGCGTACTACAAGGATAACATGACGGTGCTGTTCCATCTGGAAGGAAACACGGCTCTGAAGAACGAATCTATCATGAGTACGGATGCTCCTCTCCCAGATTGCAGAACCACAGGCTGATTGCATACAGTGTACATTGGTGTGTTCGCATATGGCGAATCTCGATTTGATCTTACCTTCAACCCCTGCAATGCCAACATCGAGAGGTACGAATTTTCACTCTAGCACTTCACGTGTGTATTGACTAATGTGTGCAGTCTATGCCCCATGGAAGCTGGCACCACAATTGAAGCAGGCGGCATTATCCCTGTCTCTCAGAGTGATGTTGCTGGTATTCCAGGTAAGCCTTTCTGCCCTGTGGAGCTGTAACCGTCTAACATCCCCCAGCTATTGCACTCACGATCCCAGACTTCGAAGGAGAGGCCATCCTACGCCTCTTCGCCAACTCTACGCAAACTGAAATCGGCTGCTTCTCTGCTGTCGTTACGAATGGAGCTACTTTCGCCCAGCCTGAATCCGTGGGCTCAGTTCTCGGGATATTCACTATCATTGCAATCATCGCGTCGTTTGCTACAGCCGCCTATGGAGACAATATCCCCGTGATGCGGAAGCACTACGCTCACTCTATGTCCGTCCTGGTTGTATTCGCCGTCTTCCACCATATCTTCTTCACTGGAGCTCTGTCCATGAACTGGCCAAGCGTCCTGGTCGCCTTTTGGAGCAACTATGCCTGGACCGGAGGCATGATCTACACTGAGTCAATGCAGAATTCTATCAACAGGTTCATCGGATCCAACAGGGGCAACACAAGTCATGTCGGTGCTGCTGGGAGTGGTGTACTGAACGAGGACCTAGGAGGTGGATATGATATCCACCAAATCTACAAACGCATGACTCCTACTCACAAGGGGCCTTTGAATATACCTGGTCTCATGCGTCGTAGCAAGTTCAACCTCGTCGCTCGATACTTGGAAGAGTCGCTATCAAAGAGGGAGCTGGCCAATAGTTCCGACGGATTCAACTATTATGGCAATCCTGTGAAGCCTGGCCTACCTCTTCCTGGAAACTTTTCTGGATTTGCTGGAACTCTTGGAGAAGAGAGCATCCCTGCATCGAATGCCTTCATGACTGGATTCCTCTGGTTCCTCATTCTCATTGCCATCGTTGCTGCTTCCGTTGCTGGTTTCAAGTGGATACTCGAAGGCCTGAGCATGATCAAACTGATCAAGAAAGACCGCTTATCATTCTTCAGAGCGCACTGGCTAGGCTACACAGCTTTCGCTGTCCTGAGGACCCTATTCATCGGATTTTTCATGATGATCTTCTTGACCCTCTTCCAGTTCACCTATGCGGGATCCGGTGGTGTCATTGGAGTCGCAGCTATCGTGTTTATCATCATGTTTGTGGGCATGTTCGGTGTCGCTGGGTATGCCTGCTTTTACCGGATCAAGTTCGGGAAATACCAGTCCGAGCCAGACCGAATCAACGTGGAGAGAAGTAAAGTGCTGAAAATCATCCCGTGGTATCGATTCACCAGGGCCAGTGAGCATCTCAACGACGAGGAAAAGGTCTATGCTGGATCAATTCCTTGGTACAAGGTATCACCGTCTACCGGAGAGGCTACGGACTCAATCCACGATGACGAGGCATACACCAAGAAGTTCGGATGGCTTGCCTCCCGCTTCCGCCGAACTCGTTGGTGGTTCTTCGCTGTCTGGTTGGTATACGAGTTTGTCCGAGCTTGTTTCTACGCTGGAGCCTCTGGACACCCGATGACTCAAGTCTTTGGCCTTCTTGTGGTCGAATTCATCGCTTTTGTTGCCATAATTCTCCTGCGACCCTTCGAAGGACAACGCCTGAACGCAATCGTGGTTTATGCCTTGGGCTTCAGCAAAGTCGCCACGGTTGCGCTTTCTGCGGCTTTCGACATTCGATTCAACCTCGCTCGAATCCCGACAACTGCCATCGGCATTGTCATTATTGTCATTCAAGCGATTCTCACGATCATCCTCTTAGTCGCTATTGTGATTGGTGCAATTTCTAGCTATTTCTCGGTCACGCGGAATCGCGAAGAAATCAAGCCGAAGAAGTGGATGCCGCTGCGAGAAAGATACTTCAAGCACCTCGATCGGACAGTGTTAGATGTACCACCACCTCCACGACCACCAACGCCTATTCCGGAAGAACCAAAGGGTCCCTACTTCAGTGTCAAATCCATCAAGAGGGTTCCAAAAATTGAAGATGAAGACAAGGATTTCCTCGCAGAAATAGGCGGGGATCCGAATGAGTCGTACATCTCGCTGGCTACCATGGGCAGGATAGAAGAAGGTGCCGAGGTCCCACCACTTACTCGAACCAGCCGGGCCGGCAGTGTTCGAAGCCATGCTTCTTTCACAAGTCTTCCCTACGGAGCGCGTGTTCATCGCGCCAGCTGGAGTTCTCGCGACTTCAACGACTGGCACAACGAACGAAGGCGTACTGCCAACTCGACTGCTCCACTGGTGCCCGAAGGCGAGTCTTCTCGCCGCGCTAGTGGAAATATCGGGTCGTACGCACGCTTTGCCAACAGCCGTGAAAGCATCGCACGAGGCAGTCCTCTTTCGAGCCCAGAAGACAACGATGTCATTAGCCCGATGGGTAGACCGAGAAGCCGGGCGCCGACTTCGACACCTGCGTCTCCGTATCGTCCACCGCTAAAGACATTGATCAGCGAGAATGAGGTTCCTGGTTTGCCGTCGCAAGCTCATCCAGAATAAATGGTTCTCGACCTAGAGAGGATTATGACGCAATTACGAAGTCACGACCGAGTCACGACCGAGTCACGAAAGCCGCAGTTGGCGGATCGGGGTACAGAGAGCTAGTATCATTACACCTTCGCATTGCACAATCATTGATGGTTTGGGTAACACTAATTTTGGAGTTTTGCGGAGTTGGATTCAAAAGCCTTTTGGTAAACAGCATCAGATCGACTGCATTAAGGAGGGATAGCTGTACAGTGGAGGATGAGTTCGATGGACATTCCCATTCTCTCATGGGATCACTCTTTCCCTTTTTTCATGCATTAGACGCATATGGCCCTATCAGGGGTATCAATCGGCGTTTGGATTGGGGGGCATGTCAACAACTTCTGGAGGATGAACGAGCATTGGGAACAGGATATCTTTAGGTTGATATAGGATGTAATGGTGGATAGCAGCTTGGAATGGATCGAATTGAGGCAGGTTGGGTACTGCAAGCTGGAGGCTAGATATAGGAATGAAACACCAATTACCAGCTACCCAATGAGCAACGAACAGATGGATTGCATTGATTGTGCATATGACTGCTAACCGCCGGTTCCGTCGAGACCGGTTCCACTTTCCGCAGTGCATTGGGGCATTATCAAAATCCGATGGCTGGGAATAATGCCATTTCGAAAACCTGATGACGGCCTAGCCACGACTCGTGTCACCCAGCCCAGCCCCCAATGTGCCCACAAAACTCCGGGGAAGGAATGAAGCCACACCGACGTCATTACGCAAACTTACCCGGTTGCGCGAAAACCGAGGCGATCCCTGGGAGGTGTGGCAGCCAGACTTGCGGGCCAACTCCGAAAACGGCATCCTTTTTGGGGCCAGTTCCGGTCAGTCCACCAGTAAAAGCTTTTCGGCGCTCCATCCGGCAGTGCGTTCCATGGGCTCCAAGGGTCCAGGTTCGATCTCGCGATGCTCCAGCCACAGTTGGCGCTGTCAGCGGCAGCGATCGGCGAGCGGCATGTGGCGCATGACGGCAGCGCGCAGGATGATGCCTGCACGACCAACGCCTTTTCTGCCGGATGCGGAGGTAGCGCGCCGATCGCTGCCGCTCTGGGCACACGCGAGGTGAGGTTAAGTGACGTGGGGCGTGTCAGCAGGTTTTTTCCGCGGTGCCAGGCGAACCAAGAGCTCGGATCTGTGTATGGGTTTTCTAGTGAAGATCGGGTGATAAGGCAGGAGGAGTGGAGGTGAGGGAGGAGCGATGACGTTTTGGTGAGCGGAAGTGGTGGCGCGCCGTTTGTTTATAAAGAATGCGTGGGCCGGCAGGCCTGCCTCGTACACAGCACAAACTTTCGACACAGCTTCATCAAAGAACCTGCATCGAACCAATTCAACTTCACCGCATACCACTACCACAACTACTCTTCCTACTTCACTAAACAACCAACAACCGCAAAAATGGGTGCCGTCGTCTCTTGCGTATGTCCTCTCCGCAATTGCATCTTGCACGTTACCCCGATAAAAGCTAACAAAGAACACAGTTCCAAACTATCCTCGGCACGATCGGCAATGTCATCATGACAATTGTGCGAGCCATCGGCGCCGTCATCATGGCCATCGTCAACGGCATCGTCGCCCTCTTCGACATCATCATCTCGTGCCTCACCTGCGGCAAGGCGGGCGGCAGGAGAAACAGGATGAAAACGTCCCATCACACCAGTAGGGTCTAGTCCGAGCTAGACACTGGTGCGTGGGCGCTTTGAGCTAGCAGCGTTGTTGACAAGAAGCTCAAGAGCATCACACGGTCATCGCCATCTAAAGAACCCCGACGCTGCTGCCGACTACGAGAACGACCAACGACTTCACGGTCCGATCATTCATGCACTTTCTTCACGCCGGCGACAGCGACAACGATTATGGCTACGACTTCGACCTTCTGCTTGACAATCGACGACCGGCAATTTGCTACTCGCTGCACCTCCTTTCGATTGACTCTCTATACCCTTTTCCTTTTCTTGGCTTCTCTGCCACTTGCATTCTCAGACAGGCTTGATGGGGGCCGGACGGGCGGCTTATCAGCGTGGACGGGATTGTCACGGACGAAGCGATAGATACCTAATACCCCTCTCTTAATCAATTCATGATATTCACGGACTGCATTTTTCTTGACTTGTTTGATTTCAAATGGCTAGCATGAAACTGTTAGCACGTGACTGTTAGAAAGCTTTCTGTTCCGAAGCTCGAGGCCTCCAGCTACCCCTCGCGCCTGTCTCTCACTCACACTCTTGGCCCATAACGCTTCATCCACACGGCCTCTCTCCATCTTCGTGTGATGGGACCATCGTCTTAATACCTACAAGCTGACGTCGAACGAATCGCCAATCTCAATCGAACACTCACCTCACAGCGTCGTCCATCTAGCGCTCTAGATCTAAACCCGCCGCTCTTCTTTCAACATTCAAAGAAGAATCCCATTCCCCACACCCTCCCTAATCCCGCCTCACCGCCGCAGACCCAACAAATGGAACACCAAGTACTTTCCAGCGTCTTCCAGGCCTCGTTGAGATCCGAAAAAACTTCCCTCACAACAGCGCCGCCAACCAACCCCGCCCAGCGTCAGAAAGAAAACATCCCAGACCTCCGCCTTTCGTGGATACGCCATTCGCTGGGCAGGCAGGATTTGCGGGGGAGGTGTCTGGCGAGCACGGGATTTGATCCAGGACGCGCGAACGCTGCTGCGCTAGTACTGTAGCTTGCTTTCTCAATTTCCCGGGAGAGTCGTTGTTTTTCCTTTCTTAGAGAAAAGGGAGAAGAACAAGGCGCAGTGCCCATAAACCCGACCACCTTCTTGCTTCTTCCTCCCCCTTCCCGTGTTCTACCTAGTGTCCTCCCCTGGCATTTCAGCGGGCCCTAGTCCCCGGGTCCCCCTTAAGCCATCGACCTCCCTGCCTCCCGAGTGCCAACTCGCTCAGCATGTGTCGTCCCACGTGCCCCACCCCTCTTGGCATATAAACGCGCAGCTCATGGGATTCTTTTTCGAAGCAGACGTGCGCTGGTGTTGGCGCGGCTGGGCGACTTGAAGTGTTTTGCAGATATCGTGGTTGCGGTGGCTTGAGTGTAAACCTTGAAAGCTCTGGCTGGAGATGGAGTGGTGGCGGTGGGAGGAGGGGGACCAGCACGACGTAGATAGAACCCAGATAGTGGAGAGAGGCGGGCGGTGACTCAACAACCGTCAAAGGCACTATGCAATGGGTGGTGGTGGGGTGGAAGGGGATCAAACCCAGCAAATTTCTCCATGCGCAACTTGTGGCAGGTTCCACAGCGTACGACACTCACCCCTCCTCTCTTTTCGAACATGATCACGGCTTTAGTCGAAAGAAAAAGCCCCTCTAGAGTCGGTAAACGGACTAGAGCAGGATCCAAGTTCCAAGACGAAAAGATTAGAGATACGATAGGGTATATTACTCACTTTCTTTCCGAACGCCAAGGTCCGCAGAAAGGCAAGACAACTAACGAGATCAATGCGAACCAGCCAGCCCCTTTCCCAGATCCGATCCGAATCTCTCCCAAAAAAGAGTACCCTCCCAGTAGACCTACACAAACTCCGCCCTTAGTCAACACCAATGCACCCAACACATGAGGTATATACATAAAATTCCAGAATCATTACCAGCGGTCTTTTCTCTCCTGCTACCAGAACTACAATGAGGTTCAGTGCCGCCCTTGCTCAGCACTCACCTCCGAGAACCCCTGCGGCGGCGCCTGATACCCTGTCTGCATCATCTGGGCGGGCTGCGGCGCCGGCGAGGGGATCGGCGAGGGCTGGTACGGGGCTTCGTGGGCTTGGGTCTGGTAGCCATACTGCTGCTGTGGGGGCGGGGACTGCGATGGATGCGGGTACGCGGACGCGGGGCTTTGGTAGGCCGTCTGCTGCTGGAACTGTTGTTGTTGCGGCGCCGCGTATTGCTGATATTGCTGCTGCTGGTAGTTTGGCGCGTATTCCTGCTCCTGCTGGGGAGCCAGTTGCTGCAGCTGTTGGTTGGTGACAGGGTTGTAGGTCACGCCGTTCATGACGTGCGACTCGCCCTTCTCGACGGCGTGCGGCGACATGGGCGCGCCGGCTGCGCGGTGCTTCTTGAGGCCGATGGCGTGGATGGCGAGGGTGAGGATGAAGAGGAGCCTGGGTGGGTTTGTCAGGTTTGTGTGCGTGCGTGGAAGGGAGATTATGTGGGGAAGACTGACATGTTCAAGGCGGAGAGACCAGCGCAAGCGCTCATCATGTCGAGATAGCCATATGTAGCCACAGCGCGCTTTTCGAGGTCGCGCTTCCGGTAGCAGATTCCGCCGTAGCCGTAGTTCACGCATCCGTTTATCGTGGTCGGGTACTTGAAGGATGTCCTAGTGGCTGCGAGATCGGCCATGGAGGCGAGCCAGAAGATAGCGGCGAGGATGTCGAGCGCGAGGACGGCCCAGTAGTTGTAGGCAGAGTGGAGGGATGCGATTCTCGACGTAGCGACCGAGTATCCTACGATGATGAATGTTCCCAGACTCTATCAAGACGGTATTCAGTTAATGCGCATTGAGAGACGTTTGTAGAGCTCTTACAGTGATAAGAGACAGGATAAACGCTCCGAACGCAACCCAGTAGATTCCATATGCCGACATGCCCAAGATCGCAACAGCTAAGACGACCTGGAGGCCTCGGACAATGATCGTCCATTTGGGAGAGTCCACCACGTGGGAGGCAGTCATGGTGGGATTGGGTATCGGGATTTCAACGAAGGAGGAGTATATTATGGAACAGAATAGAGGACGAAGACAACTAGGTATAGAGACTGGGAAACGTATATGTACTGTACGATACGAATGAACCTACCGGGAGACGTCGGACGTCGCAAAAGCTTTATACAGGCGCCCGATTCAGCCCCTAGAAATGCGGGAACGCCATGTATGAACCTTTGTGCGCCGGCGCAACGCCCAGAACACGAACACGGCCAGCGCTACACCGGCAGAAGTTGGCGATGCTTGGCACAGCGGAGCTATCGATGCAAGGAGCGGCAGAAGTACCCAATAGAAGGCGCCTCGTGAGGCTGCTGCAGTCGCACAGCCTCAACTCCTGTGGCCGAAGCCCGGTTCCAGGGGGTACGGCTGAGCCCGTCGACGCCCAAAGCGGCAAAGACAGCAGAGGGCATGGCCAAGCGAGCCCGAAAGCGTTTAAGCATGCACCGAACTTGCTTGGAGAAGAGGCTGAGGCATAGGGCGCGCTTAATTACTTTCGATTGACCGGTCGTCGGGCTCGGCTGTGGCTGCATGCTTTGAGCGCATGTGTCTCTGCGGTGCACTCATCGTCGGACAGCGAACGCTATTGCTGTAGCACTATTTGGAGGCCCACTCGGCGTGGGGAGGTTGATGATGTGTTCGAGGAACCCTGAAAAGTCCTTGAAGAAGACAGGGGCATTGCTTGGGGTGGTTTGGATCTGGCCCGAACTGGAGCCGTCTCGAAAGCTGTCAATATAACGTAGTGGCTGGGCAGCGTTTGAGTTGAGAAGCCTTCAGCCTTTTCCTCGTCTTCCTTGTCTGGGACGTGCTTGGGGCTTCAGTACCGCTCCCCCGAGTGGTTGAAGCTTTCACCAAGCATATCCAGAGTCCGCAGTGGCATCGAGTGACGTCCCCTGTCCCTGCGTCAAAAGCGTCTCTAGCGCCGGGAGCCTCGCTTGCCCCTGAACTGCTCGAAGGATTGACGCATCTGGTTGTTGGCTGAGCACGAAGTCGGCCTGCCGGAAACGACCTCGGGAGAGTTCAGGGCTTCGGAGAGCATGGCGCGGTGAGCGGAGACGCCGAAAATGCAGCACTGTAATGATGAATACTATGAGAACAAGACGCAGATGCCCATTTCTTTAAGTGTGCGTTTGTTCGGGGCAATTCGGCCTGGAGTGTAAGTGGAGATCCCCCGCATTTCCTCCCTTTCGCAGCGACGAGTTCTCCAGACATCCAACATCTCTCGAGGAAGGACCGCTTATCAATTTGTACGTAACAAAGGGATCTAATCTCTTGGCCTGCTCGAACTAGGTCCACACAAGCTGCTTAGCCTCGCGAAAAACACAGGCGGTACAAAGGTATGGTGGCAGTGCAGATAGTTCATGGCTCCACTATGACGGCAAGTCTTGAAATGCATTCTTTTAAGCCAACCTTTTTCTTGTGGCTATCTGGTATGCTCAGAATCATCTTTCGATTGCTCGCAAAGCTATGTACATTTACGTATGCTTGAGACGTCTACAATGACCGATCAATTACACAGCTATTAACCAGACACGGAAGGAGATCTAAGGAGGTTAGAGAATGCGAGGAACTTTTGAACGAGGAAATCTTGAAGCTGAACTATCTCCTATAGTAAAAGCAGCACAAGATGAAGAAGAACCCATCGGAAGAGAAAAAAATATTTGGGAGCGAGCCCAGCGAGTTTAGGTACGTACTCCCTACCATCCCAAAATGATGCATGCAATCCTGTTACTCATTCAAGTCTCTAATGCGTCTATGTTATTGAAACCCACCCATGCAAAACCCCCGATGCAGCCTTACAATGCCCGTCATCCAATGCGTCAGCCAAAATCATGCAGCCAGCCCTAATAAGCCGAACAAAATACGTTCGCTCTTTCGAAAGCCTGCGTAAAAAGGGTCTGCATAGCCGCATAATGAAACAGAATGCCGCCCAGTACTGCACAATGCCATATGTTGTGGCTACCGCCCACATAATCAAACATTCCTGGGAACCAGCACTCGGGAATCTTGCTGGCGTATAGGATTGCGCCGGTCAAGTAGACGACAATACTCTTGCTGACGGGTGCGTAGAAGGCGAGAGCGACTCCGAGCCCGCGGGACAGGGCGAGCTGGAAGATAGGGATGAAGCCGGTCGTGGCGAGGGTAACATAGAAGAGCACGCGGGCCCATGCCATGTCTTGGCGATTGAAAGTGGGATGCCAGGGGAGAATGACACCGCCGATTCCCAAGGCGGCAGTGGTGAGCATGTAAATCCAGCGTGAGACAGGTTCGCAGTAGAAAGCTGTATACTCAGTCGTCATGATGGATGCGGCCACGAGGAGGGAGATGCCCGTGTAATCAACACAGGCGAAACGCTCGAGGAGAGTTTGATGAGATATGGAGTTCATGGTGTGCCAGATGGTCGAGCAGACCAGGCATTTAGCTGCGGCGAAGAAAAAGACGGCGGCAATAAAGACGTCGGCGTTGGTGGAGTGGGAGAAGTTCACGCTGGTGGGATAGAAGTAGAATGCAATGGAGAGGATGATGACCAGGCCGATTGCATGCGACCAGATGTTGAAGAGTTCGTTGTGTAAGCTGAGGGCGGAGCGTACGCAGTCGAGCTTGCCCTCGTGGAAGCGATAGCCTTTGAGGATGTGTGGGTTTATCCGCCACGGATCGGGGAGGTCTTCGTACTTGATGAGGCCGTGTTCTCTTGCTCGGTCTAGTGCCCGTTCAACGGCATGTTCAATAGTCTCTCTTGCGTGGCGTGCTTTAGTCAGGCCCTCGTCTACGACTCCCTTCGCCTTGCCGAGCCCTGAGTCGACCCGCCTCCAGCCTTCGTCAATGAAGTTGTTGGCAACGGAGCCAATTCCGGCATCACGCATGGCGTACGCTCGTGTCTCAAATTCTCCCAAGAAGGATTCCATTAGCCGTACGCCCTCTTGCACTCTCTGCTCTAGCGTCTCTTTCTTCGTCAGCGCTTCCTTGTAACGCTCTTCCAGCGTATCCACCAGCACATTCGCCCTCCGCCTCCCCGCGTCAATGACACCATCGGATATTTTGGAACACGATTCGCGGACAGCCAGGAGAGTCGAGTATGCGCGTTCAATACCAGCGTCGATATTCAGCTGTCCGTAGGGCTCTAGGAAGTCTAGCCGGCGGCCGAGTTCTGCGAGGAAGCGATCGACCTGAATACGACAATTAGCGACCGCGCAACGCCAATTGACGCATAGGAGCACGTACAATCACCTGCATGTCGTCAGGGTCGACTGTCCATGGGTGTGCATGATCAGTATGGTATGAGGAGTGGCGCCGCTGTTTGTCAGTCTCGCGAGAGAAGGTGCCGTAGTTGGAGCGGTTGGAGCGGTCGGAACGCAAAACGGGCTCCTCGTAGGACTCGGTCATGACTGCGGTAGAATAGCACGCCATGACCGCGATATAAGCAGGGCGTTGGAGACAGATAGCCAGGCACGCGTGACTTATACGTCGTGAGGGGTGTCCGCGTGCGGTGTTCTGCTAATTGAGGCGGCTGCTGAGAGGGAGTGGGTTCGCCGGAAGCGGTGATTGGGCGCAAGCCGCTGCAAGAGGAAGATATGTACAGCGCGACTAAAACGAAAGCGACGTTGGAGCGATAACCGTAAGGACCGGAAGGGAATTCGTAGAGGGAGAGAATGCACACGTGTGTATGAGGGTGAGGTGAGTGGAGGTGAAGAGTGGGACTTGTTGGGCCATGTTCGCCTTCGACAAACGCGGCGGAAGACCGATCGAGACCCTTGCAGACCCTTGCAGACCCTGATGACGACGATCTTGTGCCACTCACGTGAAAGAGCTTTAGAGTGTTAGAAAATAGATAAGCCTACTCATCACCCCCCATTTTGCTGCATATCACCCCCCTAGAATTAGCCTAGCTCCGGCTCGTAATAACTTTGTTCCACTAATTAGGCTGTTGCTTAGGCGATAATATTGTTTAATAACGGGGTTTAATTCACCAAAACAGCACCCGATCTCTCCCCCAGATAAGCCGGCACCCTAATAGTAACTAAGGGCTCTATTTCCTTAGTCTCCAACAGTCAACCAGCCCTTAAGGATGGCCCTCTGTCTACTCCTAAGGAGGAGGCTGTTTGTAGTAAAGGAGCCGGTGCAGCATGAGGATATTCGAGTGTGAAACCTTGGTATAATGGTGTATACGACGTTCCTTTCAATCAGCAATTAAGAGGTGGCTATTTAGGCGCTTTCCGCTTCTAGGAGTTATGTAATTCTTTGCATAATCTGCAAATAAGTAAGCATAATTGGTGGAACAATATTAATACGGGCCAGAGCTAGGCTAAATCTAGGGGGGGTGATATGCAGCAAAATGGGGGGTGATACGTAGCAAAAAGGGGGGTGATGAGTATGCTTATCCTAGAAAATATATAGAGGCACGTCAAACAGTCGCAAAGCGTTGTGCACCGTGCCTGTATCTAGACTCGACTAGCGCTTGCGTATCGTTTCAACCAGATTTCTAGAAATATACAAACGTGCTTCAAGCGGCATTAAACGAGTGTACACAGGTAGACATATCCAGATTTTCTAAAGCACGTCGGAGCACCTCGAGCGGCGTCAAACCCCTGTACATAGATAAGCCCATGTCCAGATTTCACAAGACGAAGACCTGTTGAGGCGCCTCAAGCAATGATAGACAAGTATAGAAACACTTTTGATTTCATCCTATCCCTGGAAAGATTTGGGTATCTTTGTTGCAAGTTGTCACAGTAATGTGGCCGTGAAGATCGAATATCTATCAACGCCTGTTTTTGATCCATTTGCCCCATCATCGCTCAGTTCCTCCATATCCTGACCTGCTTGTCGCGACCCCCGCTACCCACCTTTTCGCCATCAGGGCTCCAGTCAACAGCATAGACTTCGTCCTTATGTCCGGGTAGGTCTTGCTTAAGCTTGCCGGTTCGTACGTCCCAAGCTTTGAGCGTCGTGTCTTTGCTTGCTGAGACAAGCAGTCGCGAGTCTGCGGAGAAACAGCATTGATATACTGCAAAAAATGTTAGCAAGCGTAGCAGCTCTTGTTCTTCATGTGAGTATTACCTGATGCCACGTGCCCGCGGAGTGAGAAGAGGAACTTTCCGTCTCGAGCAGACCATAACTTGACGTGATTGTCAAAACCAGCCGAGGCAACGTAGAAGCCGTCGGGGCTAAATGTGACATGATTGACCTGCTTCTGGTGGCCCGTAAGCCGGGCAATCGGTTTCCTCGAAGTTAGCGGAGACCAAAGGAAAACTGTAGTATCATCAGACGCAGTGGCCAGACGCTCGACAATCTCCCCCCCTACTGTGACGGCCTTTTCGAAGCGTTCTTTAGCTTTTGCGACTTTTTCTACCTCATTTCCCGGGACTTTGCCAGTGTGATCGTGGTACCCAGTGCGTAGGGCAAATTCTGATGACAAGGCCATATGGTTGATCCAATGAGCGTGGCCAGTCAGAGTGAACTTGAGGGTTTGAGTGGACGCTTCCCATACTTTGACCGTCTTATCATGCGAAGTGGTATAGATCAAGCCTGTTCCGCCCCATTTAACACACGTAACGGAGTCCTTGTGGCCAGTAAGGGCAAAATCGATCTTTCTTCCAACAACATCCCATATTCGGACTGTTGAGTCTTTTGAGGATGATGCGACTCGAGGGCGCCCCGTTGCTTGTAGGTGGTAGGGCTCCCAGCTCAACGAGTTGACCCATTTGGTGTGACCTTTCAATGCTGTCCCCAAAGCCTGGCCCGAAGAGGGATCCCACAACCGCACGGTGTTATCCATCGAACCTGTCGCAAGAATGTTGCCTTCTGGTGACCAAGCTACGGCAAGGACCCATGAGGTGTGGCCTTTGAGGGTATGGACTGGAGTGCCGGTTTCGCAGTCGAATATCTAGGAAAGTCTTAGCAAAGCGTCTCAAAGTGCGACAAGAATCGTTCTTACTCTTGCAGTATTATCTCCCGCTCCAGTAGCTAATCTCTGTGAATTTGCCGGGGAGAACTGAGCGGTAAGTATGTTCTCTCCGTGTCCTGATATTGCCGCTGCGCACCGAGAAACTGCTTGTACTCGAAAAACGGCCTGTGGGGCATATTGCAGTGTAACCTCGCTTTCTGCAGATATCTTGCCGGGTTTGACTAAGGCATTGTAGAGGTCTGAACGGTCACCTAGTGCCTCCCCTCCGCCATCATATGGGGGTCCTCCAGAGGTGTAGAAGAATCGGTATGGGATGCGGTCATCACCGCGCTCCTGCAGCTCGTTGAGCAGCAATTCGAGGTTCTTGGTGGTCGCATTTGCCAGAGCTATTGATATCACAGGCAGGCTGCCAGCTTCACCTGTCGCTTGATCTACGAATCGGACGCGAATTGCGCCTTCGGGCATGTCTTCTGTGACATCGGCCTGTGTCTGAGCAAGGGCTGCAGCAGCGGTTTTCTGCCGTTTACTGGGGGGCGGGGGGACCGTCGCCATGGTAGTTACAGTCGCAAGACTTCAGCGTGTTTGGTGAGATGTGCGACGTGGAGGAGTGTGAGAAATTGAATCCTGGAAAAGGTTCAGCCCTACGAGCCAAGATTTCGGGACAGTGGACCGTTTAGCCAGGCCCAAGTGACTAAACTGGGCCTGACTAAACGGGCCACAGCGCACGGCCGTTTTGCTCTCACGTTGACGGTGTCTGGGGTCCTCCCGTCTGGCATCCACACTCTCAGCCGAATGTCTCGGATGAGAGGCCAATTTGAACCCCTCGGAAGAGGCCACTGATTTACACTCACAAAACAGGCACACTAATAAACGTGATGGCCTCACGAAGCTCGCGTGGGCGCCCCTCGACATCACTCACATCAGCTTCAACCTCGTATCCCTCCTATCTGTACGCTGACAATACAGGCACGACTTCTCGTCCGAGGACTAGTCGCAGGAGCAATGGTCGACCCGGAACTGGACGCCCAAGAACTGGCGCCTCAACTATTGCTAGAGTCGAGGCCCAGCAAGTTGTTTGTGCTGTGAGCGAGTCTCGTGGCATCTCCCCGACGGTTGGCCTTGCATTCGTCAATCTCGACACCGGAGAGGCAGTATTGTGCCAAATTTGCGACAGTCAAACTTACGTGAGAACGATCCACAAGCTGAGAGTCTACGGCCCTTCTGAGATATTGATTGTGACTACGGCGGCTAGTCCCAAGTCAAAGCTCTTCTCAATCATCGAGGAGAATCTGGAAGTCCTCGACAGCAAGATAACTCTTCTGGATCGTCGGTACTGGGCTGAATCAACTGGCTTGGAGTACATTCAGCAGCTTGCTTTCAAGGAAGATGTTGAGGCTATCAAGATTTCCGTCGGAGGCAACTATTTCGCAGTTTGCTGTACTGCAGCCGTGAGTCGCACGAGACCTCAATTAGACTCTTTCTTACTGAGTCTTCATTTCCAGGTTCTCAAGTACATCGAGCTTGGACTCACGAAGACATTTCCCTATCACTCTCTCAGAATCAAGTATGAACCCTCAGAAGGTTCCATGATGATCGACGTATCCACCATATATGCTCTTGAACTAATTCAAAATCTTCAAACGCCGAAATCTCGAGACTGCCTCTTCGGCCTGCTTAACGAGACATTGACGCCGATGGGATCGAGGCTCCTCCGCAGCAACATCCTCCAACCACTAACGGACCCAGAGACACTCAACACTCGCTATGATGCATTGGAAGAGCTGACAACGAAAGAGGAGATGTTCTACTCTACGAAAGCTGGTGTGGATAGTTCTATGATGCCCTTCTTACAATGACTAACCTGTTCACAGCACTGAAATCGTTCCTCGATGCTGACAAGATATTGACTGCCGTAACGACGCCTCCACTGCTCGTAGGGAGCCAATATTGATATCGTGTCTAGCTTATCATCATCCCGAAAGAACCGAATCTACAGCATACTGAGCAATCGGTCAACAATATCATCATGCTCAAGCAGTTCGTCAACTCGGTCAATCCCATCTACGAGGCCTTGACTGGAGCCAGGTGCACTATGCTGGTCAACATACGCGAGGTATGAAACGTTGAAATGAGTTCTTCACAGCTCTGACATTCAGAAAAGCTCTGTGCTCCCGAAAATGTTCTTCAGGTTCAGCGCCTCGTTGATGCCGTAATCAACGAAAATACGACATATGCAGGTCAGCCACTCGAGCTAAGGAATCAACGCACGTACGCTGTTAAGGTATGAGCCTTTAAAGATTGTGTCAGGATTTTGGAGCTGATCCTGCGCTAGTCGGGCGTTAATGGACTTCTCGATGTTGCCCGAACTACATACAAGGAAGCCATGGAAGACGCTTACCAGCACTCTACAGAGTTGAGCGGTACGTCTGGCTTTTGAGACTGTTCGATTCTTCACGGTCGCTTACCATAGTCACAGAGGAGTACGATCTCCCCCTTGAACTCAAATACGACAACGCTCGCCAATTTTACATCCGGATCGCAGCTTCTGAGCTCGAGCAGCGCCCTTTGCCGCCAGTGTTCACCAACGTCTTTCGCAAGAAGAACATGTTTGAATGTCAGACCCTGGAGCTGATGAAACGCAATCAAAAGGCAGGGCAAACTAATCCGTATGGCACCTTCACGCACTAATAAATCGATAGATTACCACTTCTCACCAAGAAGTGCTTCTAATGAGTATGGTCTGTGACTGTCATCCTCTACTATCGCTAAACCTCACTAGGCGACGAAGCTGTTCAAGATCTAATAACGGCGGTTCGAGAGCAGATGTCAATCCTCTTCAAAATATGTGAGAGTATTGCAATGCTGGATATGGTAGTCGACTCTTCTGTGTTGCAAGACGTGTCATTGATGACAATGACAGGTTTCGTCCTTTGCTCACACAGCTACAAGCCAAGACTATGGTAAGTGCTTGTCTGGTCATGCAAAGTATTTGGCTAACACATCACAGTTCGTCCTCAGATTACTGACACGTTGGCAATCAAATCTGGTCGCCATCCAATTCGGGAAAAACTTCAACATACCAAATTCATCCCTAACGACGTCTATGCTACTCAGCAGACAAGATTTCAGGTTATTACAGGTACGTAGTCTTGCTCCGTAGATCGTATGCCACTGGCTAACTCTCCTCTTTCTCCATAGGCTGCAATATGAGTGGTGAGTTTGGTTTCTATTACCGGTGGGTAGTATTGATCTTAATGGTTTAGGGAAGAGCACCTACATTCGATCGATCGCTCTCATGGCCGTCATGGCACAAATAGGAAGCTTGTAGGTGTCTGAGGCTTTTTGGAGAAGACTGTCTTAATCTGCAACTAGTGTTCCGGCACAATACGCTTCATTCCCGATCCTGCATCAGCTTTTCGCTCGAGTCTCCATGGACGACAGCATCGAAGCCAATGTGTCCACATTTGCTGCTGAGATGAGAGAGACTGCTTTCATTCTACGCAACATTGATCGCCGAAGCATGTGCGTTCGCATCACATCGCCGAAACTCAGATCTCCTGACATTTGACATAGGGCTATCATCGATGAACTTGGTCGAGGCACTAGTACGAGAGACGGCATCGCTATTGCTCTAGCTATTGCAGAGGCTCTTGTTGAGAGCAGAGTTCGTGCACCGGGTGTTGTTTACGCGCCCTTGTACTGACTGACTTGTAGGCATTGGTATGGTTTGCGACACACTTTCGCGATCTAGCTACGATCATGGCAGAGCGGAACGGAGTCATAAGCCTGCACCTTGCCGTTGAGGTTCGAAAGCCCGACAAGAACATTAGACCTGTCACTAACTCCAGAAGATTACCGAGAACGATGCAATGACAATGCTCTACAAAATAGCCGAAGGTGCTGTCCAAGAATCCCACTACGGCCTTGCTCTCGCTCGCGTCGTACCTCTTCCACTGGGAGTCCTCGAACACGCCGAAGTCGTCGCGCAGAAGCTCGAGAATAACATCCTCAGGCGCAAGAAAACCTCCGCCGCTGTCATCCGCGAGCGACGCCGTAAGCTGATCCTTAACCTTAAGGAGCATCTCGTCCAGGCTCAGAACGGAACTATGCAAGGCGATGTTCTGGCGGCGTGGTTGAAGGAACTCCAGAGGGAATTTGTAGTCAGGATGACGGCGATTGATGAGCAGGCGGCACAGGCCGAGACAGAAGAGGACAGCGAGGATGAGGGACGGCCTGGTAGTCACGATGGGGAGAGCGCTCAGAGGGAACGGTCGGTCATCACGGTGGAAGAGGAAAGTGAGACGGTGTCCACGGGCGAAACGATGTCGGAGTGAACTACGCTATTGAAGATGGTGGCTGTTCGGGCCCGTCTCAGCGCTTTGGGGAGTATTCTTCTTTGGAGGCCCGCCACGAGAGGTTCTGCAGTTATTGTCGATTGACTGATTTCGTTTCGCATGACCCCTCTTCGAGGCGTGGCGTGTTGTTGCTGTGGGTAAGGGGTGCTGATGCTGACGATCCAGGCGTCGAGGATTTGTCTTTTTGCTTTCTCAAATCCTATCTGGTATGGTACTATATTACAGTAATTTAAGCCCAGAATCTAAAATCTCAACACTTATCCGCTGAGTTCATGAGTTGAGCTAGCCATTTAGGAGGCGGTGGTTTGCAAGATCTCTTGTAGGGCCTTATGAGTTTAATGGTTGATGCTGAGACAAGACCATGGATGATGACCTTAACGTGAAGACTGTGATAGGGACAATTCCAATATCCACTGTGAACTAGACATGCTTTGCAGCTTATTGCGGTGCAGTAACTATGCATTGATACCGCGTAGTGAATATCAACTAACATCTGGCACCTACAATGCTGAACTAACGTGGAGGCGTAGTGCTAAATTCGCTGATGTGGAGAGAAGACTGAAAGTGGGAACAAATTTCATGCCCCGGTCGCTTAGCTTGACAGATTTCTATCCACCCCTCATTTTTTAAGGATATATAGTTAGAATTATTTTTTGCCGGGAACCCAAAAACGGCCACGTGGCCCAATGGCAAGGCGCTTGACTACGATCAGTCGAAATCAAGAGATTCCAGGTTGTAAGTAGCATCTTCTGTGTGCGTCAAAGATTATATCACTAACAGCTTCGTCGTAGCGACCCCTGGCGTGGTCATATCTCATTTTCTTTTTGTCCTTTTTTTATCCCTTTTTGCACCAGGGTACATTCTTCCATCGAGAGAAACTAGCTGGTGATTATCAGACACCACGAATAGCGTCACGCTCCGATTTTTGATTCCCCGGCTCACTGCTGATGCAGGCAACCTTAAACCGTGACATTGTCATCTGGAGTCCTTCGAGATGCCTCGTGGCCAGAACCTACCGATGGACTTGACATACAAGCGCAGTCAAGAGTCGCCACTCTTCTATTTGGCTCGAGCAATCAACTCTGCTCGAACCACCCGACCGTCTAACGCGATATTGGTGTTTACCATCTCAAGTTCCTCGCATGTTCCTTACAATTCCTGCTATCGTTGGCTATGCTCTCATTGCGCCACGCAAGCGACTCAGGTCTAGCAATCATTCTGGTATCGCTTCACCTCACACTTACTCAAGTTTGATTGTGATACAGCTCGGAGATAGGCGCACAAGCAAGCAGCCGCATGTCACATACCGAACTCGAAATCGTGTTTGCTCTGAACCATACCACTCCTGATTCTAAAGTAAAGTCTTTCCACCGCTCCTCAACCACGAATGCTGCTGCAAAGGCGTCTTCAGATCTCACCGCCACCATTTGTTTGTCTGTATGCAATCCAGTTCAGCAGTCACCGTGCGGTGCCAGTGGTTAAACATACAGCAGCAAATAAATATCTCCCAGCCCTCAGTTCATGGACGCATCTAGTTTTTCAAGTGCCTGGTGTCCTTCAAACTCGGTGACGGTTCGACGTCTTGCAGCCAAACCTTGAGTAAACACTATACAGCTCAGACTCCCTTCATTTCTCGTTTCTTTCTTTCTTTCTTTCTTGACAATGCCTTCTTGTGGGCTACCTGGCTGCCCGTGCCCAAACCATCATCACAACCTCTTTCCATTTATCGGACATCACGTTCCACACCATGCTTTATTAGCTCCTCCTGGATGGAGACATAGGTGCGAATGGTGTGACCTCTGGCGAGAATACTATCCTGAAATCGTATGTATTCCTGATTTTCAGATTATCTGGCTTAAAACAGTTCCGATATTGAGCGCTATCGCAGAGATTTGATCCTTGCAAGGAAGTCGTGCGTGCATACAATCAAATTCATCAGTGGTTCAGGGGCAGGTCACCTTGGAGCGAACACACGGTATCAGTCAAGGTCGACCATTTGGCTGATCTCATCTTGAGCCTCTACAATATGAGCCCAATGACGATGCCATGGAGGATTGACATCTACAACCCTTTGAGGGCTATCGCGTCAGAGGTGATGATTGGACCTCAGCAGCCGTTTTTCAACAACACGCCGGCTCTTCTCCCATTTTGAGGTCTTTCCTATCCGTGGAAATGGCATGTGCTTCTCAGGGGGTGCGTCTATCTGGGATCCTTTCGAGCTATTTTTGGGCATCCGAGGCGTTGAGACAGGACAGTAAACTGAATACAAGAGCTTCGTGACTATAGCTTAGATAGGTGTCGAGTCTTACAGTAATAGATGAGAACTGTCTCTAATACCCTTTGTATGATTTTCAAAGTGTCTCGCAGGATGTAGTCATGTGACCTGGTGACGCGCTGCGCTTTAAGATTCGCGTCGTCTTCCCAGAACATCAACCGGCGAACTTCCCCGTGCCGCAGTTACCACCCAACGCCAGCGGTTCGCAAAGATGGCCCCACCGAAAAGCTCATCGCAGCCTACATCGTCTCAGTCAAAGAAACAGCAATCAATATCGAGCTTCTTCACCCCCAAAGCTTCTGCGACGCCCAAACCTACCACCGCCCCAAAGCCATCGACCGTCTCTCCGCCGCCCGCCAACGAGTCGAGAAACGACGCGTCGACTGTGAGCTCCGACGAAGATGATGTTGTAATACCACAAAAGATCCCATCTCGAAGGAAGCGGATACCAAACGAGGAAGATGAGGAGGATCTGTCTCCTGCACCTAAGAAATCACGACAGACTGTCAGTGAAAGAAACAAGATCAACGCAAGAAACGGGATCGTAGCCGATGAATCTACGGGTGACCGGAATTCGCTAGGCCAAACGTCCGCCGCGGGTCTTAATGCAGCGAAACGACCTGAAGCCTTAGCTAGGACCTCCAAATACATATTTTCTAGCTCTCCAGTTCAAGATGAGAATGAGGAAGAAGATACCCTGGAAGATCGGAAGCATAAAGAAAAGCTACATGAACGATTTGTCAAGCGATTGGGCAGGCCGGACAGCATTGCGGAAATCAAGCGGCGGAACAACTTCATATCAGAGGAGACAGAGGAGCGAGGGCAGGGGCCAGAGGGCGAAGACGATGAGGAAGAAGAGGCGCCTCCGAAGCCTACGAAGGGAAAGAAGGGTGCTGCCGCAAAGAAGGCTGGCTCAAAGTTGACACCAATGGAGACACAATATCTAGAAATAAAAAACAAGCATCTGGATGCTATCATTGTCATGGAGGTTGGATACAAGTTTAAATTCTTTGGAGAAGATGCAAGAATTGCCTCGAAGGAACTAGGCATTGTCTGCATTCCTGGAAAATTCAGATATGATGAACGTACGTTTCAATTCCTATTTTCGCTCATGAATTCAATGATAGTCGTACTAATCTGAGTCAGATCCGTCCGAAGCTCATATCAACCGGTTTGCCTCTGCGAGTTTTCCCGTGCATCGACTCCAGGTTCATGTCAAACGACTTGTCAAGGCCAATCACAAAGTTGGCGTTGTTCGTCAGATCGAAACAGCAGCGCTGAAAGCAGCCGGAGATAATCGAAATGCCCCATTTGTGCGCAAACTCACGAATCTCTATACGAAAGGCACGTACGTTGATGACGTAGAAACTCTGGAAGGACCCGATACGGCAGCCGGTGCTGCAGCACCCACCACTGGATACTTGCTATGTCTCACGGAGAGTAATGCCAAAGGATGGGGTACTGACGAAAAGGTCCAAGTGGGCATCATTGCTGTTCAGCCTGCTACCGGCGATATCATTTACGATGACTTCGAAGATGGCTTTATGAGGAGTGAGATTGAGACTCGACTCCTTCACATTGCTCCGTGTGAGTTCTTGATTGTAGGAGATCTATCAAAAGCCACGAACAAGCTCATCCAACACCTTGCTGCAAGTAAGACGAACGTCTTCGGGGATAGAGCCAGAGTCGAACGAGTTGAGAAACCGAAGACGATGGCTGCGCAGTCTTACAGTCACATTACCAATTTCTACGCTGGTAAAGTGAGAGAAGGCGTTGACGCCAGTTCTGATAGCAAAAGGGCCATTCTCGACCAGTCCCATCAGCTCTCCGAGCATGTAACTATATGCCTCTCCGCAATGATCACTCACATGAGTGAGTATGGACTGGAGCACGTTTTTGATCTCACAAAATACTTCCAGCCGTTCAGCGCACGATCACACATGCTCCTTAACGGAAACACTCTGTCGAGTCTAGAGATCTATCAAAATCAGACAGACCACACAGAGAAGGGTAGCTTATTCTGGACCATGGACAGGACGAGAACTCGATTCGGACGCCGACTGCTCAGGAACTGGGTAGGCCGGCCACTGCTCGACAAAACCCGACTAGAACAGCGGATCGAGGCCGTTGAAGAGCTGAAGGATGGTGAAAACACCGTTCGCGTTGATAAGTTGAAACATCTCTTCAGAAATATCAAAGCCGATCTTGAGAAAGTTCTGATCCGCATCTATTACAAAAAGTGCACCCGATCCGAGCTTCTTGGGACGCTTCAGATACTTCAACGAATCGCCAATGAGTACGCGCATGTGGACACTCCTGACAAGGCTGGATTCTCATCCGCTTTGATCAATGATGCCATTGCAAATCTACCGAAGATATCTGATGACGTTGTCAGCTTTCTAGAGAAGATCAACCCGCAAGCAGCAAAGGATGACGACAAGTACTCTTTCTTCCGCGAGGAACACGAAACAGATGACATAATGGAACGTAAAATGGGAATTGCAGCCGTCGAGCACGAGCTTAACGAGCACCGCTCGGTAGCGGCCCCAAAGATCAAGAAGGGAAAAGTTGACTATGTTACAGTATCCGGCATTGAATATCTCATCGAGGTCAAAAACAACGAGATTAAGAACGTCCCTGCATCGTGGGCTAAGATCAGTGGAACTAAGGCAGTGTCTCGATTTCACACTCCGGAAGTTGTCAAAATGATACGGGAGCGTGACCAACACAAGGAGGCCCTCGCTGCCGCCTGCGATGCCGCCTTCCTCTCTCTCCTCGACGAGATCGCAGCAAAGTACCAGACTCTCCGCGACTGCGTCCATGCCCTCGCGACCCTGGACGCACTCCTCTCTCTCGCAGCACTTGCCTCGCAACCTGGCTACGTCAAGCCATCCTTCACTTCCGAAATTGAGCTTGACATCGTCGGCGGACGGCATCCAATGGTAGAGCAACTCCTCCTAGACTCCTATGTGCCGAATCCGCTCTCTCTCCGTAACGACGGCACGCGCGCCCTGCTCATCACGGGGCCTAACATGGGTGGAAAGTCCTCCTACGTCCGCTCTGGCGCCCTCATCGCCATCATGGGCCAGATCGGCAGCTACGTCCCCGCCGAATCTGCCAAGCTTGGCATGCTCGATGCCGTCTTCACGCGCATGGGCGCCTTCGATAACATGCTCAAGGGCGAGAGCACCTTCATGGTCGAGCTGTCTGAGACAGCGGATATCCTTAAGTCCGCCACCAAGCGTTCGCTCGTCATTCTTGACGAGCTTGGACGTGGCACAAGCACGTTCGACGGCGTAGCTATCGCGGAGGCGGTCCTGGACTATGTTGTTAGAGACATCCAGGCGTTGACGCTTTTCATTACACATTATCAAAATATGAGCAGGATCGAAGAACGCTTTGCGGGGGAGCTGAAGAATGTGCATGTTAAGTTTGAGGAGAGTGGAGAAGGCGGGAAGGAAGTCGTGTTTCTGTACGAGGTCGGCGAGGGTGTCGCGCATCGGAGTTACGGGCTGAATGTTGCGAGGCTGGCGAAGGTCCCAGAGGGAGTCTTGGAGGTCGCAGGGGTCAAGAGTCGGGAGCTGGAGGCTCGGATGGGGGCTGAGAAGGTGGGAAATATGTGAGTTCAACCTTCTCTTTGTTGCGATGGTATATAACACGTTACTAACTGATTGTTAGGTCGCAGATTGTTCAAGGTTTTATGCAAAATGGCGGAGAGGAGAGTCTGGAGAGACTTGTCAAGGGAATTGAGCAGCTGTAACGGGCGTCTTACCACTGCAAAGGGTGTTCGGCATTGGGTGTTTGAAAAGGCATCTCAGGATTTTGTGTTATACGTGTTTGTAGGACTATGTTACAGAGTATAGTACATATGGTATTAGAGATCGCTATCGAGAGGCGGAAAGAGTGTGCCCTCCGCACCCTTTCCTAGTGGTACTTTGCTTACGCCGTAACTGGCATCTTTTCCCGGTTCTGCGTAATCGAAGGACCGATGTGCCTCGTCGACACCGAGCATATCGAGGAGCAGAGCAGATTTATTGGGCATGACTGGCTGTAGTAAGATGCCAGCAACGCGTAAGCTTTCCGAGGATAGATAGATGATCGTATCCAACTCGAGTTCTACTTCTCCTTCCAACTTTTTGGCCAGAGTCCACGGACTCGAGTTCGAGAAGTACGCGTTTGTCTATACAAGATCAGTATCATATTCAGTTCGTCGAAAGAGAACCACTCACAGTTTGTATCAGTTGCACGATAGCCTGCACTGCGCCGCGAGCATCCAGCTGGTCCATGCGTTCTTGAACGGCCAGTTGTGTATTCTTGATGGCAACGTAATGGGTCCGTGCAGCGCTGTCTTCAAACTCGTTCTCGTCCGTGGCTGCGGCCCATCGCTTTACAGCACGGCCAATGTCCCAGCCTTTCCCTCTTGTCACACGGCTGGCTAGGTTTCCCAGGCTTCCATTCAATGCGTGCTTGTACCGGTCAATGATGTGGTAGTTGCTGTAATCAGCATCATCGACTACACCGCCATCGTGAGCGAGGTAGAACCGCATGACGTCTATACCGAAGCGATCGATGGCGAAGAAGGGGTTTACGACGTTGCCGGTGGACTTTGCCATTTTTTCCTTGCCTAGTGTCCAATGCGCGTGGGTGAGGATGTGCTTTGGGAGCGGAAGGCCAAGAGCCATGAGGAAAGCCGGCCAGTAGATGCAGTGAAAACGAACAATATCCTTTCCAATGACCTGACAGTCGGCTGGCCAGCCTCCAGCCTGCTCCTCCCCAGGCGGCCACGGGTAGCCGGCTTTTGTGACATAGTTCATCAGCGCGTCGAGCCAGACGTATATGGTCTGGCTTTCATCTTCTGGAACCGGAATGCCCCAAGTGAGGCGGTCGGAGGGGCGCGAGATGGAAAGGTCGTCGAGTCCAGACTCGACGGCTTGGACGACCTCTTTCATGCGGTGCTCGGGAACTATCCACTTGGGATTCTGCTTGTAGAAGTCGAGTAGTTGCTCCCTAAATGCCGACAGTTTGAAGTGGTAGTTTATCTCCGATGTCCACTCCACTTCTTTCCCGGTTTCAATTGAGATCTAGCCGAGTGTTAGCCAGTCCAGAGTGCAATTCCCGTGTCTCCGCCCACCATGATCTTCCGACCCGTTGCAGGCTCTAGATAGAGCTGTACCGCAGATTGAGGGTAGAATGTCTCATCGCTGACAGAGTACCAGCCCTCGTGCTTGGCTGTGTATATGTATCCGGCCTCCTGAAGCAGAAACCAGGCGTATTCCACAGCTTCTCGATGCTCTTTATCGGTCGTCCGGACGAAATGGTCGTTCAAGATCTCGGCTCTCAGCGCAAGGCTCTAGAAAGGGATCAGAAAAAGAAGTGTTGGGATAAATAGTCTTTGCTGCCTACTTTGAAGACTTCTGCGCCTTTGTCGCAGAACGGTTTTGGCTCCACGCCGGCTTTTGCGGAGGCTTGTTGTATCTACTACCAGATACGGAATCAGCATTGCTTTCTCATGCGGCTACTGTGAGTGAGCTAGGTCACCTTCATGCCATGTTCGTCTGTCCCGGTACACAGTATTGCCCTTTTCCCCTGCAGAAGCTGCCATCGTTTATGGATGTCCGTGAGGACCATTGTGTAGAGGTGGCCGACATGCGGAGCTTACAACATCAGCAAGAGATCAACAGCTTTCCACAGGGGGCCTCATACCTGCATTGACATAGAAGATTGGAGTGGTAATGTAGTAAGGCTTCTCAGCGACCGGTGTCCGCATAGAGTACGGTCGAGCTGTAGTAGCACGAATTTTGCAGGACGCGCATGTCCATGGGGGCAATCGAGATGGATTCACTAGACTCTTCAATGGGGATGCGCTGTTCGAATTGAGGACTCGTAGACGCATCGTCACGTCGTTTGCTCGAAGCTTGTTGCTTGTCGTCCAAACACGCCATCGACTACCATACAATATAATATCTTGGCGTCAACTTTTGGTGGCCCGTGCGGGAGCTTCCACCTCACCCGCTCTTTTCATGATCGCGCTCGTCAACTCTTCACGCTCCAATCCTGGCACTAGCATACCTCATTCTTCCACAAGACTCAGCATGGCGAGTAGCTGCGACGTGTATCTTCTAAATCAATGCAAATACAGTATTCGCGTCGTTTCATCGCTCATTCATCCGTTGTGCCACGCGCCATTTCTTCACCACCTGCATCTCCTCTTTTCGTTAATCGCGCAAAATTCATATATCCAAATTAAGGCTTCGAGATTGCAACGGCTTGTTCATTCTAATTCCTTCGTGACACTGATCCTTTTCAAACCGAGCCACGCCTGTAGCACGGTAATTGCTTCACTGACCGAGCACACTGTAGCGCACGCCTCCACGGCAGCCAATGTGCTTTCATACCTTGAGTTCGGCGGCATTAAACACGTGGTACGATGTTCCAGAAGCATGGAATTGTTTGATTTCTCCCTAAATCGAAATTTGAGTCCTGTCTGCCACGTGGACTGAACATCCCCACGCGCTCATCGGCACTTGCTCGCACTCTGCACAGCACAAGACCACTTGCGGTGCTAAAACCGAGGCCTTCTCCGATGCCCTTTGACTTAAATGGCTCGAACGACGCTTCTGGGTGGCGTTGCGATGTTGGGGATGCCAAGACCTCGAGATTCTTATTGAAACCCAAATGCGGTAATGCATCAATTTGCCTTCACCACCGACAACAAGCCCATTCCTACCGTATTCCTTTATCCTGTTTGTATCTTTCATTATCCTCTATCCCCTTCGAAGCTTTTCTTGTCCAAAGTCTCCAAGAATTCGGTCCAGGAGGCGCTGATCCGTTCATTCATCGAGTACTTCCTCTCATCAACTAGCAAGCACTAGCCTCACACCACCTGCTTCAGACTCCGTGATTGGTTACCTGGGGGTCTCTTGGGTGTAGGAACAAGATACCCCACCGCGGGTCTAGAGCAGTTTCGTCCGCGTGGTCAGCAGCATCTGCCTAAGAGACGTTTGAGTACCGCATAGCCCGCAGACCCGCCAGCTTATTGGCCTATTCATTGTCACTATTGATCCTTATTGAGAGTCGGCCCAGACCTCAACCTTCCTATTGGCCCGGTACCTCTCGCCCCTGGGATCCTCTACCCTATTCAGGTCTTTATTCAGAACCTTCCACGCTTATTCGGCTTTATCTTCCACTATTGAGGTTGACAAGGACGTTTCTTCCATATAAATCCTTTCTACGCTGCTCCTCGACTTCTGCTTGACCCAAATCATTCAAGTCCTTCTCTTCCGACAGACACCACTCATTACAGGAAGACGAACTCTTCATCGCTCACTTTTTACAACACAATCCCTCGATACCAATCCAATTAACATGAAGTTCACCGCCGTCATCGCTGCCGCCATCCTGGCTGCCAGTGCCCACGCTCTCGCAATCCCCAACCCGGATACTTACTGCCATCTTCCGAGACAGTCGTGCTCCAAGGAGCGACGTGAGGCTCTTCCGGAGCCCGTCGCTGTGGCAGGTAAGAAGACTTATGGTTGTCATCTCCCCGGCCAGTCTTGCAGCAAGGATAAGCGCGAGGCTGAGCCTATGCCCATTCCTGAGCCCGAGCCCGAACCCCTTCCCATTGCAGAACCTGAGCCTGAGGCCAGAAAGACTTGGGGCTGCCACCTCCCGGGTCAGTCTTGCAGCAAGAACAAGCGTGAGGCCGAACCGGTTGCGGAACCTGAGCCAGAGGCCAGAAAGACTTGGGGCTGCCATCTACCAGGACAATCTTGCAGCAAGGACAAGCGCGAGGCTGAGCCCGTGGCAGAGCCTGAGCCAAGAAAGACTTGGGGCTGCCATCTTCCGGGACAGTCTTGTAGCAAGGACAAGCGCGAGGCTGAACCTGTTCCGGAGCCTGAGCCTGAGGCCAGAAAGACTTGGGGTTGCCATCTTCCGGGCCAGTCTTGCAGCAAGGACAAGCGCGAGGCTGAATCTATCCCTGAGCCTGCCCCCAGAAGAAAAACCTACGGATGTCATCTTCCTGGTCAATCTTGCAGCAGGAAGGAAAGACGTTAAGCTGATCCAATCTAGATCCTCTCCCGGCCCCGGAACCAGAAGCAGGTAAGAAAGCTTAGGTTGCCAATATGTCATCTTCCCGCAAGTCGTAACCCAATGTTCAATCAGATCCGTACTGCCATCTGCCCGGCCAGTCTTGCAGCAAGGACAAACGCGAAGCTGAGCCTGAACCTGTTCCCGAACCCGACCCATACTGCCATCTCCCCGGCCAGTCTTGCAGCAAGGACAAACGCGAAGCTGAGCCTGAACCTGTTCCCGAGCCCGACCCATACTGCCATCTCCCCGGCCAATCCTGCAGCAAAGACAAGCGCGAGGCTGAACCTAAACCTGTTCCCGAGCCCGACCCATACTGCCATCTCCCTGGCCAGTCTTGTAACAAAGACAAACGCGAAGCTAAGCCTGAACCTGTTCCCGAGCCCGACCCATACTGCCATCTCCCCGGCCAATCTTGCAGCAAAGATAAACGCGAGGCTGAGCCTGTTCCCGAGCCCGAACCTGAACCTTACTGCCATCGCCCTGGTCAATCTTGCAGCAAGGAGAAGCGCGAGCCCGAGCCAGTTCCCGAGCCAGTTCCTGAGCCTTACTGCCATCTTCCTGGTCAATCTTGCAGCAAGGACAAGCGCGAGGAGAAGTAAACCTCGTCACAAGGGCCTAGGCACAGGCATATAGCTGCCATCTGGTGCTTCATTCTTTTCTTCTACTATCCCCGGCACATCACCGTACACCGACTCTTCCTTTCACATCAATACTTTTCCGACATCAGGCTCGAACATAGTCGACATGGGGACACATCCATTGTTTCTTGTTTGAGCGGGGCTGGCGTTTCTACCTCTGGATCTACTTGCGGAGTTTGGAGACTTTGAAATAGGCTAGCCTTTTTGTAGCATACCACTGGCCGGGGATACCTTTACTCGTGGAGATAACTGCGATTATTAACTTATATGTTCATCACTGTGCTATGCACTGCTTGACTTTTCTTGGAGCGTGATGGTTTGTGTAGTGTTCTGGCTTCGTTCAAGCTTTCGTGACTTCGCGTTGTGTGATTGATGACTTCGAATTGAATGTAGTTTCAAGTGACGTGAATTGTTGGTCTTTCTTGCTTTGCGAATCTGCCGTACAAAGCGCCACGGGGCTATTCAGATGTTGAACTTGGAATTTCGAAGGTGCTGCATCTACATGCGCGGTCCCTTCCTATGAATAAAGCGTCCGTGTGCGTGACACAGCAGAGACGCTAAACACAATACCTTATAGAATATCCGGCTCTTCCCTCCAAAGCAACATCGTGTCCTCTCCTTCTAAATCACGGAATATCATCCACCTTTCTTGTCGTCTCGCCTGCAGCTGAGTGGCGTCACTGTCGGTCGTTTCCAATGTTAGATAAACTTGTGCGCAGCCGGTAACGTGACTAACTTCTTCGCATCTCAAACCCCTTCGCTTTCAACTATGCTCTAGAAACCCTTTAACATGTTTTTCAGTTGCTTTCTCTTGAATTTTCACCGCTCCCGCCTTAACACATCGAAGGGGTAAAGGGAAGCCCGACATGGTGGGTGCGTAGTTACGCTATGCTGCACGATCCAATAATGATTGCTCGATAAGCTACCGCAGGCTCCCGACGGCGGGCATGAAGCTTGGTCTCCATTACGCCTAGCATCTCTCGACAGACCTTGGAACATGAGCCTGGCCTGGCCCGTGGCTATTTGCTGGTGACGTTGGGCGTGGTCCGGACCCACTTCGATTCCCTGTAGCTTCCCACGTTCGCTTTGTCGCAGGTATTACGACGCTTAAGTTTGCGCTCCCTTCTATCTCTTCATCTCTACCTTCAATCTGCCGCTGGGTTAAGCATGTTCACGCGGCGGTATGCTTCGGTTATTGTGTTCCTAGCGATATTGCTAGCCCTCTATTATCTGCCAGCATCTCGAGATACGCTGGGACAGCGGCCCTGGGCCAATAAAGCCATCCACGAGCCAACCGCATGTTATGGGCCGCGAGGGGGCCTTTTGTCCAACAACTCTGATGATCAGGTCACTCCAATTGACCTTGACATTCGTAAGAACTTGGAACTTTCACTCTGGTGGACGCTGACTTTTTGAAGCCTATCCTATTGCTCCTTTCGGCTCTCATGACGAACTCTCACTTTCCCGGACATGGATGACTGCGGACATCAAATACGGACCCTATGGCTATGGAGACGAGCGCGAGGGCTACAATAGGAAGAAGGTGAACTGGGAGCACGTCAATTGGGGAAGACTGCAAGACGCCTGTGCTGCACGAAATCAAGCCCGTTTCGGGGCGATTGCGAATGTTTCCTCACGAGGGCGAATGGTCCCACCAAATCCGGTAGCACCCCGCTCTGCTTGGTCAAGAACCGAAAAGGTAACCGGGCGGACAGCCATTGTTCTGAGAGGCTATGACACATACAACTACGCCCCGGAAGACTTATTGAACATCCGATCTCTTATTGTTGAAGCCGGCTTGAGCACTGGTGGAAACTATGCTGTCTACCTCCTCGTCGACATACGCGAAAAGGAGCACGAGATTTATATGTCGGAGGCCAACTACACCGCAGCGCTCGAGAAGTTCGTTCCCGTCGAGCTACACAGCATTGCTGTACTCTTCGATGAGACCTTGCTGGAGAACTGGTACCCCAAAACCGCGACACATCACCCCAATTTCCAAATATATCAACTGCTGCAACTTTTCGCACACTATTACCCCGAGTATGACCACTTCTGGCAGTTAGAGCTCGACGTGCGATTCTCAGGACACACAGCCCACTATTTAGATGCACTGGATGCTTTTGCGCGGAAGCAACCTCGGAAGCAGAGCCTAGAGCGGTCTTCATACCTCTACATACCGTCAATCCATGGTACTTATGCTAATTTCACATCCCTAATAGACGCCACTCTGGATGGTGGCGGGGTATGGGGCCCTGTCGAAATCCCAGATGTCAAGCCCGCTGGCCCAAAACCAAGCGTCTCTTCCCAAGAAGACGAATTCTCCTGGGGCGTTGGCGAAGACGCAGATCTCATCGCTACAAACCCGTGCTCCAACGTCACCTGGACGGAGGACTGGGTGTATAGAGACTGGATACACAATTTCCAGAATGGCGTCGATACACCACGTATATTCTGCGCACCAGCCATCACGCGCTCTTCGCGTCGTCTTCTGGCCGCCGTACATGATGCGCAGGCTGAGAAGGGCCTCACGATACCCTCGGAAGCGACGGTGTCGTCCTTTGCACTCTGGCACGGACTCAAAATCGTCTTTCCCCCGCAGCCAATGTACCAGAATCCCCCGCGAGATCTCAAGGAGATGGATGTATTTTTCAATGGCGGCCCGCCTAATGCTAGCCGCGGTGCTATGGCTAAAGGTGATGGATTCTACAATGCGAGACCGCACTACGATATTACGAACACGGCTACGTGGTGGTGGAGCTCACCCTTCCCTGGGTACATTTTCCGGAACTGGCTGGACCAGAAGGAGAATGAAGAGCTGCCCTTCTTGTTGCATAAGGATGCGGAGGGGAGAGTCTGGGCTCCGAATCTAGCGCTCCATCCCGTCAAGACCAACTGAGCGCCCTGAGCATAGTTCATGGTGAGAAAGTCACCGTGTCCGCTACTTCGATGGCAGCCCAAAAAATAGTTCATACTAGGTGTCTGGCCACTGGTCCACGCCCCTTGGGACTAGATATGATGTACAAACAACCGTGGAAGAGGCTCTAATAGGAAGCCGACAGTTGTGGAATCAAAACCTGCGCGATAGGGTATACTAAGCAACGTTGCTTAATCGTGTGGATGATATCAAAGTTGCAAGAAGGACCGTTTGCGCTATCCAACATGGCTAGTCAGATTAGACATCCGGAGTATTCCATCTTCAGATTCTGGAGCTCTCAGATCGGCAGGACTTTTCGGACGTCTGGAAGGTAAGCTGCGAGACCGAAGCACCTCTGGCTCGGTCACGAGCTTCTACGATGATGGATAGAACAACAGGCCTAATTCACGGGCTGTGGGCAACATACCGTAAATCGTACTTGATTTCATATCGTTCTGTAAACCGGCTTGTCAGTGATCTGATTCACAGCTCTTAGTCTATAGAAAGCCAAATCGGCTCAAATCAAATACAGGTATACAACATGTCGACGTATTCTACTTTGAACACTTTCTTGACTGCCGAGACTTACTCGATCAGGAAAGCATAGTCACATGTGTGTGTGGCGCCTCATCTATGTTTTCCCTCAGCAGCTTAGTCTCCTCCCCACTCTCCTCCGTACACTTCAGTCGGTCCTCCATAGCGCGCTCCTTCCAGATCATCGCAAGCGGTGTGCCCTCGCCAACGCGCATGCAGCTACCATGAAACCACTCGCATCCCCCCAGCCTCACCACCAACACAGAAACACAGTCACACTTCGAACTTGACTCAACACTCAGACCCCACCGCACTGACTTCCCAAAAACATATCACCAACCGTGCCCACACATGCCTCCTCCAAGTCTCCCGTTTCAACCTCCTGCCACCCCTGCCAGGCCCATGTGATGAAACGGGACGCCCTCATGCAGCACATGAGCCAGAAAATCTCCTAGGCTGTAGCTGCAGACCCACTTACCTGCATGCAGTCAGGCAGGACGGACTGGGGAGGTAGTGAGGTTAATTTATCAAGCTCATCACGCGGCCGGCCAAGACGGCCGTGGAGTTGTATTGCCTGAGGTGCTTTGCTTCCTCGGAACGTTGCACCACGGCGATGATGGCAGCCCACCACCAAAACGGCGGCAGGACAAAAAATAATCGGGGCTTTGGAAACCCTCTCCCAGTCCCTACAATACAACAGAGCCCACTACCACCCCACCCCCGTCGCAATCCCTGGCATGCACAACTCAACACCAACACCACCACCAACCCCAACACCACCGAATCGCATTCAAAAGCTACTTGGGCTCGCCTCCCTCTCGACCTCCGCTCCACCAACACCCCAGAATAACCCACACCACCAACACCCCCCCAGCGCCCTCCAATCAGCACCTCTCCACTCCAGCGGGCGCTTAGTAGCGCGCACCCAGCCGCTTGGGCCCAAGCTGCGGCAACCCATGCCCCTGGGCACCGCTTGGCCCCCCGCCCGCGCTCGCCCAATCACGCCCCGTGTCGCAGCACCGGTGCGCTGTAACCTGTCCCCCTGGTCGCGCACAGAATGGCGGACTTGTCGCGTTTCATTGGCCAGGGGGGCCGGTCGGTGTGATGGGCTTTCTGCGGGAAGGGGGGGGAGTGAGTGGGTGGGGAGCGTTATTGTGTGATGGCGCCGGGGTGGGATGAGGGAGGGGGGACGGGTGGATGTCACGTTTGGGGGGGATGGGGGTGGCGAGGGAGACCTTTGCGGTTTGCGGTGAGTTCGATGGGGTTGGACTAGGGTCAGGATTGATTGATGATTGATGGATTGATGTGGGTTACGGGTCCTATTGACAGCTTTCTCTCTCAATCCACGGCATATAAATGCAACAAAGCTAACCACAACCATCATGAAGCTCGAGGAGGAGAGAAAAAGATGATGGAAGAAAACATGTAGGTATATACCCAATTCCCCCATTGAAAGCGCCAGAAACGCACTCAGCGCCAGAACCACAGTAGCAAGCTTTCTCCCGCCAACAACATGGGTTTCACTCCTTCAACTCCTTCGCGAGTGGTGCGCAAGACATGAAGTAATAGTTTCCAAAAACACAGTAGATTTTCCTCCCATAACAGCAAACGAGTTAATTCGTCAAAAGGGGGGGCTTTAGATAACAGCAGCGGCAAAAGCAAGCATACGTGATTCCCATCGTAGCGTAGCCGTCCCTTCTTTCTACTAAACTAGGTGGACAAAAGGAAAATTGAGGGTGAGGGAGGACAGACAGGGCCGCCCTGTCTAACGCTTTCGTGGATGAACGATGCGGTGATATGGGTATGTAGATTGGAATGAGATTGGAGACACGTGGTATGTGATGGGATGGTTTAGAAAAGGAGCCAGATATTCGTGGATCGGCTTTGGTGACAGCGAGGGGTGCTCAGTCACCAGGACGTGAGCGCTTTGGTTCGTCGTTTTTTGTAATTACGCAAGTCGTAGATTTTCTTAATGTGGTGTCTTAGGTCTTGTAGATGGAAGGTAAGTTGATGGTCGTGAATATCAGAAGGTTTAGGGTCAGGTAGGTAGATAGATAGGTCGAAAGGAGGATAAACTCCGAAGCGGCGAGTGCTGCGTAAACAACGCACACGCGCCGGGAGTATGCAAGCCAGCGGCGCAGCACCACAACATCACATTTACACGCCGTAATCGACAGCGGCTGCTGCAATGCTGGACACCCCGATGGCCGCCACCAATTATTCGATCCTCCTCCTCTTTCCCTTAGGCGCTGGATCCAGGGGCGGGAACGCAGGCGCAGTCATTTCGACTGGAGTGCGGCCGTAAGTGACGGTTCTTGTGACAACTTCGCGCACGCTGACTCGGCGCGAGGTGGTGTTGCCCTTCTTCTCGAGGTCCCACGTTCGGGGCGACATGGTGGCCGAATACGGCGAGCGCACTGAGTGGGCGCTCATTGGCGATTGTGCGACAATTCCTGCGGAGTAGGGCGATTGCGGAATGAAGAGGCGCGGAGTGCGAGCAGACATGGGCCGTACAAAGGGTGATGGTGGGGGTATGACAATGTTCATGTCGGCCTTCTCCGTCTTGACCGGTGCGGGGGACGTTGAGGCTGGAGGAGAGGCGGGGCCGCAGTTGGAGCAGCTGCTGGATCGTGACGAGACTGACGAGGTTGGCGAGGGCCGGTCCAAGGGAAAAGATCCAGAGGTAGATGTCAACGAAGAAGTAATAGACGCAGTGGAGGCCAGTGATGTGATTGAAGACGTGGACCTGGGACGTGTCTCGGGCAGGCTCGGACGGTCCCCAAAAGTGAACCTGGAGCTGGAGCCGGTGGGCAGAGGGCTCATGAGGGCGGGCGACAGCGTCTTGAGGAAGTCGAGATAGGCGGCCGGGGGGGTGATGGGAGTCTGCTGGCCATCCTCGCGCTTGATGGCGGTGGGGGTTGCGACCATGGGGCTTCGCACTTCGGACGGGTAGGTGGCAGAGAGAGGCGTCTTGAGAGCAGAGAGAGCGGGCTTCGCAGAGGTAGTGGTGGCCATGGTGGGAGCTCAAACGAATGACTCTGGGGGGGTAGCTGGCAACGAAGGTGAGGTCTCTGGGGTCTCTGGGGACGAGCCTTTTGCACCGCGGTGGAGGAGAGGGCGGACGACGGCGGTACCTGGGAGCGAAGGGCGGCGGCGTGTTGTTATTTGGCGTCGAGGGCGGGCCTGGCACGCGCGGTGCGTGGCCGGCTGCGGTTTGGAGAGGAGTCTATTTTTGAGGCGGGCGCTTCGAGAGAGGCTGCTGCAGGTGCAACACCACGCCAGCAGAGCGTCAAGGCCTGCCCCGTGCGCGCCCCAAACAGCCGCCGACCTGTCTCGCGAGCCGGCCAGTCGCAGCCCGGCGCGACAGTGCACTCCCTGCAGCGCTTCAACGACCACGGGCCGCCACTGGACGGGCGCTGGCTGGGCGCGTGGTTGGCTGCGAGCCCAGCGACCGCCGGCCTGCTGCTGAGATGAGGCAGGCGATCGAAACGGCCGTGTGATTCGACTGGCGCCCTTGCAGCTGCCCGCGACCGGCTTCGAGCGCTGCTTCGAAACGCTGGCCTGGTTGGCCGTGAGAGCCTGGCAGCCGTCTGAGCGAGCGGGAGGCGGCGATGGAAACACGGCCAAGCGGCGGCCGCGAGATCAAACCGCGGAGAGCAACGTGGCCGCGAGAGGCGATTGACTTCTGCGACGGGGATGCCGAGCGCTGACTGACTTGAGACAGAGGCTCGTTTGGTTTGCGTGAGACGGGGGACGCGGTGCGATGTGGTGGCCCTGCCAGAGAGCGCGAGCTGAACGAGGCTTGATTGATGGTGCAGATTGATAACAGATATCTCGTGAACCCTTCTGCATCGGCACGCCGCCTCTTTATGTCGACTCGGGCCTATGCAACCGCTCTAGTACATCCAGCATAGCCAGCATGGCCAGCCCGCTCCAGCGCGCGCTTCCATCTCAAGACGGTTTTGAGGGAGCCTTTCCCCCAAGACCGCTGCTGTTGGACGTCGTAGCCACCATTCTGTGGTTCGTCGACGAGGGCGCGCGCCTCACCACACTAGCGCTTGGCCATGCCAGTGTCGCTGTGGCAGGACGACCAAGAGACGGCCCTCCACTGGCCCAAAACGGAGTGCCAGAATGCTTCGCCATACCCGAAATACCAGCGCTTACCGCCACCACCTCCCGTCCACTCTGTACCCGTGAAGCCGCATCCGGACAAGACGTCTCAGTGCCTCATCTACCCAACACGCTCACTGGCCTCATGCCCTTAGCCCAAAATATCCCCACAGCCGCTTCAAAGACCTCTCAAACCACCACTCGCTGCCCGTCATCGAAGCCACCCGGAGACTTTTGGAGTAGCGTCAAGCACCAGAATGCTGAATAGAAGACGCCAAATATAGCCGTCGCTACGTAGAACACACCAAGACATGAAACTGAAATGCATAGACGCTATTAGCAATTGACTGCGGCTCGAAGAACCTCGTCTTCGTTCATGTCTTCGTCCCCATACGGACGGACAGCGTCGCCCACTGATATCGTCGGATTCTGGGCCGCCGGGGAAGAAGCATCCCCAAGCGCCAGGTGGCAGGTGTGCTGCCCGAAGAACACTTTGCCGTCGAACCGACGCGTCTTGGACAGCGTCACGAACGGCTCTTCATTCTTCTCTGCCGTGTGCTGGTCCACGCAGACCATCTGACACCTGCGGCACGACCCCAGCATCTGGAAGTATTGTCTGCCAATCTGCATGCATCGCCAATGATCTTCTGCATAGGGCTGCTCCGATCCGGGAGCGGATGCCAGGTCCTCGGCCACAACGATATTAGCACGAAACACCTCTACTTGCGCCGCCTTGCCGCCCTCTGCTTTGATTAGCTCGTTGAGCCGGTTGAGGCTGGACCTGGAAATGGTCAAGATCGGGCTCTCATTCGACAGCAGTATTGGCTTCCTGGCGCCCACTGCATCTGGGGCAGGCACCTCATCTGGAAAGGCGCCGGGAACTTGCATTCTGGGGGGTACGTGATGTCGCTGGAGGTGGGCTTTGGCGTGCCTCAATGACGATGTCGAATCCATCCCGCTCCCGGCAGCCGGGAAACGAGCAAGATGACAAGCCACCCCTAGCGCCTGGCTAAAGAAGCTCGAGAGTTCTTTTGACTTGTACGTCTTTGCAGAGATAGAGTCTCCACAAACTCTAGTTGGTTTTTGTTCGAACAGCGACCCGTTGGAGAAGAAGGCAGGGTTACCTGAAAGCGGCACGGTGACTTCTGAAGGTAATGTTGGTGATTGAGAGGCGCCGGCGAATCGTATACGAAGCAGGCCCTCGTCCAGGTCGAGACTCGGTCGAATCAGAGCCATCTTGGGGTAGCGCTTCTGGCTCAGTGCGACACTTGTGCCTTGGTGCACCAAGCACCACTCACGGTCCCAGGCCAGGCCCTCTCGGCGCACTTCCCACGCTTTTCCGGCTGGTACTCTCCATCCCGCGCAGCTCTTGACCGGGTAGATAGTCAAGCTCTCCACGTGAAATGGGCTCGATGTTGGTGGCTTTCCGTCTAGAGACATCACTGGCGAGTATGAAGGCAATTGTGACTCCGGCTGCACGAAGAACTCGCGGACAAAGTCGACAAAAGCATTCACATCGCCGACTGTGCTCATAGCTCCGAGGCTGACACGAATCATACCTGTCGGTTTAGATCTCATGATGTCGTTGTCATCATTTCCACACCGTTGACCAGCTGAAAAGTTCTCCTTCATCTCCCAAGGGGCTAGTCCGAGGGACGAGGCAATCCCTCCTGGGTTGCAGAGTCCACCCGTCCTGATCTGAAGATTCTTCACCGTTGATAGCTTTTCGACCTCGCCATTGCTCACCCAGCCGCCAGAGCTATTTCGTATATTGAAAGCCACGGTGGGCCCTTGTGTCTTCACATCGCCGTAGGTTGCCGATGGATCTTTGTAGATCTCACAAACCGTCAGACCATTCCCATGCCTCAATTTAGCCAACCCATCATACAGCCTCTTCGCTAGGAACGCTGTATGCCTCGAGGTTTGCTCTAGGCTTCCAAAGAGCTCATGGTGCACGCTCAACGCAGAGTCAAGCGCCATGATGCTGTGAATCGGCAGAGTTCCATCCTCGAGACGGTCGTGTAAGGTTTCGGATTTCTTCGCGTGCCATTGTTCCTTCATAGAAACTACCATGTCGACAGTTCCACCGCCAAAGTAGCGTCGTTTGTTGAAAACGTGTTCGGACGCTTTACGAACAATCAAAGCTCCAAGATCTGGGAAACCAAATATCTTGTACAAACTCAAGACGGTGAAATCGGGAGCGGTATTACCGTCACTCAGATCCAAAGGCGACGTTGATACAAGAGCAGCGGCATCCAGTAGAGTGTAGACCCGATGATTATCCTGCTTGATGTTTGTCCGGACCCGGTGAGACCAATTCAATGGGAGGCGGCGGCCGTTCATGTTAGACTGAGCTGGGTACGCAAACAATCCAATGTCTTGCGAAATTGTTGTCTCGTTCGACAACCACTGCTCCACTTCGATGTCCGAGGCAAAGCATCTGTGCTGGTTTGCAGCTTCTCGTAGGCCAACCAGACTCGTATGAGAGTCCCTGTGACATCCGTACCAAAATCCATGCTCCTGGTCCCTGAAAGCCTCTAGAACGAGCTTGATGCCAGCAGTCGCATTAGCAACAAAAACAACATCAAACTCAGCCGGATCCGCTTTGAAGAAACTGAGGAGTCGCAATCTTATATCTTCGATACGTCTCGTGGATAATTGGGAGGAAGCGGAACCTGAGTGTGGGTTGCCGTATAGGTTCGAGATCATGTCCGCCGAAAACCGCTCGATTAAGGACTTTGCGTATAGTGTAGTTCCGGCATGATCGAGATATGTAGTATCTGTTGTCGTGTTACTGAAAGCCCGGGCAAGCTAACCAAGTGGTGAATGCTGACCTTTGAGCATGGGATATTCCCGTTGTCGCATAGCCTCGATAAACGCATTGTATGTGCCGTCAGCCTGTTCCTCCATGTTCATGTTCTTTTCCAATGACAATGCTCCAATCCATCAAAGTGTCCCTCTCATGTGTGCTCCCTCTATCCACAGTCCCGCAGCGTGTGTAGACGTATCCTCGGCAGTCCCATCTGAAGGCAATATGTTTGTTTGCGAGTGTGGAGAAGTAGTAGGTGGCGGTGACCGGGGAGCTCCGCGAGCCGCAGCGTTGGTGCTCCGGATCTCACGGGAGGTCCAGAAGTCTGACAGATATGTCCCAATGGGAGAGAGTCTACAGGGAATAGTGATTTCGGGTGCGTTTTCTTTGCGAAAGTGGGGGAAGTGGTGGTCGTGGGCTTGAATAGTGGTGGCGGGCTTATAAGTGGCGGTTGAAGACGGTTGAAGATGCGGGTCCCGCGCGATAAAGAGTTTCAACAGCCACATCTCGAAGTATATGTTGATAATATAGAAATTCATGAAAAGAACTCTTCAACTTGGTATGAAAAGCAAGGTTCTAGAATTGAGTTCATAGGTATGTTTCTCAATAAAGTATAATATGCCAAGATATATTTGATCACGTGCGCAGCGATCTAGCTCCTCGATCGTTGGCGCCTCCTTTCCGCCTCCCTCTTTTTTACTAACTTACTAAGAACGTTCGTCAAATCCCTCAGGCTTTTGACCCAGAAACCAGGTCTCCGGCTCTAGTTGTGTCGTTAGTCTTCCATATTGCCGACGACGTAACGTGTCCAAGTTAATTACTCTCCCTCGCCGCAATAATGCATTCTTCTCCCAGGCTTCCATTATGGTCGCTCCCCAATGACTACGAGCGCGCTTCGATGAACTACAAATAGATACGATTCTCTAATTATTGACTTCTAAACTTCATATAACCTTTCTCTATCACATTAACAGGTATGGAAACTTTCACTTCGCCTCAGGATTTTGAGTGAATGTTAAAAATAGCCTCGTGGTCCTGTCTCAGACGAGCCACGTACATACATCGAGGCATGCCGGAGAATAGTTATTCTTACAGTGATGTTACTAACAAGCGAGCACGATCGCAATGCCAGAACTTCCACGGACGACTAGCAGGTTGCGTTCAAAGCGGAGAAGATAGAAGTTGCCAGCTATTTACTCCATCACGGAACGATCATCGACCAATTCTACCCAACTTGGCACTCGATCCAAGCAGGGATTTGAGGCGTTGTTAGATCATGGACGGGATGCAAACCAACCTATGCTCACACATCTGGTGAAACCATCTTGTTATGTATCATTTCTTCTCTCGTTTGAAATCTACTGTAATGATATCCGTTCACTGTTAATCATCGTACAGTCACACAATACCTCGAAACGAAACGTTCTTCATCAGCTGGAGACTTATCCACGGGGCGAATCCTAATCTCGGGCCTAAATGTTACGCCCGTATAGTAATTCTATCTGCTATCAGGTTCCAGGCGCATCATTAGAGGTAGTAATGATGTTTTATGATCTACCGTATGCACTTGAAATCGTCAAAATGCTCATAGACTATGGAGCCAAAGCACAGAACAGCTGCGGGCTTCACCGAGCCGTAGGTTGAAGCGGCTCATATGGAGGGCGTAATCCCTTGGTGACATATTTCATGTGTCTTGCCGTTGATGTCAACGCACTGGGGGTTTCCCGCATCTATCTCACAAAGGTACTCCGCTACACTGTGCTGCCATGTATTGCAGGATCTCTGAGGCGCATACCCTTCTATTCAGGACGTCGGGCTTACAGCAAGCTATCGCAGCTAAAAGAGAGGCTACCCAAATATTACCAATACTTACCTTGCTGACCAGTGCGTTGTGTGACCGGTGCGGAACAGTATTTCTGACGAAAAGAGTAGCCTACTGGATGAAGCTCGGAGACTTGGCCGAGAGAGTCCTGCGAAGCTCAGACTCGGAGACAGATGGCAAGATTGACCTTGACGCGCGGTAATCCCCAAAGAGCAGTAAGAGCACTTGAAGGAAGAGCATTTTTAGGTAGATTTCGGAGCATTTTAGATTATTTGGAACGTAGTTGGGTATGTTTAAAAACTTTGCGCGCAAGCACCATAACACAGGGCTAAACAGAGCTCAAATGGCTTACTTGAAGGTGACAGAGTACTTCATCAAGACCTGTTCTATCTTACTCTATAGTAATGAGATGGGGCGTGAGTACCAGCATGCGAAGACGCGTTGGTCGAGTTGCTGTTTCCCCTTCGTCATTCCTGCGCTTTTCGTCTAGGCTTCCATCATCTCCTCAACAGTCCCGCCATCCATCTTTTCTTCCACCTCCATCCCCTTCGTCGCTGTCCCGCCAGCTTCTCCCCCGCCCCAAGGAGTGAGGACGTACTCGGTTTCATTGACCAATCCCAAGGTGAGACCAGCTTCCATCTCATACCTGACACGATGCCCGACGGGCGATGATTACTCTATGCGTGGAAACTGTACGATGGTTTCGACCTATGACGATCAACTGCATCAATGAGCCCTCACCTGGCACCCATTCCATTCTCACTTGCTCTTGGACAACAGTTGCTGACCTGGGTAAAGCCGTACGTTACGTCTCCCGCGGCGATGGCTTCGCCAGCTCGAAGCTCCAGGGCGGCATCTTCACGGCGTCGCGCCAAAACTCATTCCTCAGTCCTCGGCTCCACCATTTCAGCCAATACGATGACTGATGCTCGGGCTTCGTCTACCTCCCTCGGTTCTGAGTTTGCATTGCGTGATGCTCGACTTTCCTCCCTTAATTCCCTCGTTGCGTCTTGGGAATCTCGGCTCGCCTCCCAGGATTCTCAGCTATCATCCTTCGCTTCCAAGATCTCGGCCCTTCAATCTCACATGGAATACAATGATGCACGAATCTCAGCCATGGAGTCTCAGCTCCGGTTTCTGAATCCTCGAGCTCCCATCTTAGACACCGGAATGGGGAGACTCTGCGCTACGACGGGCGAAGACCAATTTGGGAGACTGCCAGTGGAGATACGATTAATGATCTACAAAGACCTTCTCATTGCCCCTATACCGATATTCAGAGGCGTTGAATCGTTCGGTAGGTTGCGAAAGGCAGAGTACGAGCCAAAGTCCAAGATGATCTTGTCTACCGGAATCCTGTCAACTTGCCGCCGATACTACTATGAAGCCGTGAGCATCTTGTACTCCCGAAACCGGATGATCTTTTGCACCGGGTTCGGTGGCTCCTCCGGATGGTTCGAGCGTTTCCCAATCAGCCGTAAATACATGCCTTTTCTCAAGGATATCGGTGTCTACTTTCGAGTCACCGACGCGGACGCTACTGCATCCTCTCGCGTGGGACATTTCCTCCGGGCTCTGGGACGACGAGCGCCGAACTTACATCATCTCGTAATTTGCGCAGCCTCAGATCGATACTACGAAGCCGTATGCCCTATAGACATCATGTTCTATAGCCCACAGCATCCCGTCGTCTCCGCAATTCTCAGCATTGTTGCTCGAAAAAACGTTCAGCATCTCAAGTTACGCGTACATGATGATGCAGGCTATGCTCCGTATGTTCTTGAGCGGATCAATTCCGTTTTCGAAAAACATCATCCCAAGCCAGGTGCGACGCTCACCTTTTCGCGATCGTGTTCCTCTCCGGAAAACTGTTCGTTTCACGCTCAAGAGGGCTGTCAAGTCTGTGGTAAACCACGTGCAAATAACAACATTGAGGACTGGCCTGTGGATGACACTGCCCTCTACTACGACTGGTGTGAGCCCGACGCAGAGCGGCTGATGGAGCTGGTGGATGTACTCGAGGAGCAGGAACGCCGCCACAATAACGATGAGGACGACGATGAGGACGACGATCAGGACTATGATTACTGCTCCAACTGCGATTGTGTTGAAGACTCTTTTCAGGAGCGACGAGACAAGTTTGACGCGATATATTACGGACATATGCCACACTTGGGGAAAGTCAAGTCGTTTTCAAAAGCCTTTACCTCCAGCAGTATGGACGGCCTACACTGCTTCAACTGCGAACCTATCCTCTTTGAGAGACAGTCTCGTATTACTGATATGTTTGGTTACCACGATATGAAGCCTAAGCGGTGCATCTGGTGCGGAGATCTTTCTTGGGAAGAGGCGAAGAAACGCTATCGCGGCGAGATCACTCAACCGGCTGCCTGGCGAATGCGACAGTTAAAGATCACGAAGTTCTTCAAGATCATTGCTTACGAGGAGTACTTCAAGGAACTCTTCCCGTCATCCCAAAACACCATTCCCTTTGAATCATCTCATGGTGTTGGGCACCTCAAGAATCCACTTGACGTTATGCCGCTCATTACTGAGCAAGAACGCGAATGGGACACGGACACCTTTGTGAAAGCCAGCGACGGAACAATGTTTTGAGACCCACGCTCGAGTTAATGCAATCCTAAGTTTCGGGGGTGCGAAGGGTGTGCACCGCAGAGTATGATACCTCGAGCATACCTCATTTGTTTCAATCGTCTGTTTTGCATCTTACCTCGGATTTCAGGAACCTTTTCTTCTCGCATAATCAATCTTCACCTCGGAACGTAATGCCCCAATATCTCGTTATGGTCAAGCGCCGATGTAACTCCGACAACTGTTATGGACACGATCAGTGTCAACTTTCTCCTAGCAACTGTAATTCATTCACGAAGGATGTAGTGTTTCAGCTTTTTGATAGACTAGTCAGATAGGAAAACCCTCCAAAAAAAATAGACAGTATATTTAATATCTTTCGTTCTACGACTTGTGATATGAGTGCCCTGGGACCGTAATCGTGCGTCGTCAAATAATTCGCTGGTCAATCTACTCAACTTTCATATATCTTACTTTCGAACAGTCTCCGTGTCTCATATGGAATAGTGACCTAAAGCCAGACCCAGCACATCTGCCACTATCTAAGATGGACATCTGGTGAATGAGACATACAGAAATTGACACTCGATTCCGAAGCAAGACTCTCCTGGCAAGTCGAAGGCGAAGACACAACTTCCAAAGAGCCCCAGAGCCCCAGCTCATGAAGTTCGAAGGTTTATATCTGATTGAAGAGTTGCTCAAGCACACATAGGCGCCAGCTTCGCGCGGACGTGTTCGCCGTAGTAGTGCGGGACGAAGGCCCCGTTGATAGCGTCGATGGAATGTCCGAAACAGAGATACGTAAAGATGTTCATAATTGATCAACAAACCGCCACTTAGCCTGCTTAATCGCTCTCTGCGAGAAAGATCGATTCATAACACCTAGTTCCCTAATAGGTGATGAATCGAAAAGAGGAGCAATCTTCGTGGAAGCTGTGGCAGAGACGCTATTCGTTGTCCCGCCTATTCTTGTAGTTGTAGATATCCTGGTAGGCTTGCGGGTTGGTCAAGTGAAGCTAAGTGCTTTACATCAATGTAGATTCCAGATGACTTGGGAGAACGTCGGTAAGGAAGCGAGGAACATATGACAGTCTACGGACTTCTGCATCGCGCAAGCGGACCTCATTCAGACCCACGCGGACAACGCCGCCTTCTTGGGAGACACGAGTCAGTTCAGCGCTCAGAATGATTGATTTCGTCGCACATATCCATAGTGAACATATCCGGTTTTAGCATACCCATGTTTGTAGCCATCGCTCATCGCATCTTCCAGCACATGGCAGAACGACGCATCCCTGACAGCCTCCACATACGCCTTCCACAGATCTGTCGCTGCCGCCAGCCGCGGACCCGGAAACCCAGATAGCGGTGTTGCCGATATTCTGGAAGGATTCGAAACCTGCCACGAGGAGATACGCAAGCGTAGTAGCCCTGCTGACCGCCATAAGCAGGCTAGGGCAATGCCACAAGGCGGTGAAAGCGGGCATTGAAACGCGGTAATAGATTCCTATCGAGACTGTCGAACGCTAACTAAGTGAAATGGGGGGGAAATCGGTCTATCTCGAGGTCTGCTGTCATGGTGTTGCTATTCTCGGAACTGCGTGTGGTGTCCCCGGTATCGTACATACTCGGCATCATCTGCGTCGCAGTCACAAGGATTTGCTCCTCGGTTGTTAATCCTACCAATAGCGCGTGAGGCACAGAACTTAAGTGGTGTCTCTCTTCATGCATGCCCATCCTCGACCTGCACACCGAGGTGCATCTGCAAGGCCCATCTGCAAGGCCCATCTTGGCTTGTTTCTGCTCGCCGAAGTACGAGTGATGCTGCCAGTCAGAAAGGAGTTCAACCGGGCTCACATACCCTTGTATGACGGTGAAGAAATTTGGAAGCAATCACCGATCAATACCCATGGCAGATCTTTTTAGACCCCCTGAAAAGTTACCGGTGGATGGGTCGGAATCCTTCATCGACTGGTTGAAAATCGGTGCTATGACTTCGAATGCAAGAAGGCAGATGTTCGTGTTCTTTGAAGCCACCTATAGAAGACCTACGATATATGAAGTAAGTAGAGAAACAATACTGCAAGCATCGACGAAAGTCGATCTCGTTTGGCGTCTGGTGTTGTCCTAGCTGTGCCGCAGCGCTCCGAGCAACTCCACGATTCATGACCAACTGCCACGTTCCTGCGGGCTCTACCCCTTAGCGTCGGCGCTACACAATATTGAAGAAGGATTTCAGTCACGTGATCCCAGTTGAACCAATCCATTGCAGAGCTGATCCATACTTTGTAAAACTATTAATGGTGGCTCAGATAGGACCAGCCGGAAGCGGTCCCTAAATCCCTGTACCCCAACGTCGTCTTCGCTACTTCATCATGTCCCGCCCCAAACTCAATTTCCAACTGTGGATGATCAGTTCAATGCTCAAGAACCCCGCGCAATCCTGGGAAAGTTTAAAGCGCCGCGTATGCCCCTGCTATCTAGGATGTTAAGCGTTCATGCCCCGGCTTTCTGTTAGACATCACCTGCGATTTGATTTCTTTCTTTAAACCTCCCTCCCAGTGGGGAACATGTCGAATATTGGCGACGGTGTCACTTTAGCTAGTGACGACACCACCGTGGTGCGTTTGGGTCTTTCGAGCTCTTTGATGTATTTTAGGAGTGTCGATTCAGTCACTCACGGCTCTTAGGACAGTAATTCCGACGCCGACTCTAGCTATGGAGATGGTGATGGTGCCTCGTAAGTAGCTCCGAAGGAACCATGGAGTAGTCATTGTCTGACTGGCTTCGACAGCGAGACCACTTCTCTCAAATCGTCAATATACAATTACCAGTACCGAAATGGTCGACGCTACAACGGATTCAGAGCAGGAGAATACTTGTACGGCAAGACAGCTTTGACGAACTTGATTAGCCTTTGCTCATCATAGATAGGTGGCCGAACGATGAACAGCAGTTGGATCAACTGGATATAATGTAGGGATACCGGGAAATACAGGCTGCGGCTCTAGAAGATAAATGCTGAGCGATACGGTAGGCATCATATATTTAACTTGACGTTAGATGGCGAGTTATTCCTAGCACCAATTGGAAAGCACCCTCAGGCAAGGACAATGGTAACCCAAGACAGTGCTCTATAACTGACTAGGAATCAGCGTGTGTTAGACTTGGGAACAGGGACGGGTATATGGGCAATGTTAGTCATTTCAGCATCTCTACACTTTCCAGTATCCAACTAATACAACGCAGAGAGTTCGCAGATCGCTTTCCCTCCGCCTCGGTTATCGGGACAGATCTTTCTCCAATACAGCCATCAATGGTCCCTCCTAACCTCCAATTCGAGATCGACGACTGCTGCGAAGAGTGGCTCTATACAAAAGAGTCTTTCGACTTTATCCACATCCGTCTTATGAATGGTGCTGTGGCTGATTGGCCTGCCTTATACGCGGAGGCATTTGCACACCTTAAACCCGGGGGCTGGATTGAGTCCGTCGAAGGCAATGGAATAAGATCTGACGATGGTACTGTCTTGCCTGACTCTGTTTATAACCAGTGGAACTCGTTGACAATAGACGGGGGCAAAGCATGGGGAAAACTTATTATAAGATCGGGTGACGAAGTGAAGCAAGATCTAAGAGGTGCGGGATTTGTCGATATCACCGAGCGCCGCTTCAAGTGGCCCATAGGAGGATGGTGCAAGAATGAGCGACTCAAGGAAATTGGAACTTGGAATCGGTTGAATTTTGAGCAAGGTATGGAGGGGTGGTGCTGGTCTCTCTGCACAAATGTGCTGGGGTGGAAGCCCGAGAAGGTCCAGATGATGTTGGCTGAGATGAGACTCATGTTGAGGCAGAAAGGGGTGCATGCCTATAATGAAGTGTGAGTTGCGCTTCCTCGATGTCTCACTAGTCTTCCTGACGGCTACAACTAATGAAGCCGGAGATTATACTAACGTTCGTAGGGTTTTCGTATACGGGAGGAAACCGTCTGCAAAGATTTCGGCTGATGGGTAATTAATTTGAACATTTTTTTGATTGGCGTCAGGAAAGGCTTGCTTGGAGCAGGGCAAACCTTGCTTTTGAGGTTTCACATAAGGGCGGCTGTCTGAGCGAAGTACTTTAATGGATAATTTAGATACCCAAGGCGGTGCAAGTCAGTAAAGAACACATTTTTGACATCATGAGATCGAACGTGTTGAGAGAAGTGAAGATACAAAATGAGTTTGTGTAAATCTATATTTACTGTGGGTATATTGAATAGATCGCCTCTCGTCTATAGCTTGCCATGGCTTGCTGTGCTCCTCTTAGCTAAATTTCTCGAAGCACTCAATACGAGACACACATGGTGGCTGAGTTCTGTTAGTATGGCCGTACTTGCTATGATAATGGAATGGTAAATACCTCAAAGCCACGACATCCCCGGAGTCATCCATAATAATGACCTCTAGATCGAATCTGCCATTCTTGATTTGTTTCGCACGTACCCGGGCGAACAACCACTCGACACCTTCCTCAGGGAGCGCCTTCTTTATGTCCAAATTCAAAAGCAGCGTCGGGTACCAGTGTGTGCCGCCTTGATCCTTGCCCACGAAGGACTCGATGATTTGTGGAAAGCAGTCGGACACATATCCAATACTTGAGTTGGTAAATCGGCCACCATCTGAAAAGCACAACCATTCATCCACGGAACTGTGTGCATGACCGGCTTTTGGGAAGAACCATTTGACCTTCGTGCTCGCTTTGCGGAACTCAGAATGTGGTACGGGTCCATATACCCAATTATCATCCTTTCCATCTCGGAGCTTATGTACGTTTACGGGGGCCGAGGGTGGGTGGAGGGTGTACCTGGTGTCAAAGGATAGGCCCTCTTCGGTGTGAATGTTAGAATTGGTGATATATCCTACGACTTCGTCGCGTCCGTCCTGCGACATGGTAACATGAACCACGGAGGTCTGTCGGCCTAGTTTCACATCTTTGACCTTGAATGTCGCTGGACCAGCCTCTGTGCGGCGTAGGAACTCTAGATGCAGAGTGATGGTATGGGGTTGTGTCTGGGCGGCGAGGGTGCTACAGAAGTGGGTTTCGACGACGCGAAGGAAACAGCCGGTTACAAAGCCGCCATGGGGCACTGTGTGGAGTTTAGCCAATTGAGAGAACGAATTGGCGACGCGATGTACCTTTCCCAATGCACCAGTCTGAGTGGAGGAATGCAGAATAGGTGTGTGAGTCGACGGGTGTGATGGCGGTTGCTTCTGCCCAGGAAGGCATTGTGGCACGGATTTGAGTGGTTGATATCTACCAAGGGCAATTCGACGCCCTCGAGAACTGGGGACAAGACTACATGGATAAGGAGCTGTGGTGATACAAAGGTATGTATATGCCGTCTTGGGGGCTTGAAGCTGGTCAGTACCTCGGGCTATTCGAGGTGAAATTCGGCGACGGTTGGTCAGTGACGAGACGTCAGCCTAGCTCTAGGGAACGCCGAGTGCAATAAAAGCCTCCCAGCCCCCCAATTTGTTTATATCCTTTCTAATGCAGCAGTGCTCACATAACCTGGAAAGAAACCTATGGTTAGCCTCATCGTGCCCTCTAGTCGTACTTCAACCCACTCTGTCCCCCATCCCGTCTCCCACTTATCATATACGAAGTACTAGACCTCAAAAGGCAAAAGCCTCGGTGTTTTTCCCCGCAACGCAGCCATCTTTCTTCACCAAAGCCGTTTCGAACCGGGCAGCTTGCCGCCCTGATGTTCTGGAGTACGCCTCTGACGAGGGGCCCTTGGGCGGACCTCCGTGAAAGATGAAGGATGCTGACTTTCCGCGCTTTCCGCCTTTTTCTCTCCAACAAAATCTTCCAAGTTGTAAAGCGTCTATTAGAGTGAATACTTACAGTCACAATGCCTACCGAATCTTTATATCCGCCGATCGAGATTCCTGACGTCGACATTTGGGCATTCTTATTCGAGCGCAACGACAAGCCGTATCCGGACGACAAAGGCAAGCTTTTTCTCACATGTTTCCCCAGAGTCACACTACTCCCTGTACTCAAAGCTAGTAACATAACTAATCCCAACTAGCCATTTACATCGACCCTTTCACCTCTCGCACCTACACTTTCGCTGATGTCAAGAGCACTGCCATCGATTTTGGCAAGGGCCTCAAAGCGTTGTGGGACTGGCAGAAAGGCGACGTGCTAGGTCCATACATTACAAATACAGTCGTGGTTGAAACACCTGCTAATGACCATTTAGCACTCTTCACTCCGAATTGTATCGACACTCCCGCTATAACATGGGGGTGCCACTGGGCTGGTGGGATCCTATCCCCGGCGAATCCGGGATACACCGCAGAAGAGCTGGCATTCCAACTCAAGGACTCAGGCGCGAAGGCGCTGGTAACTCAGCTTGCCCTGATAGCTACGGCGAAGAAGGCCGCGTCAATTGCTGGGATTCCTCATGACCGCATCATAGTCATGGGCGACGAGAGAGACAAAGAGGCGCGCGTGAAGCATTTCTCAAGCATCAGGAACACGTCCGGCACCTCGCGATATCGACGCACGAAACTAGACCCAGCCGAGGACCTGGCCTTTTTGGTATACAGCTCTGGCACGACGGGACATCCAAAGGGCGTGATGCTGACCCATCGGAATATCGTTGCGAACGTGTTGCAAGGCATGAGCGGGGAGGCGAATCTGTTGAAGTGGGACAACGGACCAGATAAGAGCGGGGATCGAATCATAGCCTTTCTGCCCTTCTTCCACATATATGGTTCGGACTCTCAGTATTATTGTTCAAGTGCATGTTTATACTAACACGAACCCGCAGGCCTCACGTGTCTAATACACCACTCTCTTCGCGCTGGCCTGGCCCTCTATGTTCTCCCCAAGTTCTCCCTGGATGCCTTCTGCGACATCATACAAACCTACCGCGTCACGTTCGCCTACGTAGTGCCCCCGGTCGTCCTCCTTCTCGCCAAGCACCCCGACGTCTCCAAGTACGACCTCAGCAGCATACGCATGCTCAACTCGGGCGCCGCACCCTTGACCAAAGACCTCGTAGAGACGCTGCACTCCCGCCTTAACCTCAAGGTCAAGCAAGGTTACGGGCTCAGCGAGACAAGCCCAACCACTCACATGCAGCCCTGGAGTGATTGGGACAAGACCATTGGTAGTGTTGGTCGTCTTCTGCCGAACTTGACCGCTAAGTATGTCTCTGAAGCGGGCGAAGAGCTTCCAGCGGGCCAGACAGGCGAGCTCTGGGTGAAGGGGCCGAACATCTTCAAGGGCTACCTCAACAATCCCGAGCGGACGGCAGACTCGTTAACTCCGGATGGCTACTTCAAGACTGGCGACGTCGGATACCAGGACGAGAATGGCAATTTCTACATCACGGACCGCGTGAAAGAGCTTATCAAGTACAAAGGGTTCCAAGTGCCGCCTGCAGAGCTTGAGGGCTTACTTGTGGGGCACCCCTTGGTCGACGACGTAGCGGTGATTGGAATATATGACGAGGGGCGGGCGACGGAGGTGCCGAGAGCGTATGTTGTCGCCTCAAAGGCGACAGAGCCAGTTGGTGAAAAGCATTCTAATGAGATTGCTGAGTGGCTGGCTACAAAGGTGGCGGGCCATAAGCGGCTGAGGGGTGGTGTGCGGTTTGTGGAGGAAATTCCAAAAAGTGTCAGTGGCAAGATCTTAAGAAGGGTATTGAAGGCGAGGGCAGAAGAGGAGACAAGCGGTAAGACGGTCAAGGCGAAATTATAGGCAGTGAATGTAGACTTCCGAGCTAGATAAGAAATCTTGAGTATGGTGTATATATCTTGTGCCACGTGAGTCTAGACAAAGTGCTCGATAATAATTTGTAGTACTACTATAACGCTTGAAGTGCTTCAGGAAACTGTCAGAAATGTAAAGAAGATTACAATCTATGGTTTCAACAGACCTGAACCCTTTGCTGGGTTACCTTCGGCGACAATAGAAAGATGTACATAGACTGGGCGTGTACCCAATTTTTATTAGTATGTTCGAACACCACAAGCGGTGTCAAAGAATTGTAAGAAATATCCTCTCATAGTAATGAATGTAAATACTCTCAGGAAAGCGGGTTGCTAAAGATTGTAATACTCCTAAAGCGAGATTGAGATGCCCGAGTACCACTTATTGAACTATAGTATACAATGCCTCGCTTGGTGCTCAGGCAAAAGTTAGCCGGTCTTTCACGTCACGACTCCCTCAACGAGATGCTCATTAATAGCGTACATCACGTTCCCATCTAGAATATTCTTTTCCTTTTTGTTATAGACTCACTCGTTCTTATCTGTCACTAGAATATTGGTAAAAGAGCGCTACTCTAGATCCGCTTTGTCAGAAATTTCTACCTCTTCACACATTGTTCAACTGTCAATAACTCCCACCCATGAAGCACCATAAGGATGTAGTTTGTCAAATTACCTCCAGCGTCTCTCAATACTTCAAGCGGCGGGAGCCGTTTCGGATTTTTCATGGCTCCACCAACAGCACGCGACCCGGGGGCCGCCAGAACACAGTTGACATCAGCGCACTCTCACGCGTCCTGCGCGTCGACACGAAGACTAAAATGGCGCTTGTTGAGCCTAATGTGCCTATGGACCGCTTGGTTGAGGCGACCATGCAATACGGTCTTGTTCCGCCGGTTGTGATGGAATTTCCCGGTATCACGGCAGGAGGAGGGTTTGCAGGGACAGGCGGCGAAAGCAGCTCTTTCAAATACGGATACTTCAATGAAACCGTCAATTCAATCGAAGTCGTCCTCGGTAACGGGGAGGTCGTAACGGCATCTGAAAAAGAAAACACGGACCTCTTCCATGGAGCCTCTGGAGCCGTAGGGACTCTAGGAATTACGACACTGCTCGAGCTGCAGCTCGTCCAAGCAAAGAAATACGTCGAAGCAACATACCACCCCGTCCGCTCAGTTGCCGAAGCCGTAGCAAAGGTCAAAGAGGAAACGCTCAACCCAGCCCACGATTACGTAGACGGGATCCTCTTCTCTAAAGATCATGGCGTCATCGTTACAGGCCGTATGACGGACTCCCTCCCATCAGGATCTGCTATCCAGCACTTCAGCGCCCCTAGCGATCCTTGGTTCTACCTCCACGTCCACGACCGTACCCTCTCTGCCACTACACCCATCACCGAGCATATACCACTCGCCGAATACCTCTTTCGCTATGACCGCGGCGGCTTCTGGGTCGGGCGCTCCGCCTTCTCCTACTTCAACTTCCCATTCAACAAGCTCACGCGCTGGTTCCTCGACGACTTCCTGCACACCCGCATGCTGTACAAAGCGCTGCACGCCTCCGGCCAATCCAGGAATTACGTCGTCCAGGACCTCGCAATCCCCTACCCCACCGTCGAGAAATTCATAGACTACACCGTCTCCTCCTTCAACATCTGGCCCCTCTGGCTCTGCCCTTTGCGTCAATCTCGCCTCCCAACTCTGCACCCGCACACCTCTGCCACAGAAACCGATAAGAAGACCCTCGCGCCTCTTCTCAACGTCGGCTTGTGGGGGTTCGGGCCTCCTGATCCCGCTGCCTTCGTTACTAAAAATCGCGAGCTCGAAGCTAAACTAAAAGAGCTAGGGGGTATGAAGTGGCTGTACGCGCACACCTACTACCCGGAGGGCGAGTTCTGGGAAATGTTCGACAAAGAGTGGTATGAGGGGCTGCGGAAAAAGTACCATGCGGAGCGATTGCCGAGCATGTGGCATAAGGTGCGGGTGGACGAAGAGGCGCAGCGGCGGGCGGAGGAGGAAGGGGGCTGGGGCGCGTGGGCGTTGCGGAAGTGGCCGCTGGGGGGGCTGTGGGGGATTCGCAAGGCGATTCAGAGTCGGGAATATCTGGTTGCTAGGAGATCGTCGTGGAAGGATAAAGGAGAGTGATGGAATTATGTTTGGGCCGATTTTGTAAATCATGTACGACTATGGAGAATAGTGGGCTATTTCCGACTGCATCACTTTCAAAAAGGGCCTCCTTGTGGTGAAAATAGTATGCTCTGCTATGAACTGTCTCGTTTGGCGAGCCAATATCTAACCCTCCTGGATCCCGACTCAATGGCTCCCGGAAACAGCCTGATGCTTGATGATCCGGAGAGGTTCGGGGCATAGTCTGGGGAAGGGTGAGGGGAAAAGGAAGATACCATGCTACATCTCTTTCGACCGGGGAACAACACATGCAGCTCCGACCGGACCAATCCTTTACTTTCTTGCATCATGGTCCCTGTAAATTGGGGCGCAAGTTTCCTTGAATCAAAAATGCTTTCCATTTAGTTGCGAGTATCTGGATCACACACTATTCTCACAGCTTAACGAACATGCCGACTTCAGTCAACGCACCGTATCTAGCAATTGGAGTCGCGCTTGCGGTTGTGGCATTTGTTGTCCTGCGTAGGCTCTCGAGATATGGCATGCGGCCTGCTGATTACCCTCCCGGTACCTATTCCATGAGGAGGTCTTCAAGTTAATTCCACTGACAAAGAGCAGGCCCACCGACCCTTCCAATCATTGGCAACTTGCATCAGATGCCGATGAAAGACTTGCATCTCAAGTTTGCAAAATGGGGGAAGCAATGTTCGAATCGCACTCGTATCCGTTCAGAGCTTCGCTGATGCCTCGCAGACGGACCCGTCTTCTCTCTGAAGCTCGGCGCGGACATGAACATTATCGTTCTTAACAAAGACCAGCCAGTGAAAGATCTGCTTGACAAGCAAAGCAGCATCTACTCTGTGCGCATGGACAGCTTGATTCGCGAATATGGAGATGGACTGATGATAACGAATAGAGAGTATGCAAAGGCCCCAGACAGAGGAGGCTTGCGAGATACTAAAGCAGTACATTTAGCAACGACGATATCTGGAGGCGGCAAAGGAAAGCATACCACCTGCTGCTGAACGGCAACGTTGCAAATAAGTATCTGCCGTACCAGTACTTCGAGACTACGCAATTGCTACAAGATATCCTTCAGCGGCCTGACGATGTGTCGCTTCATTTGAAGCGGTATACGACGAGCTTGGGATCGACGATTGCATACGCATGGAGGACTACTTCGATCGATCAGCCAGCCGTGAAGACGATGTATCACGTAAGTGTCGTTCCAATGGATGAATCTATTCCAGAGCTTATGCAAGTCAGTGGATCGAGAGATGGTCGGCTATTGGAACGCAGACGATGGTCACCGAATGGTGGAAGTTCCTTCGCCCAATATATCGCATCATGCCCACCTGGCTGAGCGCTGGCAAGAAAGAGATGTTCGAGTTGTTAGACATCGAGAAGAGGTTGTGGATGAGTCAATTGGTGAAGGCAAAAGAGAACATCGATCGGGGGAACAAGAAGCCCTGTACGTGATGGTATTTCCTCTTTCTCGAGGCTTTTTTCACTGGACTTGACTAATACAGCTTTTCGCAGGTTTCGCCGTCGATATGCTGCTCAATAACAAACAAGGCGACGCGAAGGACGCAATGACTGACTTGCAGACTGCGTTCAATGCGGGTCACGCTTGGGCAGGGGCTAGCGATACGACTCTGAATACGCTTCTCGCCTTTGTGAAAGCCATGATCTTGTACCCAGACGTCCAAGCCAAGGCGCAGGAGGAAATAGACCGAGTGATAGGATCGGAGCGGATGCCAGACTGGCATGATCGAGACAGCCTCCCATACGTGCGGAGCTGTGTCAAAGAGAGCCTGCGATGTCAGTACTTCTCTCAAACACCATCCTTCTAGATATTAACCTGACAATTCAGGGCTTCCTACTGCACTGACGGGGGTCCCCCACTCAGTGTCCCGCGACGATACATACATGGGCTTCAAGATTCCAGAGCGCGCTGTCATATTCTTCAATGTCCGCGGCCCTCTTCTCTTCTCCGCCTCTTACATGAGCTCATTGATCACAGACCTGGGCGATAAACAATGACCCCAGCCGCGTCCTCAACCCGCGTCGCTTCCTCCCCGAGCGACATCTTGACGACTCTACAACCTCCTACGAATCGGCCTCTCTCCCGGACTGCTCTAAACGCGACCATTTCACATTCGGTGCTGGCCGTCGTATCTGTCCCGGTATCCACATTGCAGATCGCTCGCTCTTTGTAGCTATATCGAGGCTTCTATGGGGCTTCAAGATCGAGCAGGGCATGGATGCGGAGGGGAGGCCGATACCCCTGAACGCAGATGTGATGGGACCTGGTTTCGTAGCGGAGCCGGAGAAATACGCGTAGGTTGAAATCCATCTTTGCGAGATATATCCGGCACTGACCAGCACTGCCCAGGTCGCATTTCGTGCCGCGCACACCAGAGACCGAGAACAAGATAAAGTCAGAGTGGGCGAAAGCCGCAGTGCTGCTAGACAAAGACGGGAACTACTCGGACGTTTTTTACGACGTCTTTGGACGGGCGTACTTGTAATCTTCAATATGAAATGGATGTGAGGCCTAGTCTTATATCACACCAAACTCTTCCCCCCACTCCACCCCCACAAAAACCTCCGCAACAACCCCAAGCACGATCTTCTTCCCCGTGAAGAAATGCTGCTCACCCGGCACAATCACGTCCGTGTAGAACGGGTCCTTCACCGCTTCCGCCCATGCCTCCAGGCTCGAGACCTGGAGCTGCACGATTCCGTCGTACTGCACTGCGCTTTCGGCTGGGAGGCCGAGGATTGAGGAGGTGGCCGGGTTGATGTGGATCTGAGACGTTAGCGCATCGTCATTATACTAGATGAACGGGGTGGGTATTTATGTACCTGGCGGTAGTTGATGATCCCGTGCCTGGCGAGGAATGGCGCGACTAACGGCGCGTGTGTCTCCTTCCAGTACGCGCAGAATTCTTCGTGCGTCCAGGATGGTAGGCGGGTGATGAATGCTATGAGCCATACGCCGCCTTTGTGGCTGTCGCTGTTACTGAGCGTAGTGAGGGGAGCGGTGGGGGTAGTCATTGCCGGATGAAGAGCCGGCGGGAGGGCGAGTAGGAGTTGTTTGTCCTTAGAACTGAGGGGATGGAGGTGAGTAGTGAGATATGGGATGTAAGGTCTGACGTACGATACAAGCTGTGGAGGTAAGGATTTTGTTGAAGATAATCAGTTGTGAGAGCCTCGGACAGGAGTAATCATTCCTGTTCTCTGTCCTCTAAGCTCTTACAGTTGCTACGTATTGGAATCAGGGTATGGTTCACCCTGGTGATAAGCCAATGCCCGTTATTCGGATAATATTTCGCCTTCTCCGAAGCCGGGCGTGCAACACGCTTCCGGATCATGCACTAGGAGTTGACAAGTGTGCGTGTCCGCACCCATGGACAGGTCGTGCGGGGTAACGCACGAGGAACATATATGCGGGGTGAATGCACAAATCGGATACCTTGAGGATGATGGTGTGAATAATGAACGTCATTTCTCCCTTCCAAAGTTCCAATGTTGTTAAGATACTGGGAAAGAAATCTGGAACAATGGACATGTATCGAGAGTGGATTTTATGAGATTTGAAAGTGATAACATGTTGATGACTAGAGAGCACTGAGAATTAGAAGATGGAATATAGAACAGTTTATGTAATGGAGCATCTGCAAGTTTCGGAGCCTCGCAACTTTCAATCCGGTCCCCGAAATCCAACTCGTATGGAGAAACAACATCGAACATGACTGGAATACTTAAGAAAGAACCGGATCTCTATGTGCTGTAGCCTGAGGTATCGTGGCAAAGACTAGGTGGCGGTTGTGAAAACCACCCCTTTCTACTTCGACCGGCAAAAGCAGCCACCCAGCGTCGTAGGAACATTGCGAAAGCGACATTTTTACCGGCTTAGCAACAAAAAAGTGAATCTGGCATGTGAGAGGGACTGGCCAGGCTCTGTTTTCAATCGTTGCGTTTCGTCGTTATGAGCTGTTTGCGGTTCGTGCCTGCTGGCAGAAGCGCCAAGCGCTCACTAGATAAATCGAATTGAACTTGATTAAGCTTCTTACTAGCGCTCGCAACACTTCCTTCTATGGCGTCTAGCCGCTTGTAGCTGTCTTACTGGCGGAAGCTTACTGAGGCCCAGCAGTCAGTTCGGGGTCCGGGCGTAGCAGGCTCCGGCATTTACGCAGGCAATGGTGATAGAGACTCCTCGCAACGTCCGGTGGCCTAGCGTGTAAATCAAAGCCACGAAATTACTTAATGAGGTTAGCGTTCCGAGTGCCTGTAGGGGTGAATAGCAACTTTCTAGCCGATCTTTGACTGGCCCGGAAATTGATTGGCTAGAAAGTTGTTATTCAACCCTAAAGACGCTCGGAATGCTAACCTCATTAGGCAGATATGTGGTTTGATTTACACGCTAGGTCACCGGACGTTGCGAGGTCTGTATGCAGATGATCGTGATGAGACCTTGGAAGGGACTGCTGTGTTTCCCCGTGGAACCACGTAGACCTATATAAGTAGAACATTATTCTACCGGAAGCTGCATTGAGCAAGATCACTCCGCGTTGAGCAACTATCAAATTCCCTAGTGCTCCCACTGGAACCCAGCCTCATTCATCATGGTTGTAGGAGAGCTCCCGCTCGATGGAAAGATCGTAGTGATCACTGGAGCAGGATCAGGTGAGCCAAGCGTATATTTCATCGAGACAAACGGTGAGGGTTGGCTGACTAGCGAACGAAGGTATCAACCTTGAGTTCGCAAAACTCGCTCATGAAAGAAACGCCCACGTCGTCATTGGAGATGTCAGATTGACTCCCGAAGCGGAAGAGTGGATCGCAACTACAAAAGGCTCCACATCGAAGGTCGTGTACCAGCAGACGGACGTGACAAAATGGGACCAGCTGCACACATTGCTGGACGTATCAGAGAAGGAATTCGGAGACGTCCCTGATCTGTAAGCCTGAAGACTGTATGGTTTATTTGAGGAAGTCACTGAAGACCGTTGCACAGATACGTTGCTGGTGCTGGAGTGTTTGAGCCGGTGAGTATCTCATACTGGAATGGTTCGACGAAGCTGTTTCTGACGCGCTCAAAGGACTGGTCAAACTTCTGGGAGGATCCGGAAGTTGATGGCTACAAATCGATCGACATCAACGTGGCGCATGCGATCAAGTTCACTCGGATTAGCATTCGGAAGCTTCTGTCGAAGAACAAGAAGGGCGTTATTCTCGTTGTCGGCTCGATTACTGGGCAGACGCCGAACTTCACTGGACCGCTCTACGTCGCCACTAAGCACGCTATATCGGGGTTTGTGAGAAGTTTGGCGATGTTGGATGAATATATGGATATTAAGGTAGTGTGTAGTGCTCCGGGGTAAGGTCTGCTCAGACTCCAGGTTCATACCTTTACTAAAGTTAGAAACAGGATGGTGCTCACGAGGTTATGGACAGACAGGCCGGATATGTCTAAGAATTACAAAGGGATAGAGCAGATAGCTCTTGGTCCAAAAGATATCGCAGAGAGCATGGTGGTGCTGGCTGGATCATCGAAGTATGGGGGTGGTACAGTTCTGGAGGTAGCAAAAGGGCAGCCATGGAGGGAAGTACCAGCATACAACGCTCCTCCACCACTAGGTGTAGGAGCAACGCCGGAGCAATCTGCGGCAGATCTACGAATCTTGCAGATTTTAGAAAAGGAGCGGGGAGTCGCACTGAAGCCGTGATGGAAGAAACAGGCACTCACATAGTGTAGCGTCAGATAGAAGACGATTCCTTCGAAAGTAATCATCATAAACACTGAATCCGTTCGCGTAGAAAAGACTCTATTTCGCATTCCCGCTCTCGCGAGCGGCGCAAACGAGAACCTCGCATTTTTCATCTATATATAGCAGAAGCGAAAATGTACAAAAACACCCAGCCAGTATGCAGAAGACATATCAGGTCTTTTCTCCCTCCCCTAACTCACCCAATTGCCTCTTCTCAACTCCTGACAATGCACCCACCTGTATCTGCATGACTCCGTTAAGAATGCCATTGAAAGAAAAGGAGCTCCAAGCATAACCTCTTTACTCAGCCTTCGGTCTCCCATTTGCAATCTTCTCCACCTTCTCCACCTCAACCGACGACGTGGTGTTGATGAAGAACTTCCGCTCGAAGAACTTGAGAACTTCATCAATGATGATGATTGGCGCACTTATCCCCATGACTGCCTGCCACTCCGCCGAATCCAGCGGCACGACACTGAACAAGCCCTGCAAGAACGGGACGTAAAGCAGCGCGAAATGCAGCGCCATGCTAAGGCAGATGGCGTAGACGAGCATCATGTTCTTCCACAAGGGGAGTGTGAGTAGGGATTCCGAAGACGAAAGTGCGTTCATGGCGTTAAGCATTTCGATGACGACGAGGATAGACAGGGAGATGGTGGAGGCGGTTTTGGCGGAGTCATTGGTGAAGATTTCGCAGCCGATTTCCGGGAAGGCGGCGCTGCAGCTGTGGAAGTGGGACTGGGTGTCATTAGTTTCATTGCCTTTTACAGAATTTGTTGAGGGAGGGAAGATGGATGAGCTTACCAGTTGCCAGAACGAAATCTGTGGTCCGGCGGCATTAAACATGAAGTACCACGCATATCCGAAAACAGTCGCGGCGCCGACGTAGGTCCCGATGACCATGTATCTGAAGAACAACCAGCCACTGATGAGTGGCTCGTCTCGCTTCCGTGGTTGCCTCTTCATGATATCGTGGTCGGCTGGATTGAAAGACAATGCCGTCGCAGGTAGGCCGTCCGTGACCAAGTTCACCCAGAGAAGCTGTACTGGAATCAAAGCCTCCGGCATCCCCGCGGCCGCGGTAAGGAAGATGGACACGACCTCGCCAATATTGGACGAGATGAGGTAGCGAATGAACTGTTGAGTGTTGTTGTAGATCGATCTTCCCTCCTCGACGGCACTTTCAATCGTGGCGAAGTTGTCATCTGCGAGAACCATGTCGGCTGCAAGCTTCGCTACGTCAGTTCCGGAACCCATAGCGACACCAATATCGGCCTTCTTCAACGCTGGCGCGTCATTGACACCGTCGCCAGTCATGGCAACGACCTCGCCGGCTTGCTGAAGGAGATCAACAAGCTTGGACTTATGTGTTGGCTCTGTGCGTGAAAAGAGTGAAGCCCGTTTCGCGGCTTCCAGCTTCTCGGACTCGCCGAGGTCGTCAAATTGACGCCCAGTATAACTCTTCCCGGTGAGGTCTTCGTTCTCGCCAAAGACTCCGATTTGTCGACAGATCGTTTCGGCAGTGTTCTGGTTGTCACCAGTAATCACCACGACTCGGATACCGGCAGAGCGGCATTTGCGTATCGAATGAATCACCTCGGGGCGAGGAGGATCCAACATACCAACGAGACCGATGAGGGTCATGTTTTGTTCGAGCTTTGTGTAATCTTTCGTTGTCTTTGCGTTCTTGAAAAGACCGTTCGACCCTGCGTCTTCAACTGAAGCTAAGGCAATGACGCGAAGGCCACGGTTGCCATAGTCGATGATCTCCTTGTTGATGAGACTTGAGAGTTTGCTAGTAAGAGGAACCTTATGCCCCTGGCTGCCGACTAGGGTGTGGGTACACCTATCGAGGATTGACTCCGGAGCTCCCTTGATCAAAAGCCTTTGCGTATTTGGTCCCTCAACTAAAACAGACATGCTCTTCCTGTCTCTTGAGAACTCATAGGTAGCTAACCTAGGAAACTGGTCCTCGTAGTATTTGCTGAAATAATGGAGACGATCGTCAGCAGGGACGCTGGCCCTGGTCGAGTTAATCTTTGGGTGCGGAGTTCCGATTTTTTCAACCAAGACTCGCAGAGCTCCCTCGGTGGGCTCTCCAACGATGCTGTAAGTGCCGTTCTTCGCATCCAAAGCCAGCTTAGCGTCATTACACAGCGCCGCGACCTCGCTCATTTTCATGATAATAGCGGACGACGCTGCAGGATGTTCTAGAGGCTTGCCCTTGAAGGTGATGCTACCTTCAGGGGCGAAGTTCGTGCCCTCGACGTCGATCTCCTCTAGTCCAGTCCCGGCCTCGTTGATGAAAACAATCTTGTTGACGCTCATTTGGTTCGTGGTCAATGTTCCTGTCTTGTCAGAGCAGATAACACTGCAGCTTCCCAAGGTCTCAACTGAAGGAAGGCTTCGAACGACGGCGTTTTTGGCTGCCATCTTGCGAGTACCCAGGGCTAAGCACGTCGTGATAACCACCGCGAGACCTTCTGGAATAGCTGCTACACCAAGGGAGACAGCGATCTAGTCATGTCAGCATGATATTGCAGTGTAATTCCTTTTTTGTACCCACCTTGAGATAGTAGATCGCACCCTTGGTCCAGCCACCATGAGAAGGATCGCTGAAATTCCGGATGTTTATAAGCCAGACCAAAATGCAGATAGCCGTAATGACCTTCGCCAGCATATCCCCAAAATCATTCAACTTCTCTTTCAAAGGCGTGGGCTGAGAAATCTGCGAAGTAATGCTCTCATGAATATCACCAATGGCGGTCGAAGCTCCGGTCAAAACTACGAGCGCCGTAGCATGTCCAGTGACAACGGTCGTTCCTGAGAACAGCATATTGATCTGGTCTTGCTTGACAGCCTCCGCATCCTTGATCGCCTTGGTGCCCTTCCCAACACTCTCGCTCTCGCCGGTGAGGATAGACTGGTCCACGCTGAAGTTGTTGCTTTGTACGGAAAGCAGCCTGCAGTCTGCCGGTATTCTGTCTCCAACCGCCACCGAGATCACATCCCCGGGTACCAGCTCCTCTGCCTTGATCCGCTTGACGGCTCCATCGCGAATAACTTTGGCTTCGTTGGCGGAGTATTCTTGTAGAGCCGCAATGGCCTTTTCCGCGCTAGTTTCTTGCGAGACGCCGACGACGGCGTTTAATATGAGGATAGTAAGAATCTAAGATATCACAAATGTTAGATAAAGTAACAAGAAGCACCGAAGTGGGATGAGGGCGTGACGTACCACGGCGGGGTCTACAAACGCAGTCCATCCGTCACCATCCTCAAACAATGCCAACAAAAACGACACTCCAGCCGATCCCAGAAGAATTATGACCAACTGATCTTTGAATTGTTCGAGTATGAGTTCCCAGATCGGTGTCGGAGGGTCTTCAGGCAAAGCTGCGCAGAATTGTTATTCATAGTTGCTTCCGGAAACCTAGGGTGGGGTGGTACCATTTCGTCCATACTTTGCCCGCAAGCTCTCCACGCGCTGCGCTGGCAGACCGGCCGCTTCTGAGACTTGGAAATTGGCTAAAGCGTCTTGAGTAGACCGTATATACGCGTTCTCCATGCTTGGGTATGAGGACTATCGTCGCTATGTAGCGCGGCGCAAAAGTGGCCGTGGTAGGTACTCCGCTGCTTGAGAAGTGGAGGCGCAAAAGATTGACGGCGTATTCGGGGTCCACGAGTGGAAAGAAGAGTCGAGGCAGTAGGAAGTCCTAAATGACAGACTGGGTCGGCATGGAAGAAAGTGTGGTGAAAGAAACGTCGTCCCCGCGGTCTCCAAGGCGAAATCTATAATCTGTCCTTTCTCGAAGACGCTTAGAGTTACCTAGTGAGGGTTATTATCGGCCAGGCACTCGGCCGCCACGCCACGTGCACGCACCCTTGCCTATAGAATATTCTTATATCCCGTCAGGCTCTCTTGATTAAAATGTGGCAGTCCACGAATCCGTGATTTTCATTTAAACCATTTATGCTCATCTAGCACCGCTTGAAGTCCTCTGTGCTACCCAAAACTGTAAAACGCCGGTTTCGGCGAGCCTGATAACGGTCTGAGCCACCCCGGACTCCCACACCATGTTCAACGAAGCCTGCCTGTGCAGTGCGGCGGCGAGTCTCAAGATGATTAGGGACTCTAGCTTGCAGGATCACTCTAGGATGGCAAGAAAGCGAGTCAAACATAGTGTAGATATCCATTCACCTCTCCTAGTCTGTATAAAGCGCTCTGCACTTCCTAGTATCTGGATCACCTATATCCCATACCAAGTTCGGCGTTCATCAAATAATGTCCCGCCTACTATCAACGAGCCTCAAAAGCCCCTTTATAGCCAAATGCGCCGCTAATCCGCCCTCGCTATGCAACGTTCGACAGCCAAAGCCGGGCTGGAATGCAAAACATGAAGAAGAAAAAAGAGAAAAGGGTATCAAGGGAACACCTGCACTTCGTGTAGCAAGAATCGCCCATGCTATGCTATCAGTGAGTCCCGCCAGACTCAGATTACTAGTCCATCTTTTGCCGTACGTAACGCCTGCGAAGAAATATTACACTGTGCTTTGCTGCGCAAATACCGACGATATGGCCGGAAGAGGCTTCTCTGCCGGGAGGTTTGATCCTGTGTCCATGTGCGGATACACTCGTCGATGTGCGCAGTATTTGGTAATCAGCTTCTCCAGATCGAGTATCATGAACGGCTTCGACAAAGAGCCCTTCATCCCGACTTTTGCGGCCCGGTCGAGCGCGCTGTGTGTGGCATCCGCGGTCACTGCAAGAATAATTGGATGCTTGCCCATTCGGAATATCTCCTCCGCTGCCTGATATCCGTCCATTAAGGGCATCCACAAATCCATCAGAATGACATCGATTTCTTTGCCGTGTTGTCGTTCGATCTTCATTTGGTTGACGGCATCATGGCCATCATACGCCTGGGAGATGTCTTTGTATCCCAGCTTTTTGAGCATCGCAACAAGGAGGTTGCGGTTGATCCTATTGTCTTCGACTACTAGGAAATTTAGAGGGTACTTGTCGCAAAGCTTCCTGTCGAAGGAGGTTGTCGACCTCGTTATCCCTTTGAACGCGGCAGGATGGCCGTTCATATTTCGCGAGCGAGGTGATTCCATTTGTAAGGGCGGCGATGGTATGTGGAGATGATGAAGCGGCCCGACAATCTTCGGAGTAGAGGGCGTGTTCATCTTCTCGGGAATTATTGGGGGTGTTGGTGGACGAATCGAATTTCGTTCAGCCACGCCCAAATCCACAGACCTTCGCGACCGTGTCGTCGGCGAGCCGCTTGGCGTCCCTGGCCGACTGCAAATTTCGCCAGGTCGAAGGGGTACCCGCATTTCAAATTCGGAGCCTTTCGCTGGTCCCGAAACATCTGATCGGAGACAATACAAGTCACCGCCAAGCTTACGAGCTAAGCCTTTAGCGACCATCAAACCTAGACCGAGTCCTTCAGTTTGTCGACTTAGAGAAACATCTTCACGGGAGAATGGTTTAAAAAGATACGGCAAGAATGCGGAAGGTATCCCGGGACCCGTGTCTTGCACAGTTATCACGATATATCGGGAGTTCTGGCTGAGTTTTGCTCTCAAAGTTATCGTTCCAACGTCAGTAAATTTGACTGCATTCAAAACAATGCAAGATATTGTTTTCGCCAGGTCTTTTTCATCAACTGCAATTGGATTAGTTCCGTTTCTCCCAATCATCATTGGACTGGAGCTTACTGAGGATAGTGTCTGGCACATCGCCGTCTACTAGCCATTCGATATTCTTCACGTTTTCCTGACCACTTGGGCTTTTCGTTTTGACCTCAATGATAGCACCACCCTTTAATTCTTGGGAAGTCACAGATTCAGGACGCCCTCCAACTTTCAAAGAGTCGGTGATGACATACTGGATTACCTCACGCAGGTCAGTATACCGTAGTCCGGGAATAACGGTATCTTCCGAGGCAAAAACGGGAGATTTTGGGAATTCCTCGCGGTCGAATGAAGGAGCTGGCACAACCTGGGCAGTCGAAGCATCAGCGGAGGGATCAAATGAAAGGCCTTTCGAGTCTATCTTTCTATCAGGGGAGGTTCTCGATGTGGTCGATGTGGTCGCCTGGAATTTCGGTACGGAGCCAGCAGACCAAGCTGTCGACTCTCTCCTCCTCTTCATGTTTCGCAAAGGGCTCGGTAAGAGATATCCCTTGGTCGTCAACAAGCTCTCCTGCATGCCGGCTGCGTGGTTCATGGCGTCCAACACCCGGGATGCCGGATCGTTGTCGAGCGCAGAAAGAGGAGTCTCGGGTATTCCCATGTTCATGTCGTACGCATGTACTACATTGTCCGCTGCTACTACGGCGCGCCGGGAACTGTCTGTTCACGATGTCAGCTGGTGGGTGATTAGTCAGACGGCTCAGTTCGTACCTTGAACCGCTTCGATGTTCTCCTTCAGTTCCTCCAGCATCTGTCGTATCTGCTTCGTGTCGTCTAATGGACGGTCGGTAACAGTGGCATGCATAACGTCTAGCATACCCACAACGCCTTGCATTGGGGTCCTCAGTTCGTGGGATAGACTTCGGGCGTAGGGTTTGAGTGATTGGGCGATGGAGATGGCTTCGTGGGGCAAGACTCGCGGGGTAGGGATCTCGGCGGTTTCGCTCGGTGGTGACGGAGGAGGTCTGGCAAAACCGTCTCTTTGCAACACCCGGTCCAGAATGATGTCCTCAAGGCTGTGGAAGAGCATCTCCAAGTAGCCCCAGCCTAGCGTTCGATTGGCAGCGCCTTCTGGAGACCACATGACACCAAAATGGGCAAAGCACTTTCCATCAGCAAACAGTGGGATTCCCATATACGCCTCGCCAGCCACCTTAAGGTCGTTTGGGTTGTCGACAATGAACTCGTTTAGTCTCTCCGGGATGATGAAGACCTTGTCGTGTTTCATGTAGGCGCATGGGCACGAGTAGGCGTGGTACTTGAAGTCTTTCAGATGAGTTTTGAATCCGTGTCCGTCGTTGATATAAAATGCGGCACCCATCAGACAGGCGCCCGGCTCCCCTATGGGCGGCATCTCGACGGCGCTATGCATGTCGTCGACCAGAATGCGCTTCGAAACAAAGCCATACTGGGCGCTGGTGATATCGGTGAGGCCCTCGGTTAGTAGTGGCCAGAACTCGTCAGTCGTCGCTTTCCTGAGGTTGGTCTTGAACTGCACGAGCTGCTCCAAAGCGTTGCTCTCGGCGGGTGCGTAGAGGCGGCGCAGGCCTTCGGTGAAGCCATCCTGGTGGCTGTGCTTCACCATCCCGGGCTCTGCAAGAGAATAGCACAACGACGTTCGCTCGATGAAGTCCGGATGATCATTGCTGGCGTTGACCCTTCCCCTCATCGTCGTCCTCCAGGGCTTGGGGATGATTAGAGGACTCCAGGATGGTGGGCTAGCGCGGTGGCCTGATGGTTGGTGGTGCGAGGACGAGGGAAGGCAGCACTGGAGATCACGGCCGAAAGCGGCGCGGCTGCCAGGTAGCACGCAGAACCAGACGTTGACAAAGCTTGGCCAGAGTGAGCGGAGCAGTCGGGGGTGGGCTGCAGCTTCGTGGTGTTGGGGGGACTGTGTGGATTCGGTATACGCAGATTCAGTGGTCGAGCAGCAACAGTGTCATCAGCAGTGCATGAGGTGGGGCCGGCAGAGGGGGCGCTCCAGCAAAGAATGAAAGTCGTGGCACGCTGCGACGGACAGGAGGCCCTCAGGGAGCCCGAGGACGACTGTGGTGAGTCTAGAAGGGCCGCTGGAGGCCACAAACTCACAATCGGACCCGGCAGTCTGGGAACAAAATGCAAGCTCGCGACGCGCTCCGTCAGCCAGGAAGGCGTCGCGCTGGGGCTCAGGGCTCAGGCAGCGCGCAGAGGGCAAGAAGGAGGCTGCCTGCCGGAAGCAAGCAGGCGACGAGACGTGCGTGGGGACCATGGGGGCGCGGCGTGACTGACTGCGGCGTGACTGACTGCGGCGTGACTGCGCTGCTCCAGCTGGCTGCCGTCTGGCGGGGCGCAATCCGAAAAGGCTGAGGTTCTCAAACGCGATGTGCAAATCTCAAAGACGCAGGGATGGCGGGCGATGGGCGCGTCTGGCCTCGCGATGCAACCTGGTGGATGAGCGGCATCCATGCCTGAAGGAGCCCGAGGACAACGGCGCCCAGCCGGCAGCGTCACGCTCGCGCGTGCAGCTGCATATGCTGCTGTTGCCGTCTCCGCGCTCTCGCTGGGGACACTGTTCGTCCTGGGTCCCAAGGGTTGCTGGCTTTGGTCTTGGGTGTGATCGGTCCCTTGGCCGTGATCTCGGTCGGCTTCCTCGCCAACGTGCTGCGAACCGTGGGACACGATTTGGCCCGGCGCTAGCGTCGGATCAGATGCCAGACGCCTCCCGAGCCGTGGAGCGAAAAGAAGGGTCAGCGGGCGCGGCACAGTGGTGGGCTCGGAGGCGGTGACGCTATGGCGCTGCCGCGTAGCCGTCGCCGTCTTGGCCTACGTAGTGGCGGCCCGACCTGCAGCGCAGCTGTGCAGCGAGCATCCACGGCTCCCTCAGCATCGGTGAGAGGAGCGGGGGGCCCGTGCGCGATTCCTCCGCACGCCGCAGTCATGTCGCCAGGCCCGCCCTCGGGAAGCCGAGTACGTTGACCGAGAAGTGAGTGCTGCAGCACCCGGCCCCACAGGCGACCTTCAGACTCGCTGCGGGCGGGAGCACAATTCGACTCAACGGCTCGTATCGCTGCACGGTGACGTCCTAGGCCTTCCCGGGGTCGCACAAGATCTCGCAAGTGCCTCCGGTGTTAGGCTTTTGGCGGCATGTCATGTGTACGGCGCGTATTGCCGCCAATCGGGGTTAATCTGCGGAGGCATTTTATCTACAGTACACGCATACCGCAGACGGGCCGCTTTGTCTCATGATGTCCATGCGAGCGCACCTGCAGGCTAAAGAGCCGAAGGCATTCCAGATCCAAAACCTTCGAGCGCGCCATCAGCGTGTGACTCGATTGGCCGGCCAGCGTCCTCTTCACGAAGTAACGTTACAATATTGGGGCTGTGGCTGGCACGCTTGAGGTAGCGTATTGTAGCCAGCACTGATCGCATCACTCTTGCCTTGTTCCTGGCCGCTTCCCTGAGGCAGATCGATGATCAGTGCTCTTTGGAGCATTTCGTCAGTCCCATCCCGTCCATCTGATTATGGATGAGACATGTACAATGCCGATCGACATCTCTATCTTCACGTCTGCTTCCAAAATCGTACGATAGGTAGAATTTGAAGTTGCAATAGAGGCGGCCCGCCTGTCTGTCAACCCCTTTGTGACAGCACCACAGAAAACCGCTGGCTGGGAGCGGTCCCATGGTTGGCAAGGCATCCATGTCCTTGGCAACCATAAATCCTCCCAAGCCGAAGCAGGCATCCACTTCGGTATGCCGACCATGGATCGGGTAATAACCCTTCACTGAATCCCGAAGGCCATCACGCCTAGACCGCTCTATAGGGTCCATGGCTCCTGGCCGCTAGAGCCTACGTAGCAGCGAATGAAGTCACCATCGCAGAACATAAAACTGCAGTCTGACGTCTCCACTCGGCCTGGAAGAAGTTTAAACGATCTACTCGCGTGCCAGCGGGAGCTGGAGACGATATGCCTTTGGGGAAAAGCTCGAGTGATGGGCACACCTGCATGGATCGCCGAAAGGAGCCGCCAACGCTTGGCGTTCGTCTCAATACGGGGAGACTCATCTTGCACCGGATGCCAGCAGCCGTACCCAGCAGTTTCAGAACCCGGGGGAACGGCTCACCCAATGCCACAGCGCGGAGCAGCAATCTTGCCCAACACCATCGTCCGCTTCACGAAAGCGATTGTGTGCTCCTGACCGCTTTTCCAGCACGTAATCCAAAGTACGAGTGCCAGCGTGCAGACACAGACCATCACTTCGGCCGACGCAACTTTGGCATCTCTAATGCTCGCGGGGTCCAGACCTCGCGGGAATAAAGCCTTGGACCCCTTCGTGCCCTTCCAAAGGCCTGATTGGTGCGTGGCTTTCCCAGATCTTCCTAGATTCTTTCAAGCTTCTGCACTAGGCTGAGCTGCACCTGACTTGCGGAGTTGGACCTAGATCCGACGACCTTGACCGCATAGGCTTGAAGCGGGAACGTCCCGGACTAACTCATGCTTTAAGTTTCTGCATGATTGAAGTCAATCTTGAGGCGGGTCTGCCGAATAGAACAGAGTTGCATGCTGCAGTTTCGAAGAGAATCCTTTGTCTGTTAGTGAAGATAGCAGCGTTAGAAGACGCCACCACCGCAAGAGGCGACCTCGACGGCGAAATAAACTAGTGGAACGCCGCTATCTGAACTTTCTTTTCACTACCACATAAATGTCTCCTAAATGTCCCAATCGAGTAACTCTTGACGACCAAAACGGTGGAGCCTAGGACGCACTCAAATGCTCCCGTTAGCTAAGTCATACCAATAAACCACCTGCAAGTTCACAAGTCTCGATTAAAAGCGCGTGATAAAAGACAGCACTCTCAGGTTAAAAATCAGGCGGCTTGCAAGCTAGAATTCCTCAAGCTCGTACTTACAAGCTCCTACCTAGTGTTGCACGTAATTCGAGGCTGCGCACGCACGGCCTTCTTTTGATAATAGCACACGACCTTTTCCAACTCAGCTCGCCGACCCCACCGCTATCTCAACGGGGCCACGGAATTATTTCTCCCGAAGCTCATGACATATTCTCCTGTACTCGACGAATCCAGCCCCGGTTTCATTTCTGCAGTACGAGTTGTGGTTGTTGAGTTATGTGCGAAAACGTGGCCGGAGCCTCGAATGGAGGAAAAATTCAGGTCCTCTGGACTCAACACTCAGGGTCCACTTCTTGGCGGCCAAGAACTGCCAAACTGGTGACCGGAACGGCGATAGATATTACCGTTCCGGTTTGCACTTGACGACGACGGTGATATCAAAACCTACATAGTAAAAGCTGCTAACTAGGTGCACTTTTCTTTGAGCTTCAACGTAGTGATCCCTCTAAAATCCAACAGAATCTGAGCACCAAAATTCTCCTCACCTAAACAGTTTCTTGGAATACTTCGCACCAATCTCCTCCTCATCACCACGCGACTGCTGTCTCCAAAGCATCTAAAAACTTCAATAATTCTAGCAAAACAACTACTCGCTCACCATCTACTTACACCAACGCCTTCTCAAGTTCCTTCTTAACAACAACACTCTTCTCCTTCCCCAGCTCCTCCTTCACCTCGCTTTCCAGTCCCGTGACTATCTTGGAAGCGGCCACAGCTGCCTGTGCACGCCTCAGCCTACCTGCCTCACTGAAGCCTTCGAAGCGAGGATCGAATAGCAATTTGACGATGCAGTTCTTAACTTCTGTGTCATCGATCTGCGGGTGCAAGGGCGCGGTTGCGAGACGGTCGAACAGAGCCTTGATGGCGTCGAAGGAGGTGAGGTGGATATTGCGGGCGTGTGTGCTGAGTGCACGGAGAGCGAGAGGGAGCGTTGTTTTGAGGGTGTGGGTGAGATCTAGATGTAGTTAGCATGACGAGTTGGGAGTGATGTTGGTATATATGGGAACCTACCTGTACCCTCGAGAAGCTTAGGGTTGATACAGTCCATCAGTGCCTCGACGGCCGCCGCTAGAGTCTGCTCCTTCCTGCGAAGTCATTAGCCCGTATACACTTAGTGCCGACAAGGAACGAGAACTTACACAGCCGCATTCCCAGCAGCCTCTCCCCCATCCACATCCATCTTATCCTCATCGTCCTCGTCACCAATCAAATCCTCAACCACGGTTTTCACAACCCCCACAACTTCCGCACTCCCCTCCTCATCCTCCCTCGCCTTCACCACCTTCCCTAATGCCTTGACCGCATGCGGTCTATACGCCACGTTGACCCTCTTGGCCTCCCTCACCGCAATCTTGGACACCATCCCCGCCACCGCAGTATCCGCGCCCCACAGCTGCCTCCCCCGCTCAACAAACCTTACAAAAGCCGCCAGCACAACCTCCTTCCCCTCCCACGTCTTCCCCGCCATCGCCTTCTCCAGCGCCGGCCAAATAATCCCAGCATTAGCCTTGCTAATCTCATCCGCCACCGTCGCCGCCACCGCAGACGGCGAATCCGTCGTGATGCTCATGACCGCATCGGCGACTGCTCGCGCACTCGCATGCTTGAGGACCCATTTCGGGCTTTCAAGATGCTGGGACGCGACCTTGACGATCTCAGAGAGGTAGAGCAGCACGCCTCTACTCCCGCCGACGTTGTCAGACCACGTGTCTGCGAAGAGCTTGGCGACTTCCTCGTTGCTGTCGTGCTTGGCGACGAAGACAAAGGGCAGGATGGATGCGCCGACGCCGGCGAAGCGGTCGGCGGCGTGCTTGGAGATGGCGAGGACGATGTCGCCGGCTGCGAGGCGGGAGCGGTCGTCGTCGGAGTTGAAGTAGAGGGATTGGGTGAAGGCGATGGTGGAGAGGAGTTGGGGGTCCGAGGCGAGGCGGGAGAGGTACCCGGCAGAGACGGCGTAGGAGCTGGCGACTGTTTCGTTGCGGTCGTGGATGCATTTCTGGACGAGGCGGAGGAAGGAGTCGGCGTAGGGCCTGAACAGGAAGTTGTGCCGGGTGCTGAGGGTGACGAGGATGCGGGAGCAGCCGACTTTGCTGGGCAGGCCGACGGCGTTCTTGATGGCTGATTCAAGGTGAGATATGAGAGATTTTGTAGTTGATTCATCGAGAAGGTCAAGGCAGCGCTCGATGGATTCGGTGAGTGGACTAGCACGCACGCTAGCAAGACGCATACCGTCGAGCTTTTGCTCTGTGAGGTTATACTTGGCGGCGTTGAGATGAATATAATTGACTGCTTCAGGTTCAAGAGCACTTAAGAGACCAAGCAGTCGCTCCACAAGATCCGGGATGAAAGGTCGCAGCGTCTTCCCATTGCTCTTTTTGATGATCTGGAGCAAGGTGTGAAGTGCGAATGCTCGAACTTCTTCTGCACTGGACTCAAGACCCGACGTAGATAGGAGGAAGGGCAAGACTCGTTCGAGCATCGCGCTAGCATTCTTCGTGGAGGAATCGCCTGCTTCGAGACTTCGCGTGAGGATGCCGGTCAATACACGGGCAAGGGAGGCTGCTGCTGCCCGAACGGACTCTTTGATGTCGTCGAGGACCTTGAAACACTTATCCCATATCTGGTCAAGGTATTTCTCGTACTGGGCCTACGTTAGCAAGCGGTTGCGCAAATTCATAGAGATATGCGGTACCTTCTCGAGATCCCTTCCTTGGACTAGGTCAGCGACAGCTGCACAACAAGCTTGCCGAACACGCCATTCCTTTGTTAGAATGCTCTCTAGAAGGTCCGTCATGATAGCGTCAAAGTGTTTGTCAATAGTAGCCGAAGAATCTTTCACGAGAGCGTTCCAGATATCGGTCATGGAGCGTTGGACGTTCGGGTTGGGATCAAACCTAGAGTAAATTAGCACAAGTTCAAATGTAGCCAAAGAGCTTCCTACTTGTAACGGTAAAGCTTGGGATAAAGCTTGGGATTCTCTGCCAGGTAGCCGTCAACGCTAGAGTCAGAAAGAACATTGCTCAGACCAAATCGTCCAAAGGCAGCACGGCTCGACCAGATGGAGTTATTGGCAGCCAGCGACATGAATCTGTATACAAGACTAGAGTCTCCGACTTCTGACGCTAAACTCAGAATGTCCTTGTATGTTGTAATAGAACCATCTCCGGTTGGCAACGCTCCTGGCTCGAAGAGCTGTGTATCTGCGGTGACACTGCCAGCCATCTTGGACCTGTTATCCGAGAAAGAACCCACAAGATCCCGGACTAGGTCGTCTTTCAAGTCTCGATCTCCTTTCTCGTAAACGAGACCGAGACCTCTCGATGCAGCTTCCTGTACGACCTCATCTCTGTCCGAGAGGCACAGCTTGAAAGCTGTTTGGCATTCCGGCAGATGTTGCTGTATCTCCGGGCGATGACCACAGAACTGAAGAAGACATAGCAGCCATATCACAGATGCTTTCTTCAATGATGGCTTCGTATTACGACAGCCCAGCAATGTCTTTTGTAGAACTGTACTCAATGTTGTCTTCCTCTCTGGACTATGTGGTGTGTCCAGAGCGTTGTCCCATTGTTGCCGCTCCTGTGTAGGATTCTCAATGTCGACAGCGGCAGCTAGCGCTTTTGAGTCCCATCCGCATGCAAGACAGCTGTAAGCCTCTCCGACTGAGAACTGAGCTTCAGACTGCCGCACTTCATGAAGGCTGTAGAGTTTCTCTTCCACATAGTGGAGGTCTGACTTCTCTACGTTCTCTCCAGTCTTCTCTTCTGCTATCATGCCGAAATGCCCGAGGGCCAGAATAGCATTTGCTTTTCCAGATTTTGCAGTATCGTAGATTTTTTCGGCAACCTCAACGAACGGCATATATTCATTGACAATATCAGGTGTGAGGACTTGGAACAGGCTGAGCTGATCAATGCTGAGGTGGGAGGCTTCTTTCAGAGTGGTGTCTGTAGCACCTTTCAGCATGTCAAATAGCGTTCGAAGGTATGTCGAAAGCAGCTCTTTCGTCTCTTCGGTAGTTGATTGGCGCCACTGGAGTCTGCTGAAATAATAAGCCAGAGCTAGAGTTGCTCCGCTTGCCTTATTCAGGTCTCCGCCAACCGCTTCGTTCCAGGCTTGCATCTTGCCAAGCAGCATCGAGAGGGACGCTTGTCTTTCTTTTTTGTAGCAAGATTGGTGTGATACCAACAGTCCAAAGCCGTGAGATGCTGCGCCTCGTCTGGCAGAGTTGTTCGAAAGTATGGAAGGCTCAAGAGAGCGGAAGTCTGCTATTAGATCTGCCTGAGTCCAAATGTCGTCGGGGCATAACGAGCAAAGATCGATGAATGTATCTCCGAGCGGACCAACATCTGTAGTATCATCTTTGATAACTTCTTCGAACGCTGCTCTCAATACAATTGCAAGCGATGCCGAGTGCTTAGAGTCGCTGGTATAAGATCTCACTGCTTGGCGCGCGCGTTGGTCCGTTGATATTGTGATCTCTAGCTTCCTTTCCCACTCTGTAGAGATTTCTACTAAGATCTTTTTCTCTTCAAGCGACTTTTGCATCAGAACTTGGCAACAGAACTTAACGGCTGTTGGGAAAGCATCCCCGAATCGAGTCCTGAAGCCTTTTACACGATGTAGAGTTTGCGGTTCATCGCCCTCATCCATCTCAACATCGTCTGATTCGTGACGCTGATCGAAAATGTACTCCACAAGCTCGTCAAAATCAGGGAATGAGAACCGATCCATGACAGTGTTCTCCGAGACGATCTCTGATGAGACATCGGGTGTAGCATTTAGCATCCGATACCAATAAGGGTCCAGGCCCTTCTTTCCTTCCTCAACAACTTCATGCTTCTCCTTGTCCGCACCGCTTGTAGCTAGTATGTCAATCCACCTGGCGAGAACATCGTGATAAGGTAAGCATCGGTTGGCGAAGCGGGCTGCAGCGTAACGCGTACTCCTAAAGGACTTGCGAGCATCTGTGTAGTCGCCGGTCGGAGCTTGTGATTTGCTCGGGTGGTCCAGTAAAGTATACTTCAAGAGAATCTGCCTAAACTTGGGTCGTGTATCTTGATCCTCGAGAGGTTTAGTAAAAGCTCCCAGAACCGAAGACAGGGCTTCTTCGATGCTGACTGCAACGTCCTTTCCAGAGGTATCCTCTCTCAAAGACCGAAAAAGCCAGTCCAGTAAGCTGACTGTGGGTTCAATAAGAGTGCTTTCTGGCGCGGCCTTTGCGAGGAGCCCTATCGTCTCAAAGCCGTAACCGCGGAGCTCTAGGTCCTCATCCCTGTTTGGGGTAGGCCAGCCTTGATCCTCGATAAAGGACTTTAGGTTCTGAACAAGTCCTGGCGCTACCGTGGAGATATCCTTGCCGGCGCCATGGCGAGCAACAAAATTGACCAGCAAGAAGATTGCAGAGCGAAATTTGGAGGCTTCCCTACCAGTTGAACGGGGGGTGGTAATATCGTAGCTTGAAATGAGACCCTCTTCCACAATCTTGCTGATTTCTTTAGGAAATGTGGTTGAAGCAACAGACTTTGAGAGTAGCCCCAAGATCTTGATCTTCAGTGGAGTACCGACCGATGGGGGCCCGCCGGAAGTTGAACTGGCGTGTTGTTAGATATGCTACTGACAGGCGGCCCAAAAGCCCGAAGAAAGATATACATACGATCCGAAATACACATCTAATAAGTTCTGCACGATTTCACGGTCTTCTAGGTTTGTCACCGGCAATACCCGCTTGAGTATATCATCCCCAACGTCTGATATTCGGGAGTTTGTATCGGCAGAAGCAAAAAGTGCAGGTAAGAATCGCTCAGCGTCGGCAAACATGCCACTTGCCAAAAACTTCGAGGCAATAACCTTAGTTTCTGGAAGATTCAGTCCACCATCAGCTGTGGGATTCCACGCATCAGGTTTTCCTTGAACAGTGAGGAATTTGTATTCTTCAGCTGATACTCCAGGGCAGCTAACGTTGGCCGCTAGCTCTTCGCTTCGCTGTCTGACGATATTCAGTAGAATGAGCTTGCCGAACCAGAAAGACAGGAACTTGGTGTCCTCATCGTCAACGCCTAGAGTTTTCCGCAACTCGTCATCTTCTTTCCCACCTCTTGGGGGTAGTTTGAAGTAGCCGAGCAGGCGCAGAAGTAGGTGAAAAAGCTGTGATCCATGCTGAGGAGACTTTGAGTAGTCGACGGCAATGCCACGCGTCAGGATAGGGAGAAGTTCGAGTCGTTCAGCAATGGGCAGACGGGAGATACCCTGTTGAATGTACAGGAGATCGAAGTGGCGGATCAAGGGCACATCCGGGTTCTCTTTGAACTGCTTCAAGAGGGCTGCAACCGGAAGTTTTATGTGCCTGCAAAGATGTTAGATCCTTCCCTTCTCAGAAGCTGCAAGTATATCTGGTAGAGGAGCATACTGTGGCTTGATGCGTGTATTGACGTGTTGGCAAATAGAGATGACCTAGAAATGAAACCCGCCATCAGCGGCGCCCTTGTATCGTCTGAAAGTTGAAAGAGCATGCTGGCCGGCCATGGACCAGAAAAGTTCAGGATATGATGAAGCCTGTGAGAGTCGATGTTGCTTACCTTGTTCCTCACGCTCACATTTGGCGAAGCAAGCTTCAGCAACAGCGGAGCTAGGTAAGTCTTCAGTATTGCTTCCAGTCTCGCGTCTGTATCAGTCAGGGCTATGCGCATCTCAACCTTGCCGACCAAGGCAAGCTCCTTGGCCTCTGGCGAGTCCGGGTTTGGGGTTGAAGCCATTTTGGTGGCTGTAAAGCAGCTTTGACGCTCTGGTCAAGCGCAAAGAAGCCTGGGGCAAGGCACACACGAGAGAGAGGCTTCAAATTTCAAGTCATGGGCGCAGGCAGCGGTTGGTGGCGTGGATGATGATGAAGAGTGCCTGCCTTCGGAGTCGAATTCTGACCGGAAGAAGGGACGGTATAGGTGCAGAGTCCCCGGCAATCGACGACGGCGGGCTGATTACACTCTTCACTTGCCACCCGATTCAGTGCTGCTGCGTTCGTGTTTGTCCAGCGGCGCGTGCAATCAATTCACGTCGACGGTGGTCCCCTGCCGGTGCTTGGCTCGGGAGACCTCAGCGCCAGGCACCGCGGTGACGCGGGCACGGTGGCACGCCTTTGGGAACACTTGACGCTTTCACTCCCTCACTCCGCCACCTGTCGCCGCCTGATGCTAGGTGCACTCCTCCCATCACCGCTGCCGCCTATGTCGATGTCGATGTCGATGCCTTCACTGCCTGGCCCTTAGCTGACCGAGTTAGAGGGAGCCCACAAACGCCACCACCTAGGTAGCCTCGCAATCGACGCCTGCCCACGAAGCTGTCTGCTACCACCAGCGTTTCCAGACTGCGACTTCCACCTGACGACCGTCTGTCTCTCTTGAAAATCCGGTAATCCAACACGTACACCATCTATAACACAGGCCCCACCTGCACTCGACCGTCGAAACCCAACACGAGGGAGCTCAACAACCCCGCCAAGTCGGTGTCGCTGTGTCGACCGGCAATAACCCCACCACACAACCGCGACTGCCAGCTCCGAGACCTGCGTGTTAGTGGTCTGTGTCGAGGACTCATTCAACACCTCGGAGCATCACAGAACTCAATATGGACGGCCTCATTGCGGACTTCGTGAGCTTCACCCAGGCCAGTCCTGAGCGTGCAGCTCAGTATCTGCATCTTGCCGATAACAACCTCGAGCAAGCTGTAGAACTCTTCTTCGAAAGCCCAAATCTGGACCTGGGGACTACGGCTACAAGCCAGGAATCATCGAGCACAGCGCAACAGCCAGCAGCGACTACGACGAATGCATCTCGCCCAGATCTCATCAACCTCGACTCTGATGACGACATGATGGACTTTGGTGCCGATTCGGACAATCCCACTCCCGCACCCGCAGCATCGCACGCGGCCAATACTGCGGCGTCGGGATATGAGAGCGACGAGGCCATGGCCCGTCGGCTGCAAGAGGAGATGTATGGGGCAGGGGCTGCCACAGAAGATATCCGAGCACCTATGGCTAGGACAACAGAGACCCTCGTTGGCCCTGGCGCAACTTGGACTCCTGCAGATGATGATATGGATGCCATGGTTGCGGAACAGATGGCTGCTCGCCGACGCCCTGGTAGGCAACACAGCCGAATAGCTCATTCATATACTAACAACACAGGACGACCTGGAATCTTCAACCAGCGACCAATCCAGCCCTCAGTCTGGGATCACGATAGCGGCGATCCAACAGCACGCCGACGTGACCTATCTCTAGCCACGGCTGGCGCTTCAGATTCCTCAACAAAATCGAGTCTGTTAGCTGAGATGTACCGCCCACCTTTCGAGCTGATGTGTCAACTGCCGTGGGACGATGCACGAGACCAGGGCAAAGACAGCGAGAAGTGGCTTCTGGTGAACATACAAGACCCGGCAATCTTCGATTGTCAAGTGCTCAATCGGGATATCTGGAAGAACGATCAGGTTAAAGACACGGTGAAGGAGAACTTTCTGTTCATGCAATATGCGAAGGACGACCACCGTGGCAACAAGTACATCCAGTACTACTTCCATGCCCGGGATAGCGGAGATGCGTATCCCCATATCGCGATTGTAGATCCTCGCACAGGCGAGCAGGTTAAGGTCTGGTCTGGGCCTCCAGTACCGAAACCTATGGACTTCCTCATGCAGCTTCATGAGTTCCTCGACCGCTACAGTCTGAAAGCCAACGCTCGCAATCCCGTGGCGAATCGCAAGCCGGAGCGCAAGAAGATGGACGTAGACCGGATGACAGAAGAGGAGATGTTAGAAATGGCTTTGCAGAACAGCATAGACAACGCCAAAGGCCCCAAGGACGATGATCCGGATGCACTGACCAAGGAACCGGGAGGCAAGGGCAAGGGCAAGGCTGTAGAGGACGACGGAACGGAACCAGCAGGACCTATTGCGTCAAATTCTGTGTTCTCGCAGATATCTACGACTAATCCGCATACTGAACCTCAGACGGGTCCCACTATTACTCGAATTCAGTTCAGGGACTCTAACGGCAAGAGGCAGGTTCGCCGATTCGACGTTTCTGATCCTGTTCGGAGATTATATGAGTGGCTCAAGGCAGCACCATGGGAAGAAGACAAGGCAGGTGTAGAGTTCGAGCTTATCTTCATGGGCAAGAACCTCATTGAAGGCTTGGACAAGACAATTCAGGAAGCAGGGCTGAAGAACGGTAGCGTCAACGTGGAGTTTGTTGGTCAATCTGATGAGTAGAGAGCTGCGTTTGGCGAGCATATCCGCGGCGTTTCTGGTGTGGCATAAAGAGCGTAAAGCTTTCAAGGACTCTCAACGGAGGTTAGCAATGGGATTCGTTGCTCTGATGAATGCATGATTGCGTGGACACGGGAGCGCGGTGCCCTTCGGGATTAGGGATTTGCATCACTAGATTGCTTGTCGATTTGTAGGCTATGCCACTAGCGATATCTTTGATATCCCGGCTTCAAACTATTATATATATCCCTAATACTCAAGTACCTAAGCAGACCAATGTTGACTGTCAAACGTACTCGTTTTACATGGATCGAGTATCGCGCTCGGGCCACCTGACATAAGTCTCGGCCTCATCGTACCAAACTTACCTCCTTCCACACAGCCAGTCTACAAATCATGATGGCAACCAACCCTTCGGCAGCTATGATATCCATGATTCCGTACGAATGTGTGCCCCTTGGTACACTATTACCTGTTCCACTTTCACAGCAGCCTGACGCTATCATCCCGCGCACAGAAGTCTTGGATTACTCTTGGAATAATTTACTCATGCACCCCAATCATCAAAACAGCAGTGACACTTGTGTGACTTTTCTTTCCATTCTTTGCTCGGCTACGCTCTCCTCAACGTCGATAACATGTCTTATCGAGGCCGCGGAGAAGCCAAAGACAACAGCCACGTGGACACCGAAGCTCAGGGAGATAGCGAGCACAGCCAGGATGTACCACAGACGGGCGGGTTTGCGCCGTTGCATCGGAAGCTGAAGAGCAGGCATCTGCAGATGATAGCCATTGGAGGTGTGTATTCTTTGCAAGCAGGCTTTTATCAGCACCAGCTCGTAGCTTTGTATGATAGACTCTGGATACTGACCAGATTGAACAGGCATTATCGGTCCAGGTCTTTTAGTAGGCTCGGGGAATGCCTTACATCTTGCCGGCCCGGCGGGCATCTTGATTAGCTTTTGCCTTGTCGGGCTTATCGTGCTCTTTTCTGTACTGTGACTACAACACATCCGGGAAAGCTTGCTTGTACCCCTATTTAGAGGAAATATGTCAGTGCTACAGACTGGATGCTAGCCTGCATCTGATACAGGCAGTCTTTGGGAGAGCTTGCAACTTTGATGCCAGTTAGTGGATCATTCACAGAATATGCTGCTCGCTTCGTAGATGAGGCACTGGCATTCGCCTTAGGCTGGGCTTACCGGTATCTCTGGGTCACATTTGTCTCACTCTCTGCCTCATGCCAAAAGCTACTAAGTGAAAAGGGTCCTGGCGAATGAATATAATGCAATATCTCTCGTAGTCATGTACTGGACTGAAGTCGTCCCCCAATGGGCCTGGATACTGATCTTCTGGCTCATCTTCTTGAGCTTCTCCGCGCTCGGAGTACTGGCCTATGGAGAACTTGAATTTTGGTTGTCTTTGTGAGTTCTCTGACCTTCTAGTCGATCTCCTGGCAAGCCATGAGCTAACAGCTACTAGAATCAAGGTTCTTTCTCTGTCAGTCTTCTTCATCCTCGCTATCGCTATCTCGACGGGTGGCATAGGCCCGCAAAATATTGGCTTCAAGTATTGGCACGACCCTGGCGCTTTCGCGGACGGCATCAACGGTGTTGCAAAAACATTTGTGATAGCCGGAACATTGTATGCAGGAACTGAAATGTAAGTACTGTACCTGATTCGCAACATGTGTCGGAGACTAATCAGGTTCAGGGTCGGCATCACTGCTGGCGAATCATCGAATCCTCAAACGGCTGTTCCTCGAGCTATCCGGCAAGTGTTCTGGCGTATTCTGATCTTTTATGTCGGGACGATGTTCTTCATCGGGATTCTCATCCCGTACGACGATAAGAGGCTTCTCGCGTCCGGGTCTGGTACAGCAAGATCGCCGTTGACGATTGCACTTGCGGACGCTCGGATTGCTCCTGCGGCGCACTTGATCAACGCTCTTATTGTCATATCTGTCCTGTCGGCCGGAAACTCCTCGCTTTACGTTGCGTCCAGGACGATTACGCACATGGCTCGGAACGGCATGGCGCCAAAGATTCTCGGTAAAGTTAACAGCAAAGGAGTGCCTTGGGTCGCGTTGCTATTTACCAACATATTCGCTTGTATCGCTTTTCTCTCGCAATCAGCTAGTGCAGGAAAGCTGTACTCTGCGTTGATTACACTGTCTGGCGGTATGGCCTCAACTTTCTCCTGCAGATATATATCTCCGCTGATATGTCGTAGTTGCGACTTTCATTGTTTGGGGTACGATCGAACTCGTCCACATCCGGTTCCGCAAGGCTTTAGAAGTACAGGGCCAGAGCGTGGACGACTTGCCGTTCAAAGCGCGATGGTATCCATGGTGCACCTATACCTGTTTAGCTGCCAACGTATTCTTAATCTTTTTCCAAGGTACGAGCTGGATACAAGTCACGGGTATCACTACTTACAGGGGTTTCTAGGCTATACGGCATTCTTAAAACCGTTTAACTCTACCGACTTTGTCGTCAATTACGTACTCCTTCCAGTCTTTCTTCTTTTCTACGTGGTTTGGAAGTTCTGGCACAAGACAAAGCTTGTTAAGCTCTCTGAGATCGACATCTGGAGCGGACGTCGAGATGCCGTCGCGGAGGATGCAGACAAACCGAAGCCGTCAGCCCTCCATCACATTAAAAACGTCGTTATTGGGTAGAAATACATCGCGGACGCTCTGTGAGTAAGTATACACAGAGCTGTAGAAAGGAAATTGCTTATGGAGCAGCGGAGCAACCCGTCTCCGCAGCGGAGGAACCTGTTCCTTTCACGCTGGACGCGATTTGCCATACTTAATTACCTTGTCGACGCCACTTTGCACCCCAATCGTGAAGACAAGTGATGCTTGCTTTCTGGTGCAGCTTTTACTGCTTCATGATAGGTCCATGCAGGCATTTCTCCGCGTCTGAGGCGTTGCCAAGAAAGCTTCTCGTATTTCATTCAGCTGGTCCAGGCTCAAGCTTCCCAAACACTCTATGCAATTCAGAGGCCTTATCGGAATGATCTCTATTTTTGATGGCTGCCTTGCAGCCACGCCTTGTGTTCAAGAGACGACCATGTGAAGTGTGCCGTTGGCGTGCTTTCGTGCTCCTGCGTATAAGATGGCTGGCTTACCGCTCTCCGCCAGCCTTGTTGTTCATCTTTCATTAAAGCAGCAGGCTTTTGAGGTATTTCTGTTGTCTTTGAAAGCCGAAGTTCTAAGCTGTGCTTGCCTGCCATGCATACCCCTTGTCTCTCGGGTCTGATCCGACTCCAAGTCTTTCTCATTACCACCGCTCTCCTCCAAACTACCCTCGCCGACCACGGCCGCCGTCCCGTAGTCACTCCAGCAGCCCTCTTCGCCCCAAAGCGACAAGCGGAAACATGCGTCGAAGCAACCGACACCATTTGCGCCGACGGCCTGGGGTGCTGTCCCATGGGCACGTCCAAGTCCACTCCCACCACCACCACACCAACCCCCTAAATACTAACTCCTCAAACCCAACAGGTGAGCCGTGCACTTACACCAGCGCCACCATCCCCATCTGTGCCGGCAGCTGCGACGCGGCCTCCGTCTACTGCGCCGGCGCCTACTCCAAGGTCTGCTGCGAGGCCGGCAGCTCGTGCGACTACGCCAGCTCCGGCCTCTGCACGGCACAGGCGTTCCAGTTCTCGAGCTTCTCGGCGCCCAGCATCATCGTGCCGTCGCTGACGGTGCCGAGCGTCGCGTCTGCTTCGCTCTCGCTCCCGTCGGTGCCCTCGTTCACGCCGTTTGCCCCGACGGCGACGAACCCGGCCACGTTTACGGAGGAAACGCCTGCGGCGACGTCGGAGAGCACGGTGGGGGAGGCGAGCGTGGTCGTGGTGACGGTTACGGGGAATACAGGGACGAGTGCGGCGGCGATAACGAGTGATTCGATGGGAGTGGCGCAGTCGACGGGAGTGGCGCCAGATGGGCCGAGGGGGTTGGGGAAGGGGTTGCTGGAGGTCGTGGTTGGGGGGGTGGGATTGCTGGTTGGTTTGTAGGGAGGCTGAAAGGAGCTGTGGGTGGAATTGATGTATCCTTCTCTATTTCTATGATCTTTTGGTGAGATGATGCTCGAGAGGTTGTTGTCCGTGGTTTTTGACAAGCTTCCGCGTACTGAATTTGATAAGTCATATTTTGAGAGATTGATATGAGTACTCATTAGTGAGAAGACGAGTTGAAAGACGTGAAAAAGAAGAAAGTGTTTTGGATGGCTCTGTCTCGCCTGTTCATGTGATACTGCCCTTTTAAACCTTGAAGTAGTCTACTGGGTATTCAGCAATCAGTAGTCGCTGTAAGAAGGCATGGAAATTCTCAATCAACCCGCAAGCCACAAACTCCCTCTAATACTCATCATAATCCATAACTCATGCTTCAAGATGACCATGCCCTCAAACCCTTCAGAAGCAAACCACGATCATCCCCTATACTTCCCATCATCCCGCTCTGCATCATACTCACGCCTCCGCAAGCAAGCTCAAATAAATCCCCCACAACACCCCTACCAAACTCCCCACCACCACCCGCTTCTCAACAGGAATCCACATGAAGCTCACCACCGAGAACAGCGGCCACAGCTTATACCCATCCAACAAAAGCGGCCAGAACTTATTTCGCACCTCAGCCGACGCGCTCTCCACAGCCGCTTCCCCACTCGCGTTGAGGTAGCCCATGAACGCGAGGAAGAGCACCGTGTTCACGGCTGCGCTGACGGTTTGGTCGAGCGCTAGCTTCTTGGCTACATTGGCGAGGCTAATCGGCTGGGTCTTGGGCGGTGGTGGAGGCGGTTTCTCGGTAGCTTTTGGAGGTGGTGGTGCGAGAGGCTGGGTGGGGAAGGTGTCTTCGAGGTAGGCTTGCCAGAGGCAGTTTGGGGGCGTGTTGAGGAAGGTGTAGAGGGCGAATTTGAGGATTGGGGTGGGGTTGAGGTGGAGGGTTTGCTGGAGGGTGGCTTAGTAGGGTAACGAGGAGGGGAGAACGGGGGGAGATGCTCGTACGTTTGTGCGGTATGCGGAGAGGGCTTGCGCGAGGATATTGGAGGTTGCGCTGAGGATTGTTGCCTGTATGGTTTGGGAGAATATCTGGGGCGCCATGGTTGCTGATATGGAAGTGAAGAGATGGATCGAGGTTTTATGGCTCTGGTCCAGGTTTTGTAGAGAGACGCTGGGTCGGATCTCGGGGTTTCAGTTCAGGATATCATAGTATTACTGGTGACACAAGAGTCCAGCTCCAAATGGGGTGCCAGCACCCAGTGTTTATCAAGGAAGGACGTGACCCGACGTGTATCCAGTCATGGTGGATGATTACATCTGTGGACGTGATGTCAGTAGATAGCTTTTGAAAGGCATCGCCAATTCCTCCCCTCGAACCAGAACAACACTAGGGTCATATCCCACGGGCCATGCTTACCTCCCTGTCGCTCACAATTATAAACCACCGTACCTGGCGAGCGAGCGAGCGAGCGAGCTACATCGTCTCACATCCTACATAAAGTACCTCCCTCCACTGCGTAAACGGAACTTCACTTTTTCGCAGAATTGACGTCGTTGTTAGAACTATAAGAAGGCTAGAGTCCCAGGGCCTCCTGTGCTCCCTTGCCGTTCCAATCACGTACTGTCAAATCAGCCACCTTACGATATCCCTTCCACCTGAAGCAAGTTTGTATATGATACTGAAGTGCTGGCAAGATCCTTAAATAACTCAGGCCTTTCCATTTGATCATGAAAAATCTTACATTCAAGGCCTATCGCCAGCCATCCAAAAGTACGTTCTTTTGTTCCGGATGCTATCCCAACTTCTGCACATCCCTTTGATATTTTGAATGACCATACACTGCAAAAATCTTTCATTGAATCTGTCAGCTCGAGATATGTGTATAGCTCAATTGAACCACGTTTAAACAGGCAAAGACAAAGAGCAGCCACAGCAAGATGCGGCCGCAGATCCCCAGCAGAGCTCCTATCTGAAGCGCCGAGAGCAAGTTCGAAAAGCACAACGGTATGTTAGAAGCACTAGAAGCGGCATGGCGTGTCTATCTGATCACTGCCGTGTTGCTTAGAACCCACCGTGAACGAAAAGAGGCATACATCAAATCCTTGGAGAGTGAGGTTCTTCAACTCCGCACCAACGAAACGAAGATCATGCAAGAAACGATGGGTCTTTATAAGGAAATTGGACGACTTCAGAAGCTGCTGGCCCAGAACGGGATTGAAGCCTCACCCTCGCAATATGTCCAAACCGCCCCTTCGAGTTCAGGGGACGATGTCCCGACCACATCGGTTCTCAGCGTTCGACGAAACCGTAAATTGGATCAAATTCACGTAGGGGGTAGTGATTCTCAGACTGGAACTGACGACTTCTTCCTTTCTGGGGATAGTTCTAGCGCGCCAAACAGTCGCTGGAAGAATTTCTTCGGGAAGAAACCCAGTCAAGGGTCTGACGGAGGTAGTTCTCAAGGTCAAAGTAAGTACAGCATAACAAGCTAGAACTGCCTTTCATTGCAGATCTACGTCAAGTACGATATGCTAAGACTCGTTGTAGCATCCAACCCAGCAATAAGTCCTGACGCCGGAGTCGAAGAAGCCCCTATAGCCTCCGCAGGCATCGCCCAAATGGACCTCGCAAACGTAGGGATGGAATTCGTGCTGACGTAAGTCCGCCTCGATAGCTTTTAACTGACTCCCTCCTCATAAATGAACTGCTGCTCATACCCCAGATTAGTCTAGAAAGCCCCTGTCTCCACCACACCCAAGGCAATCCAAAGGAACCGCACGCTCCATCCGGCCACGCTTTAACAGTTTCCGCTCCTCTGCTCTTCCAAGCACCTTCAGCCTCCACATCGCAGCTCCCGTCATCGAACTGGGAGGCGCCAAAGCTAGGCCTGGAAAGGCTGTTGGAGCTCTCTTCGAATATAGAATTGGGCGACGACGAGATGACGCCTGTGCAAGCATGGAATTACATCCGGAATCATGATGCTTTTACGCAGATAGACGTGCAATCACTGAGGAAGTTGACGCAGGATTTGCTGGGGGTGGTTAAGTGTTATGGGTTTGGTGCTGTTATCGAGAAAACTGTGTTGGAGAATATGGTTTTTGATTCTTTCGTGGTTGGAAGGGTGTTTTCAAGCTCGATCTAGTGAGCATGTGCTATGGCTTGAAGGGTCGTAGCAGCATGCTGGCGTTGGTACATTCGTAGAATATACCAATAAGAAATGATACAAAGGAAAACTACAGCTTATTTGAAGCAAAGATCGCTGGCGAATCCTATGAGTACCGCCTATGCAGTATCAAGACATAAGTTTGGGCACTCCCTGCAACTGCTTGGGGTACCTCGAGAGGCTCTTAAAACTCTAAATACGATGGGAAGGCCAACGTAGTGGAGATTGGACTACCTTTTGACGGAGCTAGTATTTACTAGCTGATGTACTCCTTACAGTGGTATGGAGTGAGCAAGAGTGGGGCCGGAGCAGTGATTTATCTGTGTGCCCAAACTTGTGACCTAGTTCTATGCTAAGTCGTGAGTACTCGAACAGGATTGTCTCCTGCGTGAATCTTCCTCAAGAACCACTAGTTTTGCGCCAGAGGTTTGAGAACACGTGCGAGAATGAAGATCGAAAGGCGATTAGGGCAAAATTAGGATACTATTGGCCCCCCATGTGCGCTGAATGATGAAAGTGAGACGTGAGAATTTAGAGATTGCGGCGTGATGATGAAGCTGGAGAAGTGAAAATTCAACGTGCAGGGCAAGCTATGCTAGAACCGCTCAACTTCGTCTTCCTGAACGAATCGCTGTACAACGTATACTTAGGTTGACTCAACCATGATTGGGGTCAGATTAGTTCAGCGCCCTCGTCGCTCTTGCCTAGACTCTCAGCTCACGTCTACCTGAGCAACCGGAACTGCTTGAGAACCCCCTGAACGCGCCTGACCGCCCGCTAACTACTTCCTGAGCCTGCAGGGAGAGCCTACTCTTCATGAGTTGGTATTATGAACACGATCTTCACCTAAGGCGGCGGAGGTGACGTCGGTACAATGCGGTCCTAAGGCCTTGCCTAAGAATAAGCAAGTGGGGAACACAGATAGCCTTAGTATTGTAACAGGTGTGTGCAGCACACAAGTACCTGTCGTTGTATTTATCATAAAGAAACCTAGCAACAAGCAGTAAAGTACGAATGAGAGAGAGCAAAAGAGGAAATCGTCCTGCCTGTGTACCAATTGTTCCTTCACGTAATCTGGTCTTGTTATGTTTTGCTCTTAGGGAGCGAACATACCCGGCGAAGTCGGCAAGCCACTGGTGCCCTTGTCCTCATCTTGAACACGTGTATCATGCCGCATTGGAAATACATCCCCATATTTTCTACACCTGCCAGCTTCAATATCTTTTCCTCCAAGCAGCTGTCCGAAAAGAGTCAGAGCAAAGACAGTAGCGATCATGACTGTGATGAACACGGCCAGATCGCCAATTCTAGTAGGCCCTGAGGCCAGATCAATGTTTTCGGACATTGCAGATCCGAGACACACACCGAAACCGACGATGAAAAGCGTGATTGCGATGCTTAGCAACTCGAAGGGTACCTGAAGCAGCTGGTGGGACAGCATGGAGCTTTGGATGACACGATCTTTTTCGGAATTGGTGTAGCAGATGCCATTGGAGAGCCATAGGCGTATGGCAGAAGGGCTTTCCATGAAGCCGTAAGTGCGGTATTGTAAGCACGTAAAATACACTGCGAGGAGGCTTATGATGACGGTGGCACTAAGCAAGGTGTGGGCTGAGTAATGGACTTGTTGTATAAATGGTAATTGAAGCGCCGTCATAGCCGCTTGGGTAACAAGCGCACCCTAAGGATATCTAGTCAGCTATGTATATGCGAAAGATTCATGTTGACTTCGACGTACGATCAAGGCGATCATCTGAAATTCTGAGAGTTGAGACCGGCGGAAAGCTAGGATCTTCTCATCGCTTCCGGTGTTTATTAAGGCCTCAACTACCTCGAAGTCTGAGATATCGAACAACAGCCACGGCCTCCACTTGTATCCCTTTCCATAGCGAGCTTCTGCGTAAGGGGTCTTGGGCCATGGGCTGGAGAACCCGTTCCATACGTAACGGGTGATTAGGGGCAGACGCCCCATCATCCGAGCTGGAGCTCCGATTATTGCGAATATTTCGACAACCAGCTCACTTGTGTCAGGCATGACGTGGAAAGGTAGATTCTATTGACAGAAATAGTTAGTGAGAACTAGACCATATAGTACGGTAAAAGAGTCGTGAGGACACGATCTTTCCAGCCTTGTTTTTGGCCCCCATCTCCACGCTGGCGGTTGACGAGGTGGTACAAAAGAATCCTGGGAGCAACACCAAACACGTCTTACAGTGCGTGAACATCTCGTTTTCTTAGCACGAATACTTCTCCGGTTATACCCATCTGCACCACATATTCAGTGACAACGTCGGCATCAACTACAGCTACAACAAGAATGCCGAACAAGAAGAACTTTGTATGGGTCCCAGTGGCAGTCGCTCTCGGTTGTTCGATGTCCAGCTGAATAGAAGGAGTTCAATGAATTTATTGTAGACAAAGACTTGACAAGTATTACAAATGTAGGATAGATTTGGTCCCCTAAGTGCGCTGAACGATGAGGTTGGGCTGTGAAAGTGTATGTAGAGATTACGTTGCGGGAGACGCAGCGGAGCAGTCCAAGCGGAGGCCAAGTTGTGCCGAGACCTTGAACCCCTCTCCTGAATCTCTCTACCTCCTAACGAAGCGCTGTACACCACACACTCGAACTCTACAAGACGCCGCGGCTAGGCGCCTCCCATACTTAGATGCCCATATTGATTGGTATGCCTACGAAGGTGAACGTGGCGTTCGCAAGGCGATGCAATGAGGCTCAAGCGGCGTAGTGCTCTAGGTGGCGGAGCATGTAGGGAACCGTTCAGCCAATCGTTCATGAAACATCTTGCAGCGCATGAAGATGTCGTTCTTCTGAGCGTCTATACCAGTTCCTTGGGCTCGAGTAGGTAGCCTCAGGAAAGGGCCAGGCAGTGTTCGTACCAACCTTGCCACACTACCTTCCCCTACCCAAGTGCACCGCCGCTCTATGTTACTGCACCAAAGCCCACACTTGTTGGTATAGCGCCAGTCCTACGGTTTCGGCCAGTCTGCTGCGGAAAGGCTCAGAGCCCCTGAGTCGTCGAAGGCTTTCCGATTCATCCGACGAAGCCCTCGCCGCATGATGAGTGTTGCCTATTTACCTACATGCTTTCAACCTGACGTGGATTGCTTAATATTGATGGTATATAAATCTTCCTACAATCTCGCAAGTAGTAATCCAAACTTCTTTGTTCACCTCTCTTGCCAGTAAAAGCTAGAAGTCTGTTTCCAATTCTCGTCACTATCTGTATCATTCTTTTGTGTAAGAAGCTTTGCAGAACAAACGTGACGGCTAGATGATTGATAGTTCGTATGGTACCCCTCTCGCCGACAGTTATATTCCGAGATTCTCAAGCTTCAAATTCTGACCACAACTGCGACAGGTCCCGATCAGGAACACCGGCTCATGAGATGGCTGGTACAAGTTCGTCCCACATCGTGGATCCGGGAGCGGTCTCCACGAAGTCGCTAGACACGCTTCAGAGCGACGCACAGCGGAAGCTCCTGGATGTCGTCGACAAGTTCAGGCGCGATGGCCTAGGGGAAATCTTAAAGTTGCCCCAAATCGTCGTTTGTAAGACTCTTAGCCACTAATATCAAATATACTCATTTTAATCTCGAAGCACAGGCGGAAATCAGAGCTCAGGAAAAAGTTCGGTGCTAGAAGCGATCACGGAGATTCCGTTTCCGCGCAAAGAGAATCTGTGCACGCGGTTTGCTACCGAGATAGTGCTCCGTCGCGATGCCACGTCTTCGATATCGACAACGATCAACCCCGACAAAAATCGACCAGATGTCGAGAAAGAGATCCTAAAGAAGTTTGGCAAAGTAATTCATGACTTTTCTGAACTGCCTGATCTTATGGATGAGGCGACAAAGATGATGGGCCTTGGAGAGATTGGTGGTCCAGACTCTCGCGCGTTTTCTAGGGACGTTTTGAGAGTCGAGATTTGCGGACCTGATAGGCCACAACTGTAAGTGCCCAATGTGAATATGTAGTTTTCATTGCTAAACGGCGTACTCAGCACCTTGATTGATTTGCCTGGACTCATACAATCGACGAACAAGTCTCAAACCAAGGAAGACGTTGTACTTATTCGAAATATGGTCCGAGAATACATTTCTAATGAGCTCACTATCATTCTTGCCGTTGTTTCGGCAAAGGATGATTTCGCAAACCAGGGCATCTTGGAACGATGTCGCGAGGTTGATAGCAACGGCAGTCGAACCCTTGGCATCATCACGAAACCTGACTTCATCCGTGTAGGCTCGGATAACGAGAAGAATTGGTTTGAGCTTGCTCAGAATCGGGATATCTATTTCGAACTCGGCTGGCACATACTGAGGAACCGTGATGATGGAGAGTTGGACACCTCGTTCGAGCAGCGCAATGCTTCTGAAGAAGCATTCTTTGCTGAAGGCAAATACCAAGAGCTGCCTCGGAGCATGGTTGGAATCAGTTCGTTGAAGACGCGATTGAGCCAACTTCTCCACAATCACCTGAAGAAAGAGCTCCCAGGCTTGAAGAAAGAGCTGGACGACAAATTAAAGGATGTGACAGAGGATTTGGATCGTTTGGGGAAAAAACGGGATACTCTCCCAGAGCAGCGACTATTCTTGACGAATATCAGTACTGCGGCTTACGATCTGCTCAGATCGGCTGTCACGGGAAACTATGCCGACCAGTTCTTCAGTGCTAATATGAATGCCGCCATCGACGCCCCCGAGAACATACGTCGCCTCCGAGCTGTCATACAGCATCTCAACATTCAATTCGCGGCTAAGATGCGTAAGGTTGGCAGCAAATATCGCATTGGATCTCCTCGAAATGGGGGTTCACATAGCATGGATGTTGAGATCGACAGCGAAGACGAAGAGGGTGGAAATAAGACAAATACAGTATCTGAGGATGAGGCAGACGATACAGACACAGACTCGATACACGACGATACTTCTGGCAGCATTAGCGCCCCACTCCAGAAGAACCTAAGTCGACAAGCTGCGGTTTCCTGGGTTCTTCAAGTCTTGCAACGTTCTCGAGGCTCCGAGTTACCCGGTAACTTCAACCCAATGCTCATCAGTCAGCTCTTCTGGGAGCAATCTGAACGTTGGGAGATGCTGGCTATGAAGCACATCGAGCGTGTCGCTAGTGTTTGCGACGAGTTTGTTCGTAATGTGTTGCAGCACGCCGCCACCCCCGAGATTGTGGCGCGACTTCTCGAACTGCGAGTTGAGGCAGCGCTAGCGTCTTCCTTGAAAGCAAGTAAAGAGGAGCTTCAGAAGATAATCATTGACAAGGCTAGCCACCCAATGACGTACAATCACTACTACACTACGACTATCCAGAAAATGCGCCAAGAAAAGTATAGCAGGAAATTGATGCAAATGACAAATGATGCCAAGGTGTCTGTGGACAGGAAGACCTGGGAAGCTGGGCCGGGCTATTCGAGAGTGACGTACATTGATCCGAACATACTGCGAAACAATATCGACAGATCTATCGAGCTGGATATGGATAAATTCTCAGCAGAGGAAGCGCTTGATAGCCAGATTGCTTACTACAAGGTAAAACTCGCAATCATCGAATCTGACCAGGTCGCTTTGAAGCGGATAGCTAACTTCAATAGGACGAACTCAAATACTTCATTGCCGCCATCACCAAGCAGGTCATCGAGCGCCACCTGGTTTCCACTCTTCCACTTAATATTCTCTCTCCGTCCGTTGTAGTCGAGCTTTCAGATGAGGACATCAGCTATATTGCTGCGGAGCCTGCAGAAATCACCCACCGACGGGCCTACCTAGAAACCCGAAAAGCGACGTTGGAGAAGGGCATCACGACGTTCCGACGTGCGATTGGAGGGCGATAGATGGGCATTGCTGGAATACTAGGATTGAGGCGTCTTGGTGAAATGTTGGCGGAATTCCCTTCCTAATTTGCACCACTTTCCTGTTCCGAGGTATCTTGCGAATGCTACTGTCTTTTCTGTAACTTCTCTTGTCTCCAGACTTAGCTAGATCGGATTCAATCAAAGTAGCAGCCTGAAGCGGCTCTTTAGATTCCGTCTTCGTGAAATTAAATACGAGTTTTGCAATATTACAGTATCATGACATAATTTTGGGCGCTCCTTGCAACTGCTTGGGGTACCTTGACAGGCTTTGGGAATTCCGAATACGATGTAAAGCTTAGCGCAGTGGAAATTAGACTACCTTTCGACTAAATGAAGGCCCTTTACCCAGGGCACTCCTCACAGTGGTGTCGGGAGGGCAGGACCGAAGCCAGAGTAGTCACATATACATGTGCCGAGACTTATGACCTATTACTACTGTATGGCAGTCCTAGGTCAGAACTCGACACCACTGTGAGGGGCGGCCTAGCTAGTAAGTAGCTAGCTAGTCAAGAGGCAGCCTAGTTTGCACAGCTTGGACCTTGACATCATGCCCGGATTTTTGAGTTTCCATAGGGCACCCCAACAGTGGTAAATGCGTGTGCACACACTTATGACCTGCCACTATATTCGCATAAACGAATCATGCACTAATGCAGACCAACATGATGCTTTAAAATCTGTACCACCATCTAGAACCGATCGTTACAGTATTACTAAGGCCATATTAATAAAGTACTGCTGATAGATTGATATCAGTCACGTGACCTCAAGCTTAAGGTATTTTGGAAAGCGTTGGTCGGGGGGCATATCATCTCACCACGAACACCACCACGCCGTTCATCCCGCACGTCAGAGACCATGCTAGTTTCACTCACAGTTGGGAAAGTCGACGCCGGCGTTGCCGTGCTTCTGACCGAAGACAAACGCCTGGTAGGCTCTCTAATGCCCTTGACGCGCTCCCAGCGCTCCGCCGTAGCACCCCTCTTACACGCGAATAGATCGAATTTCCTTCTATTCTCCTCCCTCCAGACATTTCCTCCGGCTCGATTGTCGACATTACCGTCAGCCGCAACCACGAATCCGAGTCCCGCTCCGCCTCTGCCTTCCATAACCTCCAAAGCACGATATACCGCACCTTTGGCCAGAAGACACCTTCTCCCCCGGTGCTGCGCTGCCGAAACGCGACTCAGACCTCCGTTGTCCTAGAATGGGACCCTATCGACATCGCGACCGCTTCGCTGCGCGGCCTGACGCTCTACCGCAATGGCAGCAAGGCAGGCACGATTCCAAACCCCCGCGAGGTTCACAGCACGAAGTTGAGCGGCTTGGCGGTTGACACGGAGTACACATTCCACTTAGTCCTGAGGACGAGCGCAGGAACATATTCGAGCGAGAAGCTGAAGGTCATGACGCACAAGATGACAGAGCTGTCGGGTATCACGATCACACCAGGCCAGATGCCTGCTGCGTTGCGCGAGTCGCTGAACGCGACAGTGCAGCGGATTGGCGCAAAGATTGTGGATACAGTTCGAATCGACACGACGCACTTTATCTGCACAGATGGTAGAGGTCAGGCTTGGGAGAAGGCAGTGGAGAACAACATCCCGGTGGTTGTTCCGGACTGGATCAAGGGGTGCGAGCGCGAGGGCAGGCTGGTGGGAGTGAGAGGATACTATCTGAATGCAGACCCGAGGCTGAGGCAGGTCGGCCCTGGCGTGGGCGCACCACAGCAGCAGCTCAGAAGCCCACAGCAACCTCAGCCCAGTCCAACTACCCAGGTCACACCGCCTACTCCTGAAAGGGCGACTGCGAGTCAAAGGGGCTCTATTGCGAGCGATGTACGACAAAGCGGTAGCGAAGAAGACACACCACCGCCCCCGCCACCGAAGTTTGACCCCGAAACGGAGAAGGTCTCGAATGAGGCCTCTGAACCTAAGACAGCAACGGATGAGCAAAAAGTCCGCACTTCAGATCTCAAACCGTCAAGTCCTAGCGTGGAGGATGAGGAGGAGAGCTCTGAAGAAGAGGAGGACGAGGGCGGTGATGAGAAAGCTGTGGAAGCCGGTTTGCCCGTGAGGGAAAAGCAAGGGGAAGGCAGTAAGACACCAGAGGACGACAAAGCGAGTTTCCACGATGTGAGCCTGTGATCGAAGTGCTTGTGGACGAGCCGTCATTACAAATTGGTTGTTATTATCTCGAAGGAAGTTTGGCTTCTCATTTGGTAGTAGCGAGATATCCACCAGCGATGGGGTTCAGGGGTCGGGGTTTAGAAAAAGGTGATGTTCTGCTTTTAAGCGTGCTCGCTAAGTTTCAATGTACAAATAGGTCTATCAACACGATTGTAATAATCTGCAGGATGCTCGGCGAGAAATGAGCCCAGACTTGCGCATTCTCCGTGAGACTACTGACATGTCCTAAGCTGGACAGTCCGGTCAACGGTCCTGCCAACAGTCCGGCCTCCTATCAAGCCGTCGTAGGTGGTTCAATACTGTGTTTTCGCTTCCAATTGTCATCTGCCTGTCGCTTGGGGCTGTTGGACTCGAAAAAAGCTCTCGTGAGGAGAAGGAAGATTGACCACCCCTAGAAGCTGACTCGGGAGACAGTCCAGAGCTTTTCCTGAAGTTAGCCATCTCTCTCTTCATCGACTCGATCTATTCCGGCGCAAGGACTGCATCAGCGTTGATTCTTCGTGGCACGGCAGTAATGTATCCCCTCGGAGCCTCCGATTTGTCTCGCGCAGCTACCCCACCACTTTCAACATATTCAAGAAGAAAACGACAATGTTGAAGTGAAGACGCGTTTTCGATGAGGTCAAAAGAAGATATCCAAGTCAGCAGGGATGGACTGCACGCTGGTCCCCACTTGGCGCTTTATACCCGATCAAGGCAGCAAGTCCAGTTCCTCTTCTCGATAACTGTACGATAACAGCGATGCGCGCCGACTACTCGTCCATGAGCAATCAATACTAGGAAATAGCAGCGTTAGTAAGTTCAGTCGACCAGGGTGAAGTGATACAGAGAACCTGGACATCCTCGCCGCATGTGCGATGCGGACTCTGTGTCACGACTTTGCACACCCCGACAATCGGAGGGGTTCCAGTGGACAACCGGGGCCAGACGCGCCCTCGTGCATCTTGGATATGCTGAATCCAGCAAATACTTCCCTCTGCCACACGCATTCTTTCCTTCTTCGAGGCACTCGTTGGCACGGAGGGGCATGATGGCGGGGTATCCGTTAAGCTGGCAGCTTGCTGCGCTGCTGATGCTGACTAGTCTTAGAGGGGTGCTAGAAGGCTGGATACGCTATATAACTTGAGATAGGGCATGCTGCACAGCTGCAAGTCATCCAGCTTCCCTTTACCAATTGCAGCCCGACGTGCCACACCTTTCCACCTCTTCAACAGGCCTCTTATCTTGTGTTGAAAGCTTCACTGTGTAGCTGTCTCTTCTTAGCTGCTGATCTCAAGGAAGATATACTATTTATATGTGAGTTCCCTCGAGATTTCTCTCATTTGATCTTCATAAGCGTGTCTACCATTATACTCTCTTCGCTGTCATACTCGTTGACACTCATTCACACTCGATATCTCTCGCTGACACGATGGGAAACTTCATTAGCAAAGTCAAATCCACCACCTCCTCCCCCAAACCCGCCAAAACTGAAAAGATGTCTGCACCCGTCGCCTTGACCTACTTCCCTAAGGCACAATCGACCTTCAAGCCACCACTCATCGCCAACGAGAACGCTTTCCTTGGCGACGTTGCGAGCAGGTACGCTTCCCCTCATCCCATACCCACCTCATACACATGCCTGCCTTTCATTCATCCTTTCCCAATTAGCATACCAAGCACCAGCTAACCCTACTCTCCCCGCAGCGAGAAGATCGACCCGGAAAAGCCCATCTCGTGCGGCTTCTACCGCCTCGAGAAGGGCACCCCCCTCGTCTACACCTACACATACCACGAGATGAAGATCATTGTCGAGGGCTCGTTCGATATCTCGGACGAGGCGGGCAATAAGGTGCACGCTGTTCCGGGGGATGTGTTTTACTTCCCCAAGGACGCTAAAATCACTTTTACCACGGAGGATTATGGACTGGCGTTCTACACTGGCCAGCGTAAGGAGGGTGCTGCATAGAGGTAGAATATGAGATGTTGTTTGGCGCAGGATTATTGAATTGGGTTGGGCTGAATTGAATTGGATTGCATTCTGGCAGGGATTTAGGGAATCAGATAAATGAATTGTTTAGCGTATGAATTGATTGAAGTGTCGTTTCGTGTGAAGCCTTATATGTGATGGGCAACTTACTGTTCATGATCAATGGCCTACATGGAGCTTCACCTGCTGAGCTAGAAGTTGTTCGAACATTCTTCATAAGCGGTGAGATTGATGTAGTAAGAAGTTTTAGATTAGTGTAGCAAAATACCCCACTACTGTTTATGGAATAAGACTTTGCACAGTTTAGAACCAAAACAAGAGTCCACATATTCTACAAGTACCGCTAAGGATGTACCAGGAAACGGGAAGACCTCCTACTCCTATAGCAGCCAAACGACTATAGATGCTCATCTGTCCAGCCAGTACCGCACCACTCGTCCGGATCAGCTTCCTTCTCCTACTATGCTGCCGCACCATGCATTCTCAATCGTGGAATCTCCGATTCTCGTTTTCTCCAAACAATGTGACTCGGATGGAAGGTAGAGCGTCCGTTTCTAGCAGCTTTAATCGCTCCTCTAGGGTGTTGTTGATGTCGATCCTGCCGCCGGTACCAACCACGAATACACCACCAGACCTGTAAAATGTTAGAGGTAATTGGGTGAGCGAGTCCGGCGTCACTTACGAGCCCTCGGGCAGCGGATCGCTCTCATCAATGCTTATGGCGACCTCCTTCTCCACATTCTTCTTGTACTCCTTCTGCGCATCAGGGATAGCCTTCTTAACAATGTCGTAGTCGGCCTTCCGCGCCTTGACCTCCACCTTGCTCTCGTTGAGCGCATACAGCCCCTCCAGAATCAGATTCGTCACGATCTTCTGGTACTTGGCCTTATCCTTGGTGTAGTCGGGGAGCTTCTTCCCCGCCTGCAGGAATAGGTCATCCAGCAGCTCCTGGCGGGCGCTCAGCACACGTAGCCGGGTCTTGTTTGCAACGGTGGAGCGGGTGATTTGCTGCGACATGGAGGCCTGCTTGAACTTCTTCTCGTAGGACGAGTCGATGGCGGCCGTCTCTTGGCGCACCAGCTTCGACTTCTCAATGGCGAACTCCTCGTCGGCCTTGAGGCGGATCTCGTTGGCCTTCTCGAGAGCTTCTTGCCGGATGAAGGCGGTCATCTTCTTCAGCTCGCCGGCGACCTGCAGGGCTTCTGGTCAGTGGGGGGAGCTTGGAGCTGGAGCTGCCTGGCTGCGGGCATTGGAGCTGTGCTGACCTGGTCGTCGGACATGGCGTGGACCTGCGACATGGTGGATGGCTAGGGGAGGTCGCAGTGCTCAGCTTGAGCTGTGGAGGTGCGGGTTGCCGGTAGAGGGGTGGTGATGGTGGAGGCTAGGTTGGAGGTCGAGCTCCGCTAGGAATCGTTAACGGCGATACGCGTGAAAAGCAAGTACTATTCGAGCTGCGAACAGCGGGCAGCGTTGCGGGCCGAGTAGATGTATGAATAATAGCTTCCCAACGTATACACGCCTCCAGCTAGACACCTATTAAACACCACTCCCTACGCCCTATTTTATATCGACTCTCGACTAACCAGCGACGTTCAACGACATCACCGCTGACCCTTGCCAAAGTGCTCGGCTGCCAACGACCCGTGCAACATCTCGTGAACTCCAGCTGCGTCACGGCAACACTCCAGTCCTCGCGCCGCCATTCTTCGCGCCCACCGCCACTCCAGAAGGACCCCAGGACACGCCTCACAGCATGCAACCGCCGTACAGGTAGCAATAGCTTGTGTGCGATCCCCGCCTCCGTTGCCTCCGCGCCAGATACAAGGGTAGCATGGTGGAGCTCTCCGCCGGCGCCAGCGTCGCTGTGAGTTGTGCAGTCTTTCTCTGCAAGTCAGTTAGAGAGAGGATAGAACAAGTGCTGACCCTTCGTCCTGTCAGCTTGGAGTGATTGTTGGACTGCTTTCCACCAGCGTTCAGAGCATCGGCTTGACTCTCCAGCGGAAATCGCACCTCCTGGAAGAAGAGAAAGAGGATGGACACGCAAGAAGACCACCTTACAGGCGGCGCAGATGGCAGGTTAGCTGTCCAGGACATATTTTTGGTGATCCGGGGGCCATGGCTAACGTGAATAGCTGGGAATGTTCATGTTCGTCGTCTCAAATCTGGTCGGGAGTACTATACAAATCACTACCCTACCGCTGCCGGTCCTTTCGACGTTACAAGCAGTATGTCACCTCTTCAACAAGCAATCACGTCACGGGAAGAGGGAATGTTGACAAAAAGCAGTCTGGACTCGTTTTCAACTCCATATGCGCATCATTAATACTCAGCGAACCGTTCACTCGATACTCCCTCGTCGGTACGATCCTGGTAGCCACTGGTGCGCTCCTGATAGGGATCTTCGGTGCACTCACGGAGCCTTCACACAATCTTGACCAGTTGCTGTCTCTCCTTGGGAGACGCCAATTCCTGCTCTGGATTGGGGGTACGGCATTCATAGTCATACTCATCATAATCGGCACCTGGGCCCTGCATCGTCTTTATCCCCGGCCGACACCACGAATACGCCTGGCGCGTGGCATGCTGTTTGGCTGCATCAGCGGTATTCTCTCTGCACACTCCCTCCTAGTTGCTAAGAGCGCCGTGGAACTGCTCGTTCGGACTATCGTGGACCGCCACAACGAGTTCAACCGGTGGCAATCATGGATGATTCTTCTTGGGCTGGTTGCGCTTGCTCTGTCACAGCTCTATTACATGCACCGTGGGTTGAAACTTTGCAGCACTAGCGTACTCTACCCGCTCGTATTCTGCATCTACAACATCATTGCGATCCTGGACGGTCTGATTTATTTCCATCAATCTTCGAGACTATCGGCATTACACGCTGGACTGATTGCCCTTGGAACCGTCATACTCCTCTCGGGAGTTCTAGCGTTGAGCTGGAGGCTGGATGAGTCTACACATGAGCCTGCTTCACCGACGATGCACATAAAATACAGGGGTCGTGTCCCAACGCCTCACAGTGCACTCACTCCTGGAATGGGCCTTATTCACCCGACCATGTCTGATGAAGAGAGTGGGGATGAAGAGGACGGCTTGCCAGACTTCCTGCAGTCTCCAAATATTGAACATCCATTTGATGAAGAAACCGGATTCTCGCCACCCAGAGCTAAATTCCCATCTGTAGAGGACCAGAAGCGCAAGCGCAGCGCAGATGAATCGACACCGCTCCTCCGCACAACGACATCCCCAGTATTTCCCCAAAATACTCAGTCTAAGAAGCGAAAATCGCTCACGAGAGCGAGCCCGAAACTGAGCCCTAGTATACGCCGCCCGACCGTCAGGCGGCGCCGGATGACTATATCGCAAGAAGCAGGCGAGATATGGGACGAATTGAACGACCGCGAGGATCCCAGGCACACCCCTTCCTTTAGGTCTGGGCGGAGATCTGCAGACCTCGAACGACCAAGACCACGATCAGGCACCTTACCTACACGACGGAGAGACACTAAGTGGGTAGATCAATTCCAGCGACGGTCGTGGTGGGAGGGCATGGGCTTCGGGGGTTCCCGCGAGTCTCTCGGAAAGGGCCCAGAGATCGGAGAGAGCTCGGGTACCGCACAGGAGCATGCGGATGAAGGGGACGAGACCGATGCCAGCATAGCGACATCTGGGCTACTAAGCCCAGACAGGAAACCCGCGAGTACTGCATGGGGGTTTGGAGATCAGAGGAGGAGGTCTCGGCAGCAGGACGGACTCGGGGACTGGTTCAAACTGGAATGGTGGAGAAAGAGGTGGCGAGAGGATGGTCATGAACCGAGGGATAATACGGAGGAGGACAGAGAAGGCGATGGAGAGGGGAGAGTATGATTTGTATTGATACCATATGCGCCGGAAATTGGAATACCATGACTCACATTATCCCTTTGTGTTTTGATATTGCGCTAACATTTCCAATAGAGCTTTGACATGATGTACGGTTAGTGTGGTATGCATATGGCACAAGCTCTCCAGCCTCGCGGTCATGCTCGGCCCTGAGTTCATTGCTTAATGAGTCTGCAGGCCCCTTAATGGGCACCTTGGCGAAAGGACTGATCGTAGTGCGGCGAGCCTTAGGGTACCAGTAGCCTGGTCGAATCCATCGTGGCGGACACCCTATGAAGACTTCCCAATAAGCAATGGACTATTCCCCAGGACATGAACGCTACGTGCTCAGAGGTGTGTAAGCCCTTCATTGATAAAACAGTGGTCGTAAAAGTTCGTTAATACATGTAGACGGCGCACTGACAGTTCTAGTAGATATATACATCGAAACAAAATAGTCAAATCGACATCCCACTTTTCTGTCACACATCTACCACCCCCATAAACGCCATAACCCCCTCAAACCCTCAAATATGCCCAACTCAGCGATCCGTAACACTCCACTCTGTCGTCCTGATGATCGCCGACGTCTTCTTCTCTCTCGCGCCGCTCGGCCCGCCAATCGTGTCCAGCATGTACTCCTCGGAGTTGTCGTCTTTGAGCTGGCTGAAGCGGTGGCTGCTGGGCGTGTTGTCTGCGTCGCCGATCTTGAAGTCCTTGGGGTTTGGAGAGGAGATGATGTGGGAGGTGTTGGTGCTGCTCTTCTTGCCGTAGCCGAGCGCGCCGGAGCCGCCCCTGGAGGAGCGGATGAGGCTGTCGACCAGGCCGGGCATGTATTTGGCGAAGAGGGCTTTGAGGTGCGGGAGCGAGGCGCAGATGATGCCCGTGGCTTGCTCGATGCAGGACCAGTCGACGATGTCGACGCGGTTCCCTGGGGTCGTGAGTCAGCACCGACTTAGAGGGTCACGGAGAGAGCTGTCGGATCATGGAATAGAGCAGAACTTACAGGTTGAGTCAGGGTTCTGCCTGTTGCCATCGTTCTTATGGAACCAAATTACCAGCCGCGCGACTTCAGCGCCCATTGACACCAGTCCAACGCTGAAGATGAGGACTAAGGCGAGTCGGGTCCTGGCGGGAGCGTTCAGAGTCCAAACCACTGGAAGCGGAACTATGAAAATTGCAAGGTCGATCGCCAGGCTGATGAAGCCGGTGACTTTGAAGAACATTGGCTGGTTGATGCATTTGTATCCCTTGGGCCGTGTCCCGTTCCAGAGCATGTCTGGAGGCCGGCACTGAGTGAACTCGACGACAGTGCACGCGATCAGGAATAAGATAGAAAAGCCGATGATCGCTTGACATGGCTTCTTGATTTTGGCGCCGAAGGTGGAAATGTAGAACATCGAGATTGAGATTTTCGTCAAGCATAGTACTGGTTGGTACAGTACTTGATTTGCGAATGAAGCCTACACAGGGCCAACCGTCAGTGAGTTCAAATACTATCACCAGATTCGCTTCAGTGTCATTCAAACTTATCAAACTTACCGACGCAGCGAGTCGCTTGTTCACGGTCTTTGGGAGGTCATAATAGTGCAGTCCGGTTCCACCTATAACACCCAAACCAGAGCATATTGTGGCTACGCAGAGAAGGAACTGGAATAGTCGGCATGTCAACGGTGCGTTCCCGACTCAGGATTTGGGGAGCGCATACTATCGCCAGAATGGTAAGCCAGTCCTCGATGCCAAAGACGTTTCGCATGAACTTCCTCGTGTAGACCCGTAGTAGCACAATTCTGTCACCTCCCGTCAGCTCTCTTGAACCGTTCACACAGGCGCCGCGGGACTCACATCAGAGCAAGCACTGTCAGAGAGATCTGCACGCCCAGAAACTCAGGTACTCGGGTTGCTGGGTTAACGTAGTTGGGGACGTGTCCATCGATCGTTTGGACCATGATGAGGGCACGACCGGGGGATCTCGAATCGTAAAGCGATTACAAGGAGAAGATTTTCAGACGGAGCGTACTCGTTCAGGAGAAGATTAGCAGTGACCCCATTTAATAGGTCTTCTTGAGGGAGTAACTCGGCAATCTGGACATCATCACATCTCTCTGATCTGTTGCTCTCCTGGACTCTTCTAGCACGGCAACCAACGGATGCTGCTGCAGGAACCTTGAGTAGCATGTCACCCGAGGGGCAAGCCCTCGTCCCCAATGTTCCTCCGCCTGCATAAACGAGCTGCCGAGAAGCGTTTTCTCGGGACCTGAGATATTGGAGGCTTGACCCGACGGAGCAGTTCAAGGAACGACTCCCAGGCCATCCCTTGACAGCTCCAATAACAAGCCCTTCGTGGTCCACGGAAAATCTCAATTGAGAGGATCTAAGGCATGGATTAAAGTACATGTAAACCCCCCCCTTTGCAGACTGCGGTCCGCTGTCCAGAAACCCTGCAGTAACCGTACGTGCCGTTCCAACGGCCGCTGGGCTGCCAAGACGGGAGTCTGGCTTCCGGGCATGCAGGTGGAATTTGAAGGCCTTCAAGCATTCGGTCTTTTCAATATAGAAGTTGACTACAAGGCAGCAGCCATCCGGTCTTCTTAGCTCCCGCCGTAGACATGTGTGAGTTGCGTATATGGATATATTGACCGAGAGAAAGACGTGGCCTAGGACCGAGGCTCGTCCGGAGGTGTTGAGTGAGGAATGGACGTCGCCTAGACACTCCCTGGCTTGCTCCATACCAGGGTGAGGACGGCAGATATTTGTGCCCTTGAAGATGTTGGAACCTGCAGAGCGAATTGCTCTGATGGGCACCTTTCCTACTTCGTGTCCAAGGACCTCACGCTAAGTTAGTTAACGGCCTTAGTATAATTTAAGCGAAGGGCTTGAGGGCTTGTCTTTTCCTCTTATCGGGTCCATCTCCTCTAATCTTATAAATATGCAGAAGACAGGAAATGGTGCCTCAGCCATTCCGCACCTCGTTATCAGCACTCGGCAAACGTAACGACACCTACTAGCTTAGCAGTCGAGGCAAGCAGAAGGCAGACCTAGACCTCGTCATCTTCATGCACCTACGTGTAGTCACAGAGCTCCATTTTGTCTATATTTTGATGGCATGATACCGGCAGCTAGCTCCCGGCAGTTGCGGTTGATTCCAGAAGATTTTCATCCCTGATCCTCACCACACCCCCTGTTAGTTGCACAGCGATGCCCTGTCCGTTCCTGGCAGGGTTGAAAATGGGACATCGAACGGGATCTTGTACGATCAAAGCTCTCTCTCCACTCTACGGCTATCGCTCTTGATCGAGGTCTCGGGTACCATGGACGCATACTGTTCCGACCGCTCCGTGGGGCTGTCTATCTGCTAAGCCCTCACTGCGGAGATGAAGTTCGGTGCCACGACGAGAGGTCGAGAGCGTTCGCTTTAGACCAAGGGCCCTGAATCGGGCGCATTCGTAATATATACTCTCTACCAACATGTTGGATATCGTTCCACCTCCGCGTCGCGTACCGTCATTCCTGCGCGAATTCCTCCACTCTTTCAGCAGTTTTTGCCTGTTTTCTTTTGAATTCTGCGAGGATGACGGCTTTCCGTCTTACCCTGCTCTGCTTTTCCTACCTGTCACTCGTTTACTGTTTACCAACTTCCTCTGTTGTTGACTCTTGTGTTACCCCGACCGGAAGCCCAATTGTGGACCTCGAGTATGCCTTGCACTCTGGACAAATATATGACTCTCCCGCTGGAAACACCTACTACAACTTCTCTAACATTCGCTATGCAGCGCCCCCTATCGGCTCTCTGCGCTTTGAAGCTCCAGAGGACCCTATCAACAACCGATCTGCCGGTGTTCAAGACGGATCGTACGGCAAGATTTGTCCCCAGGCATATACCCCTTGGCAAAACAGCCATCTTATCACCGCCCCACCAGGAGAAGCGGAAAGTGAAGACTGTCTCTTCCTTGACGTCGTTGTTTCCAAGGCAACTTGGGACAACAGATGTGCCGGGAAGAATGTCCCTGTCATGGTCTGGATTCATGGTGGTGGGTACCAGATTGGTGCTAAATGGGGTACGCCGATGACGAACCCTATTGGTCTTCTGGACCGCAGCTTCGAAGATGCTGAAGGAGCTCTCTGGATTGGTCTGAACTACCGAGTATGTCTCCTCTCACTTTCAATTCGCCTTGTGTGCATTGACTAACACCACCTCACTTAGCTAGGCGCATTTGGTTTCCTCCAGGGTGACAAGTTCAGCACAAGTGGAGGCCAGACTAACGCCGGCTTCTTCGATCAACGCAAGGCTTTCGACTGGGTGCAGAAGTACATTGAGATTTTCGGCGGAGACCCAGACCGAGTCACTGCTATCGGAGAATCGGCTGGTGGAGGTTCCATCTTGCATCACATTACAGCGTACGGTGGAGCGAAAGATCCAATCCCCATCCAGAGGGCTATCATCCAAAGCCCTGCATTTGTTCAAAGACCCTACAAATCTCAGGGAGATGACTCGTACAACATCCTTTTGGATGCTGCTGATGTTAGTAATTTGACTGAGTTGAAAGAGCTCAGTACATACGATCTGCAGGTGGCCAACAAGCTCTCCCAGAATGCTGATATCTATGGAAACTTCCAATTTGGTAATTTTGATCAGTTTTTGTCTCTTCATGAAATAGCGGACTAATACACTTGACAGGCCCTGGACCAGATGGAGACTACGTCCCGGACCTTCCAGGCACCCTCGTCGCACAAGGAAGATTCAACAAGAACATTCCAATATTGACTGCCCATAACACTTACGAAGCAAATCGCTACACGGACCCTGCAGCCACAAATGACACTGCCTTTTTTACGTACATAAAGCTGTACTTCCCAGAGATCAACCAGTTTCAGCTGCTCGAGCTCGCCGTTCTATACCCGGCTATCTACACGGGATTGATGCCGTACACTACTCCATTTGAGCGACTGAGGCTTGCGATCTCGGAATTCACGTTCACCTGCAACGCGCAATTCACGGCAACTGCTCTCGGTCCCGCCCTTCTGCGCAAATCCTACTCCTACCTCTTTTCTGCTGGCACAGGATTCCATACCGTCGATGTCCCGTACACATATTATACCTCCGACACCTCAGCAGTCGCCAGCACGTCACTCGCAGAAATGTTGCAAGGCTATTTAACGAGCTTTGCGCAAGATGGAGACCCGAACAAAGCTAGCCTGCCGTCCTTCCCGGTCTATGGTCTGGCAAGCACCCAGAGGAACCTCAATATCACGGACACCGGCAACATCAGGGACCCATCGGCTACCGCTCGGTGTGCTTTCTGGCAGACCTTCAAGTGATAAGCTCCCTGACTGGACCCATTGAAGAGAAATGTATATAAGACCCAGGCGCTTTGCTTATGCCGATCATCGAATATAATACATAACTGTAATACCTGGAGACTATTCTCCGTAACGAGTCTTTGAATAGATGACGCTTTCTCTTACCATCTTTTTTTCCTCACTTCACTAATTTTACAGACTTTATTGACTACGCTCAGTTTTTCAAAGGAATGAGAGAGACCAGAACGAATGACCATATTACTTAACAACATACTCCACTACCTTCTTCGCAATTTGAACATCCTTCCCTTAAGTGAAACCCAATTACTAAGGTTGGGGAGGTAGAAAACTAAAGTACTGATCATGTAGTACGTATCGAAAACCCTTTTTACGGATCAACAACCAACCTTAATCGAACCAGTACCAAGTTTTACCGACGCTTAATCTTCGCACATTACGATCCTTCACAAGTCGCGCGTCGTTCCTTCCTTTCAAGTCCTATGCTCTTTCCAAGATCGAATAGTGTCCGGGATACCCCCAAAAATGGAGAAAACTCCTTCAAAGACAGAGCAGGCCTTCAGTCTGCTCATTCTCACATTCGTATTCTTCTACGGAATAGTAGCACTTAAGAGACGTATTCATAAATCACAACCCACTCCCGTTTACGCCGCCGACAAGTCCTCCACCGAAAACATGCCCGCACCCTCCTCCCTTGAACTCGAATTCTCGAGACTCCGAAGCGCGTGGGAAGCCTCACAAGGACCCGCCGCCCTCAGAGCCATCCTCCAACGCCGCACCAACCCCATCGACATCTGGATAGGCATCGGCCTCGGCAGCTTCCAAACACATCAGACGATCCCATCAATGACTCGGCCAGGCGAGTCCATACGCGCTCTACTGCCCTCCAAGAGACGGCTCGCCCAACTCGTCATTTTCTGCGAAATCGCTCAAATCCTTTTCGAGGAACGCATCACGTTCGGCGTACCCACCCGCCGGCCATTCCGCTTCTGTGCCCAAGATCCAAATTTTACCGGCTCGGACGTGGGATTCCTAGCTTCGCTGGGCATCACCGTCATCAAAAACGCCGCGAACCTCATCGGCCCTTCCACAGGCGCATTCTGCCCATATCTCGTGGGTAGGATCGATATCCGAGTGATCGCCAAAAGCCCGGGGCTTTACATTGGTTACAGTCTCTCGCGGCGAATCCAAAGGTCTAACTACTTGGGGAGAGAACATCCAGCACAGAACAAGGCTGAGAGGGAGTTACTATTGAGGAGCGTTGAGACGGCGTTTCCGGTCGTGGACGGGGACGGGTGGTGGGGGCCTTCGGTTGATGCAGTGCAGTGGGAGAGGAGGATGGGTGAGAAGGGGGATGCTGTTAAGGGGATGTGTCTTTATTGGCCCAGATAGGCTGTGAAGGGGCCAGTTGCGAGGGCTATTGAGGCTGCATCTGAGTGGTGAAGGAGGAGGTTCGGGCGCACATGGTGGTAGCTGTGGCAGGAGAAGCTCCCGTCGTTGAAGCTTGCATACTCTTTACTCTTGTACGTGTAGTTTGGACTTTGGTGGACTACACTTGTTCTCAACCTGCTGAAGCACCTCTGGTTAGACGCTCGAGCGATCTTGTAAGATGGAATGTTCCACACGCGCTAAAGAGGCCCTCAGGTTACGTCTTCCCGAGGCGTCAAATATACACTCTTAAGAAGAACTGAGTTCTGCTCTAGTCATGTCACTGTCTGGTGTGCTCTCATGAAAATCCAAAGCTTTAGGCAGGATGTAATAGTTGCCACCGCAAGAATCAGACAAATACGACCGCTATAATACAACAACAAGATGCACATCCAAGAGACGCCTCCCGTCTATAGCAGCGTAAATCTAGGGAATCATCGTGCAACCTACTCACCACAGTCGCAGATCTCGTGTACGAAAGAAAAGAACCCGCTAAACGCCATTTAGGGCAGTTGGTCCTCAATCCTATGCAATAACGGCACCCTCTCCGCGTCCGCCTCATCCTTGTACGGCATCCTCTTATAAGCACCCCCTTTCACCTTCCTAACTTGCCACGAGCCTACCTCCTTAGCGTCCACAAAGAACTCTTGGTTCTCCTCAAAGCTGCGCCCGCCAGTCTCGGGTAGGTAAAAGTACGTCCACGTCCCAGCAATCGCATTGGTAGCCGCAAATACGAGGAAGATGTAGTACTTGAGGTTGTTGAACATGATAGGCGTGAGCAGCGTGATCCCAAAATTGGCGATTCCCCACACTATTACGCTGATGGCCGTGCCGCGGGCGCGGGCGTAGGTAGGATAGATCTCCGTTGGGATCAGCCAGACGGTGGTGAGCCAGCCGATTCCGAAGGCGCCGGTTGCGACGAAGAGGGAGAGGGTCCCTGCGATGGCGGGACCGAGGACTAGGATGTGGAGCTGGTCGCTGTGAGATGTGAGAGCGGCAAACAGGGTTAAGAGGAGGAAGCAGGTTGTGAGTATCCCGCTGCTTTCGACTAGGAGCCTCCGCCGGCCAAGAGCATCGATGAGGAGCCAGGCGAGGGACATGAGGAAGAAGTAGCTGGTGTAGTTTCCCAGAGTCAGGTACTCGGCCAGGATGGGCGAAAAGGAGAGAAGCTGGTGTGCATTAGCATGTCTGATAGACAATCGCCTGAAAGTGCCTCGATAGCATAGTACTTGAGAGCATATCTTCTTCATCGAGGTTATCTTAGCGCCTTACCTCGAATATCTGGGGCCCGTAAACTGATACAGCTCCATAACCAGTCAAAGCTTGGTTGATCTGCCCCATGATTGTGACCATCGTAGGGTGGAATTGAGGCTGACCAGGAGTCATCATTTCCAGGTAGCTGACGTGATGGCCTTCTTCGTCCTCGCTGATCCCGATGAGTTCGTCGTATCTATTCTGACCTTCCTCCCCAAACACGTCTTGCAAAGCTTTTTTGGCGTCTTCTTTCCTGTTTTTTCTAACAAACCATCTAGCCGATTCTGGTAGTCGGTGAACAAAAGAGAGGAGTATAATCGGATACACCTGCATAATTATAATAGGGAGCCTCCATGCCCACTGGTTCCCCTTGCCGAGGCCCCTGGTGACGCCGATGTTGATCCCGAACGCCATCAGCAACCCGAAGATGTTAGATTGGAACTCCTGCGCCAGTGCTTTGCCCCGAGCTTCAGTTTCAGTCAACTCAGAGCTGTAGATGGGAATCACAGAGTCCACTCCGCCAACGCCGAGACCCATAACGACTCTTCCAAGGAGCATGACGGAGCGCGCCCCAGGGCTGTATCCCAAGCCAGCGATGAACATGATCAAGTTCCCGAGTGAAGCCGTTGCAAGGCAGAAGAAGATGGCCTTCTTACGGCCGAACTTGTCGGCCCACCAGGAGAAGAAGACGGCCCCCACGGCGCAGCCGAGATAGTAGACAGAGACGATAATACCGACGATTGGTGATTCGGCGGCGATGCCCATGGTGTGGAGGTAATTGTGGTTTGTGTTGATCAAGGACATCATTCCCTGGTCGTAGCCATACAGGGCAATGGCGGTCGACGAGAACAGCACCACCTGCTGTGTCTTGTCATTGTACAAGGACTTCAAGCGAGTGGTGATAAAGGACATGATTGGAAGCAGACAAAAGTCTAGGAACGCAGGAAAATGCCGCCAGAATAGCAAGGGAACAGAGACGAGGAACCGGCGGGGCAGATTTTAATGAAGAGGGTGTTCTTGGTCACAGGATCATATCCAGCCGTCTTTTCGCTTCAAACCGGCGTGGTGCGACGATGTTCAGCAAGGAACTTTGGGTCTAGGTACCGGGTAAGTACATTAGGGGCACCAGCCACTGTGGCTGCGATTTGGCGGTGTGGCAGGTGTTTCAGCTCCTCACTGTCAGCAATCGACGTGAATATTCCAAGATAAAGACGCTTGAAGCTCTCTGTAGACTCCAGGAACTCCGTTCTACTCGGGAATCTCCAATTGAAGTGCTCACGCACCTTGTCCTGCTAGAATTCCCTGAAACGACGATCAAGGAAATCTATACCTATTGTCCCGCTACAAAGGTACGAAGGATTGAGAAGGACAAACCTTCTACATATCTCACCGCCTTACAGTTGATTGATCTCTGACATTGAGAACTCTACAGCTCCAACCACCCTCTCACAATGAGCGACTCCCCGCTCCTCTTCTCCCAGGAGCTCATCTCCCCCACCGTCCTAGCTGCGCTCCCCGAAGGCTACACCTGCCGGCCCCTGACGCGTACCGACTATGCCAACGGTTTCCTCGACGTCCTACGCGTGCTGACCCAAGTCGGCGATATCTCAGAAGCACAATGGGACGAGCGGTACAGCTGGATAGAGAAGCGCTCCGACTCCTACTTCATCCTCGCCATTGTCGACGAGAAGAAGCGCGTCGTGGGAACAGGCGCACTGGTCGCAGAGCGGAAGTTTATACACAATTTGGGCATGGTGGGACATATTGAGGATATCGCGGTTGCGAAGGACCAGCAGGGCAAGAAGCTGGGACTGAGGATCATCCAGGCTTTGAACTTCGTTGCGGAGAAGGTTGGGTGCTACAAGGTTCGTGGCCCCGCAGGCTTACCTTTTCATGTTCGAGAAATTGGGGAATCCGCTTTACCAACTGGAGTCTGGTAATGTATGCTGACTGCTGTGTCACAGACGATTCTTGATTGCTCCGAAGCCAATGAGGGATTCTACGTCAAGTGCGGATTCAAGAGGGCTGGGTTGGAGATGGCCCACTACTACGAGGCTCCAAAACCGAATGTATGAGTTCACTGGCAGCTTTCTAGGGGATGATTGTCTGTTTTGGTTCTGATACTGGTTCGGGTCTATTCAAGCTTGGAACGCCTATGATCAAAACATGTTGAAAAATGAGGAGGTGGAGTTGATGAGAGCACAATTGCAATTTTGGTGAAGCGTTTTTCAAGGGCTGATGGACGCTGCGGAAGGGTACAACTTTAGATATCTTGCATACACGACTTGAATCATCCTATCCGGCGAGTTCTCTGATATTGAACGGCATTTGAGGTGAAATCGCAGTTTGATTCACGAGATTCAGGCCAGAGAGTGTCTCTGTATTTTACAGAAAGCTCTTGGAAACATTGAAACATGCATGTGATACTTTGTCAGTCTCTTTGAACAGCTTGTGACACGCGTCTTGTTTGCCGACACATACTTCCGTGAATGGCAAGGCTGCGAAGCTAAGCAAGGCTATAGTCCATCCAGCGACCATCGCCGCTGCCAGTTCTGAGGGATTGCTGGGCTCCTCCGCACGTTCGCTGGATGAGTCGTAAGCTGCCCTGAGTTCCTGGTAATCGTCACTATAGATCCATCGGTTATCTTCAGGACCGTAGTATGCAGAGACCGGAGTAATAACCTCCGTTTTTAAGGCAGCTTGCACGGCAACCTTAAGACTTGACTACAACACCCCCAGCCTTGATATTCGAAAATATTTTTGGATAATATTGAAGCGCAAAGTCAAGGCTATATCTCAGTCTTTTTTTGAAAAATATTGGTCAAGAATTGGAGGTGGTTTAGGTTGTTGAGTGTTGTCGCGCACGAGCCCTAAACCTAGAGGTTATTACTCCGGTGTAGAGCCATGCAAGCCATACGGCTGTGCCGTTATTCTCCGCAGGCATACTCATGTCGCCCTCTCCTCCATACCGTTTGATGACCCCGATCCAGACATACTCATTCCTTGGTCCCTTTGTTGAAAGCACTCTTTACGGCTATAAGCAGCGCCAAAAGATATTTACAACGTCATTCGACGGTCCGCGCGCAGCACACTGTGCCTTCCGTGGTGTTTGGCAGCCTCGATTCAGGCCTACGCAGGCCTAGACAATTACTGAGGCGGCAAGAGGGGTGGAATAAGCACGTCGAAGCGCAAGAGAACATCACGCGACCAACTTTCATCTACGCTCTTCGAAAATATGGAAGACTCCACGTTTTATAATCTATAACAACTGCTTGAACTAAATTATTCCCACGAAGCTTTCACTCAGCGACAGGATTACAGAGAGTTGACTAGCGCGGAACTTGCATCGGCTCAGGTAGATTTCATGTTCTATAAAATATTACATCTTACGCTGACCGGAGTATTAGTGCACGATAGTCTTTGGGATGAGCAAAAGCATCTTGTACGGCGGCCATATCGACATAGAGGTCGCCTGTAATCAGGAAGTTTTTACGACAACTATCGCAGCACTAGACTGGAAGATCCTTAGGCATGAAGAATCTGTGACGGTCCATGTGCCCAACGACCTGCAGGATAGACTAAGGGCTCAGAATTTATTACGAAAGAGCGGTATTTTATAGTCCCGTCATGTTAGCGGTGATTATCTTTATGGAAGTGTTCGGAATCTGAGGACGAATAAGTGGCTCCAGGTAGAGGAGCCGGTACTAGAGAGGAGTTGAATACGGCGATCTATAGTTGAGTATAAAACCAGTTCTACTTCTATTAAGCAGATCCTGCGCGTCGACGTTATTCCGGTCCAGCCTCTGTCGTGCCTCCATCCTCTTCCTCAACTTTTGCTCCTGATATTGCATATATGTTCCCATCCTTTTATGTTTCCACGCGTCTCTATGAAATACTATGCAACCACAAATAGCTAATATCAAATCGAGCAACCCGAGAGCGACTTAACTATTTACGAGTAGACACTCAGGGCATCGCTCATGACCACATCCAGCGCAGCTCCCTTTTCTAAAGACCCTGACCCGGCATTGGCAGGAATAACAGTGGTAATTACGTCTAATCCTAGGGGAGCTCTCCAGCAGGTTCCCCCTCGCAAAAGCTTCAGCTCTGCTCTCTTTGTTCCCGACTCCGAGACCTCCGAACTCTGCGCGGAACGCATCTATCGCTGTTTCGGTATTCACTTCGCCTACTATATCTACAGTACTATCTGCGGTAGTATCTCCGGTATCTGCGGGGGCGTCTTTGGCTGGCTTCTTTCGATGGTCTCCAGTCTCTCTTAATACCGTTGTAGATGCTCGTTTACGAGGCCCATATGGAGGGTAAAGCGAATCTGGCATATTTCCGCGTCTTTGTAGCTAAAGTCAATAGCAGGTTATTAGCTTTCTTATCAAAAGAGAGATAGACTACTGCTGTTCTTACCGTAAATAAAGGAAGCAAAACTGGGAAACAAAATTCCAAGGGGCTGGCGCTTTTGAACACAGAAATCTTAGACCTTGTTCGCTAGGATGCGCCCGAATCATTCGATTGTGCCCTAATATAAAGCATTGGAGATATATTCTCTTTAGTGTTCCTCTCGACTCAACATTCGACGTATGTTGGCACGGCGTCTCTTGTCCAATATGTCACTAGCGAATTGGCTTGGGCGCCTTGCGCTTCGACGTGCTCATTCCACCTCTTACCGCCTCTTACCGCCTCTAGTGTCGGAAACAATCTGCTTAATATGTATCTTCCATCGACTGCCGTGTCAATTAGCTTCCAGTGTTCCGGCCATGCTATGCCACTATATATAGCTCGCCAATTCCTAAACTATATACCTTAGAAATTATAAGCTATATCTATAAAGGCACGCTAGTATAGAGTAGTTAGGTACTTTTATATAGTATAGGTATATATTAAGTCCTATATATTCTATCTATAAAAGGGTAATAACTAACTAACGTAGTCTGCGGGTGAGTGGGCCATGCGGGCGGACGTTTTAGCACCCCAGCTATCTCAACAACCACAAAATATGAAGTACAATCTTAAGATGCTATATACTATCTAGCTCTTTCTAATAGCTAAGAGAAAGTTTGGAGCAATATAGAGGCATGATTCGATTGTATTGTAAGCAATACCTGATTTTGGGGGCCAAAACTAACCAAAACTTTACTACGGCTAAACAGGGCTATTGAGAAATCTGAACAATGAACACATGATATTAAAATAGTCACTTATATCATTATTCCAAGTTACAGCTTGAAATATTTCGTGGTTGTTGAGATAGCTGGGTGCTAAAACGTCCAAATCGCGCCAATAATAGGGTGGCCCACTCGCCCGCGTGGCCACTCACCCGCAGACTACGTTAAAAGCTAGTATAGAAAAGCTTTTATACTTTTTCCTATAGGCCTTCTATTTTCTCTTCTATTTCTGTTACATTCCCTTTACACGAACACGAGCACGATCACGTGCGCCCTCGGGGCCCACGTGGCCTGAGGCTCCGGCCACGCCTACGGCGTGCGCACCGGAAGGCTATATACACTAGCCTACAATTCGCCTGCGCTTCCAATCAAGCGCAGTCGTTCTGTTCTTTTGGGCTGGCCAGAGGGCAGCCTGGCGTAGTGTCGTAACATCCAGTCACCAGCAACCTCCACCACGACCAGCAGTCGCTCTCACTTAGCCAACTCTTGGACCCTTCCTTACCGTCAAGCCTACAGAACAGTACGAATCGATAAGGCCATAATCCTCTCCCGCCCCTCAAAGCCTTGGATTCCATACTCGATGGACGCAACCACCTTAGACTCTGGGCACCATGATGCATGTCTCGAGCCCAGCCTGATGGCCGACTCTGTGATGTCGCCGAACGAAAGCGGAACCCATGGCTCTTTGATGATGCGTAGTCAGTCAGAAGATACATCGTCAGAAAAAGCCAAAAGCCAACGCTTCGAACCTAGGAATCTACGTGACCTACCCAATGACTCCCCCAAGACCGAATCTGGGCTGCCACCTGAGATTTGGCTGGCAATTCTCGATTCTCCGGCTTCATTCCCACCAGATTGTTTCCATACTGTTGCAAACAATCTACTCAAGAACCCCAACATCACCTCTTCACTTCTGTTTCGAGCAGAGATTTTCTACGACAGTCAAAATGATGCTACGTTTGACGCTTCCGCTACTACTGCAGAAAGCCTTAGTAACTTCGTTCGTCATATGAAAGCTGACTACAAGCCAAGGATGGTAGCTACTGCGATTCCCGGATACCGGCTTGCTTCGACTATAGTCCGAAAGATGATACCGCGAAATCCGCAATTAGACAAGCCGCTAGTCCAGACCTGTCATATGTTTATTTCTACTAGACCTTTACAGGTATCAGAGAGCGCTCAGATAGGCTCGGACAATAGTGCCGCATCAGACCAGAGTATGGAAGAGCGATATCTAATGATTTGGATCCCTCACGCCAGCTCTCCGGATGACATTCCTTGGTATCATCCGCCTGTCCGGGCTGTGGCGACGCTATACAGTTGGAAAACCAATCTACCACCAGATTTTGTTCCTGGGAATCTCTCTCTATACTACAGTCTCTTTCCTGGGACCGAGATTACTACTCGAATGGAACGTACCGCACTGAATTTGCTGAAAATCACGCACAAACATGGGCAAGGCCAAATGAACGGCTACACAAAACGTGTCCATCACGATGTCGTTGTACCTCAGAAGAAGTTCCAAGACACGTATACGTATCTCAAGGGCAAATACGCCAGGGATCTCATCCGAGACTGGGTCGAGCAAACTCCACCAACTAAGAACGTTTTTGAAGATTTAGGGATAGCCGCATTCCTGATCGAGCTCTGGACGGACATGTATGGAGGTAGAAGTATCCCGAAGGATTCTACAGAGACTCTAGAAGATGGTCCTAAGCTGGACGCAAGCCCTGCCCCGGACAGTCTCCACAATAACTCCAAAGCTTCCTCCACTGCTTCTTCGAAATCCTATGAAATAGCGTACGATCACGACCTCAAAGCAAAAGTGCAGGACAAGTTCCCTGGTTTCATAGATATCGGGTGTGGTAATGGTCTTCTTGTCAATGTCCTGTTGAAAGAAGGATGGAAGGGATGGGGCTTCGACGCCCGACAGAGAAAGTCATGGAGCACATACACGCCGGATGTGCAAGCGAATCTGAAAGAGTTCCTCCTAATCCCTGAGATGTTCCAACCATCCAGTAAGCTGTGGAACCCTCCACCTCCTTTCCACAACGGCGTATTTCCTACGGGTACCTTCATAGTCGCGAATCACGCAGACCAGCTCACCGGATGGGCACCCTTACTGGCCTCTCTTTCGCAATCGCCATTCATTGCTATACCTTGTTGCAGCCACAGCTTCTCGGGTGCTAGATTCAGAGCGGCCGTTCCAAAGCTAGCGAAGGGATCAAAGCCTCCTTCAGCCTATGCGGCTCTGTGCACCTGGGTGGAAAAGCTGACCGCGGATTCTGGATACGTAGTTGAGAAGGAGATGCTGCGTATACCGAGCACACGGAATGCAGCTATTCTTGGCCGCAAATGGACGAGTCATGAAAATCAGGAGGGCATGGCCAGGACCATCGTGGAACGGGAAATGGGGGTATCAGTCGAGACGGTTGGACGAGAGTGGACAGAGATGACGAGGAAGTTTTGGGAGAAGGGTGCTGAAAAGGATCACTGAGTCTTCTAGATCTCCTGCTGATCCAATGCTGTGAAACCCATATGTCTCCAATGGGATGGTTAGAAGTTTATCCCTTCGTCTGTTGAAATGCGTCCACAAAAATCTAGCCAATTAGAGGCTCTGAATCAGGCCACCGTGATGATAACTACACCCAACCGAAGCAATTCGAATTCGTGTATATAATTGTATATAGCTAGTCCTTGGTGTTGAGCTTGGCTATATGATCTACCCAACCCGTGCAAATAGATTTGTTTGCACTTGTAACTCTGCAGAAAGGAATTATACAGCACGAGCACCCGTATCTAGTTCTTCTAGCCAGGCCCTAAACTTATCACCAAATACTAGCTTAGTCTGTGCAAAGCCTATAGCTGTAGGAGTAGGCCTTTTTTATAGTTTATAGACGTATACTTAACCTAGTAATATATAATGTCAGCGGCTCTGTGCAGCTATATGCAGCTCTACAGCGCCAAGGCTTAACACTAAACTTACTATTATAAACTATTAACAGGAATAAAACAACCCTAGCATCCTTCCAGGCTATTTCTATTACCTGGTAACTCTTAGATAACTCTTTATAGAGCGTCCCCTATGGAATTTAGGGCTTATAGATTATTCTAAGGTCTGCTAGCTATGCACTAATAGCCTTGGCCGGCAGCTTTTCTTTGGCCTTTGTCCCCTTCTTCTTCTTATTATCTAGCTTCTTGCGCTTTATCTTTATAAGCCGGACAGTTCCTGCAGCTCTAACACCCTTAGCACGCAGTCGCTTAAATAATCTAATACTGCTAAAGAGGTTATTAAGCCAGACTACATGCTGGCCCGGCGGATAGAGTTGCTTATTTAAATTAGGGTTGCGTTGGAGAAGAAGATTAAGAATAACAGCTTTAGTTGCTGTAAAGCTATTATAAATAAAGGATTTATTAAGGTTAACAGGGCCTTTATTAGAATATTTATAATCTTGGATGCCCTGCCTATAAATCTCTCTATTGTCTTATTAACAGCTAGATATGTGCCTAGCGCCTAGTACTGCCGGCAGCGTACTCTAATATGCTTAGAGAGCTTGTTAACGCGGTTAAATATTGTGTGGAAGCCATCCTCCGGTATAGAACTGGCGCGAATATAGCAATTAATCTGTTGAAATCTATCCTTAGCAATAAATTTGGCCGGCCAGGTTGCCGTGCCTGCACTGCTAGGCCCCCAGTAGTGCGCTATAGTCGGCTGCACAACTACGCCCATATAAATAACGACTCCAAAATATGCATATAGCTCTTTCCTATGCGTAGGCCTCCACGCGCGTGGCCGGCCAAGCGTTGTATCCTCCTTAGACAGCTGGTGATCCTTGGCGTACTTGTTCGTCCAGCGCACCATCTTCTCCACCATTTCATTGGTAAAGAATAGGCGGAATATGGCTACAGGATTATGCTGATCAAGACCTGGAGGTATATTGGGGGTGCCGGGCGCGTTGTAGTTGTTGATTTGTAGTGGCTCGAATGCAGGCAGCGGCGTAGGCTTGGGGTAGGGAAGTTTGGGCTTTTTGTAAGGCTTCGGGTCCTTCTGCACGTAGTCGACATCATTGGATGTCCGTGGCATTGTGGAGTATTTGATTGTGGATAATAACTAGCTATTTGGCTTGTTTACGTGCTGCTGCGTACGTTGGGGCACGGGCTTGGCGCCAAGTGTGGACGCTAACAGACGAAGGGATACAATTTGAGGTTGAATTTGGTTACTGGAACCGAATGCTAGCGTTGTCTAGTGCCACGTTTCTTAACTCTAAATTGACATACTCTATGGTCTATCTTAAGCGAATGGTCATATAATAAGTCCATCTCCCGCATCTACGTTCAATGCCCTACCCCGCCTTAAATTTCAACACCGACAGAGCTCAAATGGTAGCGTAAACGGTGAGCGGCGTGCCGAGCCACGCTGCCGTATGGGGTGACAAGGCCGAGAGTCAGGCGTTTTGGCCAGCTTTCCATTGGCTGCTCCCCCGCACCAAGCTCCCTCGATCCCCAGCTTCTTGCCGCGGCCAAGGAGCTTGCTGTATCCACAGACCCACCGACGTAATGCTCCCTGGAGACACCAGTGTGCCAGTCCAGTCCCTCACTTCCTCCATGAGAGGCTCCGGCCAGAAGGGTGTCACGCGGGAGCTTCGGGGTTCTATCTCCCTTTGAACATGCGAGCCCACAGTAGGCTCGGCGCGATGCATCATTGGCGGCTTAGCTTTGTCGCGGTTTGTTTTGACCTGAGCTGCCCGACTATGATACCGGCAGCTGGGGGTTGGCGATGATCAACCAAGGGACGACACGATTATGAACCTATATTACTACGCAGCCTGCCCGCTTTCGTTTCCCTTATCCCGCGTGCGCGCTCATCTTTATTCCCAAGGCTTTCTTCTTCTCTTTTTTCAACAGGGCCCAGCATGATGAAGCCTGGAGACGAATACAGCATGCGTGCACCCTCTGATGAGGAGAAGGCTGCTGAAGCTGAGCAGTACAATTTTGCATCCGGTGCACACCAAGATATTGATGATCCCGACGCTGGACGGAGCGAGGAAGAGAGAATTGATATTGTAAGAATTGCAATGAAATCACACTCATTCGGTGACAGAGATGCTGATATAAGGCCTCCAGGACCGTAAATTGCTGTGGAAGCTCGATATCCGGCTGATACCATGGGTAAGATTCTGTCGCTGGAAACCCCTCAGTTACAATATCTATATTGACCGCCATAGCTGTGCTTTCTCTACCTGATATCCTTCCTCGACCGAACGAACATTGGCAATGCAAAGATCGATGGCCTCCAGAAAGATCTGGGCATGACCGATGGCCAATACAACGCCGCGCTCTCCCTCTTCTTTGTCTCCTATGCGCTGGCGGAGCCCCTGACAAACGTCCTGCTCAAACGCCTCCGGCCCAGCATCTTCATTCCAATCATTATGATCTTCTGGGGCATCACTATGACCACCATGGGCCTGGTCCACAACTTCTCTGGCCTTGCCGCAGCCGTATGCCAACGACATCTCTACTTTCCAAACCTCTACTAACATCAACCCAGCGCTTCTTCCTCGGCCTCGCCGAAGCCGGCCTCTTCCCCGGCGTAAACTACTACCTCTCCTGCTGGTACAAGCGCTCCGAATTTGGCATCCGCGCCGCCATATTCTTCTCGGCCGCCGCCGTGGCGGGCTCCTTCGGCGGGCTCCTCGCGGCCGCCATCGCCAAGATGGACGGCATCGGCGGCAAGCACGGCTGGTGCTGGATCTTCATCCTCGAAGGCCTGGCCACCATCCTTGTCGGCATCGCCTCGTACTGGATGGTCTACGACTTCCCCGACAAAGCCACCTTCCTGACCCCGACCGACCTCGCGCGCGTCAAGACGCGGCTGCGCGCCGACAAGCAGAGCTCGGCTGAGCATGAGGAGTTCCGCATGGCGTACTTCTGGAGCGCCGTCAAGGATTGGAAGATGTACGCGTTTGCCATCATCTACATGGGCTGCGACGGCGCGCTGTACGCCTTCTCGCTGTTCCTGCCTACGATTATTAATGAGTTGGGGTACACGTCGACGAAAGCGAATCTGCTCTCCGTGCCGCCCTACGCGGCGGCGGCGATCCTGACCGTGTTTATTGGATGGCTGGCTGACCGCACGCAGCAGCGCGGGCTGTGCAATATCGGCGTTAGCTTCCTGGGCATTGCGGGCTTCTCGATGCTGCTGGGATCTGATAAGGCGGGCGTCAAGTACGCGGGGACTTTCCTAGGCGCGCTGGGCATCTATCCGTGTGTTGCGAATACGATCACGTGGACGGCGAATAACTTCGAGGGCGTGTACAAGAAAGGCGTAGCAATTGGGTTTGTCATCGGTTGGGGAAATCTGAATGGTGTGGTTAGCAGTAACATCTACCAAGGGAAAGATAAGCCGGGTTTCAAGCCGGGGCATGGGGTGGTTCTGGCTTATATGATTTTGTTTTTGCTAGGGGGGAGTGTTGTGACGAGGCTTTTGCTGGCGGCGGAAAATAAGAGGAGAATTAGTGGGAAGAGGGATGTTTGGGCCGAGGGGAAGGCGGCGGCGGAGGTTGAGGCGCTGGGTGATAAGAGGCCGGATTTCATCTATACGTTGTGAGAAATTGGCTGGCAATCCAGGCAATGCGCTGGAGTGCCCTAGACAGTGGTATGAAGCTGGAAAGATTGGCGATCTGAGAGCCCTGAATCACAGTGTGATGAAGTTTACACCTTGTCTTGTATTGACATAATGTCACAGTACCCTTGACAGTGGTATGAAGCGTTCAAAATTGGTATCTAATAGGTCAGCTCTGGCGAGGAAACTTTGCTCATAAGCTCAAGAAGCCATTCCAGGGGCAGAAATCGGCGATAGAGCTGTTCAGTGATGCAATACCCCATACATCCTCGTCCGTGTCCACTAACCGTTGCTAGTCGTAAATACCGAACTGGGAATCGTCCTCGTCCTCATCCGCCGAATCAGGGGGTACCCCGTTGAGATACAGTACCCCCCAACGCTGACTTGAGCTCATCGAACTGTGCATCTTCCAGAGTGTCAGTCGGCCGGGATACGTCCTCAGATTCGCCACTCGTCTCCACAGCACGTGCCACCCTCTCCATCTCATCCAGCCACTCACAGACGTCCAATTGCTCTTCATAAACGATCCGCCCTTTCGCAAACCACAACTTCATATCGTCCTTCGCCACCTCCTGACCACGCTTCAACCGCTCCCCATGCTCCCTGACCAACTCCCAGTCCTTATCCGTCGGATTATCGAAGAGCCTAGAAATATCCGCGCATTCCTTAGGAATAGCGGCATTGTCGACCCAAGCGTCGTCGTCGTCAGAGACAGAATTAGGGCTCTCGTCCTTCTCCTCCCATTCCCGCTCCTTCAAAATCACGCGTCCAGGCACCTCGAAAAGCTCATAGGACGGGCGACGGTACTGCTTCCACTTCAGTATTACTCGCACGCGGACACCGCGTCTCCGTAGCTTCTTGAAGAGCGGCGCTAACGGTCGCAAGTGCCCCTCACTAGACTTTTCAATCGACACGTCGAGGACGCAGAGCTCGGGCATAGCGAGCAGCGGGGCCTCGAGGTGGCGGTGATTATAAGCAGTCGGCCTGATCGCCATGTCCTGCCGTAGCTCCTTCTCGAACTCTCCTGGTGGCTCTGGGCCCGTAGGCGTATCGTAGCCGGAGCTGTAATGGCGGACGTCCTTCAGGTCGATAGCGATACGGCGCAGGATCGAGGCGGGCTGGACGCTGCTGCCGTAGTGGTCGGTTGAGAGGAAGCGGGAGATGTGTTCGGCGTTTGGAGTTTCTAGCGAGAAGCTGTTTGAGTGATAGAACACTTTTGCGGCTTCGAGGGCGATTTGCGGTGCTACCACGGCCGCGTTCATGTAGAAGTAGGCGTCTCCCGGGAGCATACGGCCATTCAAGGTATTGGAGTCGGGATACTGGATGTGGATGACTTCCGACCGCGTGTACAGATGAGAGTAGATCTGGTCGCGGATCTCGAGGGGCAGGGCTAGTAGCATTAGAGAGGCGGGCTGCAGGTTGGCTTTGATTTGCTCCCATCCTGATACTAGGAGCTGATGTCTCGCTTCTAGACGTCGTCGTTCGGCCTGTGCTCGCAGGATTCTTATCCCTTGGTTTGCGCCTTTGGCAAATTTGGCGAGGGTTTGGCTGTTTTCTTTGAGCTGGAGGTCAAGTCGGCCAATCCGCTCATGGTCGTACGTCCTCAGCATTCGCACTGCTTCTTCAATCCGTCCAGTTCTGCAATATTGTTAGTGAAATAAACATACAGCAAAGTTCCATTTTCACGAACGGGTGGTTGTAGTAGCTACCCTGAGCCTCGGACGCGGTTGGCAGTTGGAGCAGATCAATAATGGACTCCATGGTGGACGGTAAATTGAAATTAAATGAAGGCTGTAGTCTAGAGCCATCAACGAGAGGCTTCAGGTGTTTATATACGAGAACAGAAATGGTGGAGGCGCGCAAACGCGTGACTCAAACAGTGCGTTATTGGTGGCTGGGAGTAGGCAGCCGTGCTGCCTGTGCTCATGAAGGCGGAAGAGGCTGTGTAAGGTTTGGGGAAGGCAGCCGATGCTTATTTCGCTGTTTCGACTACCATGGACTACCCCGGACGTTACGAGGCGTGAAATCACTTGGGAAAATAACCAATTGTTATATTGTTCGATATAGGTGACTACACCGATATTCCATTATTCAGCCTTGCTGCGCATTATCTGGCCCAGTATCGACTGCGCTGTGCCCACTCTATACCTGGAGAGGATTCGGTACGTATGCAGAGATGCGAGCTAGAGTAAGTTGTGCTTTATCTGAGTAAAAAGAGTGTGGTAACGATGGAGAGGAGGTCTAGGGTTGATGTCGACGAGTTCATGTCGGCGGATGTGCCTAGTCCGCAATTGGCGCGCATAGCTAAAAGTAGCAACGTTTCGGCCCCCAGTGCTGATTCATATAGTCAATAGATTGTGCTGACTCATATAGTAGATTCGAGCTCTGCCGCACGGGCGTTGGGAGGTAAAGTGAGGCGGGAGACTCCTGTCGGTATATCACGTGGAATTTTCGCTTATGATCACATCAAAAGTCCACGATTTCATTGCTCAAATTAGTGTTCAATGCATTGTAGCTTCAGTCACTTTGAGTGCATATTCGAGTGCCTCGACGTCTGTCTGAGATCGAACTCGGAGGATAGACAGCCAGTGCTCCTAATGATTCCTGAATCGCCATTTAAGCCCTATCTTAATTTCGTAGAAGTAGTCCGATACCAATAACACCATCGCTATGCATATTCATTACCGTCATTCATAGCGGACATCGTCCTTGATGTGTCAAGCGGTCCTAAGCCGCTTCCCAGCATGTTCGCCATCCGTCGTCTGTCGCTCTAGTGTCTTCCAGTTTGGCTTCTCCTTCCCCAAGTCTGTTCCAGTGCTCAGACCTGACAAATTTGAGCTAGGGTCTTGGATTTCAATCGTCGTCGCATTTGCATGTTTCTCGGGTTCAGAGGAGGCTTTTTCCGGCTTTGCGATCGATTGTGGGGACGAAAGTGTCCACGGAGCCTCGATAGAGAAGGATAACAGCTCACGATCCTTGTTTCGCGCGGTGATCTTCTTCGTTTTCTTGTGGATATCTTGTACCACGTCCTCTTGAGGCAAGGTTTGTGGGTGAGATAGTGAGTCGTTACTCTTATTGTCCGACCTATCACTGCTGCTTTCCTCACGGCCCGCGTCTTCCCAGTCGCTATCCTCGCCATTCTTTATATGGCGATTGAAGGCTTTCTCCAATTTATCGGCTTGGCGTTGATGGCTCTCAAGGGAGAAGAAGCTCGGTCGATGCTGCTCACGGACTGACGATCCTTCGCCATTGCCTTGCCTTTCATCTTCTTCCTCTTCATCAATGGCCTCGGAGTAATCCCACATCTCTTTGAGCTCGCCGCGGACCAGCGCAGTGCCCCATATCGAGACTAGAACACCAGGGACCAGGTATAATAAGGCAGGCTGGGCATGACCATATATTTGCATGACTCCCAGGGTTGTGAGCATACCAACGACATATCCCACAAGACTGGCGTTGAAATATGTTTTGGGGAACGTAAAGTGAGGTTGTTGGGAAGCAAGCAGAAAGGAGAAGAGTGGGCGACCGGTCCAAGTGTGAGTCCAGAAATGCTCGCTCCAACGGCCGGAGAGAGAGAAGTATTTCTCCTTGACGATAGTGGGTTTTACGCCATCACCAAGGTCCAAAGCTGGGGCCGACTGAGTCTGCTTTCTTAGGTAGAATAGGTAAAGATCATATCGGAGCGCGAGTCCGATCATGATGCCAGGTAGTACCACGTCGCCGAGGCCCAACATTGCGTGTGATCGAATGGCAGGATCTGCGCTAGGGGATGAAGGCCGAGGAAACATGAGCTTGATTGGGACATCGAGGGATGTGGCAACAGTGACCATCATCGGGCTTTGGTTCTGTTAGCTCCATGCATTCGGGAAGGGGTATGGCATATACATGCAACTTACGTGAAGAAGACAAAGTAAATGTCGTAGACGAATAGCGCGCCGAGAATAAGGCTCCCCGTGGCAAAGGTTGTGGGTGACATGAGCTGTAGGGCTCCGTACGAGAAACCAAAGCCCATCAGGTTGGTCAGGTACCAAGGCTTGTCAACAAAATTGAAGTAAGTCACTGCCGCAAGAGCTATGACCGCACCAGCCACACCATGGCTTCCAATCTTCATTTTAGCAGCAACTATTCGATGAATATACATCCGAATTATCCACTTATTGCTGGGCATAGCTCTATCAGTCCATAGAACGTTCCGAACCCGTAGGGGTAGCGGTATGCGAGAAAGAAACCCGGGAAGAGGCGAATGGACGACATCGCTGGCTTTACCGTTGCCAAAGACCGGTTTCGCGGTTTTGTCCACGTTGCTGACTTGGTATAACGTGCCTCCGAGCGCGTATCGTTTCGGGAATATAAGGGAATGGCCAATATCCAAAGCATCCGTGACCAGTCGGGAAACCGAGAACACGCCAAAGATGGCAAAGTATCCATTGAGAATCTTGTTGAGCAGCGCAGGGTCCTTGAGCCACTTGAGCAAGAAGTATAGCCCAGCCAAAGTTGTGCCTGCCATGAGGGGAAACATCAGAGCATCTCTGGGCGAAAGACCCTCCATCCTCTGGTATTCCTCTTCCTCATCCTCTTCATCGTCCTCGTCAGTCGCAGACTTCTTGTTTTTCTTGTCCGGCTTTGCCGCGGAGGACGGGGGAGACAGTGATGCGTGAGCGCCGGCGTAGATAGGGAAGACGGCCGACACGAGGAGGTGGAAGTAGGTGGGTAGCATTGGCTGTACGAGCGCGAACTCGTAGGCAACGCGGCCAAAGGCCTGGGCTATTGGGCCTGGATCCGACATGTCGAGGTATTTGGAGAGTGAGGAAACAAGAAGGAAAGGAAATCAGATATGCACTACACCATACCGGTCGCGATATCCACTGGGAATTGGATGTGCAGGTGGAGGAGTTTGTCAACTGCGAAGACGTGGTCGTTCCAAACAAACCCACCTCCGCCAAGGCCCTGCATGACGTTCGGACAGACATTTTTAGTGGAGGTCGTCCGTGATTCGTTCATTTATGGTGCATTTTTAGTATCAAGTTGAGTGAAACACATGTTCGTTAAGGTGTTATCACGAAATAAAACTCGGTGTTCATTCAAATAGTGTTCATAGTTGTTACTGGCATATCCCCGCGGCGCCTAAAGTGAACCCGCTGGAAACAACCCTCATTTTAGTATTGAGTTCGTTCGCCTAACATCATGGTCCGATTTGGCGTGTCATAAATCTTACATGTTCTGAACATTGTAGTGTCCCGGACGTCGTATGATAAAAGAGCATGATGTTCGCACGACATGATCATCCACTAAATCAAATCCGACCCCGAATCGCACTCCCGTCAACACCTAGGTAGCGAGCACATAAGCCTTCCTTTGAGGCAGCCCTAAATTGTGCATAGATCTACGCGCCCTCTTTCATTCTTCATATTAATGTCTTCCATCTTCAATCCAATTTCTTACAAAGATTCACGGACACCATTGTTTGAAGTGGCCTAGCGAATTACTGGTCATTGAAACGACTCAGCTTTGGTATTGCTCGGTTTTCTTTACGAAGTAACCCTAACGAGGGATCAGATAGTGGCAGACAAGGGTCCGCAGATCTGTAACGAGGCATTGAAAGAGCGAAAGAATTCAGAAGAGAAATCGGAAGCGTTCAATGAAGTGACTTCTGAGACTCTTTGACATTGAAAACCCCGGATCAACTGACTATCCGGCGTCTCTATGGTGTTGATACATTTGTACATTGAAGCAGCCGTCCGTCGCTAATTGTATCATATTATCGACTTGACCAGCTCTGTAACTTTGCTCTCGATCGCCTTGTCGTCTAACCCTGAGAGGTTTGTCAATACTTTTCGCACAGTATCTAGATAGCGGCCAAACGTACCCATCAGTGTAATCATCTTCTCTTTCCCGAACTCTGCATATTCAATTAGCCCTTCTCCAAAATCAAGCCAAATGCGCCCAATTGCTGCCGGGTCCACGCACCATATCTCGCATACACCTTCGGTTCGACTCCTAGGGCTTCTCGGATCATAATGGGTGTGTGCGGGTTGTGCTTCTTCATTGTCGGATAGGTGCGCGTAAGGAATGTCCTGTAGTTGCTTCAATCAGTATGCCTCAACCTGCCTCTCAATTGGATTACCTACCTCGTGGCAGCGCTATGCTCCGACGTCTGACATAGCAGGAATCGCAGCTCCTTCAGGGAATTGGTGAAGCCATACTTGGTAGCCATTGTGACGTGTGGTTGGATCGAGCAGTGAGAGCTGCAAGTGTCGTCGTTGCCCAAGCTGGAGATCCGACGGAGTTCTTGGCACGGCGAAACCGCAGCGCTCCGAAGCCGCACCCTCTCAACGCCCGGGTAATCAGTCAAAGGACCCTCAACCACAGCCATCGCCCTCTCTTCTCTCCTCTCCTTCGGTTTTCTCTGCTCGCAATCGCCTGCTCCCGCCGCCAAAATGTCTGCCCGCCCTTCCTACCGCCTCTTCCAGGCGTCCCGGGCATTCTTCCGCCAGCCGCTGCTACGGCGTCGCATCAACACAGCTGCTCAGCCAGAGGCTCCTGCCCAGGGCGGCATTGCGAAAATATGGAACAGCCCGGTTGGCCCGAAGACGGTTCATTTCTGGTAAGAGACCGCTCTTTATATCCCCTCTGGCACTATGACAATGTCAACTCCGATTAAATCACAAACAGTCATACTCCGAGCATTGAGAGGTCAGATTTGCTAACATGGCTTTCACTCAGGGCACCTATCATGAAGGTATTCAGACCTCTTCCAATCCGACCTCCAGCACTCCCGAGAAACCCTACATCCCGCGCACGCGACCCTTTCCCAAAGTCCGACATGATTTCCGAACTCTCAGACGGACTAACTCTATCCAGTGGGCTCTCGTCCTAACAGGCGTTTCTGACTTCTACCGCCCGACGGAGTCCCTCTCCCTCACTCAGAACGGCGCCCTCATGGCCACCGGCGCCATCTGGACCCGATGGTGCTTCGTTATCAAGCCGCGGAACATCTTGTGCGCCACCTCCCTCATAAAGCCTCCCTCAAGTTCCTGTACTGACAACATCACAGTCTGGCCGCTGTCAACTTCTTCCTCTTCATCGTGGGCACAACCCAAGTTACCCGTATCTTGATCTGGCAACGCTCGCAGGCGGGCCAGCCGATCACCGAGGAGGCCAAGGCTCTGGCGGTTGAGGCGAAGGATGAGGTCACAGCGAAGACGGAGGAGGCTGTTGATGCGGTGAAGAAGTATGCTGGCAAATAAGTGGGCGGATTGGAGGGGCGAGACGAGACAGAGGTGCACCTTACAGCGTGAATTCTGGGCCTGCAGAGGCTAGTTTACTGGGCGTATCTGTAGCTCTATTTTCGATTAAACAAGCAGGCGGTTGGTTTTGCAGTGCTTTTGAGCCATGAGTAATACATCGGGCGTTTATTCTTTTCTCTACACAATATTAGAAAGTGAAATGATGAGGTAGTGTGTGACAATACACGCAATACCACCTCCTCGATCGTCTTGAAACGTTCCCGTTCACATTAGAGAACCATTCGTGTTTGTAAGTGTGCTGTCATATGTATTGAACTATAAAGGAAATCAGAGGGGTATCTCAAACAATCTAGACAACCACCACCCTCAAACCCTCACCACAACCCGAACCCCCAGTCCCCTCGCCTCCCTAACACAACACCCGATACACGACCTCCCCACCCTCCCAATAATCGCATGCACTCCCCTCTCCGCACACCACGCCCTCGCCAGCAACTCCAAATCCCACTCGCCCCTCGCATCCAGCACAAGCACCTCCCCAACCTCCACTACTCCATCCTCTCCTTCCTCCCAAACCGGCGCCTCAAATCCTTCCTCTAGGACATCCGCCACGCTCACGACCCGGTACTTATACGACGCATGCAGCGGATGCGCAGGGAGCGCTTTCCCCTTCAGCGCGAGCCACTCCGACTCTGCCTTCGCTTGCTTCTGCGCAGCCAAGACTGCTTCTGCGTCAACGACACTCGGGCGAGGGGCGGCGGATTCGGTGTCCGGGGGATGTGAGGCGAGGGGGTTGAAGCCGTGAGAGCTCCGGCGGGCGAGAGTGATGCGCTTCGAGGCGGTGCGAGATAGGAGGCGGGCGTTTGGGTTTGCGGGAGGGATGCAAGGGAAGGAGGAAATGAAGGAGATGTCGTGGGTGAGGGTGAGGGTGTGCGATGTGGAAAGGTTGGAGAAGATGAGAGTGGCGGTTGAGGGGGGACCTGGCGGGATCGAGTCGGTGGAGGAAAGAGAGTTGGCGTCAGCGTCAGCGCCGGGGCTAGGGGCGAGGGACCATTCGATGAAGTGAATGGAAGGAAGGGGTGGAATGGAGAGATCTAGGGGTAGGACGAGGTCTTCGGGCTTGACATTGGAAATATCCATGCCTGGGATTACGGCCGAGACGTCGGCGATCCTATCGCCATTCTTTATGAGTGGTTCTTTATCTGGAGGGGGTTGTTTGCTTGACGTGGTGACCCAGCCGTCGACGTGAGCTGACGGTAGACGGGGAATTGATATCCAGCCCATGCATTCGACGGCGCCGTCAATGCATGATAGGACACGACCAATAACGCAAGTCTTGCTCCACCAGCACCTCTCCGCGTATAAGAAACCGCCGTAGAGACTTGCTGTGTCCCCAAGCGCGGAAATAGCCAGCTTGTCGTTCTCCAGAAGAGTTGAGATCAGGAAGTGTGAGATAGCCTCGCCAGGTAAGATTAGGCCAGTCAGATACGCTCTGCTCAACCAACCACCTATGTCAAGCGGGTTTGCAACGCTGTTCTCTATGCTCGAGAACAATGTGGCTGAGGGACTCAGTTGTACAGATCGTTGCGTATTATCTCGGCTTAATGCTGGACGTTTGGTAGGTGTGCCAAAGTAGCTGTTTCTAGCACTAATAGCGGAACGAGGAGAAGCCAGAGGGGTGCTATATATGCTGGGAGATGTTGGCGTGGCAGGATCTAAGTATTTACCAAGACCGGAAGGTTTGTTTTTAGCATCCTTTGATGAGCCTGGAATAGCCAGCTTGTGTGATAAATCGTCTGTGATAAGATCGATATTGGGCCACTGAAGGGATTCCACAAAGTGAAGTAGGCCTGAAAGCTGTAGTGATTGATGACGAGGAAGTAGGAGCACATCTGGTTCAGGGGCTGCTTGTCGCTCCTCCGGCTTTGCCAGAACCGCAGAAAAGAAGCCTCGCAAGCTCGACGATTGATCTCTCGGTGTTTCTGGTGTCGTTATGACAGCTTGAACATTCTCCAGAAAGCGACGAGCGAGTACCAGATCCCAGTCCGTCTTCCGTGATTTGAGACTTGTGAAACTGCGTAGTTCTTCTGCGGTTACTTGTGTTGAGGTATCATCTCCATAGTTGACGGAGATGGCGTCTAGTCGAACCAGAAGTTCACAAGACAGGGATATCTGAAGGAGAAGAATATCTCGATCTGACCATGTTTGCTCGGGGTTGCTGATGTTCGGAGGCTCGTCGTCAGCTGCTGCATCAGCAGCCGTCCATAGAACTTGCCCAAGTCTTATGCGCCACTCTACAAGACTAAAGTCGAACCAAATGCCTTTCAGCCTCAGTATATTCAACAGAGTCTCTATCTGCACTTTGAGTCCTGTGGGATCAAGGGTGTCGGCATCAAATCGCGGAGGCGAGAGGAACTTTCCAAAAAGGTTGGCGTACATGTCCCCTGAAGATTGCTTGTCCAGTATCGTTTTGGTAGAGCCATTTTGCCGCAAAGACAGCCATAGCTCACCAAATTCAACCAATCGCTCATAGATCATGACTGAATCGACGCTTCGAATGCCAAGCCTTTCGGGGTTGTTGTGCAGCAGCTCTCTATTCCGTACGTCTTCCGATAGCCCATTCTTGTCGGCCACCTCTTCTACACCTAAGTCTAGATTATCCGAGATAGGCAGCTGGAGGAAGTGATCAAATCCAACAGTCCCCGGCTCTACTCCGTTCGCACTGAGCATGCTTGGAACTTCCACGACATCAATGTTATACCCAACATAGGGCTCGTTCGTTTCGTCGCGGGCGATTTCCACAAAAGGTGCTACGTGGGGCCTGAGTGTAGCTGCAGAGAAGGCAGGATGGCTCAGAGGAAGCGAGTCGGAAAGGTTCCGCGTCTGTGCTCCAGAATCCCAGGGACATGATGCAGTTGGCTCTGGTATATCTCGTCTACTAATGATTGTATACTGGGGAGCTCCGGAGAAGAGGGTCCGCAAGTCCTTTTCGCTGACCGTTTCGTCTGGAGGGGGAGTCGGAAGTTGTTCTGGTGTGGGTTGATTGTCCACTCCACTTGTCGACACCTCCTTCTTGGGCGTATCTGAAGGAGTTTGCTCGAGGGGTTCGGCGTGCTTCGACTGTTGGGTGTCTTGGCGTGGAAGTGAGGCCTGTGGTGGGGCAATCTGCTATTTGGAGGGCTTATCAGTTCACATTTCCATAGAAATAAGAGGGGGCTTCGAAGGTATGAAGTAATTACCTCATCCTGCTCCCCAGTGTTCCGCCGCCTGGACTTGAAGAAGTCTAACAATCTGTTCCGCTTCTTCTTCTGTCCCCCAGGCACCTCTTGCACGAGCTTCTGGCGTTTCCTCAATAGAGCCATGCTGAGCGAGGAGTTGTGGTACAAACACTAGGAGTAGTGTCATGCTGGCGGTTTGGCCACGAGAGGTAAATGTAATTGAAACGAGAGCGGGCCAAGGCCTGGGGGTGTTTCGGAACAGCTGCAAGCAAGGCAGCGCAGCAGTGCTGGATCCCCGGGGTGGATCTCAAGATAGTGATGGCGTCCCTGTCGTGCATCGCGCGCCAGAGCGGCCGAGAGCACGCAACGCCTCGTCGGTGGCTCCCGCTGAGAGCCACCACGAGCCTGTCAAACCGCCGTCAGGGCCTGTAACGCCACAGCTGTGACGACAACCTGTGCCGTGGCGACGTGGAGAGCGGACAAGGAGCGGGCACACGAGCCAAACACGTTGGGGGAAGTGAGAGGGTTGACATTGGCCGCTTCTCACCCGCATTGAATCTTGGAACCGCCACTCTTACGGGCTCGTATTCCTTGTCAATACTTCCCGAACACGTAGCAATTTCGAGAGACTCATTTTGAAGAGTACTGCAAGCTACCAATTTTTCCTGTCCACTTGGGGCGTGTTGGACGACATACCTTATCTACAATGCTCATATTTCATGTCAATCATTTGCAAGTTCATCGAAGCGTGCTCAACACTATCAATAACGACATAAGCTATCAGCCTAGCACAACCTTGTGTCTCCAGATTCCGATTCGTTGTACTACATATTCTTTCCAGGGCAGAACCCACTTTACTAGGTACCTGCTGTCAAGGTTACATGTAGAACTGGAAGCTCGCGACATCCATGGATTTAGGACCGGTAGCGAGTATCCCTCATATAGGGATGAGATTTCCTAGATGAAATGACCTTGGTCGACGTCCTTTCGCTCCCGGCATCTCTTCCTACGCCCGTGAGACACGAGACACTTGAAGTCTCTTTTCAGACTCATACAGCTGTAACAAATATCGTCCTGCTCACGTGTCACCCCGGGGACGAGCAGGAGGAAGTGCTTAATGTGCAATACTTTGTGCGCCACGTGATCGAACTCTTGGTCAAAGTCAACGTGTTAGCAGACACTGGAACACTACATTAAAATATACATATTGCTGATACTGAAGACTGGTTTCTGATATATGATGCGCAGGTCATCGTTTAACTAGTATATATCTTGAACGTTGTCGAGTCGAGGCAGCAGAACGCGTTGAATCACATCAACCACATACTCAACCGCCGACTGCTCTATCCAGTGACCATGACGCGGAACTCAAAATGCTAGCCCAAAGTTTGCTGCGATCACGACGCAGTGTTGAGTTTTCTTTTCCCTGTTCGGATCATCGTTCCCCCGCAGCCATGTGAGAGAAGGCGGCGGTTGGATGACGGGAGAGAGCTTAAATATATTTTTTGGCGGGGAGAGTAAACCTTCGACTCATCCCAACCCACGCTTCAACCTCCAATTCCTCCAAAGCATTCGCCATGGCCTCGAGACAAGCACCCGCGGAGAACATGCTATGGGGCGGCCGCTTTACCCGTATGTTTTAGTTCCAATTGGCCTGGGAAGAGTCATTACGAGATTCGATCTCAAGCTTCACCCCGCGCAGTGCTAACATTTCATAGAGGGCCTGGACCCGTTGATGGTCAAATACAACACTTCCCTCCCGTACGATAAGATATTCTGGTCGCAAGACATCCGGGGCAGCATTGCCTTTGCGCGCGCCAATCTCGCTGCTGGCATTCTCACCTCCGACGAGTTCGCGGCCATTGAGAAGGGTTTCGGGCAAATCGCAGAAGAATGGCGGTCGGGGAAGTTCGAGGAGAAGGAGAATGACGAGGATATCCACACTGCGAACGAGAGAAGGTTGAGCGAGCTGCTGGGGAAGGATGTTGGCGGTAAGCTTCACACAGGCAGGAGCAGGAATGAGCAGATCGCTACGGATATGAGGCTATGGTTGAGGGACGAATTGAGGACTCTGGAAGGCTACTTGATGGACCTTATCAAGGTCGCGGTCAGCAGGTCAGAGAAGGAGATTGACGTCCTGGTAAATCCTGTCCTACCTCTCCAGCTCTAGCAAGCATGGAGAAACACAGTATAATCAAGACTAACTACTATACAGATGCCCGGCTACACCCACCTCCAAAAAGCCCAACCAGTCCGCTGGTCACACTGGCTCCTCTCCCACGCCACCGCCTTCACCTCCGACCTCGAGCGCTTGCGGGAAGTCATATCCCGCGTCAACCGCTCGCCCCTCGGCTGCGGCGCGCTCGCCGGCAACCCCTTCAAGATCGACCGCGACGCCATGGCCAAAGAGCTCGGCTTCGAGGGCCTCCTCTACAACTCCATGAACGCCGTCGCCGACCGCGAGTTCGTCCTCGAAACCATGCAGTGGGGCTCCAGCTTCATGCTCAAGATCTCCCGCTGGGCGGAGGACCTGATCATCTACTCGTCGCTCGAGTTCGGCTTCGTGCGCCTCGCCGACACGTACTCGACCGGCTCGTCGCTGATGCCGCAGAAGAAGAACGCCGACTCGCTCGAGCTGCTTCGCGGGAAGTCGGGGCGCGCGTTTGGACAGATGGCGGGCTTGTACTGCACGATCAAGGGCCTGCCGACGACCTACAACAAGGACTTGCAGGAGTCGGTCGAGCCGATGCTCGACCACATCAAGACGGTCGGCGATAGCATGCAGATCGCGACAGGCGTGCTGTCAACGCTGAGCATCCACCCTGATAAGATGCTTGCTGCGCTCGCGCCTGAGATGCTGGCGACCGAGTTTGCGGACTACCTTGTTCGCAAGGGCGTGCCGTTCCGAGAGGGCCACCACATCTCCGGCCGTGTGGTGCAGCTGGCGGAGGAGAACAGCGTGCCCATGGACAAGCTGACGGTTGAGCAGCTGCAGGGTGTAGATGCGAGGTTCGATGAGGATGTCGTGACGTGCTTAGATTACGAGCGCGCGGTTGAGCTGAAGGATGCGACGGGTGGGACAAGCAAGAGCGCTGTTAGGGAGCAGATCGTGGTGCTCAAGGGGATATTGGCCGCGAAGTAAGTTCATTATCATATGGTAATTATGAGGATAGGGTGGAGTATGGTCGTGTTATGATTTCGGTAAAAGTGTTTAGATACGCTACGTAATTTATGGGTGAACGTACTTTATACACATTCTGTTTTGTCAAGAGTCACCAGACTGCTGCAATCATGTGAGTCAATGCAATTCAAATTGTTTATGAATGTTCTAAGCCAAAGGGATGCATGCTATCTATCTCCAAATACCACCCGATACCTGAGTATCAACACAAGAATAGAGATAGGAAGGTAGCCAAGGAAACTCGAGAAATAAGAGTCCGTACTCCCGTCCCGATAAGCAAAACAGCCGGTTAAGAAAGGGGAATGTGGCCACTCAAAGCAATACCAACCGTTGCCCCCAAAAAAAGGGGGAAATCTAAGTAGAAGTTTCAGCAATCGGAATCGGAATCATTCTGAACATCCCTCGCCGCGTCCATGTCTCCGGCATCTCACCCGTGATCAGCCTCAGCACTAAGGACGCCTCATCTTCTTATGGCCGACTGCCCGTGTGGTACTGCCAAATGCCCCCAATGACCCATCGGCACGTCGCTTGCGAATGATAGGTGGGCCATCCTCATCATCTTCTTCGCTGTGACTAGCACCTGTCGAGGGTGTCCGCGTGGATCTAAACTCCGCCAGGAGATCTCGTCGCTGTCTCTCGATGACATCCTGTGGAGTTTGTTCGCGAATCTCGCCCTCCTCAAGAGACTCTTGTGAGAAGGTTTGTGACAGCTGTGCTTGGATGTCATCTTCGTCAGGAACCGGGATCGATGGCTTGACGGGAGCACTAGTGGGCCTGGGTCGAGGGGCCATCAGAACGTTCGCGTTGGGTCGAGACGCCATTGGCGGACGGGACATTGGAGCTTTTGGACGAGAGGGCATTGGAGACGTGGGGGCCCTTGAAGCCATTGGCGTTACTGGGGCGACTTGTCTTCGCGGCGGAGAAAGAGGGTTTGACGGCTGTGCGGGGGAGAATGGCACAGATTCCGGGACGTCGAAAGTAGTTTTGGTTTTCGGCATAGGTGGTGGAGCATCGGGCATGTCATCATCTGAATCTGAACTGACTTCGACCACCGAATATGGAGATGTAGACCGTACGAAAAGTGAAGGCGATTCTGGTCGTCCTGGTGCAGGTTCTCGGAAAGACCTCGATGTTGTTTCTGGTACATGGGCGCCGAGCTCGCGGGCCCGATGGTTCGCAAGGCCGCGTGCAAGGCTCTCGTCCTCAGTGCGGCGACGTCGTAGGGTAGAACCAGGGGCCACGGCTGGCGATGTCGGATGGCCTTGAGGAGGTCGTGTTCGCGGTGATTCTTGAGCATGTGGAGGGTTTGCTATTATCGGATCTTTCCAACGAACATCCTTAATCGCCGTCACATAGCGCCTCGTCTCCTCATGGATTCTCTGGTTTGCCGCCGCAAGCATAGCTTGCTCAGCGGAGACACGTCGTCCAGCCTTAGCAGCAGATTCTGCGGTAGCGACGGGTGGGGGCTCAGTAACGACTCGCTTCGTTGACTCCGCAGCAGATCCTACGGCAGTGACATATGCGGATTCCACGACGGGTCTCGGTTTGGTGCCCTTGGGGGCTACCGTATCCGGGATTCCTACTGTCTTCGAAGGTGTTGCTTTCCGGGTCGGCGTCTTGTCGGTCGTCTTCTTCGTAGACTCCTTAGCAGGCTTCGCAGAGGCACTTGCTTGTGGTGTAAGCTCGGGAGGCTGAATCGCAACAGCAGAGGACGACTTCTTCTGCGCGGTCTCTCCATCTGTCGCTCCGCGAAATTGCTCCAAAGTGTCCACAAACTCCCAGACCATCCTCCAACAATCGCCGTTTAGCTTCAGGTCTAAGTGCTTCTGACGGAATATGATTCTCATCATACTAATGTCCCCAAGCAACATCTCATGATTTCGCTTATCCCCATACTTCGAGATCAGGACGGCTACCGCAACTACTTCCAACGGAGAAAAGGTCTTGACCCTCTCGTAGCCATTGTCCTTGAAGACTGCTTCTCTCTCATTAACAAGCTCCGTGAAGGTCGTAAAGACCGTGGCAAGGTGGCTCTTCATGGAATCATCTAAGGCTTTGGGGTTTTTGATAAGCTTGTCGATCGCCGTTACGCTCGTCTTCAAGGTTGGAATCCCATTTGCACTTGTCGGATGTTGGACCTCCAGAATCTGGGCGAAGCATGCGAGGAACAACCTAAAGCCCCCAGAGCGAGACTGGGTGTGTGCGGTAAGCAGCTTCATGATCGGCCTGAAATCGTCTTCAAACATCCGAGCGAATTCCTGCCAGGGCCCGTTGGTAGCTCTCATCTTCTCAGCCGGGTTCAGGCTCATGCCAAGCTGGACGCGTGCGAACAGATCCTCCTCTTGCTGTCTGTTGAGAGCGGCGAATTCGAAGCTCAGGATTTCCTTCTTTTGGAAGGACTCCTTGACGCTCTGTGGAAGGACACGACGCTTCGGATGGTCGGGCGCGGTGAAGTACCATTTTCTCTTGTACTTGTCGTGACATGGTATTTTGCCTTTGATGAAGGCGTGAATTGACGAGATTCGTTGCTTCCCGTCGATACAAACTCGCCTCCAACGTTCGCCTTCGTCGTTCCCTGCCAGTCTGAAGCAGTTGAAGATTACTGGAGGGACGTAGTAATTCTCTTTTAAGTGTGAGCTTCTTTCGCATGGAGTACTAAAGTTGGGAGCGCACTTACCCATCAATGAGTCAATCAGTTTACTCATCCGGTCCGCTACACCAGAAGATTAGCTGAAGGACTAGCATAGCAGCAAATCTAGTGAAATCAACATACCAGTCCAGACAACTCCTCGCTGATAGTCGGGATCAAGATCCATGTACGGTCCGTCAACCAGTGCTAGAGCCGTGATTAGTCGGAACCCAGAAATACAGGAACCTCACTTGTAGGCGATAAATGGTCCGACTCACCTATGAGTTTGTGTATCGGGTGTCGCATCGGGTGCGATTCATCGAGGCTCTCGACTTCAAACTCTTCACTCCCAGAGCCGTCGCTGGGAGCTTCCGCGTCTGAAGCATCGTCGTCGAAATCATCGTCTTCGGTCTTCACGCCGGTATTCACGACGATCGTGTCTTGCTGCGATGTTGTGAGTCGACAAATTGAATAGAGAACACGATGCGACAAAGGCGCTGTGTTGTGCCAAAGGATGCGACAACAAGTAAACAAGCAGGAAGGCTGGATGTAGCTTAGTACTTACTTGCTTTGCCATAACAGGGTGTTGTATTTATAGTGGGGTGTATTCCTTAATATAAAGGTTAGGAGCTAGCTTATATAAGGTAATCTATAGTAAGCTTACTAAGCTTTTTATTTTTACTAGGAAAATCTTTTTTAAAACTTAATACCCTTACTAAGCTTAGTTTCTAGTAATAAAAATATATTACTAAATAACTAATACTAATAACGTATTCCACAAGCGAGCCGTCCACCCAAGCGAGCCGTCCACTTCATCACAAAAACGCGACGCGTCAACTTCCAACCACCATGCGTCGACAACACAACGTGCAATCAATACAAAATGAAGGTCGAATATGCATGGCTATCGCAGCAATCAATCAGCAGCAATTTAAAAGCGAACGGCGCGCTATTACGACATATAACGTACCCAGAAGCACACTTCGAGATCAACGCGCTGGAACGACCCCACGACGCGATTCTAAGCCTAATTCGAAGAAGCTTTCCAAGCTGGAGGAATCAGTTGTTGTTCAACATATACTCGACCTGGATTCGCGAGGATTTCCGCCCAACCTGCATGCTGTACGAGAGATGGCCAACAAATTGCTCGCCGAGCGCGCCGCCGGCCACGTTGGCAAGAACTGGCCAGAGAACTTTGTCAAGCGAACACCTAAGCTCAAAACACAATTCAATTAAAAGTACAATCATTAGAGAGCTTTATGCGAGGATCCAAAGGCAATTAGCGATTGGTTTAAGCTTATACACAATACAAAAGCAAAGTATAGCATCCTGGATAAAGATATACACAACTTTAATAAAGCTGGCTTCCAAATAGGCGTTATCTTAACTGGCGTGGTTGTAACAGGCTCTGAGCGGTGCAATT